AACCCTGTTGCTCATCCAACCGAAAATAACAAGAACAACCCCCATGCTTTACTATAGAAAGTTGGCCCAGAGGTGTGATCGGTGGGTCATGCCCCTTGATTCGGATGCGCAGGCGACAGATATGTGAGCTAATCTGCGAAGTCCGTACTCCGTGCCCCTCGTTTTGCAGATCCAGTACCCAGGTATTTGGAAACCCTAGCATGCCTTTGCATCCATTCCCCGACATAGTGGATCCACGTTCTGGCTAGACCCAAGCCTTTTTTCTTTCTGTCCTTAGATCTGGTGCCATATGCCTTGCGACAGCCACCTGATCATTGATGATGCGAGGGTGCTCCATAATTCACCTTCGTTTTCATCTTCTGCTTTCTGCGTTGATTCTCTTTACATCGCCTGAGTGATATTTGGAATGAAAGTTGAATATTTTCTTTCTGGGGAGGGTTTACTAGCGCATTCGCCATATTCTTTATCCATTCACCCTGAGCTGACCTCTTACCTAACTCAGTTGAGACAATGAATTGAAAATTATGCATCAAATGGTCGAGCAGATGACCTTTTTTCTCACTTACAGATTCTCAACATGGACCACCAAACACAAATACGAGGCCTAGAATGACGCCATGCGTTGAAACTCCATTGTTGAAATCAGAGGGGTGCTAGTTATTGCTTTTTTTGTACTCATCGATTCTCTTCAATTCGCAATACACACCGATACTCTGAGACCTTTGGTCGCAACTAAGTGCGAGAAGAAATTAACAGGCAGCCAATGTTATCGTCCAATAGCAGCCAAGTGGCCTCATTTTAGGCCATGTGCAGCGATCACCTAACATTAGGGGCGGCTATCTTCTGACAGGTCGTGTTGCTTTTTCTCACTGGTAGATACATTGGCCGGCTGCAGCGGCTCCGATCAAAGACCTGTTCAATCACGCACGATCGGGTTCACTTCGGTGTGATCGTGGCTGGTTTGGCTTGGGCAAATCTGGGATAGCCCCTCCTTTGTTTGCTGATTGTGGCCCTGTCAAGGTCATGAGGTACCTCCCTGGTCAAGATCTAGGCCCTTCTCTTTGTCGATTTCTCTCTCCCCGTGCCCCTGGAGATCTCAATATGGGGCGGCAAGATTGACAACCATTGAAAGACGCCAGGGGCGCCGCGGCCCAGCCTCGTTGCCGTTGCTGTCTGATTGTAGTCGTTTGACAGGGCGCCCTGTCCCCTCAGCCTTTTCCTTTGCCTCTCTAAACTGGTGATTGCAACGCTCTATGGATTACGATCGATTCTCTTGGCAGACGATGGCTTTGGTTCTACCCATGGTGATTCCAGTCCGTCTGGCCATCCTGATCTATTTTCCCGCCAACCATAGTAACGGACGGGTGCCCGAGATCACTCAACTTGTTGGGCGGCTTATGGCTTCCAGTGCAAGCAAATCTGGCCTAGGAAATTGCCTAGGTACCCTACTAGTGGTTAGCAGGCCCTCTACATAGAAGGAATTCCAAGGAAAAATTTATCTAGTAGTTCGATCGCGAATCCTTGTATCTGTTGCAGATGGAATTGGCGATACTAGCCTCTCAACCTGAAGCTGAAGTGCCTTGTCTACATTTAAATGTATGAAACTGTGCTCCCACGGACGAGGTTGAAAGGAAATTATTTTCCGCCCATTCTCCACTTTATCGGAAGTGGAGTCTGGGGAAGAAAGCATACCCCAGACACCGACACTGATCGCCGGGCTCCAACGCAACGTGGTTGCCCGAAGCCAGGCGCCAACCATATTTCTGCTTTCTGCTCAAAGGGTAAAGGAAAGAGGGGGGGGGATTGAAGGAAGAAAAAAGCAATCCGTGCGTATCACTAGAATGTAACCAGGAGCGCCCGAATGATACAAAAAGGAAAGTGAACTCGAAAAGAAATATTCGAACAAGTATTGTCATTCATAGAATACGATTACATGTACGAGTTGCCTCAAATCCGGATAAAAGCGATATGTCAAAGGCGACCGGGGAACCCAATCTGACATTGAGACAATCATTAGGGTGCCCAGACCGGCGTTATGAGAAGGATCGATCACTGGGGCTGTGATGTGTTAACAGTTGACAGGGCGATTGTCGTCTTGTGACGGCCCCTAATTATATTCCAAAGAAGAGATATAGACAGAGGGCAAGCTGGTGACCTCGGTTCCTCCAAAAGACATCGCAAATCTGAAACTGAAGTAATCCGAATGGTATAATGTGTAGCAGTTAAGCATCACGAGCAAAACATAATAGAAGCTGGCGCCTAGGCCACTGCCGAACAGTTTGCGGCCACGTCAATCGGCCCTGTCCATGTGAGCAGGTGGGCGGCTGCGATTTTGAGGCTGGTGACCGACGGAGGGGCCGTTTGGTACGAGGATATTGATTCCGGCTAGAACATCATTCTCGTTTTCCCTTTTTTGTCCATATCCCCTCTGGTCGCGGTGATGTGAGCGTTCCTTTTTTTGCATCCAGCATTCTGTCTCACCTGAGAAGAGTTTACACGACATCGGGTCATCTGAACCCGCGATTTGTATCTGAAGAGCCACCCTTTTCAACTAAACGCGGCTATGGTGCCTATGTAGTATGTAATATATATGCAGAACCTAACTACGAATAGTAGTCATCAAATAGAACAGTCTCACCCATCTCCCCGATGTTCTGGTCTCGAAACACAACCTGCAGAGTTGATTTCTATGTCCATACGGAATACTCAAATCTCCATTTTCATATATCCTTTTACCCGCAGGCCCTAGAGAAGGCTGGGTCTCACAGATTCCAATCCTGACCTCGTCAACGATAAATAATCAAAAAAGAGCATTCCAGATCAGGTTTGTGCGTACCTATCTACCTCGTCACACCGCGGTTGATGGCTTTGCATCTCGACCGATGCCGGAGCTCGAACCCAACCTATTTTCAAACACAAATCGCCAAGCTGACATTTCTTCCCCGTGGCGGCGCCCACCGGCTGCATCCATGCAGAATTTTAAAATTCTACCTCTCACAGAAGACGAGTGGCTTTATCCGCACCCGCTGCTACCGCTGACATTTTCAACAAGGGCTCTATGTATAGTATCTATGTCAATACTGCAGCTGCAGTATTAGTGGATCCATATTCGCTAGACGGCATCTCTTTTACGAGATATTTAGAACATGACAGAAAGACGGAATAGTGGCTTTTCCCGAAGTCACAGAGCAATGAATAATATGTGGCATATCCAAAACCTACTACCCGATGTATCGATATTCTGTCGTTAGATACGAATTGATCACACTGTCAAGCCTTCCTGCAGAGGGAGTGGGACCTTAGAGGGTTGACCGCTGAAGACCGCCGACCACCATGGGGATCTAGATCGCTCTATGTTATGTATAAGCCTACGAATGAATTTTGGAAATGGAAGATGAAATGCAAGTAATTTAGCTATGCGATCCCCAGTTTCAGTGTCGACTTTTACAACAGGTCTACTAGTCGCACAAGATAGCTTACCCTTCACATGTCACGAATAGAGCAGCGAACCATACGAGGCAAAACAGAGACAGAAAAAAAAAAAAAAAAGGCAGAGACAGATCATGCCTATTTTGGCCATCGACGAGCCGCAGTGGATCATAGAATTGGGAACTCTGTGAACCACGAGTTGCGCGGAACTAGGGTCACGCTTCCACGCGCTGTGCAACCATGGACGGACCGGATTAAACCCTGAAATACTTCCAATGTGGGGGGTTTGGACTGATCCACTCTGAAGAAACGAAGCAAACAAGAATGTAGCTCTAGACTACCCCTTAGGCCTAGGATGACAAGTTTTGGTATTGGAATTTAGGGACAGTATGGCGGCATGGCGAATTGCTCGTGGTTGTTAACTGTGATATTATGATTCGGGCTTCATGGTCAACGGACAATTTGTGGTTATACCATCTCATAGCCTTCCACAATTCCCCATAGGTCGGACAGCAACTAGTGCTTTAAATATATACGGCCAAGATTGCCCGAGCGGATCAAGTACCAAGGTGTAAGAGACTGCTTTCGAAAAGAAATGTCATCTAGTACTACTAGTACATGCCCCCAACAACCTGAGACAAAGACGCCGATCCATTCTCTCTGTCTAGTACTAGTAGTATATATAGTAGTTCTTCAGATCAAATGTAGTACTAATTTGTTCTTCACCAGCAGCAGGGATCGTCTTGTCCTCCACACACGACAAAGCAGGTACCCCTTCCGCAGCACTTTACAAAACCTTACGCCTACAACTTCCACGAGGTTGGCAAAGGGACAACAATCTTAAATGCAAGCCAAATACTACATCTGCAAAGTCGACATGCGCAACGAATCCACTGTTTCGGAATCACGCCCCAAAGAAGACGTACCAGCGCCTAACCATCTCGTATTCGAGTAACATGAACAGCAGAAAAATGACCACGAGATCACTAGATCAGAAGCTTTGGATCCTTCAAACGCGAGATTATCAACAAGATTCCCTCATCGAGCAGAAGCGAGACCGAGGTCATCTAACCAGATGCCGGTGTGTGCTTCAAGTTTTCGTCGGCTGTTCCTCGGCATCTCGAGTCACCCTTGTGAACAAAGCACGGATACTCCCAGATCAGCGGCACGGGCTCCCCGGAGACCGGGGATGATTTCTGGACTTGAATGGATAGATATATTTCGCGTGTAGATTGCGTTTTTTGAGAATGGATACTGAAAGGCCCTCTTCCGAGGTTGTTTTTTGCTAAGTATCACGCTACTTTTTGAACTACTGGGCTTGTCCAAGAGTGGTAGGAAGTGAACAACAGTGATGTGTTGAACATGGCTGAGTATACTATTTCTACTCATTAAGAGCGGGACAGATGGCGAGAGATCATAAATTCTTTCCTCAATGCAACTTCGAATTTTCTATGTAAAGGACCATATTTTACATAGGAGTCCAACCACAATCGTAATTTTTTTCAAGTGCGATGCTCCGGACAAGTCATTCCAGTACCATCTATAGGGCATTAAGACTATGTGCGGGTAACCTAATATTCGGCGTCATCGTCACCAGAGATAATGACGTTGTTGATCTAGAATTTTGTTAGAGTCTCGGACCAATAACATATCAAAGTAATGTTCAGTCAAGCTTACCTTGAGAACCATGCGGCAGAGCTGGGTAGCAAGAAGAAGCTGTTGGCGCTTTCCGATCAGAGGGTCGATAGCAAAGAGCTCCTTCATGTCTAAGTAGTTTATAACTATTAGCAAATGCACATTCAAGCTCACTGGGTGGCAGTGCCTTACCGTTGCTACCTGTGTTCATGCAGTCGACACCGAGACGGGTGTTCTTCTCCTTAACCTGGCGCGACTTGATCGACGCGAGGGTCTCGATGGGGCTCAGGCCAGAGTTCTCAGACAGAGCCAGGGGAACGGCGTCAAGGGCATCAGCAAAAGCGCGCATGGCGTACTGCTCAATACCGGGGCTCTGTAAAATTGAATCATGTTAGCCAGATGTTGGATATACTGAACATTGAAAATTACAGACCTTGACAGCGGCATCCTCAACAGCGATAGAGCAGGCAATCTCAGCAGCACCACCACCGTACACAACACGGTTGTCACGAACCAAGTTGCGGACAACACACAACGCATCGTGTAGTGATCGCTTGGCCTCATCGATAATCTGCGAGTTTGGTTAGAAATGGTTATATGGATGAGAACGACTGAGCTTACCATCTTGTTACTTCCACGAATAAAGACGGTGACCGCCCGGCTGTTGGCACATTCTTCAATGATCAACATCTTCTCTCTTGTGGTTCCGAAAGTCATCTCGCGAACACGTCCAGCGGAGCCGAGCTTTTCGGCGCTAAGATCCTCGAAACGCGGCACAATACGGCCGTTTGTGGCGATGGCAATCAACTCGATCTCGGGACCACCAACCCACCGAACGGCGGGCAGCTTGTTCTGGAGCAGCAGGTGATTGGCCTCATCGTCGAAACCCCATTGGCAAATAACGAGGTTAGCACCGGAGTCCTTAAGCTGCTCAATCATCTCAGCGAACTTCTCCCTCTCGTAATCCTGGAGCTTCTTGAACTCCTCAACGGAGGTGATGTCGAGCTTGTGCTTGGTCTTGGGCTTGGGGGGCTCGAAGGGGCAGGTCAGGATAGCCAGCTTGGCGTCCAGGACCTCGTCGGGCATTTGAGGGTGAGAGAAGTCCTTGTCGACAATAACACCGTTGACGAGCAGAGAGTCCTCGAGGGCACCTCCGACCTTGCCGTCCACCTTAATCAACTCGAAGTCGACATCCTTGCGCTGCAGATCGGCAACCGAGAGCACAGCGTCCACAGCAATCTTAGCGAACTGGTCGTGAGACTTGGAGACACTGGTATTGGGTTAGCTAGAGCGCATTATGTGGATGAGAAGAGAAGGGTGCTTCGTACATCTTGCTGCCCAGACTGGTCTTGGCAACCTTGAGCAGGTTGCTGGTGTCTTCGCGTGTGAAGGGGATTTCGTCACTGATCTTGTCCAGCTCAGCGATGGCAATTTCGCAGGCCTGGTCGTAACCGTCGGCTATCCGAATGGGGTGGATGCCCTTGTCAATCAAGTCCGCGGCCTGCTCCAGCATGGCGGCTGCCAGCACCACGACACCCGTTGTACCATCACCAATCTCCTCATCCTGTGATTTCGAGAGCTCGACAAGCAGCTTGGCAACGTTGTTTGTGATTTCCATCTATAGACACCGTGGATATTAGAATCTGTCGAACTGGCGAAAGGCCTCGATCAGGGGTCGGGGGGGGGGGGTCGAACCTGGCCGAGAATAGTGGCACCATCGTTGGTGACGGTGATATCGCCGTCAGGGGAGATCAAGATCTTGTCCAGACCACGGGGACCCTAGTTTCCTTCATTAACTCTTGTTCCCATTTCTTCAGACGTGGAAGATCATACCAGAGAAGTCTTAACAATGCTGGCCACAGTTTTGGCGGCGACAATGTGCGACTTCACGGCCTCGGTGCCATGTTGTCTCTTCTTCTTTCCTTGGCTGCACAGTACTCTCCTATCAGCAAAACTTGGGTCTTTTTATGTCTCTCCGTGGATCCAATTGTAGTGACGGAGGCGAATAGAAGGGGTTGTCGGTGAACGTACTCGCGAACGACGATAAACGGGCGTCCCTGTTCATCCTTCATCACCGAGGCTACCCCAAGTATTAGTGATAATGTTGGATGGATTGGTTGAGTATGAAGTTCGAAAAGGAATCACCTTGAGAAAGATCAAGATCTATAAGAATCCGCAAGTTAGTCAATGCAATGCATCGGAGGTGTGTGTTTAATGAGGGGCAGGGTATCCGGGGACAGGGGAAGGCGTACTCATCGCCATCTTGACGGTGGACTGCCACCAGGCAGATGATTCAAGATTTAAAAAAGAAAGTAAAACCGAAATGAGATCCGAAGTGAAAGGATCGTCAGAAGTCGACACAGGTACAGGTATTCTCCGAGCGATGCGGAGGGGTGAAGCTCTCCCACGCAAATTAAATTCTGGGCGGGCCAAAACGGGATAGTGCTGGCCCTTTCCGCCTTTTGAGCTGCCCAGCTTTTGCCCACACGCGCGCACTCCGCTTTCTCCAACTTGCGCGCAAAGCGTGTCTCTTCTAATAGATTCGACGATTGCCGCGTTCCAAATTCGAGAATCGGCAAGCTGTTTTCACGAATCCTTTCATTCACCACCTCGCCTCTCCTACCAAGGATGCCGCGTATGTGAATCCGCCTTGTTTATGTCTCGCGCGCGCGCCACCCCCCCGAACTGACTCTTGTTATATATAGCTCCCGTGGAGGAGTGGTCGGATGAGGAGTCGGGCGACATTCCATTCACCACCGCCCCGGAAACCAAGGAAGCTACAAACAATGTGGAAGAAGAAGAAGAAGAAGAGGAGGAGGATGAAGATGACGACAATGAAGAGGGAGTGTAGGTTCGGTCTAGCCGTTGTGGTGGTATATTTCGGCTCGACTAATCCGGCGCAGCTTCGTCGTTGAGGAAATCAAGAAACACCGATATGAAGTGGATGTAAGCCCAATTGATCCCACACCTTACTTGGCACCCAACTCATTTGCGCTGACTACTCGACCAACAGGGTACACTCTTTCTATTTGTGAAATGGAAGGGCTGGCCAGCGATCAAAGACCATACCTGGGAGCCTGAAATCGGACTCAAGTATGCACCTCGACAAGATAAGGCTGTGCACTTGCTAATCGCTTCTCTAGGGATGGTGCTGAGGATATGCTGGATGCGTATTACAAGAAGATCGGCGGTAGACCCGAGAAGCCAGCCGAGAGGGGGGCTAAGGGCCCCGGCAGGAAGCGCAAGTCCATGGCGGGAAAGAAGGAGACACCGACTACCACCCCGACTGAGACTAAGAGGCGTCGCCAATCCGCACCAAAGAACGAGTCCAAAGACGACGTCAAGGCTGACGGAAACACCCCGGCAGAGAGTGAAGACGACGAGTCGTCCGACTGGGTGCCCAAGAGCCAAAACTGGGACAAGGAAGTTGAATCTGTCGATACCATTATTCGTGATGCCAATGATCAAGGGCTTTATGCTCTGCTCCTCTGGACAAATGGCAAGCGGTCGCGGATTCATATCCAGAGTTGCTACGAGAGGTGCCCAATGAAGATGCTAAAGTTCTACGAGAAGCACTTGTAAGTCCATTAATCTCAATTTATTTGAACCCTGGAATAGGTGCTGATTTATTTTCTAGGGTTTTCAAGGACGGTTGAACAGAGATCGCCTCACTCGGGGGGGGTTTTTTTTCTCGGCGTAGGGAACGATCTGCCGACGGATGTTTCTTTCAGGGTGCCATTTGCGTAATACCATTGATTTAAAGGAGCTTATAGGAGTTGGATCAATTTTCAATCAGGTTCTCCTGTCTATGCTTCCTTCCTGTAGGATAAGGTTCGGGGATGGGTCAATCCCCCATATGAGATTATGCCTGTGATTTTATTTCTGTTCTTTGCTCGTGTCATATTTGACTTTTGCAATCTCGTACGCTTTGGGTATGCCAGTCAAGCCAGATGAGGGAATCTTATGTAGTTTACAATGCATTCCTGTTATAGCATCGTTTGCGTTAAATCATGTCTCTCTCCCTTGCCTCACTGAGATAGTTCCACCTTTCACTTAATGAACGTTCACCATGCTTTTTGAGAACTCGCTCGACCTCGCGGCCATTGGATCCTTGCAGGTCTTCATCATCCTTGGAAGTCCACACCCCGCGTATGTCATTAGGAATGGGGTTCCCAGCAGCCAGTATGTTCAAGATCTTCCCAGCGAGCTTGCAATTCAAAGTTGTACAGCACAGGGCATCATCTATGACAGCATCCTCGAAGCCTCGTGATACCTGTGCCTCGACCCAGCCGATTAAGTTGTTATCCCCGCTCTCACTGCCTCTGCCGTCATTTTCCTCGTCGAAAGACTCATTGACGGGCTCCGGTGGGGAAGGTAAGAATGGCAACTCTATAAAAAGCATAGCGCCTTCTTCCTCGGCCCTATTGAGGTTCCCGGTGCTGTTGAGGTTCTGTTGCACTTCCTGTATTGAAGCACTGCGCTGCCGTTTTGATACCGGCATGGGTTTTACCAATGCGGGTGGTCGTGTAATAGGCTCAAGAGGTTGTCGAGGAGAATCTTGTCGAGGATTGTCTCTGTGTCGGGATCCTGCAACTGCCCTCTTTTTAGAAGGCGAGGCCTGTGGTGCTGATGGCGCTTCATGCGCCGGGCTGTATTTTCTTTTGGGCTTTGATTGTTTGTCGATGTGACTTATTGAGGAGCTGGGTTGGGGCGGTATGAGGTTTTGTTGAATAGATGACACAGTCTGTGCTGGCGCCATAGTGGGTATCGACGGAGTAGCCCGCCTTGATGGTGTGGTCGATCTTGGTGCCTCGTCCTGTGGCTCTGCGTGAGGCTCAGATAGCAAGAGATCTGTCCTAGGAGCGCCACCACCAGGACGAGGGTTGCCACGCAACTTTCTCAAATACCGAGATCTTGAAGATTGCCAGGGATGTTTGGGAAACTGGATACCGGATGTCAGTCAACACTGAGACATAGGTCGGGTCAAAGGGTGGAGGGGATACCCTTCTTTCTAGTAGCTGGTAAATTTTATTGCCGTGTATAGGGGCATTCTCTTCCTGCTCAAAGGGGTAGAGGAAGTCATAAAGGAGCTGATCATCTTCCAAGGTGTAAACGGATTTGGTGCCCCGCTTGGGAATATTTGATGCGCCCATTGCACGGGGTCTAAAGGAGCCAGCGCGATGTGCATCCAGATCCGCAACTTGGCCTTTGCGAATAGATTCCTCGACATACTTGTAGGAATGACTAAGGGGTATTAGTGGTGTCTTTGCAATATGGATGTTCGCAGTGGGGACTGTACCAGCCAGTGGGGATGTTCTTTTTTGCATGATCAACCAACATGACATCGGCGTCATTCTCCATCAAGACAATCACGCCGCCATGTTTCTATATATCTATGAGCCTTCATTCAGACCTCGCCTCGTAGCGAAAGACATACCGTGATGAGGTCTTTGAACCTCGATCGCTGAGGCACTTCCCGTGAGAGCCAGAACCGCTGGCCTTGGAAAATATTGACCGGGTGAGCACTCGAAACTGACATCCTCGCTACGTGTGAGTGAGTGTCATGAGGCAAGTTCTCCTTTGATGATATGAAAGAAAAGGCAGCGACTATTGATGCAGTATTGTTGTTGATAGGGTATGACGCGCTATCAAGCTATCACGTGTTAACGTGTCACAAAGGGCATTTTGGCTGGGGCCAGCAGTTGTGAATCAGATGCGAGTATCAATTTTCAGAGTGGGGTATATCTGGCTCGTGTGTCTCAGGCCGGCTGTTCGATGAAAAATGGATCGGCTATTTTGACAAAGGATTGTCGATGTCGTGTTCCTGACTTCCAAGATAATAGGGTCACGTGCCATTAGCGCAGCAGCCGCGCCGCGTGGAGGAACGCTGACAAGTCGCTAACCTCATCTTCCCAACCGGTAAGGGAGGAGGAACATGGAGCGATGATATCCTGAAAGTATACTGACTCAGGATACCGCATGTGCTCTCTGAATTCTCCTAACGCCCACATAAGATACCCACGGCGTCCGTCACGATGGGATCTCTTCGCACTATTGCGCTGATTATTTTGGCCATTTCAACTTTCACTTTCATCGCCCTCTTTGGCCGATTACCTGCATTTAGGTGAGTATATCTTTATAGACTATAGGCATCATACGCTGACTAGGTCTCAGGAAAACACCCATCTCGTTTTTGTATCGGGTAGTTTGGGTATATTTCCCCAACAGTGTTGCCTATATCGACTCGCGCTTGCTTGGCGGCCGTCTGACCAGGATTTGGAACCAATCTGGCAAGTATATCTTGTATGAAAACCATCCATTGGTCTTGGTATGTTTCCAATGCTTGCATTTCCCACCGTCTGGCCTTGCCCATCTGACCCGCGAGGTAGCTCTTCTTCATTGGCCTCCTTGCCGGAGGCGAGGTTGTCTTTTTGCCAGCCGCCTGGCCTCGAATTGCCAGTGTCCACTACCCATGGGTTCCTCTGGTGGTTTTCATGCCATACTTTCTGCTCTACAAGTGTGTGGTGACAAAGTCTCAGATTACACCAGAAAATCACGACCTGGAGATCAAACGTTATCCATATGACCAGGTGCTATTTCATGCAGGCTACCGTTGCAGTACTTGCAACCTCCACAAGCCAGCACGCAGCAAGCATTGCAAGTTCTGCAAAACTTGCATCTCCCGCCAAGATCATCATTGCGTGTGGTTGATGAATTGTGTTGGTGCCAACAACTACATATTCTTCCTGGCCTTATTGCTCTCCTTATCAGTGCTGCTCATCTATGGCACTTGCCTTGGGTACTCTTTGCTACGCCAAACCCTGCAAAAAATGATACCAGCACACATCCAAGCAGAAATGCAGGGCTGGATCATGTATTTCAACATTTGGGCGATTGTGATTCAGTTGGATTCCAGGGTTGGAACTGTGACCCTCCTAATGCTTATGACAGCTCCACTGGCTATGGCCTTCTTGGTATACCATACCTATCTTGTCTGGGCGGGGATGACGACCAACGAGAGTGCCAAGTGGTCGGATTGGAAGGAAGATGTCGAGGATGGGTTTGCCTTCAAATCTCACCGTGGCCAGATCCCGGACGCACAGCCATTTATAGATTTTAATGATTGCCCTTGGCCAGTTAAGAGTGATCAGTTGCTAGTCAGTGACGATGAGCCTCCTTTGGAAGGTTACATTTTGGTGCCAGGGACCAACCGGATCGAATATCGCAGTGACACGGATATGCCGATTGATCCACGATGGCATCCGGTCCAAAGTATGAAGGAAATCGACAATATCTACGATTTGGGATTTTGGAACAATTTGAAGGACTCGGCAGGGATCTCGGTGCGGCGGAAGAACAGTAAATAATGCAATTTAAACTTTACGCAAGGCAAAGATGCTCCAAATCAAAACATTCACGGAAGTTCTCACCTGCTCCAATTATCAATATAATCTTGTAACTATGAGATAGCCTGCCTCTCGAAATCATGATCGGCGTGGTTGCTGCTTGCTATTGTTGCTGGTTGGCCAGTTGAATCGCGGGGGGAGTCGTTCCGCCGCTCCCCCACTTCGAAGAAAAATACAAATTAACGTTGCCTCTCGCCTCCGCTGACCTCCCAAATTCCACCAACGCCCAGAACCCTCTTCCTCTATACTTCGTGAAAGTCCACCATTCAAAATGGGTGTCGAAAGAAAGATCATTACCCGCGGCACCGGTGCCTCGCCTGCCTCAGGCGATAAGGTCTCGATCCACTACACTGGTTGGATCCACGATCCTAAGAAGGCCAACAAGGGCTTCCAGGGCAAGCAGTACGTCGATCCATGTTGCAGACCAAATCTAGTTCGAAAGCTAAACAAGATCATAGATTTGATAGCTCCCGATCGCCCGGTCGTGGCCCGCTCAATGTGCAGATTGGTGTTGGTCAGGTTATCAAGGGTAAAGTTTCGCATTTCTTGGGACATCTTTCATTCCTGGAGACTTCTGCAAAATTACCCCGGGGATTTTTGATTGAAATATTGGATTGAATTGCTAACTTTGATCAGGCTGGGACGAGGGTGTGCTGCAGATGAGCGTTGGCGAGAAGTCCAACCTGACCATTACCCCGTAAGTAAAATTTCTTCGTGAAGAGTAACGAGAGATCATGGGACTAACATATTCACTTTTAGGGACTATGCCTATGGCGACAAGTATGTAATCGGACGATATCTAGTCGATGATTTATGGCTATCTTGGAAGGACCTGATTCTAACAATTCTCTCCACACAGAGCGGCTGGCAAGATCCCCGCAGGCTCTACTCTCATCTTGTAAGTTTACAGAGTCATCGCCCAAGAACTCACGTTATCGTGTGAGACCCAGACTAACCAAGTGTGGCACAGCGAGGTTGAGCTTCTTAAGATCAACTAATGCTAGTACGTCAATAGTATACAATCAATGTGGGTCTACCAATATAATCTTTTTAGTATTTCTGCACTCTTGTACGAATGCATTCCTACTATAATAACTTGAAATCAGACTGAGCAAAATATAAAAAATGAAGACGGGAATCCTGCCAGTGCAGTGTCCAATATAATATTCATGGATTATTCACAATCTTGGAGTATATCATGATCTCGATCATCTACAATGGGACGAAATGACTCGGGAGGCTGTGGCACTGAACTTCCAAGGTTGAATGGCTACTAGTAGAATTCCAGATTGATTGAAATTTGAAAAGAAAATCTATCTACCAAAATAGTCTTCTAACCAGTAAATACTAGTAATACTTACTATCTGCAAGTTCTCGAGATCACCAAATAATTCCCAGGAAGGCGGTCAGGGAGGCGGTCCAGGGCGGTCAAAGGCAGTTCCCCATACAAAATGGGTTTTGCCCGCCCGTGAATTTGTTCATCCCACCATCCGGCGTTCACTCGATCTCACGATCTCACTTGCAAAATGGCTGATCCCAAGCCGCTATGCACTCCACCGGAGCTCATGCTGAAGGTCATTTTGGCTGGAACCTTGTCTCACTATGAGACTCGGGGAATGATCGACGAGAAACGCCTCGAGCATATGCTCGCGGCCGGCAAGCAGATCCTGTACAAGACGCACCAGGAAAGTGAAGTTCGGTATGTCCTCCTAGATAATGCCACGTCCTACAATGCCCTTGCTGACCGCATATCATGTATAGACACAATCTGGGCATGTCGCCGGACATTTGGCAAGGCCTGACAGACGTCCTCACAAAAGCGATTCCGGTTCTCGAATCGCAATCCTTCGCATGGAAGAGTCCGGCAGCGTCCTACGAGCATTCTTCTTCGAACCTAATCGCATTCAACTACTTCTCTTTGGTCAAAGATATCGAACGTTTAAACGATTTGTGTACCATCGCCCGCAACTTGCTGGCGACAACAAAAAAAGCCCAGAACCTGGCCGCTGAGAAAGGATTCGACCAGCGGATTCTCGCATTGATTGATACCTGCGTACGAGTTACAGCGCGTGGCTTTGATGGGGAGACAAATGCGCGGAACGAGGAACGGTGGCAGAAGGTAGTCAACCTCTACAAGCGCCTGTTAATCACATGTCTGCAGTACCTTCACAACTTCATCATGCATAATGAACAGCGCAAGATGGTTCTCTGGTTGGACCTGTTTGGTTACCATTCTACCGCCGATACAAACATCATCAAACCCAAGGAGGCATTGGACCCTGCCGCACGCATCGAGGGCGTCGCACCTATTGTCCGGGTTGGTGAGCGTGTTATCAACCCTCCCATCCGAGCACTCTACGACCAGACCGCCGAAGATCTTCTGCTGGAGACGATTGCGAAGTTCCCGCGGGAGCCTTCTACCATCAAAGAAGAGGCTGCAATGCTGCTTTTGGCCAACATCAAGGACCATATGGAAAAGATTTTGGGTCGGGACTTGTCTGACATCCAAGAGATGGGCAGGGACCCCGAACAGGTCAAATACATCCGTGCTGCATTGACCTCAATCTTGGGAGCCAAGGTTGATGGATGGTCTGATCTTCAAGACCGGGCACGTGAATTGCCACCTGCCCTGCCCGAAGAAGAGGAACATGAAACAACCAAGAAGAAGACCATTCTCACAATTGACCGTAGCATGACGGCCGGATTTCCGCGTCTGTGCTGGACTGACTTGCCTGAAGTAAATGATTACTCTGTTGATTCTCCGGTTAGCGATGAGGACACAAGCATGCCTAGATCCGCCCAATCTGCGGCCGAAACTCTACAAGAGGCCAAGGACGAATTAATGGCTCGACTTCAAGAATCGTCTCAGCTGGGTGATGTTGATGGTGAATATGACGCTGGCGATGTTGGAACGGTCGGAGACGATGACTCGCATAGTTTGGAGGGCCATGCAGACGGAAGCATCGAAGGCGATGAAGAAGACGATGGCGACGATGTGGACGGAGGGGATGATACTGGAGAAGTTGACGACGAGGAAGACGATGACGACTACCGTGGCCGCCCCGGCGACCAGCAACGCGGTCTATTGACCGATATTCCCCTGGTTCTAGGCCCCGCAGAAATCGAGGCTTTACCGATGATCGTTCAGGCTGGAATTGTTGACAGCTTCGGCCTCAAAGGCGGAGAGCGCAATGGCTCGCGGAATATGCAAGCTCTTCGATGCCACATTTTGCTCACACAGGAAACTGGTCGCAATCTACTGCGTGAACTTCTCATCTTCATTGCGGCCTGGGACCTTCCTGACGATGAACTCTATTTCAAGATGATGGTCCAGATTATGGAAGCTGTGCTCCGCAATGGACTCATGTCACACGCATACTCTGATTTCGGCCAGCCGAAGGATATCATCTCCCCGGCCCAAGCAGTGGTTATCAAGATTCTCACTCACATTTTCCGGGCCAAGTACTCGCCAGCGTCGGTGACTGGCTCGTCTCAAAACAGCATCCCTCGCACACCATCCCCGCTCAGTCGCGTCGATATTCTGACCGTTCGATACATATTCACCATTTTCCGCGGTAACATTATCCCGGAAACCTGCGCTCTGATCTACTTGCAAGGTCAGATTCGCGCCGAACGTGCGTTGCCGGAGGATTTCCCACTCAACTTGTGGGACATGGAGCGCGTCTACGAGGGCGTGTACCAATTCCTCGAGTTCTTCGCTGTACTTACCGAGAACAATGATTGGAAGAATCTCCTTGTGAAGTGGGAGATTGTGTACGACCTTGTCACTCTGATCAAGGAACTGGAGGCCAGCATTCCGAAGGGCCAACTCAACAATATGTCATTCGGCGGCGTACCACCACCTCCACCGCCGCGCAGCTCCTCGCCTGGCAGTCAATCGGCCACGCCAGCACCGGTAGCCGTTGAGCGCCCCTACGATCCAACTGATCCCGACCCCATTGATAACGCCGGTAGCGTTGACTCCCGACCCGAGTCCCCGCCCATCACCGAAGATCCCTCCGAATTTGAGTGGCGCAATCTTAAGAAGCTCGTTGTGCTGGTGCTTTCATCACTTGTTTGGAAGTGCCCGGAAGTCCAAGAACAGATTCGTCGCTACGGCGGCGTTGAAGCCATTTTGTGCTGCACTGCCTTCGATGCGCACAACCCATACATCAAGGAGCATGCAGTTATGTGCCTCAAGTTCTTGCTTGAGGGCAATCGCGAAAACCAGCGACTTGTTGAAGAGCTCGAAGCCCGAGAGGTTGTCAAGGACGAGGGCGGCGTGTTGGAGCGAAGTGGCTATGATGCCATGATTAATGAAGCTGGAAAGCTGTCCATTAAGCCTAAGGATGGGAACTAGTCATTTGGAATCTCATAGTCCATACATGTTGATAACTATACCCCTCTCAAATTCGAAGCATCAAGCGAAATTCCAAACCACAAACTTTGAAATACAATAGAAACCAAACAACCAAACAAACACTTTTCTCTTCAGATGATCTTCTTCTATTGCATTAAACCGCAAGATGCTGATATCGAATACTAGTCTTGTACATCATGAAAAAGCCTTATCAACCTTGGAATGCAGTACGCTGAATCGTCAACCTTGCAAGAGCAGTCGCGCAAGCAGCACAGTATATTCATTCCATGATCATCAAATGTAGATGCTGTCGTAATCTCGTATCTTCGCTCTGCACCGCAACATCAACCGACCACAAATGCACCCATCTCAACGCCAGCGCTGCCCTTGTCCATCTCCAGTTATAACGAACCTTGACTTTCCACGGTCATGTTTAACCATACATGCCATCCCACTCCTCCTCCTCATCCTCATCGGCGATGCGCTTACGCTCCTCATCCTTTTCGCGCTGCTGCTTCGCAAAATCGAACCGGTCAAGCGGACAGGTACCACGCAGTCGCAACCAGGGACGCACGCACTCGAGATCAAACAAGTGGGTGGGGTGGCAGGGCAATCGGACGACGAGGGGGTACTCATCTTCCAGGAAGGGATTGTTACAGATAGGGCAAGTTTGCGAAGAGTCGAGAGACGATTTAGGGACACGGTCAAGCACTGTAGAAGAACGAAGACGGAAAGTCCGCGGATTAGCCCATGTTGACTTGATCCCGTGGGGTTGTTTCGGTGGAGTGAGAAGTTGCGGCTGGCTGGCTGGCTGGCGACAGGTAATTGTGGGAGACTTACTATCGCAAAACTCTTCGTTCACGCCTTCTACCTCCCGTGGCGGTTCCTCGGCGCCATTGAGCAGATTCTGGATCATTGTCGTGAGAAGGTCGTCGGTGGTTTCGGCGGATGCGGTGCTGTCGCCGGTCTCGGGTTGTGGTTCGGCAGTGCCTGATTCGCGGCGCATCATTTCTAGAGCCTCGGCGAGCGAGTAGAAGGCTGCGCTCACGTCGCCTGGTACCGGGACGGCATGGGGTCGGTGATCGGGAGCTGGGGTTATCTCTGAGAGGGTCGAGAAGAAGGTGGAGAGGTCAGGTCTGCGGCGACGCGGGGTGGAGGAAGCCGCGGAGGGGTCGGTGGTGTTGTGTTCAACTGTATTGAGTTAGCTTCAAGTTCTTGGGATCCTCGTTGTATAGACTTGTGGCGGGAGCTTGAATGCGTACTTTCGTAGGTCGACATGTTGAGGATTTGGTGAGTTGGGGCGGGTGGAGGGTGGAGGGGAAGGTGAGTTGTGCGGGGAGATCCCCGTTTGTTTGCGGTGACACGGGTTGGTGTCCTTGTTGCACGCCCGAGGGTAGATTGAAGGGATGAGCGAGGGAGCCTAATGCGAGGGACTCGGAATGGTAGAGCGATGGTGGTGTTGGGTCATTGGGAGGTTTTGAAGAAGAGCCCGAGGCAACAAAGTGATAACGCGGCGCGGAGGGACGAGTGGGCCGTGCTTGGCACTCCAATCCATTCCAACCAGGAGGGCCTACGATAATTTTGTTAGAATATTGTACTAGAACAATAATAATGGATTGGTCCCAGTGGGTTAGTTTTCATTATTTAATTGTGTGGAAGTCCGAGTCCGATTTATCCAAATTATAACGTGCTATCTGTAGTATGCTTGAACAATATAGTTAAGTAGACTAGAACTAGTAGGCTAGATAACTCCAGTCTATCAAGAAAAAGCATAGGCCTCCGAGTCCAAAAATCTTGGGAGGGCAAGGGACCTCTTGCAAAGTATGACCGAGGAGGAGGTTGTATTGAATGTGAAGGTGAGCCATTGCGGAAAGCAACAATATAGAGACGTTGTACCTAGGTAACCATTCCGCAATAAAGGGAATTAAAGTGGCACTGGATTGAATGAATTGTTTGGCTATATCTAGACTGACATGCCCCACAATCCTCTCGATGTATAACATCATCATTTGCTTTCGACTGTTCCCAGATTTGGGAGCTTCTCAAGTGCATTGCGAGAAACCGACCAAGCCGGATCCTCAGGATAGAATTGACTGCGAAGATAAGCCCAAGTAAGCCTTTGGGTCACGCCCAATCGCTCCGGGCTCTCATCATTAGTGGCTTCATTCGAATCATAGCCAGAAACACCGCCTACACCGTGATATCCTCCAGCAATCGTAAGCAGAGACTTCGGGCCCTTGCTTCTATGATACGCATCTGCATGGTATGCTGCACCCCGCGTGGTCAAAAAGGGCGAACCGTCATTTTCTCCAATGACAACGAGGGCAGGCGTTCTCATCTCCGCGTGGGTATGCTCCGCGAGAAATATCCAATTGTCTTTAACGCGTTGGCTAACGCCGTCGCCTCCGTCACCCGGGGCAGCCATCAAGACACCCGCCTTGATGCGCGGCTCGAAGAAATCAACGAGAGGATCTTCGGTAGAATCACGAGTACGAGCACCCATGAGCAGACTGGCAGTTTGACCACCCATAGAGTGACCAGCAATAGCGACGCGGCTGCGGTCTAGGCGTCCTTGAATCTGGGGGAAAGCGGTCTCGATTTCGTCGAGATGGTCAAGGATATGCGTCATATCCTGAGCACGGGAGCGCCAGAACATCGGGCCATCTCCATGGACGGCATCGTCACTAAGACTTAGAGACATGGAGCTGAGATGAGTAGGCTGAATCACGATGAAGCCATGGGATGCCCAGAAATTGGCGATGGGACCGTATCCGTCGAGCGAAGACAGGTAATTCGAATGACCTTGACCGTGAGAAAGGAGAATGATTGGTAAATTTACCCCCGTTGTAGGCGCAGAAACCTTAATGTGTATATCGATGATACGATCTGGTGCTGGTAGAATGATCGGGCTCATTGAGATAATAGGGGTTGCATTGATGACAGGAATCTTCGCAGCATCGCCGATGAGGGCGTGATCTTTCATCCTGGGAAGACGAGTAGCTGGACTTTGATTCGCAGACATAGTGATGGATTTAGAATAATGATGGTTGATCTTGCGTTCGTAGTATTGAATGGCGGATCTGGGTGTTGTGGACGATACAATCAGAGAGCCGAGGACCCCTCGGGAGTACTTATAGTGATAAGTTATTAACATTGCGGTTTTAATTCCGAAATAATTATTGAAATGGTTCATCAAATTATGAATCATACATGGAGATAATATTGCATGCAGAATGCGAAAAGTCGCGGGCGGATTTAACCCGGCTCCAAAAACCGAGCAGCTACTGTGCACAAGGCTGGCATTAACTCACTAACCTAGGCCAAATGTCATATCCAGAAAGAAGGCTTACTGATCAAATTCATTTGTAATTTAGGGGAAGTCCGAAAGTAATTATCCCGCCACAATGCCCTCGGCGTTTGGCCACTTCAGTTAGGGTTTTGATGTTCGGAGATACATCTCCCGTTCTCGTAGAGTGGCTAACAGCGCATTTACCAAGCACCAGAGGCTTGAATCAATCGTATTCAGTTCAAACTGTGATTTAATACTCTAGTCAGGTTTTGAAGTATGAAAGTGGCAAGTGACTAGCCGATACGCTTTTTTTCTTTTTGGAAAAAAGCTCTTGACATAATCTGGAGAATTTAGATTTAAATCTAAAGGGGATTATGGAAGACAATATTTGTACAATTTAGGAAAATTAGAATCTTCTAACAGTGTATAGGGGGTAGTATAGTATTTTTGGGACGCTGCTGTCCTGGTACAAACACTAGGTCATACTTTCAACTACTCATACTTATGTCCTGATATTCACTTCAAGGATTTCCCTAGATAGTTCATTGCCTCAGATATCACTTTCCATTGACCGTCTTTCTGGGCCTGCCAGTGGAATCTTTGTATTGGGATAACTGGGCCGACGTAAATCTGATCTGGATGGTGCATAGCCAGAGGCCACAGCTCTCCGAGTCCCGCGGATTGCGACTCCAGTATAGCATACAAGTCGCCCCAGACTAGACTTCCGAGAACACGCATCTGACCCTTGTAATCAGGGGATTCATCCGGTCTATCAAATCCAATCTCGGGATCAAATTCGGGGTCAATAGCGACAACGAAGCCTGTTGAATCACCTGGAAGCACAGAGGATCTTGTAGCATCATGCGAGTTGCTCATATAAGACGCAAAAGAGGCCGAGTCAATGGCAAGAATTGCTTTAGGTTGTAGATCTAGGGGAGGCGCATCGGGGCCCTTGGAGTCACTCAACACCTCATTAAAATGCCTATATCAATCGTTAGTCAAAAAGTCTCCGCTAGCACGAAGAAGCACATACTGTTTTGCTGCTTCAATGTCATCTTGTGCCAAGCCCAATTCCTTCCCATCTAGCCAGTGGAGCTTTAGATATGGCTTGATAGAATCGCTGCCATCTTGACCGCCCCCCCCCAGTCAGAGATATGCTCTTCAAATTTCTTGACAAATTCCAACCATTCCGACTCAGATTGTCCATGAGTCAGACGATAGATGGCGAGTCCAGAGTCCTTTGGTAAATCATTATTTTCCAAATATTTGAGCTTATCCCATTTGGACGTTATCCACGGCTCCTGCACAGTGGAATCGAGTGAACTACCACGAAGCTCTCTTCTAATTTCCCTCTGAGCATCAACTTGTTCTGTAGCAAACTCGTAGATTTCTTTCGAGACAGTAAGCTGCCTGGGCTTTTCACCTTTAGCAACCCTCTCAAAAAATCTGTCCATAAGAATTTTGTGGCTGAGATCTTTCACACGCTGGGAATACGCCGCTCTCCGCTCCTCATGTTTGGCAGAGTGCATTTCTGGCGGTCCAACTTTGTTGTCTGGAGCCTCATACCCTTTATAGCCCTCCATCGGAATCATGATCGTATGGTCCGCCTGAACGGAAGTTTCTAGCAGGACGTGGAGCGCATCAGCCAACTGCCACTGCTTTGTATCTAGTTTATACCCCTCTTGGCCCTGAGGCTGATAGGCTAATAATTCTTGCATAAATGGAGCTCGCAAGGTATCGACATGCTGTGTGACCCATTTATGCGCCCGTTGGGTCATGACCTCTAGATGGACCGACATGTACAAAGTCCAGAGATCAGCGACACTGAGAGGCTCTGCGCTCGTTTGAGCTCTGCGCTGATTAATAACGACGTCTAGATCGCTCCAAGTATCGTAAATGAGATTGAAAGTCTCGCGAAGATTGTTTTGAACCTCTGGGACGTTCAGGTACTCGAACACCGAGACCACAGCTCCGAGGTTCTGGCAGGCTTGGTCGAAATTTTCCGGCAGATGGAGACCTTTCTCTTTCCATCTTTGATCACTCAGGGGGGTGATGCCTGACCAAAGGCGAGATTTGAGAGACTGGATATTCTTGCCAACATCGCAGAGTCGACTGCCGTCCTCGTTGGAACCGACATAAAGCATTACACGGTGGAAGAAAGACATGCTATCAGCGCCGAGTACCTGCTCGCTGCCTTGTATCAGAGCAAACTCCTCTAACGGTAGAGTAGCGATTGATGAGGGACGAGTGCCATCGGGAAGCGGATTTCCCATGAGAAACCCAACAAAATTCGCGACCGTTTGAGGCTCTAGAATACGATCAACTAGATCGTCAAAAGTCTTTATGTTAGCTGATCGTTGCAGTCATTTGGCATAGCTGGCTTGTGGATTTGTGGACGAACCGACTACTAGATCCTGCGCCTCGATGTGGGCGGCACTGATTGGACTTTTGACGGCTTCTAGATGGTGGTAAGGCTCATTGCTTTTTCTCTTTGGAGAGGTCCAAAGGCCGTCTCTGAGTACAGCAGTTTTATGGAATAAGGATCTGGCTGGCGTGAAGGCCGCAGGTGAAAATTTTCGAGAGGCCAAACGCGCCCGCGTCAGGGGTCGAATCATCGAGGGCCGCATGGCGAGTTGGATGTGATGGAAGGTGGTCTAGCGTGCAATAGAATTATTTATTTTGGACCACTTTTGATTGAAGCTATCTCCATTAGGCTTGGGTCGGATCGCTGCCTGTGGCTAGGCTCGGCCGGGGCTAATTTGGTGGCTATTACTATTTAGTAGTAACTATTAACGAGCCGGTGCGATCCGCTTCAGCGTCTTCCTAAAGACAGAACTTGAACTTGGATGACCCGTAGAAGACCCGAACACCAAGTTCGCCTTCTTTCATGAGCGCAAGATATCTTCGACCCGATGACTCGGGTTGGTCGGCCTTAGGACCTCAGGCATCTACTGGATGTCGCCCAAGGCAGTAGTAGTTAGACCTGTGCATCTGGGACCCATGGGACCTATGGGAATGGGACTCCCATGCACAGGTCTAGTAGTAGTACTAGTCTACGAGAGTATTTCCTTACGATTTCAGGTATTATATTTTTGAATTTTCTACAAATTAGATATCTCAAATCTCATACAGGGCATCTCTTATCTCACAACACGCGTTAATTTTGTTTCCTTGGATGCCCCAGACATATAGCATCGTTTTACTAGCGAAAACAACAAGGAATCTCGAAGCACTACAGAAAACACGAAGGTGGTCTCCAGGGCTCTAGTTGCGCGAGCCATTGTGAGTGAATCCAAGCTTTTCCCCTGTGACTAGGCTGATTAAGATTTTCACGTAGGTATTCGGGGACTTGTCGATCCGAATGTGGACATTGATGTTAGAAATTGACGACTCGTAGCAGGAATCTAAGCCTAGATATGATGAAACCATAAACTCTTTTTGACAAGATGTAATATCATACTGATCTTCCCATCTCCCAACTCATTCCACGGACTTATGTGCTTAACGACACCGCTACTTCAGCTCGTTAGCCTCGCGTATCTTTATATCAGGCGCCCAGGTGATCGACAGGCTGATTGATTTGTTTTACTTCAAAGCAGGGGCCAAATGAACACAAACCAGTTACAGCTCGCAGCTCGCGAGAATGCGGGGTTGCAAAAGTCAACCGCGACCTCGCGAACTGTGAGCCTCATCGGCAGATGAAGCCCCACCAACACCCATCAAATATGCAGGATATAGGGCAGTGCAACAATCAAGTTAATTCCCTCATGTTAATGAAATACCATCAGGCTATGTACTAGTAACTAGCTCCAAGACGGCTATTTTTTAACCGTTATGTGAATTGAAAATTGGCAGAATTAACCGCTGGATGCTGTTTCATGCCGTAAACACTCCATTGATTACACTTTCTCGATCGCCATCAAGAATATTCAAGTCTCGGCAATCAAATTCTTGGTATAGAAGAGCCGTAGAGGGCTGGAGCTGAGGCTTCCCATCTCAACAAGACTTATTACGTGGCTGAATGCATTGGTATACCCGGGATTGTACGATGTACTCAATCAAACGGCAGAAAGCTATATTTGGCCTTGACGCCCCGGGCTGAAGTTTTTCTGGTTCAAATTTAAAGACCAGATTGCCAAGAAGAGGATATGATTATGTTGATCAAGTGGGGTTGGAATCGATTTCATAGCACTGCCCATCTGCTTTACGCTATTATTGCTTGCCTAAAGCGTTGAATGTATCTCTACAAGCAAACATAACAGGAAGGAGCCATCATACAGCCCTTAAGGCTCTCTTTAACGAGCTACTAATTCAATTGGATTAGTTGGCGATATGCCGATCTTTGCACTTAGGCCCGACAACTATCTAAAGAGTTACAAATAGTTATGCATTGGCCTTCATGCCCTTGTGCGTACTAGCATGGATCCCGATTTTTCAGCTGCCGTTTAGGCCCTTTTGCACTTCAACTCGGTATCACCAAAAAGGGATAGATTTCCATCACATTCTCTCTTGCTCGAGGTATAAAGATGCAAAAGATTCCGTCTCCAGAGACTCTTTCTGAACCATCTTCCGAGTTCATCATTCCAACCAATCTATTATTTGCAAAACAACGATCTACTACCAATCAATCCAAACCATTCATCATGCATGTTATCAGCTTCACTCTTGCTACTCTAGTGGCCAGTGCCTCTATGGTCATGGCTGCCCCAGCCGAGCCCAGTGGAGCCGCTGCTAAATGGATCTGCCCAAATGGATGGGAATTCTGTGGCGTACGTTGACCATCGAAAGCAGTACTGTTATTAAATCCCCTCTTAATTCAAGAAATACACAGACGTGCAACGGAACCTCTTGCAAGATTGCGGGTATCAACTAGTGAGTTTCATTATTTCTGATACGTCTGGTCTTTACTGATAGATGGTTTTAGTCCGTGCAATTCTCATACCAGCGTAAGTATACAAATCCCCTGGGATAGAATTCTCTAAAGCTGAAGATCTTTTAGTGTGTCGGACCTGGTGGCGGCGATGGGCAAATCTGCGGTAGCAATGGTTTCGATGCCCAGATCTGCCCGGTGAAGAAATAAGTTATGAGGCTTTTCAACCTTATATACCCGGTACTTGCCCAAGATGAATATTTCGAGCAGTATCGAAGTCACTCGTTTTGAATCAGTTTTGAAGTCCATTCGTTCATTCATATGTTAATTATCGATACAAGCCCAATGTTTGATCAAACAACCTGCAGAGAGATAAACGGAGCCTCGTCAAAACTCTCCGGCATGCTATATGTGATATTGTAGAAGATAAACTCATTAACCTCTTGATCCGTGTTGTAAACGATGCTGTAGTTCGATAGCGCGTTTGTTTTCACCTTAAGATCCAATCCAGGAAGGCCTTCCAGCCCGGTAACGTTGGCCCCGTGGTTGATCCCGAGCCCACTGAAAAGGAAATTGAATGAAACGGGTCCATTTTCCATCGTAGCATTGGGGTATGAAATGTGCAGGCCATTCTTGGAAGCCACGGCGTCAATCGAAGACTCGGTCACCCAGTGGGTAACGCATCCCACCTGCTTATCATCAATTGCCCACTGAATGAGAGCAGGACTAAAGGCACTGCTACTCTTCGCAGGTCCTCCGACAATGGCTTCCGCAATTGATTCTGCGCCAATTGTCAAATCCTTAGACATCCAGGTTGTGATGTTGCGAGGATAGGTATCGAACGGCGGCGAGTAGGCCTTCGCTGTGTAGAAATGATCACCTGGGAATTTGATGAGGCTCGATTTGGACTCAGGAGACAGGTATTTCAGCATCTCAGGCATAGAAAGTGCGAAAAGTGGATAGAATGCGAAATCTTCTTGATGATACATCCCCGAGATTTGTCGTGGAAAAGGTGCGTGTTCTCTACCAACTGCACCCCAGATAACGGCAGCCGTGAGGGATGCGTATGAATTCATGTCATACCCATATGTACGGTCCCAGGGACCAGCCGTATTTTTGAGATTCGCATTGTAAAGCTGCGCAAGCTCATTCCAGCTGGCGGCCAAGATCTCTGGAGTGTACTTTTTCAACAAACTTCCTTCACTGCTGTATTGGCCCCACAGCGCTAAAGCCCACATCGCAACACCAGCGTAGGTTGGAGAGTTAAACTCGGAAAGCGTGTGGTGGACATTCCAAAGGTCATACAGCTCCTGAGCAAAATGCTCACCAGCTTGAGTCAAGTTCTTGTCGTTCAAACGAGTACCAACCCAGTTTTGAAGAATTGTTCGCATTATCCAGGGATTTGAGTAGCAGGGGTATAGATTGTCGCCGTCGACCCCACCCACGCGGTAAAGATCACCCTTTGCCGCGATATGAAGCGAACGCTCTATTTTCGATACCGTGGTGACTGGAAGCAGATGCTCATAGTCATTCAGCGCTACTAGCCAAGCGCATCCAACAAAGTCGCGGACATTAGGATCCCACTAATACCAACTCATCAGCTTAACTCTTAAGATACCAGGAACACTTATTCTTTCTTACTGAGCTATATGGCCCCTCATCGGGATACTTGGGTGTTCCAGGTTCAGGCTGAGATGGTGCTTGCTGGTAGTCGCCGTACCATTGCTTGGAGGGGTCAAGATACTGGCCCGCAATAACATTATCGAAGATTCGAATTGCCCTTGCAACATCGCCTTGTTCGTTTCTGGCTAGTAGTTGAGTCGCATACCAGGCACTGTGACGAGTGTCGTAGCGGCCAGGACCGCTGGATGATGCAAGTAAGTAGCCGGCATCTTCGTCCCAGTAGGCATCGCTCCATTCAATCGCCGTTGTGAACATGTCGGCCGCGTAGGAGGCGTTGGAAACATCATGATGAGGTTGAGTTGGTATGGCCGAGACTATGCCAGAAAGGTGGGCAATATTCAGGCCAGCTAGGGCAAAAGAAAGCTTCATAGTTGGGAAACTAATCAGGAGAATAGGTCCTACGCGAAACTACGAGGGGGAGGGGCCAGCTACGTAGTATATGTACCAGAGACACCTCTCACCCCCAGACCTATTCCGAGGTACTCCTCGGAGCATGGAATAAGATTTTCCAATCAATTTTATCTTTCGTCAGAGCGGTAGGGCCTTCAGTGGTGCCAAAGATTGGCCGCCACTTGGATAGACTACCCCCCTTTTCCGCCGCTTTTTCCGGATAATAGGCCGTAGGTCCTCATTGCAGCTTAGTATCGGTGTCCCCACAGGAAATTCTGCAAATAAGAGACTTTCCTGCGTGAAAGTTTATCATATCACTGATCCGATAGCTTTCAGGTTAGTCCATACTCCGGCGAATGGTTATCTTTGGCGTCCGTTTTCGCCGGATTTGCCGGTTCACCGGTATGCCACACTAACAGTGGAGTATTTGGCTATCTTCAAGTTGGAATTTGCCGATGTTAGCGGTAATGAATCGAGCCGTGGTTGCAGATCTCTTAAATTTCCACCTATCGCGGGTTATCTTCGGTACTTGGTGGCATATTAGAATCTACTGTACCCCGCGTTGGGGATGTGGGGAAGCGACTAACGTAAATAGGTCCGCCCAAGTGCCTCAATGTAAATTACACCAGTATTAGTATATTGGGAAAAGCCAGTTGATGATCTAGATGTACTAGTATGCAGTCAACTGTGAATTATGATGGTCCGCCGCTAGGAGTAAGTAGCCCGTTCGTATCATTTTTCTAGGCAGGATTATTTGCTTTCCCTGATGGGACTATCTCGGAAGACGATACTCATTGTAGCAAATTCAAGCTCCTTCTAGTAGAATGCGACAAGTTGAATATGCAGAGTAAATATTGTTTTGGGCTTGAAACTGAAATGGAATTTATTGACCACAAAAAATACTTCTACCTGTACCACGGTTCCAATCAACCATCCACGAGAGCCTTGATATCGGAATCTTCGACTACAGATATTTAGGGGATTGGGCATGGACTATCTAAGATCAAAAGGTAGGCCAAGCTAGAGATCTTGTTATACTAGAACTAGTACTAGTACTAGTTAGTGCAAGGTAAATGCCGAGATCTGAAACAAATGCCAAGCATATGCCGCTATGGAGAGCGATCTCGCTGATATAGCGGTGCGAAACCTCAGAGAGAAGAGAGTGAGTTTAATGACTAGTACTACTAGTACTAAACCTGATAACTTCAAGTTATGATGCTACTCAGAACTGCAATATTGTATCCTACTAGTATAATGCCCAGATCACCAAGGAAGCAATGCCTAGCAACACAGCCCGGTTATTAATAGCCCTGGTGACGCATGCTCCCAACGTGTCAAGTGGAGCGCCGATCATGTTTACTTGATACAAATACATAGGACATTCTCCAGTGATCTGGACTCTCTCTCATTCCCCCTACCTCAATCATCTTAATCACCACAACCACTGCCATGCGCTCCAAGATGCGCTCCCCCAAAATCACATCCGTGAAACCATCCATATACCCAGCATTAACCTTCAACATCATCCGCGCCGCCGCCCTCCTTGCCTCTATCGTCGTCGGCCTCATCCTCGCCGTGTTTATTTACCATCTCCACGCCGACGGCTATAAACTGCCCTTTGCCTTTTTGATCGTAGGGCCCCTTACCCCCTCCCCCGGATAATCAATCCCCAGATCACCACCACAGACAATGAAAGCTAACCACTCCACACCACCAACAGCTCCTCATCACCGCCGTCTTCTCCCTCCTCAATGTCCTCTTCACAACAGTCATCAACTGCAGCTGCGGCCTCTCACCCAAACTCTCCATAATCCTCAACATCATCCTTCTCCTCCTCTGGCTCCTCTCCCTCGCCCTACTCAGCTACAGCATGTCCGGCACAATCCTGACAAAATGCACAACAGCCGACTGGGCCAATTCAACCGGCATATCCGTCTGCCGCTCCTACAAAGCCCTCTTCTCCTTCACCGTCATCGGCACAGCCGCCTACATCGCCTCCATCACCCTGGACGTCATCGTCCGCCGCCGCGTCAACAGATTAGGCGTCTACAACCCAATGGAAAGCGCCGCAATGCTGGGCGAAGATCCCGCCGACGTAAAGCTGGCTAATCGTCGCAGCGATCCGTTCGCGTATGATCCTGACCCAACACCTCCCGTCATGGCCGGTGGAAATCACTACGGTGATGTCCCCGCCTATTCGCATGCTTATTCGCATTCTTATTCCAATTCGCTCGATAATGCGCATGCCCAGGAGTCCTCGGGCTTTTTGGATAATGCTCACGCTGGCACGGCTCCAAGGGTGAGGTTTGGTTCGGATCAGGGTTATCCCCCCTCCCAGACACAATATGATCCGGCTGGCTACCGGTGATCCTCATGAACTAGCGATGACTTGTTTTATTATTGGTTGATATCGATGTTCAGCAAGCGCGTCATTTTCCTTTTTTGCACTATTTCTTTTCCCTCTTTCTTTGGCCTTTTATGATCATCTATCTCACGAGAGACTGGGCCATGATGGGTTTCATGACTTTACTTTTTGGGGGTTTTCTTGCTTATTTCCTCTTCGACCGCTTGGCTAAAAGATTGACTGTGATTGCATGGATATGGCGGCGTTTTGAGGCCTTAGGAAAACAGTTCACGTGACGATGTGTACGAGCATTTGAGATCTTCATTTAACTTAGGTGGGTAGATAGATCAATTATTTCTAGAATCACTCGCCAGGCCAGGCACATTCCGTGTATCCCAATGCAAAGATCAGACTCATTTTATCAGTTCATATCTAGCATGGACTAAGCACCACATCCGACGAGAGATTTTATGTAGGAGAAAACAAATGGCCATCCAGAGATGAGGGAAAAAGTGAAGAGAGAGAGGGAGAGAGAGAAAAGCAAAAAACAGCATTATGTTGCGCTTGATATTGACAAGATGGGAGTGGTATTTTTCGGACGCAGAAACCAAATTCCAAATTCGTAGGCATTGCAGGCGTTTACATGATAACCTCGTTGGCGACGTCCTAAGATTTCGGTTAGTAAAGACAAAAAGGAAGGGGAGGAGAAATACACATACCCGCTTGAGCTCCTTGTAAGGAAGGCAGACACAGTTCTGTATGCGGACTTCGTCACCGACAGCACACTCCTTACCGAGGATAGTGATGCTCTGGACCTTGACGCCCTGCTTCACAATACTGGTGGAGTGGCTGCCAATAGGGATGGGAGTTCCCTCCACGCGAGCCCAGGCCCCGACCCGGCCATTCCAGCCAATGATCGAGTGCATCACGCAGGCATCGTGACGGATCTCCACATCTTCGAGGACAATTGAGTCCTTCACACGGGCACCGGCTCCAATGACAGCACGAGGTCCAATTGACACGTTAGGTCCCAGCTTTGCGGTGGGGTCGACGGTCGCGGTAGGGTGAATGAAAACAGGGGGCACAATGGTGGCAGATGGCGGGGTGAGCTCCTCGGATTGTGCCTGGAAGGCCTTCTGTAGGTAGAGAGCGTTAGCGGGGACGGCGGAGCCGGCGCTCTTAATCTGGCGCCAGAAGTCCTTGGTCTCGTGGACGAAGAAGCGGTTGCTGTCTGCGAGGTCGGAGAGGATGTCTTGCTCAAGGCGAAGGACCTCGCTCTTCTCGGTGTCATCATCGTCTCCAGCGGCGGCGATGAAGGACGATTCGAGGTTGTCGGACGAGGGGTAGGAGAGGAGTCGCGGGCGGGTGGTGCGACGCTTGATGGCGCTGCGGATCGCGGGGAAAATGCACTCGGTGGCAAAGAGGTAGACACCGCAGTTGATCAGATTGGAGATGTGCGACTCGGGCTTCTCGACGTAGTGAAGAACTCGCTTGGTGTGCGAATCCGAGACGATGCAACCAAAGTTGCTGGCCGCATCGTTGCTAACCCGGGTACCCAGGATGACCGCCTCGGCATCCTTCTCTTCGAACAGAGTCAACATTTCGGTGAGAGGGAATGAGCAGCAGACATCGGCGTTCAAGACGAGCAGACGCTCGGGCTTGCCCTTCAGGATTGCATCGCGGAAGTGGTACAGTCCACCAGCGGTGCCCAGTGCGGTGTACTCTCGCAAGTACTGCATGCGGAACTGGGGGAACTCCTTGGACGAGTCCTTCAGGAAGTCGCGGAAGACCGACTCATCGTAGTATCCAACCAAAATAACCTCGCGAACATCGGGAACCTTCGCGATCGCCTTCAAGCAGTGGTGGATGATAGGGTGACCGGCGACTTCGAACAGGGGCTAGGATCGGGGTATTTCGGTCAGATTTCCTCCGATACAGCGCGGCATGTGAATTGGGGTTGAGATCTAGTACGCACCTTGGGAACATCGAGTGACAATGGGCGGAATCGAGTGCCTCGCGAGGGGCCGCCGACCTGTTGACTTGTCAGTTGTATCAGGGCGGGGGAGGCATTGCGTCACTTACCAAGATGACAGCCTTGGTGGAGGACTGGCCGGTCTGTTCCCGAATTGGCACTTGGAGCATGGTGGGCGAAAGAAGGGAGTTTGGAAGAGAGTAAAGAGAAGAGAAGAGAAGCAAGCTTGAAGAAGAAAAGCGACGCTGGCCTCAAGCTTGAAGTGGCCGGATTGGGCGTCGATAGGCTGCGCCAAGACTCGCGGTGGGGCGGACCACCTGACTTGGTTGTATACAGAAATAAACAATCCCTCCAGGGCTGCTAGTACTAATTAGCACTAGATCAGTGGCAATTTATGAGACAAGTTCATAAAGAGACTAGTTTTCTTAATGCTTCCAAGGCTTTGAGTCAGCCGGAGTTCTGCCTTGGTCTTAGGTCTAGCAAATCGTGCAGTTTACTACTCTACTAGCATAGATCTGGATGTTAAGGTACCACCTGGGCGGCACTGTTGGATTTTTTTGGGGACTTGTGCTTTCTTTTCAACATTTTGTCCCTCTCTAACTTCCCCTTTCAAGTTCCACACATTTCGAATATCAGATCTCAGTCAAAATTCAAGAGCATTGCTCAACCGTAGCTGGTTCCCGATGCCAGAATCAACATAGATCATATCCTTAGACATCTCCTACATCTCCTCCCATCCCGGCACCATGATGGGCTCGGGGGAGTCCTCCATAGCCACATCCTCAGAAGTTTCCTCCGCTCGCTCGTACTCTCGAAGCGATTGCTGGGCTTGGGCGAACTTGCGTTGGTCTTTCTCTAGCTGGAGTCGAAGTTTCTCCCTCTCTGGATCTTCAGATAGGAGCAGGATGCAGCGCTCGCGCGCTGTGAAAACAGGATGTTAGTCTATTATTGTACCCAGTATAGCTGCAAGCACTCACAACTGGCGTCGATTTCGCATCGCAAAATTCTCACAAGTTCCTCTTGGCACTTCAAAAACACCTTCATGTAAGCGTTCTGGCAAACGACATCCGCGAAGCGAAGGCTAGCGATAGAGTAATACGCTCGGGAGTTCGGTTGGTAAATTAGTATCATGACAACAAGCAAGGTATGCACAGTACTCACCGCCATCATCTCGATTTCAGGCGAATATTCATCCGGGCCAAGCTCCAACTTCTCCTTCTTCAACTTCTTTTCGTCACTCGGGATATTATCGCCATTCTGTTTGCAATGGTGTCTAAGGCGGAAGTCATTGCGGCGATCAATCAGGACTCTCAGCGACTCTTCCATGTTGCGCTTGTGGAGATCCTCAGCCAGGGTGAATGGCTTCCCGATCTCGGCATTGTATCTATGCATACAATCCGCGGAGTATTCCTTCTTAAGCCGGGTCAGAAACACATCGATGATACGACTGAGCTCTCGAAAAAGCTCGGTTTGGCGGTATGGGCCCACAACAGCTTCCAGGGTCTGCAGAAGCACGCGTTTTGCCATTTTGTGGACCTCACAGACAAATGTTGCAAGAGGCTTATCCCAGTGCCGGACGCTCATCTTGTTGAGGGCATCCACGGCACGGGGATCGGTTTGATTAGGAGCCCCGGCACGCTGGAACTTTCCTCGGAGGTCTCGTAGTCTTGAAAGCGAAAAGCGATCAGCCGCACGATTCCAGACTTCGAACTCCGAAAATGTGTACTCTGGCAAAGGCTTTGAGCCTGGGTTTGCCGTGCTTCTCGGCGGAGAGGATTCGTCCTGTTCGAGAGCTCGACGCTTGGACGGCGTGATGGGAACTTGCACCTCTGGTTCACGCTTGATAATCTCAAACTCATCGGGCTTTGGATGGATTGTCATCGCGGGAATGCTCACAGATAAGGCAGTCTTGAAATCTCGCGTGAGATGGGCAAATTCCTGCTCGGAAAATGGAGTATCACTGCCACTCAGCAAGCACCCGAGCTTCTGGTACAAGATTGTGAGCATTTCAGTGACCATGCGCTGTGCATCCTCACGTGGGGTTTCCGGAAGGTCCTTCAACTTGTCGTCGATACACTTGGCCTTTTCGTTAACCTTTTTGATGATAGATGGCAGGGACTTTTGGATCTGGTCCATCAAGACATTTGACAGGGCATTTTGCAGGTTTTTCACACCGAGACGACTCCGAAAATGATTCATCGGAGCGATGCTCCAAATTTGGTTGGAAAAGAATAGCGTCTCCTCCTGGCGGGCCTGGGCGTGGCTCACGTCGGGGTCGGGGTTGTTTTTAACCACGTAGTATCCGTGCCCCAGTGCAAAGCTCTTCCCTTCCAAAATTTCAATCCACTGATTGAAAGAAGAGAATTCGCGAATGGCAACATGCTCAGGAACGCTACCAGACCCACGATCGAAAAATGCCAGACGATCGGGCTTGGTTAGAACGCCGATGGTGCGCGCTTCAGCGCCCTTGATCTTTTGAATAATGCCACCTGCACTTGAGACTTCGGCATCACCGGTCATCGAACGAGTCAATAGAACAATGCAGTCTTGGTCGGCGGCATGTTTCTTGACAAGATCTTCTATCAATCGTACGAGATAGTTCTCCTGTGAATTCTTCGCCTGGCGAATAACGCCGGGTAGATCATAGAACGAAAGGGTTGGGAGATTGGGACCGGAAATATTCAGTCGGACAATGTTTGGAGAAAACTCCTCCCTGTTCTTCACGAGGCCATGTGACCGGTCATGCATGGCGGCGGCGTTCTTTCCAGGGACAAATGTCTGCGAATCCGAGTCGGGGTTGAGGATTGCCACCTGTGCCCATTTGATAGCCTCAGCAATTTCGGATTTGTCTGTCAAAACACAGAAATGCTCATTATCTGGAGATCCAGATCCCCAGCATACCCAGCGACCAATGACTTCAGTCTTCTTGTAGCTCTGTCGACGGGCATCATTGGGCTCCCAGTGATAGGGCCGTGAGAGAGAGACAATGCAGCTCCATGGTTGTTCGACATCGCTTTGCGCAAGGTTGATCTCAAGCGGGCACCGCGTGCATGTACCTTCACTTCGGGGCACCTTGATTTCCGAGATGGCTTCAATCAACGAGCTCTTTCCAGTACTCTGATCGCCGACGACGCAGATTTTGGGTAAGGCGATGTTGCTATCTTCGATACCCAAGTTTCGAAGGTCTTGGATCTTCTTGATCAGACCTTTCATGTCGAAGGTGAGGGTATCGAGCGTGGCAGATACACTCGGCTGAGACAAGACAGGAGCAGGAACAATGTAGGCTGAGGATGAAGTGCCTATGGTGGAGCTGACTGTACTTCTGTGAGAATGAAAGAAATGACAAGGTCAATAGGCTGACGGGTTGGTTGTTTACCTTCGGATTTGGGCTGAACGACCCGATGGGTACGCGCCATGCTGTCCTGGGTGGGCAGGCCGTCTGGCTCGCCGCAAGTGAGGAGGGTAAGTTTCTAAGGTAGAATACAAGAAAGGCTTGTACAAGGTGCTTGGATGATCTGAGGATCATACGCTGTAATAGGAGTGATGGGTGTAGAGTAGACGACAGAGGGTGGGGGATAGAAAAGGGTGGGTAAATGGAGGGAAGGGTGGGAAAGTAAGATGTGCGGGTGGTGAATGGAGGAAGACGAAGGAGCAAAGGATTCTGGGGGAGGAGGAAAGAGGAGGAAGACGGAAGAAAGGAAGGAGCTTGCTACTCTTCTCAGGAGATGTTGGGGAAGTTGCGAGTGAACTTTCTTGAGAAGTTCAAGTTAGGGTTGGGTTACTTAACTAATAGTTGATCCCTTAGTGTATTAATTAATATAGTAGCATATTTAGACTAAAAGCTATATTTCTAGAGTAACTAATTATAGGCAAGGAATAGCAACATTATTTATAATCTTACAAGATGGCTTGAGGAATTCATTTCGCAGAAATACAGGCTGGCCCTATGAAACGTCTAACATTGAATGCTAGCCAGTCAGCAGCTAGTATAAGGTAAAGCCATAGAGTATATAAATGCCATATATGTATTCAATGTGACAGAACTGATCAAACCAGACCCCTAGACCTTATTCTACTAACTCAATCCTTAATGTAGTCCGTATAGTTCGGACTTGGCGGTTGGCGGGGTACAGCCCCACTTGTATACCCTAAGCCCTAATCTCCAGATTAGGATATGCCATAAATGATACAAATTGATGGAATTGAGCCATTTGAACATAAGTTTCTATGAAAGAAAGTATGTTAATTGATTAAATAACTCCTATGATCTTCATAGCTCTCTATAGCTGCTGTATGACTCATGTATTCCTGTATTTATTCTGTAACAAGTTGAGTCATGTACCTTGTCTTTATCGTTGCGCCCGACCCAATCAGACAAGACCCCCGCCACCGCCGCCCAAAATTTCGCGCGCCCCTCCATCCATTCTCCCATCATCAACTTCCTGATTCCCATCGCAATCACCCATTATGGCGGATACAAACCCTGTCCAGGACGCCGAGGCGTCCATGGCCAAGCTTCTGCTCGACGAGGTCACCGGCGAGAAGGTCTCTAAGACCGAATTGAAGAAGCGCCAGAAGTTGCGCGAGAAGGAGGCCAAGAAGAAGGAGAAGGAAGCTGCTGCTCCTCCTAAGCCCGCCGCTGCCAAGAAGACCTCTGCTGAGGATGATGAGGCCAACTTGACTCCCAACGTGAGTTGAACAATTATATCCCTATTCCCCATTCTCGTCCGAATCCGCCGACTAACCCGTGTGCGCGCCATCTAGCAATACTTCGAGATCCGCAGCAAGAGAATCGATAAGCTGCGCCAGACCAAGACTCCCAACCCCTACCCCCATAAGTTCCAGGTCAACACCGATCTGCGCCAATTCCTCACCGACTATGCCCCTCTCGCCAAGGGCGAACAGAAGCCCGAGGTCAGCATCAGCCTTGCCGGTCGTATCTACACCAAGCGCTCCTCCGGCAACAAGCTTCTCTTCTATGATCTCCGCGCCGAGGGTGTCAAGGTCCAGATCATGTGTCAGGCCCAGTTTGCCACTGGTAACTCCTCATTTGAGGAGCAACACGAGCACATTCGTCGTGGTGATATTGTCGGCATTGTCGGTTTCCCCGGCCGTACCTCCCCCAAGAACCGTGATGATGGTGAACTCTCTATCTTCGCCACCGAGCTCATTCTTCTGTCCCCTTGCTTGCACGCCATTCCCTCCGAGCACTACGGTTTCCAGGACAAGGAGCAGCGTTTCCGTCAACGTTACCTCGACCTTATCATGAACGACCGCTCCCGCGAGATCATCCGTACTCGCTCCAAGATTACCAAGTACATTCGTGACTTCCTTGACGACCGAGAGTATGTGCTATCCTTCTATTTTGCCCAATTGGTTTTCAAGTCCAATGCTAACTTCAGCCTTTCTTCTCTAGCGTATGTTTATCACGCCGAGACTGTTTCCCGTTATGTTACTAACCTAGTCACTTTTGTCCTTCAGTTCGTCGATGTCGAGACCCCCTGCCTTTCCCAAATTGCCGGTGGTGCGACAGCCAAGCCCTTCATTACTCACGTAAGTCAATCTGAACCAAAATCCCCTCATGGGTTAACCATTTACTAAATAATATCTGCCGGCAGCGTATGTGAAATGTCCCTTTGATTTCAGGTTGTACAAGATTCACTTACTAACCTTGCACTTATTAACCCAAAGACAACGACCTCAACCAAGAGCAATACCTGCGAATTGCCCCTGAGCTGTATCTCAAGATGCTCATTGTCGGCGGTCTTGAGCGTGTTTACGAGATTGGCCGTCAATTCCGTAACGAGGGTATCGATCTTACTCACAACCCTGAGTTCACCACCTGTGAATTCTACTGGGCCTACGCCGATATGTTCGATGTCATGGATCTGACCGAGGAGCTTGTCTCTGGTCTGGTCAAGAAGATCACCGGTGGATACGAGACCACATACCACACCCAGTCTGGCGAGACTTACAACGTGAACTGGAAGGCCCCATGGCGCCGCGTGGAGATGATCCCCGCTCTGGAAGAGGCCACCGGCGAGAAGTTCCCCTCCGGTGACCAACTTCACACCCAGGAGACCAACGAGTTCCTCAAGCGTGTTTGCAAGAAGATGAACGTGGAGTGCACCCCGCCCCTGACCAACGCTCGTATGTTGGATACTCTGGTTGGAGAGTTCATCGAGGAGACCTGCATCAACCCTACCTTCATCACCGGTCACCCCGAGATGATGTCCCCGCTTGCCAAGTACTCCCGCGACAAGCCCGGTCTGTGTGAGCGTTTCGAGGCCTTCGTTTGCAAGAAGGAGATTTGCAGTAAGTGCTTCTTCGTTCATCCCCGAGTGGGATTTCTTGTACCAATACTAACCCCGTAAAGATGCTTATACCGAGTTGAACGACCCGTACACCCAAAGAGAACGCTTCGAGGAGCAGGCCCGTCAGAAGGACCAGGGTGACGACGAGGCTCAGCTCATCGACGAGAACTTCTGTACTTCTCTGGAGTACGGTTTGCCCCCTACTGGTGGCTGGGGAATGGGTATTGACCGTCTGGTCATGTTCCTTACCGACAACTACAGCATCAAGGAAGTGCTTACTTTCCCCATGATGAAGGATGACAAGACCGCTGCGGCGGGCAAGTCTGTCCTTGACGCAACTGGCGCCCAGCCCCAGCCTGAGGATGGCAACCGTATGTTATTAGTTTCTTGCAATTTCCACGAGCCGATATCACTAACGCTAAATCTGCAGCCCAATAACTGAACTAGGTATTGACGGAGGGTCATATTGACTAGACCGATATGTGACGATTGTGCACTGTCTTTGGCAGTCTACATAGATGGATCTATATGAGAGATGCATGAAATAAAGAGTGTTCCCACCACAAATCAAAACAGCTTTGAATTTTCCGTTTCAATCATAGCTATCTCAACAAAGTAGTGAGTAATTTCTTCAGAGCATTCTTATGATTGTTATGACTCCTTCATGTGCGATTACTGTGAAGTGTTTGGGGTGTTTGGGGGATCTCGCCGTCGGATGCCGCTTCATGCCGCTCAAGGAGGATGTTTCCCTCCAGGTAGGGAAAGTACCGGTCAACTTGAATGCTAGACGGAGACTTCCAGAGTGATTTGCTATAATTTAAATGAAAGGGCATAGCCATATTCCACCTTCCTTTCCTCCCACCACCCTGCATCCTTGCCCATACCTTCTGTCTCCAGACTTCGATTTACTCCATCATGGATGAAATAGCATACCGTGCACAAAACAGCTTGCCTACACTTCGAGAAATAGATATCCAAAACCTCATCCCTCCCAGTCAAGATGCTTCGCATCTCGTCCCGATGGCCGACCATCCACCTCGACGATCGATGGTTCTGGTTCATCCAGATGTGATGGAGATTGGGTCATCGCCCCCGGGTCCTTGCGATAACGTTCGCTTTCCAACGATGGACTGTTCCAATGGAAGTGTCTTCCAACCCTTTGGAACCCGATCTGATTCCCTCGATCGCTTCATTCCTGTATGTATTTCCTGAATTTATAACAGTTTGATGGCAGCTGATATACAGCATAGTGGCCGATGCCGCCCCCGATCCCACATCTGACGCACTTGGGAGGTTATTTCGAGCATAATATTGATCTAAATGGTCCATCAAGTGCTCAAAGGGCACCCCATTCGGACATGGGAGATACTGAACGTTATTCTCAAAGAGAAATATCCCAGTGCCTGGATCCTCAATCGACCAAGCCAGCCCAGTCTCCAGGTTCATCAGGGCCCGCGTCAGAGACAACCTTCAAAGGGCCGGAGCCAGCTACCCCAAGGTCGAAATTTGGCAATGCCAACGACAGGATCGGAAAGCCTGAGGTCTCAGAATCAAAGCGCCAGAAAATTCCCCAAAACCCACCCAAACCAGCACCCAAACCCCTCCCTCAGATGGTCACGAAGTTCGAGGATATCCCCGCCCACACGGCCAAATGCGACACATGCAACCACCGGAATAATAAAGGCATGATCCGCTGCAGTGGCTGCGGCTGGCAACTATGTCAGGACTGTCGGCAGAAGCGTGGTGGAGATCTCAGCCACCCAACCTTCGACTGCTTGCACACTGAGGCACATCATCTCCGATCGGGAAGTGAATCTCTTGCCGCATCCCCAGCCGCCAGCCGGTATCAGACACCAGTGGCTAAAACGCCCGAGGAACAGGCGGCGGAAATTCTTGCTGGCCGCCGATATCAAACACCGGTGCCTCGATCTCCTGAGGAGGAGGCTGCAGGAATCCTCGTTGACATGAGCTCCTCGCCTCAGGTGGGGGAGCGTAATGCCCTGTCGTTTCCCCCTCCTCCGTCTTCAAAGCAAGGTCGCTCAGGGCCCTCGACGCCCACGCCTTCGGCCCGGAACAATCGACGTGGCACTCAAAGTAGTGCCGAGGATAGTCACGAGACTTTGGCCGCCCCTTCTTCGATTGACCTTGAGGGTACTCTGACGCCTCATGACTGGGTGCGTCGCAACCCTGCCCGAAATGCTCGTCCTTCTCGGGTCAGATTCGATTAGGCGGCACATGAGGTGGGAATGAAACAAGGCGTGAGAAGGTGGGTGAGCCTCTGCTCAGGTGTGCGAGTGATGTTGAATCAGTCCGTTGGTGTGAGTGTGCATGCGCGGAGCAAGCAGCCAATCGGAGACCTATTTTTGAATTATGGACATGAGATGATGAAACACGATGTTAATGTAGAGATACCCAAGCGAGTTCGGCGTTGGAGGCAAAATTGTCGATTTAGTCCATAGACAGAAATATTCTATCCAAGCTTGTTCTTTTTTTTTCCAAACTTGAACGGTAAATTGATTGATGACCTTATGTCTTTTTTTTTGCAAAGAAAAGTATAATCGATCTAGTAACTGATAGAATATAATACATGTGTAGGACCCATGTGATCCACAATATAGAAAAGGAATGGAGATGGTATCAGGAAAGCAGGGTGAGATATCTTTGATATCTGCCCTGAGCAACATATTCGTACATCCAACGGCCGTCTTTTTTACAGTCTCTTAACAGCAGATGCGGTTGTAGAGGAAAGCTGTTGGCTGCGAGCCTTAGAAGCCATTTGCAGCAGTTTGGCAGTGCGAGACGGGTGCCAGACACGGCTACCCAGGATAATAACCCAAGTGAGAAGGAACAAGCTACCAGCCTGATGAGCAGAGGCGAGTGGGGTTGGCACAAGGTAGAGCAAAGTAGAGATACCCAGGCCGACCTGCATGAAAGCGAAGCCGACGACACCGTGAACACCCTTACGGGCGGCGGGGGGCAGGATGCGTTTCATGGTGGGTGAGCGACGACTGTAGGCCCACAAAGCCATGATGGTAGAGAATGTTGTCATGGCGAGAATACGGTGGTCAAGCTGGACCAGGGAAGGGTTCTCAAGCATATTGCGCCACCAGAGGTCAGAGCGATCTTCATGGCGAGAGTAGTGAGCGTCCCATAGCTCAGAGCTAGGCGGTGCGAGCCCGTTGCCCATGTATGGGAACTCGTTGTAGATGAGACCGGCATCTAGGCCTGCAACGAGACCCCCAGACATGACAGTAGTGAAAACCAGTAGGGCAAGACCCGCAACCGAGCGGCGGAAGATCGCCAATCGTGGGTCCCGAAGGGCCTCAAGCTGCTTCAAACCCGAAGCAGCATCGGCCATCAGACGGTTGGAGCGAAGAATAGCCAGTCCATTCCATAGCATAGCAACATAGCAGACAAAAGCAGCACCCAGGTGAGCCGTCAGGCGGTACTGGCTGACACGCGGGTGGCTACCCGGCGCAAACAGATCATCCTTGAGACCAGACTTGACCATCCACCAGCCGAGGAATCCTTGGAAGCCAATGAGACCGGCAATTCCAACCAGACGCCAGGCCATGGGGGTCGAGACCTTTTTCCGAGCAACAAAGTAGACCGCGGGGATAACGAAGGACATGCCGACGAACCTACCCCAGAGACGGTGGATCCATTCCATGTAGTAAATCGACTTGAAGTCGTCCAGGTTCATGTGCGAGTTCAATTGCTTAAATTCAGGAGATGCTCGGTACTTGGCGAACTCCGCTTCCCAGTCTTCGGTGTTCATGGGTGGCATGGAGCCGGTGACAGGTCGCCATTCCGTGATACTCAATCTGCGAGAGATAACTCCGTCAGCATCCGAAGGTCCAGCTATTTATTTCTTTGTGATTGGGGGGATTATGTCCATACCCTGATTCCGTCAAACGTGTCAATCCACCAAAAACGACAATTCCAAAAACACTCGCCGCACTAGCAAGGAGGAAGTAGGCAACCGACTTGTCGCTGATCTTGGGATAGCTCGACTTCGCCTTGACAGCGGATTCCTCGACGACACCAGCCACAGCAGGCGCAGCGGTTGACCTTCTCAGACTTGAGGTAAAGAATTGGCGGTTCTTGTCGGAGAACAGGGGCGAACGGATCTTGTTGGGTTGGAGGGATGGCACTGCGCCGAAGCGACGGATGGATTTGGCAGCATAACCCTGGTTGCGCAGGCATTGGCGGCAGGTGAAAAGTTCTTTGGACGATAGTCGAGGCACGAGGCTTCGCCATAATGACGCCGAAGTCCCTAGGGAAGCCATGGCGACGAAGTTGGAGGGAAACTTGCGAAGAGAAAGAAAAGTAAGTTGACATTCGGAAGTCGGAGATCATAAGATGCGCGGCCGAGCGCCAATCAGCGTGCGGCGATTTGCGGAGTACGCATTACGTGAGGCTTGGCCGTTTACTCGTACAGGGCCCTCCATAAAGATACTGCTAGTAGCATATTACTTGGTATTTTACTCAGTTATATACTCAGTATCCTGAATTGTTAGGATCAAGCAATTGGTCCTGATAGAATACCTTCAAGTAGTCTGGGTTAACTTTTGGTGCCTGAGGCAGAAACACACCCCAAGCTCAGCTCAGCTCAGCTTGCAGCTCTCGCGCTTTGTTGATCTGCATCCTCCATACCTCCTCCCTTCCGAAACATCGCAATGTCGTACGCCGTCGAGTCAAAGAAACGAAAGTTCCACCGTGTTTTGGAATCCATCTCCAAGCCCGCGACTCCAGAAAATGCCCCGAAACCATCAACCACGACAACAACCACACCCGCGACGGCAAAAGACCGTCTACCCACCAATCTCTCCTCCATCAAGAAGGTCCGACTGAACAACAGCGAAGAAACAGACCTGGCCTCAGTGCGCAATTCCCTGTCCAATATATCCCGCTCGACAAATCATACATCGTCTATATCCTCAAGCAAACGCCCGACCTTCGCCCCTTGGGATCGTGACATCTTCCTCGAGCGGCTCGAGACCTTTCGTCGCGTGGACAGATGGACCAGCAAACCTACCCCGATCAATGAAGTACAATGGGCAAAGCACGGCTGGGTATGCAAGGATACATCACGAGTGGGCTGTGTCAGCGGCTGTGGTGGCTCGGTGGTAGTGAAATTGCCGGACGAAATCGACGAGCTTGATGGATACGATGCGGACAAGGTTCAGGAACGCAAGGAAGTTCGTAAGTGCATGGGCTTTCTCTTCCAATTTTGGACTATAGGAAACATTGGCTAATGTCACTTACCCGACTGATAGGCGAGAGACTTGTTGAGGAATACGTAAAATTATTGAAGGACGGCCATAAGGAAAACTGCCTTTGGCGGAATAGGTCCTGCGACGGTATATTCATCTATCTTTCAGCATTCTCGAATCAGCTTTTTTTTCTCTGACTCTTCACAGACACCATTCAACACTTGCCGTTAAATAATACCGATACGGCTATATCTGGTCTCCATGCTCGATATTTGAACCTGGTGAATATGAAAGATAAATTACCGGCCGATGACAATATCCAAACGCCGGATGGCTGTGATCTCGATGTAATAATCAAACTACTCCCAGAAGACTGGTTCAATAGCCCAGCCTCTTTGCAGGGGACCTTGAACGGACAAAACAGTGCAGACGGTGACGCTCAAGTCAACAACAATGATAATCAGGGATCAGTTCCAGCCCCATCAATCGACAGACTACAATTGATCAACAAAGGAGCCCTAGCGCTGTCCTTATTTGGCTGGGACTCTGTGGGTGACGGGGCTGCTGGTTTAGTCTCATGCAAGGCTTGCTTCCGCCGTCTGGGCCTCTGGATGTACAAACCCAAGGACAACGGAGATATCACTGTCTATAGCGCTTTGGACGTGTCACAAGAACATATGGAATACTGCCCATGGGTTGATCGGATTGCCCAGAGCGGCACTGGCAAGACAAATTTGCGAACGGACAACCTGCGCAGTGGCTGGGAAGTGGTCGCTGAAGCTGTCAAGGTCAAGAATCGCCGGCACCTCCGCTCTGCACCATCCATGGATACACTTCGCAGCGAGACTAACACGCTGGCGCAAGATGATCTTCACGATGGCGGTAATGAAGAAACCAAGAAGAAGGCAGATCGTGAATGGTGGGCCAGGCTCCGACGGATCCGACAATCATTGACGACCAAGTCACCGCGCAAGACAGCCCCTAAGTAATGTCTTTTTTATGAACTTTCCTCTCGGATTTCTGTGGGGGGGGTTCGCCTCACATGTGCACGGCGTTGGAGGATGACGAGCATATAGCTCTGGGCATGCCATACATTTACTCTCTTCGCCATACTATAACGACAACCGACAGCTATCGCTGTATTTTTCCTGGATGAGACCCTTCCTTTTTTTTCTCTTCGTAGTTTAATCATCCGGCTTGCTGTCGCACAACACACATCCTTCAGAAACCAGCTGTTAAGCCGAGTCCTAGAGCAAGTTGTCACCATTCTTTATACATTTCATACCTCACATCCCAGCCTTCGCAACAGTATTCGGCGTGGCACCACTAGCCCTGGACCTTACCGATGAGCTTGTTTGATAATCTTGACATGAGCCAGGTCTCTCCCGATTTTACTTCATGGCATACCTACCCTAGGTATACAGTTTTATCTATCTGCCGCCCATTTCGGCTCTCCACACGTCCTCGGCTGAGAACCTACCCTCCTCAACTATCGGCTATAACCACGTCCTTCTCATTTATCTGCCATTTCCAGTGAATACTTCTCGTGGTCATGGTAAGCTTTAACCTCCTAGGTATGCTTGATCTACTCCTCCCACTTTCCTACTATATCTGTTTGGGGCAGCCTACCTTCTTCCCCACCCTTTCATCTGCCTTCTTCTCCGACTTTCATATCATCCTACTGCATCTATTCGACCCGGCCCCTGTCTACTCTACATCCATCTTGACACAACCTACCTTCTTCCATTTAAAACTTTTCTTTTCAATGATTTTGTTCAGCTACACATCTCACCTATCTACCCTTTTGAGAAGAAAAATCTTTCTTACCTTACCACCAACTCTACATCAAGTAATGTCAACCTGGGTATCTTGACTTCTTGCATTACCTCTCACTTTTCTTCTCACTTTTCTTCTCTCTCTTTCTCTTTCTCTTTCTCTCTCTCTCTCTCTCTCTCTCTCTCTCTCTTATCACATTATCACACCTCATCATACCTTTCATTCAATCTCTTCTTTCTTACATATTCGTCTTACCCCCCACCCCCCACCATCTCTGTCAATTCCGGATACTCCTCGATCTAGGTACAGTCACATGCAGGCTATATCATCCCACTGCATTCGTTCCCGTCTTCTGTTGTTATTAAGTTGGCGATTTCAGCTCCTCTCCCTCTTTACCTCTTCGGCAGCTAACAATTCTATGACCCGAATTTAGTATCTCACATTCGAATCAGCCATCCTATCACTCCCACCTACAACCTGCATCTGCAATGGACAAATTAGTCCTTCCACGAACCTCTGCTACTAGCGACCTTAGCTCAGCCTGCACAGTGGATGCAACCGCCATAATGGATGCAAACTTGAATGCTTCCCTCCAAGCTACGCCTGAACTGCCAGACCGGGCTGAATTCACCGCAAAAACACCTACTCCAGTCAACACCATTGCTAATCCTCCAGAATCTACAATGGATTTGCCCATCGATACACCTGGGCTGCCAGACCGGCTTGAGCTCACCGAAAAAACACCTGCTTCAGTCAATATCACTGCCAATTCTCCAGCCACTACGATGAATTTGCCTGTCGATGCAACCGCAACAGCCTCTTCTAAGGAAATTTTACACCAAGCTACACCTGAACTGCAAGACCAGGTTGAATTCACCGAAAAGACACCTACTGCGGTCAACGCCACGGCCAATCCATCAACTCCCAACAAAGCTAAAAGAACCACAAAAAAAGACTTCTCTAACGACAAAGCCAACCTTCCGGACACCGAAGCAGAACTCGACGATGACCAGATTTCATCCCTCTTCTACCAGCCACCTGATGTGCGCAAGCGTTATCCAGTCTACTTCAGCAAATCCACCGGTAAAATCCATGCAGCGATGAAACGACTGCTTTTCCAGAGAGGGAAGGATAACAAATTACGTCACCCGGAATACGTATTACGATCAAATGAAACGAGTTGGGAAAAGAAGCTGCTTAGCTACGAAAACCCCGGACAATATAAGTCGAAAGGAGAACCTATCCGCCTTCCAGATGAAGAAGCCTCTCGCAAGCGCAAGAGACCTACATTTGAACCTGTGGAACCATCATCCTCTCGCCCTACTAAGATTAATCTGACAACTGACCACCAAGGCTCCCCTCTGATCGTGCCTGGCAATGCAGAAGCGAACACCCAACAGCTGTACCCAACAGCCAATGCCATCATCGATTCGGCTATCACAGCTGGTGCTGGATGCCCTATGCAGCCACCACTGCTAAACCCCTACGTTCAAAGCACTCCCATCAATCGGCTAGTAGCCCCCTATGGCTCCGATTTCATGCACTTCCTGACTAAGCTTGAGGCTGGTGACTTGGAACATCTGACTGCAGATGATATCACGCTTCTCACCGAGTGGATCCTTAAGGAATGCAGCAAGATACAGCAGCATGTTGCACGTGCGATTTCCATCAACGCGGGTATCGAGTACAGGTACATATTGCTTGATATTTATGATAATATTATCCGAGTATCTCGATGCTGTGTCAACTTCGAAGCGGAACGACAAAATAACCTCATGACGGACCGTGGCGAAGAAAGCTGATTCTGATTGAGCTTGCGTTCTCTTTTTTGTTGTTTGCTCTTTCAATACTTTTCTGATACACCCTTCTCTGGCCAGTATAGTCTGAAATTTCTATCGTTTCGTATCTACTATTTTTATAGTTCGCTTAACTTCTAGCACACCAGAATGGAAACTGCTTTTGATAGCACTCGTTCTCCCTCTCTACTAGTGCCAGTGCTGCGTAATCCAACACTTTGTGTGCCACTCGGTTTCCGGTTAGGCATTCAGGTAGCTACTCAGGCATCTAGTCAAGTTCTATAAGATACTCTGATGTAGTAGCTACTCCAATTTGAAGCACTCTACCACAACCAACTGGCAAGCGAGCAGCTCTCGATGTGATTCGCCCACCGGCAGCTGCTGACCCACCGGGAGCTCCCTTCTTCCTCCGCGCCGCAGATTACTTTCCTTTCACCACCCAAATTCAATACCTTGGAACCTATCCAGCGTTCTAAATCTCATTTTCTTGAATTTGTTTTTCCAACCGGCTTTCAGCCGAGCCCTACTCACCTTTCTTTCAATTCCGACACCCTCCCACCCCAACCCAATGCCATCGAATACCTCACCACTCACCAAGCACAACTGACAAAACTCTCGACACAATGACATCCCCAGACCACAGGCCATCTGCGCCGACCTCCTATGATGATCCTGAAAGAAACGGTACCCAAGCCTCCCCAGGTCCCACATCGCGGCAAAATGGAAGACCAGACGAAACCAGGACGAACGAAGACACAGATCAATCGAATCCAAAGCGCAAACGAGTCCAAGAAAGACACCAAGCGCGCAAGCGTGGACCAACCCAGCCATCCATGTTCTCACGACGCGGTCGCTCCCGCAGCCCAAGCAACAGAACACCAGACGACAACTCATCCCGACGCTCTCGATCCCCTCTCCGCCCTCGCTCGCCGACCCCCGAAGCGCCAAAGCGCAAGCGGCCCGGTGGTGGATCGCGCATGGGCATAGTGAACCCGGAGGAGATGCGTCGGAGACAAGAGCAGCATGATCGCATCCTCGAAGAAGATGCGATGCGATCATCGCGAGACCGTGGTGTCTCGGACGTCGTGAGACAGCACTACAACGCTGTCCCGGAGCGAGGCCGTGAGTGGCGGAAAACAGAGAGCAAGATCAAAGGCCTGCGCAGTTTCAATAACTGGGTGAAGAGTACGCTGATTCAGAAGTTTTCGCCTGATGAGGAATTCGCTGCGCGCTTCAATGATACCAAGGATTGGGCGGATGATGGTCAACGTCCGCCCCCCGTTGATGATAAGCGGCTGTTGGTCCTGGATCTGGGCTGTGGCAAGGGTGGTGATCTTGGGAAGTGGCAGCTTGCGCCGCAGCGGGTGGATCTCTACGTTGGTCTTGACCCGGCCAATATCTCTATTGAGCAGGCGCGGGATCGGTACGGTCAAATGCGTAGTGGTCGTGGGCAGCGTGGTCGCGGTCGTCCGCCTCCTCCGCTATTCCATGCCGAGTTCTATCCTAAGGACTGCTTTGGCGAGTGGTTAGGTGATGTTGGCATTGTGCAGGAGGTGGGGATTGATCCCAATGCCGGTCCTGGTGGCTCGCTGATGGCTTCGCGGTGGAGTGGTGGTGGCGGATTTGATGTTGTGACTTCGATGTTTGCGATTCACTATGCATTTGAGAGCGAGGAGAAGACTCGACAGATGCTCAGCAATGTTGCCGGGTGCTTGAAAAAGGGTGGTCGTTTCATCGGCGTGTGTCCGAACTCCGATGTCATCACCAGCCGCGTGAGCACCTTCCATAAAAACCGCCAGGAAAAGGAATCTGCCAAACCTGCGGCGGCCGAGGAAGCTCCAGAGGATGGTGAAGTCCAGGAGGATGAGCGTTGTGAATGGGGCAACGATATCTATCGAGTACGATTCCCCGGGGCGACTCCGGAGGACGGTGTTTTCCGCCCGCCGTTTGGATGGCGGTATACCTACTTCATGCGAGAGGCTGTTGAAGAGGTCCCTGAATATGTTGTTCCTTGGGAAGCATTCCGAGCGTGAGTACTTCTATCCCAAGGATGTACCGTCCATCGCTAATGACTGATGTTTTTTAGGTTGACCGAGGACTACAATCTCGAACTCCAATATCGCAAGCCTTTCCTGGATATCTGGGAAGACGAGAAGAATGATCGCGAGTTGGGCCCACTGAGTGAGCGCATGGGTGTGCGCAACCGGGCCACGGGCGATCTGAACATGACCGATGAGGAGAAGGATGCAGTTAGTAAGTTTTACCTATCCTTTCTAGTTTTGGGGGAACTCTGGAGATCAATGGCTAATCTTTTAGGCTTTTACCACGCATTCTGTTTCTACAAGGTCTGATCGCGTTATTAAATACTCAAAATATGCATAGAAAAGGGAGTAGCCCAACAAATACTATCTTCCAATGATTACTAGGAAAGATGGAAACGTATAGAAAATGACTAGCTAAAGAATCCAAATATTCCAATGGATTAAAACTTTCAACTTGAGGTCCACAGGGCTGGCAATTAACCTTCAACTTCAAGTTGGAAGTCTTCAAGTTGGTGGAGGTACTCCCGAGGTCCTACTACTAGTAGTAGTAACTAGTAGGTGGTCGTTCCACAGGTGGAGATATATTCAAGTTCCTTCAAGTTGACGCCACCCCGGTTTCAAACTTCCAAGGTTGCTCCGACTCCCCGGTCAGGCTGATTCGAGACTTCGTTGAAACATTGACTTACCTAGGAACACGAGATCTGACAGACACTATGTTTAAGTCCTAGAATAATCGATAATATCCGATTTTTCCCTGTATCAATAGTACCCTGCTATGGGAAATAAAGATTGATAGTTGATAAGCTTATCGGGGCATGCACTGTAACCCGAATGGGACTAGCGCGGTTACGACGCGTGGGATTGCACGCATTCAAGTTGCTTTGTCCGTACACTTTGCCATCCTGAATACGACCACGACCTTCAAGTTGAAGACACATCACCTCGGAAAAATATCATACAAACCCTCTCATACAACTACAACCTATGCTGTCAACACCAGCGCGACAGCGCTCAACGGCACAGTCCCGCCCGCCACCCAGCGCGCGCGGATCGCGCACCCCACGAACAAGCACCATTCCCGACTTGCCCCCATACGAGGCCCCAGAGGCACCCCTCACAGCCGAGTGCCAACGACAACTCAATTCACTGCTACAATCTAAACAACTGCATGATGTGAAGACTCATATTCAAAATGCCGCCGACAGACTCACCGATTCTGTAGGCGAGGTCAACGAACGACTTTGCGATGCCCGTAACCGATACGAGACCAATAAAGAGCGAAAACGAAGTGCCAACGAGGAAATCGAAAGTGACGATGAAGATGAGGAACTTCAGCTTCTAGCTGAGAAAGAAAGACAAGTTGACGATGTCACTGGGCGGATGGAGGTCCAGATGCGACAGATCATTGACTCCGAAAACCGCCTTTCCGAATTGACGGAATCCGTGCGATCCATTGAGAGGGAGGAGGCGGAGGCTCAGACTGCTGCACTTGGGGTGCGCCAGACGCGAGGCCAGCGACGGATGCGACGACAACAACGGGATGGTGACGAGGAGGGCGAGGATGATTTAGAAGACGAGGACTACGAAGGGACGCCTGAGCGCGAGATCCGGGAACGCAATGCGCAGAACCCGCCTAGCCGAAGACTGGAGGATAAACTGGTGAATGGAGCACAGGAATGGGACGGCCTGTCGCTAACCGAGCGGTCAGTTTTACCTCAGTCTCAATCTCAATCTCAAGAGAAGGGCAAGCGTCGGTCCTGGCAATGATTCCTTACAAAAAAGACTAACTGGTGATCCCCCTTTTTTTCTCCCGTGCAGGTACGCCAGAAACAACAATTATATCGGATTCTACCGTATGGTACATGATTCCAAGTTCCCCGGCGACGAGGTACCGCCAATGCCGTCTTCTTCGACCTGGTTTTCGCATCTGGAAGATACAAATGGCGAGAATGGACCCTCAGATGGCAATTTGTCGCGTCAGAATATGCGCACACGAAATCGCCGTGAACCATCCCCTGCCGACTCGGACGAAATTGCAATTCAGCGCGAGCGCATATCTCTGAAATGCCCACTTACCCTGCTGCCGTTCCAAGACCCAGTGACGAGCACAAAATGCCCGCACAGTTTCGAGCGTGAAGCTATTACTGATATGATTGCGCGCAGTACACGATACGCACCGGATGCCAGTCGACCGGGCCGTCGTCTCCGCGCGGTGAAGTGTCCTGTGTGCTCGATTCTCCTCACTAACGAGGATCTTCGGACCGACCCGGTGTTGCTACGCAAGGTCCGACGAGCGGAAGAGTTGGAGAAGCGCGAGGCAGATGATGATGATGAGATGGGAGAGTCTGGACGAGAAGGTGGTGCTAATGAGGTGACATTGGGAAGTGATGCCGAGTCGTCGGACGAGGATGGCGATGCGATGGAGGTGGATGGGGATTCTGAGTCAGACCGGACTCGGATCAAATCTGAGCCCGCCGCGCGCATTAAGCGGGAGGGTACAATGATTCCACATGCGAGCCAGCAGGTTGAGGCGATTTCAAGCGATGATTCTGAGTGAGAGAGTGAGGTTAATGATACAATAGTATTGATGTATCCTGGGCATGAGACTGGATATCACACTAAATATCACCCTCACCCCGGATGGGTCTACCCGAGGTGGTGGGCCGAGATAACGCGGGGAGATAAGCATGGCAGATGGGCAGATGGCAGATGTATCAGTATTCTCCGCCATCCACTGTAAAGGGTCTCCTCGATGTTCCACTAGGCTTTCCTGGGCCAAGCCTCTGTTCCAATGAATCCCTCATCCCTCCACCCCCACCCGCCTCGTTTCCATTCGTCCCATGAACGCCCCTTTTGCTTCACTAACACCAGGGTGCAACCTGGTCGTCCCGATCCAATACCACGGCACCCTCGCTAGCATCACGCGACGGTACTTGAGTAGCAGTAGAGTAGAGTTCTGCCACTGCCACTGCCATATGCCATATGCCATCTGGTGGTCTAGTCCACAGAATTTGGATGTACCAGTTTCCTAAGGTTCCCTCTCTCTAAACGAGGTCTAGAGTGCAACACTGCTATCAAAGCGGGCCTCCCTATAGGGTCCTTTCCCCCATCCAATCAGGCGACCCCCGCGGTAGAGCTGTGAAAAAAAAAAACAAAAAAAGTCGGGGATAAGCTGATGTTACCTTGCCTCGTGGTGGTATTCCTAAGCTCATCCCATACGAGTATACAGGAGTAGCTAGAGTAGCTGTTGGTCGTTGGTCTTGGTCGTTCTTGTCTTTTTAAACATCGAATCCTTTTTATTGTTCCTTCCTTCCTTCCTTTCTCTACCCTCCTCTGCTCTTTCCTTCCCCACACCTTCGGACCTTCCCCCAGATCTACCAACAACTCACAACTCACCTCACCTCCACACCTTCTTCTCTCTTCTCTCCACACTCTCTCCCCACCTCCCGCTTCTCCCTGCTTCCTGTTTTCAAGTTTCTACAGTCTACTGATAGCTTCTTGCTATCCTCATTTGTCGCGATGGCCGAGTCCGATTTGAAGTCGGCTCACATCGACACTGAAATCGCTTATCAGGGCTCTGCTGAGGATGAGGCCCCCCCGCCCCACCGGTTGGATGTACAAGCCCGTTGGCTTCGGCAAGTTCAAGGTCGGCTGGTATGCCTCGCCCAAGTTTCAGCTGGGCATGGTCGCCTTCGTCTGCTTTTTGTGTCCAGGAATGTTCAACGCGCTTAGTGGGCTCGGTGGCGGTGGAAAAGCAGACGCCAAATTGGCTGATGACATGGTAATTCACCATTCCCATCCTCCAGGGCCATCGCACAATGCGTCAATGCCCGTGGTATACAATGCAGGTCTACTTCGATCCAAGCTAACTCCCACTTTCCCTTCATAGAACACCGCTCTTTACTCCACTTTCGCCGTCGTCGGTTTCTTCGCCGGTACCTTTGTCAATCGAATGGGTGTGCGCCTGGCCCTTTCTTTTGGTGGCGTTGGCTACTGCATCTACTCAATCAGTCTTCTCGTTTCGGAGCACGCCCATGTGCCTGGCTTCAATATCTTCGCCGGTGCTTTGCTGGGTGTTTGCGCCGGTCTCCTCTGGGCCGCTCAGGGTACCATCATGATGTCCTACCCTGGCGAACAGCGCAAGGGTCGGTACTTCGCTTGGTTCTGGGCAATTTTCAATGTCGGCGCCTGTATCGGTAGTTTGATTCCCCTCGGCCAGAACATCGACGTCAAGACCAACAAGACCGTCGGTGACGGCACTTACATCGCCTTTATCGTCCTCATGTTCGTCGGCGCTTGTGTTGCTCTCTTCCTCTGTGATGCCGACAAGATTGTTCGCCCTGATGGATCGCGCGTGATCCTGATGAAGAACCCAAGCTGGTGGACCGAGATTAGAGGTCTATGGGAAACCATTGCCTCGGAGCCCTGGATCGTTTTGCTCTTTCCCATGTTCTGGTCTTCTAACTGGTTCTACATCTACCAGCAGAACGGGATCAATGGTGCTTACTTCGATACTCGTACCAAGTCTCTCAACGGTTTCTTGTACTGGTTTGCGCAGATCGTCGCCGCCGTCATTGTCGGCCCCCTCCTCGATCTTGAGCGCTTCCGCCGTACCACTCGTGCTCGCGCGGCTCTTATCACCCTTTTCATCCTCACCGTCGTTATTTGGGGTTCTGGCTATGCTTGGCAGAAGCGATACACTCGCGAGTCAGTTGGAAAGGAGGCAGTTGCTGCGGGTCTCTTCACTGCCTGGGACTGGGAGACTCCCGGCTACGTTGGACCGATGTTCCTGTACTTCTTCTATGGAATGTACGATGCGATCTGGCAAGGCATTGTCTACTGGTATGTTACTATCTTACCCGTTATACCCCCCCCCCCCCCACCTCATCCCAGATATCTCTATGCCGAATTGGAACAGTAGCTAACACCAGATTGCCTAATAGGTTGATGGGTGCTCTTGGCAACTCTGGCCGCAAGCTCGCCAATCTGGCCGGTTTCTACAAAGGTCTGCAGTCGGCTGGCTCTGCTGTTATGTGGTCGCTTGACAAAAACGAGCTGTCCTTCATGGGCGAGTACGCCTCAAACTTCGGTCTTCTCTGCGGCTCCATCCTTATCGCTGCGCCTGTCGTCTTTTTCAAGGTCCGCGACACCATCTCAGTCGAGGAGGAAATCGAGGGTACCGACGAGACTCTGGAAGACGTCCTGCCCCCCGGTGCCGTTGACCAAAAGCGCCTGGGCGGAGACAACATCTGAAAAGAACCTCCAGGAGCAAGGCCGCTCGGCGCACAGTGAGAGGCGCACAGTGAGAATCTCAGAATTTACACGGAACGTTTCGCAATGGGAGGCTGGGCTTCGTTGAGGAGGGGTAATTTATGAGTGTTTGATGAAAATCAGGTTCAGGATTTTGAAGGTGGCTTTGCATTGTGATTCCCATTTTCTTTTCTTCTCTTCTTCTTACCTTTGCCACCGGTGTTTCGCTCTTGCATCATCGTCCTGTGCTGTTGGGTGGGCCTTCTCATTCTTCCCCTACAAGGGGCATTTTCTTTTCCCTTATCACTTTCTAATCGCGCGATGTGTATCACGCATTATCTTCTAACGCTTCTAACGAATCAATTCACATAATTTGTGCATACTTTCTTCACCCACCCTTACTAGCCTTGAGCTTTCCTGGTTTCTTAGTCATTTCTCTTGAGATTCCTATCCATGGGAGTGCGCGTGGCAAATACTACTAGTATTTCTTTGTTGTCAGTCACCTGGGCAGATCCCCCCCGCCTTCAAATAATCATGGTATTTCCCATTGGTGTTAATTTTTCTCCATTCTGAACTTGAACAGGTGAAACATCACATTGTTACACCATCAAAAATCAGCCCCTGCTCCGCCTCTTGTCTTAGATCTCAATTATAGAGCAGATTACCTGATCACGGGATGGCCGTAACTATAGTCTACGTAGATTAAGTATACTTTACAACTGGCAAAACATGCACAACCTTTCGAGATGATAGAATTGCAATCTAATCAACTACAACTGGAATTAATGAACATGAATCCGTCGGAGGTTAATTCGAATCGAGTCCCATCATCATCATCATCATCATCATCACCACCATCAATCATATCTCGGGTTGAATGCAGGTAATCAAGCCCTCTTCCCTTCGTACGACATCAGGCCTGCCCCGGCATTCATCAGGTCCCCAGCGTTGGAGAAATGAATCATTGGCTGGAAATTGAATTGTAGCATAGCGGGAGGAACATCGCGTGACATGGGACAAGGAGTGGGAGGGGGTATTCGCTTGTCAAAGGAAGAAAGAATAGGGAAAAAGGAAATGGAAAAAAAGGAAAACTAGGAAATCGGAAAGACAAGACGAGGCATAGGATTAGTGAAAAGCGGAAAACAAAAGGAATAATGGAGGGGAGGCAAAAAAATGAAGATGAAGAAGAAGAAGCAGAAGTGTGACAGTGACAGTCCTGTCCATAGTCCTGTTAGCTTCCCGCGGAGAAACCCGGAGCTGCAGCGCGGCGGCTTCCTCCACCGCGACAAGCCGAGCCACATTCTGACAGCTCCTCCGAAGAATGGAAGCATGTCCGGAAAAGCAGAACAAAGAAAATTGCCGAGGAAGTATTTCCCGCTGACTGAGCTGATGGGTATGTTGGGGCCGGGGATAAGCGACCGGTGGATTGAAGATGAAGTCAAAGTTGAGCCACGGGTTGGGTTTCCCAGCCTACCTCAACCGCCCAACAACGAAACTTCCATCTGCCGAGTTCATTGGTGTTCGGAGAGTCCACGGGCAAGATAAGCGGGTTTCATATCATAGTACTGGATTGATTGCTGGTATGGTAGGGTAAGGTGTGCGGGGTGGTCGATGATAAGTCGGAAGGAAAAGAGGGCCGGAATATCTTTCCAGTGTCCCTGCATTGCAGAGCCTAATCAAGCAAGCAAGCGAGCGCGCAGAAAAAGACGTAGAAACATGACGACTGTAAAGCGTAGCAGATAAAGAAACATAGGAGAACAGCCACTAGGATATGGGAAATTTGTGTATCGACTCTATTTGGTGATGAGGTTGAGATAATCGGCCACGAGGAGGGTCACCATTCTAGAAATCTGTTAGCATGCGATCCGATCCCATTCAATGCAAATGCAAGATATGATAAGAGCAAGGCCCCGGAGATCAATCAACCAGTGGGGCCGAAGATAAGCCAAGACAAAAAAAGCAATGGAGGCAGGGCTTCGCGCCCGCCCGAAGTGGAAAAAGGTGGGGGCAACTAACGCATGAGGTGCGATCCGCACATAGTACGTGCCAAAGCCACGATAGAAGCGCAACCATCCTTCCTCAGCGATGACCTTACGTGCGCAATCCATCACACCGCGGTACGGCAGCTTGCCCGTCTTGGGATCCTTCTGCTGCTTCTGCAAACGGGTCTTGATAAAGTCGAAGGGGAGGGAAAGGAAGGAGGCAAAGAAACCGGCGATAGCGGAGGCCGCGAAGGTCTGGGTCTGTGTTGAGAGCGAAGTGTGCTGCTTCAGCTGGGCCTTGGACTCGGCAAAGAAGGTCAGCTGGCCCATGTTGAGGGCCATGGCGCGAATGACGGTAGGTAGAGCCCCGGCCCAGAGGGCCTTGATACCCTCTTGCTTGGGGATGCGGAAGAGAGCGTCAAAGACGGAGCGGTAGTTGGCGCGAGCCTCGGGGGGCTTCAATCCGTCTGATTGCATGCGGATCAGAGCTAGATCGGCCGGGTTACCGATCATGGCGGCGATACCGCCGGCGCTGAGGCCTGCGGCGGCGCGTTCCGCAAAGGTGACCTTTCGGTCTGCGGCGTCAGCGCGCGCATTGAGCTGTTTGATAAAAGTATCGAAGAAGCCGAGACGAGCGGTTGTGTAGACGGCTTGTCGGAGGAGACCGGCGGATAGTCCGGTATACAGGTCGAGGAATTTGCCCGCGGCGATGATATCTTTGGTGATACCTAGTGCGGAGGGGCGCGGTCCTGAGCGAGCACCTTCACCGGCGAGTTGGAGACGGACCTTGACCATGTCAACAGGCTGAATGGCGACGGTGGCGGTCATTCCGGCCAGACCACCGTTGACGAAGGGTAAAGCGAGCTTCATGTAGGGATTCTGCAGAATGTTCCTTGTGGTCTGGGTAGGGTTCTCGATCGCAGACTGCGAGGCCTGTTTGGCGGAGTTGGCCGCCTTGCTGGCGGATTCCTTGACGGAATTGGTTGCCATGGTTGGATTATTTTCTTTGATCTATAGTGGTATTAGTTCCTGTCAGAGGGGGGATTTGTGGGTACATGTATTGGTGCTGCTGTGTGCAGCCGAGCTATAGCCGGCACAAAAGTAGAGGCATGGTAAGGAACAGGAGTTTAGGTTCTTTGACTGACCAGAGCCGGGGAATTACTAGAAAAGAAACCTTCTCTTTAGCCTTCCAGTTTTCTTTGGCGGATTTAGAAGCCACCTCAGTGACCATGGGAGACACTCACCGATGACGTAGAACAGCAACAGCAACAGCAACAAAGCGATCAAGTTGAGGAACAGAAGCAAAGGCCGGAGAGATAGAGAGAAGAGAGCAGAATAGATGAGCAAGGGAGAATGAGGGGAGAAGAAAAGGAATCGGATGCGGGGGAAACTCGTGTGAGAGAGAGTTGAGTTGAGTTTGTACCTGGTACAAGTTGGGGTGGTGACTGGTGACTGGTGACGGGTGACTTGTGTCTATATAGGCACTCGGAGTACTACGAGTACTTCTGCCTTTCTCTCTCCTTCACTCCTCGACTCCTCCACGACCAACTACCACTGGCTACTGCCACTGCCACTGCCGCTACTCTGAATCCTCCTATACTCCACTACTCCATCACCCGATGGCGACTTCCGAGCATCTAGCCGGCCTGGCCCTTCGCCCGACAGCCGCCAGTTCTCCGGTGGTGGAGATGCCAGTACAACATCTGCGAGAATCGCCAGCACGAGGATCCACCTGATGCGTAAGTGGGCCAATGGTGTCGATCATAAACCCGGCTTATCCATCTGCACCCCGTACAGCCAGCTTTCAAGAATGTGAAATGCGGGGGGACGTCCTTGCTACGTACCGAGTACATCGGTGGGGTCACGGGCCTTCCCTTTCTTCTTCTCCCGCTGCTGCTGCTGCGTTGTTTTCTGTCTGTCATGGCACCGAAGGTGACCGAAGGTGACACTGACACTGGCACAGACACTTCTCGATCATCAATATCGACCTCCACTCCTTGCATCTGCACGTTCCCCACGTCATGGACCCAGCCCACGAGCTAAAGTCGGATGTCCCCACTCTCCCTCTGTTTTGGGACGAGAACTGCTCGGACACTCTGTTTGTTAGTCCGAGGGAAACCGTTGAGCTTACTCTCAGCTCCCTTTGTTCCTTATACCATCTCTGTCAATTGAACTTGCTGCAATTGCCCCCCCCCCAACAATTAACATCTCATGTCTAACATGGCGAAATAGTAGTTGCAGCGACAGAACCCCGGCTATCCCTCATTAATATTCATCCGCTCCCGCGACCCGACGTTCTATCCGAGGATATCAAGCTGAAGAAGATAGCCCCAACCAATCGCTGAGCCCCACTGCCGCTGACAATGCGCATCGCCTTTCGCCCATCCCCATCGAGATCCCCATTTCTCCTGGTCTGCTCAACCAATTAAGCCCGCGGGAATAACAATGCCCGCCGGTGGAGATCCCCGGACACGGTTGTTTGAGCTTACAAGGGTACTCTATGCCTGGAATACTCCGATCGAGTCGTCGGCCTCCTCTCCTATCGCCGAGGACCGGCACTTTTTGTCGTTCTATCCTCACTGTGCCACTCTCCCTGGCCTGGATTGGTCGGATTAACGCCCTGGGCCTTGTATAACCGAAGCCGTGGCCGTGTTGCCGACTCAGAGTTCTTCTCTTGCGGAGGACTGTAGTCCGGGATAATAGTAACACTTCCCGGGCTTTGATGGCATATTTGCGTTGAACAAGGCTACGAAGTCAAATGTCGCAATAGATCCCACCCAGCCTCTCTACGAACCGTTGGCATGCAGAGACAAAATCCGTTGGGCAATTGATGCACAAGCCCTCGAGCCTGCCTGGTCTAGATCTACCGTTTACTTACATTCTCCAGTGTATACACAGTCCTGGACCATGAAGTACTGGGTAAACCAGATACTCTTCTCCGAATGAATGCTGTTCTCCGGGATACTAAAGTAACAGATGCAATGCGGCCGTCTCCGATGTCCAGTCTACGGCCACGAGGCACCCCGCTCATGGGCCATGGCGTTATCAGCATCCGGGATTCCTTCCCAAGGGTTATCCATCAACAACAAACATCGCATCCCAACAAAATCTTATTCACAAGCACACCTTTCCTATTGCATGATCCCCACTAACAGAGCCCACTATGAAAAACCAGCTTTCAATTCAATAATTAGCCCCATTGATACTAAACCCTTTTAAATAATAGACTGTAGATAGATTATTATAGGACAATGCAAAAGGGGTCGAAAGGTCCCTGCAGATCCACCGCCCCATCTTCCGCGGAAAGACATTCGGCATCCAGCTCTGGGCCAGAGGCCTCCCGAACAACCCCCGGCATGGAACTCGGGAGCGGAGTGTACTCCGGCGGCAAAGCGGGATGGTAACCTGGCGGAGTGCGGGTATGCGACGGGATCGGTGGAGAATCTCGGCAGTCATGATGGGGCGTGGGGAGGCCAAGACTGAGATCCGATAGTACTATTATCGCATCGGAAAACTCTACTTTCGTTTAGTACTATTATCTGGCTTAATTTTATTTTTAATTTATTGCACATCACATTTTTCAGCTACAACTACAACTACAAAGGAGCGTCAGACGACCACAGAGCTTTCTCGATCAAACCCTGAAGATTCACATAATAGAAAGGAAATCCAGATTAATTCTAAATATGCTAATCAATGCAAAACAATGCAAACAATATTCACAGGTATCATATAGTACATTCTCCAGGCACATAACTCATATCTAGTCCACCGCAAGATCAGTTGGCTGACTTGGATGACTTGGCGTAAGGCCAGCTTTTGATCGAGCTGATCTCCCGGTTGAGCTCACCCAGGAAAGTCTTCTCCGCGGAAGACTTGTCCGAGCTGGCGTACTTGACATTGTCGAAGTCGATAACAGGCAGGTTGACGAAGTAGCTCAGGTTAGGCTTAGTGTCATTGGCCTGGAGGGACTGCAGAAGAGCAGTCGCATTAGGCTGAGCTGAGTAGCCACCGAAGGTCTTTTGGAACCAAGTGGCAGACTGTGCCAGCTCAAGCAAGGTAATTCTGTATTCCTGAATCTTGTCAAGACCCTTAGTGGCAGTCCAGTTGCCAGAGATGTTGCTGATGTTCTGAGCGACGATGAAAAAGTAGCAGGTTTCGTTGTCATCGCAGGTGCGAGCATTGTCACCCAGAATTGAAAGGTCCATATCGGCCGGCTTCTGGTCATTGATCTTGTCGGATGCTTTGGCGACATAGACGTTCTCCAGAGCCCAGGCAACGTTGATAGCAGAGGCGTAAAATCCAGCAACAGAGGCATTCTTCACGAGGCCGGCAGTATTGAGAAGAGCCTCCTTAACGTTGTCGGGTTGACTAAGCTCCTTTTGGAAGCTGGATAAGATATTAACGTTAGCAGAATGTTCGTCAGAAAGAGTAGGATTGATACTAACATCTCAGTAACATTAGACTTGGTAGCAGCGACAACTCCCGATGCAAATGAAAGACCAGCAGAGGAGAAGTCAAATCCGCCGAGCAATGAGGATGAACCAGAGAGGACACTCTTCCATGACTTCAATGCCTTCTTAGCAAGAGCGAAGTAATTGCAACCCTTCTTGCAGCTGAGATCGTGATGAGTGAAGTCTGTCACGAATGATGTGGCCTTGGCCTTCCATTGCTTGACTTGCACGTAGTACTTGTTGTAGATCTTTTTGTACCACTCGCGCGAGTAGTAGACGCCCAATCTGGTATAATACGCAAAGGGCTTTAGGACGTTCTTCTCGCAGCTAGCGGCAGAGGAGATGTCAAAGTAACATTCCATGATACCGAGTGCAGTATCGATGTGGGATTCCTTCTCGGCTTTCTCGGTGACGTTGGTAATTGGCTCGATTACAGTCTCGTTTACGCTAAATACCGTTAGATCTTTCGTCCTGATGAGTAGAAAGATAGCGCACTTACATCATCCTGATCCATTTGTCCAAGTCGACGTTATTCCATGCAGCAGGGATCTCGACGGCACTGGTTTGGGCTGATAAGGATGAGGATGTAGGTGTTGCTGTCTCGGTGGCGACCTCAGCTCGGGGAATATGGGCCTGGGGGGCGGCGATCGCTCCAACGACTATACATATCATGCATCAGTAAACAATGCAAACCGAGAGCCAATAAGATGACACATAACTCAGGGGAGATACTCACCGAATGCGGAGAAGAGGTATGTGTAACGCATGATGGGTGATATTAATTTGGCTCGGAATCTGTTGTATAAAATAACAGACTGATAAAAAGCGAAGTTGATGTGATTGATGATTCCAGTATCCGGGAAATTTCTCACCTCTTATATTGCAATCTTCTCCAGCGACCTACCCCGACAATCCAAGAATACATCCGCTAAAACAACTCAATTACTCGACTGGGTTAGTAACTATAAGCTGTGAGCTAAGATGAGGCTTTGTGGGCCTATTTAGCAGATCATCGCCCTTAATTCCCTAATTAGGTCTGCAGTGCGAGATTTGCATCCCGTCAATTTGGGGGCCGTCGACCTCTGCGCCCCCTGCGAATGCCGAAGATAGTGCCCATCAGCCTCAAATCTTTCCATTACAAGTCTAGGTAGCTCGTCATAGCGAAAGTAAGAGTTTAGCTACCCCACAACATATGGGGGCAGAAAATACAGAACGCACGATTCAACCAATGAGGCTAAAAACAACGTGGCGGTCACCACCGCCCCAGTGGTGATGTTCTAAAAAAAGGTCATAGGGAATACCTTCACCAGAGATCAAGCCGCCTTGGGCTCGCTGTCATTCTTCTTCCTTTTCAAGGTTGGCAAGGTTGATGTTATCTTGGGGCCGACCCCGGGCCCATGCTCGTGGTATGCCTACGACTAGGGCCAGTTAATTTTCCTTCCCTTTCATTTTACTATTAATTCTAGGTCTCAACACGGATGATTTGTATGTCTAGAAGAGAATATCACACCGGGTGATAGAATCCAGGTAATCAAAATGGGAGGTCGATGAAGATGAGTGCATCTAGGAAATGTGTGGGTCGTCCCGGCAATGGCTAAAAGGAAGGGCTGTGGCCCTCAGCCTTGTTGTCACAGCCTCGAAGGAAAATGAGCCCCACCGATTCCACTTTAATCTACTCGTGCTATTAGTTTACTCGTATCTCCTCTAAACGAATAGACGAATAGACTCGGTTTACCGGAGAAATTCTACTAGGTGCGAGCAACTAGCAATAAACAGATCTAAAATTTGCAAGGGTCACCCAATCCAGTCAGTAATTAAAAGAAAAGGTGCGAAACTAAACAAGGCATTTCAGTGACTTCATCATTTTAGTCTAGCGGGGACTCTGGCGGAGTGATAGCTTTGTGAGTGTCAAGGCAGCCGTAGACTGCTCTTGGCTTCAAATCTGCCAGTCGTCGTCCAGCTGTACCAGCAAGTCTTGTTCCATCACCCAATTCTCCCTTTTCGCCCCAAAATAACCTTTTATGATCCCATTCATCCACAAGCTCTAAAACTCGGTCAAAGTTCCCGTATGTCGCGGGGAGTGTACCCCTGGGCCTCCTTTTTGTCATGTATTCGGTGGCAGCCAGCAAGCAAATAAAAAGTGTCATGAGTGCGATCACAGGTAGTAGCGCGACGTTGAATGTCTCATCAGCTGTAAATGCATACCCAAATACCCATTGGACGACTGCCTTGAATGTCATCATCAATATGGTCTGCCACTGAATACTGGAAAGAATTGGCGGATCAATCTCGGAACCAGTGGATTGGAGGCAACGCCACGAAGCCTCATCGCGAGAAATCTTGAACAAAAGCTCCACACAGTGCAGTGCAAAGGTTATGAGGGATTGCAGGATTGTCTGTATCACTATTCCCAGCCAATACGGGGTCGATTCAAGTAGACGACCATAGTCCATCCACATTCCTCCGTAGAACTGCCAATATTGCTGCACATCCCGGGACCATGCAACAACATTATCCATGTCATAGCCATTCACTGCGATATAAACCCCATGACCCAGGGACCAAGCCATGAATATCCCAGTAAAGCACCAGACAAGCCGACGGACCAGTTGTACTTGCGGGGCTATATCAAGCATTGAGCTCTGAAGTTCCCGACTCGAAAGCAGTGGAGCTGTGTGACTTTCGGTATTGAGCTTTTCGTCGCGTGAGAGTACTTTTGCATTTGCCAGAAGACTACTGCTCCATGTCTTTACTCCACGACTACATAGTAAACAGCAGGTAGACACGATGGCTTGGAGCAAGATTCCAACACCCAGAAAAATAACCGCAAAGCAATTGATATCGATGAAGTCGGTGGTTTGCGCCGGGGTGAATTCGAATTTTTTCGCTTTTTCATTCCACGTCCCTATGACAACCACGTTGACGATAATAGTTGATAAGGACCCATGAGTGAGTGCTAGGCCCAGCAGAGAAACGACATTTGCATACCAGCTATTGGGGCCGTGGCGGCGCGAACTAGTGAAAAGTCGAATATTTGAGTTGTATCTCAGTCGTCCTTCACCATGCAATGCCCATTTGAGAGTGGTGTCGTGGATATAATTTGTCGCGTCAAGTATGGTAGTCACTAAAAGGTTCAAGAATAAATTTAAAAGAATGGATAAGCCAGGGTGTAAAGGCAGCATTCGATGACCCGGAAAGTTATTGGCGCCCGGTGGTAAATCCCATTCTGAAAAATTAATCAGGAAAGCTTTTCCTTGAACTTCACTCGGGGCTATACGGTCTTGCGAGGTCATTACAAATGAGCCTCCAATGACACAAATCAAGGATAAAACCCAGCCTGAAGCCAACCCGAGTATACATAAGTTCCGAGTGGTGATTTCAGGGTCGCATTTCGGAGTTAGTTCTTGACAGAGCTCTCGGCAACTGTCAAAGTCTTTTTGAACAGGCGATGGCATCGTGTAGAAGGACAATAAACTCGTGACGTATCGTTTTGTAGGACTCCTGAAGTAAAATATTAATTATCTTCTGCCACATTAAGCATAATATCATCATATTGCTAGTTTCAAGGTATACTCACTAACATGTCTTCATATAAAGCAACTAAAGCCTAATTTTTCAAACAAGGCTATGAATAATCTCAACGGATACATGTTCGCAGATAACTACATTAAATGTTGCAGTTTGCATCCTAACCCTTGAGTGATGCACATACTTTGGCCTTGGCTGTATATCGCGTCACTGAGTTGGAAATATACTCATCCAATGAATACACAACAAGCCCTTGCTGTGAATGCTTACCCACGCGTCCGGCATGCCGATCTACCGGACCACATGATTACGTATAGGGCTCATAGATTGACTGATGTATGACAAGAATGTTAGGCCACCAATTGCTTGCATAACTTATTTCCGTATTATAATTATTCCAGCCATTCTCCATGTCAGAGCGTATAATATTGAGATACCCTCTTCGATAAAAACGATTCGGCAGGCCTGCTAAAATATTTCACATGGGGCGAAGAATGCTGGTCCAGACCTCTCATTCGATTCTCGTGGATAGGGAAGCTTTCTATCCGGACTAGGCCTCTGGTACATTAACCCTTACATTAAGCCCACGCAAGACCTGTCGGGATAAATGGACACATGCGGGAGCTGCCGGAGAGAAGTTTAAATTTGATATGGTTATATTAACTCAAGTAACTTGCCTTAATCAATGTTCCGCTCACTCATTCCAACCAAATTTCTGATCTTCGCTCCTCAACATGCGCTATCTCAATCTTCTTTGCGCCATTTTGCTCGGTTGTACGCCCTCGGCATCCCTCCCATTGGATATAATCCCAAGCAAGACACCGGATCCACCCCCCACTCTTTGCCAACACTCCGATTCGGGTCCTCCTCTTGGTTGCCGCAGAGGTTGAATCTCAATGTTGAGACACGATCTCCTAGACAAGGTGTGTTCAATAAAGCAGTGTATTTTTCATTTTATAGCCCACTGATCTCTCTCAGACTCCTTTCCTTTCCTTTCCTTGTTTCTCCTTCATGTTGGGGTTTCCAGTATTTTGACGAGGATGCGGAAACTCTTAATATCAGCCATCTGACGATACCATCTTGGTATGCGTTCCTAGTCCAAGGAGAGCTATGTAAGCTCGGGCCATGTATTGCTGGCCACTATGTATTAGACTAAGCTGAGAGCTTGTCAAATATTTTGAATTTTAATATCATGATAGTTTTTGAGCTGCCCTTGGCCGAAATTAGGCATATCTGAGAGCATTTATTCGTGATCTATGTTATGAATTCAAACAGCACTCAGATTAACTATCGCCCAACTATGAATGTTTAATTTCCAGCTTGAATAAGCAGTGGGCCCCCGTGTGGCTTTAGAGAAAGCAAATGAGGGGTGTGGCGCTCCATAGCGGAAACCCTCATTTGCTTTCTCTAAAGTCCACCATTACTATATTCCTAACAGGTGTAATTAAATTCGAAAGATATCTTGGGAGTGCCAGAAAATCCAGATGGTACAGCAAAGGACACATTGTACACACGATTATCTTCAACCGAGGCACCGTAGATAACTGGCAACCTTTCCAGGCCCTTGGCGTTGACATTGACACTGAGACAAGGTAGATCTTCCAGACCTCGAACAACCTTCTTCTTTGTCAAAGTCCAGCTTGGTGGGAGCTGCGCCAACACGAAGGTAAAGATACCGGTGCCATCCTGTGTAGTGTTAGGATATGAGACCTCAAGAGTGTTGGGTCCAGCCACGGCATTGATTGTTGACGCGGTCGGATAAAGTGAGAAAAACGACATGTATGGGTGTGGTTTGTGGTCCTTATCACCGGCCCATTGGACGATAGACGGTACGTACTGCTCGCCGCGGTTGATAGTCTCATTGACCTGCTGGGCCCCTACCATGAGAGATGCACTCATCCAGGTAGTGGCGATTCGGATCTCGGAATCGTCGCCTAGGGCATCCGGGATCTTTTTGGTGATCATGCGCTCTCCGTTCCAATTTCCTTTGGCCTTTAGCCACTTATTGTCTTCGTCTGAGATGTGTTCCGCGACCACGTCCATTATGAGAGCCAGTGCTGCTCCCTGTGAGACATCGAATAAAAGATCCGATTCAAGCTGATTAGGTTGAGGCCCAGTGCCGTAACCATATAGTCCCCACCAAAAATAGTCTATCACGGCTGAATTTGTGACCATGTCGCGCGTGTAGGCTCTATCATACTATTTCTAGTTGTTAGTTAGGCATCTGTCATTTCTCGTAAAAACAAAATGGTAAACCTACGGGCCCTGCCATAACTGAAAGGTAAGGATTGTAATGGGTCGCAATATCTGACCAAAGATCCTTCAAAATGACTTTGGAGTTCTTGGTAATCGCAGAACTTGGAGGGCCATATTTAATAGCGCCAGCAAGTGCCCACATATCCATTCCATAGTAAGTGGGTGCGTTGTATTCGGACAGCACATCTGAGCCCGTTGACTTGAAGAGCTTCAATATGGTTTCTGCCTGTTCATCTGCATAGTTGATAAGAGTCTATTTACCCCGATTAGCATATTTCATATTTTCTATGTTTTCTTGAGCAAAATATCGGAAATCTGAGAACGCTCTTACATCATTATCGCGGCGATGGCCGAGCCATGCAATATACCATGCGCGCATGAGGGCTGGATTCGAGTACCCCGGTGTCAAATTGTCTCCTTCCGGGTATGAGCCATTGCGACGCATTGAACCAATAGCTGCAATCTCCAGGCTTTCTTCAATCTGGGTAACGAGTCTTGACCCAATCAACTCCGAGAATTCTTCGACAATCTGCACCAGTTGTGTCCCTATAAACTCTCTCCAATTTGGGTCGTAGGTAGTCTTGAGACCTGTCAGCAAGATAGACTCTAGATTTTCACGAAGAAATCGTTTCAATGGAGGATCGGTTCTTACGTATATCTCTGGAGGGTATAAATCGGAATCGGGAGTTGGGTACGGTTCATCGGGTGAAACTTTGAAGGTACCATACCAAGCTGACTCATAGCTTTCGGTCATCTGGCAAGAGATACTATGACCATTGATCAGTTTCAATTACCCCAGTATCAATACTATACCTTTTCATGGCTTTCTAGAGCAGACACTGTCTTACATATTCTCGATTGCTGATTTGGCGTTCGACAAATCGTCTCCCTGGTTTCGGTATAACAGGCCGGCGGCATACCAGGCTGTGAATCGTGTTGACCAAGGGCCATGATCAGAGTACCAGATATACTTGTATGAATCATCCCAGCGTATGTCATTGATATGCATCGACCATTGAAAGAGATCCTGCGCACCTATTAATAATTCGGTTAATAACCAGCATCATCCAACATTCGATTCGGGACTTGGCCTGACTTTTAGAAAGATTCTTGGTAATCTGAGCGGCCGAGGCACTGGCCACTAAATATACGCCCACAACGGCCTTGTTATTCAATCTCATTCTGTAATATGAAGGCTTAACTTAGAATACTGAATAAGCAAATCATCTGGCCGGAAACCGGGGTCTCTTCAGATTATAAAGAAAAGCAAAATCCTAATGTGAATTAGATCCCTCGGGCTTTCCCTCCCTGAGATGTCACATCTAGTCGGGAAAATTTCGGCTAATTGGTGACTATCGATTGTTAAGCTCTTCAATCAGTGTCATTCTAAGTCCTGATCTGGTAGACTGTAGTTATACCCCGCAACCCCGGAAAATTGATGGCCCCACAAGCCCACTGGTTTGGCTTTTCCGCCCCTTTGCGATCAAGTCCAGTCTTTTTGATCTCAAATCACATTTCTATATACTGTATTGAGCTTGTGGTCAAGAAAAATGACTTGGAAAAATGCAAGTCGTTGAAGTCTTGAACATTGTGATAAATCGTGATATTTTTTGTGTTCAACATGTTGGTCCTTCCTCCTCCTTATGACTCGCAAAGTGGCACATAGCGTGATCAAAATTATAAAAAGTTCTTGTTTTCCGGCGAGATAAGATCATGCTATGATTTTCCACCAATTCCCGTTGTTGGATTCCTCCGGTGGAGCGCGGACGTCGGCAAATAGAATCCACCTTGGAAGTTAGGCTAAGAGCTGTGAGCATCGTCACCGCCATACGAGTAGGCCCACAAACAAGAAAGTTATTACTGATTCTCCTTGCCCCTTCGGATGCTGCATAATGCGAATATAGTTTAAGACAAGTTGCGCTACGTGGCGGGGTCATTCTTAAGGAAATTCCATGCTCTCGTCAGGGGGTGTCTTTAAGGCATCAAAAAGATAATCCGAGTCCAGGAAAGTAGGTATATGGAAGCCCACTCTAGAATCCGTCTATATTCATCCTAGCTTGATATTCTCGGTGACCTTACTCACTGAGAAGATACTTTCTTTTTAACACGAATACCAATGTAAATATAGAGCTACTAACAGATCATGCCCGCAGGTGGCTGCCTCATTATGTTAAGTGCAGGTATTGTATCCACAAAGTATGCCGTGACTAAATTGAGTATTTCTCACTCACATTGTGTACTAATTCTGGCCATTGTGTCTCGAATCAGACAGCTCGTCGTACAATACTTCGAGACTATTGCTAAGAGGCCAACCTTTCAGATCTTAATATGGCATCAGCAATATTCAGGTAGTTAATAAGTATTCTTCCATGTATCCGAGCCCCAAAAGTTTAAAATACGAACAACCTACATGGGTTGGAGTGGGGGCTAAGCTTATAAATAGCGATTATTTGACCTCGGGAGCGGGGTGAGATTCATTTCATTTCAGCCCCAAAACCTCTTCTATCGCCCTTGTAATACGCACAACACCTGGTAACTAATAACCTCATACACTATGGCATCTCGATTACCAGTCATTCTCTGCGGCCGCACGACAGCGATAGGGAAGCCGGTGTCTGAAGCTCTTCTGCCCGAATACGAGGGTACGTCTTGGTCTCTACCAGCCAGGAACCCCCAGGATCGCTTCATTAGTAGCATTTCCAGACCAAGCTAACCTGGGAACCATTTTTATCAGTTATCCACTTTTTCCAAACAAGCGAGGCGATCCAAGCCGAGCTTCCGGCTCTCCTCGCTGGCCGCGAGCCTCAGGCTGCCGCGTCCAATGACATCGGTTCACACGACTACACCCGGCCTGCGCGGGCGGTCATTTTCGGCCGGGGTTATGAGATGGAAGAGATCGAGAAATTCCGTAAGGCTGCTGCTGGTCATTCCTCGGAGCCGATTGCTTGGGTTATAAGTGATCCGGCGAAGGTTCAGTCTAATGGCCCGCCTCCCCCGCCGGGGTATGCGAATAAGGTGACGGATCTTGTTAAGAGTAAGCTAAATGAGTGGAAGGCAAGCGGTGCTGGGGAGAATGTAGTTCTGTTGTATTGATATTATTTGGCACTGGTACTAGTAACTACTAGTAATAGTACAATGGCGACAGCCCTTGGCTTTAAATGCAAAAGGGTATTATCCGCCATCCCTTCAACATTCCGTCCGGACGAAAAGCTATAAACTGCCTTAAGCTTCTACTTCCCCTTTATTGACTCATCTAGATTCAGTCCTTTCCCTCCAGAGCTTATTTCCACCTTCTTTTGATGCTTTTCCATCCCGAGTTCAAAACATAGTGACCCCATAGTAGTAGCAATCAAATCAGATACAACTGGCAAAAACGCGTAGTAGATATATATAGTAGTACTAAAACCTAGTGGGTACTAGTATTTACCGCCACCACCGCCACTACTAGTAGTAGGTAGTAGCACTAGTACTACTGTCTCTTCCCCCTTCTTCTCCTCCAAGTCCTTCAAGCTCTTTACCCTTGGCTTTTTGGCATCATAATACGCTGCAATGGCACTGAATTACCTTATTAACCTACAGGACTAGCCTACAGTATTCCAATTGACGCGTTTCGTCTTGGCCTTTTGACCCTGTTTACTACTAGTGGTGGTAGTGGTAGCCGATTTGCGTAGTGGTGCTGTAACTACCAGTTAGTAGTAGCACTGGCAGTACTTCAAGTTGTATATTTGACTTAGTCGGTCCGACTACCTGCCTATCAGAAAGTGTTCCATGCAACATACTAATGTGCAGGTTGATTGCTACTACTAGTATGTAACCAACGGTCTACGGTTACCCAATCCAGTGACAATGACGAAATACACTTTAATTGTAAAATGCATGTCGATTCATGGATGTAGCGTCAGAACCGCACAGACATCTTGGCTGGTCTACATCCCTGCCGCCACGAGTAATTGTCACAGCATATTCACGGCTACCAGCGGGCAGGTTGCCGATGTACATCGCCTAGACCGGCCATGGGAGCCGGGAGAGACGATCTTACAAAGTCAGACAAGGGCTTTGCGAAGGTCAGTGGAGGAAAGCCTCCACGCATTTCCCCGCATTTTCGAGGGCCACGCGACAGCTTCCCCAGAGCCAAGACGCCAAGAGAGAAAGGTATTGTGACTGTGCTGGTGGTATCTACCTAAACAGGAAGGGAACATGCTCAAGGAAACCAATGAGGCAGGAACTGAGCATTCGGGGCAATGGCCAGCGAGTTAGTAATGGCAACGGAAGCTAGAGATTGGGCGATTTAAGGGTAGGCCCGAAACCCGCCGTCCAGTCGATTGGGACGAGGATAAGATACGCAGTATGACGTTGGACCTCCGGGAAGCCGTCTCGGGGAAAGTAGGAGACGAGTCGATCGCCGTTCCTTTTTCCGCACTTCGGACCAGCCCGTTCTGAAACGCGTTCTGGTTGGGCAGTGGCCGGCTGATAGGTCGAGACTCGAATTAAAAAACAGGAATCATTATCACGGGAGAAATAGGAAGCCGATTTCGCCGTTAATCGCTATAATCGCTATCGCTAGTCCGTTAGACAGTGCCAGGGCCGGGTAGTGCCAAATTGATGAATGTTAGCTTGATACGTAGTCAATAAAGGAGAGGAGGGAGATGCCGATGTGGGGGAGGGCTGGGTAAAACAAAAGCCCATGGTCATGTGCAACTCGTCTTAAAAAAATAGAGTCTAAAGGTACTAAGTATAGCCTTCGATTGAAGAGGTCTGGCCGGGGGAGAGGGTCCCTCCTTTTGCAGGCGTTTTGCGGAGAGACAGGGGGGAACCCTTTCCCCACCAAGCCTTTGCTCAATTTGGTCGGGAGGCAAGCCGGCATAGTTCCAGACTCCTCACATCCATCGCCTGGCAACGAGTCACGCGGGGGTGTAAGGCGAAGACAAAAAAAAAAATAGAATCAGAGCGTGACACGGATCAGGTGCATGCCTGTAGAGAAGCTCGTACGTAAGCTATTGAAACAAAATCGCGCAAAATAGACGTGTTTCAGGCGCTGCGGAATTTAAGGCGACGACACAAGGGAGGCTCACTCAGGTCTCTCCCGAGGCCAGAGCCGGGTCGGGATCCGCCGCTAACCACCGGGAGAGGATCTGGGGTTATCAGTGTGATCGTGGTGGAGGACCAGAATGGTCGCAATCCCTTCCTCGTCCAGCTCGGGCCAGGGCCGAAAAATCACGATCCCGACACCGAGGCCAAGCGAGAGAGTAAATCGCAATTCCGGGGGAAGAAACGTTGACCGTCCCGGAAAAGTCTGGATTGAAGTTCTTGAAATGCCTCATTTCATGGGCTAGGGTGGGCTGGGCCGAGACCTAGTCATCTTCGACGTAATCTACATGCGCCGACCAGCCAGTTGGATTGGAGGGGTCGAGGGACCCAAGTGGCACAGGCCAACAAACGAGGAATTGATTATCGTCCGGCAGCGAAAATAGGACGCAAAAAGGCCGGGAATATCTTCAGCCCACCCGAACATCCTTGAGGTGGTGAAATGTGTGGGATATGATTGGCCGAAGCCGCCGCGATCGAATTTGCCAATGCATCATCCTCGGCTTGGTTAAGCGCCGTTATTGGAGTATGTTCGGCGTAGGGAGGAGCCTGATTTCGTACGTTCCGATGGAAGCCCCCAGTTTGTCGTCATCGGGTGAAAAATGGAACATTTTTTTCGCATCAGCTGTAGGATCTCGGGAGACCACTTTTTGCGTGGTTTTTTCCCCACGGAACCCCGAAGGATGAAAGAAATCGGGGCAAGGGAAGCCGAAAAGTGAAGAGGGAAGAAGCAGTTGAAGACGGGATCGACGCTGACATAAGCCCCCGCGTTGGAGAAGAGCAGTAGAGCAGTGACTATGACCATGTACTGGTTTACAGTATACTGGGTACAGTATTAATTTACAAAGAACTCTCTTAAATGGTGAGATCATGGCATCGTCATTCCTTTTGACAGAGTTTGTTGTCTTTGGCTTCAGAGAGCCCGGATGCGGAGTAGAAACCTAGGTTTAATCCTTTTAGCCGTTCCCAGCATGTGCAGCTGCAAACCTTCCCTCTTCAAATTCACAACTTCTTCTACATCTTCTTTGATTTCTTCAACAACAACTACTCCCATCCTTGATACAAGATCTTCCCCACGTATTCTCCATACAGTCCGGTCTTTAGCCACCCGACTTCAGTTCGTGTCCACCTTCACTCGGGTCAATTCGGACTGCGCCTCGCCGTCGCAACCCACGGCAACGCATTTACCATCACCAACCGCAGCTCGGCCCTTAGCCCCGACATCACCCGTGGAACTGTGGAGAATTGCAGGGGCAAAGTGCACGAGAACTCCCTTCATACCAAGAACCGTCATGACCATGTCCCCCGCTGGAAAGAATTATATACCCCCCCAATCGCCCGGCTTCTCCAGGTCCTCTTACTTCTGATTTTTTCAAACAGCAAGTCGCGAAGCAACGCAACAATAACTATCACTCTACTTCACTCCGCAAAATGGTTGCCACTTCTGTGAATCGTACTGCTCTGCACCCTGGTGGTGTCCAGTATGTCTTCCCTTCCTTTTTTACCTTCCTGTGTTGTCTTTGCCACATTCATACTAACCTCATCGTCTTAGGCCTGGCAAGGGTCACACCGAGCTGGAGGAGGAGCTGCACGAGACTGCGCACATTGACTATGACAGAGTCGCAATTGTAAGGCATCTTCCATCCTTCCTTGCGCTTGAGACTCGACATGGTCGTTGGCGACTCGGACAAGTTCTCTCTGATCATATATACTAACCCATCATCTCCAGATTGCCAACCCCGCTGTTGCTGCCCTTTACGAAGATGCCCTCGTCTACGAGACTGGTACCGCTATCACTTCCACCGGTGCTCTGACTGCCTACTCTGGCGCAAAGACTGGTCGTTCCCCCTCCGACAAGCGTATTGTCAAGGAGGAGTCCTCTGAAAACCAGATCTGGTGGGGACCCGTCAACAAGCCCATGACCCCTGATGTGAGTTCCAATAAAACAAATCATTTATCATCATCTCTTCCCTACTATACTATGCGTGATTTTTGTGGAATGTGTCTTTGTCGTGAAACGAGGGTCGCCCTTGCAGGTGGCCCGATGTGAGATCCACCTGGGAACCCTTGCATATGCATCCGCGAGACCAAGCTTTTCTGGCAGTCCAGTTCGACTGGATTCCTTCTGGCTGGTTAATGCCTCAAATCCGTCACTGTTCATTTCATCTTTTTCTCCTCTTCCCATTTCCCTCACATTCACACACTTTCCCGATTTTGCCCCTCGGCTATTCACGCCTTCCCCGCGCCCGCGGCTTTCACGTGTATGACGTCATCACTAACGATCCTACCCAGGTCTGGCGTATCAACCGTGAGCGCGCTGTCGACTACCTAAACACCCGCAACCGCATCTATGTCATCGATGGTTACGCCGGCTGGGACGAGCGTTACCGCATCAGCGTCCGTGTTGTCTGTGCTCGTGCCTACCATGCTCTGTTCATGCGCAACATGCTCATCCGTCCCTCTAAGGAGGAGCTGGAGCACTTCCACCCCGACTATGTTATCTACAACGCCGGTTCTTTCCCCGCCAACCGCTTCACTGAGGGCATGACCTCTGCCACCTCCGTCGCCATCAACTTCGCCGACAAGGAGATGGTGATCCTGGGTACTGAGTACGCCGGTGAGATGAAGAAGGGTGTCTTCACCGTCCTCTTCTACGAGATGCCCGTTAAGCACAACGTCCTGACCCTGCACTCTTCCGCCAACGAGGGCCAGAACGGTGATGTTACCGTTTTCTTCGGTCTGTCCGGAACCGGCAAGACCACCCTGTCTGCCGACCCCAAGCGCAAGCTGATCGGTGATGACGAGCACTGCTGGACCGACACTGGTGTCTTCAACATCGAGGGTGGCTGTTACGCCAAGTGCGTTGGTCTCTCCGCCGAGAAGGAGCCCGATATTTTCAACGCCATCCGCTTCGGTTCCGTTCTGGAGAACGTTGTCTTCGACCCCGTCAGCCGCAACGTCGACTACGATGACTGCACCCTCACTGAGAACACCCGTTGCGCTTACCCCATCGAGTACATTGAGAACGCCAAGATCCCCTGTATCAGCGAGAACCACCCCACCAACATCATCCTGCTGACTTGCGATGCCCGCGGTGTTCTGCCCCCCCATCTCCAAGCTCACCCCCGAGCAGACCATGTTCCACTTCATCTCTGGTTACACCTCCAAGATGGCCGGTACCGAGGATGGTATCACTGAGCCCCAGGCCACTTTCTCCTCTTGCTTCGCCCAGCCCTTCCTGGCTCTCCACCCCATGCGCTACGCTACCATGTTGGCCGAGAAGATCAAGCAGCACAAGGCCAACGCCTGGTTGCTCAACACCGGCTGGGTCGGTGCCGGTGCCACCACTGGCGGCAAGCGTTGCCCCCCTCAAGTACACTCGTGCCATCCTGGATGCCATCCACAGCGGCGAGCTCGCCAACGCCCCCTACGAGACCTACGAGGTCTTCAACCTGCCCGTCCCCACTGCCTGCCCTGGTGTCCCCTCCGAGCTGCTCAACCCCCGCAACAGCTGGACTGCCACTACCTCCTTCAAGGACGAGGTCAACAAGCTCGGTGGCCTCTTCAACGAGAACTTCAAGAAGTACTCCGACGAAGCCACCCCCGAGGTTCTCGCTGCCGCTCCCCAGACCATTTAAGGTTTTGTTGGAGAAGTTGCTTGACAAAATTGGCATTCTTGTTTTTGATATTTGAGACATTTGCATGGCGTGTTGCGTTGGCTTTAGTCGGAACGATCTATACCCGGATCTCGACGCCCGTGCTTGATTCGGGACAAGCGCGATGGCTTGATTTTTCTTATTTTTTTTTTCTTCCTTTAATTTCCTTTTGTCTCCCGAAATTTTCCTTGTGTTCTTGATATGCCCCGTCCCACTCAAAATGGACATGTGATTACGATGGCTAAATCGGAGTTTTTTTAAATTCTATGGACTGCCCTTATGGTAGTAGCCAATGAAACTAGATTCTTCAAAACCGAGTTCCTCAATTCTGCCGTAGCACAAACCAAACCAAGTCAAGTAGAGGTTTTTATCTATCTTAGTAGTAATAGATAAGTAGTAGTGGGCCATTCGGTGGTCCACAGATTTGATGATTGGCGTTTCCCGATCGGGTAGTCAGTTCACTATCAACAGCCCTATGGGGAACTTCGGTTGCAAGATCCTATCTCTCTTTCATTGAAGGTTGTTTCTTGCTTGATCTTATGTGGTTTTTTCTCATATACTCTACTAGTATAGATTGAACTCCCTCCCCTTTCTAGCCGACCCTAGTATACTACATCTAGATCTACATAGTACAGGACATACCCCGAGCCAAGGCAAAATCGCCCCTGACGTCGGTAGTAAATAAGCATGTGGATCATCAAAAATCAACATTGTCTCTTCTTCACCAAATCACCCAATCTATCCCAACACAGACGCAAACACAGAGATAGGCAGCAGAATGGCCCATCGGCTCGGTCGCCTATTCAAGAAAAAGCTGAGGGAGGCAAGGGATCATCACTTGGCTAGCTTGGCCAACTTGGCTCTACGTCATTGGGCTGCCCAACAATCCTCGATGATCGACAAAGAAATAATTCCTTGATCGCGTGAGACCAGTGAGACCCTTGTAACCAACCTACTTTTTTTCCTTTTCTTTTTTTTCTTTTCCTTCTCCCTTCCGTCCTTTCATGATCAAAGAATGGAAGAAGAAACGCCCATTCTATCCCCGGCCCGGGCCCAGCTCGCAAAGAAAGCAGGCAGGTATCGCATGCTGGCATCGATCCTCTCTGGCCTGGACCGATACCTATCATTCCCGTCCCCGCCTCGCCCCTGTCTAAACATCTCCATCCCTTCAACAATCAGCCAGACCCCAGGCTCCATCCAGCTTTACTTCTACACAGCCACGGGCAAAGATCTCTCCCCCGATTCACAATCCACGAAACGACCCGTCCTCATCAACTTCCACGGCGGCGGCTTCACAATCGGCCATGCCGTCGACGACGCGCGCTGGTTCCGGAAAGTACTACAGGGCTATCCCGATGCCGTAGTCGTCAGTGTAGGGTACCGACTCGCACCAGAGCACCCATACCCGACCGCAATTCAAGACAGCGCAGACGCAGTCCTCTGGCTATGGAAAAATGCCGAACAACACAATCTCGACCGAACCCGCTTCGTCTTAAGCGGCGATAGCGCCGGGGGAAATTTGTCCCTGACAGTTCCCCTAATGCTATACAATGAACGCGTGAAGCAAGAGCAACAGCAACAGCAACAGCAAAGCCCAAATAGCGAACAAGAAAAAGCGGTGGAGGAAGAAGATGTCCCGATTTCCAGATTAGCCGGTCTCATCACCTTCTACCCTTCGACGAACTGGACTCGAACGCGCGAACAGCGGGACGCGACGAATCCGATCGCTGCCCGGAAATCCATGATCAAGCCGAATGTCTTCAAGCTCTTCGATGACTCTTATCTCGATCCGGAGAAGTTGCCTTACTCGTCTACTGGTGCTGACGGGGAGTTGAAGGAGGTTGATATGTCGCATCCTTATCTGTCGCCTGGTCTGACGCCAACAACGCTCTTGCTGGCGGCGTATCCGCGCAACGTCGCTATCTATACGTGTGGTTGGGATCAGTTACTGGTGGAGGGTAATGAGTTTCGGGAACGGTTGCGCCTTTTGGCTGTTGACGGGCAGATGGCGCATGCTGGGGGCATGGTGATTGAGGATGTTGTGCATGGGTTTGATAAGAAGCCTTCTTTTGTGATGGGGAATAAGACTCGGGATCGCATGTATGGGGATGCAGTGAGGCAGTTGGGGGTTATGTGGGATTAGTTGATATCTCTAGATTTTGGGATTTTTGACTTTTCCCATATAATACTACTAGTGGTAGTAATAACGTTTGCCTTTAAGCCCTGGATATTGATTTTGATAGCGGATATACAACTAGTTTTTCAATTTGAGCGATGTTGAGCTTTTTCATGTGAACTTGGGAGAATATTTTTGACTTCAAGTTTTCGCTTCATTTCGTTTCACCTGGCACGATACTACTAGTAGTAGTACTAGTCCATCTCACCACTCGGAAATTAAAATCCTCGTCTACGTATCCCCCTGCCCTGGTACATAGCAGTATCATACTATCAGTAGGAGTATCCGAGTCGAGTCACACCCGAAGCGGGGCGACTGCTTAGGGCGGGGTAAATCACCTCGCGCCTATTTTTTTTTCTCCTCCAGTGCTGACCTTTTTTCCAACTCTCACTCGTCTGGATCATTTTCCACCTTACATTATTTCTCCCAAGGTTGGTGGTTCCCCCACTTCCAAGGTTGCTGCGTCCTGCATCCTTCATGCAAAGCGACGACCATACTCATACTTGGTCGTGCCTTATATCTAACTCATCGCAGATCAACAGATCAACAGATCAACAACCCATCACAAACAATCATGTCTGGTCACGCTAGCTGCCCCAAGTGTGGTACTGCTCTCGTCAGTGCTGGCAAGAGCTGTGGATCTTGCGGAGCGGTTCGTTGAATACACCCTACTACTCGATGTTTCGTGGACCCTGAGCCTGGGACTAACGCTTCTAGACTTGCCCCGTTTAAACGAATCTTTATATACGGCATGTCACCTGGCCGGAAGGTTTGCGGGTGTATTATGAACGATGACGAGTGATGCGGTTTACGAGATTATGATGCTGGTGTGGTGTTGAGATATGTGTAGCAGTACGAGTATGGGCTGGGAGAGCGGGGTGGGGTTTCAGGCGTGGAGTCGGGGATGATGGAGGTTTGATACCAGCGCTGTTACGTACGCACTAGCCAGCCGAAGCAATATGAAAGCTTGAAATACGTGACATGCGAAGCAAGCAGAGAACAGATAAATCAGCGTAGATCCCGTGGGATTTGACTATATACGAAGACAAATGAGAAGCAAGCACATCTAAACATGCCCAGCGGGTTCAAAAACGGAAAGAAAAACCAAGGTAGGAAAACACAAAGTTACAAGATAGTTCACGAAACACAAGGATATCAACGCAGAGGGGTTGTTCAGATCGACAGAGATCTCACATCTCTCATGCCTTCTCTGTCCCACTTCTTCCAGATCGAGTTAACCTCCAGTCCTCCTATACCTGTATAGAAGGTGACTGGAGCCTCTCTCTCTTCCTCTCTCAACATTCAACGCCAACTGACTCCCTACAAAGTCTCTCCACTCCACTCGACGACAGGAATCATTTAGGCAGTCTTGCGCCACTGAGACCATGTACCAATCAAACTGCTAACGGTACCAGCAATACCAACGATACCATCATCGAAGTTGGCGAGACCAACCGCGGTAGCGGGGATAGTCAAATCGAACAGGTCCGAAACGAGCTGTATCCGGGCCGCGGCGCGCTCCTTTTCGATCTTCTTAGCCTCAACAACACCCTCACCCTCCTTACGGTCGATAGTCTTCTCCTTCTCCTGCAGACGGACGAGAGTGTAGATGCCCGCGATAGCGGAGCAAAGCAGACCAGCGCCCCAGGCGCGGTACGCGTACTCCTGGAGCTTCTTGACGGAGGCGAGCTTGCGGTAGCCGATGGCGTCGACAACGGTGATGGTGTCGAGGGACAGGTAACCGGCGTAGCCGAGCTGGCGACCGACGGCCAGGTAGCGCAGGACCGGGTCGACGGGGCTCTTGTTGTCGAGAGCGACGGAGGCGGCCTTCAGGTGCTCGGCGAACTTGCCGATGCGGAGGATCTTGCGTGTTGTGCCGAATTGCTTCTTCACCGCGTTGTATGGATCAATAGCCGATTGCGGCTTGTTGGTGCGGTAGAGGTACCAGGCGTAGAAGCGGGAGAAGTATTGGAGGGTTCGGAGGAGCTTGTCACGGCCGACTGGAGGTTAAATTATGGGGTCAGCATGGACTCTGGGGTTCGATGGTTGGTAGTCATTTGGGGAATAGGATGGAATGGGATGTGGGAGGGTTCAGGCTTTCATAGAAGAGCCTCCGCGGGGGACGTAAGGGGTTTTCTGATCTGATGCATGTGCTGGTGATGCTTGTGCCATCATCACTGACGAGCATTTGACTGGGGTAGAAGAGCCGAGGGTACGTACCGGTTGTCGCAACGAAGCGCAGCCAGTGGGCCAGAGCCGGGTGGTAGACGAGGGCGTCGGCGACCATGATGTATGTCTGTTCGTCCCGATGAAACTCGGAAGTATTGGAGATGGATCAAGGATGGAGGGATGTCAAGAGTGTAGGTGGGCCCACGGGGATTAAAAGGGAGGTTGAATCGATGATGTCGGGAATTGACCGGCGATTGCGAGCCGCGGGCAACCTCGGCTGAAGTTGAGCGGTGGAGCTGGACTGCCGTTACTCCATACTACCTAGCATTGGGAGTCGGACTACGGAACTACATCACTCTAGAGTAGACATTCATGTGAAATGCTTATTTCCGAGAAAAAAAAAGATGTGCATTTATGTGCTGCTCCCACCCCCAGTCCCAGCGTTCACTTGAATCTTACTCGAGTACGCTGGCTTCTTCATTTCATTCACCGTTTGTGCTCGGCCATGGGGAACCCACCCGATTGATTTTCGTACCTTCGTCACCACTGCACTTGATGGGTTCCGTATGCCTATTTAGGGTGATCTTCCCCTGGTTAAATTCGGGTCTACCTTCTCCCTTCATTCGAGTGGAAACAAACCCTCCTTAACTGCTGAAATGCTCCATATACTCCATATAGTGAGGCTTGGGTCACCAAGATAGTGCAGATGGGTATAGGAAACATGCGATCATTCAGACTTGGCTCTTGACTATGGGCTACCCACAGTCATGGCACCTATTGGCCGACCCATCAACATCAGTGAGAACGGATGGACTAAATCACTTGGTTTTCTTTATTGCTTCTCGATTCTCAAAGAAACACCTCCTCATTCAACCAACAGACATGTGCCCGTCGACGATGGTCTCTTTGATCGGCGTCAAAAGAGGCACTCCCCACTATAGTCAGCAAAGAAAATCTGACAATGAAAGATGTCCAGTCCTCCATGCCCCTCTGTATATGATCCTTCGAAATAATACTTAATCCAACAACCAACTCGCCCAATTTTGCTTTACTCATTACCTCGAAAAAACTTCCCCCAAGTGGTCAATTCTGTGATATCTTCAAACCTGCCGCGTAGTGTATTCCAAAATGCCCGAGAATGACTCCGAGACGAAGCCATATACCCGTGGCCAGGTACAGGCGTTTAAAGAGCTTCAGATTAGCAGCGCCACGGATAAGGATGTCGTGATTCGAATGCTCCGCAAGATTTATGATCCCTCCAACCCCAGCAACCCGCATCAGTTGAATTTAAGACCAAAGAAAATAAGGGAGGATATCAAGGCTAAGCTCCGAAAAGCTTTGCACGACAGAAAATTTCTAAATGAGCTACCCGAGCACATCCCGAAGGGAAATCTTAATGGCCTGGTGGGAAAGCTATACAGCTTGACTAAAAGTTCGCATAGACTTAGAGATTGGGGTGGCTGGGGACTTTCTAAGAGAAGTGAAAGTGTTTCCCCGGCTTGCCCAGTCTCCTCAGTCGCGAGTACTCCGCCTCTTCATCCAAAAGACCAAAAGTCATTCGACTTCACCAAGGCCACGGTCTTGCCCAACGTCGATATTCAGATTATTCGCGCAAATCGTCCCAACAAGTCCGTGGCATATCGACTGTGCGACTTCATAAAGGATGAATGGCAGCCCTCGGCACGTAGTGCGGATGGGGGCTGGGTTGACGGTTCCAGACTCCAGATCGAGCGACTCAAGGCCGCACTGATGGATACGAAGCACATCAAATCCGAAGATGAGACGCTGTGGTGGAGCCCGTGGCCTTTGCACATCATCGATGTGTCGAAGATCACAATGCAGGCGGCCGAGGATGAGGAAATTCTTTTGACGAACGCGAACTTCTTTTCTTCTTTGCAGCGCTACGTCGAGATCAATTTCCCCCACCTGGGCCCTGGAAATCCGTCAATTCAGGAGGAGGGGTATATTGAGGTTCGGCCGATAATTACTCTGATCGTGCGATCCGAGGATGCTACTGGTAAGCAAACACTTTATCAATCCCAGTCAAACTCCGCCATGACCACTTTCGAGGCATATGCCCCAGGCGTTTCAGATCGGTCTGTATAATAGTCTCCCCTTCTTTGTCTTCATCTATCAACCTCATCCACTTTCATCATCATCATCCTTTCCTCCCTTATGGTAGCATTCGACCTCCATCATCAATCACATACTGATCAAGTCCAACAGGCGGGGCTCTTCCCAGCAGCTACGAGTCAAATATGTCCTCTCCAGGTCCACTCAGCTCAATCACTGCTAGCACTAGCGATCCAAAGAGATTTTTTCGATCGAGAAAGGACCGCGCTGGAGACATTCTTGACACAAATGTCCCATTGCTAGGCCAGCGCCACAGTAGCCCTCCTCGCAGAAAACCAAGAGGCAAAGAAAGATTCTCTCTTCCTCGAAGTGAACGTTCTGGATACACTCGTGATTCGGACGCTCCACTTGTGGGCCAGCACCCTAAAGACCAACCCCCTGCGCCGTCTTCCACAGGACTCCAATACAGTCCATCTACCGCACACTGGATTGGAGGAGGTGTAACAAAAGGACAAGTTCTCACCGGTCCCTTTGAAAAGCGCAAGAAGAACACCATGTCGAAGGCCAGTGCAGAACGTGACTCCAAGCGACGAAAGCTCGACCATAAAGTCCAGTCCAAGCTCGAAAACCTGGGCTCTAAGCTCATGAGTTACATCAACGAGTATACTAACACGAAAGACCGAGCTCTATGCCTACAACTCGCTCCTCACATCGACTTGGCTACCCAGTTTCTCAACACACTCACTCCAAGATTCGAGAATCCTGGAAGTAATGATACCGAGGAGAAAATGGTCGACTTCTTCGAAACAGCCGTTCGAATCTTGGACCTAACTGCATCGTTTCGCGAGGGAGTCATTTCCGACCAAACCATTCCGGTGATGACTGAGCTGTTGCAAAAGATTCTAACGGCTATTGGCGATCTCGATGTCGATACTTCCGATGAGCATATCTTGTCCCCTTCCGCGGACATGGCCATTCTACTCCTAGAATCAGTGTTCCAAAAGCTGGAGCAGGAGAACGAAGACAAGGGCCTGTATGCTATCTGCGGGATATGCTCATTGGTCCTGGATCCTCTCATCACCAAGTTAATTATGGGCCATGATCAGAGAGATATGGTTTCTGTTATTAAACTTAGTCTGCAACTTCTTAAGGAAATCAACGCAGAATTGTGCGAGAGTAACGCGGATTCACACCTCGGCCATCTCCTCGCGATCGGTACCTCGATTACGGTTAAATTGCAAGAAAAGGTGGACGGGGTCCGAGATTGTGAAGAAGATGACGAGACCTGGCTCTTCAATACCACGACTCGCATTCTTGTCCTCAGCATTGAGCGAATGATGAGTGGATTGAAGGATGGCACCGCTGAAGCTAAGGTCAACAGAAGGTGGTATCATGTATCCCACCTCTTGGAGCTTGCAGAAGACTCCCCACTTTGTAAGCTCAGCGAGGTCGGGTGCGAGGGGCTTGTCATAGCTCTTATCCAGATGACCAAAAAGATCTTCGGCCCTTCGAACGAATTACTGGAGCAAGTCATCGTGCTTTTAGAGTCATTGGCCCCACTCTTCGAGCTATATGGCAGCACCTTGGGCAAAATTCAGATCGAACTCCGTGCCTCGCCCCAATTATTGACTTATCTCCTGGACATGAGCGCTGTCATCTACAACGAAGTGATACTAGAACTTCGCCAAAGTGGTGCCGAGTTCATCACCCTAGCAAACACAGTCTCCGACTTCACGAAGATTTGCTCCCTATTCCTGGCCTGCATCGCCAGTGGAGCGAGCGAGCATTTGCCTCCCAATCAAGCGAAGCTAGACTCTTTCCGGGTCCTGGCCAATTTCCTAGAATCGCTCAGTGCCATGCATCGACCAAGCGATGAGAAATCAGCGACCAGCAAAGCAGAGGATGACGATGGTTTCGAACAGCCCACTTTGAAACGTTCTGATTCACTCCGAAGCTTCTATCGCAGTTATTCTGATCTTCAGAAGATGGACGAAGAGGCGTTTGAAACTAAGGGCTGGGAGGCCGAGACAGAGCAGTCTCATTTCGACCGCCTTGAAAGCTTGCTCAATTTTATCGAGGGACAGTCTATTCAGACCACTGCAGATGATGGCGGTGTCATCGAATGGAAATTTGATCCAGATCAGTCTGCTCTCCACAGAGTTCAAGAGATTCTCGGTTTCATGCGCAGCCAGACAGACTCGAGCCTTAACAGCTCCATAGTGAAGCTTGATGAAATCCCCGAGCACAAGGACGAGAGCAGTGAGGAAGCCAGTGATGAAAATGACGACGAATAAATGGAGTAGGCGTTTCTTGTGGATGTGTTGGCGTTTGTTGTCAGCTCTTAGAGATCATGTTTTAGAGATCATGAGTTTAGTTTTAGTTAGTATGGGTGGCTGTTTTTGATAATTCGCTGGGCATGTTCTTTGAAAGTAGGAATTGGGATTGGGGTATCGCTCTTTGCTTATGATTTGATTCTGTTAGTGTATTTGGTCTTACTTGAATTTAACGCAAAGTTGATATTTACTTCATCAAATTGGAAATGTTGACTGAAGCCCTGCCTTACGAAGGTGATTCCGCACCCAGAAGCAGAAAGAAAGGCCGACGTGAAAAAGGTCAACTGCATTGGCTCATTACAGCCGTCTCTCGTAAAAATAATTAAGATACTGGGGTATCATCCGCCATCAACTACCATGTATAGGTATGAAGGTGGGCTATCATACAAGCAAAGGAAATCATCGCATCAAACACACCACCGAGTCAGACCACCCACAGGTCAGCCCGGCAAAGGCTTGCCATTTTCTATTGAATATCTTGATTTGTCGCAGGGGCAATTCTTGAAATTTCGCGTCGCTAGGGCTCATCATATTCCGTGGTCGAATTGTCGCAAGGTTCTGTCACTTATCACACAGTTCTGTTACTATCTGTGTGTGTCGCGTAAGGGTCCGGATCCGAATCAAGGCGCATCATGGGTCAAAATCGAAGAAGTAAGATTGAAAAGGCGAGGGCGTAGGGGGCGGTGGTGAGTTCTGAAGGTAAGGCGTGTTCACAGCGGAAGTCATGAGCGCATTGGCTACTCTTCCTCGGCGCGGGCGCCGTGTCCTGCGGTACCCATAGTTGAGGTATCGTAGCCGTTCTGGGTCAGGTACTCGCGGAAGCGAGCATCTTCAAAGGTGACAGTGTCCTGAAAGCAAAGTGTGAGTTGAGTCTGCAGGAATTTGGTCGGATGGGTCCTACCTGGTTAATATTTGGGAGGAGGAACACGGCCAGCGCAGCACTGAGGATGCACAGGGCGCTAGAAACAAAGAATGGGTCCTGTCCAGCGCGAGTCGCATTGGGGGCATTCTTTTGGATAATGGGGAACACGTAGGTTCCCACAAAGGCTCCAATCTTTCCGATAGCCGCTGCGTATGAATAATACTGCCCACGGATGGCAGTTGCGCAGGACTTGGCTGCACACAGGCCGATATTGTCACCAGGACCAAATTCGCCGAGGGCGAGGAAAATTCTGTTCCGTCAATTAGCTAACTTAAGCTTGACGAAGAAATTGAAAGTTTCACATACCCATAAACCACGACAAAGGCTGCCACATTCTCGGACGTTGCAAGCCACTTGTAGCAGCCAGACATGATGAAACCGATTACACCCTGCAGAAAGACTCCCAGGCCAAGGGTTTGCTTTGGGCCGATCCAGTCACTGGCGAAAGCACCGAGCAAGGAGCCAGGAATGTAAAACAAGTAGGTCACCGTGGTCCAGCCAAATGTCTTCCACAGTGGCGCGTCGTCACCGATTATGAGGGAGATCCAGGTCGAGGAGTAGATTCCAAAAGAATAGGCGGAAAAATCATAAATGAACCAGATGAGGGAAACGGCGGCCTGGGTATATATGTTAGCTAGATAAAATTTCTAGGAAATGGGGCGTGAGCGTACCAAACGCTTCCAGTAGAACCTGCGATCATGGATTAGCATGGTGCACATGGAATGATACAGGGCAACTTACTTCATGATCAACCACACCGGAAACGAACGCATGCGCTCACGGCTAAATTCTTCTGGCTCCTTCAATTTCAAACGCAAGTAAATAAGACTCAAAGGCGGAATCACGCCCAAGCCTAAGGCCACACGCCAGGCAGCGCGACTATGATCCTCGGTGAAAATCAGCATTAGTATCATAGGAACAAAAGCCGAGACCACGAAACCGAAGTCAATTTGAAAGTTGGTGAACATGATAAACCAACGGTTGCGGTGGCCGGCCTTGAGCTCTCCTGTGTTTTCAGCACACGCAACGGACCCAGCAGGGTACTCGCCTCCGATGCCGATACCGATGAAGAAACGATAAGCCGTGAGAGCAGCAAACAAGCCATACTGGCTGCCATTTGAACCATAGGAGCCCGCCGAGAGAGCGGCGAAGACGAAGAGGATGATAGTAGAAATCATCAGAGACCACTTGCGAGAATATATATCGCTCGTATAGCCAAAGATGAGCATACCGACGACAGTACCGGCGAAAGCAATGGCGGAAACATTTTGACTAGCAGGAGACTTTGCATAGGTATCCGGGTAGATTTTACCCAGGATGGTATTGACTTGGCCAATAACCTAGAGAAACGTGGGTCAGCTACGGGAAGATTCCGCAGATCGCGTGGGTATGTGGGACGACAGGGGTGGGATCAGCTACATACACCATTCAGATAGCCATCGGAGAAGAGACCGGCACCACATGCGATGGTTGGCCAGCTGCGCTCCCAGCGACTCTTAGTCGGATCATCGAGAGGTGCAACCTCCACCGGGCTGGCCTCGACGGAGTGGTTTTCCTGGAGCCCCTTCTCCTTGGAATAGTCTTGTTCGACCGGAGTACTCATTGTGACTGATTGACGGAAGTTGCGGGGGGAGTTGAGCTTCTCGAGAGGGTACGAATGGGGGGGTAAATAAACTCGATGCCGAAAGTGTCGCGAACACAGTAAAACAGTACCACCCGATGCCGATGCGATTCGGGTACGTGCTGATCGAGGAGGCAGAAGCTGAACGAAAAAAAAAAAAAAAGCAAGAAAGAAGGGAGACGCAAGGAATAAGAAGGGCTGAGAGAAGCAGACAAGGAAAAAAAAAAGTCAAAAGAGTAACTAAACTGGACTAAGAGAAGGTTTAGCGCGGATAGATTGTCTAGCCCGGTAGAGCAAGTGGTAGCCTCGAAATCGATGGGCCCCAAAGCAGGAATTTCCCCAGTGCCAGAACCAGGGCAAACAAGTATCGCGGCATCCAAGTACCACCCGAGTCCGCAGGTTGTAGCGGGGTGTGGGGCGTCAACTGGAACGAGTGGATGTGCCACGATGCTGCTTTGGGTCAAGCATTGTTCCTAAGGTTAGCTTGGATAAAGGGGCGGCCAATGAAAAGTTTTGTTTCTATCACAGGGCCCCCGCCACGGGGTCTCCTCGGCGTGCCCGAGAATATACGTGTACTCGTACTTGCAATGATGTGCACACGACCTGGATCGGATTGGATTGGATATCCTTGAGTGAACCTAGGAACCCTCTGGACATGATCTGATAACGGAACCCGGCAAGGCCGCGCACGATGGTGAAATTGGAAAGCCGATATCCTATGAGTCCAAGCACGTGCGGGCCGTTGATCGGGGCCGAAATCCAAGGGTGGAGAAGGTGGTGCCGTGGTGGTAGTCATTTCTGGTTACCAATGGTTAGTCGAGGTTAGCTGGGGTTTGGTAGGAGTTTAGCGTGAGCCACTGCTTTGTTTGGGGAAGACCTCGGGTGGAGGACGAGGAGGAGGAGGAGGAAAGATGGCGGGTGGTGGTGGTGGTGAGGGTGAGGACCGAGAAGGAACATCTGCCGCCAGTGGTAGATCTACTTGGCATTAGTATGTTATACTACTGTAGTATAGGTCCTTCTAGTACTCTCCTAGATTAGTGGAAAGTTATTCTATTATCTACTAAACCACCGTCCGTTTGTTCTACTTAGGCTACCTAATTTACAGAGGATGAAGTACAGAGTACACAATCAGAAATACCGCTGTCCAATGTAAATAGAAGATCATATTAGTCCTACTGCAGCAAGGCACGCGACCAGCTGCAGACTACGGATTAGCCTTTATACAAACTCTACTGTAGTGCTTGGACTAATTCAATCTATTCAGCCAATACGTACGAGGCTGACGGCTGGCGCAGAGAACCGATCACAGGCAGAAATTGTGTCTGCCTTGGTGCCTTGGTACCTGTGTGCCTGAATAGTTAGTTATCTGGCTGACTGATTTGGCGCCTGAATTCTATGGCAATGCAACGGCCCGGAGAAACATTCGGCCAGCTGAGCTTCCCAGCTTGATGATGCATCCCGAATCCCATCGAAACACTCCCCATAACACCCTCTCTCCCATTCCGTTTTCCTTTTCGACATCTTCACTTCCATCGGCCCCTCGCAATCATGGGGTCTGATCCGCAGTACATCAAGTATCCCGACCTCCTCCTCGCCCAACATGTCTTCAACCTCTCCAACCCTGCATGCGAGTCGTCTATCCAGAAGTCTTCATTGTCCAAGCTGCAAGATGCCATCAAGGAGCGCAAGATGGCTCCTTTCTATCGGTACCTCGCCCATCCAGTCGAGGGCATCCTGAACAACTCCGGCGAAGGTGTGACGCAACACCCTCACACGGCCACCTCCAAGCCTCTGATCATCTCCGACATGCTTGCATCGCGCAAGTCTCCACAAAAGATCGACTTTCCTTGGGACGAGCAGCTGTATCAATCTCTCGTGGAGGAGAACAAGCAGGAGCTCGAGACCTTCCAAAAGGAGGAGGACGAAGCAGAGGAGGCCGCCGGTGAGACTGAGGTACAAGCCGCGCGAGGGAAACGAGCCGAGTTCTGGGCTCGAGTTGGAGATAAGGTACGACTCGAAAGAAAGAGCTGTGGATGTATCATTCTCCTTTTACTAATAACCCATCCCTGTATAGGACCGAGCTATTGAGTCGCACGAAGCCCTCCTCGATAAGATCGGATTCCTCGGCACCAAGATCGACCTGGTCCTGGCTATGATCCGCATTGGATTGTTCTTTGGAGACCGCGTGTTTGTCAAGAAGACTATCGAGCGGGCAGAGACCCTGGTGGAGAGCGGTGGTGACTGGGACCGGAGGAATCGCCTCAAGGCCTACAAGGGCATGCACTTACTCACAATCCGTTCCTACAGCCTTGCCGCCCCCCTGCTTCTTGATAGTCTCTCCACCTTCACAAGTTACGAACTGTGCAGCTACTCTGCGTTGGTAATCTACTCCGTGCTTGCGGGATCTCTATCCCTCAAGCGAGTGGACTTTAAGGCGAAGGTGGTGGATGCACCCGAAATCAAGGCTATCTTGGGTGCCGGTGAGGACCAGCTGGCTGCGCTGGCCGGTGAGACCTCCGCCGGTCCCGGTGCTCGGGATGAGGAGATGAAGGATGCTACAGTATCAACATCAACTCCCACCAGCGGTGCCAAGACTGCTGTTAACCTGACAACTCTGGCCACTGGCTCGGGCGCGCAGGCCGAGAGCGAGATCCCCGTCGACTTCTCACCTCTAGCCAACCTGGTCAACAGTCTCTATAATGGAAACTACCGCTCGTTCTTTGTGGCACTCGCTGCCGTCGAGGACCATTTCCTGACGCAGGACCGATACTTGCACGAGCACCGGGCCTGGTTTGTTCGTGAGATGCGGCTTCGCGCCTACCAACAGCTGCTTCAGAGCTACCGGGTGGTGGGGTTGAACAGCATGGCTAGCGACTTTGGAGTGACTGTGGACTTTTTGGACCGGTATGTTCTTTTCTCTTTTCCTTTGGGTGTTGTTTCGCGATGACCTGATCCATTTTGACTGACTTTGTTTTCTCAATCGCAGCGACCTGGCCAAGTTCATCTCCAGCAACCGCATTTCCTGCACGATTGACCGCGTCAATGGTATTATTGAGACCAACCGACCCGATGACAAGAACAAGCAATACTCGGACGTGGTGAAGCACGGTGATGCCCTGATCACTAAGCTCCAGAAATACGGACAGGCCGTCCGACTTCGTGGCAGCGAGCGCAGCTAGATTAGATAGGGTCAAATAGGATAGGCATCAGAGGGTTACCTAAGAGTAACTAATAACCACGGAATGGAATGACACTGATCTTCGTTTGCATGGGTCAATTACCTAACTACAAGAAAGGCAAAGGCATTCTAGAATCAGAACCAGTCGAACGAGTGGACGAATAGACGAGTGGAGGCTACGATCCCCCACATGATGGGTGGCTCCAGAGTGACCAACGGAGTCCACTCCGCGGGCAAGTAGTCTTCCCGAGGGAACGTAGTGATTAGTTACTAGTAACTAGTGAGTGAGTAGTACGAGTACACTGACTGGTCTCCATTCTGCTCTACCCCAGGTATACTTTCTATCCCACTTTCCCAGATAGTCAATTCGAGCCATAAAATGATACCCTCCATCGTACCCTTATGGTTTTATCACTAGTTCTCGTCCGATAAATCCTAGGATCGCTAAAACGACTCCGCATTTTGTCGCGGCTGTGGGGAAAATCATGCTGACTCATAATCTCACCGCCCAATCGGGCCCTGAAGATTATTTCCCTTTTATTTTTTTTCCCTCACCCCCCTTTCAGCCCCCCCAAGCCACACATTGATCGATCCCTACTAAGCCTAAAGGGAATACCCTACTGACTTCCTCGATCGTCATGTCCTGGCAATTTCGACTCGGCTCCCGCGCGCGGGCATCCCCGTTGCGGGCATCGGTGACCCGGCCGAATGGTCTCCTACTTCGCCCGACCGCGGCTGCGGGGGGGATTCGCCGCTTGGTCCAAGTCAGGTACGTTTAACGTCGGATGATTTGCGTTTGCCTTATATATGCGCTATATATGAACGTCGGCTGCCCCTCCGAGGGTATCTTTCGTCGTATGACAACATCGTCCCATCGCTTTACCCACTCTTCCCTCCTGTCTCTCAGGCTTCAATTCAATTCAATACAACTCAACTCGTACTATTTTGACCTCAACTAATTGATACCCTCGGGTCAATCCACAGTGCCCGCTATGACTCGCACTCAATCTACCCTCTCCGGAAAGGGCCTCTCCCTCGACAACATCAACCCTAACGTCAGAGCCGCCAAGTACGCTGTGCGCGGAGAATTGGCTGTCAAGGCCGAGGAATACCGTGCTCGTCTGCTGAAGGGTGACAAGTCCCTGCCCTTCGACAGCGTCATCTTCGCCAACATTGGAAACCCCCAACAACTCGACCAGAAGCCCATCACCTTCTTCCGTCAAGTTCTCAGTCTCGTCGAGAACCCGCTGTTGCTGGAGAACCCAACCGCCCTTAAGACCTCCTTCGGATACAACCAGGATGTTATTGACCGGGCCCAGGCCCTCTTGACTGATGTGCGCAGTGTCGGTGCCTACAGCCACAGTCAAGGAGCCCTGGGCATCCGCAATAGCGTCGCCAAGTTCATCGAGGACCGCGACGGCTTCCCCGCCAACCCCCAGGATCTTTTCCTGACCGCTGGCGCCTCTTCCGGTGTCACCAGCCTGCTGAACGTTATCTGCGATAAGCCTAGCGCCGGCGTCCTGGTGCCCATTCCCCAATACCCTCTATATACCGCCACTTTGGCCCTCCTTAATGCGCGCTGCGTGCCATACCTTCTGGACGAGCAGAAGGCGTGGGGTACCGATGTCAAGGTGATCGAGAAGTCCATCGCCGACGCCAAGGCTGAGGGCACCGACGTTCGCTCCATCGCCGTGATCAACCCCGGCAACCCTACTGGTGCTTCTCTGAGCCCCGACGATATCAAGCAGGTCATTGACGTCGCCGCCGCGGAAAAGCTGGTCATCATCGCCGACGAGGTGTACCAAACCAACGTTTTCAGCGGTGAGTTCGTCTCATTCAAGAAGCGCCTCCGCCAGCTCCAGCAGGAACATCCCGGCAAGTACGACAACGTGGAGCTGGTTTCCCTGCACAGTACCTCCAAGGGTATGGTTGGTGAGTGCGGCCACCGCGGCGGATACTTCGAGCTGGTCGGCTTCGACCCCTTGGTCCAGGAGCAGATCTACAAGCTCGTAAGTATCGGTCTGTGCCCGCCGGTCGTCGCACAGTGCCTGCTCGAGACTATGGTCAACCCTCCCCAGAAGGGCGACCCTAGCTTCGAGCTCTACCAGAAGGAGTACAACGGTATCCGGGACGGCCTGCACAAGCGCGCCCTGGCCCTCTTCGACGCCTTCCAGCGTATGGAGGGCGTCGAATGCCAGGAGCCTCAGGGCGCCATGTACCTCTTCCCCACCATTAACCTTTCCGCCAAGGCCGTCGAGGCCGCCAAGGCTGAGGGCCGCGCCGCGGACGAGTTCTATGCCCTTGCCATGCTCGACGCCACCGGTGTCTGCGTCGTACCGGGTTCCGGCTTCGGTCAGAAGCCTAACACCCTGCACTTCCGCACTACTTTCCTCGCCCCCGGTACTGACTGGGTTGAGCGTATTGTGCAGTTCCACTCTGAGTTCATGAAGAAGTACGGTGGACTCAGCAAGGCCCAACTCTGAGTAGATCTTGGATCATTCACATCTTTGATTAAGCACTTTTTTGGCCTCTCTCTTTATATCACGTTATTATGTGAGACGACTTTGCGCCTTGTCGCTACCTTTTCTACGACCCGCTACCTTTTGCACGGGTTCTCTTTTTGCACTTGATTTGATACCATCTAGACCACATATCCGTGGTGCTGGTCCCGCCGGTTTTTGGGTTTGCGGGCCGGTGTCCTTAGCATGAACTTGGTCTGGCAACAGGCTGGGATCGGATAGCTTTGTTTTTATAGTGGAAATATGCATCATGCATGCTAGAATAGAACAAAATATGCTCCATTGCATCTCAATTGTCTACCCGCGGGAACTCAAGTAAAATCTTAGTAGCGTTTCTTCTGGCTATTTTCAAGTTTCATTCATGATAATCCAAATTTATGGACGCTAACGAATAAGAACAAGAGAGATCGCCTTTTTTTTTAGGTCGAGCCCTCGGATTCCAATCGTCATGCGGCAGCCACCACTGGTTCCGGCTGTTCATATTACAGAGCAACTCTCTTCAAGTTGTTCATCCAGTCCCCAGCAGTCATCCTGTCTCGCCATTCGATCGTTTTCCACTTTCCCTTCTCGCATCCTGGAAGAGCTTCAATCTTCATCTCATGATCCGGACGGGTCTAGAAAGCAATCGCGAACCTATCAACAACATTGATGCGAGTCGGATGGTAGCTCTGCAGTGAAATGAATGATAGATCACCTCGAACAGCATGAGGGGTACTTGTGGTGGTGGCGGTGATGTTGCAGTGTTTCAAGCTGCATATTAACGAACACGATGTTTATGCCTCGCATATGCACTATCTAGCCTAGAATCTACCGAGGAGATCTTCGGATAGCCTCCTTACTTTTAGTCACGTACTTATGATCTTTCAATTTTTCATTGCCTTTTGGCCAGAGCATGATTCATTATTCGATATGTAATCTGCTGGTACAGAGCCATCACAGAGCCGAGGTTCCACTTGGCACTTACACTGTCTGATCAGTGAAAGGAATTATTTAGTCTGCCATTAGAAGGTGGTCAATAATGGTGGGCAATAGGCAACACCGCTGTATTTGTACCACCAAACATCATCTCTTTCAAGCTTCCACACTCCCCGATTTCTCAATATTTCTCAGAGGCTTCTATTATTGGTTCTTTATTCATATTCAGAAACAAACCCAATTTTCAATGGCATTAACTATGAAATTAAATACTGACCACTGTGACTCTGCTTGCAATTCTGCCCGCAATAACACTCTACTCATCGACATAACTTTGCAGTAATTCAACAATTTCTAGGCGGCCATTTGACCTCGCAGCCATCAACGCTGTTTCTCCAAATACTTCATCTCGGTGAAGAACATCGATATTATCTACTGCCAAAAGCAGCCTCACTGCGCCAATATGTCCTTGCCTCGCAGCACTGATCAACGGAGTGATTGCCTCCCAGTGCCCAGCATATCCAGCCTTCTCTAGCTCAAGAGCCTCTTCTGGGAAGGCATCATTGTAGGTTTGTGTATTGACATCCACACGCTCATCTCTTTCATACGCAAGAAGCAGTTTCAACGCCTCTTCCTGGCCGTATGTCGCGGCCCAGAATAAAGCGGTCCGGCCATCACCATTATGCCAATCGATGCGATGGCATGCAAATGAGAAGAGAAATATGAATTCCTCCTCTCGTTTCATCCTGAGTGCTTTACACCTAGCATGATCCAACTCCTCGCTCGATCTTTCGATTTTGAAAAAAGGCGATTGAAGAAACCCTTTCATCATCTCCGTGCCTCTGTCCAAGGTTTGAACAAACGGGTGGCCGCACCAATTCCCCCAGGATGTATATTGGGCCGACTCCAGAGGCGGATGCGGACTTGCCCCAGCTTGCAGCAATATCCGCACGACTTCTATGTGGCCGGTCCGAACCGCGAGGAACAGAGGACACTGGCATACCGTGTTGGCCGTATGCCATGGTCAATGAGCTGCTTGATTATGTTGACATTGCCAACTAAAGATGCATCCAGCATTGGGCATACATGGTCGTACCTGGTCTCAGTGTCAATATTTTGATTTGCCAGCAAGACCCGAACAACTTCTTCCTCCTCGGCGATGATCGCTATATCAAGGGTGTCGGGTGATCAGGGTTACCACGTCGGTTGATTTCAATTGCGTCGATGCCCACAAAAAGCTTAAACATTTCCACATGTCCTGCTGCAGCGGCCAGGAAGAGGGGGGGTGGCGTGGCTCTTGTCGTGCACGAGCTCATTATACAGAATCTCCCGCGGTTGAGCCAGTTCTTTCCTGGTGGGCGGATGTTCGGTATTGATATTCGCGTCAAATCTGAGGGCTTTGCGAGCAGACTTCATGTTGCCGTTTTCCGCGGCCCAGAGCAATGCGAGGTCCGCATTTTGCCTCCACAGGATCGAGTCGAGGTCCTGGTAGAAGCGCTTGTTGGTCTGAACTAGAGCGCTGAGGTCACTCGGTGCCAAAAATCTGCCTATGTGAATGATGGGCTCTGGCGGAATATCGGAAATAGTCACGTCAAACATTATATCAGGAGATGATTTTTGGAGAGGGTGAGATCGCAAGGCTCTAATTGTTAAGAAAGTCATATTTGCCAGGCAGGCTCTGTTTGCTATGCAGTTCCTTTTAATATGCAGTCTCTGTTTGCTAGGTGGACTCGTTTCTAAGCACTCCATATTTGCTGAATGGGCTCGTTTGCTAGGCAGGCTCTTGGCAGAGGCGAGTGAGGATGAATCTCTACATGGCCCGTAAACTGTTCACTTTCCTTTTTTAATATCTATTCAGTGAGGGCGAATTAAAATAACTGTGGATACCATAGAGGAATCATAATTCTATCAGGAGTACTTTAGTAGCAGACCAAAGATAGTGAACGATGGTCTTGAATATTGCTCTCCGTCTTCAATGGAAAATAGTAGTTATTCAAGCCCATTTGGGTAGTAGCATGAGCAATCACATACCATGATTCTGCTTTGAAAAAACCATGACCGTTTGTTACTGTCACGGTTGACCACCATGTATCATTTCAGGTACTCGTACTAACAATCTGAGGATACCTACTCACCTGGGCAGGTATACGAGATGCCGACTGATCCGAGTTGGAATGTGCTCATATTCAAGAACCCACAAGACAAAGCCCTTTGGTATTCTCTGTATGGGAAGGTAGAACTTCGGAATAAATGTTGCATCTCCCTTGCTTCAGCCACGGACCGGCTCTCGCGAACGCAATTTCTGTAACATGCCCAGGTGATGTCAGAACAAGCAGCACTATTGCCCGGGAATTCCGTTCTCAATCCGCTGATCAGCTCGTAGAGCAATTCACTCGGAACAAAAATCCAAGGACTAGGTAGAAAGACAAGAAAGGCAATCCCGATCTACAGCCGGTCAGCAACTCCACAGGATAGCTCACTTCTTGCTCGTGTGACACATCCACAACCTCACACCAGCCCCAACCCTGGCTCCAGCCACCCAGCACTCCAGACAAAGCCAGGTCACCCCTGTTCCATGACGCACAGTGCAGAGCTAAGCATTAGCCAAGCCCATGCACTCGAGGCTTGTATCACGAGAAAGCGGGTCAATCGGAGGCAGCGTACGTGCGGCATGGCATGCTGTATCATACTGTATACCGGCGATGTACGAGGACGATCTTTACATTGTGGCTGGCTGGCTAGCTATGCACAAGCTCTCCTGACTAACAAGAAACCTTGGGAAAATGCTTGGTATGCGGGCTTCACGCCGGCACTTTGGTTGGTATGCTTGTACACGTCCACCGTACCCGCTTCGGTGAATGGATTTGCGGTGGACGTTGAATACGAATTCATCTGTTACTGGCGTCTAATTTGGCTGTGCTTGGATATTTTTTTGGATGGTACGGAGTACTCGCAACGGTATTTCAAGTTGTGGCCATTGTTCTCTTTGTTTTTGGTGCTCACCGCTACTTTGAAGGATGAAGCTTTCTTGTCCGAGTCAGGACTGAGTTTAGCAAAGCTTCCAAGTTCAACTTAAAATGATAGAGTGCCTCGGAAATCGAAGAAATTATCAGCGGCGATAATGGTGGGTTCCGCTGGCATTGGTGAGACATAGATATGGGGAAGTTCGAGTTCAAGTTGGTTACTATGCGGTTATCCACAGTACTATGAAGCCCTTGAGGCATCCTACTACTGGTAGGCCCCCCGGGAAATAGTATATGTCAAGTTCAGGTCCAAGTTGTCAACAACCCTGGATACCACAGTGGATCATACTATAGCAGCATCCAAGAAATCTAATAATATGAATACTACTAGTACTAGTAGCAACCGATCTCCCGTAACGCTCTGCAGCCACAATCGAGTTAACCTTTCGTCGACTGCACGATGCAAAAACCTGCTTTGCGCTGAGGTGAGACATCAGCTTGGGTTGGTGGATTCAGCGCATGCTCACCGCCACATGCGTCTGTGAAACCATAACTCGATATGTAGTACCTAGGTCAACCCATTGGCACGAACAGCGCCGACAGCACGCCCACGCCCACGCCGACGCCCACGCCTTACCTCTTTGTGGTTCGGATGTTTTTGCCGAGAGCGCTCGTGCCCATGGGGCTACGTAGTGCGGCAGGGGAAGGGGAAACAAGTAGTAGTTTACGATCGATCGCACGGGGGCTTTTCTTTCTTTGCCCTTGCGACTGACTGGGGGTGGGGGTGTTGGGGTTGGGGATGCAGATGGGGATGCAGACTTGCGTCAGGTGGATGCTTATCATACCAGGATTTTGCTGTTAGGTATATGCAGCGAGACTGGTCAAAATTTCAACGTCAGATGGATGGGTATCTAGTATGGTGATATTCCGGTATGGGCTGGAGAGAGATTATACATGTAAATAACACATTGGTCTATACATCGAGAAAAATCGAAGAAACACAGTAGGAAAAAAAAGTACGATCTGGATCATGTACAGTTTGTTGTGTAAGTAACTGAGTGAGTGTGTGCACTTGTAAAACCCAAAACATGGAACCCCTCTCTAGATTGATGCTATCATGGAAGAGATCTAGGCTGGCTAGAAAGCAGGAAAAAATTCAAGGCATTTATCATCATCTCTCATCAAGGTCATATAAAGACGGTGTTGAGGTGGTGGTAAGGTGCCGCTAGACAGCGGAGACCCCGGGGGAGGAGAAGGAAGAATTAGGACAAGGAGAGAGAAGAAAGGTGACAACATGACACCGGCGGCTACTGCGCCCAGGACTGGCGGAAATAGCCCTCGTCCATGGGCGGAGTGGAGTCATCGAAGAGACTGGATGGCCAGACGGGGAGCGAATCCTGCGAGGTAGGCAGATTGTACATGTCCTGCGCAGGGACCGGCTTGGACTCGATTCCCATGCTAGCTTGCAGCCGATGCTCGAGCGCGGCGGTGGACTCATTAGCCGACTTGAGGAAATCATCGATGTTGATCGACGCGAGATCATTTGACGAGAGGAGCTGCGCTTGAGGCAGTCCGACCAATGAGGAAGCGGAGCTGATGCGGAGATGGTCCATGTCCGATGCCTCACTGACGCTGTGCAGATCGTGCACGTCATTGTTGCCAGTGTGCCCGAGACCGGGGAGAGGTCCAAACTCATCGACTTCAGAGATGTCGCCAGAGGAAGACGGTGGCGGCAAGCCTGAGGGGTATGAGTTGTAGTCGAAGCTGGCATAGGACGGTGTCTGCGTGCTTGTTGAAGCAGGCACGTCCGAGTACAAGGGAAAGCTTGACCAATCGACTGACGGTGCACCCATGCCGGTCGATCCCTGAGGCACCTCGGAGTCGGGGGACGTAAAGTAAGGGTCGTGGTAAGGATCCTGGAATGCCATGCAGGTGATCGGAGAGTTGGTGGTCGTGGTCGGGAAGGTGGTATATGTCGAGACATCGAGCGGCGGAGGTACGCTGGTGATGATCTGCTCCAGAGGGAACTTTTCCATAGTGGCGGGAGCAGATGTTGGATTGGTAGCATTTTCTGCGGGCTTTTGATCCATTGCAGTAGTCGGCCTAGCAGGGGCGGCAAAGTTGTCTCAGGAAGGATGGGCCGAGGGGGGTGGTGCTCGAAACATCGTCCGTGGCTGCAGCGGGTACACTGTCGGGAGAGCCATTCAGCGAGGTTTGTTGTGACTGCGATCGAGGGTCTATTGACAGGCTTAGAGGCTCGTGAATAAATGCCGATTGGGTAGTCAGAGGGAGGTGGTCCACCGATCGACGAGGCAAGTCGGTCGGGTGGTGGATAGTATGAGACCGTGGGATTGTGTATGGCAATCCGCACTTGTGGGCCATGTCATTATGCTTATGGGCGGGTTTATGGTGACCGTCACGGAAGATTGTCAAGGTTGATTCGGACTTTGTTGACGTGAGGAGAGGCTTCCGTGGGAGTTCAGCAGGAACCGACGGATGAGGCACGGGCAGGCCGGTCTCCGGTACAGGGTCGAGATGAGGTTCCTTCTTCAGCGCACAGGTGCAGCGCTGGCCATGACTGCAGGCGCAGTCAGACGAGTCGGTTTTCTTTTTCTTGTGGTCGCCGCACTCGCATTTGACGTGGGTTGTCCGAGACTTGCGTAGGCCGCGGCAGTGGGTACATTGAGAGACTGGGCGGCCTTTTTTGTTGATGTGGGTCAAAGGGCGATCTATGATGGCGAATATGTGAGTTAAAATGATCGGATCGTCACAAAGGAATGAGTCAAAAGAGCGAGATCGACGTACCACTATGGTGACAGCTGCTGACCCGGTGACCCCGGACGCAAGCTTCACAAGCCCACTTCTCACCTTCAATAAGCATCGCGGTGGTTACTGCGAGGCACACATGCGATGAATCGCGAAGGTTGTATATAATTGGGGGTGTAAAGTTAAAATATTCAAAGTCGAAAGGTGTGGTCGTAAGAAGGACCGCGCAATGCCGTCAAGGCGGAATCGACGAGAGTTCAGCCGCGCAGAGGGCGGATTTAGAACAGAAAGCAAGTAAAAAGGGTATCTGAGGTGAAGGTTCCCAATGCGCGGAAGTTCACAGAACGCCGTTCCAGCAGTATACAGTGTATCGTATCTGAGGGATTCTTTTTTGTCGCACGGGTCGCAAGTTGGGAGGTCCCAAAAGAAGAAATTCAAAGGGTATCAAGAGATCAGAGAGTTGAGTGTGAGGCTTGGAGAGAGAGGAAATGAGGAAATTGGGGGGGAAAGGGGGACCAAGCCTACGCACCGTTTGGCGCCGGCCGTGAGACAGGACACCAAGTACCGGTAGTGGCGGCCAAGATAAAAAGCGTTCGATATAGAGAGTCGAGGAACACCCTATGCCGGGGAGAAAAGAGGAGGAAGATGGGGCGAGGGTTAAGTAACGGCGTGGGATTTTCACTGCGCAAGTGGTTGCTGCAGTCCGCCGGATAGAAGGCACAAGGAGCTGGGTGACCGTATTATTACTGTATTGTGACCAAAATCTTACAAGTGCGCTTGACGAGTATTGATCGGGTGTACAGAAGTGTACGGAGTACAGAAGGTGTAGACGCTGTGTACGTAACAGCAATTGTCATTGCCATTGGCATTAGCATTGTTCTCCAAGTTCCCAAGTTCTCCCAGGAGCACCCAGAATGTTTGTACCCAGTATGAAGTATGGAGTATGGAGTACCATCCATTATCCCTTTTGCGTGCGACCTGGACTGCAAACCCCCTTTCGCGGTGTACTTGGTATCCACCGTAGTCGAAGCCTCGGACGTGGCGGTCCCACCAGGCGATTCTGTTTTCTCTGGCTTAGGGTTTATTTGGGCCATGATTCCCGATGGGATCCATTGTGCGAAACTAGTTGATAAAGCCTAAAAAAAGGAGACACAACCTTGGAAACAATACGAGTATGCTAGAAGTACCCTATGGCGTAGTAGGGCAATGTCGCGAGGGCAATCCCTTTTGGGCGCCTGTCACCATATATTAGGTTCCAAGGTTCAGTTCGCTTGGAATTCAAGAGGCAGGAGGATACTCGTATGTATCTAACTGTACTCTGTACAGTCTCACATCATCAGAGCCGCCTTGCGTGGCGGGCCCTGCACGAGTTCCTCCACTCACCCGATGGTCGCCTTGCAGCCCTTCCCACGAGGAGAACATCCAGCTAACAAGAAGCGCGGGAGGAAGGCAGGGGAAAAGAAAAAAACCTGCCGTGCCACCGGTGGTGGACTAGCAGACCGCTAGGTAGAAATCCCACGAACAGAACGTTGGGGACCTCAGCTTAGCCGGCGGAGTCTCCGAGCACGGGCTTCGCACGGGCTTCGCACGAACTCGAACCCCACCCCACGATGGATCTCGCTAGTAAAATCTGGGGCCGCACCTCCAAGCCTTTGTGACACTTGGATCCTTCTCAAGGCGCTTGTTTTTTCAGTCTTCAAGTTCCTTGTTGACCATGGTCGGCTTAGAGATAATTGGATGGGCAGGATTGGTGGTGCCAGGGGATTCCGATCACGCTAAATCAGAATTTCAGGTACCAGATGTTCGAAGAAGTTTCCACGATCCCTGCAAGGCGAACCCACTGGAGGGTGATCATTCGCAACACGACCAGAGTCTCTCGCGCTTGGCGCAGTGTGATGGCCGATCCGAAGGCAGGTTTGCTGCAGCGTATCTCTTCTCCTATTCGAGGGTACCCTAGAGGGTCTGGTAGAACATAAGACAGTGGCAAGTACAACAGACCATGTATGTAGCATCTAGCATGTATGTACTCCGTACATGTACAGTAATGGAACACTACTCGTACAGCAATGATACGGTACTGCATGTCATAGCGTGGTTCAGGGCGGTTCGGATGGCGTCACAGTGCCTGCTTCGGGCGGGCTGCAGAGGGTTTTGGCGGCCAGCGGGTGGGCCCTGATCTGCGTATGCAACTGTGGACAACTCATGCCAATCAGCTTTTGGAAGGGTGTGGATTCCGTTTACAAAACCGTACTCTTTGGACGGTAGGCTGAGGGGCCATTTCAACCGGTCGCTGTATCACTGTGGTACGCCGGGCTCTGCGTTGGCAGTACGAGTAAATCGTGAAGTGAAATCTAATTTAAGGACCCCGTCGGGATGAACTTGACTAATTGCGTTAGTCTCACCAGGTCGAGGTTAATCATGTCGAGAATGCCATCCTACATACAAAGCCGAATCGGCATCAAAATTGGGCTGGTTCTTGTTCTTGCCCATTCCTACCAACACCTAGTCACGTCATGATATGCTTGAACCTTGCACCGAGGGAGTAAGAGTAAGAGTAAGCGAAGACTATTCCTACTCGTTCTCTCCATCCTCTTCATCCTCTGCATCCTCTCCATCGTCATCATCGTCATCCTCATCCTCATCATCGTCTTCATCTTCCTCTTCCGTTGATGAATTAGCCGGGGCCTCCTTATCTTCAAGGAACCCCCGCCGGTACCGTCTAACTCGGTCATCAAGATTCCACAGCCTTATGCCCATCTCTCGCTTTCGCTTGTTTTGGATCGTGTACCTCTCGCGCACCAGGTCGAGAAACTTCTGTTTGCCCTTCTCGTATTTCTTGGGATCTGTCTCGCACCGAACTTGACCTTTCAGTTCCCCCAATTCCTCCACATAAGCCATATCATCCTCGGCGATGTCAAAGCCCATGCAGACAGGACATGCCTGGTCCATCACGACACCACTCCAGGTGACAAGACTCGGAAACATTTCTTCATGATCTTTTTCCTCGGGGTTCCAATGTTCATTGAGGCAGAGAGGGCATAGCTTTCGAAAGTAATCTCGAAGCACGTCCCTGGTAGCAAGTTAACTACACATTCGAGAAATCATTTCAGGCTGATCAGCTCACCTTCCATGGGGGTTGACGGTAATTCGAATATTATCGTATTGACGGTAGATTCTGGCCAAGGGGCGTAGGACATCTTTGAGTGACTTGATCTCTCGATTTTCGGTGTCCTCTTCGTCCTCGGACTCTTCTGGGATATAGTTTACATCTGGCCCGAACATACACCACCGACCTTGTGTGGCCGTTCTGGAATATAGTCCCATGGAGACCATGATGGAATCCGTTCGCGGACATGGTGGATTGTCATCTGGGCAAGATCGCACAATCCAGAGGTCGGCTCCTTGGATATCGATTTTGGAGGGAAAGACCATTATGATGTCTTCAACCTCCACTGGTTCCGCGAGTCTTTCGAACATTGTGGGCAACCTTGGAATCTTGGTAAATTTGAAACGGAATGTAAGTAGCGCAGGGTTGTGATGGAGAGGGAGAGGTGACGGGATCTGAAGGTGGTGAATGGGACAGCAGCAGGCACGGAAACATGGCAACATTCACAGCAGGCTGCTAGCAGTACCCATACTATTAGTAACTGCTATAATACCTGCCTGGGTAGGTGTGTATTCTACATTGCATAGAGTCTACTACACGGGTAGTGTCAAAGTAGATCCATGTTAGTCCTCTCCAGATGCATACTGTGTAAGCAGTCATCGTCAGTATGCAACATGCCAGCAGCCAGAGTACTAGCAAACTGCAGTTTCAAAGTTCCCAGCGGATCAAAGTACCTAGATATACTAGATATACTAGATATACTACCCTAGATGTGCTGGATATGTATAACGATAGTCAGTGGCCCCGGACGGGAAATAGTGTTAATCCGCTGGACACGCAGAAACGAAAGGCCGTCCTCCGCTCCGATGAACTATACCAACTGTATACTCTATCGACTCCATCTCCGTAGTAATGTAAATCCTGTCAGAGATATCGCGAAATGGCAAAATGTTGGTGTTGCTCGATGCGGCCGCGCTAGCCCCTGCGATCGATTCCCCCCGCGAATTTTTTAGTTTAGTCTGGAGAGGGAAAAAAAACCTTGCCTCTTGCACTTCGCGTCTTCACATCCTTCCATCTCCCGGAAGCCCACCCTCCCCCAACACATCAATCCTCCTGCTGTTTTGAGTTCTATTTTTCTCAAAATGAACTCCCGTGAGCAGTCTGATCTGCCTTCCGCCCCCTCTTACCCATCTCCCAATGGTGCGCAGATGGCCCAGGGCGCTATGCAGTACTACAGCAACCGCCAGCTGACAACCGATGAGCTTCTATCGGCTGAACTGTCGCGCGAAACATCCGGCCCTGGCCTTGGTGACGGCTCGAGCAATGGTGTCCATCACGGTCAGTCGATGGTTCTGGGCTCCAACAATCCTGGCGACATGGGTCGTCCCTCGTCAGAGGACCAACACGCGCATCAGCACATCCTCCATCAGTTTACCCCAAGCCAGCAGGTCGGCGTGGACCCAAACCACGACCTTAGCTATGGCGAACAGAGCGCGCGCAAGCGATCGAAGATCTCGAGGGCCTGCGACGAATGTCGGCGCAAAAAGGTATGTCAAGACACTCGCAAAGCGCGACGCGTGACCCACTCACTAACAATTCGATTTCTCACCTCTAGGTGCGATGCGACGCGAGCTCGGAAACCGGCCTGGAAACATGTTCGAATTGTCGCCGTTTGGGAGTTGTCTGCCAGTTCAGTCGCGTGCCGATGAAACGCGGCCCTAGCAAAGGGTAGGATGAACCCGCGCACACGACCAGAAGATGATCCCAACTAATCCACTTGCAGTTACATCAAGGAACTCGCCGAACGTCTTCATACCCTCGAAAGTCAGATGCAACCTGGAATGGTCCAAGATGTCCCCTATCAAGGCATGAACGAAGTTTCCCTCGGAAGAGGTTATCAGGACTTCACATCGCCAGTGGACACAGGATCGGCCAATCGCAAGAGAACCTACTCCGTTTTCGAGGGCCTCCCGAGCTCCTCATTTGCCCAGCCTTCATTCAATACTCGCGGGTCACAGAATGCTTTCGATGGAGCAGATGCGACGGCGGATCCATACAACCCGACTGTCGCCAGTGGCGCTGCGCCCAAGCCTGGGAACCTGTTCTGGAACCCAACTGGGTCGGAGCAAGATCTGCCCACTGGTCTTGAGATGACTGAGCTCCCCCGACACGAAGGAGACGAAGACATGAGCCCCGTCACCCTCGACGAGACTGCCCTCGATGTTTATTACCAAGAAGTTCACACTCTCTTGCCAATTCTCCCACATACCAAAGAGCGCACGCTGGAGCTTCTCCACCAATGCCATCGCGAAGCCCAGGAAATCTTCTGCTACGCGCTATATACGGTCACACGTACCGATCTAACCCGCGTCGCGGGGAGCTTTGAAAGAGTAACCTCATTTGGCCACGCGCAAGACTTGCTTCTGTTCCATACTCGCCAACCATTGATTGTCCACTCGACACCTGTTAACTTGATTTGGCTCCAGAGTCTTTTGTTGATGACCATCGACTGTGATACACGAGGCCCGGATAACTTGGTGGGCAATGATAGCGTGCCAAAGCACACTCTGGTGTCGGCCGCCAGCAAACTGGGATACGATCTGGCCAAGAGTCAGGGCCAGTTGAAGAGCAAGCGTGCTTCAGACCCTGATATTGACTCAGAAGCCAACCTCACTAGACGCATTTACGTGTCGTTGATCATCTTGGCGCGGTGGTATGCGATTAGCGTAGCCGATGCCACTGTCCTCAGTGGACAGGAGATTGGCGGTCGTGAAGATGAACGGGTTGTCGGTCAAATTACGACAGGCATTGCTTGTAAGTTTCAAAGCGCGTTGCTTCAACTGAAACAATCAATACTAATTTGCGCTTTAGCTTATTCGACCTTCCTTTCCGAGATGGTTACATTGGCCACCGTCGAGACTAACGTCTGCCAAACAAATACAGGACTGGGCCGTATGGTCGGAGCCAATCTGGTCGCCTCGCTTGAGCGCCTTTCGGATATGGAGGACATCTTCAAGATCCACGAGCTGCCCGAAAACAGCACAGCCCGCCCTCTCTTCGAAAGCCTTCAATCTCAGCTCTACTGGACTGTGCGTCTATTGATCAAACGCCATGTATTCGTCTACAGTCCATACGAGATTATATACTGCGCCCAGGAAGTCATCAACGAGTTGCACAAAGCAACACACCAGAACCGGCTCCAAACACCCTTCGACCTGCACAGCCTGGCCCTCGCCTCAATGACCCTCCTCGAAGCCACAGTCCTTCCGGAATACGCAAACGAATGCTGGGACTCTTTGCAAAAGGTCGAAGAAATCCTCGACCGACGCTCGAAGCGCGCCGCCTCGGCGGCCGAATTTGAGAACCTTTTCGGCACGCCTAGCTGGGACGCGAAGATCCGGGTCTTCCTCGAGTGGCGCCGCATCAAGTCGCAAGAGAGTCAGCTGCAGGAATCGATCGGCGCCGTCGCAAAGGTCTCCGGCCAAGGGTCCGGTTCTCAACCACCGATGGGACCGAACGAACAACGCTCCCTCCAGCATCTGGCCGATCTCGCCGTTGGTGCCGAGGGCTCCGTGGCTCAGAATGCGCCATCTACCCCGCCGCCAGGTCTTTCTGCTGAGCACGGTGAGGGGTCGCCGAATCTTGCTCCGCAGCTGATGCAATCGCAGAGTGGCCTTGGTCGCGTTATCGTTGACTTCACCATGCTTACCAGAGAGGGATACTTGAATGTCTTCTCTGGCTTAATCTATCGCCGGAACCGTTAGATGTTGTACTACCAATTGGCCTGGAATTTGCTTGCATTTAGCTTTCCAATGACCTGTGCCTTCGTTGTTCCGTTGTCTCTGCTTGGAGTTAGGGCCTGTTGTAGGAAATACCTCTGTCTCTTTTATATGCCTCAAACTCGATTTTCAATATATCCTTTCTCTTTGTCGCATTGGGTTACCTCTCTACCTCTTTTTCGGACGGTTGTTTGCAGTCGGAAGAAATATAATATTTGCTCTTTTTTCCTTGGAATAGCGAAGACGTAAAGAATGCCGGTGGCTGGGCGAGTGTCACGGTCCACGGGTGTTTTGTCTATTCCATTTCTATGCAAAATAGGTAATAGTAGTATGGAGTAGGACTTCAATCAATAGCATTTGGTAGTCAACTGAATTAGTATAATGCTGCTAATGCTATATCAATCAGACATCTTGGATTGGGGGAATCTGTGGAATAATTTAAGTTCGGGATGAAGGATCACAACTTGAACACGCCTGAAAAATAAATATATCGGCAAGTAACGAGATAGTGAAATTGCAACACATGAGCCGTGATATCCGAATCGAGAAGGGCGAAAAGAAAAGGAGTCATAGAAATACCTCCCTACTTCTTGATGCCAAAAGCAAAACGTCTCCACGTCGCTTCGACATCCTGGCACAAAGTCATAAAGCTGTCGTCATTAATGAGCTCGCACATCCAGTTTTCCAGAAACTCCACACGCTCGGGATTTGGAGAAGAGAGATAGGCCGAAAGTTGTTTTTCGATAGAAGGTGGAACCGCATGCTGCGTCGGTGATTGCGATCGCCTCACTTGAATATTGTTCGAAGTACTATTTCGAGCTACTGCCGCGTAGACAGTTGTGGCAATTCGCTCGGTTGGCCTCTGGGGTTGAGGCTGGTTCTCCTTGTCTGGTTGAGAGTAGGGCTGGGTGCTTACTGGTTCCATCGGTTCTGGGTATGGCTGTGTCGGCACAAGCGATTGGGACGAGGCATCCGACATAATAGTATCACTGCGCTCAAGTGTATTGCGGTTGGCCTGATTCGCGAGTTGGCTGACCCTCGAGGATTTCGGCTTTTCTGCGGCCGGTTCTATTGTGGGTTCTGCTCGCTTTCTCTTCGTACCGGGCTTGAGGAAGGGTAAGTCTCTCTTTGGAGGGAGGACTTGGTTCAACTCCTGGATGTCATGATATCCTTGTGTTGTAGAAGGCCGTGAGCTCGTCTCGGCATGCGCTGCCTGTTGCGCCAGCCCGGCGCTATGTTCAATGGATGGGATATGTAGCATGGGTCTTGTTGGTCCCAATTCTTGGTCAGCGGGCAAAATAGTGCCTGGGGTGGTGTTGGGAGACGGCGATGGGGGATAGGGCACTACGAGTGTCAACACAAAGGAGGATAACCGGCGTGGAGTCGGGTGTAGGGGTCATACCTGCTGGCCCCTGGGCCATTTCATGAAAGGGTCCGGTAGCGTTGCTTTCTGGAGTCATTGCTGTGTTTCCATTCTTCCATATGATAGTTGGCGCCTGGAATGATGCCCATGAGGATGAGGACGGTAGCTGTCGCGGGGGCTGCTGCACTGCTGTTGCGTTACCTTCAGTAATAGGACAGTTAATTTCGCAGAGAAGTGAAAGTGCGGTGTAAAAATCCCGATCTGCGAGAAACTTGAGTTGGAAGCGACGAATCTGCTTCGGAATATCTTTTGGTTAGCCGTTGCTTTCGTTCATTGAGTTCTTGTTTTCTGCGCACCAATCCGTTTTGTGGGTATTTCACAGCCAGGCAAGGTGATTTTATCACAACGGCGAATGAAGATTTTGTTACAAATCCATTCAGTAACACGTTCGATTGTACGAGGCGTGCGATGTCAATCTGTTCCTATTTGTGTTCGACTCGCAATCAGCCTTCATCGCGAATGATTTTGATTCGAAAGGAGGGGAATTGACAATACCAGGACAGAATCATTTCGAATCACTTTCATAATAAGCTTCGACGATGCGGATCCAGTGGCTGCAAATTTATCGAAGATGCAGACAAGATCCCCATTGCCATTGATATGACACCAGGATAGAGGACCGGGGTGGTCGATCGGGGTTGTAGTGTATGAGAATTTGGCGAGCGATAGACGAGTCCCTGAAGGATGTTCTTGTCGAAATTTGGACTGCTGCATGATGGGGATTCTTCAAAGCCGTGTTGGAGTTGAAGTTGGAGAGTGAATCAGTAGATAGTTAAGTTACTACTACTCTACTCGTACGAGTAGTATAAAGTGGACGACACCTGAATTCTCCGGCGTCAACGCTAGGCCTAAAATGGGGAGACTTCCCGGAACCGGAACAACCAACTTCCGGCCAACGCGCCCTGGCGAAATGCGCGGACTTTGGCTGATCCTAGGATCAGTTTGGTTGATCGCAAAGCCACAGCTCCTCCAGCCCTCGAGGGCCCGCGTATAAGGAATTGACGATTATCCGCCCTTTCACTCCTGTCGCCTGGTGCTATCCACTTCGCGCATTTTTTTCATTCCCCCTCAACTTCGCCTGATGAGCAACTAGCTCTTCATCTTCGCCTGCGCATCCTTTGAGCCTTCGTATCGAACGCGCCTGCGCACTGTCCCTATCAAGGTCATCCAACGATTCTACGCATGACGAATCGATCTATTCTCCTTGACCTGCGCCGTATTTACTCCCCCCGAAAACATTGAAATCGCGAATCCTTCGCCTACGATTTGGGTTTCTGGTTGTTCGATTCGCATCCTAGATCAACCCCAAGGACGTCGATCAGCTACCGGTGCTGTTCCCACGACTGATCCACGGTACCTGAAGAGGATTCGGTCTGCCTGATATTCGCTTCGACCTGATATTAGTCAAAGGGTTCAGGAAGGGCAAACATCGCAACCCTTCTGCACACTGTGACTGCATACCGACTGTGTCTAGCTGTCGCGTCCGCAGAGCCTCAAGATGTCTGCTACCACACCCCAAAGAACATCCCTGCGACGTAGGAACCCCTAACACCATCCCCTGATGGATTATGCTAACATGATACAGAGGGCTTGCGCCAGGCCCCCAAGGTCAACCAGCCTTTCATTCCCGACACAGCGCCGACCCGCCGTTCGCATCACCCCAGCTTTACATCTCCTCAGCCCCAAATGTCTCCCCATATGAGCATGAATCCCGCAGCGAACCCGCAGAGTGCACACTTCGCAGTTGATAGCTGGGAAGGAAAAGGCCAGGCGCAAATGCCGATGTCTGTGCGGGAAGTTCCAACCCCAGGTAACCGACCGGGGCACTTTGCCAGCCTTTATGATACCCGGAATAAAGCAGCCAAGGGCGCTGATTTCTATGATCCGTACTTCCCCCTCCGGTACCTTGAAGTGCCCCGAAGTGAGTGCTCTCTCTTATTCTACCCATAGCATTGCCACTGACTACATTGATTTCTAGCCGATCACATTTACAAGCGCGCTCACTACGGCCTCCAGTCTGGTATCCAAGATGAGGTCGACTTTGCACTATATCATCTGGTCCAGATATCCAACCAAAGGTGGGACAAGTTCAAATTCGAGGGATTTCCACTGCTGGCGGAAACTCTCATGCAGAAGGCGTTAGATGTCACATTTCTTTGCACGGGTGTCAAGTGGGAATTTGAATATGACCCCCCTCAAACCGTCCGACCGAGTCAATGTTCTCAACTCGTTGCATGGAACGCGAACTGTCCTTGACAAGATCCAACAAATCCCGATCACTCTGCCGTCCGATACGCTGGAGACCTTCGAGTCCAACCACCTGATTCGGAATGTGAGAGAGGCAACTTTAGTGTTGCGCAACATGGTTCTACTCGCAGAGAATGCATTCTACGTCTCTAGATATGCCAGTGGCCTTTTACGAGACTTTCTAGTCATTCTCATGAATTTACCAAATCAGCCTCGATTTACTGAAATCAAGAATGATGCGCTAGATATCGCCGAAGAGGTGACGAAATACATGCGGACAGACGCTCAAGACCCTCTTTGGGTTTCCCTCGTTGGCTTCTTGGATTCACCAGACCGGGCGCACGTCATTCGGGCTCTTTGGGCATTGACTCACTTTTCCACGGAACTAGAGGATGGAGATGTCAACCGGGCCATCGATCACATGTCCAAACCCACTCTCCAACAGATGTACTATCACACTCTCTTGGATCTCGATAGAGATATCCTGAGCGGCGCCCTGGATTTCTGGTACCAATACACGTTAAGCCCCGACAACATCGAAACCCTGATGGATGTGATCAACTTCCCCACTATTCTTGTCCCTCGTATGGTCGCACTTCTCACATATGAAGCGCGACCGACAAAGAAGGAGACAATTCTGCAAGAAGAGAAGGTCGCGCCGCCGCCATCAGATATCCCTCGCGTTCCACAGGAGCTGCTGGAGAAGCTGATGGAGCTACCAGAACCAGAGCGAAGCTCACAGTGGCTCCGTTGCTGCTTTGTCGAGGATGCTGAGTGCGAAATTACTCAAATTGCTCTCTGGCAAGCCTACCAAACTCGATTCGCCAATCCTCAACTTCCAGGTAGCGGTGTTCTTCCCGCAGCTGAATTCATTAAGAATGTTAGCAACACCTTTACGAATGCACAGGCTCAAGTCATTAATGGCCCCGGGACCAACACCAAATTTATCATCAAGGGTATTCGGCCATTGGAAACCGCCTATACGTTCGACGGTTTCCCATATCTCTACTGCAGGTGGGCAGATAACTCAAAGCCATCTAAGATGTGCCAACGCGCATTTGTCTCCCCCGCCGACCTACGAAACCACATCTTTGGCGAGCACATGAAACTGCAGGCTACTGAAACACCCGGAAAGTTCAGAATGGACGCTGCTGAAACACCCATCCATGGTTGTCAATGGGATAACTGCACACGATTCCGAGTCTCCGGGCCTAGTGCCAATACTTCCTTGGTTGCTGGTCACATTATCTCTCATCTGCCTGAGGATAGACCTGCTGATGCGGAACCTCCAAGCACCAAGCGTCCTATTCTCCAGGAGCGAATAGTCCGCAAGTGGTACTATATGGATACCCCGATCAACGAGAAGCACGAGCCGATTGGAGTTGCATACAAGGCAGCCTTAGTCTTGCGCAACATTGCTCGCGGTCTTCCTAACCGAGAAGCTATGAAGTATGGAAATGTCTCCTGGAAGAAGGCTTGCTTTGTGAGCCAACGCGCCAAGATCGTGGAGGTCTGGGACCGCAACCGTGCACTACGCAAGGAGCTGACTGAGTTGATTATGGTTATGGAAAAGGAAGTTGACTACTGATCTTGTCCTACTCTGCCATCTGTTTCCTCTTCGCGCTCTGAATTTCTTTTTCGCCTGGAGCACAATTTTCCGTCTTTTGTACGACTAATACCCTTTCCCCTAAGCCTGTCCTTTGGGGCTATCCCACCAGGGGAATTCCCGACCGATGTCCTCCCTGGTGGTTTCCATATTTTCTTAAACGACACTGCTTGGCCGAAATGATAGGCCGAGAGTGGTCTTGTACGCGAAAAGTATAGCGGAGTTATTTCCTGCGGGATCCGGGTGTCGGCTGTTTTCGATTTTCCGTTTCCAAATGTTTTGGCGTCTGGTCGAGGAAGATAGAGTCTGCATTCTGTCCTTTGCTTGTGATGCACTTCCTTTCTCGGTGTTGCCTGCTTTGTTTGTGTTTTACGTCTCACTGATGATTCGTGTACCATAGGGATGGAGTAGGGGCAGAGCAACTGGGTGCATAGAGCCCAACAATCTAGTTGAATTTTTTTTTTCTTCCGTTGGATATTTCAGTTTCAGTACCTAGTAGTAATCCTTGATTTAAAGCCTTCCAAGGTTGGCAGGAAGACTTACTCCAGTTAGGCCTTCTTTCAGTTGCAACACTTGGATGTTAATGATCATTTATTGATAACTTGAAAGAGAAGATCTAAAAACATATAGTACTTCAGCCACCCTGAGGCACGGCGCCTTGACCATGCAATCTCACCGGCAAAGAACGGTCCGCTTGGAAGCCATTGAGAAGGCTTTGAATGTTTATGTGTCATTGTACATTTTCTGATAAACGCTTTGCGGCCCAGGTTTGTTCTGTCGTAGGAAAGATGTCGTGTAATGGTATTTTGAGGTTGCCCATAACTTCGGGAGATTCCCCAGGGCTAACTGATGCAGGCGAATCTCCATTGGAGGTTTCTAGAGTCCGCGAGTTTTGGGGTACAATTGATTATTTAAAGGGTCCAACAAGAATTCGTCGACCTGTGTCGCTGAATTTTCCGCTACTACGTTTGTGGGATGGTAGAAATAAATACTACTACTGCTAGTAGTACTTACTGTCCAGGTGGTCAATCATGTTTCGTTAAACTTTTGAGTACGCCGGAGCTCACACCGAGGAACCACTCGGGCATCAGAATGGTAAACCAAGGTCCTACACATGAAAGATAGTAGCAAAGATGATTTTAACGTCATTATTTGTTTTTGACTCAATATGTCTCATTTGCTTGGTGAACCTTTCATCCGATTTAACTCATGTCAAAATACAGATCATTCATCTGCATTGATAAAACTAATCCACCAAAACATCCACATTCGAAATGAGCCAATACCCAAATTCAAGCCTACCTGAGTTTCCATCCGACTTGATCGAAGCAGTTCAAACCGCCCACGAAGAAGCTGCCGGAGAAAGTGCCACCGAAGAGCCATGCGTCTTTGTGCTTGCTCATGAGAGAATGCTAAGCAACACCGAATCAGAATTCATTATTGAGGGTGTCTTCAGCACCCTAGACTCACCAAATCAAAAAACGATGGAATTATTCAAGGAATATTATACAAGCTATCAGCCGCCCGACTTCTATGCCCAAGGAACTTGGCAAAATATCGGAGAAAACTCCGTCGGCTGGTATGTGTCGGGGAACGGGACATCGGCTCTGGAAATTCATGATCACGAGGGAAAAACTTGTCGAATATACGCTGAAAGACACGAAATCGAGTTTTTTCTTCTTCTTTTTTTATGAGGAGAATCTCTACTTTGAACTGATATCTGTGGAATGAAAGTCGCAAATAGCCCGCCTAGTAATCACCAGTAGGTAGGCCAACAGTAGGAACATGCTGTCCATGAAATCCAAATCCAATCGCCCCATTTACATGCGCCCGGCCCAGCTCGTTCAAATTTTGAGCATCGAGGCAAAGCAGATAGCTCGTGCCTCGCATACCATCAAGCACCACGCTAAGAAGTACACCATCATCCTCTTTTGTGCCATTTGGATTAGCGACAAAGATCGGTTCTCCCGGGGAATGGCCATGGCGCGTCCACAGCCAAGATTCTTGACTATCACAGTCGAACTTCATGAGTCCATCAGTGAGAGTAGCCTCTCCACGAGAAGTGGTAGCGTAGACATATCGATGTTTCTTAGTGCCGAAGCTAGGGTTCATTGTCGGCAACTCGGGGGAAAACCTCATGCATGCGGACCATTCAATGCTAGCCTTCTGAGGCTCAGGTGTTGGCGTTGATGGAAGGGTTGCAAGACGGAAACGTGTGAATGTAGAGCGCATATTATCGCCTCTGTTCGCGATATGTTCTTTGGCTGTCGAAAGCGAAGACTTGATGAATTCATAGCCGAGGAGATCGATTACCGCAGAAGAGTCCATTCTGACAAGTTCCGCAACGATGTCTATTTTGGATGGATCCTCCGGAGACGGCTCTTGCCAGGCATTGATCGTGTGGAAAGAGAAGAAAGCAGGACTCTCATATGTTGCGACTACGCCTTGGCCATGCTTGCGATCAATCACGTACCATGTAGCGGGCTTTGTAGGGTCTGTTGGCATGATGGCGTCCTTGAAGACCCCATTGCCGGCCTTCAGGGGATTCACATGAGAATTCCAAACGCAAAGAAGCACAAAGTCTTCAGTGATGAGAAGGGAATGGATGTATGCTGGAATTCCTGGAAATGTCGCGAGGATGGTGGTTTTCCCCGTGCTTGCAGAAACTTGGAAAATGCGGTATGTAGAAGACGCCCCAATCTCAAGGTTGAAGTTGAACACATCCCCCGTCGTTGGATCAGAGCGCGGATGTGATGCTACGAGTGGTCCAGCCAACTCAGGATGAAAGTCTTTCTGGGAAGCTCGACCAATTGGCTCCAGTGTTTCTGGGTCTAGCTTCTTGAACTCGTTGTGATCGGTCTTCGCGTACAAGTTTCGAATTCCCTTGGAACCGGACCACCGATCGAGAGATTCTTCACCTTGAGTATCAAGACCTGGCATATTGACCGAGAGGGTAACGCCAACATTTGACATCGATGGGCCTTCGGCAGGAACGAATTCACTTTGGACTTTGCTATACAAAGCCTTGCATGGATCTCGTTTTTGGCCGAACGAATGGCGTGTATCCCTGGACCCTGTCTTCCGAACGTATTCAAGAAGCTGATCTGTCGAAAATCGAGAGTTATAAAGGACTCGAGGTGGGGATTCGGAATCATCGGGCGCGATGATTTGGAATCGGTGGGTTTGACTGAAGCCATCAAACCAATGCGAGACCTGCAAGAGATGGCCTTCATCCGTTTGAACCTGGCTTTTGCCCGGACCTGTGCGGTACAGGGTTCCGGCGGCATATACAGGAATCTGGCCTGTGACTTGAAGTTCTACTGGGGTAGGTTGTTCATATTCGGGGTCAAACTGATAGTCATGTCAGATATTAGGCTTGTTGTTTGGTTGTAACATGGCGAAGTGGCAACATACACCCTTTTCGTTTGGCCAATTATTCCAGTGCTCCGCGACATCTTTGGAGCTACTCGCCACGGCAGTATTTGCCTCCCCGGTCAAAGTAGGCATGTTATATTTATTTGGGTCACGGTTGTTGCTGTGGTCCTAGGTGATGGAAGATGAAATTGAATGAATTGGAAGTTCAAGTTGGTATATACCTAGGTATGTCGGAAGTGAATAGAAAAGAAAGTAGCGAAGACATCTTTATCCTTAAATGAGGGTGAAGTCCAAACTTTACCCACTTGACGATCTCCCATCCGCCTAATCCGTCGGAGGAAACGCTCGTTTGTTCGCGACGCTGTTTGGCTGGGCGAAGCGGGGGAATCGCGACGGACCCCCCAAACTGACCTGCGACCGCCGAGTTTCTCACTCAGCCCCAGTCTCTTCGGTACTAGTATTTGATTCTGGTCTCAGGTAGATGGAAAATCCAGACATCTCTTTCATCCCTACTGACTCGCAACAGAGCAGAAACGGTTGTTCTGCCGGGCGCGAGGCTCGCTGGACAGGCCTTCCAGAACACGTCGCGAAACCCACCGTTCGCTAAAGAAACTTCAGGTTCGTTTCGGATCTTTGTACCTCTGGTTTCGGAACGAATCAGAAGCTCGGAGTTCGCAATCACAGACCCCCATAAAATTCTGGCTCGCCTGTCATTCCTCGAAGCGGTTTAGCAAGTTTGGCGGGCCCTCGGGATGAACGTCTCACCGCAGGAAAAGCAATGGCACTGTGACCATTGTCCGTCGGTCTTTGGGCGCCTGGACCACCTGAAACGACATCTAATGACTCGTACGTATCGGTTCCTGCTGATGCCTCATGCCGAGTGTGGATAGTGGCTAACTTCGGTAGACAAGCCCGAAAGAAGCAACGTATGTCAGTTCTGCGGGGCTGTGTTTAGTCGAGGGTATGTGGTATAGCTGCAAAAACATCTTAGTCCGAGCAATTGCGCCAAGGGAGTTGCTGACAGTTATCCAGGGATGTGCTTCGGCGTCACTGGAAATCATGCCAATCCCGGGTAGAGAAGGGCGAAGAGATCCCAGAAAGCCAACGAGGTGGAAAACCTAAACGCGCGTGTGACAGTTGTGCAAATATCCGAAAGGCCTGCAACGGTGAAATTCCATGCTCAGAGTGTATTAATCGCGGGCGAACATGCACTTATCGACGACTTGATGAAAGCGCCGACACTTCTATTCACACTGGTCAAGCCGAGGGGAGCACAACTCAAGACGTTAACGAAGGAGAAAATCCAGGCGCGAAAGATATCCCTGAAGATGGACAAACATGGGACCTTGGACATCAAAATTTCTATCCAAGCAAGGAATCGTCAAAAATCGTCTATTCGCGCAATCGATATGGGACCTAATTCGGTACATCCTTCTCTCGTATACATACCCCTGAGTCGATGCCAGGATCGGGCCTGTCTCAATCCGCCCACAGACGCTCCTCCACACTGACAAGCATTTGTGTCGTGAAAAAGATGAGACATAATGCAACTAATACATATCATGCGGTTTGCTATTTCCAAATTAAACAAGTCGACCTCAGCGTCGATTCGAGAAAACTTGGGGAAGAGCGTATGCGGGATATTTGCATCATCTCATTTAGCATGGCAATTTTAATTCTTGAAAATGTCTAATGTTATTGAATATGTCTATCGTAACTCGATTTATAGTAACACAGATCTTGCACGTCGCTCGATTTGCATGACTCAGTTGCTTATGCTTCATGCCCAAAAAAATCACGGGCCGCTCATTCATACATCCAACACGCTTGAAAAGTGAATAACAAAGTGATCTATCCAGAACACATAAATTATTCTGGGGAACCGCAGGTGAAAACACCGTGAACGGTACCGGCCTTGTACTTGTTCATCTGAAAGATTCTTATTAGCATTGAAAATGGGAGCAGAAAAAAAGGTCGCTAGCTCAATGACCATGGGTGGTATACTTACAATATCATCAATACTGGAGTAAGTTCCTCCAACCAAAATGACCATACCGATTAGGAAGACGGCAAGGTTGACCATGCTGGTGACGAGGTTCTTAGGCTCGCGCCAGCTGCCCTCCTTGAGAAGCAAGAACCACATCATTGGAGGGAAGTAGAAGGTAAATCCAGAGATAAACAGCGACGAAGAGATGGAAAGCAAATCGTTGAAGAAGGGAATCACCTCGGCAATGATGAATGCAAGGATGGTACCAACAGTGATAACAGCCAACCAGGTCAACCAGCCAGTCTTGGTGTTGATGAACCGGATAGGAGAGTTGGCGAAAATACGGCCGTGGACAAGACGTCCAAAAACAACGGTATTGATCGAGCCAGAAATAAAGATAACAGGCAAAGCAACTCCGAAAGCAATACGGCTAACCAGATTGCCAGCAGAGAGAAGGGCAGGGCTTCCAACATCCTGGCCAACGAAGGCGTAGATGAGAGCGCCTGTAAGGGTGTAAATAAAAATCTCAATCAGACCCAGAGCCCAGATTGACTTCACATAGTCGCGGGGTGTGTGCATTTCGTCCATGAAGGAGAATTGGCAGAGCGCAAAGCTGTACGCGAAGACAATGTTCGACACGGAAACAAAGGCCTCAGAGAAAGTGATACCCTCTTTCGGCCACGCAGACCAATCAACAGCTGCAAGACCACCGACTTCGTTACTCGATTCAATTCCAGTAGCGATAATCGTGATACCAATAGCGAGAATGATGGAGGCAAAGTCAATATAACCTAGGACAGCCATCTCGGTGAAACTAGGAGGGATGGCGAGGAGAAGGAGAATAATCGCAGACACCACACCGAAAATCACTGAGCAGATTTCGCTACTTGTGATGTTTCGGAAGGCGATAGTTCCAGTAAGACAGTGAGATCCGGTAAGGAAGAGCAATTGGATAGCCAGCATCCCGTTCACAAGCTCAAACCCGAACCGAGGACATCCCAGACGTGCACCCATCAAACGACCCGCATCGGCATAATGAGCAACCTCAGGGAATGCCAGTTTAACTTTGCCGATAATGTAACTGGTATAGATGGCGACAATTCCGAGGCCAACAGTAAGAATAACGCCAGCCACCATTCCGAGGGTGGCGAATGAGGAAGGAATGGACAAACTTCCCAGCGCAATAGCCTCGACAATGAGGACGACGGTAAGTCGCTTCCATCCAAGACGGCTGAACTTCTGAATACCGCTCTCATAGACATGGCGGTCTGCCTCGTTCATATATCCGACCTTGATATCTCTCTCGCCGAAGTCCTCGGTGGGCTGCATCTTCTCCTCATCGCGATTGGGAGTGTCTTCGGTCGGAGCAATCGGGGCCGTGGTATTCTCCGGTTGGCCACGATGGCCGTGAGATATCTCGTCGTATTCCATGATTGGGGGTAAAGGACAGGAGGGATGGACGGAGGGAAGGAAGAAGCGAAAGGTGCGTTACAAGAAGCCAAGCTTCGCGTGCAGAAGTTTTGCTTAGGAAGCCAAATGTTTATGAATGGGGCAAAGCTCGGAATTTCGCCGTCCAACCAAAATTTTCAGGCTCTCGGAGTGGCTTGAAACCCTATTCGGAATCCACCCGAAAAAGAAGATCGTCTGATCGAACCGCTTGTTGAAGAGCAAAAAAGAAGCGATGGAAAGTTGAGAAAGAAAGTAGGCCAAATGAGGCGGGGAAGTTACACTCAAAGAGTCAAGTCTCTGGGGAACACGAGGCTTATTGTACTATGCGAGATCCCCGGGGTTTTTATGTAAAAGAAATTGCAGCATCGTTCAAAAAAGTGGGCGATGACCGCATCTGGAGTCGAAACAGAACAAGCCCTAGCATGGATATGGATAGACCCACTATCTTCTTTTTAGGGTTCTCCGATCGGCGAAACGTAATAATGCCGCCTCAAATTCCTTCTACTTCTCGGCCCGCTCCAACCATCAGGGCCCGTTGGGTTTGGGTTGATTACTGTTCCTCTTTTTCTCCTCATTCTGTCCATGCCAGGCGGAGTCGCCCCTCTTGCCACCTTTAGGTGAGTGGGGATTCTTTGGATCTTTGACCCATGATTCGTGTTCCCCACCGAAGTCTTCGATGGGCGCATGAGGGCGTAGGTCTATCCAGGCCACGGGCCGAGTCTGGCCGCGAGGCATTCCGAACAATATCCTTGTACGTTCCCGGGGAAGGCCGTGTGGAGAGAAGATGGAGAAGGATGATTCCGGGGATTCTTCGCGATCTCCCTATTTCTTGTACCTAAATGGCATTCGTTGGGCGCTAACCTCCCGTGTTTTGACATCACCCGGAGTTTTGAAGGGGTAATGGGAGTTTTGAAGGGGTAATAGAAATACATTTGACTTCTCCGCGTCGAGACCACCCACCTTTTTGCTCCCCCCGTGGAGTCCACCCCGTACCCCATCAAATGCCCCAGAAGCCACTGGCAGTCTCCCCCTTTCATCCGCGAGAAACCCCCCAAAAATATTTCCTCTTGAGGAGATTTTATTCATTCCTTGTTTTGGAGGGAATTACTAACTACGATCTACGGTTGAGGCTGTTCGGATAGACTTCCAGAAACCCGTCGTTGTACTTACTCTCGGCACTCAACCACCAATCCCTTTCGCAATGGCATGACAACAAGAATAAACCTAGGAAGTCCCACTCTCGGTAATGATAATCTCATCAATTTTCACACGAGAACCCAATGAGCTTTCATTTGCCAGTATCGCCGTCTCACCTCCCGCCTCCAACATACTATGAGACATGGGGAGAGCGATTTTTTTTCTCCTCTTCGTCTCCATGTCTCCACTCAGAACAATTCCCCCATTTATTTCGGAGCAAATCATGCAGAAGGATTGTTCAGCTGGCGATGTCGGCGGTTTTCTCCAATTTCTCCAAGTACCCATAGCGCCCAACAGATGATGCCAAGGAAGGCTTCTTTCTCCTCGGCATTGACCGCTTGGTGATTGTGCTTTTCTCGCTTTGCTAGGATTCGTGATAAATCCAATGATTCCCTTCGTTGAAAGCCATTGAAGTGCTCTGTTATAGACCTCGGGCACGGATACCCAACTCTTGAATGATGATCGACGGTCAATCCGGCTACACGCGGCGCCAACTGCCACACCGGGAATGGGTGTCCGACAAAATCTCAGCATGGAGTTGATCGAGTACTTTAGTCTATTTTGGCCGGTGAACACGTAAAGTGTCCAGTCTCGGTAAACCCCTTTACCATTTCAACAAGACGCTGCGACAAGGAGGCCACTATAATAAGTAGCAAGCTAGTGCGTATCACCTCGAAGTACTTTTCCAAGTTTCTTGAAGCCCCCTCGCCGACACCATTAACACGATGCTTATAATTAAGATACATTTTCAGAGCAATCAAATAGCGCCCATCATACCTACACACATTCATCATCAAGGTATACTAGGTAGTAGTAGTAGTAGTAGTAAATCAACCCGTCACGTTCATCAGTGCCGCAGAACAATTAGATAGAGTCGGCGGTATCCGCTACCCCATTCTAACGACCTTGTTAGCATAGTCCTGAGTCAAAATCCATGCATTGTATAAATTGCTCACGGTAAGACAGTAGGTTTCGCAATCAAGATCAGAGCCGCATTTCCTCAAACAAAGCCCCATCTTCGCTACGCTAGGCCCGGTATCTTCCAAGAGGGCAATGGCGCAAGTGGCGCCAAAAATGGCGAGAATAGTGGGCAAGCGCATTTTGATAGTTAAGCAAGCGTGTGGACGAGAACTGAAGCTTTGCAGAATATATGTATTGGGAGTGGAACGGAAGTGGTGGACCTTGGGATTGAATTGAGGATTGAATTGACAAGGAATCGACCAAGACCGAAGCTGGTTTCTGGACGTGTCATGTAGACGTGCAAGTACGTAGGGGTATTTATCGAAGCGCCTATTCCCTTCCATTTTAGTTATCCTCTCCCTTGGCACGTCCGAGGGGCCTGGAATGTTGAGCTATTCCAAACCCTTCAGTCGCCTCAAAACTATGGGTGAAGCCCCACTCCAAAATAACAACAACAAGAGCAAGGTCACTAGGACTAAGTAAGTGGCATTATTACACCAATATTTTACATGAGAGGAGATGGTCCTTTGTCAATACTTTCGAGCAGAAAGGTCAACCGAATGACCCCCCACCCCGGTGCTCATTCATACGCGTCGCGCTCATTCTTCCTTAATCTCCCTTGCTGACCGACTTTTGGCCCGGGTCTTGCTCGTTATTTCGGGCTTTCGGTCCAATACTGGGGCCGAGACACGGATCAGACGTGTCTGAGTCCTTCCAAAGTACCGCGCTAAAAACCCGCCAGCAATAAGCGACCACACTACCCCAAAGTGTACTATTGATGTGCAGTATGTTCGTTGTGCATTGGTGCCATAAAGTCTGATACCAGCCTCCAAAGTATCACGTTGGACTATTCTGCTGGCAATAGTGGCTATTCCATATATTGGTTGTAGTTATTTGGCGGTATGTCCTCCATTAGGGGGCAGCAAAAAAGGGAATTCGGATGGCCTCGAGACTTTTGTGGGCAAATGCTGATTCGGTCACTGAATGGTTGCTTTGCTCTACTCCTTTTTGAACGCTCCACGACTAGAGCTAAATAATTGTCTTGCTTTTATTGGCTTCCTTAGCATGATCTGGCAAGGTTCTCATATGATACAACCTTAGGAGTGCCACATGAAGACAGGAACATTGAGTCTCTACTACTCCGGAGTACTCCGTCAATAGTCCTAATTTGAATGCGAACATGCCAAGATAATGTGGGAATGATGCCAAGGAACTAACAGTAATTTATGCTGGAGACACTAGATTAACCAGGGTCCAGTACAAGTAGGGTATTGTAAGGGGGACGGAAAGTTTGATATAAACCTGCTTACAGCCCTGAGGACTATAAAGCGGTTTTTCCAAGGTTCCGATAAGGCTGGACTTTTCTCCGTCCTCAACTCCCCTCTAAACCACCGCAACACCCAAAGTCGACCCATCATGTCGCTACTTCGAAAGCCGATGAAGCAATACAACTGGCTTCCAGATTATATGCAAAACATCTATCAATGGCTCCATTACTGTGAGCCTACCTGGGGCTACACCATCTACCGGACGACCTACACTCCCCAATCCAATGCTGCTTTCCCGCGTATGGTCGACCTTACCACTAAGTACATAAAGAACGCATTCTACAAGGATTACGAAACTTCCCTTCGCGAAAGATCCAGGGTAAATGAGTTCAACATCACTCCCTGGGATGAAATCTGGCCCAATTACCAGCCACAGATAATTGAAGATGCTTCCCGGTTCGACGGAGCATCAATAGACCAGCTCCGCGAGCATTTCAGGGCCGATGCAATTGAGCGTGATGTGCTCGATGTTTTCCCTGGATATCGCATGTTTATTGTCATTGACGAAGAAAGCTTTCAAACCTTACAAAACGCTCCCTTTCCAGAGAACTCGAAATACGAAGAGAGGAGACAACATTATGTGAAACTCGTCGAGGCGTTGGAGGTAGATCCATCTGAGGATTTCCAAGGGTGGATGAAGTGCTCCCTGCCCTCGTTGTGGGAGGTTTGGTTGGATATGCAGGACACGGCTTATATGAAGGACACTTCTTCGCTGATACCCGACGATACTGATGTTTTGTGAATTCTTTATGTCATGTGGGATTGAATACTACAGTAATTAGACCCAAGATTCAATAGCTGTATATTGTCGGCTCTGCGACCGAAATTGTTTATTGTATTGAACTGCCTAGTCAATCAACGATCCAAGACACGGTCGATGCAATGTCAAAAAAGTCACTATCGTCATCCATCCTCTACGTCTTCTTTAGCAGTATGAATTGTTGTGTTGTCAAAGCTTATTGCCCTAGAGCATTCAAACAAAATTGAAGAGACATCTTGTATGAACTATATACATATATCTATCAATTCACACGGTTGGGCCCAATCCAATCCCAATAAATACCCCCGGCCGTAAGAAGGCCCATAACACCCTCGAAAGGAGCAACGTCGCACCATCCCCCACCAGCTCGATAAAACACGAAAGCAGCCAGGAGTCTACCTGGAACAGAAGCGATCATCATTGGAATGTTGTTTTGGTATGAGGCGATCGTGTAGAAGCATCCCAGCGATAGAGATGTAAGGCTACAGAACCAAGGCGTAAGTCTCACCCCATGCTTAAAATAGGAAGAAGAGAGATGCCGGGTCTGGTAACGCATACCTGATTGCTTGTATCGTGCCGTTGCTGATATCCTTAAGTGGGGAGTTTGGGAGGGCCGCGGCGGCTGATGGCCAGAACAAGGTGTAAACCCCACTGGCCACGAGCGGGATCGCTTGGATACCGAAGATATACTGCGAAGGGCTGAGACCCTTGAGGCTAGAGAAACTTTCTAATAACATTTTGGTGGTATCAAGTTTCCAAATTGGCTGGGCTGCAGGTTCTGAGTCTTACGGGGTAGCTCTTGGGGGAAGGTGAGGTCAGTTGTAACCCGTAAGCACGGTTTGCCGGGAGATCGGGACTCGGAACTTCTAGTAACACAAATTTTCACTAGTCGGGGGCCAAAGCTTATTTTGTATTTTTGTCTTAGGTATCCTATCTAGTGCCAGACGAAGATGTACAATTTTTGGAATCAAGGAAAACATGAAGATTGAATGGGGAATTTCTTCTTCGTCATTATCATTACAGTGGAGGCCAGATATAATCATCAAAATACACTACCAATACTGTCAGACCCTTGAGTGGAGAACTTGAACATCACCTGCCAGTGTGATAGCATTCAAATCATCGCGACAAGAACATAGAATCCACACTATCATATACATCCCCAATGAAATTCTCATAATTCGTCCAAGCAACATTATCCACCGAGCCCTGCAGGTTATTCGAACTGAAATCCATCGAATCCCAAACATTTGGCCAAGGCTCCAGCATGATATTCGGCGGCATGCTAACAGCCGGATCGAGCTGACCAGCAGCAAGATCAGGCTGGACCTCTAGATCATAGCACGACGCGAGGGGAACATGGACTTCTTCGGCGACCGATTGGAGAGGTTGTTGCATGGCGATGGGCGGGGTCTGGTGAACAGATGGTTCACTCGGGGAGGCACTGCCGAGCATTTCATGCTTGTGAGCTCGAGCTTGATGCATTAATTTTTCAAGAGGTTTCCAGAGCATGCCGTGTTGTGAGTCAGCGATTGTGAGACTTGAGCGGTGATAGACTTGTTCTATGACGGGCCAGTGTCTGGACATTGCTTCTGGATCTTTGCAGACGCATAGCTCGGCTAATGCGACGGCCAGACCGTGCCACGGTACCCACAGGGCCCCGAACCACATCCATTGTGCGGTGGTTGGGTCGCTGTAGGATTCTTGGACCTTGGCGAGGTTGTCTACGGCGAGACTGAGAAGGGCGTCGCCTTGTACGGCGGGAGGGGTGAAGTTGCGACTTCGAGATATGGGTCGGAGAGAGCCTAGCTGGAGCCAGCCGTAAATTGTGGTTGCTGTTCGCTTTGTATAGAGTTGGAAAGGGGATGATTCTGGTCGGCATCCGCTGAGTAATTTCGTGACTTTGTGCTGGAAGTTGAGGAGCATTTGCTGTCTTGAGCTCATTTCTTCAACGGCTTGCTCAATGAAATCTGTGTAGGCAATCATTCTCGCGACGGACTGTGCTGCCGCTGTGATTAGGGTCAGGGTGAGGTCGGTGAATGTACCCTCGGGCGGTTCTTGAATTGGAACATTCATGTTGAACCAGATATTCTCGTCGTTGATGTTGGAAGGCGGGTGCGAGTCTAACCAGGCGGATTGCATCATCGGTTCCGAGGCTCGATCCAGCGAGGCCGAGAAATCTAAAAGTCCAATACATAACCAGCAACGGCGGCGCATCTCTTGTTCGAAGGGGTTGACTTGGAATGGCGGATCCCGCATGTGAAGACACAACGCTTGACCGACACGGAGGGCCATGGCTGACATTGTCCAGACACGTCGACTTTGATCCTGGCAACGGGCCGCAAGCAATGACAGTAGGTATGCTTGTAACACAGTCAGTTCATTTGTCGTCACGAAATCCGACCTCTGTAGTGCAGCATCCGTTTCCGCTTGGAGGCAAGCTGCCGCGGTCTTTTTATCGAGGCCGAACAACAATTGACACTGTGTGTCGTCCATCGTTACTACCGCAGCGTAGTAGACAGCGTATGCCAGAGTTACTGGGGCGTGATGATCAAGTTCATAATCCAGATATGGCTGGTCATCGCGTAAAAAGGCCCGGAGCGAGGGCCTATGAAGGACTTTGAAAACGGGGTCTACGTTTCGTATATAAATCTCACACAGGTTTCGGCGAGCTTGGGCGGTGATAGTGATGCCTCGAAACGACTGGGGTGAATTGCCGGTACTTTCTGAGCTCTCGGAGCCAATAGCAGAAGCCCCCATGTTCGAAGGACGTTGAGTATCGTCTCTAATTTCCAATCGATCGTCGAGAACATCACGAAGCTCTGAAGTCTACCCCGGAAGGAAAAAAAAAAAAAAAGTCAATCGGGACGCAAAGATACAACTGTATCACCGCAAGAGGCGCAACATAAATTAGAGTGCTTACCTGCTGCATGATATCTTCCCAAAACGAGCTACCCATGTAAGAAGTCGACGGACGATGCCGATGTGGCAGAGTCATGGTAGAACCAGTAGAATGTTGTGAATGCTGATCGCGCCAGGCGGCCTCCTGCTCCGGGATGTTCGTCTGTAGTCCATGCTCCCCGATCGAACTCGAATCGGTGCCAGCGCCCGTGCTAGGCCCGGTAGAAGAGGAGCCGGTGGCTGGGGCGCCATCACGCTCGGAGGCCACACGCCTGAGGAGTTGTTCTAGCTTGGCCACTCGGTCTGCTAGCTCTTTGTCCGTGTTAGGAGCCCGCTCGGGCGGCCTCCTTGTCCGACCCCGCGGTAAGCGGGCTCTCTCTCAACAGGGACGCAAACGAATCCCAGCCGTACACAGCTGGTACATGGACTTAATTTGTCACATTTGACCTTGCGCTGACGACAAGCTTCGCAACTCAGTCGAACTTTTGGTGCAGAAGATCGAGATTGGGATGATGTGCGTTCAGGCTTGGTCGCCAGGTCTACCTGGTCCTCCATTCCTGGCAGATCCACGACATCCACGGGACCGTGGGCGGTTATGAAAAATGCTGAATGATAGAAGAAAAAGGAGAAGCAGTTCTGGGCAAGGTATTTGTTTCTTTCCCCAAAGCAGGTGGAGGAAAATTTCCCGTAAATCTGCAGAAAGAAAGAAGGCTTACTGACTCCGCGAAGTTGGGTGGCCTTGGCGCATCGCCCCCACGAGTTTATTGGTTCGGCCTGAGTATACCACTGGCAGTCTACTAGTACTAACCCGTGGTGGTTAGAGCAGAGAATTAGGCTAGTTTCATATACTGAGGATGAATTGAATAGAACATAGAGATATAGAAAGACAGAAATACATGAAATACATGAAAAATGCTGCTTTTAAGTTTTCATCCACATTCCCCCAAGATTATGGCTTGACCATGAATCCATATAGAGTGTTGGAGGCATTGATATCGCCCTGTCCAGCCACCGTGCGATACACCTGCTTGCAGCTGCCTTTCGTATTGAAGAATTGTACAGTAGTGGCCCCATGAGATCCCTTCCAGCTGATCTGCGCGCCTCTCGGGATCAAAACAGATTGACACGCGGGATTTGGTAGAGTCGTTCCGCTCCATTCCTGGTTTCCGGCCTTCAGTTTCCACGCCCCAGTGGCCCCGAGAAGGGCAGTCAACGAGATCCAAGTGAACAACTTCATATTGGTTGTATATGATAAGCTAGATGAGCGAGCTTGCTTGAGAAACAGAATCTTAGAGAACGTTGGAGTAACAAAGTGTGCGGCTTACTTCAAGTTTGTCTCCAATAGGGTTTAGTAAGGTGTTTGGAGGGAAACCACCTGGGCACCTACTACAATCTACAGTTGTTTTATATTGTCCCGCGTCTGAAGAACTCATGTTTCACTGATGTCACCACTAGTACAGAATCGTGCGAACACCCTACACTCACCACGGTTCTAGTCGCTGAAACAGAGCAGGTCAGCTGATGCCAGACCATCACCAGATCCACTTTGGATTGGTTGGCTAAATATTAAGCGGTTCCAGACCGATCTATACCAATTAATGTATTCTAATCATACCTAAGAAAGTCCTCTCAGTCTCATTTCAGGTAAAATATCATGATATCAAGTGGATTGGAAGAGCCCGGGCAGGTCAGATTCATCATAGAAAATGCTCAATATTACTATTACAGACGAAAGGTGTTTTAACCAAGAATCTTCAAGCCGCCCTTGGTCTTGCCGGACTTCTTTACGCCGTCATGCTTCACCTTTCCACCCTGGTTGCCTCCGCGGTTCCCACCTCCATTCTTCTTCTGGTTCTTGTTGTTCGAGACCGGCTTGACCTCGGTCGTGGCTCGTCGCAGCAGAACCGGGTGCGAACCAATATACTTTCCTTGCATTTCTCGGGCGGCCTTGAAATAGTCGTCGCCGTCGCTGAAGCTAACGAATCCATACCCTTTGCTCTTTTGCGTGCGCTTCTCTCGGATCACTCGTCCTTTTTGCACGGAAGTGTATCGTGCGAATGCCTTGACCAGCGAGTCATCCGTCACCTCGCCAGCAAGGTTACCCACGAAAAGGCGGAAATGAGCGGGGTCCCATTCAAGCAGGGTGGTATCACTCCAATTTTGACCGCCACCGGAGCGCTGCACTGTCTTCTGTGATTCGGGCTGGGGGAGCGGGGTGCCGACGGTGGTGGGGGTTGCTGAACCGGTATAGGTGCTGGTAGTGCCTGTCGCAGGCTGGGCCACATCACGACGCTTCCCAGCCGCAGCCTCATCGCCCATGTTCGAGTATGCACTTTGCCATTGTGCGATTTGGGCTTCTGTCTCGGCATCTACACCAGTTTCGCGGCCGCGGCCGCCACGGCCGGGACCGTACGACTGGTTGGGCGTGGAACCAAAGGGGTTTTGGATGTGTGGGACGGTCGAGCCATAGCTATTCTCATTATAGCCGGTGCCAGTGCCAGTGCCGGTGCCGGCGGCATAGTATGAGGGACCGCTCTGGTATGAAGGTTGGGCTGGTTGGGCTGGTTGTTGATAGTAGTTTCCGTAGCTAGTCGCAGGCGCGGCATATCCGGGATTGGACACAGGTGGTGCCGAGACGACCGGGCTGATGGTGCGATTGGTCTGGGTAGAAGCTACGGAGCGAGGAGCAAAGGCCGTGAAGGCATTGTAGCCCGGTTGGCGGGTATTGCCTCCCGGCTGGGCAGGATTGGCGGATGGAGGAGGACGAGCCGGAAGAGAGGAGGGAGTCTGTTTGAGACCTGGAGGGGGTGGATAGGACATGATGAATGGATAGTCCGTAAAGAGAGACGGTTGAGTTGTGTGTGCAGAGGAGCAACTGCACGTACGTACCTTCAGGGCCTGACTGATATGACAGTTAATCTGCCAGGCGTACCACCTGAAGTCCTGATCGCGTGATTTGGATAAAGTGGATGGAAGAGTGAAAATATGTAGAGCGGTCTGACGCAGATAGTTGAAGGTGGAAAAAGTGAAGGATGGGGTTTGGTGTTGGAGTGAGTGATAGTATTCAGTCTTCAGTCTTCTTCAGTCTTCAGTAGGGTATTCTCCATGCGACCCGACCGCCCAAGAAAATTGATGTCAGCTGATCAGAGAAGGCAGAAAGACGGCCAGGCAACAAGGCAACAAGGCCACAAGGCAACCAAGATCAGATTGATGAGGTGATAAGGCCAGACCGAGCCAGTCGAATGAGTCAGCAGAAGTTACATCATGCTGACTGAGCAGGGGAGCAAGCAACCCCCACCCTAGGCCGGATGGGGACTAGTGGGAATGTCGGCAACGGAGCAAGTTTCTCCATCGTCAAGAAAGTCCCCCGAAGAGTTCACCGATGCGTGGATGCGGTGCTGCGGTGATCGAATGCGCGGAAATCAACTACCTTTTCCTGTCATGGCGGTTAAATGGACCGGATTTCCCCTGTGCGACTTCGGCTTCACAGGGGGCTTTTGCCTCGTCCTGGGCAACCGTTTGATGTTCCGCAGCTATGTACTAGTTACCCCTCCATGCCCCGCGTTGCATGCAGTCATATAGTACTAGTGTAGTCATATTCGTATGTAGCTTGAATGGTAACCACATGTATAAGCACTTCCTGCGGATGTTATCAGAATCATTTGTTGCCATATATTATAGAGGAAGTACTATAAGCATCCCATTACACTACCAATTGATGAAGGTATTATCGGGTCGGATAATGATTGCTACCCCCAACCCTAGGAACCTCCGAGAACAGAACCCGAGTGGGATGACCCTCACCGGAGCAGAGTCGTCCTGGACCGGATACTTGGCGCTACACCGGACAAAGTAATGGCCTTGTGGTTTCGACGGTTACGCCTCCACTCCCAATAAGCTAAGTCTACTCTCGTAGTAGGTGACCTGGTTCTGCTGCCCCCCATGTGTCCCACGTTCCACCAGATGACGGAAGACTTGCTCCGTCACCCGGTTGGGCTCAACTTCTCTTCTTTCCCCTCCATACTTTTATCCTCCTTCAACCCTCTCTCCCCTTTCTTTCTTCACCACTCTTCATTTCACATCATCCATCATGGCTGACCAAGCTGTGTAAGTTAACATCATTCTCTTCCTCTCTACCCTATACTATCCTCCTCTCCCACCAATTCCGTCAAGCTTTCCTTTCCCCTCCCCCCTTCTTCCTCCCCCTCCCCCGCCATCGTCAACTTCTATACCAAGATTCCCCTGGGGATTCCCGGACAACGAGTCCGCGAGCTTCTGTGACCTGTGAGAGGCCCGGCAATTGCAGCCCAGCGTCACCAACGTGACTGCAATTCATGCCGGCGCATCATCCACGCCAGGAGCTCAGAGCTCCGCGATCTTCGGAATCACTCGGGTCGTCCCCACCTCCATTTCTCTCCATTTCCCCTTCGTTCGCGGTTTCGCGGCTATTGACAAGAGAATTATGTCGCTGACGATAGCGCCCGTCTCGCCGGCATCAATGTCGGCGCTCCGGTGCATCATGTTCCCAGTGCTGATTTCGGCCTCATCGGTCTGGCCGTTATGGGCCAGAACCTGATTCTGAACGCTGCCGACCACGGCTTCACCGTTTGCGCTTTCAACCGTACCACCTCCAAGGTTGACCGTTTCCTCGAGAACGAGGCCAAGGGTAAGCCATTCTGGAATATTGCCTATTTTTCCCCCTCCTTCTCTGGCTCTACGAGGCACCGCAGGGTACTCTTTCCCCCAGATCCCGTATGCTGATATTCCCTAGGCAAGCCCATCGTCGGTGCTCACTCCATCAAGGAGTTCTGCGCTAAGCTGAAGCGCCCCCGTCGCATTATGCTCCTGGTCATGGCCGGCAAGCCCGTCGATGACTTCATCGAGTCCCTCCTCCCCTTCCTCGAGAAGGGTGATATCATCATTGACGGTGGTAACTCCCACTACCCCGACAGCAACCGCCGTACCCGCTATCTCGACGGTAAGGGTATCAGCTTCGTCGGCAGCGGTGTCTCCGGTGGTGAGGAAGGTGCCCGTTACGGTCCCTCCCTCATGCCCGGTGGTAACGAGGCCGCATGGCCCCACATTAAGGATATCTTCCAGAGCATCGCCGCCAAGAGCGACGGTGAGGCTTGCTGTGACTGGGTCGGTGACGAGGGTGCTGGTCACTACGTCAAGATGGTTCACAACGGTATTGAGTACGGTGACATGCAGCTGATCTGCGAGGTACGTTCCTCATGCCCCACTACTCCCGCGGCTCTGCAGCCAAGCAGCGGTGCTAATTCTCCATACAGGCCTACGACATCCTGAAGCGTGGTCTCGGCCTCTCTTGCAAGGAGATTGGTGATGTTTTCGCCAAGTGGAACACTGGTGTTCTGGACTCCTTCCTCATTGAGATCACCCGCGATATTCTCTACTACAACGACAACGACGGCACTCCCCTCGTTGAGAAGATCCTCGACAAGGCCGGCCAGAAGGGTACCGGCAAGTGGACCGCCATCAACGCTCTTGACCTCGGCATGCCCGTTACTCTGATCGGCGAGGCCGTCTTCTCCCGCTGCCTGTCTGCTCTTAAGGACGAGCGTACCCGTGCCGCCACCATCCTCAGTGGCCCTACCCCCAAGTTCGAGGGCGACAAGGCCGCCTTCATCGATGACCTCGAGCAGGCTCTGTATGCCTCTAAGATCATCTCCTACGCCCAGGGCTTTATGCTCATCCAGGACGTATGAATTCGTCGATCCCACTCAAGATTTTGGAACATTAAGCTAACTACTGAAAATAGGCCGCCAAGGAGTACGGCTGGAAGCTCAACAAGCCCTCCATTGCCCTCATGTGGCGCGGTGGTTGCATTATCCGCTCCGTCTTCCTGAAGGACATCACCAACGCCTACCGCAGCAACCCCGATCTCGAGAACCTTCTGTTCGACGACTTCTTCACCAAGGCTATCACCACCGCCCAGTCCGGCTGGAGAAACGTTGTCAGCAAGTCCGCTCTGTGGGGTATCCCTCTGCCCGCCTTCACCACTGCCCTCAGCTTCTACGACGGCTACCGCACCAAGGACCTGCCCGCCAACCTGCTGCAGGCTCAGCGTGACTACTTCGGTGCCCACACCTTCCGCATCAAGCCCGAGCACGCCAGCGAGACCTTCCCCGAGGGTAAGGACATCCACGTCAACTGGACCGGCCGTGGCGGTGATGTGTCTGCCTCCACCTACGTGGCATAAATGCCAAGTGGGAGATAGAAGGGTAAAAAATTGGGTTCAATGTATTTAGATGCCGCATGAATGGAACGTTACGAACTATTATTACAAGCACATTATTACTAAAAGTAGGTACAGACAGTGTTGCACGCGGGTAGGGGTACCTAGGCAGATACCTAGGTAGGGGTAGATATAGATGTAGATGTATAAACTGTAAAATGTGCGGAGTATACAGTGGCGCCGCAAAAGTTTCCAGTCCCTTAGTTGATCCCCCCTAGTCTTCGCCTTCCCATGGCAGACTAGTAGCTACCCAATATGGAATAGATAGGTAAACAATGGCCAGGTGGGCAATATAGGAGTTGGAAACTTTTGCGGCCATTTTGGCCACTTGACCTATACGGAGGAGTGCTCCAGGCATGTATGAGGTAATCGCCAGGATACCACGCTAAACCAGATCGGGGCTATCCCAAGCAACGTCCCATCGCACCTGCCATCTTATCGGCATCTCCCCTCCTGCCTCCCTTCCATCGCCTTTTTGGGACTCTCGTCCTTTTTCTTTCTTTTCTTTTCCCTCTCCTCCTCCACCCTCCGGCCGACTCTATTAACAAAGGAATTAGGATTTCCCAACCTCCCATCCTAACAGGAAGGATCATTCCCTCGTCTGCAGGCTTCCTTCCTACATACTGGGGTTTGATTGAGAGCTCCTGCTGGGACAAGAACTCCAATTGACACCCGTTTGCGTCACATGAGCTGAGCTCACCGTCGCTCATCGGTAAAGGTGAAAAGGCACACCACCTGCTTTCACCTAAGGATATCCTGAATCCTCCCTGTTCCTGTTGTGGACTCGTGTGAATCACACCGCCCGGCAATCACCGTCACACGCCGCATGGCGGAGAATAAGCGCCAGGGTTCCGGTGCCAAAGGATCTCAAGGTTCATCGGGTAGTGCATCTGGGCCCGGCATGGCGACTGCTATGGTACCCATGGAGGCTGCTTTGAGCGGCGCAATCGGTGCTCGGTGAGTGCGACCCCATTGCCAGCTGCTGCGCTGGCACAAGCCAGACTGTCCAGATCACCATGTTCATTGATCATTGCACCTTTCATTGTCTTGTGTTTGCTCCAGAACTAACCATGTCTTCTTCTCTGCCAGCGTTCGCATCACCGCAGCTTCACCTACGCCCTCTACGTTCGAGGGTGTGCTCTTCACAGCATGCCCGCTCACGAACCTCGTTGCTATCAACACCAACCCCGCTCCCTCGCCGGCAGACCCCAAACAGGCCCAGAACGGAGACTACCATGTCATCCCTGTATCTCGCATTCAGTCATTCCAACTTCTCACTCTCCCCTCTTCGAATTCCTCCGAATCCCCATCCTTTACCGATGCCCAACCGCCCATCCAGCCCCTCGATCCCCGTGCCCTGAAGTCGCGTGAGGCCAAGGCCATCGGTGAGGCGATGGATCGTGAGGCGCGTCGGGGTAAGGGCGTCACTCGTGAGGCTCAGGAGATTTTCGACGCTTTTAGCCGGACGATGCCTGCTCGCTGGGATTCCTCCAACATTGTCGTTGCGGACGCAGTTACCATTGCCTCTCCCTACCGCGTAGAGGATTGCCGCCCATTGGTGGAGGGTGATACAGCCGCTCTCGCTCGAGTTCGCAAGGTGGTAAGTGAAATCTATGGCAATATGTCGAGATGGCGGTTGCTTCCTCAAAGGGACATAGGCTAACGAAATTGGGTTAATAGCTTGAGATGGAACGGAAAAAAATCGAGTTTCGCAACGCCAGTGCCACTATCGGATCAACCAGTACCTTTGCCCGGGATCAGCGCAAGGGCGGATAGATTTACTCGGGGCGGCTTCACAACTCAACTTGGCCCTTGCAAGATAGGGTTTGCGTTGATTAGACGATACTTACTTGTCGAATTTGTTCCTTTTTTTCCGCGGTATCGGGTCATAGGTGACATCTAGCTGTTATCTATATCTGATTTACATTTTCAAGCAAATACCCCAGGGGTGAGATGATATCGTGTGGCTCATGATAAGAAGATTCCCTTCACGGAATGGATCCAGAGAGAGATTATTTGCGCGACCATCACGGTCGCCGCCTATGCTGCCAAAAAAATGGCAGAAATGTTCGGAATCGAGTACAGGAGCAACTACCGCTCTTATTTATGTATCGATGTGTTGTTTCTACTTAATCTAGAGAATATTCGGGATGGAGTGACATACACATCGTTCTTTGACTTGTTCTATTTTCCCCTTCTGTTAGAGCAGAGAAAGGGTCATAGGAACCTTGGAAGTTGCTTCTGGCAAATCCATCTTTTCTAGATGCTTCTACTATTCCTTGAGGGAATTCTAGAATATCGATCAAGTTAATTGCTTTCAACCTACAATCCCGACGTACCAGTCAGTCTTGGACCAACCGTCCATTCGTAGAATTATCCCCTATAACAAAACTACTAGTATCCATGGATGACATGTAATAACCAATTCAAGATGTGGTAAATTCCAAATGCAAGCGCTGACTGGCAGTACGAAAAGGTCAACTTGAGAAATCACAAAACAAAATATATCTAAAACCAAATGCATATTGGCAACTTATACTCTAATTCTCACCAGAGGCCCTCCAAGGAACAACCTCGCATACAGTACCCACAAATCCTTCCAATCCCGACATAGGAACGACCGCAGCCCCGGACGCGGGCGTCGACATCGCAACACCAGACGACGGCCCCATTGTGACACCAGGCATAACCAAAACCCTTGAAGCAAGTTCAATCCACTCCACAGACGTAACAAGGGCAAAGGTAATCTTGACATCTTCACGCAACGTCTCAGACGGCACCGACGTGCCATTCTTTCGATCGGCGCCATTCTCCGGGACATTATTCAAGACAACCTTGCTGATGTCCGTTACAGATTGTCGTCGACGAATTCCATTCGCGCCATTCATTTGAGAACCTCCAGCATTAATCTTCTCCTGGGCCGGTGAGGGCGAATGATCCCCGTCGAAAGAGAAGAATTCAGGCTCCGACGGCGACGGTGGTTCCGAGACAAGTTCGTCATTTGTACCGGCCAACGCCATACTCACTACACGGACCGTCGTCCTGATATTGGCAATATAGGCGATAGCATTACCGCCGAGCAACAGCGGCGGCGAGCTCGGGGCCGAAAATGCAGAGGCTGGGAAGGTCGCTGTGAATCCAGTGTGGAAGGGCAGAGACAATGTCGACGGGAGCGGAGAGGGGAGCGAATCGCCCGCCGGGTGAAAATCCGTCAAGACCATTCCCTTTCGAATTCGGCTAATCCGAGGCATATTTCCTTCTTCGGTAGGTGAGGCGAGGAGCTCAATTCCAATAGTCCCGACCTGGTCCTGTTTGAGTCTGTGGACGGGGAGTCGGAGGTCACGCACGCTGACTACTCGAACGCGCTGCCATTTCGCCTGGGCGCTGGGGTCCTTGGCTAGAACGCTTGCCGCGAATGAGGCTGGGAACTCGGCCGAGGGTCCGGGCCCGCTGCTGCGGGAGAGAAGACTGAGTGGTGTTGGCTCTTTGTCATTGTCTGCGGTTGTGTCGACTAAGATTGGGCCTAGGGTCATTTCGTCGCCGATGGCGATACTGCCGTGTCGGACTAGACCGCATAGTACCATTCCCCTGCTCTCGTTGCCCTTGTCGGCGGATATTGAGTATACTTTTGACGGAGGGATGGCGAAGACTTCGTCCACGTCGAAGAAGTTGGCCTTTTGGTCTGTGACTGTGGGTTCGGAGAGACGGTGTGTTCTTTGAGGTGGGCGTTGGGGAATGGGTAGGTAGCGCATAAATGCGTGCAGTTTGCCAATTCCGGTGCCGTCCACGGCGCTGGAGAGGATTATTGGTACCGTGCGAGACCAATCTCCATTCGCAGCTTCAATGGAATTTTGAACCTCAGTGCGATCCGCGGTGCCGACTTGATGTAAATCGAGAGTTTTGTCGGCCGCAGGAGATGCCGGTAGTATTGCAGGTTTGCAACCTGCGGTCTTCAGTGCTGACAAAACTTTGGCGAGATTTTCCCGTAGTCCGGTTCGAGATGCCACGTCAAGTTTCGTGATGGCGATCAGCACGGGGACCTCAAGTTTCAAGCATAGAGTGAGATAGGCGAGGCAAAGGTCGATTTCGGAAACTTGTTCGCTGCCGGCTTCGGCTTCTGTTGTCTCAGCTCCGCAGTTCGCTGGAATGCAGAGCAACACATAGTGAGGTGCCCAGCTGACTAGGCCCCGTAACGTAGATTTCATATATCGCACGGATCCTGGAAGATCAGAGACGAAAGCCAGGCGACCACCATGCGAAGCGGCATGGATATCATCCCATGCAGCCACATTCCCAGACGCATAATTTATCACGGTGGGCGGTTCATCTGCTGCATACCCAATTAGCTCCTGGGCGACGGAACTGGTAATTCCCGATGATATCTCGTGTCGATGTTTGAGCAGACTTAGTCGGCTTGAGCCTCTGCCGTTGTCGAGAGTAGAAGAGGTCAAGGTTCCCAGTAACGAGGACTTCCCCGCTGTACTAGGACCCGCTATTGAGATTCGAATCTGCTCGGTATGCGAAGATTCCTCTTCCAATGCAGAATTAGACACGGACTCTGCTTTCGATGCATCGTCGGCATTGTTCCTTGCCAGGGCTGGAGAGAGGTTGTAAAAATCAAGATCGGGGCTGACGAGAGCTTCTGCAACCCAAAGGTCTTCCTTTTGGATTTTGACCGATTCTGGCAATGCGGTTGAGCATTCCTCTGCCCACTCACATTTCCCAACAAGAACTCTGCGGAGTATCTCCACCTTGCACCCGAGACTTGCAGCCATGGCTTGCAGATTTGTTATACTCTCGTCAAGTTCACCTTGCGTGAGGCCGACAAAGGTTCCATCATCGGCAACTCCAATCTCATACAAAGCACCCTGGCTTTCTTCAAGCCCAGGTAGCAAGCGAGCGGGCTTGGTAGGCAGTGTCGCCTCTGGAAGAACCGGAACAACAAGATTTGCCGTAGTAGACGAATGAAACGGCGATGACTGCTGCAATCGCCATAGTAATTGAGTTGTAAGCCCCTGTAGCCGTTGCTGGCGGCTCTGGCTGGACTTCGCTTGCATGGGCCGCGGGGTAGTTGCATACTGGAGTGGAGATGGTCCCTGCGAAGGCGGTTGCTGGCTCCCAATGGCCGCGCGACAATGATAAGAGCCGGCGACTACGTGGCCTGTCGACATGGCGATATATGGCCGTCGTGGACGGAGTAGCAGATGCAACTTGTACTCAGTGGGACCCTCTTGGGGCTCGGGCTCCAATTTGGTGATCCCATAGTCGGACAGGAAGTCTGCTTCTGCGTGATCCAGAGCTGCTTTCGTCCGTATTGACAGCCCTCTTCCACTGGCTACGGCGATTTGGGGCGTCGACGACCCAGAAGTCGACCACGGGGACGAAACCCGGGGCGGGTCAGGGTCATAGGTGAATATGGATGCCATGGCGGTCAATCGCGGATGCAATATAAGATTTGCACAGTTTCACACGGGTAATATAACTTGTAAAGATATTCGATATCCAGATATAGGCCAGTACTGTAATTGAAGGACAAACAGCATTTTTGCGCAAAGTGAGGTGGTTGACAGTTCCAAGTCGGTGCGTCGCAACTCCAGTTGACTCGACTGCGTTTGAGTCACGTTCCTGCCTCAGGCATCACGTGGCCCCCGCACGGGGACACGATTGGACCAATTGGAAGTCGAGCACGAAGTGCTAGTACTTACTAGTTAGTCGTTCGAGTACAGGGTAGGTATGATTAGATCATATTAGAAGATCCCATGGGATAGTTGAATAATACGCCGCATATCTGTTGAGTGCTAGGACTACTCTGCCGGTTAATAATATGTGTGTATTGCTCAATCCAGTTGAAGTGGGGAAGATTATAGAGGTTATTAGGAGAGATGGATTGTGATAGAATTATTTCAACCTTGGAAGTTATATTCGTTTGGTTCCAATTCAAGTTATCAATAAATTGGGCTTACTTGAGATAACATCTTGGCTTTATTATCTTAAGTCTATCACAGATACCTTGAAAAAAAAACATGATACTGTACTGCAATTCATAATGAGTAAAGCCAGCTCTCCGAACGAACAGGCAAAGAGCAGATTATTATCGATAATTACTCAATACATTCACCTAGAGTAAACACAAGGCAAAGGAAGTTCCCAGTAACTGTGGGACATTACTATCTACTACTGCAACGCTCTCTTACAAAGGCCCTCAACACACTTATTCCCATAACAACAATTCTCATCAGCCAAACATGGCCCATTGTCCTCATTACAGCCAGGCCATTTTTCATCAGTGGGTCGGCATCTGGTCGCCGCACAATAACCCGAGCAACAGCCCATCCCACTCCCAAAATCGCATTGGGCTAACATCTATTAACACTCTTGCCTTTGCGCACCGGGTTCAATAGTGTGGTGCTTACCGTATACTCCAAGACAAGTTGCCGTGGGTACGCATGTCGTCAGAACAGTTGAGCTGGGTGTGGTGAAGGTCGCAGTAGTGCAGAATTCAGTCCCAATACACGCATCGGCATCGCCGCATCCTGGTGCACATTTTGCCGCTGCAAAGGTTAATGTAGCTACTAGTCAGTGGTTAGAGTAAACACTTACTGATTAGACTGGTAAAAGAAAGAATAGCTAGCAGCTTTAGGTTGGAAAAGTGCATGGTGCTGTGGATTTTAGCTGGAGTATTGTAATACTTTCGGTAGTAGTATAATGTAGAAATAGTCCCGATTGCTGGGTCCTTGAATGCGATGGATCCACCGTGACCTCCCCCCGGATTTATATATTTTACTAGTACTACTCGTACTAAAGGCTCAGAGCTTCAGCCCACCCTTCAAAAGTTCAAGTTGGAACTGCCAGTGACCACTGGCAGTCACTTGATCTAATAGATCTCAGACACCGGCGACAGGATACGAAGGACCCGGAAGCCTTCTAACTCATAACTAGTAAGTTCCCTGCCCCACTAGAGTAGAATTCCGTTTGCGGGGTCCCCCAAAATACATTTGTCGACCTTGGCGCGAGAATACGAGCCGACACGAACCTAGGCGTGCTGCTCGTCAGCGGTTTCCAATCGAGGCTGAGACATCGACGACCAATATAAAATTTCAAGCAGGATCCAAGGTTTTCTTCGACGCACTCCACATCTGTCATGCTGAAACAGTGGGCCTATATCCCCATAAATATTGATTCCTTGGCAGATGTCAGTGGAACAAGTCATCCCCATCTGACTTCTTTAGATATTTAAATCTAGAACAGCGATATCAGAAGCTTTAGGGTATGTGATAACGTCAATAATTGCAGAATCAAGCCCGTGGTTCAAGATTGGCTGCCCAGATGCTGAAATATCCAGACAGCGAATAGCAGAATTATTCTCCAGTCAACCTAGAGCATGCGCTAGCAGTAAACTTGAAGATGGGATAACTTTTATTCGTCAGTCTTTGACAATATATGAAAAGAATTGTGTTCGAGTCTGCGTATCTGAAAATGGAATTTCAGAACCCCGAGATCAAGTAGTACACACTCGTATATTGTCTGGTGATGGATACCCTCCAGTGTTCACCTGGGCGGTCTAGGAACTTGAAGGTACTCCAATACATAGAAATTTCCAACTCATGGTATATGTTTCCGTTTTTCTTAATGTAAGTTAACTGAAAACTTGAAGCCTACAACAGATATACTACTAGTACCAATGCAAAGGTGGAGGCTTTCCATCTATACCACGTTGTAGTATATATATTACTCAATATTTTAACAAGAAGATTTCTATTTTGGTAGGCCCAGCCAGTGGGGTCAGTAGACCAATATACAACGTTCGACTCACTCATTCGGCGATTCTCTTCCCGCGCCTTTGCATTTGCCCTGTGCAACGTGAATATTGCGCGCCGTCGTGCGGGTAAACACAGCTCCGCAAACAGGACACTCTGCCTTGGCGACCACACCGGATTTTTCGCGCTGGTGTCGAAGTAGATTACTAAATGTCGAGAACTCTCGACCATTACAGCCGTGATCCCAGCACTGCGGTCTTGGTCGCGAGCCCATCGCATGAAGTTGCTGTTCTTTGTTTGACGCGGCGTTCACCGAGTCGTGGGAATATATGGGATCATGCATCATTGAAGATGTGTGCGAGCTGATTGAGGAATGATGAGAAGATCTAGTTACGTCTGTTAGTATAAGGGGGATATCTTAGATCCTGGCGGGTCTACTTACGGAACTGGTGGTGCTTCCGGAAGATGATAGTATGGAGGCTGACCCATAATATTATAAGGGGGAGAACTGCGGGCATAATTGTTAGTCTGTTTCCCTGCATTACGCAAGCCAGTTGAAGCTCAGCAATATTACGCTATTGCGGACAGACTCTGAACTTACGAAGCCATAAGCGGTTGATCGGGCATGTGCCCGGCAGCTGAATGGGGAGGGAAATGCCGAGATATCGATGGGCTGAGGCATATGTTAGCTCGTATTCCTAGTAGTGATCCTGCGAGTTTGCTCCGTATTCTCGGGGCCTTTACGCACCTGCGAGATTGATATTGTCGTTGAGCGCTACCAGGCGCTGTACTAGTAGAAAGATATGATGATGGTGCCGGGAGCTCTTGGTGATAATTAGATAGAGGTCCACCGGTCTGTCCGCTATAACCGACTGGGTATCCAGTTTGGGGATATGGCTGTGGAGGCGGGAACTGTTGATTTATGTTCCCTGGCGGCGACTGCAGCGGTTGAAAAGGGCGATCGGCCCAGGCATAATCTGATAGTGGTTTGTCAGTCTCAAATTCTTCTAAGGCTCTGAAACTGTGCCTGCGCTCTGATTCGAAATTTCCCGGGGAAGACAAGCCTGTCGTCTTACGTTGAGAGTGAGGCTGCATCGGGCCAGCGAAATATGTCTCTGATGCTACGGACATAGGGTATGATGTTATACCAAGGCCACTGATAATTTTGCAGATCTAGTCAATAAAGTTATTCTAGCTTGCAGAGGAGGGCTTGGAGGAATCTAGCTTACCTTCCTTGGTCGTCAGTCAATTGTTCTTCACGGCCAACAATGTCAAAAGAGGATTGATCACTCTGTCCAGCAAGAGGTGTATTGGGATGTAGAATAGAAGATGGAATATTGACGCTAGAGTCTAGCGAAGCCGTTGAATTATGGGATCTTTGCAGAGAGGTCGAAAAGTTATGTGATGGCTCTGGGTGGTTCTCTAAGGCTGGCGCTGGCGCATTAAATGACCAAGTCGTCGTTTGGGTTGGAAAGCCTTGTTGGTAGCTTGGCGCCTGCGCTGACTCGATTAGAGAGATAAATCCAGTGTTTAACTGCGAGGCTGAGTCTTTAGGCAGGCCCTCTTGGTCCCTGGAGTAAATAGAAGAATCTTGTGAGTGAGAAGCTTCGAACGACATTAGGAGTTCAAAGGGGTCATAGACCACTCTGGACTACACTGGGACACGCAATGGGGGCCAATGGGGCCAGAAATTATAGGGGCAAGCGTGATAAAGTGGCAGTGATAGAAGGGAGGAGGGGCGAAACTTGAAGGAGAACGTACAGTGGTCGCAAGTCTACCAAATATCTGGCGGACCTAAGGTTTTTGATTCTTGGAAAAGGTCAATCGGGCGACGTACGGGCGCGCCGATGAGTGTTTAAAATAAATCTTCAAACATGATGGGCAGGGCGTTACAAAAGAGTCCCCGCAATCAATCGATCGAATATCCAGTTGGGTACCTTTTTCCAACCCGGTTCCACCAGAGCCAACACCATAACAGGGCTTCTAGAACGTCTCTACCAATGGGGGTGTTCGCGGGCGAAGAAGTGGCACTTGAAACGCACTTGGGTTGGTGTAAATCCCGACTCATTAACCCTTTAGAGCAATATTTCTACGCACGTATGCTGTAATATGCTGTACCAATGGCCTATATGATATAGCGCGGGAACGAAAAAGGACCGTAAGATCCTACTGATCTTCCACTGTGGACCGGCGCACGAGAGCAAGAAAAAACAAGGGCTTTACATGTATAGTAGTGGAGAGTATTTTTCAAGCCCCCACAAGTGACATCGGACTGTCCGTTGTCAGACCAAGCCCTACCTACAACCGGCAAGAAGCTCGAGAGAAATTGGGCCTGGGGCCAGGGCGTATTGATCCTTGAGCAACATAGGGGAAAGCTATGGGTCTGGGTAAAGTGGATTTCTAGCCCCCAAGAGCAAATGAGGGCGCCCCATAGGAGTTTGGGGGCCGAGACGAAGGCCTCATGTGGATGGCTGGCGATTCTGTGGTAAAAAGTTAGTCGCACCGGAGAGAGGCCGTCATTCGACGATCCATCCAAAGAAATTTAAATAAGAAAAAAAAAAAAAAAAAGAAAAAAAGAAGTAAGAAGTAAGATAGTAAAACTATAAAAAATAAAGGAAAATAAAATTTAGACTAGCCAAGCCTAGATTTGAGAACTCCCCTTTTGGGAAAACTGGTAAGATTTTTTTCGGGCAGAGTGTTTCGGTCCTTCATTTCCAATTCTCTGGCCCCATTCCCCACGAACGCGCCGTTAGAAACATTAGGGCCCGGGATGATCAGAACTGTGCCCTAGGCGTTGGTGGCGCAGTCTTGGAAACTGTCCAAAGCCAATCGGGCCATGTCTCAAAGCTGGAATGGCAACATTCGCGGACAAGAAGCTTGTGATCACCGAGAATAAATGACGGTGAGTAAAAAGGCAGCATTGGGGCACTTATTTTGCATGTCCTGAGCTGGCTTCTTGTTGATTGATGGTTTTTATGGCTATTCGGAGTTTGGTTGCGGATCTCGGATGATGTGGCCTTGATCAGTTTCGCAAGGCATCACTTCTTAGGACAAGGGCAAAGCCACGGCGTTGTTGGCTTCTGGCACTTCTTAGACAATGATCCATGTGTTTGTTATGTCAAGCCGTGTAACGCCGCTGAGTGGAGCCAGGTCAGAGATATGTACCCAAAGTGCCGGTACCGAGTCAATGACCGAAAAGAAAGGCCTTGCGGCCAAGTTTAACGTACGAGTATCGAGCAGGTCACGCGGCCTTAGCGTTAAGGATGGAGATATTTGGCATGGACAGGAAGGGTTCCGGGGATGTGGCTCTAGGGATGACTCGCGATCGACCGGATGTTCTCCACATGGAAGGGTCCCCTCAACATCGCCGTGCTTTTTGGTCTGTTCTGTGCATGGCACACCCCCATCTCCGTGCCCACCCTGTTAAATCACTCGTGCGGTTCTTTCCGACCTGCAAAGTCAATCGATTTAGGTGCATCAATGCACCACGGTTGGAATTATTGTCGATGCCGACTCGTCTCGAGCCTTGCATGGCAGCCTTATCAGCATCAGCTTGGCGCTTGAGTGGGAACCGAACTGGAATGCATCCAACCTTCTCCTTCCCAAAAGCAATCCATAGCCTTACTCGTATGCAAACTGACACATCGGTCAACACCCGCACTGGATCTGCCCGTCCGCCTCCGTGGGCCCGCCGAACCTATAAAAGTGGAACTAACCGAATTCAGTCAGTCGACGCGACCCCAAATATGGTGTCCTTGTATGTATTCATCCAGGTCGTTATGTAGACCTGGGTGTGTATATAGTAGATCCATTGGCAGGCTAGTGACGCCGATATTGGTTTATATTTCTGCCTGCCAGACCTGAGAGATTCTAGGTGGCTACCGGTCATCGTTTCCACGTACATACATAAGTATAGTGCAGAGAGTACGAGTACTACATAGTAGTATCAATTTGCAGATTGAAGGTGGCAATGGGGCTCCACAAAGACAGCCCTGAGCCGATCAACCAAGTAGGGCCGTTTATTTGAACTGATATAAATCTCATGAGATCGTGGGTAGGCTGTGAGATGTGAACTCGGAGGTAAATAACCTGATGTTTTCCGTTTTCCGTTTTCTGTGAAGGAAGTTGGAGGAAACCTCTCGTTCTTGGCTTGGCCAATGGGCCTATTCACACGGTGTACATGGATATTCGACCCAAACATGTCGTTGGACCAAGCAATTGAGAACACCGGGGGATGACCAGTGGCAAAGTCAAGAAGCCGGCTGATCGATCCAGTTGGCCAGTTGACTGGCTTACTGCATTGTGAGCCCTGTAGAAATCACGTGACACAACATCTGATGTATCACGTGAGCACCGCCGACTCTGCACGGCGGACAGCATCGATATCCGCGTCTGCCACACGGACATCCCCCACCAACCCTGCGAGCTGCTACGTGCCATCTTCGACCTTCAAATAAACTCGTGTGCATAAATCGCCACTATGAAGCTCGTCCGGTACGTGGAATGCGACGTCATTCGAGCCCGCGTCCTATCCCCACGCCATGCGCGCTGGAATTCGCGACCATCCTTTTCTTCGTCGGAGCTGCTTGCTGACCAACCTTATAGTTTTTTGATGAAGTGCGCCAATGAGACGGTGACTATTGAGCTCAAGAATGGTACGTGCAGACCACCAACTCTTCGAGACCCCGACCTCGCGACATACCTGAACAGCTTCGGGCTTTCTGCCCACCGCCAATTGTAAGCTTGATTTGCTGACGTCAAGGCTTCCCATAGGCACAATCCTTCACGGAACCATCACTTCAGTCTCCCCGCAGATGAACACCTCGCTTCGAACCGTCAAGATGACCCCCAAGGGCCGTGACCCCATCTCGCTCGACACTATCAACATTCGTGGCTCTACCATTCGTTACTACATTCTTCCCGACAGCTTGCCGCTGGATACACTCCTCGTTGACGATGCCCCCAAGCCCAAGAATAAGGCTCGCAAGGAGGCTGACCGTGGTGGACGCGGCGGCCGTGGTGGTCCCCGGGGTGGTGGAGGCCGAGGCCGCGGCGGTGGCGGTGGCCGTGGCCGTGGGCGGGGACGTGGCTTCTAGATCTTTTTTCTTCTTATTCTATCTGAGAGTACAGACCGGCGTTTGTTTCTTCCTTCGACGTATCTGGTTCCTTTTTCACTTTGCATGATCATGGGATGTCATTTGTTACCCCGGAGCTTCTTTCAATTGGGTGTGTGAAAGGAAAAGCAGCACTTCTATTATTTAAAATATCCCAATTTTGTGTGTGGACCTCTTTTTTCCCTTTGCTACGTAGACCTGTCTATGAAGTGACAAATGATTCGCTGGGCGGTACAGCCGGTGTTTACGGCGCAGTGCAATGTACTATACGCACTAAGGTTAGGACTGGCGAATAATCACATGGCACTTTCATGATTGACAAATCCTGCGGATCGAGAGAGCTTAAAAGGGGGCAAGGGTCAAGATGAATTTCTTCCTCTGTACTCCGTAGACAAGAGTAGCTAAAGTCTTTAGTATTGGAAATAGGGGACAGGATGGATGGTGCGGCTAATTATGATTTTTGAGTACAGAGTACCCGATACAATGCCTCCAAGACGCATTATTTACTACTAGTAGTATGAATGCTTCACTTCTTCAATAGTTGCATTTTGGTTTGCCTGCAGCTTATCCTATAATTATAGGCTTAGGCTTATTTTGCTTGCTGGATGAGACTGGCCGAAGTAAAACTTCTTATGGCTTCAAGATGTAGGGAGTTTTGCTAAAAAGACCACCTGCTAAGTTTCGACCGTTCTAGAATAGATCAACAGGTAAACCAAAAAGTGCTAGCAGCAGGGTTGTACGGACTAAGGCCGGCATGGGTCCCAGGACCCAGTGCATTGTAATACTCATCATAATAGTGACTCCCCACCGTCCTCGCAAGCCATCGACTTGCTCGGGCATGTGCACGGTCCAAGAACAGGTTGACCTCAGGTGGAGTCTGTTCGCTTGGACTGCCAACATTGCCGTCTCCCCAAGTATATCAGTCCTCTACCGAGCTATTCTTGAATCTGTAGTGTCTCGACGCCCTTTCGGACCCCGAAATATTGGAGTTGCCTACTAATTGGCCCCATTTTCGCAGATCTTCGGCCACGGCCGCCAGCCATTCAAGTTAGAATTACGGGATTTACGGGATTTGCTATTCGCAATATTCCACGTAGTGGATCCCCGGTTCCAGGGCCGTCCTTCTCCAGATATCAACTTGAACGCGGCACTCGCATTTTGTCGTCTTGTTCAAATTTTTTTTTTTTACGTACCTCCTCGTGGATATGTAGTGTCTCTCGATTGCGAAAAATATAATTCTCGATCTACCGTTCCGTGAATGTTCTTTTATTCGATCACATATAGGATCTCTGAATGACTGTTGATCTCCCTTTCCGTGGATCCTATGTAAGTATACTGGGAATCCCGATTAATTTTGGCCCCCGCCACGTACTGCCGGATTCACAAGCCTGCACTAGTGTGGCAAATGGGGTCTGCCGGTTACCCAGATCGATCCCCGGCGATGATGAACACATCACATGTTTTAAGCCATTCTCGCATAACTTGTGGTGATATTTTCAGTCTATTGGCTATATGAGATCCTACCACCACTTTGGACATTTCGATCTTCGTCGCGCCATTCACAACTCGATTTTGCTTAGCTGCAGATTATTCCAACTCCGTGCCCTGTACGGAATGGTGGTGGGGGGTATAGTAGCAACTCTATCAGGTGTTTTCTCTCCTTATATTATGGTACCGCGATCACAATGACACAAGATTTTTGTCTCAATCCATTGAAATAACGGAGGCTAAAATTTGAATGATGGTCTAGACAGGAAGCCACTCTGGGTCAAATGGGGCCGGGTTTCAGTCAATCGGGAATCTCCCCAGCAGTAGGGGCGAAATCTGGTAGACTAGGCCAAGGTTTGAGGAGAAGTCCAGGTGGAATGGCGGCCGCTAAATTTACCAAAATCAGATGCGAAGTATTACTACGTACTCCGTGCCCAATAGACGTTTTACTGGTTGAGCCTAGTGTGGCCTTGGCTTCTTTAGTAGACATAACTGTCTTTAATTCCGTATTTCCGGCATATCTCGAACTGCAAGGCCGAGGCGCTTCCCTTCCGGAGCTTCATGGCGCTCGAATCGAGGGGAGATCTAGATCTTAGCAGTTACTAGGCGACGATCCAGAGCAGGACTTAAATGATCTGGGGCCAAGCCTTAGCAAATTCTCGCTGCATCTGTTGGTTGGAGCTGGTGCTGCATGGTCGTCGCAAGTGCCAAGACCGTTTTTCCGGAATTATGTTCCAAAAGAGCAATGCTTGGTCGATCGAGATGGAGATCAGGAGAAATGGACCCTGTCATGAGACCAGCGAGTGTGGGCCTTCTTGTCTTAATCAAGCGAACTTGAACTGGCATCCTTTTACCCCTCGGGGACTCCTCGGGGAGGAAAACAATATCAAGGTTTCAGGATCAACAAAGCTGTCGTTCCTAATCAACTTCAGTTGAAAGCGTGTAAATATTAATGCCTAATTTGGACAAGCGCTCAACACAAGGTTCAAATTCGGAGGTTAAGAACTTAATCTGTTGTTCAGTAATTATATGTCCACATGCCGCTATGTACTGTCAAGTGAGCATACTACTCCGTACTGTAGTAGGGAAATGACCCGAAAGTTACTAACGATATCCATTGTCCGGAGTATGTCGGCCACACTCCGCGCAAGAAATTGGATCAAATAACTTCACAGCTAGCTCGAACGGGAAACACGGCACCAGCCTTATTGATCCACGAGTCAGGCCGGTGGGGAAGGCTACGGCTTAGGATAATTAATGGGTGATTTTCATTGGACTCGACCCCAATTTGCCCTGCTCGTTAATTATGGGCGGTCCATGTCCGAACGAACATACAGCCGAAGAGTCTGTTAAGTTTACCTTGCAGCTGACGCGTGCAACTCCATGCTCCACGTTCTAATCATCTCGTGTGTCAGATTCTACTTCGTACGTACTCCGTACCCGTAACTGAGATCCCAACTTCCCCTGTTGCGAGCTCGAACTTGAAGCAGTAAAGCTCTGCTCCACTTGGCAGTTTCCTAAAGTGTCAAGCTCACAAACATCTCCCCCTTTGCCTAATTTTCAATCTCTGGTCGGTCAGATGACAGGATCCCAGCGGCCCAAGTGGCCCTCAGTGGCCCTCCCGTCCGACAATCGGAAACTATGAAGATTTCCCCGGGTCTTCTCTTCCGTATTTCGTATGTATGGAGTAATGGGCATATCAAGGGTCATTCTTTCTTGGTCGCACCGGATACCTATTTGAGTATGGCCAAAAGGTTGTGGATCGAAGCTCGGGACAGCCTGTCTTCCTCATATACCCGAAGCGGTCAGGCTAGGCGACGGCACTTGGCGCCACTGTTGATCACAAACAACCAATGCTGAACGGGGCAATTCCGTATATGAAATCACCCCATTACTGCTCACTACCACTATCAGGGCCAAGTCCATGAACCATGGCGTTGGGTGTCCCTGGAGCCCGCCGCAGCCAACTGACGGGAAGGATCATCGATGCAATCAATTAAAGTTCAAGCGGTTTTGGAGGTGAAATCATTCGTCCATTCAAAACGAATTCACTGCTCCGCAATGCCGATTACGAGGAGCATTTGAATAAGAGTTTCCTCCTGGAGGTGTAGGTTTTGACAAGCATTGCACTTCATACTACGGAATATTCGTATTCGTAGAACAGATGCGGCATTGGGGGGGGCGATTCCCAAGTTCCATGACTTGTCTCCTGTTTGTTGATTGTTGGCCTCATCCTTCGTTCTTGGGGCTGTTACCAGCCAGCTGGGAATAGATAGTACTACCCTCGTCCCGGGGCAGGGGCTGGGGCCGGGGCCGAGATGTTTGGGGGGGTTTCATTCACCGTCACAGAGAAGGCGCGAGGTTTGAGGACGCGATCTGTTTTGAGCGAAGAAAGCTTCGTGGGTTGGAATGTTGCCCGGGGTCGAACTATATTTCTCCCTTGGTGCTAAATAATGCCGCATAAATGCTGTCTTCAAGTTGCCGATGGGGCCGCCGGCGTTGGGGCTGTGTTTGAGGAAAGGCGTGGCAGATAGGCCACGCCACAGGCCAAAGATGACATGTACGGGCTCATCGCCATCACCCATTTTCTTCTCCAGAAAAGAATAACACATTATGGGAACCCAAATGCCCCTTGAGTGAAAAAATGCAATGCCACTGTCGATGCTACCCCCAGTCGATGATGCAGTTCAGCTCAACCAACCATTCAAATGTCATGGTTTGCCGTAAATCTCGAATGAAAAAGCAACGTCTAAACGTTCCGGCTCTTGCAAGTGCCGATGCCACGAAGAGAGACGACAAGCTGCATGATGTCACGCATCTTTGTCCAAAAAGAAAACTTACGCACGCTAAGGTTTCTGGCTTCTCCAAATCCGAACGATAACTAACTTTTCCCAGCCAGCTTGCATCCCGCTAGAGCCAACTGTCTCAGCATCCCAGCCGCCCCAGCCACGAATCTGTTCTTTCACCACTTCGGGTTGGTTTTGCTTGCAAAGTAGCACATATGCGACTCCACGGTCCGACAAAATGCCGGGGATAGCATCCAGCAATCGATTTGTCGTTTCCATTCCATCTGCGCCGCCCGCATAGGTCAACGAGAGAAAATAAGAGTCCTGGTCGAACCTGGCAGAGCTTGACATCCCTTCCAATGCTGTGGGATCATTCTCTGACGCTGTTGGTAGGCGTGGCAGCTCGTCGGTTGGAACGTAAGGTGGGTTGAAAAGAAGAACATCAACGCTGCCAGGTCGAAGAGGTGCGCAGAGATCGCCGGTTAATGACGAGATATGAATGGTTTTGAGCGCCGTGGTATCTGAACTTTGCTGTTCTGCGGAGATGGCTCTGGATACGGTTTCTCGTGTTGCCATGCAGGCATTGCGGTTCACGTCTGTTCCCAGCGTGAGGATATCTTGTCGCCCGAAGATCTTCTGCGACTGTGCCGCAACAAACCCCAGTACGACACCGGAGCCCGTACCCGCCTCTACAACGAGTGGTATAGCACTAGAGGCAAGATCTGGCGATGTGCCTGTTTGGAATCGGTCCGATAACCATTGGGACTCGGATGCTGATGCGAGTGTGTCCAGAAAGAGATATGAGTCCTCGGAGGGCTCGTAGATGGTGTCAAAGGAGACATGAGAAGTGTCTGGCGTGGGAAGCATTTTGCCAAGTACCTTTTGTACTTTGAATTGTTTCCAGGGTTCTTGGTGTGCAAAACTGAACAACCCCGCGATATGGTCTGGTCTCTGCCAAAATGGCAGCTCCGATGTTTGTAGTTGTAGATGAGGCTGAATGTAGCGAGCAAATCAAATCAAAAATCGTCAGGGTGGTTTAACCAGTTATTCAACCCAGTATAAAAAACGGATTATGGAAAGTTGGTCCAATGGTTCAAAAATTGCGATGCGATGTGATGCGATTGGCGGAGAAGTGAAAAAGACGCGGGCGGTGATCGCCTCGCCGCCTTTTTCGGCCCAAAAAAGAACCGCGGCCTCGAGAACAATTATGTCATGCGCCAGTCGCCATCTCCAGTGAAATCAAGTTCGAATTATTCTTCCCGCCATGCGTATCGCTCATCGTCTCCTAATGGCCACGCCGGCCTCGATCGGCTCCAAGTCCAGTCTCACCGAGGCTCTGGCACTCCTCCCACCGCTGCAGCTGTACCGCCGGCTCCTCCGCGTCCATCGCAAACTGGACCCCGAAATGCGCGTCCTGGGTGATTCCTACGTGAAGAAAGAGTTCCGAGCACACCGAACTGCAGAGAACCCGCTGCATATTGTACGTTTCAATACAGGACTGGCGGGATAACCTTGCGCATCGATTGATGCTAAGGAATTGTGGTTAGAGAGTATGGCACAGCTGACAACGGCAATGGCAGATCGGATTCCTGACTGAGTGGCAACTCTATGCTCAGAAGCTTGAGGGCGATAATTGGGCCGGGCAGAAACTGGATAAGTCGAAGTTGGACAAGTTGAGCGGTATGGTTCCCATAATGTTTCTCGCAGATATTTGGACTTGATTTGCTAATGGATATGATAGATCAACAACTTGGACAGCTATTCGAACTAATGCAGGCTATCCGCAGCCCAGAGAATGATGGTGAAGGAGAGAAGCAATAAATTGGCTTATCATGGGCAACCCTTCGGTACTTGGGAGATGCGGGCATCTCTCGATGTCTGTCCAGGTTGTACATATACTAGACATGCATGTTTGAATGGGAGGGCGACCCTCTCTTCACTCTTCTGTATTATGTAGCGATGTAATCCATATTATAAACTTTTCACCTACCTTTAGGGCTTGATACCTCTACACCTGGCTTAGTATATCTAAATTGCTTACGCCCCTGTGGTTATGAGATTCAAGTTTGATAGTACTAACTACTACCACCGCAACTGTGCACTTATAATTATAATTAAAAACAGCTGCGGTGCAGCCTAAGAGATACTATACCTCTTTGTCCACAATCATGGATGGTGCAATAACTTCAAACGAATCTTGGCCAGATTCGTCGTGGACGTTGATGACTGTGGCGGTATAACGGACAAACTTGAATGTTGTAGCGGCGTTCGTATCCAGACGTAGATAAATCATTGTATTGCAACGAGACTCGGTCTCGGTGACGGTGATTGTTGTCATTGCCACTTCGGGGAAATACCCAAGGGAATGATAAAATAATAGGAGGCTATACTGTTCGTCATGCTGCTGTTGATTATGGTGCTCACTGCACGAGAAATATTCAAGGGGATGAAAAAGAAAGCGAAGAAAGGCAGACTGTGAGTTGCTTATGTTGGTTTGGACTGGTCGTTCCTTCTGTTCAACCTTTGTTGTGACTAGGTAAGGTCGTTCCTGCCTTTACAAGTTCAACTTGAAGTTGTACTGTATTGTCCAAACCAGCACCTGGGCATGAGTGATGAAAGTCTCGCGTCGTCCTCAGGCAGAGATATCTTTTCCTCCTCTAGTGTTTTCTACCTCTACGCTACCAAGTACTAGTATCAAAGCTAGTCGAGCAGAAAACAAGTACTGGTATACCAAATTCCAAGGCGACAGCCCCTAGATTTTAAACACGGTCTAAAATATGGTTAAAGTGCTTTCTCTTATAAGTTCTAGTTTTAGACTTTTAGTAGGTATAGTGGTGCAAATAACTCCCGAATGCAAGCCTTTGATTTCAAGTTAATATTACTAGAACATACTATTCTTAGCATCTCCATTCTAGCAAATGAAATGAAGATGTCAACCAAAGGGCGGAAGCCCACTTACCTAACGCCCCGCAACCCCGAAATCGGAATTACCGGGGCAAAAAGCCAAGACTCTATCAAGCCGGATATCCCACAAAAAAGCTATACAAAGTTCCATTGCCCATCATCTGGATCGAAGCAATTGACCCGATTAAACATCGTCTCAAAACCCAACTTCCCCAAAAAACTACCGATTTTTCCCAAAATGCCAGCTCTACTGGAAGACCCCTCTACCCGCATCCCCCCACCTCAAGCACACACCAGCGCCGCATCAACGATCCCCCCCACGCCAAACAACTCTCCCGAAAGCAGAAAATGCCGGCGTTACTTTGTATCCAATTACCAAGGGACCGGGCAGTATTCCTGCGGACCTGAGCGCATTTCTACACGCCGAGTTCAGCGCCGAGATTGAGCGTGGCGCGACGTATCCAATGGAACAGGCCATGGCCCTGGATCAGTTCCGGGATTATTGGTTTGGTACTTTTGCGGTTGTTGCGGTGCTGGATGAAGAGGGGGCTGCTTTTGGCGATGGGTTGAGGGAGGGGAGGAAGTGGGAGGAACTTTGCTTGGGGACGTTTTATATTAAGCCGAATTATCCTGGTGAGTTGGTTGCACTGCATACTACTACATCCAACAAGAATTCAAATCAAGTTGAGCTACTATTGGAACTTGAAAGGAAAAGCACTGGAACTTGAAGTTCGCTAAATGACTAACTACATTTGAATTGACTAGGCCGCTGCTCGCATATCTGTAATGCTGGTTTCATGACTACCAATGCAGCTCGCGGTAAGGGTGTTGGACAAGTCATGGGCGAAACATATCTTGAATTTGCGCCTCAATTGGTAAGAACTTTCAAGTCGAACGCTAGCTTCAGAATTCATCAGGAGACAGCATGAAATTCCCTCTGACATTCATTTTCTTCTAGGGTTACACGTACTCCGTCTTCAACCTGGTCTTCGCTAACAACCCAGCCTCCATCCGGATCTGGGAGAAGCTTGGATTCAACGTAATTGGACGTGTGCCCAAGGCCGCACGCCTGGCCAACAGTGAAGAACTGGTCGATGCATTGATCTTTGGAAGGGAACTTGGGAATTGACCCTGATCAGTAATTTAATGCTTGTTCCTTGAGAGGATATGTGAGGGGTTAAAAAGGATAGTTAGGGTCTAGACGCCTAGGTATAGAACGCGCGTGATGACGAAATGTCTATCAAAAGCATGCAGGACAATAAAACTTGAACGAAGCAACTTGAATGCAAATCTAAAAGATGAGAATAATCTAGGTTCCATTACCGAGGAGAGAAAGGGTAAACTACAAGAGGTAGATAAATATTCACATGGATGGAAGGGGAAAGAGACCTCGGGAGGAAAGAAGAAAAAGGAACCATGATTTAAACAAGCAACCAAAAGAGCAACAAGCGCGAGTACAAGTACAAAGAAACCCGGGAAAGCAAAGAAATTCAAGACCCAACGCTCAGACCATACCATGCAAAATAATGGGGATATCACGCAAAACCGAACCCTCAAGAAATCATGCTTCGCACCCTGGCCAGCTTAGAAATGAGCAAAACCAAAGCTGCGGGTGGAATGCATAATGCTAAAAAAAAGACATAAAAACAGGTTGATACAGGATATGGAGGTGGAAGAGAGTGTTTAGAGGATGAGGGAGGAATCGGAGAAAGGAGGATCGGTAACGATGTATACTGCCAAGCGTAAGGATGAGCGACCGCAACAGGAACAGCAAGGGAGTTCAGCTCTTCATGCTCGCCATGGCGGTCGTGCATCAAGCCTCTTCTGTGCAGCGGTGCGTTCCTTCGGCGTCGGCAAGGGTAGCAAACTCATGCGCTTGTTTCCGGAATGGCCTAACGCAGTACCGGGACGGGTGGACTTAGTCGGACTGTCCATTGTTTCTTGGGCCGACGATACACTGCGGCTGAAGGAGCTCACTCCGGCGTAACTTTGCCGACTGCGTGGTGTGTTTGACATGCCGGAAGTATTGGAGACACCGGAGGTTCGACGAAGTCGGCTGTAGGGAGGTGGGTCGAGGAGTGAGGACTTGGCGGGGGTAGGAGAGGAAATATTCCGTGAAGGACTTCGGGATGAGGAGGCCAGACGACTGGAAAGACGACTGATTGAGCGACCGCCAGGTCCAGCACCAGGAGCTGGAGAGGCAGACATATCGCGTCGGAATGCCATAGTCGATGATGGCCGGGGTGTGCGCATTGGAGCAGATGAGTTTCGATAGCCGGTAGGATTGGGTTCAAAGTAGTGACCAGTATCCACGTCCCGCGTATTAAAACTAGGATTCCACCGCGGGCGGTTGGGAATCGTGGACGGTGGCTGCGGAGTGCGAGACAATCTGCGACTTGCTGGAGTCGGGGTGGTTGCATAGCTGTGCTTGGACGGTGGCGGAGAGCCCATGCCTGAAGGGACGGGAATAGCAGACTTACGTCCCGTAGTTTGCGGCTGTGGTAGACCTGAAAACCTTCGAACGTTGGACATAGTTGAGCGTGTCGTGGCGCTGCCGACGGAACTTTCGCGGCGACTTGAACCACCCATCGGTGTTTTATATGAACTGCCCCCAAGAACGACAGATGATGCAGGTGAACTTCCGGGGGTGTCGATGGCACTACCCGCAGCTGGGCTATCCACTGTGACTATACTGGATATGGAATCACGTAGCTGTGGACCTCTGGCAATCTGGACGTCTTCCAGAGACGCATCCATCACCTTAACACTGGCCTTGAGAGCATCCGTTCGTGATTTCATATCAGACAGCAGCCGCAGGACCTCACCATTCAGGGTCAGACGGTCATTGATACCCTTTTGAATAATTGTTATCACGCGCTCAATCGCAGGCAGATAGTGCATCTTCTTTGTCTCATAGGTATCCATTCGCTTGACAAACGTCGCAGGATCGTTGACCGGCGCGTTTGTCTCCAATCCTTCTTGGAGTTTAGAAAGACTGCGCTCCACAGATTCAAACATCTTCTGCGCCTGACTTCCCGCATTGCGGAACACCATGATCCACTTGTCCTCGCCAAGTTCTTTTTGTAGCGCCTCGGAGTCAGTCTGTAGAACCTGGAAGCTCTTCTCTAGACGTTCTCGTCGGTCATCCAGCTCATCGCAGGCGCTTGGGAAAATCTTGTTAGCTCGGGACTGAAACATAGACAGTCGCATTGGCAAGAAATCCAGGGAGGCACGAAGAGGCTGCATGCGCGCAAATAGAGCCATGAGATTGGAGGTGGAGTCATCCTGAGGGGTCTTGATGATGGGCGTATTAGAAGCGCTCGCCATGATAGCACCGAGACTCATCCGATTGTGGGAGTGCGATCGCCCTTTGGACGGGGATTCTTCGACTATTGTCTCAAGCTCGTTGATGTCAACGCCGCCTGTCGCTTCAGGACCGTTGCCCATTAGAGCCTCGTGTCGCTTCTCCTCCATCTCGAAAATCGTTCCACTGAGGTTGTCAATCTCCATACCCACATCGCCAAGTACATTGGACCAAAGTTCTTCCCACTCCATGGCCAACTCTACTTGTTGTTTTACACCTCTGAGCTTGCTCTTGATTTGCGACCAATTTTGCAAAATGCTATCCATCTGACTGACGATAGTCTTCAAGTTCTCGTTGTCGACAGTGGCGACGTCGTCTCGGAGCTGCACGTTCTCGATAGCGCTCACATAGACGTTGACCAAAGACTCAAATCGAGTGATAGCTTTGTCCACCCCCTCGAGGCCCTCTCGACCACCCGCTGCCGCCCACTCCACATCATCCTCTGAATCCAGCCCACTGAGTACATCGAATGCTTTCCTGATCCAGAATTGGATTTGGTCTGCGTGGCCGTTCAGTGCGCGGACCGCTAGAAGCGCGGTTTGTATATTCGTTATACTCGTTTCGAGCGCCGCAGGTTGGGGGAGTGGTATGGAGGTAAGCTGGGAGAGTTGGTTGCTGAAGGAGGCGCGGGAGAAAGAGTATATAGACTCGGGGCGCTGTGAACTCGTCGCATTGAAATATGACTGTGGGTTGGAGGAAGAGGAGAGGCTATAAGTGTGGCCGCGAGGGGAGTCTTTTGGTGGGGGAGAAGGAGCGGACTGCTCCTCGCTGCGCTTAGTGTCATCAACATATTTCTCAAAGTCGGTACGCGTATCCTGTGCCCCATCATTTCCAGATAGAGCTTCTGATTCCGTACCAGCACCCAGCTGAGGGGGGAGGGGGAGGGGGAGTGGGCTCCGCGACAGACATGGACGTCGGTGGTGGGCTGTTCGGTGGATCAGGAACAGTCACCGGAGGCGGAGGCGGAGGGGGAGGGGAAGGAGAAGTAGCGGCGAGAACAGGTGGCTCTGGGAGGTCGACAACCACGTCGGTGTATTCTGAGCCCTCCGCGCGCGCGTCGGAGACTTTCTGAAGGAGATCAAGGCTGGGTAGCTCTAGCCTGTTCGACGCGGTGCGCTTTTGAGTCGGTGTTTCGTCCGGTGTTGTGGGCACCTGGCCAGCCCACGCTTGGCCTCTCCTTTCAACTTTGATGGACAGGTCCTGGTGCAAGTTATCCAGCTCCTTCAAATGCTCCTCCGGGATCCGACCAACCGTGCCGGCGTTGCGGTTGTTATTGTTTTTGGAGCTGCCGTCCAATAGCTTCACCCGAGCCGCGAGGGCGGGCGATAAGCGACGAAAGATGCTCGGCTTGGAATTCTTCTCGGCGCTGGTAGGCTCTTCGAAAGGGTCGTCGTCTTGATTGCTGCTGCCGATACTCCAAAGAGACGATTTGGACTTTAGACGGCGGAGAGGGGAAGGTCCGTGTTCATTGGGGGAGCTGGAGACCGCGGGGGAGGAGATGCGGACAGAGCGGACGTGCTGGGGGACAGCGCGATGTCAGTCACCGAGGAAGTTGGACCGTCAACCGTGGCATGCATGAGGACAGGCCCCGGGGGCGGTTGGAAAAAGGCTGAGAGGGTCGAAAAAGCGATTCAAGTTCAGGCAGGGATGGGCAAGGAATGTTTCGTGTTCTCGTTCGGTACGGAGTAACGGCCCCAGGCTGTGAAAAGGGTTCGTTGCTAGTAATCTCCTTTCACGTAGGCTCTCTCGTTCTGGGTTCTTTTTGGGGGGAGGGGGGTTTGGAAGAAGTTGAGAGAGAAAGAACAAAGGCTACATGACCAGCTGAATGAAAAGTTGCAGGCGAAATTGGGCAGCAACCGGTAAGGAAGTTGAGACAAGAAACGAGGGATGAAGTGGCCAGAGAGTACGGAGTACTGCAGTGAGTACCTCCGACTCCGCCCATTTACTATGGGGCTGCCAGGTACCGCTTCTCCTCGGTATGTTAGTGCGGCGATCGGAGTATTACAGAGTACTTTAGAGTTCTTTATGCAGTGGTTCATGAATTCATCATCATACCTTGAGTGATAAAATAATAGTTTTAGTAGTACTGGTATGTCGTGGATGTACTACTAGCCCCAGCACACCCGGGAAACCCAATGATAGGGGAAATGTAATACTACTAGTATACTCCTATTGTATAATCTCAAATTTGAAAGCGTTCAAGTTCTTCTCGTCCTTCTGAGCAACAATGAGAATCGCTATCAACGGGACGTCACCTTATGTCTTACTAGTGTGCGATGCTTCATACCATTGCTACTATGTAGCCTCATGAATGAAAGTACGTGAAAGTACGGCCAAACCTTGGAAATGTCTCGTCTCGGAAGACGAATCCTATGCCAGCCCAGCTGGGCGTCCTGAGACTGGGAGACTGGAAGCCAATTTCATCAACTTGTAGTTTAGTTGATAACTAAACCGTATTTTCATAGTACTGATCCATGTATGCCCAGGTGTATGTAAAGTATAACTTGCTTTGTAATATAATTTCCACAAGCAGCCCTGGAGTATGGAGTAAATGAACCAGTACTACGGAGTAAGTAATTATCGATCATCAGACAAGCACGTGGCGAGGCTACTTCGATGCTGCTAGGACCTCCAAAAATACTCAACGGGCTCGGCCCAGATTCAAATTTCCGAGGTATTTCACTATTTCAGGGGCGCAGATCAGCACCGTTGCGCCCTAGCGCCAGAGCGGACGCGGGCCCAACGCTGTTCCGTAATGCCTCTAAATTCTCCACAGGTTCGAGTACCGTCTCCATGCAATGATAATGTGTGGATCAATTAGGCGTCGTCTCGTCTATGCGGTGCAAAGGTATAAACAGTGGGAGAAGACAATATGCAATGCAATCCCGAACAGAACTGGCAATCGGCGATGAGAAGAGGAAGTAAAAAAAAATGAAGAACCCAACACCAGATGCGGAGATGGGCAGAATAGTCGGAGAGACTATCCAGGGGTATCTAGCCAATTGCCCAAGTATAAGAAAATAAAAAGACAAAGAAAAGGGGAGAAGAAAAAAAGGAAACCTGAATGAAATAGAAAACAACCGAGATGCAAATATGAGAGGGAGGAAGGGAGGTAGAGAGAGAAATTGAGACCGTTCTTCTCAAATCAGACCAGCGCTAGGGGGTCGTCCGGGGTTGGCCGCTTGCCAATCACGCACCAACTCTCCCCGAACGGTCTTGCACCAGGCCAACAGCGCCGCGTCAAATTGTTTCCAGGCCACAACCGTGCTGCTCTGGACCACGCCCATTACATCCACCACCAAGCGTAGTTCCCAACGCAATTCCGCGGCTTTCACCCAGTATCGCAGATTCTCCGTTTGCCGATAGGGCTTGGCGATATCCTGATGAAAAGCTTTGATTTCCCCGAAAGGCCGCTTGGATTTCTTGACGGCGATGTTGTGCAACTGAACCAAGATCCGACCGTCGCGGAACCGGTCAAGGAATGCAGTCGGGGCCGGCTCTATGCCTTCCTCTTCTTCCATGACTGGAGTCCACTCCGGCAGAGTGTGACCACCAGGCATCAAGCTGCGGAGAAAAGACTCTTCGCGGGATCGCTCGCGTCCGGTCCAGTCGCCACGGGCCCAATCCCAATTCTCCCGCTCTTGCGCTTCCAGATCCTCCAAGGCCTTCTCCCGGACCAGCATGGTGCGGACACCCGAGATCCAGCCTTTGATAGCGTCGCGTTCCTCATCGCGGAGTCCGCTGGCAAAGTGCCGTGCAGCCCAGCGTTTTAGTACATCGAGGACATGGAATAATTCCTTGCGGATTTCCCGCTCCGTTTTGATTGACGCTAGGCGTTCAGGGTGTTCGTGGGTTGTGTAGTAAATCTTCGCCGCCCGGATTGCATTGGTCACATCGTCCAGGATGCACATTCCTTGCGCTTCCTCCTTTGTTTGCGGGGTTGGGATCTGGCTCGAGGCCTCATCGTCTAGGGATTCGGGGATATCGCTTGGGGAAAGACTAGATCGGAGTGAGTCCCGGGATTGGGGCTCGGCGCCGTTCTCAATGGCTTCGATGTTGGAATCTGCTTTGTCCAGCGCTCTCTGCAGGTCCCGACGCAGGGAGTGTAGATCTGGCGGTGGTGCAATGTGGTGTGTCTTAATGCTGTAGGTACTGACTGTCGGTGGAAGCATGACCTCCCCTTCTTCGTCTTCCATGCTGGGGTCGAAATCTGGGGACTCGACCATTTCTGTCGGGCTAGCTGTCAGGTCGTGCATGTGCCGTTCATTGGGGGTGATCAGCACCCGAGGCACGTTCTCCGCATTCTTCTTCTTCGATTCTTTGCCTCGACCGGTCTTTCCATCTAATAGACCGGTTCGAGCAAAGTAGTATTGTAGGTGGGCAATGCTGCCCAGACTCATGACACTGTCACGGTGCCGAGCGGACTCGGAGAACTCGGCTCCAAAGGCGCGAATGTATCCATGACGACGGGATGATGTTGAAACGGTCGAGCGGGCATCGGCCGAGGTTGCGGAGGAGGCGGAATGGGAGGAGACGGAGGAGAAGGTGCGGTCTGGAGAGGAGTATGAGGAGATGGCCGGCGTGGCTGGAACGGAGGGAGATGGTGAAGAAGCCCGGACTGGAGGCGAGACCGAGACCGATTCAACGTCGACAGACTGCGGCTCTTCCATGATGTGGCGGAATGATCTGAAACTGCTGTTGCACCAGCTGGCCACACAAAGAGGTTCTCAAGGTTTTCGAAGTAACTTTTGAGGTACACACGGCGGGACCGAGGATCGGGGAGAAGATGAGGGGAAGCGGAATGCTTCAGGATCGAGATTCGAGGAATGACAAGTAAGGATCGCAATTGGTAACGGCCTGGTCGCACGGCCAACGCCAATTCGGAGGTTTAATGAGAAGTGGAAGATCGCCGGTCGAGAAACTTCTTTAGGCCAAAAGGGGTGGTGGCACTAAAAAGGGGGGTGAAAGCGGGTCAACGCTACACAGTTTGATTAAGTGTTAATCTGGATGTCTAAGAATGAGTGTCAAGGTAATGTTTTCAAGGGAAGGTCTTTATTGAGACTTTTGTTTTTGCAATAGCACAGCTATTTGCCTTTACTATCCCCTTAAAGTCGAAGCACCATAAGCATACAAGTATAGCAGCAGAGTCAAGCAGTAAGTGGATTGCCGCCCGGACGGGTTTAGCCGGTGCCCCGCGTCCACAACCTTTTGGACTGGTCCGCGCGTGTTTGAGTGGAGATGTTCCATGCTTCAGTATGTAGTAGTAGTAGTTACATACGGGTATTCCTTCTCTGATCTTTGCACTGCAATGCACTGCCCTTAAAATATGTCCTTCCTCTCCCATCCACTTCCCTTCAAATTTTCCATCCCTTTACTCGGGTGTTCCTTGGTCGGATCCCGGTACTTGGTCTGATAGGGATTGGGATCGGTCGATTGGATCAAGTTGCTGAGAGTATGGTTGACCTCGCGGTGCTTGGCCTCATCGGCACGGACGTACAAGAGCAGGTCCTTCATGGTGCGCTTGCCCTCCGGCATCTTCCAGTATTGTACCGCAATCTCGGGTGCCTCAAGAGTCTCCCATTCGGGAAGCTTGCCGTCTTCAAGTTCCTGGATGGCCCGGGTGTAGGTAATAACCGCCTCTTCCTCGAGATATCCCACAAACCGGTGGCAAATCCGGGGTGAAATGAGGTAGGACAGGAAGAATCCGTTGAAGAAGACGCCCTGGGCTCCGAGAACCATCACACGCATGAACCATCCCGGCTCGGCAAGTTTGAGGAAGGTCAATAGATGCATGCGCTCGTTAAATGCCTCTTCCAGCAACGTTTCGATCCAGCCGTTATCGCGCTTCATTCGTCGGAGACTGCGCAAGTGTCGTAACATGCCGCCCACCATGCCGGGCACGCCGGCAACACTCTCGAGAAAGACGAATCGGGCCAGCCATTTCCTCTCTGTCATGACGAACTTGGCTGGTAGTGTCTCGCCTGGTTCGGGGTGTTTGTATCCCGTCACAAAGTCCATGCCCCAGCGAAATACACGGACGGTGCCCAGGGCTACCCAGTCGGACCAATTCGTTGCGTTCCGATGGGCAATCTGGATGCTGCGCATCTGCGAATCATTGTAACTGAAATTTGGGTCAGCTTGGTTGTCATCAAGGGGATCAATACGAGCCAGGACAACTTACACAGGATGTACCCATGCTGATTCCACCTCTTTCACACCGGGGGTTTGTGGTGGTGGGAAGTATTCTTTGATCTGCTTCTGCTGCGTCGACGAGATGAGTCGTTTGGGGGTGTAGGTGACTGGCGAGGCGCGTTTGTTCACTCGATAACAGTTTGGTAGGGAGGTGGTTGCGACGCCTGAGTAGGCCCGTGCAAACAAGTAGAAGTATGACTGTGGTCGCGCTGCCACCCGAAGGGGCGTCGGGGAGAAGGTCGATAGTGAATTCATAAGTTGGAGGTGGTTGTGTGTATTCAAGAGGTGAACTTGAAGATGTTTGGGCGTGGCAGGTGGTAGGAATGTAGGTTTTGGTCTGTGTTGGATGTATCAGATAATATTCCAAGTTTGAAGTAGTAATTTCAGGCAGCGTCAGAGACCGCAGGCCTTTTATATGACTCAAGCCAGAAAAGAAAAAAAAAAAAAAAAAAAATTCCCTTTCGCAGGCCAAGTCAGGAATACGAATTGATTCCCGATTACCACCGCGGTTGATTGACCCAGGGATGGGCAACGCGGCTGTGCCTGGCGTTGGAATGATGACATTCCCGGCGGTTCATTGGCCAGCTGGTGCCTCCTTTACGCCTTTACGGTATCCTTCGTATGGTTCGTTTGTATACATACTTCGAGTTTAGCCGCATATCAGCCCCACCGCATCGCGGTCCCCGCCTGCGGCTCCGATGCATGACCATCGGACCCGACAGCAGATATTCCCTGCCTTGAATTGACTCTCTCGAACAAGAAGCGATTCCAAAAGTCTTCCCATTATCCCTCAACTTGTCTACAGCTCCTGTTCCTGACCGGAACCCGTCATCCGATTACGGTAAAATTGAAATCTGACAAAGCAGGTGACCTCGGGAAGAGTCGGGTACTTTTTCTGCCAGCAACCACGAACTCCTCCGAACGAGCACATTTGAGTCACGGCCTCCCGAGAAAATATCGGCTTCAGACGCCGCCGGTTTTTCGGGATTTGTTATTGACCTCACCGGTGGCAGATTAAAGCCTTGTTTTGGGCCACGAACCAGGTACAGCTCTTCCTCCCCGGTGCTCGCCGACAACATTAGAGTTCGCCTAGAGTGTTTTCTTATTTTTAGTAGCTAAAACAATGATGACGAGAGAACAAACTTGAACTACACAGAGGCCTGATATTCTATATTCTACTAGTACGACAATACAACTAGAATTCGGATTGTATTTCTGTATTCATAACAATTTGCACATGGCAAGGTGCTCCGTCAACTTCTTCAATATTGACTAGATTATGGTCGTTAGGTGATGAGGTGGAGTAAGTAAGCGCTGTACCTGGACAATAGATACTATATAATATTAGACCATTTCTTTTCTTGAGCTTCTAGGGGTGACTGTAGGCAGTAAAGCACTTACAGAAAGGAATTTGAATGACATGGATCAACCCTCAAGAAGCATATCGAGACTCCATAGTTCGCATAACCGAAAAATGATCCTCCCCCTCCCTAGGTTCCAGCTCCTTTTTCTCCAACTTCACAACGTGAGCCATTCGTGGGCCCTTATCAAGCTGTTGAAGTAGCTTTTTGACGGTCTCTTCTTCGCCCTGAATTTCGCCCTCGACCTGGAAGTAGGAATGGGTTAGTCCGATCATCCGCCCAGCTATAGATGGTAGGCAAAGCTCACGCGGCCACATGTGGTGTTGCGGCACCATCCCTTCAAGCCATGGCTCGTGGCGCATTTTTGGGTAAAGTCGCTATTTGATAGCAGGTCAGTTTGGTGGTCATACTTCGAGGTATCGAATATGATGTCATAGTTCAAGCAAGAGGCGGGCGGTTGAAATGATCGTACCGATAGCCAACACCTGGTTATTTGTTAGCTATGACTGTCAGTTAACGAAGATGCTGCGTAGAATGGAGATCCGAGTTGAATTCGGGGGTGGATCGATGTATCGTTACCTTGTACAGTGCCGTGGACTCGAAATGCAATCTGAGGCAGCAGGTTAGCTGGAACGTAGAAAAGCCGGGGCATCGCTTGTATCTCGTTCTTCTTTGAATGGAAAAGCACAACAATGAAAATAGAGAGACATACCCGTTTGGTAGACATGATGTGAGTTTCAGCTTGATATCTGGAAAAGGTGGTGGATGGGACATTGGAAGGCAGAGCTCATGGCCCTTCGCGTGGATTGGTTGGCGGCCCTGCTGATCTAATCTACCCCAGGGACCTATAACGTAATTCCCGCCCGAGTGAAACACCCGCCCGAGTGAAACACCTACCCCCATTAGAAAAATTCAAAATCGATTATCTCAACCAACACCTATTAATTCGGCTAAATATAGCGATTTTTACATGTATTAATCTTGTGCCCAGTCTCCCTGCACCCACTACACCTAGGCAGAGCCCTAGTACGTGGTGGATCTGCCTGAGCAGGCAATTCGCCCTGCTCGTGCGATACTACCCCATCACCTTCTACTAGCTGGTTTAGCTGTTCAACTAGCTGTAAGCCCTCTTCGACGGTTAGACCCTCTTCGCAGGGTATCTGCCTAGTTGACCGATTGCGCTTCTTGATAATTTTCTCGTTCGCCATACGTAAATTCGCATTATCCTGCGCTAGCAACGCAGCGTTGTGAAGCGATAGTGCAGTGCCCTTGATAATTTGATCTAGCATGCTTTTGATTGGGCTTGGAGGGCTACTTGACCGACGGTGTAGTAGATCCTTAAGCATAGATGCTTGTTTTTGTAGCTGAACAACAGTTCTAGGCGTTTTTGGTGTAAATTGGCTAGATCTGCTGCTTGGCCGGCTGCTTGGTGGTGTAGGCGTTCGTAGAGAGATATTAAGCTTTGAAAGTACTCTTTCTGCATCGACTGGTACTAGGCTACTAGCTGTAAAGCTATTCTGAATAATAGCTGGCTTTTGGAAGGCCTCTAGCTGTGTGTATTGATAGTTCTCCAAGAAATCGTACTTATCGATATGGTTATATCCCCTACGCGCAAGATCGCTGACGAAACGACTATACGCTCTCTTGACTACTGTAAAGCAGCTAACATCTAGTGGCTGTAGTAGATGTGATGAATGCGAAGGTATACAAAGAGGTATAATATTGTTTTCTTTGCAGATTTGGTCGAATTGGGGCGTAAGGTGGCTACCATGACCGTCAAGAATCAGTAGGCGAAACTGGCCGCGTACGCGCAAATTTGTTGATAGGATAAAAAGCTTTTGTAGCCAACGTAGGCCAATCTCATCAGTGGTCCAGCCGTTATTAGAGACCTCGATTCGCCAATCTTTCGGAAGATTATCGGTAAACCATCCTGCAATAGCTACTTTGCCCTTAAAGATCACACATGGCGGTAGCGAATAGCCATCTGCGTATATTGTTTCGATAGCAGTAACCCATTCACGATTTCCCGGTTGTAATAGACGTCTCCGACCGTAGTATTCTGCCCGCGTTACTACCTTCTGTGAGGATATAAGGCCCATTGCAAAGCCTGTCTCATCAAAGTTATAGATATCCTCCGGTTGAATACCGTTCTCATCAATAACGCGTTGTACGGTAGAAAACCACTCTCGTAGTGATTTTGGGTCTTCGTTTAGTGCACGCTGGTAGTCGTATCGTACTGAGTAGCGTGTGCGTAGCTCATCACGACGTTGAATAAATTTAGATGGCCAATTCTTGCCAACAGTAGGCGGAGGTTGGCTACCGCGCGCAGCCAGTAGGATATTAGCCATTTCTCCTACAGTAGCCGGCCTAGGCGCTGCTCCACGCGCATCCATAGAGAGAATCCACTCAGTAAGCGAATCCTCCTCTAATTGGGTCAATTTATGGCCGTTTGGGCGTATATCGACGCGTGAGGGTAGGCTATTCGCCCGTCGAGACAAGGTAACATGAGATACACCAAATTGCTTCGCAGCTGCGCGAATTGATTTGAATTGACCCTTTTGAATAGCTTGCAAGGCTAATAGAACCCTGCCCTCTTTCTCGGTCGCTTTTTGCCAGGATTCAGTGCGTTTTGGTGGCATGGTAGATGGTTGAAGCATGTAAGTTGGTCAGAACGCGCGATTTCTGGTGGGGTGTTTCACTCGGGCGGGTGTTTCACTCGGGCGGGAATTACGTTAGTGCCCCGGGCGGGCTTACCTAGGCGCTTCTTAACACATAATTTTTATTTGATCTCAAATTGCTCAATGCCTAATTTATAGTGAGATTTTCCTTATACTGACTGACCTTATTGTATCTACAACTATTCCAATAAAGTCCCGTTCAACCAAGACGTATTCCGCAATTATGAATACGTACACGAACTTGTAGCTCAATAAATAAATACTTCAAAATTTATATTAATAGTATAGAGGGGATCTGAACCCCAGTAGCTCGTGGCCTTAAGTGATAATCGGGCAGCGCTGATTGGAGATCGCCTGGTGCGGGTGCCTCGGTCCCCCCCCCCCCTGACCTCCAGACCTTCAGCTCTCCCGAGTAAACAGATCTTCCCCCTTCAAGTTTACCCGCCTGCGCCATGCCACTGCCCTGAAATGGCTTCCCTATTCACATGGCTCCGGCGGATTTACTCGCTCGATACCCTTGACACTCGTTTTACGGCCACTGCCATCACCCCTGCAAATGCCAACTCCAACTCCAACTCCGACACGCGACCCGCCGCAAAAGATGCCCGCGCCAACTCCATTGCTCAGAATGCCCGTGCATCACTCTGGCGCACGCCCGAGTTCTTCATCTACTACCTTTTTTTTATTATATTTGTTCCATTGATGTTCAAGGCTGTGATCGATGCCTCGAAGGGTGAGTCGTTCCATCGCAAGGGCTGAGGCTCTGGCCACGTCGCTGACCGTGGATCCGAAAAATTATAGACAACAACCCTGCCTACGCGGCGTACTCCGACTTACTATCACCAGGATGGATTCCAGGTCGCTTAGTCGTCAGTTCTTCCAACCCAGTCGCTATCTTCAGAATGCTTTCCTTACCACGCAGAACGCACGCTGACCCAAACTGTTTCAACCACACCAGGACAATTCCGATGCTCAGTATGCCAGTGTCCGTGACAACATCCCCTACCTTATCCTCCTCCTAGTCGCGCACCCTTTAGCCCGCAGGGTCTATCAGTCCTTCGCTAGCCGACCAAATGTTGGAACTAAGTCCCCGGTGGCTGCGGCCGGAGAAGTGCAACTCGACCAGCGCATGCGCTTCGATTTCGCATTTGGAATAATCTTCATTGTGGCAATTCACGGGGCCTCGGCGTTGAAAGTGTTTCTAATTCTATTTATCAATTACCGAATTGGCAAGAGTCTTCCTCGCGCTTATGTTCCCGCTGCGACATGGACTTTCAATATCGGCATCTTGTTCGCGAATGAATTACTCGGCGGATACCAACTGGAACCCATTGCCATGTTCTTGTCCCCAGGATCTGGAACGCCAGGAGAGAAAACTACCCTGCTGGTACAGTGGGCCAGGTCATTGGATGATATGGGGGGGTATAATGCCCCGGTGGGAAGTTCTGTTCAAGGTGACCGTGCTGCGTCTCATCAGTTTCAACATGGACTATTACTGGAGCGTTGACTACCCCGCGGCAAGTCCCATCGAAGTATGCCTTCCCCTATTCTGCTTTATCTAGGCACTTGACGCCCGTTTTGTCGATCATCAACTGACCGAGTTCTACAAGAAGAAACAACTCGACCCCGCAACCCTCTCCGACAGGGATCGTGTTAAAATTCCTGCTGAGCCAGCAGCTTTCACCCCGCGCAACTATGTCGCCTATATTCTTTATTCGCCATTATACTTGGCTGGCCCCATCCTGACCTTCAACGACTACGCGTCTCAGCAGCGATATACTGCGCCTTCACTGACCCGCACCCGCACCATCCTTTACGGCGTCCGCTTTTTCCTAACTTTCCTCTGCATGGAGCTTATACTTCACTACATTTACGCAGTGGCTATTTCCAAAGCCTCGCCAAACTGGTCCATCTTCACACCAGGCCAACTCAGTATGCTGGCCTTCTTCAACCTCCACATCATCTGGCTGAAGCTACTTATCCCCTGGCGATTCTTCCGTCTTTGGGCTCTCGTTGACGGAATTGACCCTCCGGAAAACATGGTCCGCTGCATGTCCAATAACTACTCTGCCTTTGCCTTCTGGCGCGGCTGGCATCGCTCCTTCAACCGCTGGATTGTGCGATACATCTATATCCCTCTTGGTGGTGGCGGTGGTGGTCATCGCCCTGCGGGAGCAAAGCCTTCCTCATCACCACCCTCATCGGGCCTTATGTCCAAGGGACTGCAAATCCGCAACTTCTTGTTGGTGTTCACCTTCGTCGCTCTTTGGCACGATATCAACCTCCGACTATTGATGTGGGGCTGGCTTGTGACGCTCTTCGTTCTGCCCGAGGCCCTGGCTGGCATGATGTTCCCCGCTAAGCGTTGGCGTTCTCGTCCTACAGCATACCGTGTTCTCAGTGGCGTGGGGTCCGTTGCCAACGTTCTTATGATGATGATCGCCAATCTTGTCGGATTCGCCCTTGGCTTGGACGGACTGAAGGATCTGCTTGCAGGGCTGACCGGCTCATATGCCGGCCTTGCCTATATGTTTTCCTGCTGCGTTGTACTTTTCGTCGGCGTGCAGGTTATGTTTGAGATTCGGGAGGATGAACTACGCATGGGCATCAACCTGAAGTGTTGAACTGATCTCACCTCTGTGTTTCCTTCTTGTTCTCGTTTTCTTCTAGTGTATAACATGAGATCAACTCAAATATATGAAAACAATATAGTAATGCCAGTTGTTCAAATTGTGCTAGTGTACAGTTTCCATTATATTCATAAAGTCATTAAAGCCTACAAGGAGATCAAGTAGTCTCCTTGGATAGTGTACATATTAAGAAGGCCCCTCTAAAAGAAGGCACCGCATCTCGAATCCTCATGAAGACGATAGCAATCAAGTCCACATGTTCGCACATGGCAATTTTTGCACCGAATCTTGCCCCAATACCCACACATGTAGCAGAAATTCCGCGGCGGCTGTGAAGCGTGCGGTGGCGCAACACGCGATGCATTGTAAGAAAGTGCCGGTTCAGCAAGAAGGAGCTGCATGATGCGATCTGATGGCATATTGGGAGCATAAGATTGTAGAAGCGGGTCGTTGTCATATTCGGTCTTCAACAGCTTCGGCTTCGGTTCTTCCGCATCATTCTCGGTCTCTGCATCGGTCGTGTCCGGTTGTGAAGGGGCAGGGGTAGGTGTTGATGTCGCAGTAACCGCAGCAGAAGGTCTCTTTCGACGTGCGGCTGGGGTGGAAGAAGTCGTTATAGGTGTAGAGCTTCGTCGCGCAACCGTCGCCGCGACTGCATCTTTGCCTGCCTTCACAGCAGCAGCCACCGCAGCTGCGTTCATATTGGCCCCTCCCCCTCCAATCTGCACGGCACTGAGGCCACCCCCACCGGCAGCGATGGCAGCTTCCTCGTCATCGAGATGATTCTTGAAAGTCTTTTGTGACATCAGGATGCGGCGCACGTTCGAGGTGGTCTTTTCGCGGGTCTTGCGCGCTCCGGCTTCCTTGGTTTGTTTCACGGGGACGGGGATTGCCACATCACGTTGATTCTCGCGGTCAAGTTCGGCAATGTGTCGCGCGATGGCATTGGCGCGTCGTGAGGAGATGTCGCCGCCTTTGCCGGCGTCGCGAATACCGCGTTTGCGGCCGAGGGCTGGGGCTGTGGCGGCTTTGGATGGGCCTAAGCCTCGGTCGGCGACGTAGGACCAGCCCGGTTGGGCGTGGGAATTTGAAGGAAGAAGCTCGACTCGAAACATGGTGTCTTGATTCGATTTGTGGTATCGGGGATGGGGAGTTGGGGAGTTTAAAGGTTGTCTACACTTTTGAGAGCGGAACCGCAAGGGCAGATCAGCTCGAGGGAAGCCACCAATCAGAGGGAGATGTTCAACCCCCCACACTCTTACTGTACAGTCTTCTTCTTGTTCTTCTATCCAGCTCGTGGAAACTGCGTTTCATTCATCAAGATTCTCAAATTCATATCAGATATCGTGTCTGTTCCTACGCCTCATTCCTACCGGAACTTTGCCAACCGCATTCAAAGTACCAAATCCAAATCCTCTCATATCCATTTTCAATGACCGAACGTCCCTCAACACATCACAGTCGAACATGCTCACCATCATTGCCGTTGTCAAAATGATTTCGCGTTTCGCGAAGTGCCGGCCAGGGCACATACGAGGGCCTCCACCGTAAGGAATCCATGATCCTTCAACATCATCTATAGCGAATCTTCCTTGGGAGGTGTCGTGGGGACATTTCGACTCGGCCGAAGAAGAAGCCATTTGCCCTGGGTACTTCCTGGGTCCACTTTGCCCATCACTGGGCACTTTGATGAATCTCTCAGCCCAAAAGCTATCAAGAGGGTGTTCGTTGTTCACTCCCGTGTTCCAGGCGTCCGTATCCATGTGCGCCGGCGTAGAGCTCATGAGGAGTGTTTTCCCCGTTGGGATGCACCAATCCCGTATGTTCAGGCTGTACTTCTTTGGTGCTCGTACTATGAAGATATGAACGCGCAGTCGTAAGACTTCGGCATAGATAGACTGTAGAAGTGGTGACTGGAGTAACTTGTCGATGTCGAAGATTGTTTCGGCATCACCGTTTTCACACATTTTGACTTCTTCTCTGACCCTGTCGAGGAGAGAGGGATCTTGGAAGATCTCTATCACTGTCCAAAAGGCCGCCACAATCGAGTTGCGGGTTGATCTGTTGGTTGTGTCGTTAGATAGATTTTTCAATGACTGGGAATGTGAACGTACGCCCAGATTGCCCCAAAGTCTTCTGATGCAATCGCATCATAATCCATACCATCCATCTCCATAAAGACATCTTGTCGGTCCCTGAAGAACTTACTGCCCCAGAAAGGGTCATCCCCACTGGAATCAATGAACGACGGCAGAAAATACTCTCTGGCAAAGGATTGCCAATCTTTGATCGCATCGAGAAGCCGCTCCCGAGTTGCATATACCTTCGGTGCGAGAAATTTGGGTGTTCCTTTGAAAAGAACGTCCAGCTCACGATCAAGCTGCCAGAGATCCACCAAGAAATTCGGACTTCGCTTGAGGAGATATTCTCCACAGAGAGCATCCATCAATGCGGCCGAGATTGTTGTTTCAAAAAAGGGCAGAAAGTCTGGCAAGTTCTTCCACTGTGAGCCGATTTGGTAGTTTTTTAGACGCTTTGTCACATTCACTTGATACCGCCGCCAAAATGATTTAAGGCCATTGCCTCCAAGGAATGCGGAAATGGTTTGATACGATCGATAATCAACACGATTCCGGGCTTCCACAGTGCTTCCATGGTATGGTCGATGGCTACCCCCAGAGTCATCTTTATCATATATCTCGAGGGCCTTTTCGGACATGCCAAAGGCATTCCGCAGACTAAACTGATGAAGAAAGGTCGATGTTGATACCCAAGAATTTTTGAATACATCCCTGATATTATCTGCTCCTTGAACGAGATATAAATCCATCGAAAAAAGAGAAAGACGGATAGGGTGGGCCATCCGGAACATTCTGCCATTACTGTCAGAAGTCATCTCCGAAAAAGAAGAAGAGAGTCGCTTACTTTGATGTCATAAAAAACTGCATTGGATTGCTACACAAATACTCAACGATCAATGGTATGACGCCAAACATAGGAATCCACTGAGGCAGAGCTGGGGGTTGTTTATTCGGTGATGTGTCTTGTATAGCTGAGTTGAAATTCATGCGCATCAATACCTTGTTGGCCAAACAAAGAACGACGACTGCTGAAAAACACAGGACTAAAAGATTACCCCGTAATAATGATCTTGACTGGGCAATATTGCTCCAACTGGTTTCATTCATGCCGGGCTTCGTGGCGGGAAACAGAGTCTTTGAGAAACCCAGAAGCTTCTCGTTGAACTTTTCCAAGTCCATGTTCATCGACAACGGTTGGATGCCACGCTAAAGTATGCTTCTATCCCAGATAGTGAGGGGGAAATTAAAATTCATTCTTCGCAACTCTGATGACTCGAAGGATTAAATATGAAAAAGGCGGAGCTTCAATGAACGGATAACACTAATAGCGGGGGTTTCTTCCAGTGCTGCCAAATCTACATGCTATGAAAGGCCATAGTATCCGACCGGGCTACGCCTAAAACATAAAAATATTTTATAAGATTCTGCAGAGGCTGGCAACATGCCTACCAAACATTACCCAGACCTTCGGCTACACAGTAATTGGAGAAAGCTAGAAACCCGTCATATAATTGGCATTTGTTATTTGTGACCAAAAAGTGTATAATCTTGAAAAATACTAGCCAAATACTAAATTTTCATTAGAATAGTGAGATCATATCACTGTTAGTGGGGCCTCAGTAACAGGATATTGGATGCGAAAGCTGGCTGTTCATCAACACTACCCATACAGCAGCTCAAAAGTTCCACCATTTAATTTCCTTGAATTCGCCATGCGTCGTCAGGTCATGACCGCTAGTTGCAAAGTAGCCATGCAGCCGAGACCTTGAACTTGAAATCACATACAATGATCTTATGACGGATCTATGAGGAGATACTACTCGACCAGCTGCTTGTATCTATCAGTAAGCACTAGGGAAGGCCGGGAAAGGACGCCTTGCACGATAGCCTAGAATCAACGAGACGGAGGAGACTGATTAGGGAATCCCGGGTCTATACACGATGCGCCGGAAAGAATCCAGCCATTAAAGGCTCTAGAATCGTTTAATTCGTCCAAAAACACAGCGTATTATGGTGTTAGATAGACCGCAAAGACGATCACGCAAGAGCACCCGAGATACCGGGCCCAGAGATTACAATTACCCATCGCAGACGGGATTCATGAGAAAGCTGGGAAAGGGCCAATGTTCGTAACCCCCTCCCTTTTTTCGGCAGTGAATTGCCTCAGAAACCCAGCGGGGGAGCTAAAATAATGCTGCCACTCGTGCTGTTGATTTATCTAGACCGGAGCAACGTGAGTATCGCACGAGGTTGAAACGGGAAACCAAAAACGCGTAACTCGATGAATGATATTTATCAATAGAAAAGTTCCAGTCAGAAAGTTCAACTTAAAGCCGACAGTGAGGCTCGTTGTATCATAGTACATGAGTGGAAAGTATCGGGGTCAAATTCTTTGTGGAGATGGAAGGATTGAATTTTCTGGGGGCGAAGAGGATGCTCCTGTCACTGAAATTGACGATTGGGTAAGTATGGTAGTTATGGGAGACATCAGTTGGGTACGAAGACATGTTATTCAAATGTTCATCACCCGCATATTGGCCGAACCTCGATATTCAACCTTTTAAAATACATATCACAGAAATTGAATTATGATTCTTCACGGAAAGAGTAGCCTGTTGGAGCTGCATATGCAGTTGCGCCACAGCTGTGGAGTGTCCTCTGCGACGCTAGAAGACAAGCGTAATTTCTGGTACTTTGTAAATTTCCACTATTCCAGATCCACATGCGCGTGCATTGGGTGTCAGGTGGCTTGCGTTGGCGTCGGAGATGAATTTCACTCGCGGGACTCGTCCGGAGACTACAAAGCATAGTTCTTTTGCTTGCCTGCTTTGAAAAGGGCGTTTCGGGGGTGTGGGTTTTGGGTCTGATTGCGAGAATTGGCTCACTAGGTAGCCTGCGAAAACCCTGCGCGCTTTAAGTGCTTCCTGGCCTCATGGTCCCAGGGCCACGGAACTAATGCGTCTAATTGGATAATACTACGGACTATATAGTACATACCCCCATTAAACTACAGCACCCATCCGTATCGAAAGGCTATTGTTCGATTGCATATAGCCATTATATGGTTTTATGTCCATGCTAGTCTTTAATTCACTAGTATACGGCGAGAGCTTGCTAAGAGAGAGGGCCATATACTAGTAATTCTTCACTTCATAGCTAATGCTTTGAGATACCCGAAACCAACTAGGCTTGACATCATCTCCATGTCATATTGTAACCTCATTCTGCACGTCGTCGAAGTCTCACGGCCACCTTCTTAGTAGGCGGCAAGGTTCCGTAAGGCTCCCATCTTTTGTCAGGCTTCACCTGCTCAGCTTGCTGAAGATCTACCAGCTCACACTCAAACAATTCCAAAAGCAATCCCAGTGTACCGATAATTTCGTTTTTAGCAAAATGGCGGCCAGGACACATCCGCTGGCCTCCTCCATAAGGCATCCAACATTCTGTCAAGCCTTCAACACTGAATCTTGCATCTTTGTTGGATTTTTGGACAATAAATCGCTCCGGCCAAAACTCATCCAGAGGTTTGGTCACGCTCTCAGGTCTCATGTTTTCCCAAGCCTCTCTGTTATGAGCGGTAATCGAGGAAAATATCGTCATCGTCATATTCTTGTCAACTGTGTAATCCGGTCCCAACTTGAAATTGGCATCCTCATTTGTGCGTGTCATGGTGGTTGCGACGCGGAGACGCAATACCTCTGCATAAGTGGATTGAAGTAAGGGTTTATTAGAGAACTTTGGAACATCGAAGTCATCAGTTTCAGGTTTCAGGCAGTCTTTCAACTCGGCCCTCAGGCTTTCTTGCAGATCCAAATCCTTGAAAGATTCAAAAATGTACCAGAAGACAGCACGAACTGCATTGGCATTTGATCTAAGCCTATATTAGTGTGGACCTTCCAATAGAGAGGAAAGAAAAATGAATCGCGTACCCAAAGAGAAGGCCGAGGTTCTCAGATGCAATTGCATTATCATCCATACCATGCGTCCGCAAAGAATCTTCACGGGCTTTGATGAACTTTGTCCCGAAGAACTTATCCCACTCAGGCCCCTCCTGTCCGTGTTGCGTACGGTCCGACTCACGGTTTGCAAGTGTATTCCATGCCTTGATATTTGCCAGCAACCGATCGCGCGTTGTATACGCAGACGGAATCATCCAGCGAGGCAAACCACGGGAATAATTTCCGATTTGTCGATCGAATTCCCAAAAGTCCCCCACAATGCCAGGATACAATTCGAGTATTTGAGATCCCATCATAGCTTCAATGACGGAAGGGGTAACCTGGCTCTGAAGCCAAAGGTAAAAGTCTGGGATCTCTGTCCAGCCGTCGGATGGGATATCAAGCTTCAATAGCCTAGTCTTGAGGATTGCAAGGTATCTCTCCGACATTGCCAAGAGATACGTTCCGGACAGGTATTTGATGCTGATTTTTGCTTGAAAATCATGGATATGCTCAGGCTTCTCTCCCGGCCTTGATGTATGGGGGTCATGAGCAGCATAAAAATGCAACGATTCCTTAGGCGTATAGAACCATTTCTCCATGACAAAAACCATCATAGGTCTATTGGTCAGGATCCTAGAAGAGCGGAGTATGGTCTTGATGTGACTTGGGTTGACAACCATTGTGAAACTAAAGGATCCGGCTCGAACTCTAATTGGAGAAAGATACCCCCAGCGTTTGCTAAGCCAGTTCAATGTTAGTATTAATAAGACTGCGGGCACCGAGCGACTGACACTGTGTTTGCTATAAAGCTGGCCATGCTCCACTCTAGACTGAAGGCATGGCATAGTCCTGGGAGGTAATATGGAAGTGTTGGTGCTGGCTTTCCGGACTTCTCGCTGCCTCGAGCCTTGATGAAGGAAAGCAAAGATAGAATGTATGTAGAAAGAAATAGCGTTAACAACGTGAAGGCTATGGTTTGGAATTGTGGCGAGTTGACCGTGGCTATAATTCGATTAACAAAGAAGGGATATTTCTAGAGTAGAAGGAAGTTTTCTGGTTAGCGAGTTCAAGCCCGGTTCTGGTACCTTAGAAGACATACCTGATTTAGACCACCAGACATCGTGTAGCTTTCGGGGGCATTATTAATGCTGGAGGAGAATCTGCTTAAAATGCTTGAAGCCATCGTGAGTGCTGAAGCAGAAGTAAGCCCTTGCGAATTTGCGAAAGTCATAAAAGGCATGGATTTTGAGAGAATTTAGTTTCCTACAGAAGCGCGAGCGTTATCAAGTGGCCATCCTTGTGTGTGATTTCGTATTTGGTCCCCACAATTGGATACCGAAGAAAGAAAGAGAAAAATGGAACAAAAATAAAATAATAAAACAAAAACCTGCTTTCAAATCGGAAATAATGCCTCATATTGATCAAGCCGATAACTACATGACAGGGTCTTTTGTCTTCTGTTCATGTGTATCTCGGCCTTGTTTTTTGCAGAGTGCGTAACTTTCAAGTTTTGTGTAGCGCTGTCCAATGAGAAAGCAGCAAATTGAAAGATAACAATACATGAAGCTGTAGTTTTCAAGAGGCGCCAAGTTTGGGCACGTGCGAATTATCACAACGAAACGACACGTAACTAACATGCCAGCGGGGTTTGAGGCGTCCGTTAAGCTTACGCCCGACAACGAAATGGACGCGGCCCGTCGGCTCCCTCGGCGCCTGCCAAACTTTGATCAGCCACGAAGTCAACTTTTGGAAATCGTTGAGGACTTGCCAGGGCTCTCTGTGGTCCCACAGTCATATCAGAAGTGGACCTTAAAAGAGTCACGTCAGGTTAGTAGCAGGTTTTTATCTTATAGTGAAGCCATGACTGAATCTGATTGGTGGTCAATTAGCATATGATTTTCTCATTTGCCTTCTCTAACTTCAGATAGATGTCCCGGCTAATGACTGCTACTATTGAATGAACAATGCGTGATGGGAGCCGAGTTCAGAGACATGGATTTCTCAATCTCCCTTTACTCGTCTTTCACGTTCATCTGTCTTAGTCTTCAGCCTCCTCAGGATCCTGATCGAGATCCACTCCCGAAGAATTTCAGGCATAATACTAAATGCCCATGCTTGCAACGCGTGGGGCCAGTAGGCTATCACGGTAATTGAATGACATCCTAGTCGCTTTAGTGCCTTGCTGGCCATAGTGCGAGACGTTGGTACGAAAAGTCCGGGGCTAATTTTGTGCCCCTCACTCTGGACGTTCCCACAAACGATACCCATCACATCAACCCCCGCTCCTTCAGCCTGCATTTCGGCATGTAATGCTCTTGTAAAGGCATCAATGTAAGATTTGGAAGCGGCATAGACAGTCAAATATGGCAGCCCCGTTGCTGATAGGGATGAAATATTCATAACCAGAGATGGTTGGTTATTGGTCAAAGTTGGAAGGAGGATTCGTGTAATCTGAGTGGTGAAATGTGTATTCACTTTGATCACACGCTCCACCTCCTCGGTTGAAAACTCTTGTAGTTTTTGATATGTACGCCTTGTCTGCCCCCCTTGGCCCCCAATATTGTTTATGAGAATCCGAAGGGTAGCATCCTGCAGAATATGGTGCGCAGTCTCGGTCAATGCTGCAGTGGACCCAGACGCATCATAAAGAAGAGTTTTAATTTTCCGGAACGGAAATTCTTCGCTCAATTTAGTCTGGGCTGTCAATAATTCTGTCTTATCTTTGCCGTTTATGATGATGTCGAAGCCAGCATTGCACAGTTCTTGGGCAAACCCAAAGCCAATTCCTGCCGTAGATCCTGTGATGAGTGCCCACGAGTCCCCGCCTTCAGCTTGAGAAAGATATCGAGCTATTGACGATTGGCGGAGGTATATAGTAGCGTGCCAGCCAAGCTTGGCGAAAAAAATAGAAGAAGACGGCAATTCCAGCCAGGGAAATTGCCTCTTGAATCATTTTAAACTAATAAATGTCAGCAATGCCATGTTCTATCTCTTTTGTTACAATCAGTCACCTGCTAGAGTTTCAACTCATGTAGCTTCAAGCTGTTTGGTCCCTCAAGGCGATATTTCTGGTAAATTGAAGTTTATGGTGGTCGCTGCACTCGTGGCAAATATACGAGTCGTCAATATAGGTCTGGTCGGAAAATTCCTCGGAAGAGGCATGTCTCGCTTTTATAGTTCGAGGCCCTAAATAGCCATACGATCCTACGAGTCTCTGCAATAAAAGCAGTGCCGGTAGCACCCAGCTCGTGATCAACATCCGAACTGTGTTTGAAGAAACAACAAGCAACTGCTCCTTTAAAAAATTAGCGAGATATGATGTAGAATTTCTTTTTGTGAGCTAAATTGTTGCTTCATATCATCCTATGATACCGATCAAAGTCGTCTTACTCTAAATCTTATGTCCATCATTTGATCACTCTGATTTCCTAATTTTAGCCCCTGCACAACTCCATAATCCGGTTTATCCCGTGCGAATTGATCTAAATTTACGAAATTCTATTGATTTCTAGTACCCTATGAGACAATACGCCTGGTAGTTCACAGATTCTTTTTGACAGAGTTACTGGAGGCTTGTCGGAACGCTCCCACCATCTTCGAGTAACTTTGATAAATGCAGACTAAAGAAAAGATTAGCACTTAAACCCATAGGCTCTGGGAGAATGAGCTCCTTACAAACTGGAATAACGATCCAGAAGGCGTTGAGGAAGATAAAGTACCCCCAATAATAGAAAGTCTCTGGGCGGGCATAAGACCTCCCGTGGTAGATTTCCTCCATTATGCTTGTTGCATAATACAGAATATCACCGTAGAACTGGCCCATAGAGACAATGATCTGTGTTGGATGGCGGTGCGGAGACTCGGAAACTATCATCCATGCGATGGTATAGCATAGGGGCCCCCATGCAAACTGCACAGACTTTTAGCATGATTAACCGCAGACGGAATAAAATGTCTCAAACTTACAGCTGTAACCGTCTCCATGCAAAGTACAAAGGGTTCCATGGTCATATATCGAGAGTCTGCCTTCGCATACTCCTTCCACATCTGACCAAGCAGATCAAGTCTACGTGGCATAGTCTTGTGGTTGTACACAAAGTACCCTTCCAGAATGAAGTGTATGCACCCACCTAATAAAATACGTTATCACCTCAGTCCAATGCGGCGATATGGGCTAAGGTAACTCACTAAAGACAAACCATCCAACCAGAATCTTGTCAATTCGTGATATGTTCGGCTTTGCGGTCTTTAGAACAGCCGAGCTAAATCCGATAACCCCAGCGACCGCAACAGCGAAAGTTCCAAGCAGGGCAATGATGCCCATTGTATTGGCAGCATAGCCAATAGGATCGAGGTCAGGAGGGTAAAAAGGGTGATCCAGTGCGGTCGCCATGCTGCTTGCGGGGAAGTGTTTCGGAGAATCAAAGTGTGTACCAGTGGTATCCACACAAGTTGGAATTTGCGAATGGGCAAAAAACAAAGTAAGCTGAAAGCAGCTCTTAAGGGCTAAGTAAACCTGCTCCCTCGGGCCGAGCAATGACTTGACCACGCCACCAGGGGCTTTAATCGCTCCAATAAAACAAAGAAAAACAGGGATGCTGGCAGTGGTCGACGCTAACTGGAATCAGTTCATGCATGAGTCTCAGCCTCGACTGTAAGACTCAGGCCTGCGGGTACCTACCGAGCATAACTAGTCTCCTTGGCTTGGCTCCATTGGGCCTATCATTATCAGGTAGTTTAAATAAAATGGCCAATTGTTGGTCACAGATAACGCAGTCGTGTGAATCTCCCGTAACGGAACCGAAACGCCCCTCCCCCATTACGGCCCGCTATCCACATTATAGCCCCCTATCCGCATGACGGACTCACCAATCTGATTGGATGTGTTGAAACTATGCGGGAAAGACACATATTCTAGCCTTGTTTGCTCTGCTACATGTCACCTGCATTTGAGGTTGGGTCGATGCGGGCCCAGCCCTTGGAAAATAGCGAGAATATGAGCCAAGAAGTTTACCTTATGCCAGGCTAAACTGACAAAGAAACACGCTTTTCCTTCCTTAGAACCCTATCTTATTCATCCATAGCGGATCTATCCCCGCGCGAGGTGACATTACAATCCACTTGGAGGCAAGCCCCCTGGGAGGTCGTCGGCAGCATGTTGAGGTACGTAGCTTCCAAGACTGGACGCCTATTTATGCCCAAGTGTGACGGGCGTGGGTGATTTATCGTATGGTAATAATCTGTTATGTATTCAAAGGCCCTGCATAAAAACGGCCTGGGGGCTAACGAGAAGGGCAAATATTACATGGGTTACGAAATTATGTCTCCTATGACCAACCATGACATAGAAAATTTTATTCCATACTTCAAATATCATTTTACTAGGGTAATAAATGTTAGCGCGTCGTAAAAATATCGCAGAATACATGGCCAGACACCAACTTGAAAGCCGTGTTCGGACTGGGAAGTCGTTAGTCCACGAATGCCACGAGTTGACCAAATAAAGAGAAGGTAATCCGCATGTAAAAAGTAGATGTATACTGCACCTGCAATTCTATCCGAGTTGGTACATGTGAGATCATCAAATTCATTCTAATTGCGCCAATTATGGCTTTACTACCCGACAACTATTACTCTACGACCGTTTTCTCAATTTTCTGCTTTGGTTTCCTTCTGGTTCTATGGCGTACGTGGAGATTTGTCATTCTTCCAACCTTGCATCCAGATGACCCCAAAGAACTGCCTTACTGGATCCCAGGTATGTCAAGCAAGCTAAGATCTATCTAATTACTATTCACTAACAGGCACTTCTCTTCCTTAGTCGTTGGTAAGCTTTGAATCCAAAGGTTACATGGAAGATCATATCGATCTTAACAAATTTATTTTCACGAACAGGGCACGCTGTTTCATTTTTCAATAACTCCTACGAGTTGCTTAGACATGGAGAGTGAGCATATCAGCTTAAAGTTTATGCTTATTCAAGTACTGATGGCGCATTCGGTTAGAAAGCACTTCCGAGGATCTAAGGAAACCTATGCCCTGGAGGTAATGGGCCAAACAATATACGTGGTGACTTCCGGGCGCGACACCGCAGAGATCTACAAAAATTCGACTACAATGTCGTTCGAAATCTTCGTTCGTAAGTTCATCCGAAGCTGCGGTGCAAGCGATGAACTCTTGGATCGGCTATATGGAATCCCACCTGTCGTTGAAAAGCTTGAGGGACTACCGGATGCCACATCTGAAGTTGAGAATAAATCCTTGGGTGATAAAACACACGACTTCCATGGGATGCAGCTCTTTCCAGGTGGCCACCTTGTGGAGTTCACGGCGATATTTAAAGATTTCTTTGAAGAGCATTTGCACATAGATCGACTGTACCAAGGAAAGCCATATGTGACAGCTAGTGGAAACGGCTGGGTATCCGTAAAGCTCATGAAGTTCGTGTCGGACTATTTCGTGGATGCTGGCCAAAGAACCTACTTCGGCAATCTTTTGGGAGAAATCGAGCCTGATCTGATCTGGACATTTCTCGAGCTGGAAGACCGAAGTTGGCAGATTCTATATGAGATTCCAGCCCCCTTTGCGCGAAAGGCCCATGAAGCAAGAGATGGTATCATAGATGCCATACAAAAATGGTTCGAATCACCCCGCGAAAAAAGGGTGGATGGATCCTGGTGGATGAACACCATGGAAACGGAGATGAGATCGCTAGGATTCAATTCCCGCGAAATGGCGACAATAGTGGTTCCTATCTATATTGGGTATGAAACCCCCCCCCTTCAAGCACCTAATTCACTTCTTCGAGTTTTACATGATCATACAACTACGATACAGTCTCTCATTTGAATTATAGAAGCAATACAAGTACAAGGAAAGCATGCTTCTGGCTACTCGCCTTTTTACTGTTCAACCCAGAGCTTATCCCCATTATCCGTGAAGAAACCAAACCGGCTCTGGGAAATGGCGCGGTTGATTTGGATTACCTGAAAAATGGCTGTCCTCAGCTGAACGCCGTCTGGATGGAGACTCTACGAATGGCAACATCAGCTGCCTCCTTTCGCTTCCTCACCGAAGACACTCTGGTCGGCGGAAAAATGTTAAGGAAAGGAAATCGAGTTCTTGTCCCGAGTCGGCAGCTCCATTATGACACCGATGCGTTCGGTAACGATGTTCGGACTTTCAATCCAGATCGTTTTATGACCGGTAATAAACTGCGGATGGGTAGAAACTGGAAGCCCTTTGGCGGTGGGAAAAACCAATGTCCTGGTCGATTCGTTGCGCAGCAGCAGACCTTGTTATTTGTCACTCTCCTCTTGAGCCAGTTTGATATAGAGGCTTCACCTGGTCAGAAGTTTCCAAGGTGGGCGGAGGGCGATCCATTCCCAGGCATGATGCCTGCTAAGAATGGGGATGACCTGGAGGTTCGGTTGACAGAGAGAAAACGATAGTATAGTGCTCTTAGGTTGACTGGAGAAAGAAATTACGATTCGCGTTATACACTTCAATAATTTGCAATAATTGCCAAATGGCGTCTCCAGAATTCTCACCAGCCACGACTTCCAGTCTCCCATTCAATTCACTGGCATCTCCTAGAGCCCCAGCCTTGGGCCTTGGGCCTTGGCATAGGGGACAGGGTCCTCCAGCCAACGATTGCTCCCACTAGTTAGCATATGAAACGCGATCTCCGGTCCCATGATCATTCCAGATCCAAAGTGCCGGGTGATAAACGACGATTGCTTATTTCTGAGACTTTCTCGTGGGCTGAATGCTGCCTCTACTTAGATAACTTAAAGTTGTGGAAACAACCCAATAGTTAAATACAAACAGATTACTAATCGCCAATTACCACCTGCAGTGTTCCTGGCTCCATCTTATGTCAGCGAGGAGGTAGAGTAACTTAGTTATATTTTTCTTAACCGTAAGCTATGCATACTGTCATTGAACTATGATTCCGAATTCCTCTATTTTCCGTTCCAAGGTTTTTTGATCATATCAGCCTACGGCGTCGCGGGAGTTGGAGAGTGCCAACTCGGAAGCGGGATTCCAACTCGAAAGGGAATACATTCACAGGTCCAACTTGAGTAACCATGCAGTAATAAGTACAATGCGAATTTCAACCGAGTTGTGCGCGTCTCCTATTTCTTCTTCAACTGATCAACCTTCGTCTCCAGCTCGGAGACATAGGATTGAAGCTTCATGGTGGCAGACTGAAGAGCCTATGAAAGTACAAAGCATCATCTCCCCAGGCCAAGCCAGGGAAGAAAGGGCCGCGGTTAGGTACCATAAAACGCGAAGACAAGGGCCGATCAGGAGAAAGGGCGGAAACATACATGAATATCTGTGTTCAGCATCTCGTTAGAGATGCGATAGTCTCCGAGCACATAGTAATAGACAGACGCGCCGGCGGCAACGGCACCGCAGAGAAAACCGAAAACTCTGTACAAGAGATTAGAACATGACCTTTCGAATCGACAGATGACGACCGGAAGGATTGTGATACATACCCCCCTCGAAAAGCTCCAACGGGCTTCTTGGCGGGCAGCGCCGCGGCCTCCCAGCGGGGACGGGAGGTCGAGAACGGTCGGGCGATGACGCGTGCGCGTAGGGGCAGGAACACTTTTGACCCAGCGTTCATCGTGATGGTTAAGACTGGAGGTCTCAAGAGAGCATTCCAGGGCAAAATATTGATTGATCGTATGATAGGGGAGAGAAGTGGTGGCGGGTGGCTGTGAACGAAGGGAGGTGACGTTGACGCGGAGGTCACGGGCGCCCGCGGAAGCGGTTGAGTGTATACCCCAGTAAACTTGAACTACCCCAGATATTGCCGTTTTGGTACAAGCACCTGGCATACATGGTATTTTAAGTATTTACTGCCAGTGGACACTAAGACACTAGGACAACAACAAAAGAAATAGGTATATATTCGGTGTAGAACTAGTACAGAGTTGCATCGATGGGAACTTGCAAAGGCACTGGCAAAAAAGAAAACCACCATGGAGAGAAAGCGCCAACCTATATACACAGTGATCTTAATTCGCCATGGTGCTCTCGTTGAACAAATCCGCCAATAAATCATCTAGACAAACTCTCGTATCCACAGCTTCCATCCCGTACGTGCTCTCAAAGACATAAATGCTAAGCCTGTCAAAGAACGGTCGCAGAATTCTCTCGACAATCTCATCCTTGGCTGTTTCCCGAATTCGATCCGAAACCAGCCAGGGCCGCTTCAGACCGCTGCGGGTCACAGGCTCTGCTACCTCGCCAGGGACAGCCGGGGAGAGTACCCCACGCGGACCGAAGCTTTGTGATATCTCGTCAGCTAGGGATACAGGCTCCCACCGATTGGGCGGGTAGACAGCATCGATGGTATCGGTGACGAAAAGCCATTCTAGCAGCTGGAAGTCGTCGGGAGCAATGACCAAGAGCACGTCTAATAGCTTGCAGGCCTGTAGGAGAGAGTAAGGGTTGTAAAGATCTGATTGAGAGCCTCGGGGCACAGCAGAGATAGCTTCTTGCAATTCAACGTTAATCAAGGGCCAGAAGGGCGCCATGGCCGAGGGCGAGGTCTTGATTGCCAGGGCACGAAGGACAATGAATATTTCTGCTCGCGTCGCTGACGATGGTGATGAGGAGCTAGTGGCAGCTAGGAGATCTTCGAATTTTTGGAGCAAACTTGGGAGCTCACCCACAAAATAGTCGGTGTTGGCAGACAGGATGAGTAATGCAATGCGACGGAGATTGAGCTGTGCCTTCCGATCAGCCTCCAGTCGCGCTGCAGACGCCCCCACGCCAAACATGATGCCTGCTGCACTTGGGGGTGGGAGGCGACCCAGCAGCTCAGCTAAACGATCCTTGTCGGCAAGAGTCCATTGCCGGAGGAGGTCCATCCATGTGCTCTTGATCAGATCGACTTGCAATCCGAAGAAACGTGGGTCATTGAATGCATCAGCGATGTCTTTCTTCCAAATCTTCGCTGCTGCAGGGACCTTGGCCATCTGCTGTAGAAGGACCATAACATTGCGGTTCAGATTATTGGGGAACAGGCGGGAGCGAATCAGTGGTCCAACCACATTGGTAGACATGCCGCTGATCGCGGTATTGATACGGTCTGAGTCACCTAAAGTAGTGATGAACGAGGGCATGGAAACAGCAAGGATGCTCAGCATGTCATCAGGCCCGGTATGAGATACCGCGGTCCGATCATAGTCGAGGGACGATCTCGCCATATAGCCACTGTCTTGGTTTAGCCCCAGTGGCTTGCTGGTGAAGACAGCCGTGAGCAACCGTAGCAGTACATCCTATAGACATATCAATTAGCAAGATGAAGAAATAAGAGATCGACTGGGATTAACGTACACCGAGCTCTTTGCGCATCCGGCGATCTTCACCAAAAGTTGTGTTCTCCAATTTCGCCCCTAGGATCGCGGCAAATTCGATCAACCGGGGAAGAATCTGGCGATGAGGGAAAGGGTTACTGAGAACATCGCGTAGGAACGTGGTACAGTCCGCCCAGATTTCGTCCAGAACATCGTCGTCCAAAGAACGCGCGTAGGCAACCAAAAAGCTGGCAAGTTCAGACTCGGTGAGATTTGAGGTCATGGATGACTTGCGGGCCGGGTCCAAAGCATTCGGATTGGTACGGGTGTAAATCGCGTTGAAGACTGCCGGAATCGTGATCTTCGGACGAGAGCCTTCAAGGGTGTGTAAAAGGCTGAAGATCAATGTCGCAGTCTCCGTGTCAGATTTGGTCCACATCTCAACCAATGTCTCAAGACACTCTAGAGCCTCTGCTGTAAAGAAATGCTCGAGTATCCGTCGTGATCGATTTCGCATCCGCAAGGATGTGTATTGGAAGGAGGCCATGGATTCGGAATCGGGGGGTGATCCGGTTCGTTCCCCAGCGCCCCACGCCCAGATGGAGAAACAAAGGCGAGCCGCGTCTTGGAAGCATAAAAGGACCGTCAATCGATCATTAGCAGCATTCGAGCGACCTTGGTTGCCATCAGAGTTGAATACCCCCGATACCATATTTCCAAAGAAGCCCTGGGGCTGGTCCGGGCTCTTTGCCGCTGGAACGTTCGCCTCTTCAACGAGAAGACGCTCGTGAGCATGGGCAATGCAAGTCTCTAGGCCAGCAAGTAGAGAAATGGTAACATGCTCCGAGCGATCCTGCGGCCAATCTTCCGTTTGCTGGAACGCAAGCTGAAGTCTACTGAATGAAGCCTTGATCTCCCTGCAGAAGCACTCCACAAGTATGAGAAGTATTTGAAAGATTGATCCCGTATAGAGAGGAAGCACTTCACATAGTAGTCCAATCCACTTGTCCACAATTTCTCGCGACTTCGCCGAGCTAATTCCTTTCAAAAGACAGTCTAAAAGTCTCTCGGGAGGACGTGGGAAGTGCGAAAGTGATGGCGCTCTATCTGCTTTATCGCTTGTAAAAGACAGCATGGAGGGACTGGTCAATCGTTCACGAGAGCTTGCTCGTTGGTGTTTTGGTCGAGGTGGAGGCGGAGGCGCGTAAGCCTGAGCGAATCGGACCTTGAGTGCTGCGAGAAGGGCGTCAATGAGAGCTCCCTGGACGGCAACGCTGCCCATCCCATCCGATGCGGTAATAAGACGGTCCACCAGCAAGTCATCAATGCCGGATTCAACCAGATCCTCAGCTCCTGGGCCTAAAAGAAGTTGCCGCATGAGGTGAAGGGCATCCTTTTGAAGCCTTTCCCCATCGGGGGTGATGTGGGTGTTGTTAAGCGTTTGGTCACTGATTATCTTTAGTGATGCCTCGAAGAAAGTGGCGTGAAGGCTCTTCGAGTTTGCGTGATCTGTTTTGAGACATAATAAGCCTGGTGCTCCTTGTTGGGGTCTAATTAGAGATCTACCTTCTGACTTGGGAACATCCGGGCGTTTCTCTATTTCAGATAATGTTTGCGTAAGAAGTGCAATCCAGCCGCTGTGAGAAAGTGTTGAAATTATGTTCGACACCGTGCGCAACAGGTAGTTGCATTCCTTATAATCATCCGGTGAGATGGATTGGTTATCTTGGTCAGCTTCACTGGGAGTATCACGTTCGAACAGCTCCTCAAGCTTCAAAACGATAACATGGAATATCCTAGGAACATTAGCTTGGGTATTTCGAGCAACTTGCAGTCATACTTACTTGTTGATGGAGGGCAGATCCTGAAGCCATTGCTGAACACCTAGAGAAATATCCCCTGGTCCCTGGGATAGGAGATCAAGGACAATGAAGAGTGGGCGCTCAAGCATTGAGCACTGATAGGAGAATAGGTTTCCTCCGACATTGAGGACTTGCTTAGGTGGCTGTTGCTCATGTGTACCATGATGGCTGTGGTTCCAGAGGACATAAAATTTCTCGGCCTGATCTTCTGATGATAAGTGGTAAGAGCCGGGAGTCTTGGTGCTGATCATGAGCGATGTTATAGAAGCCTCGACAAGATGATCGACCCAAGATATGGAGTGCAACAGCCACAGACAGCGCACGGCTTCCACATGGAACTTCGGGCTTAGTGGAGACAGATACTGCCAAATATGCTCGACTAGACTGGGAATGAGATCACTGGCATCCTCGTAACTGACATAGAAGCCAGGGGCGTGAATAAAGAACAAGTTCGTCAAAACAGAAGCGATTGTAGAGATATCCGCGAAAGCAGCTGTTGTGGGGTTATTACTTCTTGTAGCTAATCTTCGAGAAATCGCCTCGAAAAGTCTCTTGTCTCGGAGAAGGCGTGATCTCGGGAGCTTCTGGAGCAATGTAACCAGCACATTGAGTTTTTCATGAAGAGAGGAAACGCTATCGTTGTTTTGTAAGGCTTCGATGGACAAGTCCAGAGCCTCACGAATGATCATTTCCCCGACCTGCTTGGGAGCAAATGGAAGAGGGGGAAGGTCAAGGCTGCTCTTGCTCGCCTCATAGAAGCGATGAATCTGCTTTAATATTTCACAGTTCTTAGCTTTCGAGTCGGTGCCAGTTTTGTCTTGGCTGGATTTTCTCGAGAAGGCTCTTTCTATGAGTAGTGGAGTTATTGACTTTAGCACGTTATTCAATTCGTTTGAGACGGCCTTTTTGGTGTCACCGTGAGTTGACTGCGACTTGTGCAATGATGAAACTTCACTCATTTTCACAAGAACTGACAATGTCAGGAGAGGTGCGTGGACCTGAATCATATCTTCCTCCCGCACATTGAAGTTCTCCAGTATAAATTGAGCCAGCTTCAAATTGTGCAAGACTTGATCATGATGGATATCGATGTCACTTGGGCGGAAGTCAATCAAGCCAAGAAGCTCTGAAAATATGACACTGCTCTCTACGCCATCGAAGAATGCACTTGCGCTCCGGAAAACCTCTTCGAAGTGGGCACGGGGCGCCTCTTTTGCAAACCCCTGGACGCTGTGGATTGTAGGGAGAAACACAGCAGGTACAATGTGCCCCCCCGATCTCCCAGCGATCCATTAATGAGAGGGCAATGCGGAATGGTTTGGTCCTCTCCGATGGGGCTGATGGGGCCTGCTTGATCATCTTGAGAAGACCATTTACCAAAGGCTGTAACCCGACGTGACTGAAGTACTGAGATTGCGAGAGCTCCTTCACATCTCCAGAAGATCGAGTGGTTTCGGATGAAAACTTTCGACTGTCGAGGGAAGTCCGGTCATTCGCAGGCTCTGGTCCCAAAAACCACGCCCACAATCGACGATTCAGGCTCATGTCTCGCCTGGTCACCACGCCCACTGCCGCAATGATCAACGTTTGTAGGTCTGCTTCTGGGACTTTAGTTTGGAGGATGGGAGAGATTAAAGGTAGGTGCGTAACGAGCAGGTCGAGAAAGTTTCGTTGCACCAGGAGTTGTTCATCTGATAGGCCTGATGCAAAGCATCGAATCAGCAACCCCGGCTCCGGTAGAATGACTGCATCAGCAGCAGCGAGCATCTCTGGCGGTATTTCGCTCACAGAGTTTGCATCACTTGCACTCGGTCGTCGGTCTGCAATTCCTAACTTTGGGAGATAGCGGTTCAGGTATGCCAGGGCGCCAAGCCGTCGGCTGGAATTGGTTATGGAGGCGAGGAAGAGGCATTGCCAGAAATACTGCCCCGAAGCGCCAGCCTCGGATGTCCTTTGGGTCTCCAGATGACCAGCTGCATCTCGAAGCTTGTTTATTGTACGCAAAGTTGGTTCGAAATCGTCACTTGTTTCTTCTTCTAGACCCGGCAGCAACGCCAGAAGGATTGCTTTCAGAGCCGGCCGAATAGCCCGCGGTTCTAGGTCGACAATGTATCCCTCCACTAAAGACAGGAATAAAGGACGGACGGTGAGCGAGGCGAAGGTCAGGGTCGGTGCGAGACCGGGGAGATATAATGGTAGATCGTGCGATAGTCCTTCGAGCTAGAAGTAAAGTGAATCAAAATCAGCCAATGTATCCAAGTCCTGGTAGCAGTCTAGACAATACATACTTTAATCAGTCCAAAGATATATGTGTAGACTTCAAGGGCCTTTTGGTGAACGCCCGATGGCAAGGACGGATTCAAGCATTGCGCAAGCCGTTTCGAGACAATCACTTTATGGGGAACGATCGGTTGGTCGGGGGGATGTGTTTGGAGTGCCTTTTTTCAATGGTTAGCGATTTCCTTCTCCAGTCGATTTTATTCACATGAATCTTGTCGCACCTTTAGTAGGCGACTGAGGAAGGAGATGTAATCGGCCCATTCTTGTAGAGCGTTGTCGAAGAGTGACAACGCCCGCTCGACGCTCGACGCATAACGGCGGTAGTTCTTATCTTTCTTGAGAGAGCCTGTGTGTAGTTAGACAAGTGCTCGACCGAAGAGAAAAGCGTTGCGCATTTAGGACCAACCTTCCTTTCCCTGTAGGCGCGAGCGCGTCAAGGAGCTCTCGGAGCTTGCGGGGGAGTCCGACCTCGGAAAGGCAGCAGAATCAAGGCTCATGGTGCCAATGTGGAAGTTGAAATGGATGCGAAAGCGGCAGACTGTCCTCCGTCATATTTAGGACATCGAGAAGGGAGCTCGTGGAGGAGCCAAGGTGAGGGTTCAAGTTGGTTGAGGAGGATTGAAAGTGGCCGCCTGCGTGGCCCTTTTGATTGTTTTGTCCGCCTTTGGGAGCTTCGCCGCTTCCTCCGTCATCAACGACCACCCAACTTTTCTCTATTATTCCCTCCTACTTTACTCATACGGGCACAGCGCATCCTGCTGATAATGCTGAAAATGGGGGATTCATGATTCATAATTCATGATCTCACCTCCCGCGCCGAGTGACTGCGCCCAGAAGCGCTCGTCTAATTGCGGGGATGGGTTCGCAGACAAACCCTCCAATCGACCACCGTGAGGACGATCACGACGAGCCTAACCCTGATGCATCGACTGTACCTCCAGACTCCACTCCATCCTATCCCGATGGCATGAATCGCACACCCAGTCCAGAAGGACACCGACCGCCATTACCCCCACGGCCGAACACACTGAGCCTGTTGAATGACGAGGCATCCCCCCGGGCACCAACTCTCCAAGCGGAGCCTACAACAGCCGTTTCTCGAGCAGATGCAGGTCCTCAGACACCAGACGCAGCAAGCCCATATTCAAGTCTTGCTGTTCGAGGGCTGTCGCGGGGTCTCAAGGCGCGAGCGAGCTTGAGCCAGCTTACGAGCCCAAAGAGCAGTGACGCGGGAGACTCCGCCAGTATTCGAAGTTCCATACAAAATGGCGACCTTGGAGATGTGGATGCTATGTTTTTGGACTTCGTTGCGACTGTCCCGGCAGGCCCGGCAGACACTACCAGTCTACTGCATTTTCCCGAATTCCCGGCTGATGATGTGAATGACGAGGAATTCCTTGGCGAATTTGATCCCATAGGAGAATTAGATGAGCATGCGGGAAATGAAGGTAGGCATATTTATTTAACAATAGCCCAGGCTCATCAGGCTGACACGATACTTACTCATCCAGACTTACTCCTCCAACGATGGAAGGCGAAGCAAAAACACTACTTAATTCTATCGGCTGCCGGTAAACCTATCTGGACACGTCATGGCGACAGTGGGTTGATATCAACTTATGTTGGCGTCATCCAGACCATTATATCGTTCTACGAAGACTCAAACGATCGCCTGCGAGGTTTCTCAACGGGAGACACTAGATTTGTCATACTGACTCGTGGATCTCTGCATCTTGTTGGCATCAGCCGCATGATGGAAAGCGATAACCAGCTCAGACTCCAGCTGGAGGCTTTGTATATGCAAATTCTTTCTACCTTGACACTCCCGTCTCTCACTTATTTATTCTCGGTTCGCCCATCTACGGATTTGAAGCGACCCTTACAAGGAACTGAGACACTTCTATCTTCGCTGGCAGATAGTTTCACGCGTGGATCACCATCTACCTTGCTATCAGCATTGGAATGTCTCAAAGTTCGCAAAGTCCACCGCCAAACCATCAACAATGCACTTCTCAAGACAAAAGCCAACAACTTGCTTTACGGCCTGGTTGTGGCTGGTGGGCGTCTTGTCAGCGTCATCCGGCCAAAGAAGCATTCTCTTCACCCCGGTGACCTTCAACTTTTATTCAATATGATTTTCGAGGCTGATGGAGTTAAAGCTGGTGGTGGCGAGAGCTGGATTCCCGTCTGCCTCCCTGGCTTCAACAGCAGTGGCTACCTATATATGTATGTCAGCTTCCTCGATCTTCGTAGTGATGTCGTGGAGAATGAGGATATCTCGAAAGATGAATCGGTTGCTATCATTCTCATCAGCCCGGACAAAGAGAGCTTTTTCGAGATGCAAAGCATGCGTGATTCTCTTGTTGAGGTAAGTTCCTCACCACTATTTTGGCCCTGTCATGACTATACATTAACCTCCTTTAAAGCAATTACAAAGGAACGGAAGTCTCCAAGTCATCAAGGCCGCAGTGGACCAAGGGCGGCCAGTGACTACTGATGTCGTTCCGGGTACAGTGCTTCGCCATTTCCTATACAAATCGCGTGCCAACGTCCAGTTCACCATGTCATCATATGCTCCCGAGTTCACTTCGGTATCCAGACGGCGAAGGTTAGTATCTTGCATTAACGAATCTCCAAAGTCTATTAAATATTTGAAATCCTAACAATGTCTACCCCAGATTGATGTCTACATACAACAATCTTCATGCCAGTATCCACACCAAGAACACACATGTCAAAGTTCATCACTGTGTCTCTCGATCTGCAACCTCCTTCGCATGGGTGACTCCTGTGTTTGAGCTTTATTGCATTGCTGAACCGAGCGCGAATCGAAACGCTTTGGTCCAAAGTGCCAGTAAAGTTGCCCAGTGGGTTAAACAAGAAGAGGAAAGGCTATTTATCATCGGCGGTGCCGTAAGTTTCCAACCCAAGAACAACAACTTGTTTGTCTTTGATTTGACCTGAAGTAACCATCTTTTAGGTCTTTTAACCGTAATCAAAGATCTGAGAAAGTTATAAATCTACATATCACGTACATAGATGTACTTATGCTTATATTATACCCAACAACAAAGTTTCAATAGAAACCACTCAGTGCATTCACTATTTCCAACTTGAAGGTTGGACTTCAAAATGTTGCTCAATATCTATCCATGGATGCCAGTGTTCTGGAGTAACTTGCAATTTTTGACAAGCATATGGCTCAGAATGCATATCTAGTCGATGGAGTCATCCCGAAGGTTGAAAAGCTGGCGCATGATCTCGCCCGACTTGCTGCGCAGTGCGTCATGGTACATAGTGTTGGTAATAAACTGCTTAGTGCCCTTGATCTTGGCGGCAGTATTGGAAGCCAGATCAAAGTGCACATACATATCATCGATGTACGTGGCCGCGTAAACGGGCACCTCGTTCTTGGCTAGCTGTGCCTCATCATACAGGGCAGGCCAATCACTTGTGGTAGCGAGAATATCGGCAACCTCTTGGACTTGCTTTAGTTCTGTGTATGATTCAAACATGTCCTTGAAAACCTATGAATTGATAAGGTCAGTTCTGTTGGCTGGTTGACTCGACGCGGCTGTTCTTACCATCTCTCCGGTGAAATAGATCTCGGGTTGTGAGTCAGAAATCTGGAACTGTGGACTTGCTGTGCGGCGTCTGTCCGCCGCCCAGCGTGATGGTTTTCTGTATCCCATTATTAGAATAGCGAACAATGCCGGAGGTCTGTCTTCACCCACCCTTGGCAGTAGATTGACTCGTGCAAAACGGCATAAATAATGTTCTTGTCCATCCCGCCGTTCCCATCAATTATGGCGAGGGTAGGAACAGTGAGAGACCCGAACATCTCCAAGTCATTCCAGGCTCGAAGGACAATTTCTACAATAAAGTGAGCGGTCCATTTCCGAGATAATATCAAGAAAAGCGAACATACCATGTAAAGAATCGAGACCACCTATTCCACATTAGAGACCCACACATATATGAATAGAAGGGTTGGAGTCCTTACCATGAAAACCGAACATAATACCAAGCTGTTGGAACCGAGCTGGAGTCAACCATCCGCTTGGCAACGGAACTTTGTTTGTCGTCAAGTACTGCATGATCTTCTTGACTTTCTGAACATCTTCGGGGAATTTAGCGTAATAGGCTTGGTTTCTTTCCGCAACCTTTTCTGCTGGGTTGTCAATAACTTCATGGGCGCTTGCTGGCAGATATAATCACTCACCGTAAGTACGCGAGTAGACTGGGTCTGGCTCGCTCACAAGAGGTGGCAATCCGCCAGTAAGAAAAGCTTCTCTCAGACTCCCCGGGCTTTATTGGAATAACGTCAGTAAAAATATTCCACTTATTTAGTCCCAAAAATTGTATTGACAGAACTCACAACTTGGACAAGTAAGTGGCAGCGCAGAAACCACCGAAGCTTTGGCCAATGATGCTCCATTTGCGCTGATCCTCAGGATAGTCATCGGTCAAACACTGACGGATCGCTTCACAATCACGAACGATGTTATCGGCTCGGAAGTGCTTGAGATACTCGGCCTGCTTGATGGCGTCTCCCTGGCGGGCAAGGGTTCCGGCTGTGATAGTCGAGCTAAGGCCAGTACCTCGCTGGTCAAGAAAAAGAACCTTTTTGAACATCTTTTGTCAGCCAATATCTCTCTCAATAACTAACTCTTGAGCGCGTAGAAAGCTCCAACCCCGTCCACGTGGAGAATCAGCTTACTTGGTATCCTTTGCTCAGAGCGGGTTCAACCCAACCGTAGTTCTGCGGGGCACCACATCCAAAGCCGGGGCCACCTTGAAGATAGACTAGCCAGGGTAGCTTGCCCTCATCCTTGGTGGGTTCAACTGGTTTGTTGAAGCGAGCCACGCTTCGTGCAAACAGCCTCAGGGTGGTCCCATTTGGCTTGCTGTAGTCGACAGGGACATCGAAGAATAGCTCGGCGACGCGCAGCTTCCCTGTAAATTCGATCAGCGCCCAAGCTTTCTTTATCTTCCCCCTATATAGAGCCGATTGACGTACCGGACACGTTATGGAACTGTCTCTCAATCAGCTTGGCTGCCATGATTGCGAGTCGTTGGTTGTCCGAGAGTCCGAGGGTTCGGAGTGGAAAGTGCAGAGTGGATCGACAGCGGAGAAGCGCCGGCCCATCGCTGCAACCTCCAAGCATCCCCCCCCCCAGCCTCGTTCCTGACACGGCCTACCACCAATCATTACTTTGGGACTATCCTATCTGGTGGACCCAACGCATCAGGGCTTATTTATTACCCGCTATTGCTGATTTGGGGAGGTCCAGCCGGGGTATTTTATCGAGCAGATCCCGACTCACAAGGCTGTCATTCAGAGATCCTATGAAGATCGGCATATATATATCGACACTCGAACAGCTTTTATCTCAAACCGCTGCCACCCCAACAATTCGAACCTCGGAAACTTCCTCACATACTCAAAATGGACGAGAAGATCATACAAGACCTGTGGAAGGCCGCCCAGGGCCCCTGGGAATCCGGCGTCCTTCCGAGTACTGAGCAGCTTAGCCGAGCTAGGAAGTCCATTCCCAATACGCTACCTGCCACTGGTTCTCGCTTGGACTCCGTGCAGCGACATATACTGGAAGAAATTGTGCCAGCATTCAATGGAGGAAGCATCAGCCCAAACTACTATGGGTTCATCACGGGTGGAGTTACACCAGCTGCATTGTTCGCTGACAATGTGGTATCAGCCTACGACCAGAATGTCCAGGTACATCTCCCAAATCATTCAATTGTCACAGATGTTGAGTTCAACGCTCTTGGGATGCTTGCAGACCTCTTCCGACTGGAACGGTCCACATGGCAGAATGGAACATTTACAACCGGAGCTACAGCCAGCAATATCCTGGGCTTGGCCTGTGGCCGTGAGTTTGTCCTTCAGAAAGCAGCTCAGCAGAATGGGTCGCAGGTAACCAGTGTTGGAGAGAATGGCTTATTGGAAGTTTTGCAAGCTGCTGGACTCTCGGGCATCCAAATTCTTTCGACGATGCCGCATTCCTCTCTAGTCAAAGCTGCTGGCGTTTTGGGAATCGGCCGAGCTAATGTCCGCAATGTGTGTTCTGCTGATAATGTCCTCCTTTTCGATATGGATGTTCTGGAAAAGGAGCTTGCAAGGAAGGACAAAGCTACTATCGTTGCGATTTCTTGTGGAGAAGTTAATACTGGTCGGTTTGCTACCTCTGGAGCGGAGCAAATGAAAGAGATCCGTCGACTCTGTGACAAATATGATGCATGGATTCACGTTGATGGCGCCTTCGGCATCTTTTGTCGAGCCTTAGGAGACACTGCAGAGTTTGCAACAATCAAGAAAGGCGCCGAAGGAATAGAACTGGCAGATTCGATAACTGGCGATGGCCATAAGCTACTCAATGTGCCCTACGACTGCGGCTTTTTCTTCTGTCGACACCACGACCTAGCTCCCCAGGTCTTCCAGAATGCAAATGCCGCATACCTGTCGGCAGGACATTCTGAGGGACCTTCTATCCCTTCTCCTTTGAACATTGGACTGGAAAATTCTCGTCGGTTCAGAGCCTTGCCGGTGTACGCATCTCTGCTATCATATGGGAGAGAAGGATATTCTGATATGCTACAGCGTCAAATTGGCCTCGCGAGGGCTGTCTACGATTGGATTTACGATTCCCCAGCATATATTGCTCTTCCAGAGGCGACTTCGAAGCCAGAACTTTTGGAACAGACTTTTATGAGCGTGCTGTTCCGGGCCAAGGACGACAACCTGAACAGTGAACTCGCAAAGAGGATTAACGAAACGTCGCGCATGTTTGTCTCAGGAACTAGCTGGCAGGGCGCTCCGGCTTGTAGAATCGCCATTTCCAACTGGAGGGTCGATGTCGAGCGGGATACTGCGTTGGTAACTGAGGTTCTAAACCAGGTGGCACAACTATAATTTCTACTAATTCCTGTGATCGGGGCAATACACATATAGCTATATCCTGTCTGTTACTATTGTGTCCAAAGGAGTAAACTTTGAAGCCACTAAGGCGAAACCAAATTAATGCAATGCCAAAATAATTTGTTTTCTGTTGATCACCGGCGACGACCGGCACCTCCCATATTTTCAGCCCGCTCGGCCATACTAACCACCTCGCCAATACCAGCCTCTTCTTGCTCGTCCTCCAGGGCCATGATCTCTTCACGACTATCCCACCATTTCTCCTCTGCCATGTCGAAGGCCGCTTTGCGCAACTCCTTGATAGTCTTACCTTCAACCAGTCCCTTCATAGTGAGGGCTTCAATTCCAATCTGTTGCCATTCATCCGCGGTCCGACTGACGAATTCTCGCAAGCTCTCGAAGGGGCGAGGGAGTGGTCGGCTGTCCTCGACAGTTGGCTCTTGCTCATCAACCTCGAGTTGTTCCATCTCTTGCGTAACCGATGGCACGGTTGCTTCGGCCGGAGGGGTATCGATAGCCATAGAATCGCCCTCTCCATCATCCATATCGTCGTCTTCATCTTCATCGTCTTCATCCATGTCCTCATCGCTGTCCTCTTCGTCCATGAGGTTCCAGTTCTCGGGCTCTCTGTAGAAGATTTCCTTGACGCCGTCCATCTTGCCCAGATCAATAGAGTACATATCGTCGAATGTAAACTCGCGATCACCCTTTTCAAATGTACCACCGTAGATGAAGAGGGTATCATCTTGCACAGCAAGTTGGGCATTGAATCTTCGGTGTGGCATCTCAAAGCGAACGACTGCGGGCTTCTGAGGTTCCTCAGGCTCCTCGGCTTCGGGAGCGCTTGGTTTCATGAAGTCATCATCATCGTCATCACGAAGACCCTGCTTGGTTTCCAAAGCCTTAAGGTTGTTCAGTAATTCTTCCTCATCCGCCTTGCCTCTATTACGAGACTTGTTAGCCTGGTTCGCCTGCTTCTTGCCTGGGGCACGAGGACGACGCAGGCCGAGCGGGAAGAATCGGTTTCGGTCTGTTGTCCAAGCGAACAATGTATCAAAGAATTCACTGTCGATTCCTTCTTCGGTTAACTCAACATCGTGGACACCACCGAACATAATTCCACGACCCTTATGATAGGCCATTGTTGTTCCCGCGCGTGAGGGGTTGGGTGTATTGGCTGGCTTCTTCCTTCGCTCCCATCGAATTGTAGGGGCAGCAGATGATGGCGCTTCAGGACCAGGAGGTGTGAGCCTTAAGAACCATGTATCCTGATGGACCATGGGCCGCAAAGCCATCTTCTGGGGACCACCCTTGGATTGCTTGCCGCCTCCACCTCCGCCACTGCTGACCTTGACTCGTGAGTAGCCACCGTAGATGACCGCTCCCGTGTCATGTGGCAAGAAAGAGAATGAGGATCGCGGATCTGGCTTTTGTGCCGCGGCATTCAGGACAGGGTTGTGCCAGGTAAATTGGTTGCAGTCATAGATCCACAGATCTTGCAGATACTTTGTCTGCTGGGAGGTGTCTTGGAAACCTCCAAAAAGAAGGATATAGCTCTAAATTGCATGTAAGCAGCTGTACTGATATATGGATCACCGTCTCTGATTTAAAAATGGCCACATACCTTGTAGTAGGTCATGCGGTGACCACTTCGAGCCGGAGGGCCCTTGCCCTTGGTCTCGAGACGAGTCCATTCTCTAGTAGCAGTATCTAGGTGCCAGAAATCGTTGTAGTGGTAGAATGTGCCCTGCTTGGGCGACGAGAATTCACCTATTCATGGTTAGACACAGGCCACAGATCAGAGAGAGGATATCATATGAAAGCTCTGATCGTACCTCCGAACAAGTAAACTCCGCCTGTATTACCTCCACGGCACCAAGCATGACCACTCCGAGGCAGGGGGCTGTTAGGACTGGTGACCTCTCTCCACTCTCCACGATCAATCAGGTAAACGTAGAGATTGTTGAAGAATGTCGCAAGTGTTCCGTCGTAGTACTCGCCGCCAAAGAGTAACAATTCATTGCGGTTCGAAGGCGAGGCAAGTACCGTGGCAGAGGATCGTGGTGCCGGAGGCTCTGACACGACTTCGGTAACCTTTAGAAATCTGGCTTGCTCCTCGGCATACTGAGCGAGGATAGAATCCAGGTCGGCTTCCTCGGCATCGCTGTCCGCATCCTTGTTCTTGGCCTTGGACTTTTTCTCGGTCTTAGCAGACTTCTTAGACTGCTTGGCCGCAATTCGATCTTTCTGCTCCGCGGACTTCTTGGTTTTCTTACCCATGGTGAAATCGTGTTTCTGCACAGGATTCTTTTTTTCCCTTGAAGTTCAACGTCTTTGGGCCGCGGGGCATAAAAAAAAAGGGCGTTCCCCACTTGGATAGATAGGGCCCACCCGCGGTTCTCTATGGGGGTCACTTAGGGAGCACGTAGGGCCTTCATTATGCGAGATTTTTTTTTTTAAAAAAAAAAATGATGTGGTTTATTCTAACACGATAGTCTTTGCTAATAGATTCTCTTGAAACCAATTCCCATTATTGAGGTGTCTTTGTTCCCATTATTCCTGAATTCTAATGCGGGCCAGCTACAATCAGTGCTGACCGCTCACGTGCCCGACGCGTCCCAGTTGAGCGCGACAGCGCGATCAAGTCCGATAACGACGACAAATGACCCAAGGCCAAGGCCATGATTCAAATATCACCCCATGACGAAAAATAACTTGGCCTCTCATTTGAAATGGCTGCTGAAGCAAGGCCCCTCTCTGTACCCATCGCTAACTGCCGAGTCCCCTGTGGTTGAACTACCTACTACCCGCTTTTCGCAACAACCTACACCACCGGAAGAATTCGAGAATTTGGACGAGATCTTGGAGGACCCCGACGATGTGTCAGATGAAACCATGGCACGATTAATGCTGTGTCCTTCTTCTGAAAGCAAACCTCGCATGCTTAGCCAGGCCGACAAAAAACACGATGCGACGCCTTCGACCTCAAAAAAGCCGTCCACGGCACGCAACATGGCTGCAGGTACGTTTGCCGCTATGCTACGGGTATAGTTTTGGATTTTGTTAACCACGATATGTTGCGATTGCAGCAAAGTCCCACCTCGAGCCACAGCCAGCTTCCTCTTTCAAAAGTTCTCGACCAAAAGCCACCCCGCTCAAGTCAGAACGCAAGCTCGCGACATCGCCATTCGATGCAATCGAGTCCATTGATTTGACAGGAGAAATAAATCGTTTCCTTCCTTCCTCGGCAACAGCTGACTTTGGCGAACCGCGTCGTTTATGGACCGAGGGAGCTGCAACACAAGATGCTCCCCCCCGAGAAGCGAGGAAAGAAGAGGAAGAGCGAAGAATACACATCGGATCTGCTTTCACCGTCTAAGCACTCCACAAAGATTCGAACACCTTCCAAGGCAAACAAACCACCTATCTCTGGCAACACCATTGCAGAATTGCCCGCAGCGTCCAGCCGAGCCGCTCTCTCTCGTGGTACGAAACAGCCCAAGCAAGTCATCGCTGATTCCGACGAGGACGACGATGATCAATTCGATAGTTGGCTTGGTGCCGAAGACGTTGATGATATGATTTTCGACCCAGAGCCGGCGTTATACCCAATACTTCCTAAACTGAGCTCCCAGGAAAGCCAGAAGTCGGAATACCACAGCACAGCTTCACGACCTTCTCCCAGCAATGCTCTGCCACCGCCGACGCGGGCCGAGAAGAAACCTTCCTTGCCGAAGTCACAGAACCCAGATCCATCGCCTACGCCGAAAGCACTCAGTTCACAGCAAAGGGATCCGGAAATCCTGAAATTTCTTGCTCTTCCCTCGACATCACTTGCCCAGGCCATATCCAGCTTGAAGGCAACGCTTCAGAAGAATGCGGAAATCGTTTACGAGCAGGCCATGGAAGGTCGGACAGCACCGGACTTGATTGCCGCGAACAAGAACCTGGTCACTCAGATACAGTCCATTGAGTCTTTGAAGACCAGTCAGGACTCCTACAAAAAATGCCTTTCCCGCAAAGACGATCTCAAGAAGAGCCTCATGCGCGTGATCTCCCAGGGCATCGACCCGACAACAATGCCCGAGCTAGCACAAAGTCGAGCCGTAGAAACCGAGCTGGAGAAAATCGAGGCCAATATCCGCGAGCTTCTCCCCAGTTCCAGGGTCTTCGATATTGCGCCGGCATCTGGATCGACTAATATCGAACCTCCAACGACGACTTCGCGTACGGAACTGAACCACCAACCCCCTCCTGAGGATCTGTTCGATGATTCAATTATTTCAATCAACTCCCCGCCTGCTCCACCCCGTTCGGTGTATCGAAGCGAGCCCCCCCCCGAGGGAACAGTCTTCATTTGAAAATGTTCGAGAGTCGAGAGACTACTCGACCGAGAGGCCTCACGATAAACAAGACAAGTTTGTTGCTCGCAACATGGGCTCACCACCATTTGCGACCACAATGGATTTTGACGACTTCGATTGGAATGCCAGCGATGATGAGATACTCGAGGTGGCAGGAAGTTTCGACGATCGTGCGGCCTCTGCTCACGAACCAGAACCCCCGAACCGGAAAGTATTTGCGGAAACATCGGGCAACTCATCTCGCACGCCGGCCCCAAAGAAGTCACCAGGCCGTAGCACGTTCTGGTCTAATCACCCTTGGTCTCAAGAAGTGAAAACGGTTCTCAAGGATCGATTCCATCTCCGCGGGTTCCGTCCGAATCAGCTCGAAGCAATTGATGCGACTCTTGGCGGAAAAGACACATTCATCTTGATGCCCACAGGTGGGGGCAAATCACTATGCTACCAACTACCTTCTATTGTAATGAGTGGAAAGACCCGTGGCGTGACGCTTGTGGTTTCGCCGCTGTTGAGTCTGATGCAAGATCAAGTGGACCACCTGCGGAAGCTGAACATCAGTGCCTACCTGATGAACGGCGAGTCTGACAGATCTGAGCGATCATGGATTCTTGGTCAACTGTCAAATGCTGGGGGAGAGCGTCTGGAGCTGTTGTATATCACCCCAGAGATGATCAACAAAAACCAGACGCTCGTGCGAGCTCTAGAGAAACTTCACCGTCGGAACAAACTCGCACGATTGGTCATTGACGAGGCACACTGCGTGAGCCAGTGGGGACACGACTTTCGACCAGACTACAAGGAATTGGGTGAGGTTCGGAACAAGCTTCCTGGTGTCCCAGTTATGGCTTTGACTGCTACTGCCACTGAGAATGTGAAAGTGGATGTGATTCACAATCTGAAGATGACCGGATGCGAGACCTTTTTGCAAAGCTTCAATCGTCCGAACCTCACATATGAAGTGCTTCCAAAGGGCAAAAACGATGAAGTCCTCGCCGGTATCGCAGAAATTATCACCAAATCCTACCGCAATCAATGTGGTATTGTCTATTGTCTGTCGCGCAATACATGCGAGAAAGTCGCGAAAGATCTTCGTGACAAGCATCACCTTAAGGCCAACCATTATCATGCAGGTATGAAATCAGATGAAAAGGCCAAGGTGCAGAACGAGTGGCAGATGGGCGAATGCCAAGTTATTGTTGCCACGATCGCATTTGGCATGGGAATTGACAAACCAGATGTACGATTTGTTATCCATCACAGCATTCCCAAGAGTTTGGAAGGTTACTACCAGGAAACAGGCCGTGCTGGTAGAGATGGCAAGCGTTCTGGTTGTTATCTTTACTACGGCTACAAAGATGCGGCGACCCTTAAACGAATGATTGATTCCGGCGACGGCAATTATGAGCAAAAGGCCCGACAGAAGCATATGCTCCGTAATGTGGTTCAGTTCTGCGAGAACCGCAGCGACTGTAGACGTGTACAGGTTCTTGCTTACTTCAATGAATACTTCCGCCGAGAAGACTGTGGCAACGCTTGCGATAGTTGCAAGTCTGATTCGGTATTTGAGTCGCATGATTTCTCAAAGCATGCAGGCTGGATTATCAAAATTGTCCGGCACTTTCAAATTAACTTGAAAGAAAAGGTCACGGTACTCTACTGCGTGGACGTTCTTCGCGGAGACTTGAAGAAGGCCAAATCTGCCTCCCACAAGCAACTTCCCTGGTATGGCAACGGCTCAGATCTTGACCGAGGGGAGGCAGAGCGGCTATTCTACCGTTTATTGGGTGAAGATGCTCTCGCAGAAGACAATGTCATCAACGGGAAGGATTTCGCTGTCCAGTACATCATACTTGGCCGACGTGCCACCGAATATGAGACCGGGCAGCGGAAAATGATGTTGCAAGTGCGCGCATCTCCAAAGAGCAAGGCTCGACCTTCGAAGACGACACAGAAAGGGAAGTCTGGCAACCAACCTCATCCTCAGTCCACCATGGTCTCGTCTCCTGTCCAATCGACCAATGATCGCCGCCAAGCGCGTACCCAGAAACGAAGCATTCCCGTGAACGAGTCTGACGATGATAGCGATGGGTTTGAACCAGTTCGAGTAGCTGGTGGGACCGGGAATCATAATAACCGTGAAATGGGACCCCCGATTACGAGCGATCAAAGATTAGATCGACTTGACCATCTGCATCGAGCGGTAGTGGAGGATTTCGAGGTCACGGCAAAGAGATATCTTCAGGAGGTAAGTACTCTCCTGCTTTGTTCTGATTGCAGGGCTATCATTGGCTAACTCTTCATCAGATTGTTGTTGAGAAAGGCCTTCGTTCTCAACCATTCTCAGACCAGCAATTGCGCGAGATGGCCATCTCATTCCCGAGAGGTAAGGGCAGAAATGGCTTGCGAATTGAAATAATACTAATGGATTTACGCAGACATCCAGCAACTCTCCGCCATACCAGGTATTGACCGCGACAAGGTCACTCGATATGGCCGTCAGATTTTGAAGCTGGTAGACAATGCCAGGCGACGATACCATGAATTGACACAGGATGCGGAAACCAGCGGAATTGTCCCAGACCCCAATCATCATAATGTCATCAATCTCAGCAGCAGTGACGAGTATAGCGATGATGATTTGTTCGCGGATCAGGCATCTAACTTCGATCTTGATTATCCCGTTCAAGACAACACCCAAGATGTCACAAGTCGCTATTTTCCCCCTCCACCTTCGCCCGGCTTCGACCCTGGCGACGACTTTGGGGCAGGCCCTTCTAATTCCAAGGGGAAACGATCCAATTACAAGCGAGCCCCACGACGCAAAAACGGAGGCTCCGCGGGCAATTTCAAGGCTAAAGGTGCTAGGTCAAAGGCCAGATCTGGTGGTGACCGACCATCCAGCCGGTCAGCATCTGCGCCTCGCAAGACCAGCAAAGCGAAAACCTCCAAATCCACAATTGGAATGATGCCCATCTAAAGTTATTTTGTTTTTTTGCGAAGTGATCATGATTCGACGCGTGAAGCATCTATCGGCGTTCTACAAATTACCCAAGGGCTACGTTTTCATTACTGCGCATGAATGAAGGCGTGCATGGGATATTGTTTCATTTTTTTCATACATCATTCTTGAATTAGGATATTAGTAGACATAATGTCATCTCTTTCTCTGCCCTGAGGGCAACCACAATAGATCCTCTCTTTCCCTCAGACTCATAAGGAGCGGCTAAAGTCGATCAATCGCAGACGTCTTGCATCTCGTGAGTGGAATTGAGCGACTTTAGCTCTCACAAGAAATCGAGATGCTGCCGAGTCGCGCTTTAAATCAATATAGGAGAAATCAGCATCCAGAAGAGCATCCAGCAATTCGTGTAGCTCGGTGGCGGCTGCCTGCCGTTTGCCGGTAGGGTTGGAACCATCAGTGCTTGGGCGAAGAAACTGATCAATGCGCTGTTGGCTGCCTAGATCCGGCTCCTCCGGTTCCTTCTGCTTCTTGGGCTGCCCATGCGCTGTGTAGCCAGCTTTCAAGGTCGCATCTGACACTTCCAATTCATCGCCTACTGTTGGCCCGCCAAGGTCCTCGGCGGCCAACATTGGAGCCAGGGTATCGTCGATGAACTTGTCAAGAGACTCCTTGAGCTCGGCAGACGCGCGAGTCATTCGTTTGTTTTTCTTCTTCTGCTCGCTGATCACTTCTTTGGCCACCTGCGTAGGCGTTTGCTCTTGCTTTCGCTCGTTGGTACTGCGAATTCTCTGAATTCTTTCCCGGAGTCCGTGAGCAATAGCTTGCGAGTCCTGCAAGTTGGCATTCTCTATACGCAGACGGTCACGGTCCGCTGACAATTTCTCTGCGGTCACGGAGACGGAGATCTTGCCCTCTTCAATAAGCTTTCCAGTTTGCTCGAGTGCCAACAAGGGAGGTAGGACCGAGTCAGTCGTTGGCAGCTGAGCTTCAGTCTTCAATAATGACTCGTACGCCCTCTTGGCTTGACGTGCTTGTTGCACGCGTACCCACCGGTCATCTCCGCCATCCAAGAGACCATGGGAACGAACCTCACGGAGCTGTGATGGATGTTAATTAGGATTCCGATAACCAATTGTCGGCAGGCATTTCGGGGTTCCACATACCTTTCTGAGCTCTTCCTCCTGTCGGCGAACCTGGTCCTGCAGCTGCAGTAATGTCCCATCTAACCGTCGCGCATAGGCATGCAGCGCCGTTGCACTAAGAGGCTCGTGGGCGGCCTCCTTCTCCGCGGCTTGACGGTTCTGGACAAAATTTTCGATGTTTGTTACCACCGAGTCTGAGACTTCCATGACTGATTGCTCGGTAGTCATTCTGGGGGAGAATCGAGGAAAGTCATGAATGGTATTCAATATACCATGGGGTATATCTACAAATACAAACGCGGCGCGGCCAACAACATGGGCAACACGTGACTGATTAGCTCAGCCGATCACACCTCACCTCACTTCACCTTCGCACTTGCTTGCAATCTCCCATCGACTGACACCTTCAACCTGTTTCCCCCTTCTCCCCCCTCCTCCAAGTATTTCATCCTTGTTTCCTTTCGCTCAAGTCGACTCTCGGAAGCGTTTTCCCTTCACCTTTGCTTCCAAGGCCGCGCCCACGTTTCCCCCTTGATTTCCTAGCTCCGGTACTCTCCTTTCCCAACGTCGCATCCACGGCACTCCACACCACACCACACCTCCCTCCCACCCATTTCCACCGAAGTCTTCCCAGACCCCCAAATCCTTCCTCGTGAAGCTCAGATTCTGCTGCTTTGAGGTCCCGTCCATTCCACCACTTGCCCGGCCATCTCTTTCTCCACAGCACAGCACATCACAGCACATCACACCAGCTTTCCCCTTCGTCGATCGCCAATCACCAGCACCAGCACCAGCACCTTTCCCTGGGAACCCCTGGTGTACATAGACGATCATAAAAAAAGAAAGCAGACTTCCATTCTTGACACCGATCTTTCACGTAAGTGAAAACAGGCAGCAGTACAGAATGTCGGCCTCTCCATCCAACCTTCAGTCGACCAAGCGTCCTCTTGAGGATCCTTCCTCCCCTCTCTGGCCCCAACGACCAGCCCGATGCCAAGCGCCCGGCCCTGGATAAAGTAGTGAAGAACGACACCGACGCCGAGGCGGACGTGTCGAGCAACCAGATTCCCTCCATCGAAGACACCAAGGATATCCAGGGTGACACTGTCGTCCCTGACGCCCCTAACGGCAAGCACGCCGACACCCAGCCGATCCAGTCAACTGCCTCTCATGGTGAACGCGCTGGCTCCCATTCCGACCAGCATACCCCTCAGGACGAGACGAACTGGATCCACATCCGCGCCGTGATCTCCAGCCCGGAGGCTGCGACTGTGATTGGAAAGGGAGGTGAGAATGTTTCCCAGATTCGTCGTCTTTCCGGTGCCAAGTGCACCGTTAGCGACTACTCGCGGGGTGCCGTCGAACGCATTTTGACCGTCAGCGGCCCCCAGGATGCCGTAGCCAAGGTAAGTCTTATATTCATCTCCACGAGCCTGTTGGATCTCATGCTAATTACTCCTACAGGCATTTGGTCTGATCATCCGCACCCTGAACAATGAACCCCTCGACTCCCCTTCCACTGCCCAGTCTAAGACGTATCCTCTGCGTTTGCTAATCCCGCACATCCTCATCGGCTCCATCATCGGCAAGGGTGGAAGCCGCATTCGTGAGATCCAGGAAGCTTCCGGTGCGCGCCTCAATGCGTCTGACGCCTGCCTTCCCTTGTCAACTGAGCGCTCCCTCGTCATTCTCGGTGTTGCCGATGCCGTGCATATTGCGACCTACTATGTTGCTGTCACCCTCGGCGAGCAATTGACGGAGCGATTCGGTGGCCCGGCGGCCTCGGCCTACGCCACTCGTAGTGGTGGCCCTGCTGGTGCCGTTCCCGGTGGCATGCAGGTCGTCCCTTACGTCCCGCAGCCCGCTGGTGGCCAGTATGGTCATCCTGAAACATTCAAGCGTCACCACCCGCACCCTAACCGCGCCCAAACCGGTTCTTACGGCGTCCCGTATCTGCACGGTCAAGCGACTCCGGCCCCTGTCGGCCAGCCAGCTATGCCTTACGGTGCTCCTGCTCCCCACACCCCCTATTCTGGTGGCGCCCCCCCATCAGCCTGCCCCATACGCTGGCGGGCCACAGCCTACCCCCGGCCGTGGAGCCCCTGCCCCTGCCGCCCCCGCTGGTGGTGCCATGCCTGGCCAGCCTCTGACCCAACAGATCTATATCCCTAACGACATGGTCGGTGCCATCATTGGAAAGGGTGGCGCTAAGATCAACGAGATCCGTCACCTGAGTGGCAGTGTTATCAAGATCAACGAGCCCCAAGAGAGCAGCAATGAGCGTCTGGTAACAATCACTGGTACCCAGGAGTGCAACCAGATGGCTCTATACATGCTCTATTCCCGACTTGGTTCGTCTTTTACCCCAGGCCTCCCATGATCATCCTACTCACTAATTGTTTTACAGAGAGCGAGAAACACCGCGTTTAAGTCCAGCTTTTCCTATCTTGGGGGCCTATCCGGCGTCATACCCAAAAAATCCACGGTGGTTCATGACGATTCCGTTCTTCGTTTTTATCTTTCAATTTCACATGGGTGTCCCTTTTATTGGCCTCTTCTCTTCTTGTTGTATCTTATTTGAGGCGAATGATTCGATCCGGTCTCCTAATATCCAATCCCATTTTTTCCCACCCATTGCACATACACCTTCCCAGTAGCCCAGCTCCAATCTCTTCCTTCATCCGTCCTATCTTTCCACCAGTCACCCTCACAGCAAAGAAGAAACCAAGAGACCACCACACCCCTGTGAAAGAACCATATCACGCTTCTATCATCACCATCACCCTCTACAACAACCCAGTTATCACCCCAACAATCCGATAACTTAAACCTTCCTGAAACTAACATGTTTGATCTCCAATCCAGGCACGGGGGGCAACATCTTCTCCCGAACCGGCGCAGCGCTCTGATGGAACTGCTCCGTCTCCTTGGCCTGCATATGAGCTTCGACCGAGTCCCACCCGATAGCCAAAAGATGCAAGACAGCACGTCCACTCGGACTCGTTGCATGCTGCACCGTGCTAGGACGATCGACATGTCCCATAGTCCACGACCGTGGCCCACTAGTCTGGGGTAAGTGCTCGATTAGCACGATGCGAAAATTGATCAGGTCCCAATTCAACTGCCGAGTCTCTTTGCCAGTCATCGAGCTGGGGAAAGGTAGGACACAGATTTCCGTAAGCGGGTTTGCGGTAAGTGTCCCCGTGCTGGAAATCGGTGGGCTAAGGGTTGTGTAGAGGGCTGTCGGAGGCTGGGTCGATGGTGCGAGGAAGGGTTCCAGAAGAGCAAGGGTGGTTGAGCATCGGGCATCGTCCCATTCTGAAGGCCTCGTGTTAGTTTTGATTCCCGTACCAGATGTAATGGTTCTGCTTGATGATTGATCATTGGCGAGATCGTATAGAGTGCTAAATTGACCCCCCCCTTTTCACCATTTGATAACAATCACAACTATCACTGGAAAAGCAACGTACCCACAACCCAAACAATTACATCCTCGTCTTCTACCACACGGCCCCAGACGGAACTCCTGTGACCACTTTGATGTTTAGTCGTGCGGAAGACGCCCATTAGGTCGCGGCCCTCTGCGCTGTCTGGGTCTTCAGGCCGAACCTCGGGTTGCACCATGAAGAAGATGAATTGGCTAATGGTTTGCGACATGGTAAGGGTGCATGGATATTGGATATGGTAAGGTACTGTACTGGGACCACTTCTGCTTCGGAGTACATGCGCAGTCTGGCTACCAGAGTGGGTATAACCATGACCCTGAATCTAGTGCTTAGGTACGAAAGCCATACGGTTTAGAAGCCCGAAATAGTAAGGAATTGAGTTGGACTGATGTCACACCGCGAAATGATGTCAGTCAATCCGTTCGTCATTAAGCCATGCTAATCGATAATCAAACACACACACAAAAAAAAAAAGCTGGACTATGTACATCTCTTTGGGAAAGAGGTTTCTTCAACTCCCTTCCGATTAAAGCACGCCAGACCTTGTACTAAAATAGATTCGTCCAAATGCCATTCATTTCCACATCTCTCACACACATGCTTTCTGTTATTCTTCTTCGCCGGCACACCAAGAGTTCAAAGCTCTTATTTCTTGTCCACGACTACCCAATCATCATCCAGGGTACGTAGCTTGACATCTTTCTTCTCGATGGCAGACTTCAGGTTGCCTACCAAATGCCGGCGGTGGGAATTCTTCAACTTCCAGCGGGAAGTCTCTTCCTGCACAACGATCTGACCAACGCCCTCGACACTACGAAGGCGGCTGTGTTTCGCTGAGCCATTCATGCTTGCCCGGAAATTGACGCCACGTGAGGCGGACTCTGGTGTGTGATAGGAGCTACCATCGACAGATCCACGCGAGCCCGGGGTTGCGGGGAAACGACCCGCATTCTTACGGGGAGTGGTAAAGGGCGATCCTTCGCGGCTGCTGGACACCGTGGAGATGTCGACGCCAAGTTTCCGCATCTGAGCTTCGAGAACATCGATGTCACTACTCTTTCCCTCGGCCATACTCATCATGGTGGCGATAGTAGAGGCAACAGCTTCGACGGTGGGTCGCTTTCTATTTGAAGCAGATGTTCCATCGGTACGGGGGATATCTGCAATCTTGGCTCGTAGTAAGGACACGCCTTCTTCAAGACCAGCCATCTTTGCCTGTATCTCAGTGAAGTTGGTACGAAGATCCTGCTGGAGTGTAGCTTGTTCGGCGGAAAGAGGTGCCGCAATGATAGAACCGGTGTCGGTGTGCGCATCGAGAATCTTCCGGATGCTGGCAAACAGGCTGCGTAGACTAACGATATCCTTGGTCAATAGCTCGTGGCATTGTGCAAGCTTCTCTTCTACACCCTGCACACGTTGGTTGTGGAGAGAGGTGCGAAGAGCGGCAACAATCTCGTCAAGATTGGTGATATTCTGTAGAAATACTTCTTCGTCAAGAATATCGGACGGCTGTTCGCTCTTCAGAATTTTCACCCATGCGGCAACTTGCGAAGACCTAGAAGGCTGCTGGTAGAGCAGGTATGCATCCAGGGATCGCGCATTGATGCCCAACGTATCGACCATCGAGTTGATGTCGCGGTACAGACGCTCGATCATGCCTGGAACGCCAGGCTTGGCAGTCTCTCCTGTGTAGTTCTGGTGAGGGAGGAAAGGGTCGAGAGTTGCCACAGGTTCAACTGGGCGAGCCAGGTCCGCACGGAGCCGCTCGTCCTCATCGTCATCTGACAGGGAGAGGGCTTCTTCTTCCTGTTGTCGTTGTGCGGCCTGTCTGGCACGAATATTCTCATCTTGCGAACTAATACTAGCTTTGCGTAGCTGTCCACCACGCTGAGCCATCTGTGTTAACGAAGCTTTTCGAGTCGCTAGGGCACTTCCTGCCTCTTTGCGCTGTTCGGGCTTCTTTGAGAACATTGTGTTCCTCTGGGAGTTGAGACGAGTAGGACTGGGGGATCGATAAGGCTCGCGGTTGTTTTGGGCGACAGGCCCAGGAGGCGGGAGGAGTGGCTGCTTCGGAATTTCACCAAATAACTGTCGGGGAGGCTTCTGGCCTTCCTTGGGGGCGGCAGCCTTGGGGAAACCACTGAAAAGCCCACTGGTGGCACCCTTCTCTGATATGCCGCCAAACGAGCTCTCAGGAGAAGCCTCAGGGCTTGGGACCTTGGTCTCGTCATGGGTTATTTCTTCACCGCTGTCAGAAAAGTCGGATCCCTCGCCTTCAGAGTCCGCGTCGGAACCATCAGGGATCGGGATGGTCTCCTCGTCCTCAATAGGCTCAGTCTTCACCTTGGTAAGGAAGTCAGGAGGTAGGGGTGCCTCTTCGGGGGCCGCGGAAGGAGCCTCGGCCTTCTTGGGCTTTGACAGGAAGTCCGGCGGCAGGGGGGCATCGTCGGCATCCGGAGCTGGCTTCTTTGTAACGAAGTCGGGGGGGTAGAGGAGCATCATCAAACTTAGGCGAAGACTTCTTCTCAGCAAGAAAATCAGGAGGAAGCGGCGCGCCTTCTTGCGAGGAAGACTTCTTCCAAGTGGTGAAATCCGGTGGAAGGGGTGCATCCTCGACCGAGCTCTTAGATACGTTGGAGGATGCAGAGGTGTCGCCAGCTGCATAGCTCGCCCTACTCATGGAATCTGGGGGGTAGCGGTGCGTCGAAGGATGCATCGAAGGTAGGCGTGGAGACAGACTGCTCCCGTCTCGGTGTCGCTGTCTTGTCAGAGGGCGCCGACAGAGGACTAGTGACTTGGTTCTGTGTTGAACCAGAGATGGCCGTGGTGGAATTGTTGTTAGAGAATGAAAACTTCGACTTGCTTGTTTCCACCTTGGTCGACTTTGTATTCTCTGAGCTTAGAGGGCTAAACATGGATGGAGTCTGATTTGAAGGCTTGCCGAAGATAGAGAATGGTTCTTTGTTGGCAGGCTCTTCAGGTTCACTCTCATCGCTATCCATGGATTCGCTTGACGGACTGCCCTTGCCTGGAGACGAAACCATATCGCCAAACGAGGCACCAAACGAGAGGGCCCCAGTAGAAGGCTTGCTGGACTTCGGACCATCATTGACGGCAGTGCCATCTGGCTTGAAGGAAGACCCAAGGACGAAACCACCTGTTTTTTGCTGGCCAAATGGGTTCTTCGTTTCGCTGGCACCTGGAGTGGGGAATGGGGAATCGTTCGAAGGCTTGCCAAACGGGTTCTTAAGTTGGCTGGTCCCTGCTGATGGGAATGTCGAGTCACCATTGGGCTCTCCAAGCGGGCTCTTGGCTTCATTGGTAGCAACCGAAGAGAAGGGGGAGCTGACGGCAGGTTTACCGAAGGCAGAGGCGTTGGAAGATTTACCAAACCCAGATTCACCAGAAGGCTTCGAGAAGGCTGAATCGTTGCCGGGTTTGCTGAAGGGAGAAGGCCCAGAAGGTTTACCAAATGAACTTTCGCCAGATGGCTTCGGGAAGGCAGAGGCGTTGGAAGGTTTACCAAACCCAGATTCACCAGAAGGCTTCGAGAAGGCTGAATCGTTGCCGGGTTTGCTGAAGGGAGAAGGCCCAGAAGGTTTACCAAATGAACTTTCGCCAGATGGCTTCGGGAAAGTGGAATCGTTGAGAGGTTTGCCGAATGGAGAGGACTCAGAGGGTTTACCAAATGAACTTTCACCAGTAGGCTTGGAGAAGGAAGACTCCCCTGGCTTGGAGGTAGCGAAGCTTGAGAATCCGCCTCCGCCGCCTCCAGAGAACGAGCTGAAGCCACCGCCAGAAGACCCATCGCCAGTTCCAAGAAGACTCTTTGCCGGAGTGTTAGGCTGTCCGAAGCTAGGGGCCGATGCTCCGAAGCCCGACTGGCCAAATGCCGGCTGGGCTTGGGTGCCAGCAGTGCCAGCAGCACCAAATGTCGCTCCGGGTTTAGAAGGCGTTCCAAAGGACGGAGCTGGGGCGGATGGTTGTCCAAAAGCAGGAGCTGGAGTGGAACCTCCCATTGGAGATGAACTTCCGAAGGCCGGGCCCGATTGCTTGCCAAAGGCTGTTGCCCCCATGGTAGACGGGCTGCCGAAAGAAGCACCTCCAGCCGGCTTGCCGAAGGCAGAGACACCAAAGGAAGAAGATTGACCAAGGGAAGATTGGCCGAAAGCAGGCTGCTGTGGTGCCGGGGACGCCTGGGTAAAAGCAGATTGCTGAGGAGCAGGGGTCGATGTTGAAGCAGAAAATTGTTGGGCTTGACCACCTGATACAAGCCCCGAGTATGAGATCTGCTGCTTGATGGCCTGGTTGTAGATGAACCACCAAAAGCAAAGAACACCATCGTTATTCAGGAGAAGCAAACCCGGCAGAGGAGATGAGCTCTCTGGAATTTCCTCCTCTTGGCCTTGAATTGGTGAATAGACATTCTCAGTACTCGAAAGATCGGCGGCCAGGCCAATAACGGACGTCTCGTCGACTGAATCTCTCAGTGGGACAGCAGCTTTTTGACTATCATTATTGATCTCCGTAGTCGCGTACTGGCCGACAAGGCCTTTTGAGATATCGTCGTCGGCAAGCGGTTGATCGGATCGTGTGACAAGACCTACATCGGCAGATGCGGTAGACGAGACAATGAGGACATCCTTCAGGTGAGGTTGATAATCGCGGAGCCGGGTTATGAACTGGTAGGCAGGGCCTCGTTTCACGCGAAATCCGAGGGTCGAACACACTTCAGGCAATCTCTGGATCAAGAAAGGTGCACCCTTGCGTCTCGTGATGATGTATGGAGACGAGGGAGGATTTTCGCCCATATCATCAAGGGAATTGGGAGTGTAGATAACGAAGAAAACATCGTTCTCTAGCCATGAGATAGATGAAACTACAAGCGTGGTTAGTAAAAGAGCTCGAATTGTCGATCCGCAAATCAAGTCTCACCATGGCATTCACCCTCCAGATCTGCAGGCCGAGGGATTTCAGCCTTCTTGGTTCCATCAGCTGTCATTTGGTCCCCAGTTCCATCTGCCAACCCAGCCACAAGCTGCTTACCCTTGTTGCTCCAAGCAACGCAGCTGACACCATTCCTGAGAATGGGGCCGTTGGCTCCCGAGACCAAGTTGCCCGCCTTCAGATCAGCAACTAACAGTTCACCATTGACTGTGACTAGGGCGACGAGGTTGGAGGTGGGATCGGGATTTGGGACCAGAGCGCGAATTGAAGCGCCATTGGTTGAGACGGATAAAGCAGGTTGCGCGTTATCCTGTGTAAGGCTTGTTGTTTGGAAGACCGAAATCTGAGAGCCATTCTCGGTGGCTAGGATTAACGCGTCGTCACTCGCGTTGAAAGCGATGTGTGTCGGGCGAGAAGGTAGCGGAATGGTCGCAAGAGGTTTCAACGACTTCGTCTTCACTTTCTCTCCCTCGTTCGATGCCTCGATTGATTTTCGAATCGATTCGGTGGTTGCGACAACTAGCGCATCGGGTCCGGCGGCAACTGCAAGGCCTTTGCTTTGCGCAACGGCCAAGAGAGAACAGGTCGAGGAGGGAAGGGCATCGGCAGGCCAAGGGGTGGGGAGGATGCGGATATTGCAGTCGCCGGCGATACCTTTGAAGCCAATCTCCTATTTTAGATATTAGCTTGAAATCCTCTCGATGCATCAACTTCGAGAGAGCGCGACATACATCAGTAAAGACATCTGAGAGCTCCGGGCCAAGCTCCACCTGCGCGCTCCCTCCAGCCGGGTTCGAGTTGCCGAAGCCGCTGAAGGCCATTCTGAGTTGATTAAAGTCACCTGAAACTGAACGAGAATGGTCGCCTAGGGGTGAGCCGGTCTTAGAAGCATTGAGTGATGGAGAGCTCGGCGGCGTAGGTGAGAAAGAGCGACGTTGGAGCGTTTGAGGACTCCGGTTGAAGAGATGTAAGGTACGCTGGAAAATCTTGAGATCTGCCTCTCTCTCTGACAAAGAGAAGGCGAATGGAAGTTGAAGGGAAGGGGGAGAGAACCCTGGAGATGAAGGGAGAAGACTGAACCAAGTCAAGGTCAAGGTCAAAGGTTCAGGTTGAGGTTTGGAAAGCCCGAAAATGTTCCCAAGGCAAAAACACCCCATTTTCTGCCTGACCCGTCAGGCCACCATCCGCCAGGCTGCGGGAGCTTCGTCACTCCAAACAGCTCCCTCTCTCTCTCTCTCTCTCTCTCCCCCCATCAGCTCGCCCTTCACCTCTACCCGTCCGATCTTCATCTTTTTCTCCTTGAATCTTACTTTCGATCTGGATTCTCGCTCTCTCCACCACTGATACCCGCTCTTCCCCGTCACATTCCCCTGCGTTGCCACGATGCCGGGCTTCGACTTCTCCAACTTCAACCGCAACTCGGCTCTTCACGCCAGGGGTGTTCCCCTTCCTAAGGCAACCAGCACTGGTACAACAATTGTTGGATGTGTTTATGACAATGGCGTTGTGGTATGATTGCCAATGACCCTCAGCACCCCCGGAGTGTGCAACCCCCCACGGACTCCAGAAACTGACTTGGCGGTCATCGCAGATTGCAGCAGATACCCGAGCCACCAGCGGTCCCATAGTAGCAGACAAGGTACGGAACTCAACCATTTACGAAGCTCTTTATATCCCAGATACCATCGCCGGTTCCTACGCTTCGCCATAGACCCAACAACTGACCCAGACTCGCCCATAGAACTGCGAGAAGCTCCACTACATCGCCCCGAAGATCTGGTGTGCTGGTGCCGGTACCGCCGCTGATACCGAATTCACAACCGCCCTCATCAGCTCCAATGTCGAGCTGCACTCTCTATCCACGGGCCGCGACCCGCGCGTGATCACTTGCATGACGATGCTGAAGCAACACCTCTTCCGATACCAGGGTCACATCGGTGCGTACCTAGTGGTTGCGGGCGTGGACCCGACTGGCGTTGGTCTCTACACCGTTCACGCCCACGGATCGACGGATAAGCTCCCCTATGTGACAATGGGATCCGGTTCGTTAGCAGCCATGTCAGTATTCGAGTCGATGTGGCAGCCGGATCTGGACAAGCAGGCTGCTATCACTCTCTGCGCTGAAGCTATCAAGGCCGGTATCTTCAACGATCTGGGATCCGGTAGCAATGTCGACGTCTGCGTTATCGAGAAGGATAAGCCTACCAAGTTGATGCGCAACTACGAGAAGCCCAATGAGCGTGGAACCAAGGAGCGCAACTACCGTTTCCCTCGTGGTACCACTGCTTGGTTGAACCAGAAGATCATCAGCAAGGAGGATATGAAGAAATATGTCACCATCGAGACCTTGTCTGGAGATGACAATCTGGCTGAGAAGATGGAGGTGGATTCTTAGATTTGGTGGTCGCGTCAACCCGGGATACAGGTTAGTGGCCCTCTCAAGAAGGTATAATTTACACTATGGCTTGTATCTCAAAATATTTTACCACTGTATTCATGACATGAAGGGCGATGGGCCTACTTTTGGAGTTTCTACGAATGCAAGTACTATTTTATCATGGAAGCTTGGAATCGGCCGGATTTACTTTCCTCAATAGTTCGTAATGGGAAGTAGTTGTAAGAATGTATGCCTTAAATGCCTTCTTCACGAGACTCGGACGTGATTTGCTTAGTATGTACATCATGACTCTCGTAGTCGGCAAAGATACCAGGCTTAGCTATCTTCGTATTCAACAGGTCTTCCTCTGGCGATTATCGGCCCATTGGTGAGCTCCCTGACAACACCAGGCCCCTCAAATTTCCTCGCGATCCAGAGAATGTAATCATATTGAGTGCCCGAGACGCGGCGTCCCTCACTACGATATCGCACGACACCAGCATGATACATGGCTCGTACCAAAGATGGGTGTACGGGGCCACCATGCCGGCGTAAGTAGTCATAGATCCAGTGAACAAGGTGGAACGACCGGGAAGGAGTAAGTTGCTTGCAGCAGGAGAACACAACGGCTAGCTGATGAATGAATTCCACAGCTGCATACGGATCAGGGCTTTGGCTGTCCCGGGGCTCTGGATGATAGCGAACCAGCGCTTTCTCATCAGGGTGTGGGATAGGCACCCAGGCTTTGTGAAGGCAAAGTTTCAAAGGTGTGTGGTTGTTGAGAAGTCTGAGGAGAGACCACACATCCTTTGAGTCTCCCACGCGAGCAAGATGAAGGCATTCTGCCACGGAGTCGGGGTTGGTGATATCCATATTGCGAAACATTTGTTCGAATGTCTCGTGGAAAAGTCTTCGAATCCCTCTATAGACAGAAGGGTCTGTCCAGATATCTGATAAGGAGGTCTGCGCAGTTTCCAATCGCTGGAGAGTTTGGCGGGTGGCTTTTGATGTTAGCTTTCTCAGCTTCAGATCAACAGCCAGCAACAGAAGACTGTTATATGGAAGATCCAGCTCATGAATGCCCTGCATGAAGTTCGACAGATATGATTCGTCAGTCTTCTGCGTAACCATCTCGTAGAGGTTAAGTAATTGACAGATAGGTAAATCCGTCACCCTAGAGCTTTGATTATACATGGGAGCTAGAGTCCGACTCAAAGTTCTGAGGGCCCAGAGACGCAAAACAATCTGGGAATGAATCGGCATATTCGACGAGGTAGAGTGATCAATTGCAGTACCCATGTACGCCAATGGCATATCAAGCCATGTCTGGGACTTCGCGATCGCAGACGTAGCCGAGATCTGTAATAAGCAGTCCCTCCATCGACCAAGCAACTCGTAGCGGATCTCATTGTCAGATGCGATCGAGGCGAGGTGTTCAGTGACGCCAATAATACACTTGGCAGATGCATCTGCATCAAGATGGTCCAGAAAACTACCGACCCGTTGAAGAGATGCGGTTTCGTCAATTCCATCCGCGCATTCGAGATGTTTCAGGACCAGCGTTGAAGGCCAGGACTTATCAGAGTTCACAACGTGAGTAGCAACGATAACCTCCTCGGCGAACCGAAAGCTTCCAATGCGCAAAAGTTCTTGAAGCCAGACGCTTGTCACCTGCTTGTCCAGATCATGGTAACCGAGGATGTTGCACTTCCCAATAGCTTTCCACAATGCTCGGTGATGTTTCAGTAAGGCTTTTTGATCCCAGGCATCCAAGGTCTTGTTTCGTTCGATGAGTATTTTTGGTAGAGTTTGGATAATCGAACACAGCTCACTCGTTGGGACCAACCCTAGTTCTAGTCCGCGTGATACTGTATTTAGAATCGCGATTCTGCCTGATCGCTTTTTTTTGCTCTGCGCAAACAACTCCACGGCAGCGAGATAATTCCCAGATCCATATGTGTTGAGGAAGGGATCTTCCAGGAAAGCGACTGCTTGCGCAAGGTCCACCGGCGAACGCTGAATGATATGATCGAAGATTTGCCTACTGAATTCCGGCTCACGCTGAAGGTCGATATGCAATTGGCGAATAATATCTCGAGCATCTTCAATGTTCCAGTCGCCCTGTTCTAGGAATTGCTGCAGGGCCTGTGTGCGGTTCGGAGGGTTTGAATCGAAAGTTGAGGAGCGATTATGCGAAATTAAAGGTTGGACGGGCTCGGAATCGTGATGTTCAAGAGGGAGGGGAATCTCGGATGTGCCAAATGCATAGTTACCTAAGCCTTTTCTGAAATTAGATTCAAGATTCTGCTGGACCGCCTTTATCGCAGGACATACCTTGGGTGTCGAGATGCGCTCGCTGCCATGGATGATCGGTCCACTTCATATGCTCACGCCCATTGCGTCCAAATAAACACGCGATATCCTCAGCCGGTCCACCCCCCAACCCCGCGAGAGCCGTGTTTCTCCGCTTGGCAAGGCGTCTTCGTGCCTCTAGGGGTCCGGGGACACAGCTCCCATGGCGTCGTTGTCCGTTCGCAAACCGACGGAAGGTGGTCGCGAGTAAGTCGTCACTGATCCAGAGATGATCCAGACTCGGGGTCGATGGCGGGTTTAGAGCATGCCGGCAGGCATGTCTACCAAAAGACATGAGTCGATTAATGGCACATGCGAGGCCAATTGGTGGTTTGGGAGGTCGGAAACATCACAGCGTCGACTTTTGGCTTGCGCGGGTCGGCAAGTCTTGGCATATGGTGACTCAGCAATTTGGCTGACCAATGAATGGCCACGAATTAGTAGAATCGAGTCAAATCGAAGTATAGCAGTACAAAAGTACAACGCAGCAGGGAGCTTTGAACACAGTCGGCGCTGCGACATTTATGCTGTCTCCGGGATATATTCACATTTATATTCATAATGTATCAGACTATACGCAGGACTATCAAGTGTCACGTCCATCGTCTTTCACCCCGCTCCCAAGCATCATTCTTCATCGAGAGAATGCATCCATAGTAGATACAATGGGAGTAAAAGGAAACAACGTCTTCAAATCCAGCAAAAAAGGAAAACAGAGAAACATATGCAAAATACGCAAAATATTTTGACAGCCATACGCCAGTAAAATGCATGCAAAATGATGTCCTCCCGCCAATAGTATCTCAAGCCAATCATCTGAATGCAGAAGTAATCGAACTGTATCGAGGAAAGTCTCGAAGTCGTCAAAAGAAAAGAGAAAAACTCGTTTCGCTTTCGGTGTTCAGGAGATGTCTTCTCCGGGAAAGGTTTTCTCCCTGTCACAACGTAAAAGTCCATGTATGCATGCACGTTTCGGTCTTGTATACTCTTCCTCACGTTCACAAGGAAAACCTCGATCTCTGGTTTTGACCATCCCAGCGCGAGAAATGGTTTGTATGACCAGCCTGACAAGGCTTCAAGCCAATTGCTTTCGCTCCATTTGCCGACTTCTTTTAAGTGTTCATCGGTCGGCCAGGTATTTGTCGGAATCTTGAAAATTCGTTGCTCAACATCCACGAACCCAACCTCTTTCATCCATCGCTCAATCCGAGGAGCGATTCGAAATTGCCTTGCAGGCTCAACTTCTCTGCCTGACTGTACATTTAGGTCAAACCAGTCGTGTAGAGCAAAAGTGCTATAGCCATCGGGGTTTTCGGGTGGCATCGTCCCGTCATCGCATTTGGGTTTCGGGTCCATTTCGTGGCATTCCAGATAAGCACCGGGCTTCAAGTATTTGAAAGCTGTATGTAATAACCGTTTGAATGATGGCATAGCTCCAATCATGTGGCCAATATGAACAAGATCAAAATGATCCGTATCCCATAGCCATTCATCCTCTGTAGCATCGTCGACCAAAAAATGAACATTTTCCGGGACTTCCGTAGGCTGTACGGGTGATAAATCCGTTCCTGTGATCGCGGCGCGGGGGAATAAAGAAGCTATGAAGTGGAAGGGGCAAGGTATGAGTTCTCAAGCACGTAACACACGACCTTTTTGCTGGGAATAAGTAATCATACCCATCTCTATCGGCCATATGCCAGATCCGGTGCCGATGTCGAGAATTTCCTTCGGGTCTTTTAATGGGACATTGTATAGTTGCCCTTGCATGACCAATTTTAACATATGATGTTGCAAGTCGAGACGGTCAAGTTCTTGCTCATCGTTAGGATAAGGGTAGGCTATTCCCGATAAGTTAGACGGAGTGTACAGGTTGACGCGGGCGGAGCTCAGACACCTACCTCCTTCATGGTACCTGTGATACCTCCGCCCATTTTCTATTGGATAGTCCGTTACGCTGTCGGTCAGCGACTGCGTATCACTGTTACTCTTCTGTTAGTTTCCACATTAGGTATACGGGGAGCGACATGCTAAGAGCAACTGCCATATTTGCTCCCTCCACAAAGGGAAGAACGGGGACATACCAAACGCTTTTAGTTTCCTGCATCTTCTGCGTCAGCATCTGCAGGTAAACAGTTTGATACATTGTTGGTAGAAAATGGGCAAAGTCGGCTTGATAGGAAGGAGATAGAACCGACATGGCGGGGCAGGAGAATTTTTGTAGGAAGCAAAGGAGAACTAACAGAGAATTTTGAGCCCATCCTGGTCGCCTCAAGTCTAAACCCAGAGGGATCGGCCGAGGGAGGTGGGATTTGCACAGCCAACCCTAGTAATGGTGGGACGGGGATAGCAACCGACGCCAGGATGTTGGAACGGTCAAACTTGTGGGAATAATATAACGTCTCTTGCGCAGCTCTCCAATCACCGGTGACCTGTCTCAGTGACGGCACACGTTGGGCGAGAAGCTAGTACTTAGTGAATGCGCGCTATTCGGCCAGGGAAAATTCCAATCCTCTATCTCACGTCCCACACTGGATCGACATTCGCGGTGTGCACCGGCCAAGAAGGATTCCGTGTTCGGAGAAATAAAAATGAGATTCGAGAACTAGTGAGAAGCCGTGACGAGGTTGCGACGGTCAGTTCCCACTTGGTGGTTGTGCCTTGTCCCTTTGATTTTGGGGGACTTCTGTGAACCCGACGGCTTGGGTTAAGCTATAGTTTGGCAGGACGGCAGGACGATCCGGACAACTATAAATCAATTGCTGACCGGAGATCGACATTGAAAATGTTGCGAAAAACAAGGCCCGCAGAGGGGGAGGAGTGGAGTACAAGTGCGTGCATGGATGGGGTACAAGGTTGAGCCAAACTATACCGAACAGTGGGCATCCATGGACGTCAGAAGTTGGCGGGGGATGAGACGCTTTGGGTTTGGAATGAAACCCTGGAAGACCGCGTCAATGAAGCCGACGGGACAGGGAAGAGAAAAGAGAGTTGAAAAAAGGTAAGAGAAAAAAAAACTTGAAGGGAGAGATAGAGGACAAGGGGGGGGGGAAAGAATTAGACAATTCTCAGCATTCACACTCTATTTGATTTGATTTTGCTGAATTTTCAAATTTTCGAGATTTAATTTATTTTTCGCAAGCGTGAGGGTTGATCTTCAAAAGCGGAGCAGGTGAAATGAAATACAAAATACAAAATACACAATACGCACGTATAAAACGCCAATCAATCCTTTCCCTGTTCGGCGGTTCGAGCGCGATCCAAGGGTTTCCCATTCAAATTGGAATCGAGCCTCCCCTGCTTGAACAACGGACTTGGGGAGATCCGCGGAGGTTCATTGTCATTGTCGTCAATGGCCAATCAATCCAGATGATGGAGCCCTGGTGGTCCGACTCGGTCTTTACTACTCGCACCCTGAGTTCTAACGGATCTACAAGGTTTCCTGGAGGCAGTAAACTTTCATCAATAAGTCTAACATATTGATTGCGTCGGTTCTTTTCAAATATTCTACTCCATACCCTAGACATACAAGGGAATATAAGAAAGTATTATAGTTCTTTTGTACAGTTGCAGATCGGCCAATGGTCGCATGTCCCAGCTGGCTGGGAATTGTCAACCAGCCTAAACCACTGGCGCGGAACTCGGATTTCGCACGAGAAACCACCCCCTTCTTCACATATGTACATACTACTCGTGGTATATGTTCAGTCCTGCAGGCTTATTCCGGTCGCGAATCAAATCCAAAAGGAAATTTCCATTCGAACATAATCCGAACAGTAACCCTACCGAATTGGGCCTCCGACAGCGTGTTGACCTGCCTAAGAGGGAGAGTCGAAATACTTATACTCGTAGTAGCCCAAAGCACCAGCCTCTGAGAGAGGAAAATAAGTATGCACTAGAAACATCGGGTCAATATAATACTCAATTATTACTCACATAGGATGGACAAGTAGGGTTCTCCCCGCTACTAAACTAGATCGAGAGCCGACCGGGCAAAACAATGACAGAATCTCTGATCGACCACTGATACCGCCGGCCTTCGGCCCCGCAGCGATGGAGGAAGCACATTCAGCGGAGCTGTCACGACAAACAGAACGACCCGGCAGTGTATGTACTGTATTTGAAAATCATACCCAACCTGACAGCTTGGTGATGGAGTGTTGCCTCGCGCCAAGATTTCCCTTAGTTCTCTCTCACCGTCGGGGTCGATGACACTCGAATATTCAAATCCCGAATGCAGGTGAGAACAGATTGGGCGCCCTGGAATCTGGGATCGCCTAGTTTCATTTTCAGGACAGGTTGGACGCCCCTCCGGAGAATGGTCCTTTGTCCGAGTTTGGCTTAGCTTCTAGAGCTCCTGCCATCTCCTATTTAGCGGTGGGAAAGTTGATATGTCAAAAATACGGGATTTCATCGGATAAGACACCTGGCCACGTTCGCAATGTAACGCGTGGGGAGTCGTTTCAAAGTTTGCCTTTCTTTCTTACGGAGTAGTACAAGGTGTGTTCCAGGAAAGTATCATTTTCGTGTCCGACGGTGCAACACGACTACCTAGGATCGTTTGTGGGATATTCATAGGCCAAAATCTGTACCTGCTCGACCCCAGCAGAGCGCCTCGTCAGTCATACAGGGCCAAAGAGGGTTCTATGCCCCATATTCCAAGATTCCAGCCCGGAGCCTGGGGATTTGGAGACCTCGGAAAAATCATCCATGTCCCATTACGCTGGTCCCTCTACACCGATCCATGTTCAATGACTCGTGCCGGATCGTACCTTATGCAGTATGACGAACTTCGCGTTCATCACTCATATGTGGTATCACTTCACTACAACCCTAGATCATATGTTTGATAAGTCATTCTTCGCCTTGTATAGATTTGATGGGTTGATTGTGCGAAGTGTCGATCCCGGTTCAAAAGGTGCCTAGCCATTATCGGCGGGGTTGGGCATGAAGGGCAGACTACTCCGTACGAGTAGCGAGTAAACGATTCCCCACCCGCTAATATACCCCGTTGGGGGTTGGAGTTTTGTTGCAGCACCGACCTCGGGGGTGTTGGAAATCGTCCAGGATGGTAGCCTAAGTGGGAGAATTAATTATGAAATTATCAATACCTAGGCTAGGGGTAGGCCCTGTACTCCGAGTACCCCGAAGATCGAGAGAACACCATGCGGAACCTGACGGGTCAACCTAGAATCGAACCCGAAAAATTTCCATTTGGTAAATAATTCATGGGAGAAATGATCAAGAATAAACGTTGCATATTAAGCGTCAAAACGAACAAAGACCCCTGCAAACCCCCCCAAAAATAAAGAAACAGTTGCCATGGTGCTGGGATCCCATCGAGAAGGAACCTGGGGGCTTTATTCGCAATTGGACGAGTCAAAACAGGTCACCTCGACCCGACTGTTAGGAAAGTGTACGGGTCCCATCGTGTCGGTAACGCCGGCGCAAGAGCCAAATTTGAAGAACGGGTCTCCCGATGATCAAGTTATACTACTGATATTTTGATGGTCTACTTGGAAGCGCTGTTTTCAGTCATTACAACGATTAACACCGTGGTACAGAAGATGATTGGGAGGTCTTTCTTTCTGGCTTGTAATAGGTCCAATGCTCCTAGTTAGGTTTGCGACCGAATTATTCCGCGGTGGAGACACTCGTGTTTGGTACTGGAGGGGGCCTCGCTTGGGGATCCTGGTCAAAAACACCGGTTGCACTGGGAAAAGATGCCTTGTGGGCTGCGGGGCCTAGTCTCGGCTGCTCTGCAATCAAACAAAGAAAGTGATATTGCAGATCGTGAAGCACTCTGGTAAGCACTCTGGTGCTCAAAGTGCACACCATGACCCCGTATCCTCGCGGCTTACCGCGGTCTCCTAGCAGGCATTGGCTGCCGTGAAAACTCGGGTTGGAACATGGCGTTGCACTGGTGACTTAGGCCCGGTATCCTGCAGATCAAGATGTGTCCAGAACGTAGGCAGGCCACAGAACCGACGGTCTAGAAAAAAACACAGCCGGATCTCCAGTTGAGTTACATTGAACTCGGGTGGTCGTCTTCGAAGATTGATCCAAAGAGCAAATCACAATAGACCTCAGAAACAGTCAATCAATCAACCCGACGGGTCAGCTTGCCTAATTCCCCGCCGTATAGCTACTCCGTACTCCGCAGCACAGATGTACATACCAACATAGTACATACTTCTGTGCTAGCCACGGTTGTGAACTCCGAGAAACTTCGTGCTTCGGCCGGAACATACATACTAAGAACAAGCCGTAAGTCCATTAGCACCGACTAGTTCCGCCCTTGGGCTACGTGTCTCGTGGCTGAAGGCCGGGAATCCGCCTGTGGAATAGACCGCGTCCCTGACAAATACGCTAGGCTTCTAGTGCACTCTCCACAGGATAGCCCACCGCGACTGAAGTAGGGCCGGGATGTTCATTGGGGGCAGGGGGTATTGATTTTACAAAAAAGGGGCGGAGATAATTAAATAAGACTTTAGACAATACGAGGACGACGGGGTGTTGTGAATTCAACTTGGCAATACTAATTGGAGCATCTGCTGCGGGGTTGATACCACATGGAGCCTTGGGCTCGGTTACGAGCACGTTCCACCTGGAGAAGGCCAGCTCCTTGATGGACAAGATGTGGGACATAATCAGAGTCGAAAAAGTTTGGGTATTTGGAATTGCAGCCTGGTGTGCAAAATTCTCTCATCATCTTCTTTGCCCAAGTGGGGTCTCAACCCAATCGGATCATTGCATGCACGCATGGCAATGCATGAATGACACGGCTCGGTCGCTGTCAACTGCAAGAACGAAACAAAAAAGGTCCACGTCGATCAATTAGTGCTACATGATATCAAACTTAACAGACCCACCAATAAAGTCACCCATTCATTCAGTTACAGATCAGTCAGGAACTGGTCCGAAGATGCTCCACTGTCATTAACTATGGGTCGGACGGGCTGGACGCGGCTCTAGAGCAAAGTGAAAGCCAATCATGGTAGTCAACATCGATAACAATTTGTCATTCAGCTGGATAATCGTCCCATTGTCTAGAGGCTCCGATCATCGTCATCTGTACAATACTTCCTCGTATCGATCCCAGGTCAACAACACGCGCACTAGCAAGGTCGGTCCATGGCCGCAACGTCATGGGCTAGGCCGGATATTGGACCTGGAAATCTCGGTGTTAGTTAAATATTGAGAAGTAAAGCGAATTATCTCGAGAAATGCCATTAAATCCTCCATTCATCAAACTTTTCGCTTGTGTTAGATATGTATGGAGCCTACCTGTCTCTTTTTGGTGGATCAAAATGTGCGAAAATCCAATGCGCTGAATTATCTGGCCTCACGGTCCAGCCATCATCCATACTACTAGTCGGTCATTTTCATGTAACAATTTATAACTAGTGTGGCAGGCATCAGCGCAAGGTCTATCTTCGTGGCTACTTCACCACTGGCCTCAAGTAGAGATCTACCATGGACTGTGTATTTGACGGATGTTTTTTCTTCTTTCATGGATGAGACAGTATTTTGTCAAAATTCGCAGCACCGATTTCCGGTGCTAGAAATGGTTGAAGCAATAACATTTGCTTTTATCTATAAGCATTCATGATCGTGAAAATGGAACATTGGAAGGTTTCCAAGTCCTCAGTGGTCGAACTCATGCTAGTAGCTCGCGGTATATAGTAGTACCAATAGTTAATAGATATATACTAGTAGTAGTATCCATTGATGGATGGTGAAGCTTTGAGGGACCTCCGGAGTCGGATCAGCTCGCTTACAAACCCCGAAAACCTCCATGGCTGCCAGTGCTAGTGGATAGAAATCAACTAGTGATAACTCTGTACTCCATTTGATTGTAACTGGAAATCAAAATCAACATGCCTAAACATTCAACCTTCTACTGTATCCTCGTGTTGGATGGGTCAACGGAGCTTCGGAGAAACTGGATCGCCGTTATGACGCAGAGCCCCACCCCATCAACAACTCGACCCTTACAGTCTGACAATACGACGAGCCTGACTCACCTTGATCCTTTTCTTTTCAACCGGCTCTTGATGAGGAAGTCAGAGTAGGTGAAGTCGCATAGGATATTTCCTGCGCGCCCGCTTGAGCGCATTGATTTTACTAGAGCCAAACTAGTATTGATGCGCGAATCATTCGTGAGGTATGGCGCGCCAGTCCCGAGCCCGCTCCGCGCGGGACAGGGCATCTCGTGGCCGCCAGCTCAATGAAAGGACACGAGACGAACGAACCCAGGAAGCTTATAACGAGATGCTTGCCGAGGCGGAATCTCGAGATCCTGCCCAGTTCCACGAAGACCGGCCGATCAAACGACGCCGAATGGGCGACATGAGAGCTATTTCCCTGGATTCTTCACTTCCGAAGGATCCAGATGAGATGTCGCACAATGGATCTACACAGCAACTCCAGACGGTTTATGATTCAGGCAGCTCAGATGAATCCGATATCGAGTGGGAAGATGTCGACATACCACAACCTCTACCAGGGCCATCCAGTGCATCCTTGGCAGTACAGGAAAACGACGAACCTTTGGAGATAACATTGGGACAAGAGCCTCAGTCTAGGAAGAAAGCTATCCAAAAGAGAAAACCCATCACAGCGGCCGAGAAGAAGATTCGATTGGACGTCCACAAATCCCACCTTTTGTGCCTTCTAGGTCATGTTAGTTTGAGGAATCGATGGTGTAACGATAATGAAATTCATGTATGTGATTGCCTGCTCGTTTGACTGTTTGTGCATCACTCACAACAACATAGAAATTTCTGAAAAGGATGCTGCCGAAAAGGATCCTGGCACTCCTCAATCCAGACGAATGCAAGCCACAATTTTCCAAATCCACAACCTTTGTCGATGGCCTAAACCAAGCAGCAGATATCTTCAGTCGAAGATTTCGTATCACCAAGCCAGGGTTAAAGCGTGCACACTGGGCAGAGGGTCAAGAACAACTGAAGCAAAAAGTGGTATGCATCATGCTCTCAAGTATCTATCCGAGTGCGCTGATCCTGATCAAAGATAGGAATCTATAATGTCCAATGCTGAGGTATTTTTGTCAAGGGAGGATTTCATATCACAGGCCAAAATGATGCAGGGTTCCCGGGATTTTGGTGCACAATTATTCTGCGCGTTGCTGCGCTCAGTTGCCATAGAATCAAGGCTCGTTTGTTCACTTCAGGCACTCCCGTTCTCTGGCACAGTCAAGGACATGACACCGTCCAAAAAAGGACCAGAATACATAGTTATCTCTTCCGATGACCGTGAAACGTCTACGGACGAGCGGCGGCAGAAGGCCAGTGACTCTCCATCTGGCTCAAGAGTGCGGCGTCTTGGTCGCCCTGAATTTAAACCGCGACCTATTCAGTCTTCAGCGCGTTTAGGTACGGATCCTGGATGCTCATTTTGCCTGAAACGGAACTAACCTTTCTAGGTCCTATCCCGACGCCTAGAGAGTCCTCTTACCCTGTGTTTTGGGTTGAGGCATTTAATGAAGCGATGCAAAAATGGGTTTCAGTCGACCCTATTGTGACAAAAACACTGGGAAAGCCGTTCAAGTTTGAACCACCGGCAAGTGATCCATATAACATGATGAACTACGTGGTTGGCTTTGAAGACGATGCTTCTGCGAGAGACGTTACGAGACGTTATGCGAAAGCTTTCAATGCGAAAACGCGGAAATTGCGAGTGGAGTCAACCCGGCATGGAGAAAAGTGGTGGGACCATGTATTGAAAGCATACGAACGACCTTTCTTCGAGGATAGAGATGAGTTGGAGATCAGCGAGTTGACCTCGAAGTCTGCGGCTGAACCGATGCCACGAAATATTCTGGATTTTAAGGACCATCCCGTCTACGCGCTTGAACGTCACATACGTCGCAACGAGGTGATATTTCCCAAGCGCGTCATTGGACATGTTGGCTTGAGCAAGAGTGGTGCGAACAGCGATACCTTGGATTCGATTTATCGTCGATCTGACGTGCATACGGTACGCAGCGCAGACAAATGGTATCGCATGGGAAGAGATGTGAAAGTGGGCGAGCAACCCCTCAAGCGCGTCAATGCAATACGACCCAAGGGCGGGGTGATTAGCGATGACGAGACAGACGAACCGGAGCAAACGGCACTTTATGCAGAGTACCAAACTCACACATATCACCCTCCACCAGTGGTCCAAGGAAGAATACCGAAAAACAGCTATGGCAACTTGGATGTGTACGTTCCAAGTATGATCCCCCCTGGGGGGATTCACATCAAGCAGCCGGAAGCCGCTCGAGCCGCCCGTCTTCTCGGAATCGACTATGCGGATGCTGTTACTGGGTTCGACTTCAAAGGACGTCGGGGAACAGCAGTATTTGGGGGAATTGTGATTGCCACCGAGTATCAAGAAGCACTTGCAGAAGTTCTGAGAGGCTTTGCAGATGACAGGCAGCAGACCCCTTTTGAAGCCAGAAGTGCCGAAGCCTTGCGACTTTGGCGATTATTCTTGATCAAGCTTAGGATTGCGGAAAGAGTCAAGAGCTATGCAGCCGAGGACGAGGAGCTAGATGCACATTCGCCAAATATGGGCATTGACGAAGATGACGCTGGGGGAGGATTTTTCCCTGATTCTGACCAGCCAACACAAAGTCCTCCCCACGACTCTTTCGCGTCTGAATCAAGAATGGATATGATGTCGCATGCCGTGGATGAATCTAGCCTCCAAGACGATGCTCTAGGAGGTGGATTTGTTCCCGATGAAGCCCTGGCTGATGGTGCTGCAGATACGTCCGTCCGTGAGAATGAAGATCCCGGCGGCGGTTTCATCACCAATGACCTTCAAGATGATGAGTTATTTGCTATACCCCCAACGGCCACTCGTTCGTTGTCCAGTCCAGAGAAGGCAAAACAGCGTGGTCTTTCAAATGCCCCAAGATATGAACTAGTTGTGATTCCGAACAATAATGAATCAGTGGCCAAGGAGAATACCTTGAAGGCCAACAGCGGTAACCCACAAGGACTTGAGGGATCATCTGAGCAAGCTGCCATTGCTGTTGACTCCTCAACGAACCGTGACTCCAAGTCTGCCAGCGTGGAATTTCTCTCCAGGCCGCCCTCTCCACCTGCACCTGCACCTGAGCCCAAACCCCCGTCACCAGTAGAATCGGATAGCGAGATTGAAAAGGGTTCTTTACTATCAGAGGATCCTGAGGATGAGGATGCAGTTCCAGATTGGCTCATGTTTGATTAGTCGTCTTCATGCACCCTGGAAATTGTGAGCTACACCTGAGCTACGCCTGGTAAACCCTCATTCTCGATGGACATTCAAACAAAATATTTAGAAAAATCTAGAGTCCTAAAAATCAAGATGATGAAAACTACCAGATGATTGCCCGAATTCAAGCAGTAAATTTGTTGGCCTTTATGCCTGAGGCCAAAACCCTAGTTAGTTAACTCAACGCGTCGACGCGGTGGGCCTTGGCAGTCAGGCAGCACATCTTCAGTCATCGGCCAGAACCTTCGCTTCTACGAAGTTGCCTATTCTCGAGTCCTCATGCCGCTGCCTTCTTTCTTGCGATGACACAACATAAACGAACTGGAAAATCACCAGAGATACCCCAAAATCAATTTCGCACCCCGAAACAACCAACTACTCCGGCAACAACCTTCCACTCGAGAAGCGCCAAATCAAAGATAACGCCATCTCCAGCAGTACGGACGCCTGCAACAGCGTTAAAAAGGGGTTCGATACCTCCTACAAGATCCCAATCAACTCTCACGCAAATTGAATTCGTGGCCCAACCGACACATCTGGATAATGACCAGCTGGATTATATCACAGAAGGACAGCTCGATGCTACGCATCAAAGGCAAGAATCCGCGCAGCTAGATAATGGATCTGAGAGCGAGACCGATTATCGACCCCCGCTGCGGACCCGAGGAAATTCCACAAGATTCGAAACAAACGACGACCATCCAAAGAGACGAAGGAAAGCTAACGGGATGGGGAATCGAGCGGTCGATCGAGGCCAGAGCCTTCGGAGAGGCCAGACACCGAAGGTAACTGGAGCTGGGAAGGGCAAACGGAAATCCATGGAGAAACCAGATACAAAACGAGATAAAACTCTCACGCAGATGAAGTTCGTGCGGCGATACATTCCGATAGACGAGTCCGACGATAACGATACGAACATGGGATACATAGAAACGCCACAGCAGGACTCTACGATCGAACAGGGCCCTGCCGGGGAAGAGGAGAAGACGCCGAAGACCAACAAGAGAACAGCTAAGCCCGAACCTGCAACATCTTCAAAACGCAATCGCAGGATATTTGAACAAGAATTGGATCTCTCTACAGGCGAACCGCTCACGTCAGGTGAAACTCAAGATACGAGTCTTCAAGGAGATCAGCAGAGTTCTCTGAGCTCAAAAATACCCTTTACGCCACAAAAGTCTCGGAAACTTGAAATTCCCTCTTCCCAATCTCCGGAAAGTCCTGGACTAGCAATTATCACATCATCACAATTTAGATGTGCCACACTCTCGCCGACGAAACGAAAACCCTTGAACTTCAGGCTTCAAGAGGTGGAGCTTATCAAAGAGGAATCACCGAGTGCAGGACCAATGATTGAAGATTCGCAGGGCCCTGAGGGCACATCACAGCTCAAAACACCAACACACATATCTCCAAATGAACCAGGCCCGTTGGTCCAAGAACCGCAAATATCTGCAGACGTCGCGCATCCATCTCTTCCCGAAACAAGCCTCAGTTCCCAGGAGGCACCACCCGCAGACCAGGGGTCGAATTCTCAGCGTATTCAAAGAGAACGGACCGTGGTGTATGAAACTGATGCCGACTCGAGCGCAAGTGAATCTGAAGACATGGAGGATAAACAACCAGATTTCCCACGTGCACAAAACCCACGAGAAATGGTTTCACGCCTAGTGGAAGATAGCCCACGCTTGCCGAGCGATGACTCGCAAGAACTACCTTTGCCGGAAACCCAGCCCCCAGGTGATATGGGTTTCGATCCTCCTTCTGAACCCCCCGATGTCAGATATGTCGGCTTATTACCAGAGAGTGCAGCCGGCGACTCAGTTCCCACATGAACCAATTCCAACACTTAACACCCAGAAGCTATCCGAGCTATTTCCCAACGAAGGAAATACTCAATATCCTCAACATCGAGCCCTGCGTCCTCAGAACTTCCCGGGTCCCTTCTCACAATCTCAAAGTCAGAGTCAAGAACCGGATCAAACCGAACTTATACCTGAATCATCGCCTATCCGGGAACAACAGAACAGCCTTGACAAGATGGATCATGTTTTTCAACGACCACGTGCGCCTGATACTGTTGTCCAAGTTGAATCATCTCAACCAGTGCGCCGAGAAGAGTCTGGTCCTGGCAATGTCCTCTCGCGCAGTCAATTGTTGACGTCAAGTGTGATGGAGAGTGTTGCGCTTCCCAATTTTTGGATTGGAAGTCAGGATAGTGTTGGGGAACCATATAGTCTACCGGACGAATGAGAGATTAGATGCCATTATGAAAGATACCCTTGAATTTACAACATGTCTTATTTGCTACCTGGTCTTATAAACCTTGAAATAAACAACACTTTATTAAATCCTGTCGATCTCTGCAAGTTGTTGATGTTGATGTAATAAAGGTGACGGTAACACTGCCGCCTCGGGAAGCGATCGGCTCCCGGAGCCCAACCTGAGTTAGTCCCCCTGCCGCCCTGAGCTGCTCCCTGAGAGACCCATTGTCACTACCCGTTAGAGGCCCGGAATGACATAAGGGGCACATGATGTGGAGGAAGCCACATTCAACTGTGGCTGGTGGAAGGCTAATTTGGTATAGTAGTATACAAGGCCCCTTTTTCTGCCTGCCTAAATGGCCTTGGCAGTCTGCTGCACCGGTTGCGCTTGTAAAGTTCCGTAATCATGAGGCCTTCATTGAGCTAATTCTTGGTTACCGCAACTAACATCCTACCTTGCCATTTCAACTTTTTGACCCTACAAGTTATCTTCACTTCCAAGGTTGTCGATTGGAAAGCAAATTTCTCGAAATTTTAACTATCTTTCTTGTGAACCCCGACTATGGCCAGTTGCATCCATTGCAGATATACCCCTTCCAGCTCTGAAAATGGTGACGAGGAATCAGACCCCAAGATGCTATTCTTACCAGGAGATAAGTCGCCAGAAGAGGCTCGTCTCGAGAAAAAAGGATGTATCAGGACCCTCCAAGTGTTCCGATGCAATCTCTGCAAACAAGAGTCAAGGGTCAACCAGCATGTTGATGGCTTTGTTGAACTACTCTGTTGTGAAGAGGATTTACGCAGGAATTGTCAAGAGGAAATTACTGCACAGGAAAAATACAAGTACAGCCAAGGCTACTGGAATACCGATGCCCCAATGCTTAAGCAGAAATTAAGCCAACTCAGCCAATCGAATTGGGCTAAGGTACGAGGCTGGTGGTACATGCGCGGTTGGATCCTTGGTAATTCCGGACCCTTGCGACGAGGATTTCAACTATGGAGGTCTAATCCTTCATGGCATATGCATCCAGTGCTTGTTGAAGATTGCAAAGCTAGGGGGGGGTTGCTGTAGTCGTGATTGCGGGTGCTGTCTTAATCCTGAACGCGCTAATACGTCAGCCGGGGCGTTCGGTGTTGGACATTGCACTCTAAAGTGTGGATGTTGTTCGAGATCTCGTGGGTTTGAATTAGATGAAGAAAAGGAAGAGTATCATGTTGAACATTTCTCGTTCGATAATCAGGTAGATACTATGCTTCATAAGGAGGATCCCTATAAACAGCAAATTCTTCTTGCTTCTATTTGGGGGTTAAGTGTGGACGATGGCTATGATAACTAGAAAAGAGTAAAAGGGTTGCTTCTAAGTGATATTTAAGAGGAGGAAGATGGAATCAAAAAATAAAACTTGTCTTGCTATTTTGTTTGAGCTTCTATTTTAACTTCAAGTTGAAGCTATAGGGTGGCTGTAAGGACCGGATGAATTGAAAGATACAATAGTATTGAACGAAAGTATTACACAGTGGCTTGGTACAACACCGATGTTCAAGGGCCTTCTTATGAAGAAGTGAACATGATAAAAGTTCCTGGTATAGTCCCATGGTAAAGTGCAGCCGATTTCAGCTGCAATATAGGGAGGGGCAGAGTTAGAACTCACTGTCACATGTGTGACTATATTTATGAGGTGACTGGCTTACAGTACTAGTAAAGATTTACTTTTAGTTCAATTTTAAGGATAACTTTTGTTTATTGCGAGGATACTTGATTTCATTTGAGCCTTGCAAGACAGAATTACATCAGCTCAAGCGATGGCAGAGTAGGCTATAAATTCATTTCGTTTGGGCTAATTTGCTAAGACTTCATAGCATATTTGAATACCCTGCTGGTGTTTTAGTACTTGCTATGGGGATTATGGGGGTTGGAAAAAGCACTTTTATATCCAAGCTTACAGCGGCAGATACTGGCATTGGCCATGATCTGACATCTTGTGAGTACTAGTATAGTGAACCACCCACTGATAGGATCGAAATCAATGACAAGTGGATGATTTAGATACACAAGGTGTTGAATTCCACAGTATAGATATCAAAGACAAGGCTGTGTATATGGTAGATATGCCAGGGTTCAACGACACATATCGTTTGGATTTCGAGATTTTTTGAGAGATTGCTTTCATTTCATCTCAAATATATTGGCGGAGCATGATGATAGGTGGAATCCTATATCTCCACCGAATTTCCGATAACAGAGTTTCAGGCTCAGCTTTGAGGAACTTCAGGCTTTTAGAATCCATATGTGGCTTGGATGCTGCGGGCTTTTTGGTCATTCTGGTGGCAGCAGATTCGAGAATGGATATATCTGGGATATCGAGCACAAAATTTAAACCAGAAATCTAATGAGAGAGGAAGAATATGAAGGCGTCAGAAATTTTGTAGATAATTGGTAGGCAGATGGAGGGAATCGAAAAGAAAGATCAATGTTGCATAATCAAACAGAAGAAGAAGAAGAAGAAGAAGAAGAAAGCAAGCAAGCAACTAAGACAAAGGCAAAGAGATATGATAATTGAGAGAAAGCCCTGGAGGGCATTGAATAAATATTTTAAACCTCGGAAGATAAAAAAGAGAGCCTACAAAGAAGTTGGAGCATGGGCTTTTTATATATTGTCGAAATTTTGACTAGGCTCAAAAACTGACTTAACAAAAAGATCCTTTAAAATTTGTAAGAGCAGTTACAATTGGTAGACAGAGAAGAGAGATGCTGATGATATACCTGATTATCTACCCAGAGCACCTTGAGTACAGTGGAGTTGATCCCTGATTAGCTATGAGGGCTCCGGGAGGGCTCCGGGAGCAATCCCAGACCAAGCGATGAGTACGCTTAATTGAGATCACGTGAGGCAAATATGACGAAGATGTTGGTAAAATGCACGCTTAAACTGGCGTCGAGTGTTGCCGTTTTGTCCGTTCGATTTACCGTCACTTCGTGCTGTGGTGTAGTTAGTTTCTTTAGTTGCGTCGTGCCAAGCCAAGCCAAGCGGGGCGGTCGGCCCGTCAGTTGACGAACGCGGAGAGTGGGCGACTCGACTTCACTTGTTGATTCGAGGTTGATCTTCATTCCTCTACAACATCATGGATATCGCGTACGACCACATCCAGGAGGAAATTCTCACCTCTAAGCAGGAGGAAAGTTCCTCCTCCTCCAACACCGAATCCGGCACCCAAAACACTAGCCACGATCTCAACACCGAGCTGCAAGAGACCTTTCGCGCTTTCTCCGCCAGTCCGTGGGGCAGCCGAATCGGCGGTCTTTGGGACAATGTTCGCAAGCAAGGCGAGACCTACTATGAGGGAGCTCGCCAGGAATATGCCTCAGCTAGCGAGGAAGCAGTGAAGGGATTCTCAAGCTTGAGGGACACAATCGTTGACCAAACAAAGGGGCTTTCCCTCAACACCGCAGCTATGGTTTCGAGCGATGAATCACCGAACGACGAAGCGACTACACCCAAAGCCACGACCGCAAAGGAGGACGAGCATAAGGAGGACACTGAGGCAGGCAGCTCGAGTGGAGAGGGATTCATGTCTCGGTTCAAGGCCGAGGCCGCCCGACGACTCAAGGAGATCGAAAAAGCTGAGGAAGCGGCTGATGAAGCGATCCTGCGATTCGGAATGAATATTGGCCAAAAGCTGCGCGAAGCTGTGAGCATTGTGCCACCTGAGTCGGATGAGTCGGGCAAGCTTTTGTTCGAAAGCAAGGATGCCGATGGCAAGCGAGTCATTCATGCGACCCGATTCGAAGCCCAACTGCACGTCATTCATTCGAATCTCGACAGTTTCACCAAGGAACCTGTTAGTGACAAGTTCCCGGAATTCAAAAAGGAGTTCAATGTCGAGAGCAAGACCGACGAGATCGCCGCCGACCTCGAAAAGTACCCGGAGCTGCGCGCGGCCATGGAGAAGCTCGTCCCTGAGACGGTCGAGTATGCTGATTTCTGGACCCGCTACTATTTCTTGCGCTTGGTTATTGAGACCGAGGAGAAGAAGCGCAAGGAGCTTCTGAAAGGTAATATAGTCACCGAGTCCTTAATGGTTTCTATTTCGTAATTCCATACTAATATGCTTTGGTTGAACAGGTGCTACTGCTGAAGAAGAAGAGGAAGTCGGCTGGGACGACGATTCTGATTCTGAATCTCAGTCCCCATCCACTCCGCAAGTCCGTCCTGGCTCCCAGAACCCCGCTGCTAGCAAGGATGCGGATACCCCAAAGGCCGAGCCTCGCAAGTCCAACGACCAGCAGTCCCAAGCAGGAAGCGAATCGAGCTACGATGTCGTGAGCGGAGCCACCACCCGCAACCCCGGTAGTCCCAAAGAGAAGAGCCCAACCACTGATTCCAAGGCCGACGATAGTGACGAGGACTGGGAATAAACATATGGCCTCTAATTAGATCAGAGACCATCGGCCAAAAAACATCCGGCGAGGGGTGTGATTCGACCTGAATCTTTTTTTTTCTTGGGTACTCAAGGGGCCGGTTTTCTTGCTGATCATCGCCACTTTACCTGGAGTTTGGGTTGTGAATGTTGGGTCATGGGCGTTATCAGGACTTGTTTTTTTCTTGTTTCCGGTCTTGTTTTTCTATCTTGACTTCAGCGATCGATGTTTTGTATCTTTCTCTTGTCCGTTCAATTGACAGAGCATGCACATTTCTATTCACATATCACTTGGCAGCGAATGTCCCCGTTGCAAATCCCGTCTTTCATCAGTCTAGGCGACTCTGAGAACCCTAGTTGCGACAATTGTCGCTGATTGGAATAATTACATGAAAATGGCTGTCTTATGTACCTGTGAAATTGTGATGGTAAATGTGTACGAGTCTCGTAGAGGAAGCAGTAGCTTCCGAAATTTCAGTGGTCTAATCTTAAAGCAGATCGGTATCATCATTGCTGAGCATATTCATACATCCTGGCAAGTTCGGTCGCGCCTTACTCCGCCGTTCCAGACCTTGCATCTCTGTTCCTCGAAGAACTTGGTTTCTTCGCCAAAGGCGAGGGATGTCTCGACTCCGCATCATCTGAATATGCCGGGGTCATTCCGCGCAAGTTACTATAATTTCTTCTATCATGACGGACACTTGGCGATCCTCCTCGTTGTGGTGTCTCTGGTGTACTTTCTCTGGAACGCATTTCGAAGCCTCTCGCGGGGGAGTACATCTCTCCTTCGCGTGTGAAAGCAGATGGACTTTCACTTCCGTATCTGTATTGGTAATCCTCACCACGGAGTTTGACAGGACTCTCGTTGTAAGGGTCCCATCCAACACGGCGACGTGCTTCGGAGCGAAGGCGTTGGCGATGTTGTTCGTCGCCGCCGGCACCGGTCGAGGAGGATTCCTCGAGGAAGAAGTTGAGTAGTTCGTCACTAATTCCGAGGTGGGACTTCTGTTGGAATTGTTGAAGAGATGTGAGACGGAGGAGAGTTTCGAGAAGAGATAGTGAAGTGCGGATGTTTTCGAAAAGCGGGTTGGAGACAGTTGTTATTGTGGCGTTGCCTGACTGAGAGGATGACGGGCTATGTTTCTTATCATTCAATGATAATTTGTGCATCAAGTTGGGATCAATGTTTGTTTCTTGTTCTCGTGCATTGGAGTTATCGGGTTCGGATTCCGTGTCTGAGCTTTCGTTTTCATTGTAGACTTCGAATGCAATCCATTCCGGGTCTAGACCGGAGGGTAGTCGCCATTCCTCCGGAATTGCGTCCTCGTGGAGTGAGCTGAAGCTCTCGTGCTCAGGGTTACCGTCTCCGCCTAGCTGTGCATCGAGCTGTGCTTGTTCGTCATCTTCGGGCTCGGCCTCAGATGATTGAGAAGCATATTCGTTCTCGAAGTCGGCACGTTCCATCATATGACGCGGTGGTAATGCGTTCAAGTCCCTCTTGAGTAAGATGACAGGGTTATTTGTTTCCCCATCAGGACAGATATTGAGAATCCGACCCGTGTCGGCATAGAAAATCTTGGAGATTTGGTGAATCGGTAGAATTTCTCGGATACCAGCGCTTGAGATTCCATCGTAAGCGTGGGGTTGGGCCTCATTTTCTTCAAATGTGTGAACTCTTCCGTCATCCAGGTCTTCGATAATGAGGACCTGATAAGCATATTCGTCGGCGCCAGCTGGGCTTGGAAACTGCGGGGACTTGGGATCGCCATCTGAGTAATAAAGACCCATCGGAACACGACGAAGTTTGAGTCGTGCTTTGTGCATCACTTCTTTCCACGTTGCCTCGCGAATGGATTCTTCATCGTGGGGTCGCAGGTGTCCCGCAAACAGCATGTACATAGACAGTGTAAATGTCGGTCCAATTTGAACGGCCTGAGCTTGTGACATCGCATATTGTGTATCCCCCGCAGTTAAGAAGGTGCTTGATTGTAAAAGTCGGGAAGGTGAGACAGTTGATGGTAGATTGGTTGACAACTTCGCACCCGAGGTCGTAATGGCCAAGTTCATCAGTGGTACTGCATCCTCAATCCTAGTGAGTAAACTTTTGATGTCTTTGATGATGAGCTTGATTTCCGCGACATTTTGAATGCCGTTCTTGGGTGACTTGGACGCCTTGAGCTTGGACTCCTCGGACGCAGCAGCTCTTGCCAATCTTTGGCCCAGGGCTTGGATGTCCCATCTCAGGGATTTCGTAAGAGCAACAGCAGATTCGAGCGATGTGTTTCCACGTGCAGCACTGTTCATGGGATCAGTATTCTTTCCAAAATTTTGGGATATTCTTACTTGCGACATACATCATTTCGATCATATCGATCGACGGGGAGATCACCTGCGAGTCACATCAACCAAAAATCCACCTTCGATAATGAAATCCACCACATACCTGGATTTTGCTTTCTAGACGCTGCTGCAAAGACAGAAGCACCTCACGGTCTTCACCATCTACCCTCTGATCCGGAAAAAGAATTAGCACTGAATCAATTTGCGAGAGAGCTAGGTCATCCGACGCGTACCTTCAACAATCGCGCCGATTGTTGCATTACATAGCTGGCCGTTATCGCAACGCCCGATCTATGCTGGTTGTTACTAATGTTCTGCATGTCATGATAATAAAATTGCATCACACGTACCGAATGGCATAGTTCGCGGCCTGTTGGGTGAGCTGTCCAAGATATATCGAGTTAGAAAACTTGTTCCAAGCCCCAGCATTGATATTGACGAAAGAATCGACATGGTTGACATACGCGCGTAAGAAAGACGTCCATTTTAATGGAGAAGAGCCTCACCAGGATGCCCAGGTAAACTCGAGGAATTGGATGGAGTAAGCAGTCTTGGTGGCCTCTAAGGCAACAACAGAGTGATGGGCCTCCCTGATGGTCGAGGGGCTTATCGATAGATCTGCCCAACTGGGGGGGCTTCGATTGGAGTTGGGAGATGAAGTTCGCCACTGAGAAAGGCCCAACGTTGTAAGAAAAAGCTCCGGCAATTTCTGCACAACTTCGGTTTCCACAGATTGTAAGAAAAAATTCTTGCTCCAATTCAACCGGTAAGCTAGCTGGCCTGGGAGTGAACTTGTCAAAGAGACAATACTCGTCACCTGACTAAAACACAGCGGGGAGCCGAGCTTAGTCATCCACCAAATTGATTTTGCAAAGGCGCGAGAGCCCCTCATTGTTAGACCTCCACCCTTTCGACTCCTCGTGTCGCCACTTTACCGTGTCCTTGGTTGTGTCTCGGATCCATTATACACGATGTCAAACCAGACCCCTGATTCCTGGGAGGATGAGCTCTCCCGGCAGACCGAGGGCGTCAACCTGAACGCCCAGCGCGCCCAGGCGCAAGCACCTACATTTACACCTGGAGCCGCATCATTCCAACCCGGAGCTGCCTCTTTCACCCCAGGTGCCAATTCTTTCGTTCCCGGACAGCAATTCCAACAGTACGGTGCTGGATACGGTTACCCCCAGTATGGTCAACAACAGCAGTCCTACGGCTACCAGCAACCTCAGCAGCCCCAGCAGCCCCAGCAGCCCCAGCAACAGGCCTACGGCCAGTATGCAGCATATGGTCAACAGCCTGGTGCTGGTGCTGGTGCTGGTACCGGATATAACCAATACTATAACCAGCAGCCTGGTGGCTTCCAGCAGCAACCTCGCCAGACCCCCGTCGCTGCCCAGCTACCCGCAGCCCAGTCTGTCCCTCAGCCCGCCGCCGCGAACCCCTCCGACGCCCCGCCCAAGGCTAAGGTCCTTTCGATTGGGGCTACTTCCTCCTCCACCGCCCCCAAGACCAAGGTGCTCTCGCTTGGTATTTCCACCCCTCCTAAGACCGACTCCACATCCAAGGGTGACTCGAAGGGCACTGCTGCTGCCGAGGCCGGTGCTAAGGTCACTGCTGCCAAGGCTGTCGAGAAGACCGACAAGAAGGCGGATCCCAAGGCTGCCGCTAGCGGCAAGTCCTCCCCTGCTCCCACCGGACGTTCTAGCCCTGGCCGCTCCAGCCCTGCCCGTGGCGCTGATGCGGCAAAGGCGACCCGTGACGCCAATGCCGTTGCTAAGCAGCAGGCGGCCGATGTTGATGAGGCCACACTGAAGGAAATCTATGGTGAGAAGCGAGAGCATGTCAACGTTGTTTTCATTGGTCACGTTGATGCTGGTAAGTCCACTCTCGGTGGTTCTCTACTGTACTGCACTGGCATGGTGGACGATCGAACTATGGACAAGTACAAGAGAGAGGCCAAGGAGGCTGGCCGTGAAACCTGGTATCTGTCATGGGCCCTGGATCTGACTCAAGAGGAGCGTTCCAAGGGTAAGACGGTCGAGGTCGGCCGTGCATTCTTCCAAGTCCAGATTCCCCACGAGGATGGTGCCATCACCCGCCAATTCTCTATTCTGGATGCCCCTGGTCACAAGTCTTATGTCCCGCACATGATTGGTGGTGCTTCTCAAGCCGATTTGGGATGTCTCGTCATCTCTGCCCGTAAGGGTGAGTACGAGACTGGTTTCGAAAAGGGCGGCCAAACCCGTGAGCACGCTTTGCTTGCTCGCAACACGGGTGTGAGCAAGCTCGTTCTGGCTGTCAACAAGATGGATGACCCAACTGTCGAGTGGTCCGAAGACCGTTTCAAGGAGTGTACCGTCAAGGTGACCAAGTTTTTGGAGGCCCTCGGCTACAAGAAGGCCGATATCTTCTGCATGCCTATCTCTGCTCAGCGCACCATCGGTATCAAGGATCGTGTCCCGAAGGAGATTTGCCCGTGGTACGATGGCCCATCCCTGCTGGAGTATTTGACCGACTTCAAGCTTCCGGAGCGCAAGATCAATGCTCCTTTCATGATGCCCATTAGCGCCAAGTACCGTGACATGGGAACCATGTGCGAAGGCCGTATCGAGTCCGGTGTCATCAAGAAGAACAACACTTACCTGATGATGCCTAACCGCACTGATGTCCAGATTGCCGCTCTTTACGGTGAAACCGAAGATGAGATCCCGAACGCCACCTGCGGTGACCAGGTTCGCATGCGTCTGCGTGGTGTGGAAGAAGAAGATTTCTACCCCGGATTCGTGCTATGCTCCCCGAAGCGCCCAGTCCACTGTGTGTCTGCTTTCGAGGCTAAGATCCGTATCTTGGACCTGAAGAACATTCTTACTGCCGGTTTCAACTGTGTTCTCCACGTTCACTCCGCTGTTGAGGAGATTACCGTCGCTGCTCTTCTGCACAAGCTTGAGCCTGGAACTGGCCGTAAGAGCAAGCGCCCCCCTCCCTTCGCCAACAAGGGCCAAACTATCATCGCCCGCATTGAGGTCACTAGTACTGCTGGTGCGGTTTGTGTCGAGAAGTTCACCGACTACGAGCAGCTCGGACGTTTCACCCTGCGTGACCAGGTATGTAGACCCCTCCCCAAGACTATGAGAAGAAGTCATTGCTAACAATGGAATTTTTAGGGTCAAACCATTGCCATTGGTATGATCACCAAGCTCATCTTGCCGGATGGCGAGACCATCTAAAGGATTTTATGAGGCGGGGTCCGAACTGTGCATATGCCTCACAAAAAGCAAAGAACCAAAAAGTGATACTCCCCAAGGGTCTCTTAAGACTAACGATGATGATTTTTGTTACGCCTCCACATAGAATTTCGCTCTTATTGAGGAAGCATTTAGTACTCTATATACTTGCATCCAATTTACGTAAGTCTATGGATGAAGACTTCAGTCGAATAAGCAATTACGTAGACAATCGAACACCTAGGTAGTTAGCCTCATATGTGCGGGTCACCTCTGTCCAGGTGCCTGGCTTCCATGGGTTTCAGGGATCTTTTATATACTCGGGAATAAGCTTTTGACAGACGGCGTGTCAAATTACGTTGCATATTAATGTATAGTTGAATTGGGTATTCAGCTGAAAAACAGTAGATATATGCCGTGTCTATCTATGGTATGGGGTTGATGAATTCACTAGAAAACATCTGCAATCGAATGGTATCACTGAACGTCAAAAAGCGGCACCAGCCATGCTGATTTACCGTTTCTTAACCATCGTAAATCCATCATCGTCCACCTCTGGCTCGGCCTTCTCTCTCGGGGCCCGCACCAGGGCAGGAGCATCGTCCATATCAACATCCTCCCCATCATCACTCTCATCACCGTCCGTCTCTTGATCCTCATCCTTAGACTCAACCTGCTTGAACATCGCTGAAGAAGCAGATTTCTGCTGGCTCTTAATCTGGAACTTCTCCCACATATCCCGGATATATGAGAAATCCCCGCGCGCAGTCTGAACCTTCATTTCCATGATCTCAATAGCCACGTCCGCGGCGGTATCGTCGTCCACGACGACGTCAAATTCGTCGTTCATCACTTGAATGAGGACATCCTCTAGGTCTTCGGCATCGGTCTCGGGTCGATCGACCAGCATCTCAGAGATGGCACCGCACAGCCAGTCGCGCTTATCGTTGGATTTGGGGCCGCCCCAGTTCGATTCGACGGCGAGGGCGAGGGCGGGCCAGTTGTTGACGGCAAGGGAGATGCCCAGGTCAAGGTAGGAAGTGGCATCCGTAGCCGGTGGGGCATTTGCTGATTGTGCGCTCATGTTGGGTGGCTTGTTTTGTGAAGTGTGCTTGCGGATTGATGCCCCGCAGGTTGGGTGGGGGGGGGATAGCGGAAAATTGATGGAGGGGGATGGCAATTGAAGGCCCGGAGTGTTGCTGGAGTGGGACGACCAAATATTCCGAGTCTGGAGACAGTTTATATCACGGAAGGAAAAGGGATTGACTCGGGAAATATGTCAATATTCGAGATGCTGAGGATTAGATGGACGTGGGATCCAAAAATTTTGAGCTGCGATTAGATACGATAAGAGTCACGTGGGCTCATGGGAATGGCTGCCTCGCCCCGCCATCCGATCGGTACGATAGTATCGTACCTAAACATTCTCAGCAGAGTAGATGATATAGGAGCCATGGTACATGACTGACCACCTATGGGCCGTCTAGAGTATAGAAGCGGAGTCGAGACTTTATATTTTCATAGGCAAAAATAGACTCTTAGACGTACAACCATAACAATCATTAGTCCAAATGTTATCGTTGCAAAAGGTTGAAAGCCCATTCTTGTCTCCGCCTTCTAATCGCGGACTAGTAGCTACCCGAGTTGGAATAGATTGGCCTATCTATTCCAACTCGGGTAGTTACTAGTTTCCATTAGAAGGCGGTAAATCATGGTGAGCAATATGGGTTCAAGCTTTTTGCAACGCCACTGTACAAAAAGCAAAAGTTAACTCCGATAGGGGGAATCGAACCCCCGGCTGCCGTGTGAGAGACGGCGATGTTAGCCACTACACCATATCGGATGAATTGTTGAATGTCGGAGCGGGATCTGGATCTATAAATCTTGGTTATCCCCATGTGCCCTATGCATGGCTGGGCTTCCATGGGACTTGCCAAGCCTCCCGCGGGATGGGATAGGATTAATAAATAACCTTGAATTAGTCCCATAGGATCTTGGCAAATGGGACGTGGACAAAAATTAAGACCCATGGGTCCACCGTCCTGCATGAACAGGTCTAGCTCCGGATCAAGAACGTTAAAGGTAAAAAGCGAATAGAAGGGCCCGGCCAGCGTCTTCCCATGAGTGGCTTGGAGCTCAATGAATGCTACCGCGGCCCGTGTCGGGCTTAGAAAACTCTCTTATGAGACTGAATGGCTTTTAGCACATTTCTGAATCTTGATAGCAGCGAAGGTTTACGTGCACTACAGTCGTTCTGGGAAATAGGCTTGGGTCTAGATGCAGCTCTACTCTTGAAAGAGTCACAAGGTCCTTTACAGATCCCATGGCCACAGACTGCGACAATATGAATTTCTAAATACATTCACGGTCCTAAAGGCGTGATTTTTCAGCACAAGCGTTAGAGACGGAACATTGTCACAGATACAGTGAGACACAGCTCGCCTTGGATGGAGATTGGGACAACAAGGCTGGCACGAGACAATCATGGCACCGTACGCCGACGGTGCTGCGTGTATCAAGATCGAGGGATATTCAACAATTCAATGTTACATCACATCACGTCAAAATTACCGAAGCGGCTGAACGCCACCAGATCTACTATCGTTCCTAAGCAGACCTGAAAAGTAGAAGACTGGATGTCTCTCCGTTTGAAGCGTGCCTACTAAACTTCAGTCAAATGTGTAGTTGACAATTTTCGAAAGGCAATCATGGTCCGAATTCAAGATTTTGAAGGGATGCAATACCCCCGCGATGGCACTCCAGCTGAGAAACAGGACTACACCTACTTCAACCAGCAATATGCGACCTCTTCTCACGCGGGTGATCACAACATGTATCCAGATCTCATCGTCCAGCCGAAACGAGACGAAGACGTAATCAAGACTGTGAACTGGGCCAGAGAGAACAAAATTGCTATCGCTATCAAGAGTGGCGGTCACCAGTATAGTGGTGCATCGTCTACCAGTGGCAAGAACATCCAGATCGACCTTAGCAACACGTACAAGGACTTGATGGTTCTGAATGCTCGCGACCCCATTGGCCAGGATCGAGCACTGGTGTACGTTGGCGTCAGCAATCAACTAAAGGACTTCAACGCATATCTCAAGCACAACCAACTGTTTGTCCCCCACGGACAATGCGCTTACGTATGTGTGGGTGGGCATGGTCAGACTGGTGGTTATGGCCAGCTTGGCCGTAGCTTTGGCCTTCTTGGCGATCATATCAGAATCATTCGCATGGTCTGTCATGACGGCGTCATTCGCGACGTCTCTAAGGAAAATGACGCTGAACTTTTCAACGCCGTACTCGGGGGCAGTCCCGGTAACTTTGGCATCATCACACACTATATCATTGAGGTATACCAGGCGAAGAGTTACATGGGAACTGTTGCCGGTCCAAACGGATTCAAGGGACCACATGGAATCAAAGGACTGTGGATCTACTCGCCCAAAGTCCTCAAAAGTCTGCTCATCGCAGTCGCACAAATGGCTGACGATAACAATGTCCCGCGAGGCTTTGACCTCTGTGTGAGCGTCCTTAGTACCGATTTTCCCGTAACGATACTATTTCCCACATTGAAGAACGCTGACGAATGGGAAAACATTCAAAATAAGATCAAGGGAGCTCTCGCGGATAAGTTTCTTGACTGGCTAAATGGCAGCTTCCCCGCCATCATCGTGCTCTATGCGCAGTGGTGCCCAACCAGCAAAGATGCCAAGTATGACGAGAGTGTTGACCAATGGTTCAACAAGTTCCGGGACCTCAAGGGTTTCTTCAAAAATGAGACTCTCCTCATTCATGAGCTCGAAGAGGACATGTCTCAAATGAGTGGAGAATGGATCTTCCCCAAGAAACGAGAGTTTGATCTACCATACGTCAAGCGCACCTACTCTACAAACTCGAAGACTCTTGAAAAGGACAACTGGGTCGACAATGTGGTTGATCGCATCGACTTAATCTATAACCCGCACCAGTTGCTCGATCATAACCCGGGAGACAAGGAGTATGAAGTCTACACACATTGCAAGCTTTCAGTGCAGATCCAATGCTACGGAGGCGACAATTCCCGTTTCTATAGGAACAAGGATAACGGCACCTCTTACAGTTGGAGGGATACCTCGGTTGCCCAGACGCTAGACTGCTTTCATGAACCTGGCGACAAGTTTAAGGAGTATGCTGAAAACTGGCAGACCAAGAATGACTCCATTATGGTTGGTCCCTCCAGTTCCTTTAGCAAGCAGGACAGACGTTTGCTCTGGGGGTCTTATGGCGACTGGGACTTGGGGAAGCAGGAGATTTGGAAATGTTATTATGAGGATGCGGTAAAGTATCATAAGTTGGGTAAGGCTAGGGGAAAGGCTGATCCCAGCGGGACCTTCACTGCAAACCCGTTCGCTGTTTCGGCTATTCCAACCAAGGTCTCTTGAAATGTAAGACTGCTCAGCGGATGGGCCACTCGCAGGGAGGGGTCGAGCTCACTTCAATCTTGAAACTAAATTGTTTGCGCGGATACTTGTTTGTTACTTGTTCGCCTAGGGCAAAAATTTGATCCATTTAATCCCCCTCACGCTAAGTCTGCTACATTGATGCTGATGAGTAACAGTAATAATTCTCGCGTCCACCATCACGCATGGTTGACTATAGCGGCTTCACTATAAATAAAATTCAATTTATGTCTACCACCACTAAAAGTACCATGGCGGGCACCCATAGCAGACCTCGGGAGGCAACTTCAAGTTTTACTTAGAATGAACTGGTAGTTGATTCTGAAGATAGGAGTATAATAAGCAGGCATTATCTACTGTGATGGGTCTAGACCCAGAATCCTTCTGACAGCATCATGCTTGCATTTCAACCACCCGTTGCTATATCAGCCTTTTGTTACGGTCCCTGAAAAACAACGCAGCCGAGAGATGCAGCTTTCAAGTTTATCGAGGATCAATTGCTCTGGGGAAGAGATGACCGCCAAAGGCGTCACATATAGCTACTCAAAAGCAAGATAAGGGAGGAACCAGGACTATAGCCTGCCCGCTTATGCAAGCGAAGCAGCTCGCCGCTTCAAGTTGAACGCGGTCCAACATAAAAAGACCCTAGCAGGCGCTTCAGATGATCGTGTCCGGGAGAAGTCCAAATCCCTTCTTCGTGCCCTTCATTTAATGAACGCAGATAACTGCCATTGCCCCATGCTTGGACGGAATATGGCTTGTCTCGTCCATGATGAGAATGCAATTGCCATGCTGGCAAATGTAGATTTTAGCAAGGAAGACGTTATGGCAGACTACAGGGCCTTCAGAGGAAAAATTATCAAAGTCTTGGATATTGTTGGGTTCGTCAGCCAACTGAATGGCCGCAACTTGAAGAGGTATTTAACATACTGGTTCTTTTTGTTTGCATGTTTGACATATAAACTACTAGTTAGTACTATGTACTAACTAGTACACATACCGAAAATTAAATTTTGTAAACAGATTTATACGGAGCCCACAAGCCTGAAATCCTTCATACTCAGAATGTTTCAAGTTGTTGAAGATACCAATATGATATTGAATTGTCACTAAATCAATCCTTTCTAGTTCTATTCACGCCGATATAAAAGCCCTGAAACAGTAGACATATCACTAGTAATACAGACAATCAAAATAATTATTCCGAGGGGATACATAGGAATGAATCATCCCAATGAAAAACATCCGTAAACATCAATTCTTCCAGGCTTTGGGCGATTAGATCATCAAACAGGAACTGACTGGTGGCTGTCGGTAGTTGACCGGAAAAAGGCGACATCAACACCCCGGTCTCTATGTCTCCGGCTGGCGGCATCACTCAATGCCCAAAATCTCCTTGGGCGGTGCATCGATTCTTTGATAAGATTTCGGTTGGTTTACCAGTGATGGGTCAATATGCTTTTCAACTCCCAACACGCCGGGGATAACTGGGTGAGATGCGGAGATACCCACAGGCCCCCACAGGTCCCCACCAAGCCGGGGAGACTCCGCCGTCAACGTGTCACTGGGTGTCTCGGGGTGACGGAGGCTCAAGAGATAACTAGTAGTGGTAGCGCCTAGGCGTCACCTCGAAGAACGAGCTCTATGTAAAAAAAAAAAAAAAAAAAAAACCGAAGCTATGAATTGCACAGGTACTTATAGTTATCTAGCCGCTGCATGTTCTGTTCGCTTTACATACTAGTGGAGGCTACGCGCATAGAATTTACGCGCATAGAATTATTTTTTTATTCACATTTTTGAAATTGTTTCCTTTTCCAACTGTTCATCCATTATGCCGACAGGATTCGATGTGGAGAATGTCCTAGCAAACATCAGCGAGCAGGACAAAATCGCTCTTTTATCCGGTAACACAGAGACGATGAAGATGATCTTGGAAGACCTCATCCGCTAACAGAAGCAGGAATTGATTTTTGGCACACACATCCCATCCCCGAATTCAATGTCCCCTCGATTCGCGCCACCGACGGTCCCAATGGTATCCGCGGCACCAAATTCTTCGCCGGCATACCAGCCGCATGTCTGCCCTGCGGCACAGCTCTGGGCGCCACCTGGGATCGAGATCTGGTTTACCAAGCGGGGAGACTACTGGGTGACGAGTGCATTGCGAAAGGAGCGCATTGTTGGCTGGGTCCTACAATCAATATGCCGCGATCTCCTCTCGGTGGCCGCGGATTTGAATCGTTTGCTGAAGACCCACATCTTTCGGGCATTCTGGCCAAATCAATCATCCTCGGAGCCGAAAGCAAAGGAATCATTTCCGCTGTGAAGCATTTCGTGGGCAACGACCAGGAACACGAACGCCGGGCGGTGGATGTCCTCGCCACACAGCGAGCTTTGCGTGAGATCTACCTACGACCTTTCCAGATTGTCGCGAGAGATGCGAAGCCGAGCGCGCTCATGACTTCTTATAATAAGATCAATGGAAAGCACGTGGCCGAAGATCCTCGCATGCTCAATTTGATCCGCGAAGAATGGAAGTGGGATCCGCTGGTTATGAGCGACTGGTACGGGACCTACACAACCATCGATTCTATGAATGCGGGCCTTGATCTCGAAATGCCGGGGCCTTCTAGATATCGGGGGAAGTATATCGAATCCGCCGTACAGGCTCGACTGATCAAACAATCGACTATAGATGCACGAGCTCGAAAGGTGTTGGAATTCGTGAAGCAAGCAAGTCAAGTCCAAGTGTCAGGTGTGGAACGAGGTCGGGATTTCCCAGAGGATAGAGCGTTGAATCGAAAAATTTGCGCAAACAGCATCGTCCTCCTCAAGAACGAAGGCATCTTGCCCCTTCCGAAGGAGATCAAAAAGATTGCCCTTATTGGATCTCACATGAAAACTCCCGCAATATCGGGTGGTGGCAGTGCGTCCCTTGAACCGTATTACTCTGTTTCGTTATACGACGCCTGTAGGGAAGCATATCCTGACGCGGACGTGGTTTATGAAATAGGCGCATACGCCCACAAGATGCTCCCTGTAATAGACCGTCTCCTGACAAATGCTGTCATACATTTCTACAACGAGCCGATGGACAAGGAACGGAATTTGATTAGCACTGAGCCTATGTCGACAACAGCCTTCCAGTTCATGGACTATTATGCACCCGGCCTCAACCGAGAGCTATTCTGGGCCACACTGATTGGCAACTTCACACCAGACGCATCCGGGATTTGGGACTTTGGCCTGAGTGTTTTTGGTACGGCCAATCTCTATATCGACGACGAGCTTGTGATCGATAATACAACGAACCAGACACGCGGAACGGCATTCTTCGGCAAAGGCACCATCGAGGAGCTGGGATCGAAGAAATTAGTTGCTGGGACCACATATAAAATCCGGATTGAGTTCGGTTCTGCCAACACTACCACAATGAAATCGGTGGGAATGGTGAATTTCGGTGGTGGCGCTGCAAATTTGGGGGCCTGCCTGCGGCTGGACCAGGATCAAATGATCAAGAATGCCGTGGAAGCTGCCGCACAGGCGGACTACACCATTATTTGCACTGGACTCAACAAAGACTGGGAATCTGAAGGGTTCGACCGCACGCATATGGATCTGCCACCGGGAGTTGACCGGCTGATCTCGAAGGTGTTGAAAGTCGCCGCAGACAAGACCGTCATCGTCAATCAGTCTGGTACACCAGTTACTATGCGGTGGGCCGATCAGGCCCGGTGCATTGTACAGGCCTGGTATGGAGGTAACGAGACAGGCCATGGAATTGCCAATGTTCTCTTCGGAGAGGTCAATCCATGCGCAAAGTTGCCCTTATCATGGCCGGTGGATGTGAAACACAATCCGGCCTACTTGAACTATGCCAGTGTGGGTGGCCGAGTGCTGTATGGCGAGGACATCTATGGGGGCTATCGATTTTACGAGAAGACTGGACGAGAAGTCCTCTTTCCATTCGGGTGAGTTGGTTCCTTCATCTCCCAGTTTCATCTAACCATATCTCACCTAACCGTATTGAAGTCACGGCCTATCATACACAACTTTCGAGGTCTCATCGAGCGTTACCGTTGCCCCGGAGATCTTCAACATGGACCGTCCTCCGGTCACCACCGTACAGATCAAAAACACAGGCAAAGTGGCGGGCGCCCAGATTCTTCAGCTGTACATATCTGCCCCCGAATCGCAAACCCCGCGCCCAAGCAAGGAATTGCACGGTTTTGAAAAGGTATTCCTCCAGCCCGGGGAAGAAAAAGCGGTTGACATCCAGGTCGACCGATATGCGACAAGCTTCTGGGATGAGATCGAGGAGATGTGGAAGAGCGAGAAAGGGACATATGAAGTGTTAATAGGAACCTCTAGCCTGGAAGTGGTGGCCTGGGGAGAATTCCAAGTAAATCGCACCACCTATTGGCGGGGACTCTAAGGATTCATCCGACTTCGTTTGGGTCAATTGCCCGGCTAAATGAGGTCGGCCTGGCTTGATTGGACGGATGATTCCGCCATCGTTTGCCTCGTCAAACACCAGCCGTGTTTGTCTTGGCCTTTTATCATCATTCTTTCCCCTTGGTATTCCATGTGCGACTACGGGGATCCCCAGCAGGAAGAATGGAAGCCTCGTCGACTGCGCAACCTCGCAAGCATACTCGGGTGCTTAACGCATGCAATGCTTGTCGCCTCAGCAAGACTCGATGCGATTCGGCCCGGCCAGTGTGTGCCAAATGTATCCAGCGGGGTGTAACATGCGAGTATCCGCAGACGGATCCCATCTCGGTGTCGGTTCCCATAGAACTTCTCTTTTAGCTGAGGCATCTAATGACCATAAATTCTATTTGAAGTCTAGAGACATGGGGCGCAAGAATCTTAGACGCAGTAGAACGTCAAGAGCGGCTTCTGTCACAGACCCTGTCTTCGAATCAGGCGCCTCCCTTTTTTTCGCAGCAGGCGTCGCCATCCCCAGTGGACGAAATAGATCCAGAGTCAATCTCGCGCAATGATGCACCTAAGACACCTATTACTGGGTCAGACATGATTCTCAGCTGGCCTATTTTCCCGGGAGAGAAGCCTGCGTCGACTTTCCCAATGGCAGCGTATTCCGAGAAGCCAGATCGCTTTCAGACGGGTATGTCACATGCTTCTTGACACATTATATCCAAAATCGTATGCTAATGCGCGGCTACAGCTCTACCAAGCCTAGATCCACAAAGGCTTCTCGAATTGAGACAGATCTTTATGACCAAGATCTGGACCAAGAACCCGATCGTTGACCCGGGCCAGCTGGACTTTTATATCGCTCGGGTGCTAGAAAATGGCATTGAGTGGTCAGCCTCGTCGTGCTTGGTGCTACTTGTATTTGCGCTTGCAGCCATTTGGGGAAATTATCCGGACGACGAAAGCCGGGAGGTCTCGTACAATGAACGATCCTTCAGCCCACCAGTCACCTACATGACGATGTCGGTTCCGGAGCACCGAATGAAGGAATCATTAAGCTTCCTCTCCATGGCGCGTAAGCGCATTTCCACTGCGTATCTCGATGATACCCTACTTGGAGTACAGTGTCTTTGTTTATTTGGGTGAGCTCCTTCCTCCGAGCTGGTTCTAGATACGAATATCTGAATACTGTATAGAATTTGGTATCAGTATAATATCGAACCGATTCCGGGCTGGAAAATGTTCCGGACAGCATCCATGTTGTGGCAAACGTATCGTTTGAAGCATCGCGAAGGAAAGACAATCAGAAGCGCACAGGAAGAGAGTGGGTCATTTAATGTCCCCATTTTGGATATCTCTAACTCCCCCAGGTCTGGAGCAGCGACTCTACTGGACATGCTTAAAATCCGAATGGTATAGCATTCACCGGAGATCTCAAGTCCTCACACACGTCACTAACATGTGATAGCGAGGTTCGATATGAACTGACGGATCTTCCACCTTGTGATCTCAGCCTCTCCGACTTTCCTTATTCTCTCCCAAGCTTCCCCACGAGACAACTATCTAACGACAACCCTGGTTGGACGTTTTCCAGCCCCTCCTCCACAGACCTCGAAGCAGGATCTTCATATTATTATCTAGCTGAGATCTTTTTGCGCAGGCTTCTCAATCGGGCCCGCAATGCGGTTCGCGTGCTTTCCCCAGATATTGATCTACCGACCATCAAGATTCTAGCAGAAACTCTGACGCAGTTGGAAGGTCAACTCCAGCAGTGGGTAGACTGCCTCCCACATACACTCCAGTTCAATATGCCTCTCGAATCTGCCGTCAGACCAAAGGAGGGTGAGCTCATGAAGCTAAGTCGTGAGCGATACGTCGAGGTGCGCGAACTGCTTTGTCGGGCGTATCTATACCTGTGCATCCATGTGCCACTTGAGCCGGGGATGGCGGTGCTGTATGGGGCGAAAGCGAGCGAGGCGCTACTTTTGGCAGTATATCGTATCCAGACCGAGGTGCCATTCTTTCGGCATCCGGGGTCATGGGGAGCATGTCGAGTCCGGTTTAACCATGCGCTTTGTCTGATTGCGGGATTCCTCGCAAAGTTGACGCAGCGCCCCTCGGCTGAATATGTGAACATTCCTCCAGACTGGGCGGACTGTGTGCGGGTAGTGATTGAGCGGTTGAAGATATGGGGCGAGGAGGGTGGCGGGATCAAGGAGTTAGGTATGTTGTTGGAGTGGCTGATGCATGACAGTTTGGAATTGTAGAACAAAAGACAAGACATGCATTTTTTTCTCTAGTACTGGCTATCTATACTACTGACGTACTCGCGCCAACTAAGTACTTCCTGGCCCTGAGTAGTATACTATCCATGGATGTCTAAATCTATTTACGCAAATTGAATATATTCTGTGTCCAAATTTATATAGTAGGGAGCACTGGTAATCTTGGCAGAAACACTGGGTAGATCGCGGCTATGGAGCAGCTCCGTTTCCCTTTGAGTATCTTACCGCAACACATCTCCCCTAGCGACCATCGTCCGAGTCTCACTCTTGACCCGAGGCATTCGGGGAGACTCCGCGAAGTCCCTGTACCCGACTAGCCTTCTTTAGGCTAATTATGAAGTGCCAAGACTCGTGTGCTTGGCGTTGAGCAACCGCACCCATCTGCAGGCCAGAATGTTGGCCTTCCTTCCCACTACCCCCACCTCCAGATACCCCGTGGGGTGGCGGAACTCTAATTTCTTCAGCGGGGATCTTACCCGGCTTATCTTCCTCGATACTCTACAACGAATCCCTCCAGCCCGTCTGCGCATGACCTGATGGCTCAGAGGATCTTGGCAGTTGGGGAATGGGCCACGCTAGGGGGGTCGCGGTGGAATAAGACCCTAGAACGAACAGGATATATAGTGTCCATGATTCGGTCTCTGCAAGTCTTCAGGGTCCACAGATCAGCACTCCAGTTGTGAGCATTCGAAATCAACTTGAACTTCAATCTTTCAAGATGGTCTTAGTGGGGAAAAAGCGTGAGGAGAATGTTGCTGAGCCTGTGCTAGCTAACTTGCTGGCTGATGACCGTACGCCTTGGTACAAGAAGCCGAATCTGAGACGACTCTATTCCATCTTATTTCTGGCGTGTATGGGCATCGAAATCACGTCAGGATTTGACTCGCAGATTATCAACACGGTTCAGATTGTGTATACCTGGAACAAGTGTATGTTTCCTCAATTCAAGATGAGCACTACAGTAGACTGACGTTGCGAGATAGATTTCGGTCATACGACCGGGAAGATCGTGGATGGACGCCCCGAGTACACCATTGAAGCGAACCTCAAGGGCTTTCTTGGTGCTGCATACTCTCTCGGGGCTATTCTCTCCCTGCCATTTGTCCCATACCTCAACCAGCGAGTCGGACGGCGATGGACGATTATGTTCGGTTCATGCGTGAGCTTGGTCGGGGCCATTATCCAGGGCTTCTCCAATGGAGGTACTCATCCTTTCCTGATCCTATCCGCGACATATCTGATGATTTCCAGTGGCCATGTATATTGTCGCACGTATCCTTCTAGGATTCGGAATCCCGTTCTGCATCGTCGCCGGGTCATCTCTGCTAGGAGAACTGGGTTACCCCAAGGAGCGACCGATTCTAACCTCCCTGTTCAACTCCTCCTACTTCATCGGTCAGATCATTGCCGCAGCCGTAGGCCTGGGAACGGTGACCATTTCGTCCAACTGGGCCTGGAGAATCCCATCTCTACTTCAGATTGCACCCGCCATGGTTCAGATCCTGACGGTGATGTAGGATATTCCCGGCCATTTATCCCAACTTCTCCCATTAACACATGCCCAGGCTCCTCCCTGAAAGTCCCCGATATCTGATCAGCAAAGATCGTCACGAAGAAGCCTTTGAAATCCTCACCAAGTACCATGCGGAGGGTGACCGCAACTCGGTAATTGTGAAGGCTGAACTGGCGCAGATCGAACACACCATCAAGATGGAGCTCGAAGAATCAAAACAATCATGGTTGGACATGTTCCGCACGGCCGGGATGCGCCGTCGGCTGTTCATCTCCGCTTTTCTCGGCCTGTTTACACAGTGGTCCGGCAATACTCTCATCTCGTAAGCATGTATCTGCCCTATATGCCTTTCACCTTCACTGATCCATGCAATAGGTACTATCTAAGTGATCTCCTTAACATGGTTGGAATCACCGACAGTGTGACCAAGTCCAAGATCAACATCGGCATCGCCTGCTGGGGTCTCGTCTGTGGCACGGCGTTGGCGCTCACAGCGCCGCGCTTCAAGCGTCGACCAATGTACCTCACCTGCGCAATCTGCCTGCTGTGTGTCTATATTGCATGGACTATCTCCATGGAGCGCTTCATAAGCACAAAGGCTCATTCCGCAGCCATTCTGACCATCTTCTTTATTTTTGCCTACTCCCCCGCCTACAACCTCGGCTACAACGCCCTAACCTACAGTGTGTATTCCCTCCGTTCCAGCGCATGCGTATATACTGACATCAACAAGCATATCTGGTCGAGCTGTTCCCTTACATGGGTCGCTCGCGTGGTATTTCATGGTTCCAGTTCTTTGGTCGCGGCGCAAGCTTCTTCGCTACTTATGTGAACCCTGTTGGTCTCGCGCGCATCGCCTGGAAATGGCTCTTGGTGTACTGCTGCTGGCTGGTATTTGAGTTGGTGTTTATCTACTTCTTCTTCCCCGAGACTGCGGGTCGCACTCTTGAGGAACTGTCGTTCTGTAAGTTGGCATTCCGATTTGTTGCAAGGGACAGAGCTGACTTAAAGTAGTGTTCGAAGACAAAGACAAGGCCAAAGAGGTCGCTGCGGTCGTTCACAAACATCTCGATGAGGATGACGAGAATAAAAGGGCCACGACACATGTGGAGGTCCAGGAGACCAGGAGCTCTGTTTGACCGTTTCGTGGCGGCTCTTACATAAGGATGGTTGGATGAAGGTATGGAATAATGTTATCTGTTAGTTAATCTATATTAATTTTACGTCATTATATCCTGGAATGTGACCATTATTTGGGTATCTGGGTACTGCTCTGGTGCTGAGGAACTTGAAATTAAAGAGGAATAGGAGATCGGCAAATAGAGAAACTAGATTTAGTGATTAAGTTGTAGCTAGCAGACCAAGCCACGATGGGGACAGACATGATATGGACCTAACGTAAGATAGCGGGATTTATCCATTTCTTGGTCTTTCAAAAAACCCATTGAGCCATCACAAGTCCCATAATTCCACCCATGAGTCCCTTCGCAACATTATCGCTCGGACCAACAAGCTTAATTGCAGCATTAGAAGTGGTTGCACTTGCTGCACTCGAAGTCGTAGGAGGCGCTTTACTCTGAGTCTCAGATACTGTGGTCGTGGTAGTAGCACTTGTTGCAGCCGTTGTTTGAGCCGTTAACGATTTGTCACTTTCACTGCTACTTGTTGAGGAGACCTGGGTATTTGAGGCTTTCGAGGAGGTAGTCGCGGCGTGACTGGCAGATTTGTCCGTCGTAGTGGTTTCGGAGGAGTTCGACGAAGAAAGACTAACGACCTTGAAACCGAGAAGACCCCGAGAAGCGTCCCTGGAGAAGCTCTCGGTTGCTTGGCCCGCCGAGTCTCCAGTACACTTGCTGTTATCGAAGAGAAGCATGTTGATGCCCTTTTCGCCTTGAGAGTCGATTTTGAAAACTTTGCCCTTGGGGTTGTCGATTTCAATGCAGTCGCTGGGACCATGCCCTTTTTGACTATGGCTTTTGTTTTCGGAGTCATGCCATGTTACTTCCCATGCTCCGGCAGAAGGGAGCAGAGATATGGTGGAAAGCGCCAAAGGCAGAAGAGTTGACCACTTCATGATGGGGCGCTAAGAGTAGAATGCAGAAGTACTGCTGCGTAGGGGAAAAGGTGCCTATTGGAAAACGCGTACAATTTCAAACAATTCAAACAGGCTTAACCCTTTTTATACATGATGTCCACCCGTTTTTCTTTCTAGCCTTAATTCCTCGGCGCTCCAGATCTGGGGTCTTTCCGCGCAGATCTTCGTATTCAATGCATGGTCAACCAATGAAACTACATCATGACAGCCACCGTCCATAGCGAACCGTATTTATGCTTGGCGTTCATTTCAATTTGAAAAGGCACATTGTCATTTTAGGCATGGTCAAATGGGATTTGAGCGGCTTGGCAGGTTGAGCGGCATTGAGCAAGGGTGCAAGGGTGACCGAAATAAGAGCAGCGGGTCTGCTTTACTCCAGAGATGTTCTCAGTTTCCTTCAATCACTCGGCTAATAGGATAAATTACTTTCAAAGTCGGTCAAAACTGCATGGGGTTCTATAAAGCGTTTTGGCAGTGTAAGCAAGGAGTGTTTAATGAGCACAGCGCGGAGGCTAGGCACCATAGTCATGCAACACAACACGAAGGCCAGACCTGCATTAGCGCGTCTTCGAGTACTACCCCAACTCAGCCGCAGGGCTTGGCGGAAAACACAGACATGGTGACGGTACTTTACTCACAGCTGAAGCAGGTATTTTAGCCGCATTTCCACGACTATGGGCCGCTTTATCGTGCCTAGGAACTTTAACTTGGAAGCTTATCACTCCTGGTTAAATATACCAGATAATCTATATTCCCTGAAAATAAATTTGAATGAGAGAGACTGGCTTGCATGCTGTCAAGAGATGTTCTTAGTCTAGTACTCCGAGTCCACACATACTAGGTTGTAACTCTAATTATACTACAAGTAGAAGCAACTACGTACTACAAGGTAAATATGTGGAAACAAAAACTTGAACGTCTAGCCCGGGTCGGCCACAATAGTTCTACTCAGATAATAAAGATGTGTAACTTTCTAGCTAAAAGAAAGCTTAAAACTTGAATAATATAACATATCGAAAATCCAGGCAGTAGAAAGAAGACCAAGGCGAGAAGAAAGAAGAAGAAGAAACGGAAACGAAAAAACCGTTATACCAGCATGCCAGTGTGCCTCAAATATGAGTTAATTCACCCGTTATTGAACTGCCTTGGGATAACTCAAGTGCTGTGGAACGGGATAGCTGGAAAGATCTATAGTTTTTCCAGGAGCTGGAATAGGTGTGAATGCGATAGGGTCAGGTCCTCGTCTCTTGTTGAATTTAGCCGCGGCTGGCAGGAAGGGCAACTTGGCAGCAGAGGTGAGAACATGGATGCGCAGGGAATTGTCCGGGACATTCACCCAAAATGTGCTCCTGGGAATAGCTGGACCATCTAATCTTATGTTTTCCATGTGGGTCGTAGACGCTGTCACATGTGGCTTGACACGAGTTTGAATCCTATTCCATTCGGTCATACGCTTTCATGACTTAGGGTTAATCATCGTAACTTCGACCTCTATATACGGATAGAATTGCGTTGGCTGTCCAGTCGCCCCGTGGACTCTTGAATATCCGATGATTGGTGGTGCTGGATATACAGGATGGCGACAAGGCCCAGCTATTGTTGCCACGTCCCTATCCGTGATGCACATAGTGGAGGCCCTTGTGTCGTGCATAAACTGTAACTCCTCCCACCAGTCATAACCTGGAAGACGCACAGCAATATTATACTATAACTCACAGTTAGCAACATTCAATATTCGCAAGGAAACCATAATTATCATACCTGATGCATAGATTGATCTTCAGCTGATTGATAGAGCTGTACATGTGCAAAATCATGTTCGTCTTGTGCAAGCTAAATACGAAAGAATAAGTATAAATATTGGATCAAGATGGAGCTATCTGTGATGCTATACCCGTTCTACCCAAAAGGCTTCATGGCCATCGTGTTTCCTATTGATGGCCTCAAACTCATCCCAATCGAATGGTCTTGGCTCTGAGAGCTTTACCCCCTTCGACCAACAGGTGACAAGCCCCCCCATTCCACTTCAATTGACCGGACTTGTAAGCTGCAATCTAAGCTCGGACATTTGGAAGCTCCTTGTAATTATCTCCTTCTTTAGAAATATGCTCTTCGATGACTTTAAGTGAATTCAGTCTCTGATAAACATCCTTATTGAGACCTTTGGGCCAACCGTCAGAGATTATACTATTGGGGACGAAAGAAGATTAATTTTAGTTCCATCACGTAGACAATAGGGATCTTACTTCTCAGCTGCGTCCAATTCCAAAAAGCCGTCTAGCCTATGCTGGAACACATCAGGCAGAATTCGTTCGGCAATCCTTTCCTGGCATCTTGCAATTTGAGCGTCACTATCACTAAATGAGATCAGTAACTTCTCATATGGGTTCTTAGTTAAACTTCTTATTCACTTACTCAGGATCAAGGTCCTCTTGATGATCCCACCCCTCGGGTATCATTTTAGGGTCAGTGATAGTGGTCGAAATGTGGTTCCATGTCTTTCGCTTCTCCTTTCGCTTCCTTGGAGACTTCACCTGTTTGAAAGGCTGTACAAGTCCAACATAGGACTTACGAAGATCCAATTTGTTCACATCGACTTTCTTTCGCTGGAGTGGGTCAGAAGGTAGTCGTGAAGCGTTTTTCCGCCCTGATTTGCCTTTGTTCCCTTTTGTACCCAGAATAGCCCGACCAACGTGTTTTGCTTTCTTAGCGGCCCTTTTAAAGGGGTTGCGGGTTGTGTCACCATCCGCGGGCTCTCTTGTCCGAGCCCAATTGGAAGGGCCTGCCTCTTCTCCTCAGAGTAATCTATACCAATTTCTTGAATAGAGGAAGCCAAGTCTAGATCGTCCTCGTAGCACTTTCTCTTTTGAGCACTTGTTAATTATTTTTTGCAGGCGAAGGGGTGGTTGCTTCTGTTGAAGGGCCCAAAGAGGATTCACTCCCTGTTGAGCCAGTTGGGGCTTGGGGGGCGCGACCCTTAGCTTTGGTGTTTGGTCTTGGCCCGGACATTTTCACAAGTAAAAGTACACAGACTAATAGAAGAAAGAAATGGATTGAGTGAGAAATTTAGAAAAAGAAATGCAAGTCAAGATACAACCGCCTTTTGAACCCTTGGACAAGTACAAGAACAAAGGAAAGAGAGCGAGAGACGCTTCCCTTTGAGACTCTCGCGAAGAGAAGCGTCTGAGCTGAAAGAAAGTGAATGAGATCCCTTCAATCAAAGCAAAATCTTCGAGTTGCTTCTCTAAAGGATTCTGCTTACCTTAAAATCATGGAACTGTTCAATAGGATAGTAATTAAAATCATCTTTGCATTGAATGGGATGGTTTAAATGAAGACCAAAATTAAGGTTAGCCAGGAGATCCAGTATATGATAGTAAAACAAAAAAATATTCTCCAAATAACTGCGCCCAAAGAAACAATAGATCTAGAACTCCCCAAGCGCCTCTTGAGTCCAATCCCACAACCGCTCCGCCAACTGATCATCCTTTGCCGTCTTGCCCAGTTTATAATGCGCACATTTCCCCCACCGGCTCATAAAACGCACCATTCTCAATATTCCCCTTCGCAGTAGTCGCAGCCCAAACTTGATTGTATGCCCCTTCCTCGGGTTTCAACAATTTCCCGAAGGTCGTGGCATAAATCAGAGCGCGAGTTAAGAATTTCTGATTTCCAACCAGTCCCGTCGAGACAATACCGGGGTGAATTGATGCGGAGATAATACCCGGGTACCGACGGGCGAGTTCTCGCGCATAAAGGAGGTTAGCAAGTTTGCTTTGTCCATATCGACGCCATGACCCCCCCAACAAAGAAGTCATCCTGGACTGTTTTCAACTTGTCAAATATGATCCCCCCCGCTTGGGTGGAGCATGAGTCCTTCCGAGGTCAGGATAATGATTCGTGGGTCGCCGCCTTCACTGCCTCGCTTTTCCAGGAGTGGTAGTAGTTTCTTTATGAGTAGTGCGTGACCGAGATGATTTGTTCCGAATTGAACTTCGTACCCGTCTGTTGTCAAGGAGGGTGGTTGGGCCATAATTCCAGCGTTGCAGAGTAGGATGTCGAGGCGAGATGTCTGCGATACGAATGCCTCGCCTGTCTTCTTGACGGATGATAGAGAAGCTAGATCGCATTCTATGAAGGTGATTTCGGTGTTTGAACCACTCTCGCGGATTCGCTGGATGACCTTGTCCGCGCTCTTGGAGTTCCTTCCGCTAATAAAGATGTGCGCAGCATTGTGCTTGGCCAGATGAAAGGCCGATTCAGCACCGAGTCCATTTGTTCCTGAGTGGATTTAGAATCCCATCTGTTTCTTCGAAATGAATAAACGACTCACCTCCTGTGATGAAGATCGTTTTTCCCGAGAGATCCGGGATTTCTGTTTCGGGGTTGTAGTTGAGATTTGGCATTGCGGACAGAGCTTCTACTGGACACTTATTGGAAATATCAGAGAAACTTCTGCTTTGAACTGACTCGAATGCTTGACAGATTGTTTAATTTCATAAATAGTGGCTGGTACATTCTTGTCGGTCCGTATTTGTGCCGGTCGGATTGATATTCGACCGCCAAATGGGGCGATCTGCAATGACGCTATTCGTCGGCTCGCAAAACTCGCACTGCTATTCGCTGAACCATCAACCGTGGCGATATGTCTCCAGATCTCGCCTCAGGAAAATGATCTATTGAAAACAAGTCATGAGGTAACGAAAAACTGCGGTCCAAGTGCAGGGAACATGCTGGAAGCATACCACTGAATCTTTTGGCGTCGCCAATCAAAAAATCGAGGAGGGGAGCTATCCAGCCCCTTAAAATATACATAGTCAAGTAAATAAAGCCATCCCGGTAGGAAATACATAGGAACCGACCTATAAATCCTTTCACCAGCCCTCCAGTGGAGTAAACTTGGCGATAACCCCGTCCTTTGGCGACACGGTGGCACCCTCCATCAGCTCCAGTTTGGCATCAGGATCCTTCAGCTCAAACTGGAAGCGACCAACCATCGCCGCAAGCAAACAAGCGAGTTCCGCCTTGGCGAATCCCTGTCCGATACAGCTGCGTGGGCCATGAATAAAGGTAAGGAAGGCATAGTTACTGGTCGCGCCGCCGTTATTAGCCTTGCCTTCGCCCATAAAGCGATCCGGATTGAACTTGTCGGCATCCGGGCCCCAAAATTCCTCCATGTGGTTTACCACCTCAGGAGAAATAAGAAAGAACGTGCCCTTGGGGATTGGTTGACCCAAAAGCGTAGTGTCTTTCGCGGATACACGGACGGTGTTTGGAACCGAGGGGTGGAAACGGAGAACCTCGTTGGAGACTGCGTTCAGGTAAGGCAGATTATCAATCTGGGCGGCGTCCAGAGACTTTGCATCGGAGGAGGAGAGTGGGGGGAGATTGGCGCGGATCTCTTCACGTAGACGGGTCTGCACGTCTGGATTCTTGCACAGCGCGTAGACAGCCCACTGCAAGGCAGTGGCGGTTGTTTCGTGGCCTGCGCCTAGGAAGGTCATCAGTTGATCGACTAGGTTTTCGTCGTCAAAGGTGCCGTTGGCCATTGCAACTGAGATGATATCGACACCGGTCTCGGATTTTGGATCTTTCATCTTTTCTTTCTTCTGTTGGATCATCTGTCGCGCGACATTGCGGATCACCGCACCACCTTCGTCGATGTCTTTGTTGCGCTGAGTGGGCAATTTTTGAATGAAGGTTAGAGTGCCCATCAGGATTGCGACAATAAATAGAATTTTGGTTGCAATTGATGGTGGCGAGAAGATTCTCTGGTATGATTTGTTCAGCTTATTGAAAGGATCACGCAGAGAATCAAAGTCATGGTCCATGCCAGCCACACCGATGATGTCGAGGGTGGCTCTGCTTGCCCAGGTTCGGACTTGAATAATGTTGTCGTCGGGGGAGTCTCTGCTTTCCAGATCTTGTTGAATTAGTTCGACCATTTCCATGCTTTTGGCCCAGAAGACTGGGTATAGATTCTTGATGTGGCGATAGGCAAAGGCTGGCATTAGGTTCTTGCGTTGCAATTTATGCTCATCTCCCTCGGTCAGTAGGACGCCGTCTCCAACTACACGGCGCAAGCTCTGTCGCACAGTCTTGGGCTTCTCGAAATCATAGTTCTTGGTGACTAACAACTCGCTTAAAGCTTTAGGGCTAGTCAAGATGACTCTTTCCATGTTCATGACAATATAATATCGAATCAAGCCCTGGTTGGGCAGTTCTTTAACCCATTGCTTCAGCAACTCGTGTGGTGTTTCGAGGAAGACTGAATTGGTATTGCCCCGAAGCCAATTTCGGCGCTAAAATCTATTAGTTTTGAGATCATTCAGACTGTAAACTTGAAAAAGAACTCACTCCAGGTGTTTGGATGTGTTTGATGGGGGTGAAAAATGCAGGGTAAAGGGTAAATTGATAAACAAGCTTTGAGAGCGTAAGAATAGTAAAATAAACAATAATTGTTAAGAATTTCGAGTTGAAGATGACATATTCCGGTCTCAAGTATATGGCGGCTGCCACGCCGACGTAAATCAGGCGAAAGTTGTCTTGGATGAAGCCCATGGTGGAGGCCTGCCCCGTTGGGTGTGGGCGTTAATTTGAGAGTGGCGGCGGGGCAGATACTAGTGACGAGATACTGGAAGCGCCAGCGCCAGCGTACATATAATGCGAGTCTATTAACGGGAAACCAAGGCGGGATCTCCAGTATTCCTGGTTTGACCGTTTGGCGACGTTTATTTGTTTCCGTATCCCGAGGCTGTGATAGACTGACCAAATCACGTCTCAAAAATGTCCTCGACAGTGTAGAATAACACTGACAACAAAAGGATTGATTTGGAAACTCCGGATGATATGAGTAAAAATCACAGGGGGATAGTCACGACGACCTGATATAAGCGAGCCGAGGCGCGTGTTTATGGTGGGCGCCTAGCGGATCGACTGCAGCAAACCCGATGACGAACACGAACGCGATGGCGGCAGTGAGAGTGAGAATGAGACTGAAAACGAGAGCGGACACGGACTGGAGCCAATCCCGGGCTCTCTGACCCTCTCTGACCCTCTCAAGGTGTTAAGTTCGGTGGAACCTCGCAATCGATACTCGTTTTGGAGGGAAAAGGGGTGGGGTTAGACAAAAGGGGGACGAATCATGGACGAATCACAGTTCAAGCATTTCGGATCTTTGGAAAAGACACATTGATGCATTGATCAAGAATTGTTAGCTACCGGGGAAATGTCCACCCGTCTACTCTGTACGTGGCAGGCATGATGATAATCATGTATCAGATAATACGAGAGCACCAATCAAAAGTGGTCAAAGCATGTCATTCATCTCATATCTGGTCAGCGTCAGAGGTCAATTCTACATCTTCCCCTGTCGCTTCTTCAAATAAGCTCCCCCCACCACGACTCGAGAAGCCCCAGCGAATCTGATTCGCCATGGCGATCTCAACATCCAGTTCCTCAGCCCAGGTCCACACCAGCCCGGGGTTCTTCTGGAATCCGCGACCGACCAAAACAAAGTCCAGCCCATTGGTGTCAAGCAGGCAGTTGGCTAGTTGAGCCGATTCAATCATGCCGACGGAGCCCACCTTTATCTTATCCCCAACGGCCTTCTTCACCTCGATAGCGAATGGGGCCTGGAATGCAGGCTTGGCATGAATATGCTGTGCGCGGTGATTTCCTCCACTGCTGATGTCCAGCACATCGATCGTGCCACTATCCGCCAGCGCCTTGGCGAGACGCACGGTATCCTCAACCCGCCAGCTGGGCTCGTTGGGCATATCCTCCTCGAGCCAATCGGTCGCGGAAATTCGCAGGAAGACGGGCATATCCGCAGGCACATTCTCACGCGTCAATTTCGCAATCTCCATCGTAAGTCGGGTGCGGTTCTCGAAGCTGCCACCGTATTGATCGGTGCGCTTGTTCGTCGCCGGAGATAAGAAGCTCATCAGCAGGTATCCATGCGCATTGTGGATTTCCACAAAGTCCACGCCGGCCTTGACGGCCCGCTTCACGGCTGAAACCCAATCATTCTTGAACTGCTCAATCTCCGCCGTTGTCAGAGCTTTGGGGATAGGGAATTTGTCGTGGAAAGGAATGTCGCTGGGTCCCTTCACGTTCTCGGGCCATCCACCCACCGCTTCAGTGGCCGTGTCTGCCATGCTTAGCCATGGTGCTACGGTGCTCGCTTTGCGGCCGGCGTGTCCCACCTGCACGCCAATCACCTGGTTCTGACTGTGGACGAACTCCACCACGCGACGGAGGGGTTCGATCTGCGAGTCCTTCCAGAGGCCGTGATCTTGAGGGGTGATGCGACCATTGGCCTGTACGGCGGTGGCCTCAACCATCAGGAAGCCGGGGCCGCGCTGAGCGATCCCACCCAGATGCGCCATGTGCCAGTCAGTCATATGTCCATCATCGGCGCTGTATTGACAGAGCGGGGAAAGCTAGATAGTAGTAGATCCATATCAGCGGGATGATCGTAAAGTAGGAGCTACCCGCCTCCACAGGAAGGGGTAGATCGAAGAGTGGAGTTGCCATAGCTTACCCCAATGCGATTGTGGAATGTGACGCCCCGCACAGTGAAGGGCGTGAAGAGCTTTGGAGGTTGTCCTCCATCGGACTGGGGGATCGCCGCGGACCCGGCGGGAGGGATCTGAGCTGGAGTAAAGTAGGAGATGCCCTGGGCGGGCTTGTTGGCGATATCAGGGTAGTTGGTCGGGGACATGGTGGGAGATGCCAGTGCTCAGTACGTAGGCAAGGAAGTGAGGGAGTAGTGAGGGAGGATAGGAAGGAGAAGCAAGAAATAGATGGTTGAGAGTGAGCAGGAGTGTACGTACGGAGTAGTAATAGTGAGGTAACTCCTTAAGTACCTCCAACCTTCACCTTCGCCTTCACCTTCACCTTCACCTCTCGAGCTCCACCAGCTTATGAATGCAATCAGGTCGACGTCATCACTTGTATCCACTGGCACCGACAATTTTTCAATGAGCCAATTGCGGAGCCCCTCGGGCATATGGATGAATTGAAGGGCAGAATCATCCGAGGTTGTGCATTGGAGAGGTGGTGAGGGATGGGGGTCAGATTAAAGAAGTTGAAGTGGAGGGATCCATGGATGGCATCCCGAGGTCTACTAGTAGTACTAGTAGTATCTATACTGGTGGTATACTCCCTCGGTAGGATACTTTCAGCCCTGCCAGTGGAGTGTTGAATCTGGAATTACTGTATTTGCTATACTACAGTACTTTCATGATGCATCATGATCATTCTTGCTCCTGCTCGACCCCCACTCTTGACCTTTCACTTCCACCTCTTCTACTCTCATCCTATATGATGACTGACCTCGCTACTAGTAGTATACATGACTCCAATCGGACCTTCGCACTGACGACGGATTCTTGTTTCCAATCTGGTGATCCTCTCCCAGTCAACCTACTTTCTCATCCGCCAGTGCGGACACACCCCACCCATGTCGATCTTCACACCCGAGCCTGAGAGAGCCTGAGAGAGACTCGGAACTTCGGCATCAAGAACGCCAGAGGCCCAGAGCAAACACCAACCCCAGCATGTCTAGGAAAAAGATGAAGGGATGACAAGTAAGATCGTCATGTCGATCTACCAGGCCATGTTTCATCATCGCCTGGGCAGTTACAGCTGTCTGTCGAAACGGTCAGTTCCAGCTGTGATCCTATTCAGCTCTTTGAATCGACCCAAATGATACGCGATGTGAGCATATATGGTACAATTCCAGACTAGCAGCGGCGCATTTGGCTAGTAAAAGAACCGGCGCTTAGCACTAGAAGACTCGGCTACAAGACCGAGCTCAGGGACTGGCTGCACGATGAAGTGCGACCGAGCTTTGCCCCATATTTTATCTGTTTCAGGCCGTGCAGTGGATAGCAGTGGGTCGGTGTTCGTTCAAGTTCAATGCTGTACTCCGTACTGTAGTACTCGTACTCCTCGACGCGCCCGCAACCACGACATGCAGTATCGGTAACCGCCAGGGGGAAATACTGCAGGTTGTTTCAAAAGACAAGAATAGGTTTTGTGAAAACCAATCAGCCATGAGAATCGAACGCCAACTGTGTCTTGACTCTTGACAAGGGGGAGTTCCTCAGCCCTGCGCTTGGCAGGGCCCCAGTTTGTGTGTTGTTGGGCGGGGGCGAACCCTTTCAAAGGAACTGCGCAGTGTACGGAGTAGCCACTGTCCGTTTCATCTTGGACTTCCCCCCTTTCATCCTTTCCCTCTTTCAATTACTCGTACTCTCTTTCAGACACTCTACACTACACTCTTTCAGCCACTTTCACTCATTCTTCCCCTCAGTCCATTCATTCCACTCTATTATTACCAGCCCCAATCACGCATTGCGCATTCTTTCGCCAGATCCACTGAATCCACCCCTTTCCAGGGCGCTCAGACAATAAAGCGATCATCTCTCACAACGCTTGGCGCTCGATCGATCAGCATTGTCGATACATACCTGCATCTCTCCACGCAGCCGCTGTCCACGCATGCCTTTTTGAAACATAGATCGCCTACTGTCAACTCAACCGCCAGGGTCGGTTATCCCTCTCTTGCCAGCCTCCCGTTACAACCTCCCGTTATGTGCTGTGCACGCGATTAAACAATCGCATCTGTCGCTCTTTCGTTCTGGGCTTTGTCTTTGCCCGTTCTTTCAACTCGACACTTGAATCACCTTCCCAATTGTGACTTCTATCGGCTGGCCCGAGGAAGTTCACTTGTCCTCCCTTACACCTTACGCGTGCGACACCCGTTGAGAAAACATCCTTGATACCCCCTACCTGGCAGGCCCAGGCCCTCTTCTTTCGCAATGGGATGTGGCGGAGATCGCGAGAAAGGAAATATAGCGCTGGAGGAGAAATGGGACTACGTGGTGAGTGGTTGTCGTGCTCCTCTTCATTGAAGCGGCCCAGAAGATTGCGAACAAGCCTATTGCTAACTTGGATACCCTCTAGAACCTGAACGATTTCAAATCCGAATCGTGCTGGACCCCCTTCTCATACTTCTTTCTCTGGTTATTCCTCATCATCTCACTTGCCGTCTATGGTGTCGATACATTTACCGCGGTCAATTTATTGGCCTTCTCCCGCTGGTCTGGCCGAGTCGAACCAGCAATTCCCTTCAGAATTTCGCGCTGGATTTTCGCAGTGTGTATTATCGTCTCATTCGCACTTCTTGCCTATCGATGGATTCTCGCCATTCGCGCCATTCGCTCTGGCAGTATCCCCAAAAGTTATCTGGATCCTCTCGCGGTCCGAATACAGAGTGTCCGCGTGTTTGGTTCCAAAGGCCAGGGCTGGAAACGCTTCCTTGTCTTCGCTGAATTGACGAAGAGTAAGAAGGGTGCTGAGTATGTCGCTCTATATACCTATTTCTCTTTCCAGTTCTGGATGAACACCATCTTTGCGGATGGACCTCGACAAGTCATCAACGCCATCACCTTGTACTCTGTCATGAAAGCCGACCTAGTGCCCGGTGGTGAACATACCACCAAGGATGACGATACCTCGCCAGTCCTCCAATTCTTCAATAATATTAAGATTCTTGCCGAAGAAAATAACCTCCAAGCAGTTGTCTTGTTTGGTATGCTCTTCACCCTGTTTATCTGGGTCTTGTCGGTGTTGAAGTTGTTGTCAGCCATGATCCTGTATTTGGTCTTCCTTTTCCACCACATTTCACAGAAGGATGGTACTCTGAGAGCCTACTGCCGTCGCAAGATTAGCACCCGACTCAAGCGAATTGTTCGGCACAAGGTTGACAAGGCTCTTGCCAAAGGGTTCCAGCTCCAGAGTCGCACGGCAACACAGCCCAGTTTGGCAAGCTCAGATTCGAAGCCCACACTGCCTGACATGGACAAGGGACCAATTGTGACAACATTGTCGCGCAGTACTACGGAAACAACGATGGCAACTCTGCCTCCGTATACTCGAAGTAATTCTGCAGCTACCGAAAGGAACCCAACCTTGCCGAATGTCCAAATGGATATGAAGCCATCATTAACTCGCTCGACTACGCAGTCTTCAGGAATTTCGGAATCAGCTTCGTTGACCAACAACGCGGCTTCAATGGGTTATAGTCCTCTGGATCGTCAAAACTCTCCATTGCCTCCTGTCCCACCACTACCCGTCGGGGTTACCCCCGCAAGAACAGGCTCGGTTCCGTCGCGCTCGACGCCTGGACCTCGTACTGGCCCAGGGGCCGAGCCCTTCAACCCTTTTACCCCAGCCAAAGACCCGTATGGCCCATCAACAACACCCGCACCGTTCGATTACTTCAACGGCTCTCATAACACTCCTCATGACGACTATTATGAGGGCTCTGGCGACATGTATGGCGAAACCGGGGATTATGATTATTATGGAGGGCCAACGACCCCCTATAGTCAGATGGCCGCTCCTCGCTCCCAAGGATATGTGCCTCAAGACCCTTACCAGGCTCGGTCTTATACACCAGCTAGCACTGGCGCACCCCCTGGCCCACGGGCCGATGTTCAAAATCCATACCAATCCAGGTCCTATACTCCAGCAAGCGCGCAGGATCCATACCAATTTCGGTCATACACACCCGCCAGCACTGGTACAGGTCCCCGCTCCCAGGGTGATAGTCAAAATCCGTACCAGGCCAGGTCTTACACCCCAGCCAGCACTGGCGCAAACCCGCAGGGTGGCACTCAAGACCCATACCAAGCGAGGTCTTACACTCCAGCAAGTGCAGTTTCGGCGCCGCGCTATCAGACAAGTGGGCAGGATCCGTACCAGGCTAGATCATATACACCCGCAAGTACTGGCGCTGGGTCGCGATCTATAACACCAGCCACTTATCATGGCACCCCTGCTCCTGAAAGGAGCCAGCAGGGTGTCCAACCTCCACCAAGAGCGTATACTCCCATGGACTCTGCCCAAAGCGGAAGTTACACATCATTCAACCCTGCAGGATCGGCGTCTACACCGCAGCCGCAGGCTCAAAGGCAAATGCCTTCTGCACCACCGGGCCATCGGCCGTTTACCCGTGCAAACACGGGATCCACATCAATGAACCGTGATGGTCCACCGGCTGGGTACGGCTTCAATCGCGCCAACACCAATCAATTTTGATCGGATACCTCTGGAGGACTTCCGTGAATTAAGACACGATGAAATGCAGAGTAGCTGGATCTTTCTGTACTTGATGACCCGATCGTTGATACCCTCCACGACCAGCGAGCGAGTCTCTTGGATTGTATATACCACATACCCATACCCCCTTCGTTCATGAATTTTCTCGATCACTCGTTCCACAGATCTCTTAACATAGACCAATTTCAATTGAAGTCTACATTGATGCTGCAATAATATAACTACGTACTCTAAAAAATATCTATTAATACTCCGTACTGTCACTGTAAGTAGCTGTGGATCATGTGACTAGCTCCACCCGGCTAATCCCCTAACGCCGCCCGTTATCTTTCCCCAGTCACTCATGGGAAGCTGTGCTTGCATGACTGCTGCACCTCGATCTTTGCAGACTATACGCCCCGAAATGCGACTTGGTTGAATAACTATCACCTCTCCTTTTTTACATAGCTTGATTTTCCTCTCATATCCTCCGGTCGCGTATCTGTGCCTTCTCCCGACTCCACCGCCACGAACCGACAATCGCCTGGTTCTCTTGTCGGATCTGGGGCCGAACACGGATAATGCGAACAACGGCCACGTACTCACGTAACGTGATACGAAGAGAAACGCATCGTACACGCACACGACCCGACATTCGACCCTAAAAGGGCCACGATGAGCCCTATGGCTGAGGACGCTGTCTCCAAAACAAACGGGAATGGAACGGTAAAGCTCGCCGGAGACAACTCGCCACTTTCTGAAGGACAGAATGGGAATGGGATGTTGACACCCTCGGAAACGGATGCTAGCGAGAATGCAGTCCTTGATGAAGCGCCTCCGGAGGCGTCCGCGACTCAAAGTGGAAATCATACCAGTGGGCACTTAGTCGAATCGCCGGAGGAGGGCCTCGGGATATTGGTTGAAAGCCAACCTGGCGACTTCAATAAGCGTGGACGCACTTCTATCGTGAATCTTCTGGGCGCACAAAACGCAAAGGTGGCTTTGGCAGAGCTCGTTGAAGATTCGATTCTGCGGCCTACAGACGAGAAGGAAAAGGTCTTGAAGCTCTCCCCGGAGAAGATCCAAGAACTTACATCTTCCCCTCAGTCAATCCCCTACCGGGCTATAGAACCAGATGCAACAACTGGAAGACGAACTGTGTCCGAGAATGTCCCCTCGAATGCTTCGCTGGATCGATCAGAGGTCAGAGGCACTGTGCGGGACTCCCTGTTGCAATCCCTCAGCGAGTCCACCTCTTCCAAGACAGATGTGTCTCTAAAGATCCGCCCACCAAAGGAGTTCTCGCTGGACGAGTCGCCGTTGCCTACTAGCCCGGTCGCTCCGCGAAATGGCGCTAGTGGACCAGTTCGAAACCGACCCCATGCAGCGCGCACATTCTCGACACCTGGTCTTTCGCGGCGCCCGAACTTTGCGGCACCTAGTAATGAACGTCTGTCCCAGACCTGGGCGACACGCTCGAGACAAGACCGACCTGCTGCAGACCGTGATTTGAAAACCCATCTTGCAGCATCACCTCAGATTGTCGAGTCGCCTCTGACATCTCCCATGCCGCCAGCTATCCCTCTCCCTCCCGTTTCGATACCCACATATCTTCAACTTGAGCTTGCATCTGGTCGTCCTTCACCACTGTACATTCATCGTGCTTCGAACAGCGATTTCCCTTATGAGTCGTCCAGCGCCAAAATCGAAAGATTATTGAACTTTTTAATTCTCCCACCCGCGCTTGAGCAGGTACTCTGTTTCGGGTCACTGGCTTGTCTCGATGCTTGGCTTTATTCATTCACGATTCTCCCACTCCGCTTTGTGAAGGCTTTGTATATGTTATGCGAGTCATGGGTGATGAATATGCAGGGGGAGGCCCGCTCTATTTGGAGATTCGTCGTCAACGGCGTCGGGCGAGTTTGGCGGAGAAGAAACCTGTCTTCTGGAGATGACCACGGAGAAAGACACGGAAGCGAGCCTGATGCGACGCCTCGATTACCCAATGGATCTTCTGCGCAAGATCTTTCTGCATTGGATCGGGAGCACCGATCTCGACATGACCAAGCAAAGCGACGACACCGTGGCTCTGAGTCTCGGCGGCATCATCGTAGACAAAAGTCAATCCCATCGGCCCTGCTTCCAGACGACAAGGCAGATATCCTTACAGGGCTGCTCATGATAGCGACCTGTTGCGCTTTAATGTTCTTCGATGCCAGTCGAATGTACCATTGGATCCGTGGACAAGCTGCCATCAAGCTCTATGTAATTTACAATGTGCTTGAAGTTAGCGACAGACTCTTGGCCGCTCTTGGTCAAGATGTTCTAGAGTGTCTATTTTCACGCGAAGCTCTTGAGCGTCGTCCAGATGGTCGAAGTAAAATCTTCCGTCCATTTTGGCTTTTCTTGCTCGCTCTGGGCTACACCGTGGCGCATTCGACCTCCCTGTTCTACCAGGTCATGACTTTGAATGTTGCTGTTAACTCCTACTCGAATGCTCTGATCACGCTTCTGCTGTCTAACCAGTTTGTGGAGATCAAGTCGACTGTTTTTCGCAAATTTGAGAAGGAGAACCTCTTTCAGCTCACCTGCGCTGATGTTGTCGAACGGTTTCAACTCTGGTTGATGCTCACCATAATTGCGTCCCGAAATATCGTTGAGACGGGCGCCTTCAGCTTTATTGGGGACTTGAGCTTGGGATCAAGTTTCTCTTTTTCTGCCCCGTCTACCAGTACGAACAGCACGCCGTTGTCTACGCCTCCGCGAACTGCATCCTCGATCCTCCCTCAGTCGTTCACATTCTTTCCCTCTTCCATCCTGTCTTCCGTCAGCAATGTCAACTCATTTCTTCCCACATTGGCACAAGTTCTTGGCCCTTTCTTGGTGGTGCTGGGATCTGAAATGTTCGTGGATTGGTTGAAACATGCCTACATCAGCAAGTTCAACAATTACCGCCCTGCTCTATACCGTCGGTACCTAGACGTCCTGGCTAAAGACTACTACACGAATGCCTTTGGTGACCAGAACTTGACCCGTCGTCTGGGTCTGCCCGTCATCCCGCTCTCGTGTCTCTTTGTCCGTGTGTCAGTGCAGACATACCAAATGTTCCTGGCGTCTTTAATGCCGCAACACCCCTCCTCAACAGCTATGGAGTCGACATCTCTGTCATCTATCCATAACCACTACGCACCCTCCCCTATTCCATCGACAACCCCTCTCACATTCCAAACATTCATCCCGGTGTCCGTCGCCCACGTCAACGCCCTCTTCCGCACCCTCCTCGCAAACGCCATCCCATCTCCAGCACAATCCGTCCAAATATTCACGGCCATCCTAATATTAACCGGGTTTATCATCCTGCTCATACTCAAACTCCTTCTGGGAATGCTTCTTCTCGCCTTCGCTCGCTCTCGCTACAAGAAGATGAAAGCTGGTGAAACGGAGCCTCGCAAGTTCTCTCATGCATTGTCACAACCACAGCCTGCAGCTGAAACACCTGCACAACGAAAGGATGAATTCAACGTTGAAGGAAGCCGTCGTGCGGGTGGTTGGGGCATGGTGGAGGTCGGGGATGAGAAGCGCCGTTGGATATATGCCGATGACTCGGATGGACTTAAAAGGATCAAGGAGAAGGAGGATCGGGATAAGAACAAGGATAAGGATTTGAAGATCGACCATGTGCAGCGGTATGAAATGGTTGCCAAGAAGATCTGGTGAATGGGCGATTGTGCCCAGGGATTAAGAAAAAAACAGCTGGGGAGCTGCTCGTGGTGAAATACTTGAAATACTAGTGTATCTTAGTAAGCAACCTTATATACATGATTCCATAATATTTATGAGTGTATTTATGACTCCATTTTGAATCATGGCCTGGAAAGAGTCCAGCCCGGGCATCTGGAATTCCAAAACGTGGTGGTGTTTAGAAGAGACTCTTCGGAGTGACAAAGGTCCTCATTTATCTTCAGTACTAGGTCGTGGCTTATGGGCTCGGGATCTAGAACAGACATTCTCAAACAGATCAGTTTGCATGAAACTCAGCTGACGACTACCACATCCATCAGGGGATTCATTCAAGTCCCAATTATCAGATGATCATCTGAGTGAGTGGGTAGCCCAAACTCAAATATGGAAGTGGATCGACCACTAGGCTGTGCTTTTTTTGAAGACGCCGTTTGCTCCTCGGGCTACAGACACTAGTGGTATACTTGACTAGAGTCCTGCTACTTTCAACTCAAGAAGCTTCTTTGAAAAATCGGACCGCAGACAGGCCAGATTGATCTTTCATGGCTTGGAACCCAAACCTGAAACGTATTTTGATGGGGCTTCATGGGACTTCTACCTCAACAGCCCAATGTGGGGACCCCCCTGACAACGACAATAATTAAACTCCTTCTCTCTGTTCAATTCCATCGCTCTAGGCCTTCGGCGGTATCTCTCCGGGGAAATAAACTTGTGTCAGATAGACGTAGCTAAACAGATCCTTGATCGTATTGTCTCGGAAACACGGCCGATGGCCAAACTGGCAATACGCATATAAATATCAACTAGATCGAATTCTACCTGACGGATTCACTAGCAAGAAACTCAATTCGAATCAAAAACTTCAAAATGCACTTCACTAGCCTGCTCACCCTTCTGGCTGCCCCGGCCATCGTTACAGCCACCCTGGACCCGGCTTCATCGAACACCAAGGGCAAGAAGCCCAACAACCTCAACTGTAGTGGTAAGTAATACTATCTTCCAAGATTCAGCGATCAATTTCGTCTTCGTTCAGCAGAACCGAAAATCCATCTTTGAAACCTATCACTGGTATATCAACTCACACTGGGCAATCTATTAGCTGCCGCCACTTCCAACGCCATCCAGGCTGCCGAGTGCTCCCACAACACTCGCACCTCAACCACCCAGACCTTTGCCGTCTTCGAGACTGACCACCAATACGACGCTAACAACGGTGCTCCCTACGGTACATGCACCGCTTACACCTGCGAAGGCCCCAGCAGCAGTGAGTTGGAGACCGACTCCGACTACTGGATCTTCTACTGGAGCGATGATGGAGAAAGCTCCGGATACGGCACCACCTGCATCAAGGACCCCAACACTGGAGAGTGTGGTTGCGAGAACTCGGACGGTACTTTTATTGCTGGTAGCTCTAGCTGTACTTAGATTTTGTCGCTGACAGTGGGCTGGAGTGGATTTATCCAAAAGTAACCAAAGTCAGTCAAGGGAGGGGTCGCTACTCTTCTACAATTTGTATAAATTAGCAGGCCTGGAGCCAGCCAAGATTCTTACCTATTCTTAAATGAGGGCATCCTTTGAAGCCATCGCGGTGGAGAATCAAAGTGTATGATTGTAAATGTGAGAATGTCTTATATTTTGTAGACCATCGATGACTCCGTAAAGAAATTTAGAATCCAAGATCACCCGATGATCCAGCAAAATATTAATCAGATACAAAGACGAAATAGAGATGCAAGCACAGGTATAAAAGTTGTAATCAAATGCTAAAAGAAATATATTTTAGTTTTCGAACCAAATGGACCGGTTCGAGCTTTTAGGCAACGGCCTGTGGTGTTTGGAAGGGAGCGTGCAAATCCAGAGTATTGTTGTTGGCAGGGGAGTCTGGCAGGGCACGAACACTAGAGGACTTATCCGTAGGTCCACCGAGCGCCATGAGAATCTGTTCAGAGGAAGCATCGCTGAGACCTGCGGACTTAAGGCTTCGTCCGTGCTCAAAGTAGTCGAAGCCACTGACGACAGAAGCCATTTCGATAAGGGAGCGGATAGTAGGCGAAGGCAAACCAGCCTTCAGGCCGAGCTCGTACCAAGGCACCATTCCGTACAGGATATCCTCCAATAGGTAACGGTGCTTCATGCTAGTGGGGGCACTCTTGGTCTTGTTGTGGATGACTGAACCGGCAGCGAAATCATGGTAGTCGGCGAATTCCCGGTCATGGCTATAGTTTTGGTTCATGTAGGTAGTAATAGGGATGATCTCGAGACCATAGGCACGACCAATGGCCAGACGCTCCTGGTCGACCTTCTCGGTCACACGGGAGACAGCAGGGGACATGCCCTGGGCGTAGAAAAAGAAGTCACCATTGGTGGCCTCGATCCAGCCAGCGTTCATAAGAGCAGCCGGGCAGTGAACGACTGGGTTGACATTGTTCAGACCAACTTCGAGCAGGTTCTTGCACCACACCAGGTTCTGCGAGAAAATTCCCTCGACTTGTCGGCGCAGGTTGGCCTCGGCGCCGGCATCAAGACGCTCCACTTGAGTGGTAGGGGGTTCGGCCCAAATGGCTAGACTCTTCTTGATACCCTTGATGAACACCTTGCCTCCAGTGATACGGACCGCGTAGGGGGAAATGTCTGTCTCGAGGATGGCGTGGGCATTGACCTTTTGACGGGCGGCGAGGTAGAAGAAGTTGCCGACGTTGATGATCAAGGTGTGGTTGCGGAGGTCAAACTGGCTCAGGGTGCGCAGGATAGTGTCTTGACCATAAGAGGGAACAGTGGTGACAATGAAAGAAGAGTGGCGGATAGCGAGGTAGAGGTCACTGGTTGTCTGAATTTGGTACTTGCCCTCAAAGGCTCCGTCGGCCTCGAGCCAGCCTCCGTTCTCTTCAATCATAGGAATGGCACCACGGTGGTCTGGGTGGCCATAGAGCATGACAGACTTTCCACGGCTAGCCAGGTCGGCAGCAAAGGCACACCCACAGGGTCCAGCACCGATGATAGTGACAGACGATACCGAGTCAAAGTTTGTGGAAGCCATTGTGTCTTTTAGGTTTTATCGAATAATTTTGTTGTCCGAATATAAAGAAGGGAGCTAGGATATAAAGAATGTTCTTGGTGAATTGACTGACAGCTACTATCTACCGAGGGAGATGTTCCCCTTTATATGTTGTTTTTCAGGGTGAAAGGTTGACTCGGATGAAATTCATAGAACCATAGAAGCACAGATCCTGGTCCCGGGTCCAGGAGTCGAAGGCGTTATTCGCTCACCTCCTGTTTGCCTTCGACCCATATCCCAGAATATGCCCTGATCTTCATATTACTACTCGTAGTAGTCGGAAAATTCCTATTTTACGTTATGAAAACCCCCTTGGCAGTTCCATACTTCATTGGAATATGTATGATGAGATCGCATTACGCGGTCTATACAGAAATTGGGAATATCTATAATTGGGATGGCGTGATCACAAGCTTGCGTGGGCTGGCATCTACGAGTATGTACAATACCTGTATGAGGTATGGAGCATAATGATGGGACCTGGATGATCATCCATGGATGTATGTACTAGCCTGTACTTCTCAGCTCAACAAATTCTCGGAGCCTGGTGGCGGCAAGCCGTATATAGTGGAGCGTCTTGCTGATGAGATCAAGGTGTGCGTAGATCCGCACGCAGTGAAGTCGGAGCATATGATTGAGTAAGTTGGAATTGATCATCATGCTAGCGCGTTTTGGGTGTCGATGATGTGCAGGCCCTCTCCTATTGTTTTATTCTACATTTTTATTCTACAGCTTATTCCTGCGCATTTTACCATCCTCCCTTTGCTCACACATAGAACAGAGATCAAAATACGGATCAGGGACGAGTTGGGGAAAATCGGCAGTTCTATGTCCTTTTAGACACCTTCATGTGGCAATTACACATGTACTTATCAGATGAAAATGTGAAGGGTGAAGGGAGCTATGACGCACTGCATTATAAAAGCATTTGATCCTGGTGACGAAGAGGGTTCGCCCAGCCATGATGGATCCCGGGTAGATCAGGGTAGATCAGTGGGTGCTAGGTGGACCTCAACGCGCACTAAGACATTCGAGACCAATTAGACCCTGATATCCGAACACGGTTCATCGGAGCCCCGACTCTCGGGGACCCTGAAGAAGACAGGCCAGGGGAAGCTACGTTTCAACCACATCAAACCACCGATTCCCGTGGCATCCCGGCTCCGTAGCGTGGCCGTCCATCGTCCATCGGCGACCCGTTTTGCTGCAGAAATCCTCCTACACAGCCACAACCCGAACGACACGCCTGGGGGCGACCTTGCCGCCCGGAGGTGAATTTATTTCCATTTTCATTTTCCCTCGGAAAATGAAGCTGGCTGATGATTTTCGGTGTCTGTATTCATTTTTGAGATGGCCGATCACTCTTGGCAAATCCGGTTCCATCACCTCATCATCACAAACTTTCTGACTTTTGTTGTAGTGGAACTGCCGCGTCAACCTGCACGAAACCTGGGGAATATTTGTTCGTAATTCTATTTTCTCCGGTGGCCCCATGAGTGATGTAGGGGTTGCCAGAAAGTAAAAAGGGGATATGGGATCCTCGCTGAGAGACTCTTGAACATCAAATTCTTTCACTCCTTTCCCTCGGCTCCATCGCCCTCAAGCTTCGACTTCGAACATTCATTCCTTTCCCATGGTTCTATAATCCATGACCAACCGAATTCAACAACCATGAACTCAGAAATCACACTCGCTGAGGCACCACCTCCCCCATATAGCTCGTTCAGCAATGGCATGAAAAGATACATTGTATTTACAGCTGCTGGAGCGGGTTTCTTTTCTTCTCTTTCCGCACAGATTTACTTCCCGGCTCTGAACACACTGGCTGAAGATTTGAACGTCTCGACGTCGTTGATCAATTTGACAGTAACGAGCTACATGGTATGCATGATCCCTTTCATCAACCAAATCAATGACAACTTTCTTTTTGATAAAACTTAGAAGTGACCTGACATAATAAAATTTCCAGATCTTCCAAGGAATTGCTCCTATGTTCATCGGTAATTTTGCCGATCAGACTGGACGTCGACCCGCCTATATAATTTGCTTCATCATCTACATCGCATCGAATATCGGTCTCGCAGTGCAAGACAACTATGCTGCGTTACTTGTACTGCGATGTATGCAGAGCTCTGGAATCAGCAGCAGTGTAGCGCTCTCCGCTGCTACTGTGGCCGATGTCAGCACCAAGCAAGAACGAGGCTCAATGATGGGTATTGTGATGGCTGGAAACTTTATGGGACCAGCCATTGGCCCCATCATCGGTGGTCTTCTTGCTCAATATCTCGGTTGGAGGTCTATTTTCTGGTTTCTGACCATTGTGTCCGGGGTCTATTTAATTCCACTGCTTTTATTTCTTCCCGAAACTGCACGCAATGTTGTTGGTGATGGTACACTTCCAGCGCAGTCATGGAATCGTCCCTTCGTCCAGTATCTGTTCTCTCGCGAGAAAGTGACCGAAACCCTGTCTCATGCCAGCACGGAGGGTTCTGATCGGCCCTCAACTGGTAAATCGACTCTGAAGCCCCTGCACAAACTCAGTTTCCCCAACCCACTTAAACCACTTGCGGTTGTATGCCATCCAAACTCGATCATTATTCTGATCGTCACTGGTATTATCATGGGCGGCAACATGACTGTCCTCTCGTCGATCACAGAGATCTACAGCAGCCAATATAATTTGAGTATGCTTCAAATTGGCCTCTGCTACATCACTTTGGGCACCGGGTCAATTGTGGCCTCTGTCACTACGGGGCGAATGCTAGACTGGAACTATCGACGGATGGGATCTGAACTAGGCAATGATTCCACCACGGGGGAAAAGAATTCCGAAGACGCGATCCCGGTCGAGAAAGCTCGCAGCATGATCACCATACCTCTTGTCATTATGGGAAGTGTTACCGTACTTGCGTTTGGCTGGGTCCTCCAATACGCAGCGCCTTTGGCGGCTCCAGAAGTTTTACTTTTCTTTGTTGGAGTCGGACAGACAGGCGGGTTTATTAGCACCTCCACATTACTGGTGGATCTGCACACGTCGCAACCTGCCGCCGCAACTGCGGCCAACAACCTTGTTCGTTCGTTTTTCTCAGCCGGTGCGTCGGCTGCCATCGACCCCATGCTGAAAGCTATGGGCCGAGGGTGGTCTTTCACGCTGGTAGCGTTCATTTTACTAAGTACTATTCCTTTCCTTCTATTGCTCTGTGGTTTCTGGAGATTTAAAAAGACTCCCAAGAATGAAGAGGCCTCGAAAGCTTGAGCGGCGTTGCTATTATATACCCATTTTCAACAGATGAGTACGAATCAACATCACATAGAGCATTCCTCTCGCTGGAAAAAATCTTTCATTTATTCACCTTTACTTGTATCGATTACTTAATAGAAATAGCACATAAAAGCTTGTTGACCTTCGATCAAAAGTCCGGAATCAAGGAGTGGATACTAATCATTAGTTAGTAGGCCTTAGCGCCGGCGGAGTGAAGCGCTGCCTTGTTAAGACGACAGCGGACCTGCGCGAGCTCCACCACACTCCACCACTTCAGCCTTCCTCCCCCTTATCTCGCGAATCGCGCTTGCCATCTCCTGGAATCTCATCTGATAATTTCAACTCGGGCTACGGGGTGTCTCCATGATGGATCGTCGTGTGCAGCCCAAGCGTACGTTCAAAATCAGAACTAGATTCGGCAGCGCAAGGAACTGGAGGAGTCGGAAGAATCGACCATGTGATACATGTCGTCGGAGGAAAACAGCTTGCGTGATTGAATCAGAGCCACCATGTAGGGTTTCATTCATTTTCTTTCCAGCATGTGCCAGGACGGTGGCAACTTTCATCCTCTTTTTTAACGAAACTCGCAGGCCGATTTTGCCGCTCCAGAGGGCTCTCCTGTCGATCTGCAGAAGATGAGGGCCCACCTGAACTGCTTGAGGAAGAGACGGGACGATCTGCTGGTGCATCGAGTCGGGCATCCACGGGGGAAGTAACAGAAACTGCATACGGCGCAGGAGGTGCGACATCGCTCCTGAATGCACCATCCCATACTCGTACTCACGAAACAGCCATTGGCCGAGGAATGTTATCCCCCCTTAGCCATGGAAATTCCGAGGAAGTACAGTGGACGATACAGGAGGCGCCGCAGGAAAGCGGATCACTAGAATCATTTTCTCAGACTTTCGAAGGTTCCCCGATATTGACGCTGGAAGACAACAAGAACCGAACAGCTCATAATATGGGTCTATGTGCTGAGCAAGACACAGATCTCTTAGCTTCGTTCCGATCGGTCATAATGAACGAACAAGATGGAGTGAGTGCAGATATAATCCAATTCGGCCCTGGGGACCCTCATAGGGGGATTCCTCCAGTCCACTTCAATATCATCCATGACGAATTCCAGCCTGCAGATGATATTGCCAAAGCGCGCGCATCAGACAGCATCGAATCTATGGTCGGGTTACATGGACCAGTCTTGGTACGATTGTTCTTCCAACATGTCCATCCTGTGTACTGCGTCGTTTCAAAAACCAGATTCCTCGAGTGCTACCACACAGAAAAGCTCAAAATTCCCGCCTCTCTACGTGGTGCTATATATGGACTTGGATCAATGTTTTGGCAGAACGAGCCTGGTCAAGAGACGCTACCGTTTGATCTACATGATCTCTTTGAAGAAGCTCATTCATCCTTGCAGAGAGAATTACATGCGCCAAATCTTTGGAAGCTTCAAGCTTGTCTCTTACTTCTTTATGAGAGACCTGCGGATAACGCGACGATTGAAACACCACGTACGTGGATTCAGTCTGCCCAAACCGTGGCGTGTGCTCAGATGATTGGTCTACATAGAGATCCAACAAATTGGAAGATTGCGTCATGGGAAAAGAAACTACGTAGGAAATTATGGTGGGCTACCTACAATGCTGACATATGGTCGTCCGTGTGTCATGGAAATCCTCCTTTAATATATCGGGAATCTTTCACAACCGCTGAACCCGACAGAGAATGCCTCGAATTTGATGAAGATCTTCCAGACGATCTTTCTTGTCTGGTCGATGGCTTCAGCAAGAGTATTGATATCTCTACCACAGCTCGATTTGTTCAATCAGTTAAGCTAAACAAGATTCTGCATAATTTGATTGACTCGTATTAGTGAGTATCATACAATATTATACCCCGAAGACACAATATACTGAATATAGCAACAGCTCCGACATCGCACATGAAATATCTATGCAACAGCCTTTGCAGCGAGAGGAGGGGTTACTGGAAATTAAAAGTGATCTTGAGGAATGGGTTTCAATGATGCCAAGATGCACGACAATGACATACACCCAAGAATCGCTTAACTTCAGGAATAATGGTACCAATGAGGAATTTTGATATTTCATCCAGGTTTTAATAAGTGATTAACTTTTCTCTGCAGCGCCTTTAAATCTCGCATTCTTTACAGTTCAGGCCCTCCTTTATCGGGCTATAATGAGCCCTGCGAAAATGACTGCGAAATTAGATCAAAATTCATCTCTTCGTCGCCATTTCGAGCTTGCCGTTAGCTCCTTTCGAGAATTTACCCTATTCATGCATGGAATTACGCGACAATGCTTGCATGCTTACTGGGGTGGACGTGTGTAACCTCTACACCCTTCTTCCGGGCTATGAAATTGACATTACTCTTGTTGCTAGATGCCCGTTCACAGCTAACACTCTGCGGAAACTTTTTGATATACCTATTTTTACTAGCATCAACTCCTGCCCAAGTCCACTCGGCCTTTGAATTATTGGAAAGTTTTCACGAGTCCCTTCAAAGGCTTCGAGAATGGGCAGTTGACGATGCATCCCTTGCTTTAGTCCGACCTGTGGCATTGCGAATTGACTCCTTCTTTACTCAGGCGGCGCGAATAATGAGGACTGAAATGGGAACGCATTGAATAGAACTGTGATGACTGTTCTTTTCTTTGCAAATAGTTGGAACAATTACAATTTTGTTAAATTTGAAATTGAAGTGTACGACGACGCTGCACGATATTATCTATGGTTGTAACTACTCATATGCTCAACCAAAAACATCAATGACACTTCGAGGCTTGCTGTACTTGCCAATGGGAGCATATTGAACCTCTTTGAATCCCATTGAGCCCGGCCCTCCCAATTCCATTCCTCTTTTACTGTCAGTCCATCTCGGCGAAGCAGCTATGGCGATGATAACCACTTTTAGGCCATACTTGTACTCTGGTGTTCCAAGACCAGCCCCAGTCTCTGCATCTATCACAGCAATCAGATCCGGCACAGATGCCAGGATCTTGGATTTTCCATCCGATATCGCTTCAACAAAGGCATTTTCGTTCTTGAAAGGAACTTTGATGAGCGCCTTGGTTCCGTCCCTCGTTGTGCCATCGACTTCCAGGACACCATACGTGTGCCCAGTCTTCAGTATTCGCTCAACACTAATAACCTTACCTCTTGCAATAATTGCCGCGCTGTCTGGGCCTCCGACTTCATCAATTATGCGAAGGGCTTTGTCTGAAATGTTTTTCTCAAGTGCTACTGCTCTTCCAATCCACCAGGCAAGTGACACGGTATTCGTTACAGCCTGCTCCTGGACAACTTTGGCAGTTTTAGGCGCTCCGGCACTCCCAGCTCTGCACCCCATCTCCACACAAGCCGCTCGAAGGGCTTTGTCGACTAGTACGTCTGTTCGGGACCTAGTCATCGTGATAAACGATCCATCGCCGCTTGCAATGGTGTTCGGGACAAGGGCATCACCACTGGGTGGTCCATAAACATTCGGGGTGATCTGAAATGTGGTCGGGTATGCGCGGCCCATGAAATCGGCGTCCACGCAGGGTACCTCGTAATGGGCGGCCACGCTCAGATTAACGACTCCATTACCACCGCCTATTTCCAGTGACAAGAAGCCGGAAACTGGCGGGCTTTTCATGACGCGCATTAACTCTTCGTGGGCTTGAAGACACTCATTATTCTCAAGTCGTTCCATGCTAACCTCCGGGCTGCCCATACAGCCGGTCCATCCAATCAGAGACTCGTCGGGAAAGTGTTCAGGTGCGACAACTCTCATTTTCCCGGGATGTTGACGAACAATGGCCTTAGCTTTGAGATATTCTTGATATGGGTCTCCACCACCACCGCATCCAAGAATCTTACACCCATTGGCGATGAATGAGAGATCGGTTGGAGAAATGATCCACTGTCTATCTCTTACTTCTGGCCTATATGCCCGGATGTCGACTTCTTTGTCCGAGGCAAATTCCTGGCCACAGTGCTGTCGATGACTTGATGGATCATCTTCGAAAGAAGGAATCTCAATAGAATTTCCAGATGACTCCTGCTGCAAGACCACGTCTAGCTCTCCGACCGCTCTGATCACAATTCGTGCTTTTGCCTCTACATACTGGATCGGCAATATGGTTACCTCTGCAATTTGAATAGTATCAGGTCTGGCGCCATTTGAGATCGCTTTTTTGGTCGCAAGTTCGGATACCTCCTCCTGTGCATCCTTGACCGTTCGGTTGGATGTATCGATGACAGTATCGATCACCCCGGAAACTCGTGATACAGCAGCACCAACGGCATTGGCGACTTCACCACCCTTGACAGTTCGCACCATGCGTACGCCGGAAAGAGGTTCATCGGTCCGAATTATAGGAGCTCCCCCGCCAACAATGAGAACATCGACCTCGCCCTTCTGGATCTTGGTTCTGTCCACGAGGTCCTCTATTTTTCGCCTCATCTCAATCTGAGCTTGCATTACCACCTCGGGTGTCACGTCTCCAAGACGCTCAGGGAAGCCCATCCCCGAGAACGGATTGTGACCTGTAGGTGCATGTAGCTCCGATGCAGCAACAATGTCAGTAGAAGTCAGAAATTCTCCGCCGAATAGTCTGGCCTTCTCAAGAAGCTCGAGAGCAACGCTATCCGGACCGACGGAGATAGCCCCACCATCCATAGTCCGGATAATAGAGCCGCCCCCCTAACCCGATGCTCTCAACCGCGGGAAGGGCGAAGTTGGTACGAACTCCACCGACAAGACTCATTATAGAGCTCATCCGTGGCAAACCATTCGGAAGTAGCAGCCCACTGTCGGATGTTGTGCCTCCAATGTCGATCACCACCAGGGGCTCGGTTCTTTTGCCATACTTTTCACCATCTGCCTCGGCTGCGGCTCGCCATAACAGCTCCCCGCCACGGATGGAATTTGTCGGTCCAGAATTAAAAGTCCGAATAGGCAACTCAATGGCTTCTGAAGCACCGAGAACACTACCATCATTTTGAGTGAGATATAGTGTGTAGGGACTTCCTTTGAAAATGTTTTCCATCCCTTTTCGGAACCCATATATTGTTTTCTCGGCCAGTGGTCGCAATGTGGCATTTAGAATTGCAGCATTTTCGCGGGCAAGAAAACCCAGCCCAGACACCTCATGTGATAGTGTGATTCGAGGCTTGAAGCTCGATTTTCCGTTATCGGACATGCAACGTAGGAGAATTTCCTTGGCTTTTGTCTCATGCAGATGACTTATTGGAGAATACATGCCTGCAATAACAATGTTGGAGATATTGTTCTTGACCAAATCTTCTGACACGCGCTCAAGCTCCTTCACATCCAGAGGGCTAATTTCACTACCGGAAATTTGGAATCCTCCGTGGCAGAAGTAGATCTGAGGCGTTTCAATACGAGCTCGGAGATCAGCAGGAAAATCGATGAAGGGAGGAATTCCACGTCCAAACCCTTCTTCGGGCCCTCCACAAAGCCTGATGACTGCGACGCTTCGCAATGAAGATGAGCGTTGAACGACAGCATTGATAAAATGCGTTGTTCCAATAATAATGCAACCAATAGACGAGCGCGAGACATTGGAGGCGTCAATCACAGCTTGGACTGCATTGGTAATCCCTGTGGTGACATCCGGTGTCGTGGGCGCCTTATGAGATGCCACAATAGAGACCGGATTGAGAGAGATGAGTACTGCATCAGTATTGGTTCCTGTGGTCGAAAGGGTGAGTGTCATTACAATCTACCGAAGTCGTGCTTTTCCTTGGGCTCACCTCCGACATCAACTCCAATGCGGTATGCACATGCACGGTCATGAAAGTTTGCCATGATTTGGGCTAACAGGATTTTGGCAACAAATAGAGGCAAACCGTTTCACAAAGGGCAAATTTATCACATAGCATTTTAACCCCTCATGTAGGAGTCCTTCGATTGCAGTGAAAGCCCCTCAAAAGATACGCCATTGCGGGGTTTGAGTTAAGCGACGCAGTTCCCCGATCGCGATAACGCCAACCCATTTCAAGAAGGTGTGCGAGACAAGCTTGGCCAATCCACAAGGAAACGCATATCTCGCCGACAGGGCTCAATGAAGAAAGCGGACATTAGCCCGGCCCCGCACCTGTCAACATCCACCTCCTGGGCTACACGGCATAAAACGGCCGGCTCAAGCCGCCTCGATGGCAGAAACATACGTCTGAGTCCCAAGGTAAGCTCTTGCTACCTGCCACTTGGTGAAAATGGCTGCACCATCTTTCACTGCCTTAAGCATCCCGATAATCGATCTCGAGCGAGCCCGCTCAGGAGCTCCTGACGAAGTTACCCGAGCTGCCCAAGAAGTATATTTGGCGTTTAAGAACGTCGGATTCGCTTACATTAAGAACCATGGTGTCCCGCAAGAACTTATAGATGAAGCCTTTGAATGGGTATGGACCTCAACAGTTTCAAGTTTCCAGTGGTCTAAATTAACGATATCCATGAATATTCTGACACGGATTTCTAATAGAGTCGGAAATTTTTCGCCCTCCCTCAAACGGACAAGCAGAAAGCGCCTCATCCCCCAGAGGGCTGGTATCATCGAGGTTATTCCGGAATTGGTCGAGAGAAAGTCGTCCAAATGGAATTTGACAAAGAACGCATTGCCGAGAAACGAAAAACACCCGATGTCAAAGAGTCTTTCGAACTAGGAAACGAGTCTGACGAGCGCATGCCAAATATCTGGGTCCCCGATGAAGTTCTCCCAGGTTTTCGCGCATTCTTCACTAGATTTTTTGAGGTCTGTTCGGGTATGGAGGAAGTGATGCTAAGGACAATTGCCGTCGGCATGGGTCTGGAGAAGGATTTCTTCTTGGATTACCACCAGAACAAAACAAACCAGTGCAGACTGTTGCATTATCCCGCTGTGGAAGAGGATCTTCTGCGCCTCGGGAAGGCTGAGAGAATTGCTGCACATTCTGATTTTGGAACAATGACTATATTGTTTCAAGACCAGGTCGGTGGCTTAGAAGTCGAGGATATTCATGAAAAGGGAAAGTTCAATCCGGCTCCTTACATCCCAGGTACCGCAGTCGTCAATATTGGAGATCTTCTGATGCGCTGGAGTAATGACGAGCTCAAGTCTACTCTGCATCGAGTTCGTGCTCCGCCGCTCGTCGATTCACCCAATGGATCAGCAGGCCGTATGACACTTCCGCGCTATTCTATCCCTTATTTCATCAGCCCCGATCGAGACCGAGTCATAGATTGTGTCCCAGGATGCTATGGGCCAGATCGACCCAAGAAGTACGAGTCGATTACGAGTGGGGATTATATCTCAATGCGGATGAATGCGACCTACTGAGAGTACTAGTATACTGCGGATTTAATTTGGAAGCAAGATTAGTACTAGCATTATTATATATTGACCTCGGGAGAAATGAATTTTATGTGAGCACTGGCAGATAGAGAGAAATATCGTAAATAAACTTGCTATTTTGAAGAGCATATAGAGTACCAAGGTGTCAAGTCCGCGGTCACTTCAATTCTGTTGAAAACTTGAAGATTTCCAATCAAATTTCCTGGATCATTGCCAACCTTGGAAGTGTAGTATGCCACAAGAAAGCTTGAAGTCATCAATATATTTCAAATCTATCCATCTGGCAATAAGGTTTGCAACCTTCCGGATACTACTAGTATCTCTCAACCTTGTTGGAATTGTCAGAATCGTGTTTCATCATTGGACTTCCAAGATTGTCCACTTGGCAACGGTGGAACTTGTGAATATTTATGCTATATAGACAGTAGACAGTCTAGTTTTCAAACTCGAACAAATTAACTTTGGGTTCAAAAACTTTGCACAAATAATATGAAAGTCTCAGACAGAACTACAGGCAGTCTGTTTCTCCTCCTCTCCCCGGACCGTAGGCTTCTTCGTATCATCGAGCTTTGAAACCCCATACAGTATCTCGTCGCCTGAGAATGGGGACTCCTGACCAAGTCCAAAAGGAGGAAAAACATAAGACAGCATCCAAAACACGATAAAGCTCATAGCCAGGCCGATGAGGAATGTCAGATTGTACAAGCGTATCCAGCCGGTCCACTGACCCTCCGAATAAGAATTGACCGTAGCGACCAATCCAGCTAAATGATATTAATTGGTATAACCTTTGTTGTCGGATTTTATATTTACTTACGGATCAAAGGCCACATGCCAGCCAAGAAGGCCACAAAGGCTCTCCAATTGACCCCATCGTTAAACCAGTAAATGGATGAGCTGTCCCCGGTGTAAAGATCACCTATTTTCAATTTATGCTTTCGCACAATATGATAATCGGCAAGCATGATTCCTCTTTCATTGACGTCAGATGTAGTCGGGTATTATTCATTCTTGTACTTACGTTGCAGGTGCCATGAATACACCAAATCCACTCAGGACAGAGAGAAACTTTTCAGCTGTAGATAGGAGTTGCCACGGCCTATTGCAGTTAGTTCCAATGTTCAGATCAAGGTAGTGTACGTAAAAGCATACTGAACTGCAATTCCAACACAAGCCATGATGTACCCACCCCTTCGGATATTGATGTATCGGGGCCATAGACCTGCCATATCCATGCCGCAAGATACCGAGTTCAGGACAACTGAAATCTAATTTGATTTAGTCATCCATAATCCATTATCCTCAACTTGAAGAAAGTAAGATCATACCGAGAATTGGGAGAACACCATGCCAATACTAGCAAAGAACACAGCCGCACGAACGCCAGGACTAGAGCCGTAAAAGTCTTGAATATCTGCTAGCAGATATATTGGGTTCCATTCGATCTCCCCGCCCATAATATCACGAGATGCACTCGTCACAATAATTCCGATGGTAGCTGTTGCTGCAATAGTTAACGGCGAGGCAATGAGTTGTGATAAAGTTGGAGCAAATCTTCGTTTGGCATATCGAGTCCAATCTGACTGGCCAAGGGTACCGGATCCCCAGGACCCAAGAATGGCAGTGATACCAAACATGAATGCCCAACCAACATTTGGTGCTGAGCCGGGTTTTTGGAACATGCTTCCTGGTCCATGTGCTTGAGAAACGGCCCTTTATACATCAGCCTGATATTAATTAGATTTTTCCAAGTTCCAAACTTACCAAATAAGCAGCCCAAAACATGAAGCGCAGAAAAAGGTGAAGCAAATCATAAATGGCACTTGCAGCTTCTCCGGACGTATAAGCAGCCCTGGTATAAATGCGCACATCCAGATCAAAAGCCCGATGAAGTCTTTGGTTTGGAGATGGGAGCCCGAAGAAAAGTAGTTAGGCATGTGGGCAAATCCTTGTGATGTCAGTAATGGAGAAGGCAAAGAAATCATTAAATTCTTACCGGGTATGATAGCTCCAATCATCACTCGAGTAGCCTGGCCTCCCCAAAAGGCCTGCATGCCAAACCACATACAGGATACAAACACTCGCAAAATGACAGGAACTGTGGCTGCCATTAGCTTGTAATTGTGGTGCATGAGCCTTATTATTACGAACAATATGAGCCTCTCATGCCCCATGAAAATCTACTCGACACTGTGAATCCGATATGGTGATTTTCACCCATCCAGCCACAAGCGACCGCCAGCAAACCAGCTAGGATACCCCCAACGACCTGAGTTCCAAAACGTAAGACGATTTATTCCCACTTGATATTAGAGCACTTACTACTACGGCGATAGCCTGTTGCGGGCTCAATCCGAAGGCAAGAAGAGTACTTCCTGTTGACCATGCAGAGATGCAAGATCCCGACACGGTCCAGTATCCTAGAATTAGTTATTAGCGAGTGAGTCTTTTAGAAGAACTTAAGAGGATAGATTCGCACCAAAGTATGACCACACTCCATAAGTCCTGCGATCCGGTGGAGTTGGAATCAAGTCGCGATTACACCAAGTCGTGTTCTCATACTGGGCATCTTCGTCCTTGGGACTAGAGCGTGTCAGAAAACCTAGTATGCACCTGGGAATTCGCATCCAAAAAAACATCTGCCAGTACTTACCACTGAAGCTTTTGCTTAATTTCTGGCCACGACCACGCCATCTTTTGTCGCTCAAGATTCGGCAAGGAAAAGAAATATGGGGCGAAGGGGACTCCAAATGCACTGTCGCTGTGGGCGGCATTTTCACGAGGTTACATATGTCTTGCTTATCGTTACAAACATGCCAAATAGGAGTTGATTGGTCCCATGTTTTTGCGACCCCCCTCACATCACGGATCTTTTGAGTTGACCGATCTCACTTAACCGATCATCCCCACTACCCCAACCCAGCTCCATTAGCTAGTAGTAGCAACCTTCGGATGGACCGTCTGCGATTTCTGGCATTTGACTGTTGATTTACGCATGGCTGATAGGGATTATTCGTACTCGAATGATGACTTCGCCGATGATTTCTGCAAGTAATCCACCCCCTGCATTTCCAGATCGGTAAATCCACCATTGGGGTGTCAATCCTCGGCTTTCGGCACACTGAAATATGGAGTTGCCGGCATTTAAAGGTTCTGCTGTTGAGCCATAACCTCCAACTTAATCCATACGCCATTATGAATTCTCAGTTTACTACACACACATTCAAATTGAATAACGGCACAGCTATCCCTGCTATTGGGCTCGGGACTTGGCAGTCGGAGGAGTATGCCACACGTGAAGCGGTAAAATATGCTCTCCAGAAAGGCTATCGACATATTGATACGGCTTTGAACTATGGGAATGAAAAGGAAGTCGGTGAGGGTATTCGCGCCTCGGGTGTGCCAAGAGATCAAATCTGGGTTACGACTAAGTTGGACAACCATTGGCATCATCGAGTACCGGAGGGGCTTGAGTCTTCACTTGAAAGTCTTGGCCTTGAATACATTGACCTTTTTCTGATACACTTTCCGTGCTCTACGGACCCCCAAGATAGGTCGAAACATCTGCCTGACTGGGACTTTGTCAAAACTTGGAAAGAGATGCAAAAGCTTTTAGGTACGGGGAAGGTCAAGACTATCGGTGTTTCAAACTTCTCGGTTTCCCACATAGAGAGACTGCTGGATGATCCATCCTGCGAGGTCATTCCAGCTGTCAATCAGATTGAGGTGAGTAATTCTTTTGTTTCTCGTTGCAGGTTGGCCCAGTTCTGACACGATTATATCATCTAGCTACACCCCCACAACCCATCGTGCGTCCATAAAGCATTCAATATTCATCTAATATTTTACTGACGAAAACAGCCCTAAGCTTTTGAAGTATTGCCAGTCGAAGGGGATTCACTGCACGGCGTACTCCTGTCTTGGTGGCCATACCAACTCAACTATAAACACTCGCACGGAATTAATCAATGATCCTGTGGTATTAAGTATAGCATATGCGAAAGAGAGAACACCGGCCCAAATACTGTGAGTATAATTAACCGACTACGCGACAATAGTGGGCACCAAAACTAACATTCTCAGGATCATGTGGGGTTTACAACGCGGCACTAGTATGATTCCCAAGAGCGTGACACCGGAAAGGATCGATACCAATTTCGAGATGAACAATTGGGGCTTATCAGAAGCGGATGTCATTTCTCTTGATGGAATTCAAGCTCGGGCGAAGGTAGTTGGTGACGCATGGATGCCAATTCGTGTCTTCTTCGGGGATGGGATGTGACTTATGTCACGGACTTCGAAGATTGTTCCAAGCGACATCCGAGCCGTTTCATTGAATCTTATAGCTCTATATATTTCCCATACTAGCCGTAGTTTCAAGCGCCTAACACAAGCTGCCAGTTGGTTTTACAATCTCCGAGTCACTCCAGTAGTAATTTCCGGAGGAAAAGTCGGAAATTCGAATGCCGCCCGCTCGATGCCAACTTGAAGTTCTAATGTTTATTTTTGGATAACTAGTACTCGTAGCCTTAATGATCATGGACAGTGATACCTGACTGCCGTGTCCACAGTCCCGGTCCTCCTACGCCCGGGCCATGACAGCCATTTCTATCGTGATCCCCGGACCGAACGCTGCCATTATGACTTTATCTCGTCCAGTCCCAGTGGCCCTCTCCTCATCTGCGAGCTCTTTGATGATGCTGAGGATAGTAGCGGAGCTAGTATTTCCTCGCATCCGATAGACATCATAACTCTTCCGTAGATGGTGCTCTGATATCCCCAAGGCTTCCTGCGCCAGGAGAAGAATTCCATAACCACCAGGATGCAAAGCCCAATCATAACTGCACGGATCAAAATTTGTCTTGGCATAATTTAGCGACGGAGTTGATGCAATCAAATCTTGAAACGCGGTGAAAAGCGACGAAGAAATATGTCTAGGGACGTCTTTTGAAATTATAGCGTGATAGCCTGCTCAATCGTAAGTCTTGGGCTTTGTCTAATAGTAAGAGACAGAGAAAGCGAAAACTCCTACCGTGTTCGTGCACATTAAATTCAAGGCATCGTGCTGAGTGCTGCAGCGTTGTGGACTGAACATTGAGAATTTTCCAATACGATCTGTTTTCAACGGTTTGGATGCCGATTCCATTGCTCAGGATCAATGCCCCCGCCCCATCACCAAACAACGTTGGTCCAATATGAACTTGATTATCTCTAACGATATCCGCTATCTCCGTACGTAGGAAAATGGTTGTCAGCTCGCATGCAACCAGGAGTGCTCTCCCTGGCTTCTTGAATGCCGCCCTTCCAAGAAGAAACTCGTTCGCAGTTCGCAAAGCAGCCACGCCACCTGCGCAGCCGATTCCATGAAGAAGGGTGCGTTGCACATTTTTGTGCAGACCAAGTCGTTGAGAGAGTATATAGTCCAGCCCTGGATTTGCTGTGTTGGTACATGTGACTACAACCATATGAGTGATATCGTCAAGGGAGCCGCCCCAATCTTGTAGAGCCTTATTGGCAGCTTCTTCTGCCATTGGAACGCCATATTTCTTGAATAGGAGGTCGCATTCTGAAATACTAGGCAATTTCAATTCCTCCCAGTATGGATGATCATCCGGTAGGGCCGAGTAGCGATGTTGTATTTTGGACCTTCTGTTTATTTCTAAAGTCTTCTTAAGACTAGGTCGTAGAGTCAGTGAAATCGTATTCACGGTTAGCTTTAGTAAAGTGCATACACTGGGCTTAACTCATAGGATGCAGAAATTATGTCATCAATGTCCTCTGTGTCGATCCTATTCGGCGGATAGCAGGATGCTGTCGCGACGATGGTCACATTTGGGATGGAAGGGTCCGCGTTGTCTGTTGGTGGATTCCTACAATCATTATTGGCCATGATGGCAGAAAATATATGAAGTGAAAGTGTCCGACGGCTTTGCGTGAAAGAGACCAAAAGGGACAGATTTGCGGTTCATAATGGAGAACTCGGTGCTTCAGTTGTGATTTCAAGCTCAAAGCTGCCTCATTCTCGATACCCCGCCATGTGTTTCCATTCTCGAGGAGTTCCTGTGGGGGAGTTCGGCAAAATACACCGCTAGGCCAAATGACATCTAGGGGCTAGGCGTGCATCTTTTCCAGGAACTCGCATTGACGGGGACCAATGCAGGGGCATTTCAAAGCATGCCACGGCCCATCTGTTGAGTAATCCATAAAAAGAATTGCGATCTAGTATCTTGATACCCTAATAAATGTTATGGTAACAGTAGGTACTAAGTAAACACAGTGGCAGCCATTCATGTCTGCTGGACTCCAAAATTCCAAGGTTCATACCAGAAATCTACCCGGATACTCAAAGATCAAGTTCCAGTGCTTATGACAGAATTATGTTGATGTTCGTTTTACAAGAAGCAAAAGTGTGAATATGGTATTTTTTTAACATATGTACAGCCCATTTAGTGTGATTGGACTGATTCCCTCGGGCTGTATGAAGCATCGGAACATTCCACTTGGATATAAACATCCCATTCGATTCATCCCTTTTCTCTTCCATCTCAGCTTCCTACTGACTACAAAAAATAACAAGAAACACGGTGTTATGCTCGGTGCTATGTTCGGTGTGAGGACGGATTTAAGAAGCGGAATTAGTGTCGTAGTCCCAGCACCCGATGCCGATGCCCCCCGTCCAGACGACCATCTCCGTTTGCGTCCACCTGGAATGAAGTTGTGATGCTTTATAAGTGCCTACCCTCTCTCGAGTTTTATTTGCCACGATTGCAACTGAATATCTGTTCGCACTCCTCTTTTATCAGTTTATCAACATACAATGCCCAGTTACGATAACGTGATTGTGTTTGGTGCCACCGGCGCGGTGGGTTCTGCTGCTGCCCTGAGAGCCCATAAGGATGGAGCAAAGGTTTCGCTCGCAGTGCGCGATCCATCCAAGCCAATTCCAAGCCTCGATGGTATCTCGTTTGAAAGGGTTCAGGCAGATCTCACTCAGCCCGACACCGTTAAGGCTGCGGTTCACCAAACAGGCGCAAAGGCTGCTTTCATCTACGCGGTCTTCGGTGCCCCCGAACACATGAGACCGGCGATTCAGGCTCTCAAAGACTCCGGCATTGAGTTTGTTGTTTTTTTGAGCAGTTTTACTATCATGACTGATATTCGTGCTGTCTCTCCTACCGATTTTATCCCTCTTCACCATGCCCAAGTTGAAATCGTTCTGGAAGAAGTATTTGGTGACGACTCCTTTGTCGCTGTTCGACCCGCATATTTCGCAAGCAACATTCTTCAGCAGAAGCTTGGCATTGAACAGGGAGAGGTTAAGTTACCAAACCCGGATGCCAAGTTTGATTTCATCTCGCCCAACGATATCGGCGCTGTGGCTGGTGCTCTTCTAACCACCGGTCAACGAGTCAGAACTGTTGGACTTCTTGGGCCTGAGAAATTGTCGCTGAAGGATGCCGTTGGCATCGTCAGTAATGCTCTAGGCAAGCAAATCACTGTGACTAAGATCCCCGAAGAGGAGGCTGCAACAGTGATGGCGAAGGCTGGCATTCCTGCACCCCTGGCCAATTGGCTCATTCGCAATGTCATTGATCACCCAAATTACTTTTGGGAAAGCCCTGACGCATCTTCGGCTATCGATAATATCCAAAAGTATTCGCACAACTCCCCAGAGCCATTCCAGCAGTGGGTTGAGAACAACAAAGACAAATTCCGAGTTTGAAAGAAGTATCAAAACTAGTTATGTTTGCTAGGTGAACCTTTCAATATAAATTATGCAAAAAACTACAATTTCACACATCGACGCTTCAAGCTTATTTAAACATTGGGAGTTCCAGTTAAAAAAGCCCCGGAGGATAGAGTATAAATGTCCGCCAATGCAGGTGGCGATTCCCAGTATAGACAACCTTGGAAATAAGGTTGAAGTATACTACCTCTAGCCCTGGAGTGAATATGATCAACTATATTTCACACCTGCTAAATACTATACACTAGCTTATGGCAATACTTAAGCTTCCTCCATTGGTTAAGTAGTTTGAAATCAATACGACACATCCAGCACTTCCACCACTTCCACCACTTCCACATGTCATGAAGCGAACGCGTGGGGGCAAAATGCCGCTCTCCGCAGATTGGCGGGATTCACCGCCCGGGGCTGTGTTTGTGCTTGAGTGGAGTGGCTGGGGTTCGTTGAACTGCGACAACTTGAATCCATTTCCACTAAATCTCTCCTCGATTGATCCCTTCTCTCACTTCGATATCCTCGATATCCGATCAACACCACCTGAAAGCGAAAATCCCCAACTTCGTCCCTCCACTCTGCGCACGGTTCACCCTTTCCCGCCTCCAATCGAAGCTACTAGTACCCCTCGGAGCGCATTCTCATTGAAACCCGCTGTCACATCCTCCAAACTCCTATATTATATAAGGCCCTGGCTATCATCGGAACGCAGATAAACACACCTCAATGGCAGACTCAGGGATGGATGAGTTTGCGCAGACCCGTGGTGCCGACGATCTTTTTGATGATGAGATCATCCCGGTCTCGGCAGAGGAGCAACAGATTCAGACGGAAGTAGTAGTACCGGAGGAGGTAGCACCGGCTCCGCAGGTGCAAGAGGAGAGTCCGCGCGTCGAAAAGACAGCTTCCCCGCGTGGGGAAACGCCGCAGCGAGGCCGTGGCGGCGAGAGAGGCCGAGGTCGAGGACGTGGCCGCGGTAAAGGAGGTCGCGGAGGTCGCGAATCGCAACCGGTCGAACAAAAGCGCGCTGAGAGTGTACCGCGAAAGAACGGCGCAGCGAAGAGCGGGCTAGAAGGAAGTCGATGGGCTACTGCAGAGGAGTCATCGGAGAAGCCGCAAGAGGTGGAGAAGGAGAAGGTCCAGGAGCAGGAACAGGAACAGGAACAGGCAAAAGGAAAGGACCTGGACCAGCCTGCAGAGGAAGAGGAGAACAAGGCGGAGGTCGCGAGTGCCGATGGCACCGAGCCGGCACGAGTGCCAGCTGTCCGAGGCGATCGAAGTGCCACTGGAGGCGTGAGGAAGGTTAGCATGCTTTGGGATGACTCACTATGAATAAATTCGCTGACGGTTCTTTTTTCTAGCCGAAACTCACAGAGGAGGAGCTTTCCAAGCGCATCGCTGCAGCCAAAGAGAACGCCGTCAAGAAGGCAGCCGCCCATGCTCGAGCGCAGGCCGACCAAGCCTCCTTCATGGAACGTGAGCAAATCGCCGCCAAGAAGCGCCGCGAGGAACTTGCGAATCGCCGTGTCATGGATAACGAGCGGGAGCAAAACCGACAGCGCAAGCTCAAGGCCCAAACCGGTCGTGAATGGGATTCCCAGAAACGTGAAGAGGACTACAACCCTCGTGGCGGCGGTAGCCAATTCCGACGTGGCATGCACGGTGGCGTGTCTGGACACACGCGAAAAGACTTTGACGCCGCACCTTCTGAGGAGGCCGCTGATGATCTACTGAGCCCCAATCGGGGGCGTGGCCGGGGTGGCCGTGGAAGCCGTGGTCGTAAACATTCACGCGGACCAAAGGGAGAGCGTGCCTCCTCAAGGGAACCATCTGATAAAGCATCTTCGGCTGCCATCAAAAAGGAGGATTTCCCCGCTCTCCCAGCAGGGAAGAAGCTGGAGGGTGACCCCAAGCCAGCAGCTGCGCCCCTGGAGAAGCCCTCTATGGAAAAGCTGGAGGCTACAATGTCTCCCGTGACTGGCACCTGGGCTGACCAGTTCGACGACGACGAGTAGTCTATTTTTTTATCGTCCACTTGCCAACTTTTGATCTGCTTGTTTTTGCTTCTCTTCTGGCATATTGAAACCTTACGACTTCCCTTTTGTTTTGCATCGCTCACGACATGAAAAGATCTTTGGTTACCCTTTTGCAATTTGATATCCCCTTATGTATTGGCGATTAGACACCCTCTAAAAGAACGAATTATTTCAAGCTGCCTCGATCGGTATATTGAACAAGATACTTGAACTATCACATCCGAAACAATGTTTGTACATTACTGCTTACAATGCTAACAATGGATTTACTAGCAGTCAAGTCATACTAGTATTTTTTTTTCAAATGTTAAGCATGTCATCAAAGCCGATTTAGGAGGGCTCAATTCCTCGTCAAGCTGAGCGTCTCGCATTAGTCTAACACCAACAAGTCTCAGGGGGAAAAAGGAAACGAGAATAGGAAACCTTGGATCACCGGACGACTGGGCATATCCTACTTGGTGCTAACCAACCAATCGCCTGCAGTTATCACAGCCACTCATCTGGGGTGCAGAAACTATTACCTCTTGAACAAAGAATCCGGTACGGAGCACTACATATTTATATCAACCTTGAGTATCCCCCGCTTGTTTTTAGCTTGACGGTACCTGAGTGGATGACGCTAGCCAGCATCGCTTCGATTACGGCTTGCATAAAAACACGTCAGCTAGTGTTGTGCAGATGCGCTCTCGAACCGAGTTTAGGTGCTTTTATATTTTTCCGGATTCTTCAACTCCCCCAGGGCTGTCGGAGAAACGTCGCTTGAACTATCAAGTTGCGCGGTCAGTTCCACCGTGGGGCACTCGGACCAAGCGAGATTGATAAACCCTTCTAACTCCGAGTCGATTTTATGTTTCATTAGCTCGGAGCTACGATTAACTCGGTGATCATCCGGTCGTTCAGTTCTCAACAAAATCCAGCAACGTGGGTAAAATATAAGAAGGGGGTGACTGCCAGGGGGTTATTGCTCCACTTCACGCAAGATTAAAGCTTGAAAGACTGACGCGGTCACCCCAGTTTTGACACTCTAGCATCTGCAGATCTTCAGTTTAGCCGGAGTAGATTTTAACCGCCTTGTCCATTTACAGCTTCTTTCGGCCAAATCGGACATAAATTCCAATTTTATCAGGGGACTTCGGGGTTCCACCACAGTCTCGTACGAAACGACAATTGGATAGTCTCGATTGTGGGCCCCCAAATCAACTTGTTTAACCATGATGCACCTTATTTTCATGAGTAAAACTGGCGCGGCACTGCTAGAAGAGGCTTCATTCAATTCATTTGCCCCGTTGCAATTCCAGCCATTTCCTTTATTCCAAACATTTGGTCCCGAGGTCTGCAATCCTAGCCATGTCTCCCAACGAGATTACGACGCCGTGGAGGTTTGGGAAAGCCTCGCAGTGCTCTGAGCCCCATGACCGATATTAGTTTCATGGATCCGCCTCAGTCCACTCGGGAGAATCCAGCATACGTTCGAGAATTCGTCTATCCCAAACCGGAAGAATCACCGCCATTTCATTTCAGTCTCTCTTGATGTCCTGATTTTGTAAATATAGATAGTCCGCCAAATACCGCCAACTTCCCAGGTTTTTGCTTTCGCTATTGTCCAAACCTTCCCGAGTCCCTCCTTTTCTTCAATTCGATACACTCATTTCATCCGGTTCACTATGCGCCTGCAATCAGGCGTTTCGGCTGCGGCCTTTGCGGCTGCCGCCAGTGCTCGATCTCTTTCTGATGTCTGTACTTTGTCTAATGTCAAGTCTGCTCTACCCGCGAACGGCACCCTACTAGGAATCAACCTAGACTCGTCAGCCTCTATTGCTAGTGTAGTCTACAATGCCACAGTTGGTGGTATGAGCACTACTTCCACCAGTGACAGTGAGACCTACAACTACTGCAATGTCACTCTGACCTACACCCACCCCGGAAAGGGGGATACTGTTGTCGTCAGGTATGCTCTCCCCGAGCCTTCCGACTTCAACAAGCGCTTCTATGTCGCCGGAGGTGGGGGTTACTCGCTGTCTTCTGATGCCACTGGCGGTCTTGGGTATGGTGCTGCCGGAGGTGCCTCCTCTGCCGGTTACGACGCCCTGAACGGCGTTTCCTACGACGACGTTGTTTTGTTCGGAAACGGCTCTATCAACTGGGATGCAACCTACATGTTCGGATACCAGGCTCTCGGTGAAATGACACAGCTCGGAAAATACTTCACCAAGGGCTTCTACGGCATGAACTCCAAGTCCAAGCTCTATACCTACTACGAGGGATGCTCTGACGGTGGTCGTGAGGGTATGAGCCAGGTTCAGCGCTGGGGCGATGAGTATGACGGTGTTATCACCGGTGCCCCTGCCTTCCGCTATGGCCAGCAACAGACCCAACACATCTTCTCTTCCGTCGTCGAGAAGACCCTTGACTACTACCCCCCACCCTGCGAGCTGGCTAAGATCGTCAATGCCACAATCACCGCTTGCGATCCTCTTGACGGCCGTACCGATGGTGTCATCTCCCGTACCGACCTTTGCAAACTTAACTTCAACCTATCCTCTATCATCGGTGAAGAGTACTACTGCGCTGCCGAAACTGCTACCTCTCTGGGCTTCGGCTTCAGCAAGACCAAGCGCCAGGCTGCCGGTAGCTCTACCAGCTATGAACCTACTCAAAGTGGTAAGGTCTCCGCAGAGGGTGTCGCCGTTGCCCAGGCTATCTACGACGGCCTGCACGACACCAAGGGTGAACGTGCCTACCTCTCGTGGCAGATTGGCTCTGAGCTGAGCGATGCCGAGACCGAGTGGAACAACAGCACCCAGAAGTGGGAGCTTGACATCACTTCAATGGGTGGTGAATACGTTGCCAAGTTCGTGCAGCTTCTGGATCTGGAAAACCTCTCCACCCTGGATGGTGTCACCTATGACACCGTCGTTGAGTGGATGGAAATCGCTATGAACCGCTACTTCGACAGCTTGCAGACCACCATCCCAGACCTGACTAAGTTCCAGGAGTCTGGTGGCAAGCTCCTCCACTACCACGGAGAGTCCGATCCCTCTATCCCCGCCGCCTCTTCCGTGCACTATTGGCAGGCTGTTCGGGACATCATGTACCCCGGTGTCTCCTCTAAGGAGAGCCTTTCCAAGCTCCAGGACTGGTATCAGTTCTACCTGATCCCCGGTGCGGCCCACTGTGGAACCAACACTCTCCAGCCCGGTCCCTACCCTGAAGACAACATGGAGATCATGATCAACTGGGTTGAGAACGGTGTCAAGCCTTCCCGTCTGAATGCCACTGTTTCCTCCGGAACCTACGATGGCGAGACTCAGATGCTTTGCCAGTGGCCTACCCGTCCTCTCTGGCACAGCAACTCGACCTTCGACTGTGTCAACGACAAGAAGTCTATTGAGAGCTGGACTTACGAGTTCCCTGCTTTCAAAGTCCCTGTTTACTAAATGTACTAAGTATACAAATCACCCCGCGAGACAAATAATCCGTGCAGAGTCACTCAGTTTTCTTGGTTCTGTCTACAGGGTTCTTCTTGTCTTATATACTACCTTCTACATGTACCTCAAAGCAAAGGAAATGATACTGTTTTATCTTTTTTTAACTTTTTGATTTTGTTCATTTATTGAATTCTGCTTGTGTTTTACTACAGGCTCTGATTTTTGATCTTGAATTCTTCGATCTTTATGTCCAAATCTAAATGAAGTAAAAGGAAAGTTGCTAGCAAGCTACCTTTAGACGACTAGTAGTCTGACATGGAAGAATAGTTTAACCCAAGTTCAGGGTGAAAGCAGCAGAGGTCGAACAACTGAAAGTATCCACATCATCCGACTGCTGGTATGAATCGGCACAATCGGTGTCTCCAGCAGAGCACGTCGCAGACGAACAGCTGGAGTCATCAGTGGTGACACCGAAACCGGATGAAATAAACGACGAGTCCGAAGCAAGATTGATAGAAGAAAGATCCCACCAGAGAGTGTCATCACCCTTGGTGTACTCGAACTGCAGCACACTGTCTTCGCTCTCAGAGGTGGCCATCTTGATTGAGATACCACCACCGTCGGAGTTGGTGCGCCAGCTCTCAGTATAGGTGCCACCGCCGGAGCTTAAAGTCTGCATGTCACTGGTGGAGTCCGAGGTGGACCAGATGTAGATAGTCTGGTCCATGTTGTTCACAATGTTGATACCGCTGCCAGTGCTGCTGGTGGAAGAGGCTGAGGCTGAGGCCGAGGACGAGGCAGATGCGGACGGAGTCGTCGTGCTAACGACAGAAGTAGTTGCAGTGGGCCAGTAGCCCTGAGGAAGGGCAGAAGCTGTGGCAGCGAGGGCGATAAGTCCGAGAGTCTTAAGGAGGGCCATTGTTTGTTGGTTTGGTTTGATATTTGGAGGATTGATAAGCAGGAGTGCTCAAAGTATGTATGTGGCTGAAATTTGTAGAGATCGAGAACGTGTCTGGTCAACAGACAAGCAGAACTGAAGTTGTATGAAAGAACGGAATGAATGGAGGCACAGCCTCAAAGAAAGGAAGGTATCTGAAAAGAGTGAGGGGGGCAAAGGACTGAAATTGTTCAACAAGAGCCGGAAGCCGAGAGAGGACCATCTTCGAATTTATACTCGCGGTGGAGTTGACTTCAAGGGGTGAGCCAGCGACTCTGAAACACACAAACAAATATAAAAGGGAGCCTATTCGATAGGTATAAGACCCATCTATCGCCTAGAAGCATTCGAGAACCAATGCGCCCGCTGGACGCCGGCTAATTGGCTACGTACGTTAGGGTTTTAGCACAGCGTAGTCTGCCTCCGGTCCATTTGCAGTTCTAGCTCCAGGAACACCTCATTATGGAGGTCCATAGATCCACAGAACTAGTTCATTTGTCGAATAGTATCGGAAACCATCAATAAAGTGACTGGGTCTCGACTCAACATGTGGGTCACACGCGGTGTTCCAGACCGCGGCGTCATCGCCTTACGCGTGTGGAGTACAGGCACCATTTGAGATGACCACTCACAGCCCGACTATTCAGGGGTCAAGGGTCAGCCACATTACGCATAGCCTTGCGTAATGTGAGGGCAGTAACCTTATCTTAGGGCAAGCACTTCCTTCACAACTGTCTCTGCGGATGCGGCTGTGGCGGCGGCTGATCAGGATTCTTAGTGGTCGCGACCTTCGTTACTATCCGACGCGGATAAGCTACTACTCTTAGTAGTTAAATCTTCTACAAAACGTTGCTATTTATCTCTCCGCTTAATACAATTAGTTTCTTGGTCCCATTTCTTATATAAAAATATCGTGACAGCAATCTGCTGTAGATGGAATTTCAATGTATACTAATCGGGGTATAACTTAAAGCAGCGCCATGGAGTACCCTAAAGGCTTTTTTTTTTTTTTTTTTTGGAAATCCGAGTCTTGCTTTAGCCTCACATCATAATGAAGATTTATTTTCTCATGTCGTAATCGTTTCATAGGGCACCCGCACGTCTGAGAAGTTTAAAAAGCTCCTCTTTGATGTCCTGGAGCTCTGAGTTGCCGCCAATGTGCTTCCGGTCGATGAAGATGTTGGGCACGGTGGTCTGGTCCGTGATTTCTTGAAGAGCGTTTTGAAGAACCCGGCCATCATCTACAGTATCCAGATATTTAGCATCGAAAATAAATACTTGGTCATGGCATGGCATCGCATTCAAGTTGCAACTCACCAATCTCATTCAATTCAAGTAGAACATATTTAGCGCCGAGCTTGGTTAATGTCCGTTTAGTGGAAGCGCAGTAAGGGCAGTAGCTCTTCGAGAAAACAACAACGCCATTCTCGTTGATCAGCGCCTGGACCTTTGTTTTGGCCGCAGCTAGTTCTTCTGGAGTAGGGTTTGAGAAAAGACCGGAAAGACGTTTGAAGACGGACATATTTATGGTCGATGATAGAAAAAGGAACCTTGGAAGATATCGATGAGGATAGCCCAAGTCTGTTTGGGCCGTAGGCATAATATGTAGACACTTGTATCCCTTTTGTCGATCGGCTTGGCTCCCGTCATGTAAAGTCAATTTTACTCAAATCGACGAGCGGCAGGTTTTACCGAAAATGGACAGGGACACATTTCACAAATAGACCGCGGATATTACGCACTGACCAATCAGATGGCATGAATTGGCGGTTTTTCAGCCTCAGCCACAGGGCTATACAGAATACCCTAGAGCTAGGAGCGATTGCAGGGTCTACTACCCCACACAGGCCAGCAGTAAAACTTTGCTGGGCCCCTTTTTACTTTACTCCTTCTCCGATACAAAAAATTAAGGATGTGAAGTTTAACTAATTATGTATATCGTATAGTGAAGTATCGTTGCAGATCACACCTCATAGCCACACGTATTTCTTCCAATTTTCAATTTTCCCATATCAATAATCGTAGCTCCACCGACAGCTTCGCTACAATTGCTACGTTTTAGAAAGCCAAATCTGACTCGGATGATAGCATTAACAAGAAAAAGGAAGAAAAGGGCGCCTGTTGTAATAGTCACATTTTTAGAATAAAATTTGCCGGACCTCAGGCCCTGACTGCAATTGATAAATCCTCGATGGAGCTACCAGATAAAAACACTACACCTACACCAGTTTGTCTGCTATGGGATAAAATGAGTTTTGTATTAGATGATTATACGGCAGTTCTATCATTGGTATGCCAGATCACGTCAAAAGCGATCCTTCAAGTTATTGGTACAACTAGCAGTCCTGCTTTGCAAGAAAACAACAATAAATGTCAACACAATGATTCAAACCAAAAATCAATAGTAATTGCTCTTGTATTTGATGCCATCAGTATGTAAGCCAAAGGCCCTACTTATTCTCGTAGGCTAATTGTGAAATAGAAACGGGTATATTTAGCCAAGCATATACGGTGGTCAGTAATTCCACATATTTTCACCTATGGGATACTTCATTATAGGATTGTAGTATGTATTACCATTCACATTCAAGTACAAGATATCCCAAAATCAAATGTCATCTGGCGTGATTCCTACCTCAAAAAACCTCATCCTGCACTGTCAGGGGTGACCCCTGTGCTAAGGCTTATGACCTATGGGAAATATGAAGAATTCATGGTCTATCACGGTCCAAGCATCCAGTACATTTCCGGCTTGCTCATGTGCCAAGGCTTTTGCCAAGTGTTAACTGCACGAGGACGGAACTCGGCATGCGCTGTAGAGCGAATTCTGCATACAAGTAGAGTCGTCGGGCGTTCCGCGGACATTGATAATTTGTCCAAATCAATTGACAGCGCATGGTCGCGTCTGGGTGTTCTGGCGTAGTAGTTGCATTTCCTCTTTTGGATCGTCTAAGACCTTTCGTGATTTTAGGCTTCCCATCGAGTAGCTAATTGAATAATATGGCGTTAATTGTAGTTCGAATTTCCAATTGAAAGTTCAAGGGTGCAAAAGAAAAGGGAGCGGAAAATTTCCGCCAATCACAATCGAGCAGATACAGAATAACCGATATCGCATCTCAAGAACTGCATCAATTCTCCGAGTCGACACGGATCACAAACGATGGCAGAGATCCCCCAAACGCGGGGGATAGGAGAAACCGATCGGAGGCGACCGCTCCAGAGACCCTGATTTACGGTGAATGATTCAAGCTCCCAAACTTGTGCCAATCGGTAGAGTTCGGTTACAAACTGCCGGCTCAACCGAAGACCAGCACTTCATTCCCGTGACTAATGGAAACCCCGTGGGGTCGGTTCGAGGGGAACATGGGTCTTATAACTACTAGTTAGCTCCGGGGCCGTTGCGCTCGCGGGAAATTGGGATTTTACCGCTGCATGGAAATGACTGAGAAGGCGACTCTTCCCAACACTGAGCAAGATCATGGCACTCCGTCGCCTGAGAATGTCGCAGCGAACCGAGCCCCACTGTCGGACGATGGTGACTTTTGCAAACCAAAAATCAATGGGGGGCTGCAGGCTTGGTTGAATGTTGTTGCGCTATTCTGTGTTTTTGTCAATTCTTGGTGAGCTTTTTCGTCCGGCTACGACGGGGATTCAGAAAGCTAATGAATGGTAAAGGGGCATATTGACTACCTTTGGCGCTTTTCAAGAATACTACCAAACGGAGCTTCTAAGTAACCAATCGCCATCAGCGATCTCATGGATAGGAAGTATCCAAGCAACGCTGATCCCAATGATCGGTATTGTTTCCGGTCCGCTGGTTGATGCAGGATATATCCGTTCATTGACCGTGGTTGGGAGCTTCTTGACGGTCTTCGGGTTGATGATGGCTAGTCTCGCGACGGAGTACTACCAAGTCTGTTCCCTGCTGTCCATTATTCCATAGATTGACCTCTAACCTTATCTTAGGTACTTCTTGCTCATGGATTCTGTGTCGGAACAGGCGGCGGCATTGCTTATATCCCGGCTCTGACCGTAGTGTCCACAAGCTTTACTACGAAACGACCTCTCGCCATTGGAATAGCATCAATTGGATCTAGCGTCGGAGCTGTGATATTTCCTGTTATGTTTCGGCAACTCCAGCCCAAGATTGGATTTCCGTGGGCGATCCGCTGTATTGCGTTCATCAGCTTGCTAATGGCAATCATCGCATGCTTCATTCTTTGTCGCCGACCAGGTCAAAAGGCCCGTGCTCGAAGCCTCATTGACTGGAAGGCTTTCCGCGAGCCATCTTATATGCTCTTCTCCATCTCTCTGACCTTGGTCATGCTCGCCTACTACGTTCCCATCTTCTATGTCGCTTCATATGGTCGGGTCGTTGTAGGTACAACGACCAGTCTATCATTCTATATGGTAGCCATCGTCAACGGCTCTTCCTGTTTTGGACGTGTCATGCCTTACTTAATCGTTTCCTACGTCAAGCCTATAGTCATCCTTCTCCTCGTGGTGGTGGCATCGGCGATTGCTATGTTCACTTGGATCGCTGTTAGCAATGTTGCTGGATTCATTGTTTGGGCTTGCTACTGGGGTATTCTAAGTGGTGTCATTGTCACGGGGCCGACGGCTATAGTTGCTCACCCGGTATTTTGCTCAAGTCCAAACTGGATGGGCACGCGATTGGGTATGATGTGGGGTATATCATCCTTTGGTGCTTTAGCAGGAACTCCAATCGCCGGAGCATTGGTGAATCTTGAAGAAGCTTCGTTTCTGCGAGCCCAAATATTCGCCGGCTGTGTTATGGCCGGTGCTGTAATGTTGCAGGTGTGGCCTGCCTTGCAGGTGTTACGCTATGATCGAAATAATCCTCGGTAAGGGGTTGGAGAAGAGAAGTACCATTTAGTATTTGGAGTCGTGCTGCGAGCACAAGCCCGAAGCAATAGATGATTAGACGGGAAAACAATTCAAATTAGATGATACTATTCTTTGATAGGTTCCCTCGCACTCTAGCACTTGTTTGTTACTAGTATTCTCAATTTCGTCTTCATGAATAGATCCAGAGCCCAAAATAGTCCCCATCTCCTAACAAAAATTGTAGAGCTTCCAAGTTAGGCTAGCACAGATGTACATTTCTAAATATCAGATTTTCCCACGCTATGTGTTTTTGCAAAGACCTACTACTAGTAGTACTACCAATTGTAGGTCGAAGTGATTGGACATGCTGACTCAGATGGTGACTCGGGCCAACAAGCTTGGCCAAGCCCCGAACTCATTATGACTTCATCCTTCTTTCATCCCCGCCCATGAGGTCAGCCCTTCCTACTAGTAGTATATAAACTCGGGGTAAGGTGGCAAGTTTTCAGAATGGTATCTATAATTTTGTCATTAATCGACTGTGTAACTCGGTTTGTTAAGAAAGCACCTGCCAAAGAACGACATCGACTGTCTTTTATCTAGAATGTGAGTTTATGGACCCGGTTATCTCGATGCCTATTCAGCGAAGATAGCTCATTCAAAAGCTGTATGTCGATGCTAATTTTCTCTAGTCACAGTATGCCTGAATCGCCCACCCACAATCGTCCTCCCACCAACGTGGCTGGAGGCACGGGGACTACGCCAACCCCGGCGAATAATATCGGCGGTGGCGCCGGTTGGGGTGATCGAAGCTTCCATAAAGGCGGCATGAATGATGTTCCCAATGAAGGAAAAGGACATATAGATGTTTGTTCCCTCAACATCTCCTAGTCGAATGATCCGGAAGAAGACATTAACCATAATCTTCTGCTATCTAGCCCAGTAACCCCCATGAAACCATGGGGGCTTTCCTCGGTCTTAAGGACCAAAAATCTCGAGCTGAGGCCAAGTATCTTGCGCGCGCAGGTCTCGCGGGAGATGATATCAAGACCACGACCGACAGCGGAGAGCCCACTTGTTCTGGAGAAGATCATTCCTTCATGGGTACTAAGCCTGGTGGTGCGGATACTTTGCCTGGTTGGGGAACTATGAAGAATGCTTTTGGAAATTTGAAATCTTGAAGGAGTCCAGGGCTGGTATCGTCAATTCACACCTGGGAAACCCCCCTTCTGTTTCCAAGGTTCAAGTTCCAAGGTTGTTTATCCTTCTTTGAAGAAAGCAAATACTACTCGTTACAACTTGTAGTACTAGTGTGTTCTATTAGCGACGAAATTTGTACATTAGCTGCAATTATGAGATTCTTGCTATTGATGGCTTGCGATGACATGCTTGAAAGGTGTATTTAACAAAACGCAAAACAATAAAAAATATCCGTAATCCTATGGAAGGCTATTCAACCTTGGTCTCCTTGGAGCGGAACCGGTCTCGAATGGTCACCAACTTGCCCAGAAGTCGACCCTTGAGACTTTGAGCACCCAATGCAGCAGCCTCGTCTACCGAAACCACACGTCGCACGAGAATATTGAAAACGGTACCAAATGCAAGAGCAATCACAGTACTGGTGAGGATGATCACATTGTAGGGCATGCTGAAGTCGGGGGTTGGCAGAGGCAGCAGAAGACTAGTAGACCGGATATAAACCGGGGCACTATTTTCCACATTCAAAATCCGAATGACGGCAGGGGCAACATTGAAACCACGATTGGCATCCGGCGGATACTCTGTATACCGCAAGATAGCCTTTTCAAAGTCATATGTTAGGGTCACGGTCGATGCCGCTGGGACGGAGAGCGCTATTTCTAGTTGTGTTCCGCGTTCGCGATCAATGGCCGGTCGGTAAAATGTCGAAGTGACAAGATCTGATGCCGCAATCTCAGTGGGAATTCCATCGCGGCCCGTAATAGTCGCTTGTAAAGTGTGGATATAAGGTCGCAGGAACCATGGCAGAGACTCAAACAGGATAAAGTCTACTGCCGTGGTATTGGACGGATTGCCAAATATGATGCGCATGCCACCGCGCTCCTGACCGTGACCGACAATGGTTCGCTCGGCATATAGAATAGGCTCTTCTCGGGGAACTGGAATGTCAACAGTCTGTTCTGGGATCGACAGGTCAAAGGGCTGAGCGGGTGCCACGTCAAAGCAGCGCGTGAAGCCGTCCTCTTTCTTGATCTCAGTCGAGCCCTCGGTAATGAAAACTTGCTTTTCATGGGGAACTCGGAGACAAACCGAGTGCTCCTGAGTGCCATCGGAACCTGTTAAAGGACATAGACCGGTCAATGTGCGACCGAAAACTTCTGAGATGCTCCAAGCAGCATCTGCCCCCTTCTCCAAGGGGAAGCAAGTGTCTTCCGAGTTGTAAGGCTTGGAAGTGTCACAAGCTAGAAGCTCATTCGCAAGAGGCCTAGGAATGGGGTTTGACCGAGGTCGCTTGGAACGTTCAACATCTAGGACCATATCAATGGTCTGTTCGATTTGAACAACACAGTCACCGTCGGAGGTGCAGATCGGTCGCATATCCACTGACATGCTTTGCCATGCCGCATCAAACAGCTTATGGCCATCAAAAAGTGTGGAGATACCCGCTTTACCCTTGCACGGGAGGAGCTTCAGGAAAGGGGTCAAGTTCTCTGTGCACACCACCTCGCCGGGCAGGGTTCCGTGTAGTAGGTGAAGGCCATTAACGTCTTGGTGATCGCCAGTCGGCTCAAAAGATACAACAGGACGGGTTGTTCGTGTTGAGTCGACGAAATTCAAAGAAGCGCAAAACAGGCCCGACAGGGATTGTGTCAAAGCGATCCATTTACCGAAAGCCCTACAATTTTTAGAACCAGTATAAGCAGATGTTCAAAATTTGTCTCTATAACCACATACTCATCGTCATCTGGGGCATCAATCCAGGCCCAGAGCTCCACACCAGTGCCACCTTCTTTACTGCCACCCCACGGCCGTGGACCCCAGCTTTCGGCGTCCCATCGCCCCGTAGTAAATCGCAAGTGAAGTTCTTTTGTATGCGCATGTTGGAGAATCTGACCCAGCGCTCGAGGGAAATATCGGAAATGTTGGTTGTCGAAAGCTTGTTGTGAGGTGTTACTTCGGAAGTTGAACGAAGCTAGGAGAGATGATTGAGGGAGAGGTTCAAGGAAGAGTTGTTCATGGTAGTCGGATGATGCAGAAGCATTTGAGCTCCATATTGTGACAGCCAGTGCCAGCAACAGAGAAAGGAAGCCAAAGGTCGTCATCACTTCATGCCGGAGCTCGGTCGTCGCCGCTCCTTGTCCATGCGATATTTGGCGGGAAAGTTCCAATGGACAGCGAACTCAGTGAAACTCAAATGGAGAGGTCGAAAGAAATCGCCAGGTTACCATAAGAAACCCTGGGAATATCCGAGGACCCTGGACATACCACAATCGAAGTAGAGATGCGTCGATGGTCAAGCTGAGACCCTCCTCTGGGGCTGTTGATTGTTCGAGACTGACCGCCTTCCCTTGTGAGGTGCTGTCCTTAGCGCCGCATCGCATCAAAAAACCTCCCCCCCAAAACCACTGTTGAGTGATCATTCAGTTCAGGACTTGCCTTAGTGTTCGCCTTTGCTCTTCCTTCGTCTGACGTCTAGGAATTGATCATGGCCGCGGAACAGAGAAAGCTGCTGGAGCAGCTCATGGGAGGTACGTTCCATCATATTATACCCTACCGATTCTCTTTGGTCCTCTGGGTTTGAGCTAACGAGCACCTTTCTATCCAGCTGACCAGCTCATTGGCACCGGAGCCCAGGGCCGCAATTCGCAGCTTTCAATTACCGACCCCAAAGTCTGCCGTTCCTACCTCGTCGGTACTTGCCCGCACGACCTCTTCACCAATACCAAGCAGGATCTCGGACAATGCCCCAAGGTGCACAGCGAGGGCCTCAAGACGGAGTATGAGACAGCTTCGTCGGCGGAGAAGGCTAAATGGGGATTCGAATTCGACTACATGCGCGACATGCAGAAGTACATTGACGACTGTGACCGGAGGATCGACACGGCCCAGCGCCGACTGGAAAAGACCCCAGACGAGATCAGGCAAACCAACGACCTCGTATGTCTCCCATACTTTCCCGATGCCTGTCAGATTGTATACTTTGATTGCTAACCCTCACCCTCAGCTCAAGCAAATCGCAGACTTAAACAACACCATCAACACCGGCCTCCTCGAAATCTCCGTCCTCGGCGAGACAGGCTCTGTCGCCATGGCCCTCAGCGACATGCACAAGATCCGCACGGCAAAGCATCAGAAGGAGGGCTATGAGCGCGATCTCAAGAATCTCCAGGATACTTCAGGCCCGTCGGGCCATCAGAAGCTCCAGGTCTGCGACGTGTGCGGCGCATACCTGAGTCGACTTGATAATGACCGACGATTGGCAGATCACTTCTTCGGAAAGATGCACATGGGATATTCGGATATGCGCAAGGGTTTCAAAAGGCTCAGCGTCGAACTTAAGGGCCGGGCTCCGCCCGTGCGCCAGCACGAAGAGGAGGATCCTTACAGTGCAGGTGGCCGGTCTGGAGGTGGACGTGGTCCTCGGTATGGGGGAGGTGGCGGTGGTGGTGGTGGATACAGACGACGAGGCGGAAGATGGTAAATGTTCTTCTTTTTCTTCTGGATTCCTAGTCTCTGGTTCGGGTCTTTCGCATAGCGCAGGCGTTTTGTATGTTCAGGTCGGGCAAGATGCCCAGGTACGATGGAAAGCTGCTGGCCATGCGCGCTCAATATATCCTTGTCTTCTCATGAAATGTTCTAAATGTCATATTAAATCCACAGTGTCGATACCTTTCTAAGCGGGCTTAACGTATGGAGTTGAATTCTCAAGAAGGAAGATCCTTTATGGATCTAGGTGCGGGCTGCAGCGAGGACAATTTATGGGTGGGTTGGGTCAACTTGAGAACCCAAACTACTTGGCAGTTCAGTACTAGTATGCATCATTACTAGTACTTTCTGTATTTAAGGGCCCTCACTGTACCCGATACCCTAGGAAAGGACTACTACTGCATAGTCACATTACTTTTCTACCCACAATAAACTAGGTGCCATACTATTGGTTCATTATGATCTTGGAATATCTCCCTCGCCAACAATCATCATTGCCTAGCTTATGCGCAAATTGAACATGCAACAAGCAGATGTGTTGTCTTTTGTTGAATCAAAGCAAAACGTCAAACTAAGTGCGAACCTTACCTATCAACTTCAAGTTTGTTTATAGGTAGAATAGCATCACTGGGGGTGGCAGAGCCTTGTGGGAAACACGGGGTCGAGTGCGGCTACTAGTATGGAGTGGCGTAAACTACTAAGGAAATTGAACTTGCTCAAATTGTTTCGATTGAGACCATGCAATCCATCATAAGACAAAATAGACACAAGGAAAACCACCTAATGAGATACTAAACAAAACAAATATTGAAGATCCGATTTTGCAGGCGGGCTGATGCTTATGGCCCGTTAACCGTGGGTATCCCCACTGTTCCATGAATAAACCACATCGTGGGAGTTAGAAGCGAACCAGCCTCACGTCCCAGGAAATCAACACTAACTTAAGAAACTAACTAATTTAGACTGTACAGTACATGGTAAGATAACATATGGTCGTAAAGATATCATGAATCAGGCATTCGCCTGTGGGACGTTGCCGTTCTGCTGAATCTCGAAGAGCGCATTCATGAGAGTATCATAATTAACTGCTGCAGCTGGCTGTCGGACTAGAATGTCACGAACAACGTTCAACTGCGCCACTTCCACGTTGGGTGCAGTTTTGAGAAGTTGCTGGATCGCTGGCTCATTCACTTGGGGGCCCAGAACTTGAATTGCGGCCGCGATGCCAGTAGTGGCAGGTGTAGCGGCGGAAGGCTGAGTCGGCTGCGTTGCACTTTGCTGGCCATAGGCTGCGGTGTTTGCAAGACCAGACACGAAATTGGGTGGTGTTTGACTGGTTGGGGGGCCAAAGTTCGGTTGCTGAGGCGTGGCGACGGCGGCAGTCAGAGGGCTGGCTGTGGTTCCTGGCTCGAGACTGGGTTGATGAGAGGGTGGTTGAACAGAGGGTGGGTTGGAATCGCCAGTCTTGACCACGAAGACAACTAGCAGCATGCGTTCATGGATCGGACCTTCAAGAGAGTTGTTCTCCAATAGCTCGATGAAATCAGGCTTAGTCGTGGCACCGGCCTCGATAGGAACAATATAGGTATCCTTGACGGCAGAAAGCGGGTGCTGTCCAATGACACCATAGCGCTTACGGCCCTGGAAGTATTCGAAAAGCTTGTCAAAGCCTGCTTTCTCGCTGGGCATGTCAGGGCTAGTGACCGCAATCACAGACACGTCGGTGGAGGAGCTGAATCGCAGACCACAGAGATAGTTGCTGGCGAGCTTGATATCAATGCGACCATCAACCAGTAATGTCGACGGCGCAAGCTGGCTCCATGGAATACGACCACTGAGGTCTGCACCTCCAACATGCTTGGCAGTGGACATGAACTCGGCGAGGGACGCCATGGCAACCTTGCCACGCCAAACAACCCCGTCGTCATTGAAATCCTTTGGCGAGTAGGGAGGGGATTCGGGCTCGTCATCACGTAGTAGATCGTCAATCTCAGCATCGGCCTGAATTCTGCCATGAGGCACGGGTTCACGAATGCTGGTTTCGACTTCGGGAAAGACATGGTCGTGGTGTTCTCCGGTTGGCGAGGGTGCTCGTCCATATCCCTCAGCCTTGGCTCCCTGCTGCTGTTTTGAAGAGGATGGGCTTTGGTTTCCAGGACTAGCCTCCACTTCAGTAGCCCGACGAGGTGGTGCAGAGAATACCGATTCCGTTGCGGCGTGAGTTTCGTCTTCGATCAGTTCCTCACCCTTGTGTGTTCGTCGAATACGAGGACCTTGCTCCTGTACAATGATATGTTGTCGTTCTGATTCACGTTTGATTTCTGCATCTTTTTGTTGCAGTTCTTCGCTCGCCATCTCCTCTGGCTTCATCCTAGACAGGGAATCTGAGGAGAGACTACCTACGAGCAACCGATCTCGTAGCGAAGGATTCTTCTTTACGTTGAATACGATCGTTCGTAACTGCGTTTTATATCCCTCGTTGGGCTCGCCCGTCTGTCCAAATAGATTCCGATACAGGGCATCCTCAATGGCAAGACCAAGTTGACGTCCAGTATTCTCTGCTGACTCTCCAGCGGGTAGTGGGGAAACGCCAGTCTTCTGAGACTCCGCAAGCTGTTCTACAAATAGCTTGATGAGCGCAGTGGCCGCTCTCTTGCGTGCGGGGTTCACTAGATCCTCCACAGTACCCATCGTCGTAGGTGTCTCGGGAGCGGGCTCAGTCTTAGGCTTTGGAGTTTCTCTCGCGGGTTGTTCGGCGGGTTCTGGAGAAATTCGTTGCTGTTTGACTTGAGGTTCCTGTGCCACAGTAGAGATTAGTACCGTACCTCATGTGTTGAAGGAAATGTCCACTTACCATATGCGCTTCTGTGTTATCCTCAAGCTTGCGCTTGTTTGTGCTAGACCTTCGTGAGTCTGCACCTTGGGCATGCTTTTCTGGTTCGACTGATACCGAAGCAGCTGGGGCAGGAGACATGCCAGGGCCAGGTGTTGCAGAAGTGCCAGCGCGAGCTGGTGTGCTGGTCTCTGTCTTTCCCTGACTCTTCCGGCTGCCTTTCTTGCCCTTCTTGCGCTTGGACTTCTTTTCTTCGGCCTCCTTCCTTCGTCTGTTTGCGACTTCTTCCCATGGTTTCTCTCCTCTGGCGATCTTTTCGAGAAGTGATTTGTGGTTTTCAGGTCGGCATTGCTCACAATAGTATTGGTCGGGTTCCTGGCCCTTGGCGAATGTGAGGCCCATACAGTCGTTGTGTTGCCACGCAGAGCATTGATCGCAGCAGATCATGTCTCGCTCCACATCCTCCTCTTCTTCGTATTCGCCGCAGATACATCGAATTATCTCTTCCTCTTCCCCATCCTCACTAGGTCCGGGGGTCGGTTCGGCGGAGGCTTTGCTGTTCTTGTCTTTCGGCCCTTTCACTTTGCCTTTCTTCGCGGAGGAATCGGCTGGGAGTTCGAGGTTCTTGTGCTGGCCTTTTGTGGCTCGGCCTGAGCGTCGTGGTTCGTCTGGCATTGAGGTTAGCTTGGTGTTGTGCAGCGCGTGTTGGTGAGCCGAGGCTACTGCCTGCCTTCCACCGTTGATGGTTGAAAGGGCAAGGTCTGCCGGGAAGGTGTACAGGAGCTTACCAGCCATGGGAGATAATGAACACCGAAGTGTGCTACAGCGCAATGGAGAATAAAGTCTGCGATTGCTCAAAAGCGACGATATGCGCCTGACCAGCGACCACAAAATGGTCTCTACGGGCTCAAAGGGCTAGGAAATGAAGAAAAAAGAGCGATACACAAGAGAAGACGCTGCCGCCTGGTGACTGGTCCAGAGTATTACTTGATGACCAGAGCCGCCGGTTCCAAACTGTGCGCTGATACTCTTGCACAGGTGTAGAGTGGCAAGAAGTTGCGCCTGGCTCGTGTTTTCAGAGGGTGTGCGATCCCTTGCGCGTCACTTGCGCCGAGCGAAAAGCGGGGTCGCGTGATGTTTCGGGCGCGAACACTCTCGAATTTAGAGATGAGACTAGCGATGGCTCGTTGAGGTGTCCTTAATGACCCCTCCAGAGAATTTGGGTGAATGAGGTGAGGCGGAGTTGGATGAAGGAGTGATGAGAGGGAGTTGTGTGACCAGCGAAGGAGTTCTGAGATTATGTAATCTCGATCACATGATCGACATCTTGGAATTCGCGATGAGGCGGGATACCTTACCTTAAGGTCTCCACCGAGGCAAAATCCACTTTTGAATCAACCTGAAACTACATAGTTTGAATTCCAACTCAACGCTCTTCACCGATCCACCGAACTTTGTGCGCATCCTCTAAATTCTCGGCCAATCTTATACCATCTTCTCTATTGAATCATGGCGGACGTCCGGTCGCTTCTCCGGAACGAATTAGCTTCGCGCAAGGGCTCATCACCCAATACCACTGGCAATCGGGTCAGCAAAAAGCGCAAGGTCGATAATGGCGATGGAGTTATGCGGAAGAAGCTGCGGTCGACCGACCTAGAGACTGTGGAAGCCGTCGCCAAAGCACAGAACGCTGAGTCGCCCAGTGCCCAGGACGCTACTTCCGACGACGTCTTGGAGGAAGAAGACGAGGTGGACACCGCTGGATCGGAGCTACCACACGAATCCAATCAAGATATTGTTCTACCGACTGTGCAACCGACGACAACCGCCGACGCTACGCAAGCTTCTCACACAGTCGACGAGGACGAGTGGGCCGCGTTCGAACGCGAAGTCGCGGCCCCGACGCGACTTCCACAGGCACCTGCAGCTCTTGCAGCAGAAGCTACCATATCTGCAGCCCCGGTAACCAACGAGGAGCTGGCCGCACAGCATGAACAAGAGGCGGCATCAACAAAGAACGCGAGAGAAGCAGAGTTGGAGGGCGAGCGTGAGGATGCCGCTCGCTTCATGGAGGAGGAATTCGATGAAATGGATCAGCTCGAGGAGCGCGTGCGGAAGTTGAAACAAATGCGAGAGGAACTTCGAGAGAAACGCGCTCGGGATGGCGCACGAGACCAGCCGATGGCTACCGAAGAACAAAGAGAAGCGGAGGAGAGCGAAAGTGATGAGGATGATGAAGATTGGGACGACTGGAGATTCAAATGATTTTCTACTGCTAAGAATGACGATTCACAAAAATGGAGATCAGGCCTCCTCTAATCTACGATGATACCCTTGGAAATTGAAATGATACATTGCGATAGAATAACCAGACGTCTGTTACTTTATGACCTGACCTACTAGTCACATCTCCGCATGTGAGAGCTTCGAAGAACCAATTTTATGACCCTTCCATGAAGAAACTTGCTAGTAGCAGATTGAATATATTCTCTAGACCGGTGTCCGGTGTCATTGACCATGCGTCTCTTCAGCTTCAGCTGGCGCATCATCGACTTCCATATAACTACGCAATCCATGCTTGCGGACTTGCATAGCTTCCGCTATTTCTGCTTCACCTTCACGGAGGAGATGTTTGCCTCGAAGAAGATCGCCACGTTGCCTTCGCTTATCATCCTCGACTTGTTTTTCTCTCTCCGCAAAGGCCCTTTCACGCTTCTCCCGCTCCCTTTGTTTTCGATCGTGTTCCTCCTGTTCTTCGGCTGTCAGCCGTACCTCTGGTGCTGGAGGCAAAGTAGAGATAAAGGCTTCGATCAGCGGGTTCCGGGTTTGAGCAGGAAGTGCAATGTATCGAATATCCGTCATGATCATTGTTGGGAGAGCTTCGAGATTCGACGATCGATTCAGGGTGTGGACAGGCGCCGACTTGAGAAGAGCGGAAAGATCCGATTTTCGAGTGCTCTCGGGAAGTTTGAGACGAGAAATGTAGTCGCGATAAAACTTCTCGCGGTCCTTATCATGCAATTGTGAATCCTTCATCGCTTTGTCTTTGCGGTATTTGCGTTTGAATTCAGGCCAATAGAGTTTGGGCGTGGCGTATTCCTGTAAAAATGCCAAGTATTCGATGCGAGGATCATGCTTTTCTTGTTTTGCTTTGCGTTGTTTGACATCTTTGATTCGGTCACTGCTCCATCTTGAGAATATCTCACGTCGAGTTTTCATGTTTCCAGGTGCGGTATATCGAGAATCCTCGATGATTCGTCCCTCTTCAATGATTTTCTCCCAAATTGTGAAAGGATTGATGTTGTAGTCATCGAGAAGATCGCGGAAGAGTGCTTCGGCATCAGCATCGGTCAATTCAAGGCCCTGGGCACCGTCCTCCCAGTCCTCTTCTCCGGGTTCGCCGTATTCCTCCGGGTCGAGACCATAGTCCTCTCCCATGGTCTCAAGCTGATAAGCCATATCCTCCTCGGTGAATTCCACTGGCTTATTGTCGGGGGCTTCACTATCAGTCCGTGCTCGTTTCGATGGCAGTCCCTCGTCCTCATACTCGCTATCTGTAACTTCGACCTCTTCATACTCGTCGCTATCTTCGGGCCCTCCTGATTGTTCGGGTGCCGAATGAATCTGCGTGGGAGCTTCAATGGCCTTCTCTGGTTTCTGTGTCGTCTTTTCTGGGACACTATCTTTGGAAAGCTCCTCGGGTTCTTCGCCCCGCTCTTTTTTCTCTTTCTTCTCGCGTTCCAAACGATCGTATTCGACGACGCCTTTCAATACCTCTTGTGGAAATTTCCAAAAGCTCTCGTTGGTTTCCGGGTTATAAATAAAACGTCTTTTCAACTTGGTTTTCACGAGTACCCAAGGCGCGCAATCTGGTATGGGATGTTTCGACTTGGGTCTATCCTGAGGCTCGCGACGCCCACGATCCTGATAACCCTTTCCTCCCCGGAAACCACCTCGGCCATGGCCTTGCTGGTGTTCACTTTGCTGTGACCCATCAGGTCCGTACCCTGCTGGGCCATATGCTGTAGAGGAAAAAGGTGGTAAAGTTTCTGGCGCATAGTAGGAAAGTGGTTGAGAAGGCCCAGGGACAGTCGGTGCGGGTTGAGGGGCAGGCGATGGCACTTGAGGCCTTGTGTACGTTGACTGCTTGGTAGCCGAATTGTAGTAGTACAGTTGACCTATGGGTTTCTGGTTAGCCAGAATCTTCAATGTTAACCAAAAGATGTGCACCAACCAGCAGGCGCCCGATGCTCTGTCCACCCTGGGGGCAGAGGTAGTGATGTATATGTGGATTTCAGCATATTCAAATGATGGACGGATTGTTCCAAAAAAAAAAGAAACTATCAAGAAGAGGCGAACCCCGTGGCGCAATGCTCAAGTGTAGAAGCGCAAAGCCGCGGCGAAGCTTTGGTGTAGTGAGGTGGTCCGAGCTTGGCGGATGACAGAGCCAAAGGACGCGCAGGGCGAGTGCCTGGACTTGCACTTGCTGAAGCTCACCGTTACCGTCACCAGCCACCTTAACCACCTACATCCATCCCCCATTCTCTTCCTTCACGACCTCGTTCAACTCGACTATCACTTTGGGTTCTTTTTTACGTCTGCATTGTATACATCATGTCTCGCCGATATGATTCACGGGTTGGTCGGCCCCCGCCATTCGGTCGCTGCAACAGCTCCAGCTAACCTATGACGATGTCCGGTAGACCACCATCTTCTCCCCTGAGGGTCGCTTGTACCAGGTTGAATATGCACTTGAGGCAATCTCCCATGCTGGTACTGCCCTCGGTATTCTAGCCAAGGATGGCATTGTCCTCGCTGCCGAGAGGAAGGTGACCAGCAAGCTCCTGGAGCAGGATACCTCCGCCGAGAAGCTCTACACAATCAACGAGTACGTCGATCGAAATTTCCCGGCCTTCACTACAGCCTTGATGGCTAGTGCTGCTTTTGCATCGTTGAGCTAACTCCCCCTGCAGTAACATGATTTGCGCAGTTGCTGGTATGAACGCCGATGCCAACATCCTCATCAATTACGCCCGTCAAAATGCCCAACGTTACCTCCTTACCTACAACGAAGACATTCCCTGCGAGCAGCTCGTGCGCCGACTGTGTGACTTGAAGCAAGGATATACTCAGCACGGTGGTCTCCGTCCGTTCGGTGTCTCCTTCATCTACGCTGGATGGGATCACCTTCGTCAATTCCAGCTGTACCAGAGCAACCCGAGTGGCAATTACGGTGGTTGGAAGGCGACAAGCGTTGGTGCAAACAATGCCAGCGCACAGAGTCTGCTTAAGCAAGATTACAAGGAAGACTCCACATTGCAGGAGGCTTGCGCCATGGCCGTCAAGGTGCTGAGCAAGACGATGGATTCGACAAAGCTCAGCAGTGAGAAGAGTGAGTATCCTCCGAAGACTTCCCCCTTCCCATTTGACATTCATCATCGCTTGCAAAAATACTGACCCGCTCTTTCGTGATACGCAGTCGAATTCGCAACGGTGGGTAAGACCAAGGATGGAAAGATCTACCACCACCTTTGGAGCGCAGATGAGATCGATGCCCTGCTGCGGGAACAAGGGCTGGCCAAGGTCGACGATGAGCCCGAGGCAGGCGACATAAAATAGATTAATACCTTCGTCTGTGTTTTGAATACTTGCAAATCAAGAGCTACAATCTACTACTATCGCCGTGCTCCCAATATCAACCATGTACAAACCGGTGGTTTCTGCTGATGACTGCATCAGGTGTTGCTGGCCGGTGACGTGGCAGACACCCACCGGCCAAGTCTCAACAAGTGCCTTGTTGTCTCCAATCTGATGATGTTTGATGCAGTGGGATCGAGCAAACTTGTACACGTAGTCTGATTCTTGGGTTATTGTTTGGGTCAATAAATTTTCCGGTGCGGCCCTGAAGATCTCGCGGCAAAGTATATAATCCCCGCGCCGCCAGTCCATCCCTGGGCTTTCAGCCACCAACTTGAATCTGAAGGAACGTCCACTTCTACCTCTTCCTACTAGTAGTAGTACTAGTAGTACTTGGGTTTATCCATGGGTGGATGCCCAGTGTTTTCAAAGTTGTGACATCCGTTGATGTTCAAGTTCAAATTTAACAAGTTGTCCGGTGGTCGTGTTCTTGCTAACCCAGACCCAATATATAGTCTGAGTACTACTTCACTGGCCTGAGGGAATCCGGCGAGTCTCTGGTTTAAAATACACTAACTGAATTGGAAGTTGGAACTGATGAGTACCTAGGTGTCCAGGTGTGCAACAGGTCTTAGGATAGACTTTGACTAATATGATGTTTACATCCATTGCTTGTCCTAGTTGCTGACTAGTACTGCTTGATTGAAACCTAAGGCATCAACGGCTGATATAACCAATGAGATGGATACATGGCACGTGATGCGGTGGGGTTTCTTTAGAAGGAGGGGGTTCCACCATCCACCTGGCGACATTCCTCCCTGCCGATTCCATTGCGAGACTGTCTGACCTTCTCTCATGATCGAATGGCTAATACTTCTTCTTCTTCAGGCTCCAGTGGCTTTTCACTCGGGCTACCTCAGCCGAATGGCCCCTCTTACCCCTTGATGAGACCGGGCCGTCTCAGCGAACCGCTCACTCAAAGGTCAGGGCGCTTATAACATGACTAGACCCCATCAATATATCCATTGGATCTCGACAGCCTATCGAAAAAGGGGAATTACTTCAGAACAGCCAATGATTCCTTTCTTCAGACTTTCAGACCCTCTCGGGTGGCGATGCTCGTCACATTGCAGAAATTCGATTCGGACTTGATGTCACAGACTATGTGCTTGTGTGGTACATGAAACATCCACAACGTCCCCCCGGCGGATGGTATTAGGAAAACGCAAAAAGGAAAAGAAAAATAACGAGTGCTCCAAGCTTCCAACCCGATAAAGCAAAGTGAAAGAGGGTACAGAACATGAAAAGAATGAAAATGAGACGTCATGTCAATGCAGCCGCTGTTCGTCCAAGGAAAATCCACCAGGTTTTGCCGATACAAGCCACATATTATCGTGTAAGGGTCGTGCGTCGATCCTCACGCTCCCGTTGCAAGACGTAAATTTCCTTGTCCAAGTCCATTATGAGTTTCTGGGATCGGTCCATGGAGGCAACAAGAGTGGCCCCCTCACGTTTCCACCGTTCTAGGCGGTCGACCTCGGCGCTTCGCCGCCGGAATTTGGTCTCAATCTTTTCACAGAGGCGGCACTTGCTGTTATCGTTTTCGGTCATGTTCACGAGTTTCATACCACACGTCTCGCCTGTGCGATACTCGTAATTGCACCGATGGGCGAAGTTGGTCCAGCTCCAGTCCCCACACGAAAATCGCTTTTGGTTGTAAAAGCACATGCCTATCAGCTGTGTTAGTGCCATTCAACTCGACGGTACGATCAAACTCACTTGCTGTCGGATCTTGAGCCTTGTTTCAGGTTGACTGATGGCACACGATTGGTCTTTTGCCGGACCTATCCTAAACTTCTCTAACGAGTCTGATAGGCTAGTCCTCGACAGAATTTTGATCAGGAGTTTTTGAGTGGCTCAAAGGAGGCGAAATAATTCTCAACAAAACATAAAATTCCTTCCAATCGAAATATCTATGAATCTCAATTGCTCAATTGAGTGTTTGAATTTGGAACCTGGGGGGATGATTTCGAACTCCACATCCTGTCAAGGGGATCGAAACTGCTATTTATGCTTCGGTGGATGTTTTCATGTCACCGCTAGAGTCCCTCCAAGTTGATGTCGTCGTCCTGCTGATCGACATTCAGCGGTGCGGGACGGCTTATCGTCCGTGTTTCCCATTCATCGGATTTCACCTCACAACCTGGTTGAGGTCGATACGGTTGGCTGTCAGCATTTCTCCTGGTAGTGGAGACGGTGAGATGCCCAAGGTTTCTTTTGGATGGAGCCACCAAGGATGAACCGTTGCTTCAAGCATGCATGCATCTTCTTGCCTGTGGCAACTTCTGTCCCCATGATGATGTACGCCAGGTGGAAAATCCCTCAGTCAATGGCTGTCATCTTCCACTTTTTGGTATCGACTGCTGCAGCTATGCCGTCGCTAGATTGCACTTCCCCGCCTTCAGGTGCATACTGTTCGCATGGAAGCATACACCTGTGATCGTGTTGCGTTGTGCATCGTTTGATCCTGCATGACTGAGTCGCTTTCGACCTCTGCCAGCTGTCACCTTGATGCAATTATCAGACGGCTTTCGCCCGGGGTTGCCTGGTTTCCAAGCAAAAAGAAGCTGCATTTATTTCCGAATGTGACGGGACTGCACGTTCCCTGTGACTCCACCCCCTAATAGGGGTTGTCCTGATTTTCCACTTTTCTTTCTGCCCAGTCTTGCCACTTTTGATTGGGTTCAATATACCCATTATCTGGAATTTTGAGACGGCCGATAGACCGAGACCCTTCTTCTTCCCATGGAGCACCACACCCCACGCTGCTGTCTGTGTGATTGCATACGCATGCACGCCCACATCATTGCGCCCCCGTCGATGCTTCTGCTTTCACTATTACGTTTACTGCATTGGGCAATGCTCCAGATTGGAATTCGTCTCAGAGCATGTACTGTGACCCGTTACTGGTGTCCTTCCATCACGTCTCTCTGCCGAGCCTTACTTGCAAGGATAAGAACTGCGACCTGATTTCGTCCCACGCCGCCGCATCCTTCCGCTCCGTGCCTCTCAACCAATAGTCCCCTCACCCGGGTGGCAACAAGTCGCGTCACTGAGGCTCGAATGAGTTGTGCCTCCTGCACTCAGGGACACGGGCCATAGAATTGGGTTTGTTTCCCTCGTTCCTCATTAACCGTTTGGGGCTTGGACGGAAAAGATCCATTTTCATTCAGCTGATCTTTCATATCTGCAGAGGAGGGATGCTGCATCTGCCCCCGCTCATGTGTATGGCTCATCATCATCCATTTGCCCGCTTGGGTGAAGATGATAGGATCTTAGTGCCGTGCGGCGCGGGCATCGCAGACACGAACTGTGACCTTCCACATATTACTTTACCACATGCAGCTGCACCAAAGCTCGGAGACTCTGACGTGGCACCTTATTTCTGGCTCGGAGACTCTCAATTACTGTTAGCGAACGCTGACTGGAAGGCTGTGGGCGGGGGAGCGCAACATCTATGGATTCCATAAAAGCTCCACAGAAGCGATCCAGGCCTCCACCCCTGTCATTGAGCATCCCGCATCATGATCACTTAATTTGTTTTCATTTCTATCTCCGCTGGAATTGGAAAGTGACTCTATCTTTCCAGCTGGCCCGGTCCTCTGATCCACCGGACGAAACCCATCAATATAATACAAAATCGTCGGAGGATGCCGCATTCATTACGCCCGCTGCCCGGATCTAGGAAGATGATCCATGGCGAGATGTTGAGTTGGCAGCCAGACATCCTTGAAGGCCCGTGAACAGCACCAGAGGGCGTAATTTCGGAGAGGACTGACCCATTTCGAGCAAAAAAGTGGTTGCATCGACTCTCACATTCTCGAATCAGCTTTCCAAGCAACCCCCCTGCCCATTTGCCTCTTGCCCCGTCTTACCACCGAAATTGCCGTACTCTTTCTGGGGGACCCCCGACTTCCGGCTGGCCAGGATTGTGCTCAAAAATTATGAAAAAGAGTGGATATGATTCCTGCCCAACAAGCAAAGTTGTCAGAAGGCTTTTCAGAGCTGTCGAGTCCGAGTCAGTGCTATAATTCCCTCATTTGATGTGGAATAGACTTGGACCACCCATGCTCCAACGTTGAAATTGGATTCTCAGGCGCGCATACACGCTCCCACAGCGCTGGGCTCTTCTGATCCCGTGATCTTAAAGTGAACGGAGGCTCCCGCACCTTCCACGCGCATGCCTCTGCCGCCCGCAACAAATGGTGGCCGGCTCTTCAAGCTTTGGGATTCGAAAGCCGGAGGGCCACCGCCCCCAGCCTGGGTCAACGCGCCCAGATTGGCCGGCGAGCGGAGGGAACCTCTTTTGCAGCCGAGTGCAGTAGCCAATAACAAACCCTGACTGGGATGTCGGTCATATGCAGCTAGCACTCCATTTCCCCACCCACTTCATGTACGAGGGCCACCGCTGCATATCATCAGCGCCTTCTCCGAATCAAGCCAAGCTGTAGGCTTATTGGTCGATTGAAGACCGTCTCGATGCGGGCCCTCGCATCCGCATATTGCCAGGTGCGTGCCAGCTCCACTGTTGCTGCGTAGGATCAGATCTTAAGTTCCACTTTTCATGTGTGCGAACCTGCGCGGAAGTTCGCTTCCGTGCTTCTCGAGGTTCCAGATGTGATGCGCTGATCACTTTCAATTTGGAAAGTTTTTATTCTGCCTATTTTTATATCCTTCTTCCTTTTTCCACGATGCAGTCACGCAATGCCGCTGACGCAAGTTTTCCGATTCCTGACCTGCTTTATGCAGATATCACTTTTTCTTTTTTGCTTTTGCTCGCCCAAACCATCGCTCTACCTCGGGGCTGAAATCTACTAATCTTTACATATATTGGCAAGCAAACAAAGTCCGAAGTGACTCAATATTGAGATCAGACCTCGAAACGACGTGGTGCCGCTCTTGTTGACGTGGCAGGCTCACTGCGTTCACGGATTGCTAACATGACCTAAGTTATCAAATGCCCACCATCAAAAAGTCTCATCACACTGACAAATTTCATTGGCCATGGAGTGTTCATGCCAGTGATCGAGTGCTTTTACAAAACCGTAGTCCACTAACTGTGGAAGCTGGTAAGCTGGTAAGCTTATTACCGGATCGGGTTAGCCCTTTGTGACGTCAGCATGATCTATAGGACATTCTATTCTGGATTTGCGAGGACACAACCAGGAATTAGTAGCTCCGAGTCTTGATCTCTTAAAGACTTTTCCCCCTTTTTCGTAGGCATTCATTCTCTTCTCATCGACCCTAGAAGCAATAGAAAAAAGGCACGCCAACCATATCACCCGTTCAAACCTAAGCTTGATTCTCTTGTCTAAGAAAGAACAAAAGTACATCTATCATGTGGAAGAGCCTCATTTCCACTAGCCAGCAGGCGACTCGCGCAACCCCCCGCAATTGCTTCGCGGCACTTTGCACAACCCCATCGACCGCGAGCGGTCGCCCCTTCAGTGCCATTTCTCGACTCGCAAAAGACAACCCCCCCCGAGGACATCGATCGCGAAGAACTGCGGCCCGAGCGATCAGAAGTCACCAAGTCTGGGACTGACAATGAAATCGCTCATCACGATGCTGCATTTGATCCCACGAATACTGCCCCGGAAAGCGAGCTCGCTGCGACAGAGAACGAGAGCAAGTCGACGAATGTGAAAGGGTCACTCAATATGAGTCCCGCGAACAAGGATGTGAGCGCATGGCGGAGACCAACCGAGGGTGGTCCAGATAGGAATGTTGATCGAGGAGTTTCAAGCAAGAAAGGCTCGCCGAACAAGCGACGGACAGTCCATGTCAAAGAGGATGGGACGCATGTATCGTATCGATAGTGTGTATATCCGAGCCCTTATGCCCGTGTTATATAACAAGTACCTGTCACTACTAGTACTACCGTAATATGCAAATCTCTCAAGGCTAGTAGATTAAGTTCATACATCTTACTATCAACAAAAAAAAGAGACGAAGGAGATATTTTTGCGCGACGTTTTCTCTCGAAATATGACAATATCCACCATGAACACATGAAACTGCCTGGACATCATGATTGAAAGCTGTAGATTTCTAATCTTAAACGTTGAAAAATGAATTAATATATTCACCCGATGCACACGTTATGTTCATCATTAATAATTACTAGCATTCCACCTCAGTGATGCGAAGCTTTTCTTCTCCCCGAGATTCCCTCCATCGATTCGATGACCTAATCAACTCATCGCATCCCTCGAGAAGGCGTCCCCATTTCCGCACAAAGGCAGGGGTCAACTCCCAACTGTTTAATAAATAAGGTTCCCCCCATACAATCATACCGTCGCGACTGGCCGTATAATGTTTTCTTTGAGTGACTTGCTGTCTCATGACCCCCAACTAAGACAACTACTATAGGGATCGGCACTTACGGCGGGCTTGCTGATTAAGGCGGTTCTGGATCTTCCTCCGGCGCTTGGGATCATCATTCTTAGTGGACCCAGCGCCGCTTCAGCTGGGGATGGCCCAGGTGAAGGTAGACATGGATTTGTGATATAGACGGGGGTGGTGAAGCGGTGGCCAGGATGTTAACCACACCTGACTAGTTCGGATTCAGTAATAAAGTCAGCCGGCTAATGGGGGCCAGACTATTCCCAAGTAGGCCAAATCGGTCAGCTAGACCCGTCTATTTCTGTTACTAAGGTTAGCTCCTCCTATGGAATTCAGGAGGGTGGATGTAGAGGATGATCGGATTTTATCCCATCCCCAACTAGGCCAGATCGGTCAGCTAGCTCTACGGTCTGACCCACACGAGCACAGGCAAAAGGGCCCAGAAGTACAGATAAAAATCAAAATCAAGCTATTCCCAAGTCGAAGAAACCGGTCAGCTAGTACGCGAGGTGGAAGGGGTGAAGACGGGAAGAAATTTAAACTATTCCCAACCAGTCTAAATTGGTCAGCTAGTTCTATTTAAGCTGTTTGGCGTTGTATCAGGCAGAATGGCCAGCGAGGAACAATTGGACTTCAAATCCGAAAAATAAAAACTATACCTAGATTGGTAAAACCAGTCAGCTAGCTTCCTCATATAGGACTCGAATGTGTCATAGCAGGCAGGGCTAGAGGAAAGCTATTAAAGTGAAGCAACTTCTGTTATTTGCTACTTTCTTTTTTCATAAGCTCCAAGACTCACACCTTTTCTTCTACATTAACTATCTTTCTCATTATATGCTATAATGTCTCGCTACGCTGCAGCTCATGTCGACCCTCAAGGCCCCGGTGATGCCCGCCCAACCGCCCTCCAAATAGTCCAAGACGAGGACTTCAAAGGCAAACTCACCGGCAAAGTTGCCGTCGTCACTGGTGTTTCTTCGGGCCTAGGTATTGAGACCGTCAGAGCGCTCGCAGCGACTGGTGCAACTTTGTACCTCACTGCGAGAAATCTCGACAAGGCCAAAGCGGCACTGGCGGACATATTTGACTCGAGGACAATGACTCTCGTCCAGATGGATCAAGCGTCACTCGAAAGTGTCCGGATCGCTGCTCAAACCATCCTATCCAAAACGACCCAAATAAGCCTTCTCGTCGCCAATGCCGGAGTCATGGCTAACCCAGACCTCAGGTTGACCGACAAAGGACATGAGATGCAATTCGCCACAAACCATCTGTCGCACTTCTTATTCTTCAACCTGTTGAAGTCGGCTCTACTGGCGGGATCGTCTTCAGCCTTCCAGTCTCGCGTTGTGATGCTTTCTTCTGCTGGACATCGTGTTGGCGGCATCAACTCCTCTGACAACTACCACTATCAGAATGGTGGATACAATCCCTGGGCTGCATATGCGCAATCCAAAACCGCGAATGTCTACATGGCCAACGAGATTGAGCGTCGCTACGGATCCCAAGGTCTGCACGCTTATAGTCTCAATCCTGGAATTGCGGCCACTGGGATCATTGGTCAATTGAGCAGCGAAGAGATCATGGGTATGCTGCAAGATAAAGCAATGCTTAAAGCTCAGAAAGGGCTGGACCAGGGAGCAGCGACAACTATTTATGCGGCAATTTCCAAGGACCTTGAGGGTAGAGGGGGGTCTGTATCTGAATGACTGCTCTGAGGCTGAGATGGGCGAGCAAGATGGTGACCGTATGTCGGGGAAATCGGCGCCGCATTCGTTTAACCCCGAGAACGAGGCGAGACTGTGGAAGGATTCTTTGGAGCTGGTTGGCTTGTCGGATTAGTGCAGCCTCGTAGCCTGAATAAGATGCGTCAGACCTCCAGACACAAAGAAAAAGCTAATTACACAGTAGTAGTATACAATGAATCTCTTAGTATTGCATCGAGCAATCGATTCACTTTACTCATCCTAGTTAGTTCAAGTTGGCTAATACTGCGTAATGTACGTGTCTGATTGTACTACTCAAGACTAATTAGCATAAATTATGGGAATAATGATATGTCATAAAGATGCCCGACTGAGCGGGCTATAAACCGTATTCGTACCCAACAGGACCATCAATCAATTTACTTCGCGAGGGCAATGATCTCCGAACCATCAATACTCCACACCTTCTCCTTGCCGCTAGGAACATCGCCTTCCAACGCCTTCAGGCCCGCGTTAACCGCCGCCTTGGCGATAACATCCGCGTCCTGCGCCCAACCATTCTTAAGACCGGAGTGCAGCTTGCCAGCCCAACCAGCGATGAAGCGGATACCAGCCTCCAGAGGCCGACTCTCCTCGCGAGTTCCAGTGATCAAACCAGGGCGAAGGATGACCGTGCGTTCAAAGCCGAGCGCCTTGATGTCCTCTTCGATCTCGCCCTTCATGCGCGAGTATGGAATGTGGGAAGCCTTGTTTGCGCCGGAAGCAGAGATCAAGACGTAGACCTTAGTACCGGCTTCCTTAGCGACGCGCGCCAGCTCAACGTTCAGTCCATGCTCAATCTTGTACTGGTTGTCGAAGCCGCCTGCAGCGCCGCGGGTTGTCGCGAACGAGGAGATAAAGATTCCTGGCGTCGGGGTGAGGGCCTGGAGCTGTGCGCCCCAGGTGGCGGTGTCGCCGGAGACGAAGGTGGTGAGCTTGCTTTGTGGAGCTTCGCCGGCGACGTTAGGGGTGCGACGTGAGATGGTGTCGACACGACTGACGGCCGGATTGGAGAGGAGGCTGGAGAGGATGTGGGATCCCTGATTGTGGTGATTGATTGGTTAGTCGGAGGCTTGGCTTCGCTGATGATGATGGGTGGCCTGGGGCGAGGGAGTGGGGTGGATTGGGGGTTGAAGTCTTACCACCATGCCGGTGGATCCGATGAGAGCCACATTCGCCATGTTTGCTGTGCGTTGGTTTCAAAGGGGTTGCGAGTTGATACTAGTATGCGGGAGGAGAGAAGAGGCGAAGGTGAAGGCGAAGTCGCAATCGACTGAGTGGGGAGTGCCTCGGCCGCTCTTTCTCTTTCGTCATGGCCCGCGCTAGGCCACATACGGTAGTATGCTTTGGTCATACACAATATACCTTAATACCTACATATACTTCCAAGGTTCCTAGGGCCGAAGCCCATCTAGTACTCGGTGCCATGGAAAGAGCAATATCGGTACCAAAACTCCTTTGAAGCTTTTTGATCGTTTGTACTATCGGATGGCGGGGCTTGAAGAGGCTTAGTACGAATATCAAACCGATTCAAGACTCGGAGCTCCGAATATGCGAGCGGCATTGGTAAAAGCTAGTAAGACTAGTATGACTTTTCATGGTAGTCGGACCCGAGATATTCGTGTCACAGATTCTATTTGCTTCGCACTGATCTATCGCATCTCTTCACCTTTCCTTAGAGAGCCAAACTTGCCCATCATCAAATCCACTTTCTATTCTTTCTTGCAGCCGCTACCTCCACGAAGAGATTTCTTCTCATCTATACCGGGGTATTAGGCACTGTATTAGGATCAGTTCTTAAGATTTCCAGGGCGACTATATGACCGCAACGGTATTTTCAAAGTGGGTCAATCGTACTTTGATGTTCAAAGACAGAACTGCAATGCGAGACCATCTATTTAACTTCCCTCACACCAAGGTCGAATCAGGGACATTGAATATTGCCATAAGCGGCCCATCAAGCTATCGAAATGTGGCTAAAGGTGAACGACCTGGTACAAACTATACTGGCAGACCAAAGGGGTAATTTCAAAGTCCACGTGGAACTGCTAGGTGGATGGTTGCCAGAACGTCATGCCCCGGTGGTTAGCCTTGGTCCAACTAGTACCCAATTTTATGATCACGACCTTGCAATTTTACCATTTTCCAGAATCTCGCATCGCAACTATGAGTTACCACCAGAACTTACCAATGCAATCTCACAAGAGTCGGATGGAAGACCACATTCCGTGTCTTATCGACTGTTTCAAGACGATTGGAATCGGGCTAATTGTGGTCAGTTGATGATCAAAAATTGGCTTTTGGCGGCGCGAATTTGTCTGGATATGAAACTTGATCGCGAACCGGTGGGGAACTTGCAGGTTTCTCCGGAGAGATAGATATATGAACTGGTTCTCAACAGACGGGAGCTCTATCTACGAGCAGCAGTTCCTTGAGGACCTTGAGACAAATTCCGAACTTGTTCGACGCTATGACCCCAACCTTTGCATATTTAACCAACGACGTACCCAATTGTTTGGTATATATGCAATGGTAGAATTAAAGAAGGCCAAAGCTCATAACTATGCGGGCTTTTGTGGTAGTTGGAAGTCTTGTTCCAGAATTGACTGGGGCTTAGAACGTCCAGGTGGCATAGCACCCCAATTCTTGAAAAATCCCGATCATTCCAAGTTTAGGGGTCTGTGTTACCAAGAAATACAAACCAAGCTGCCGTATCGCGAATTCTCTGAGGATTTGGACTGGTGGACCTATAACGCGGAGGACCTATTTTCAGAGACCGAGTTCCCATGCAAGTTCTTCAATTGCTCACTCTGTGTTGATACTGGGGTTTCTTGTCGGCGATGCAAGAAGTATGACTATCGCAAGCGATGCGGGTTTTGCAGAGAAGGCTCAAGAGAGCCCGCTGGCTACCTATCTCGAATAAATATGTGGCACCTGGCGAACCTGCTGCCATACTGGACAGATTCGACAAAGCCAGGGTTTATTTCATGGCAGGATTATCGGAATGCGCTTTTAGCGCTGACGACTAGTGAAGACCCGGAGTTGCAGTAGTTGAATGAATAGGTGAATGAAATTAAGGTAAAGAACTATTATTAAATGCAGGGGGGGCATGGAAGACCCGCCGAGAAACGAAAGGCCGAGAACAATGGAACCGCAAGAGCAGTAGTCTAAGAGCGTGATATTTGCAAAGGACCGTACGAATTGATGCGTCATATATAGGTAAAGACTTGCTAAAGTAATGATTTGCTTGTATTAAATAATTGATACTACGTTATGTATAAAATATCAATCAGATTTTCGAAGTCTGAGTAAGCTGTTTCTCCTGTGCTTGGTAGATCTTGACCAACTGGCGCACAGACAAGTCAAGCAACACATCCTCAGATCCACCAGGGATCCGGGCGCCAGGAACATCGCGAAGAATTGCTAATAATTGGATTAGTTGGGACTCGACTCAATAACCAAGTGCAGGGACATTACATACCTTCTACAAGCTCGCCTTGACCAGTCTGGGTGAAGCCATTGCCTCCGAATAGAAGAACAGCACACTGAGCACATTCATTCAGGACCATTGCAGACTTCGCCTTAGCCAAAGCCGTCAGCCCACCAAGTTGGCGATCGCCCTCCTCTTTGCTCATATGGGTCAGTTGGTAGAGGATCTGTTCGACCCACGCCCACATTGTCTCAAGCTCAGCCCCAGCCTTGGCAAGGCGATGGCGAACAACAGGTTGGTCCATGAGGGTCTTGCCAAATGCCTCACGCTTGAGGCAGTAAGAGAAAGCCGCAGACAGGGCAACGCGGGCTTGGCGAGTGACACCGACGGCGATAACGAGACGCTCATGGTTGAAGTTGGTCATGATGATACGCATGCCGTCGCCCTCCTTGCCGACCAAGTTGGATACCGGGACCTTGACATCGTCAAGCTCGATGTAAGTTGTTCCACCGGTCTTCTGACCCGCGACTTGGAGTCGACGCATTGAGACACCAGGGTGGTTTTTCAGAGGCACGATGACAACGGAGAGACCCTTGGCACCGGGGCCACCAGTGCGGACTGCCATGGTCGCATAGTCAGACCAAATACCATTGGTGATCCTATCGAAGATGTTAGTGAAGTTTTCAACAGAGAGATTGAATTGGAGCCATGTTGTCTCGCACCATTTCTTGGATCCGTTGATGATGTAGTGCTTTCCATCGGCGCTCTTCGTAGCTGTCGTAACGATATTCGCAACATCACTGCCAGCCTCGGGCTCAGTGATCGCAATGCATCCGCGCTTCTTGCCGGTAAGCAGGTCAGGAAGGAAGCGCTCTTGCAATTCCTTGCTTCCGAACTTGACAATGGGCGGGATACCAAAGGCAAAGCCAGCGTTGAGCGAGCCACCCGGGCCGCTCAGACCAGACCGGCCCATCTATCAAGGTTCATGTTAGCCTTTTCATCTCTTTTGAGGCAAACTGTCCGACCTCCTCACTTCATCACAGTAGATTCCAGTATAGATATAATCCCAATCTTCAACCTTGACGCCCAAAATATCGTGGATTCCTACGCGTTTGCACCAATCGACGGGTAGCGGGGCAGGCATGTTGGGGAGCAGCATATTGTGTTTGCAGAAGGTCTGGAAGACATGCTCGGGCACAGTTCCGGACTTTTCCCACTCCATGGCATTTTGGATGAGATTCTCCCAGGCAAATTTGCGACAAGCTTTTTGGAAGCGTCGATGAGCGTCTGTGATATATGGGGAAGGAAGGCCGCGAAGGTAGGGCGGTTCGGAGAAGGGGATGGGGTTGACAGAGTTCTCGGCCATTATGAGAGGTATGGGATATAAGTGGGTGCAGCTCTGTGCAGATTTGAGGGATAGAGACAGAAGGGGGTGGGGAGAGAATCAAGATAAAGAAGAAGTAGAAAGCTAATGTTATGGGTACATCATCTGGGGTATTAAGTTCAAGTCCACAGCTCCGCATTGTCTACCGACCGAGGCTCGGTGCAGCCGCGCCAAGCACACATGCGGGCACGGGGCACGGTGCACAGTGAGTATAGATGAGTCAGCTATGCATGCACACGGGTGGTATATAGGCTATATGGATGAAGTCAGCAATCAGGCATCAAGGCACCAAGGCACCATTCCTAAGGCACTCAGGCCACAATCGATAAGATTTGATTGAGCACGCAATTCGGACTATCCCCGATGAGGCAAATTGGTCTGGGGAATTTTCTATACGCGGCGGATTTCCAAGCAATGTCCCCTCTTCCTCCACATTGTTTTACTTTTTTACTTATTACTCTCTTTTATCCCCCTCATTCCATTCACTCCATTCGGTGATCTCTTTTCTTGTCTTTTCCGATCTCTGATATCGTTGCTGTGCGTGCGATATCTAGACAAGAACATACTTCGCCATGGGTGCCACCAGTCCCGCTCTGTCGGCCCTGTCTGGCCCGACCTATGTCACAGCCCAGACCCTGATTCAACAGGTCGCCTATCTGTTGAGTGACAAGGTCTTCTCCTATTCTCCGGATTCTTTTGATCTCGATGCTGCCCTCCGTCAATGGTCTGCCGCTCAAGAGACTAACGCCAATGGCGAATCTCCCGCCGTCAACGTCATGGAGACTCGTCAAGGTGCCGGAAATATCGCCCTGGGCTACCTCTTCTCTCAGGACTTTGATCTGAAGAAGCGCCATGTTCCTCAGGGTATTGTGGCTTCCTCGGCCACCCTTCCCTTCATGCGCAATGCTCTAGAGCAATTGTCTCTCCTCTACTCCGTCGCCAGCCCTGTTGCCGCCCACGTCGCCGCTGTCGATTATGCTGGCGAGGAGGGTCTCGTTTCCGACTATGCTTCGGCCCTCTCTCTGGCTGAGGACCTCGGACTGGGTCTCGTTTCAAGTGGCTCGGCTCACGAGTCTCAGCACATGGCTCTGCTCACCACTCTGCTCTCCTCTGTCTTGCCTTCCATCCACATCTATGATGGTGTCCGCGTTGGCCATGAGACCACTCGCGTCATTGACGTGCTGGACAAGGATGGTCTGAACCGTACCTATGAGAACATCCGTAAGACCCTGGAGGATTCCCGCAACCGTCATCTCGATGCCCAGGGCAAGCTGCTTGACCTGCTTAAGGCACTGAACGGTGAGCTTGGAACCGATTACAGTGCTTTCGAGTACCATGGCCATGCTGAGCCTACTTCTGTCCTTGTCGTCTTCGGTACCATCGAGGCTACTCTGGCTGCCCAGGTTGCCCGTTCTCTGGCCAAGGATGGCGTTCACATTGGTGTCGTCAATGTCCGCGTCTACCGTCCTTTCGTCGAGGAGGAGTTCCTGCGTGTCCTGCCCAAGTCCGTCAAGACCGTTGGCATTCTGGGCCAGGTTGCCAATGACCAGGCTGTTCAGGAGGAGGGTGTTCACTCTTCTCTCTACGAGGATGTGCTTGCTGCTCTGACCTTCGCCACCGACCGTGAGCAGGCTCCCGCTTGTGTCGAGATCAAGTACCCTCGCTCTCAGAGCTGGGATCTCATTTCCACTGCTGCTGCCTTCCAGCGCATCTTCGAGAAGCCCATTCTCCCAATCAACAGCTCCACCAACGAGGCCGCTCCTCTGCAGCTGCTTGACCCCGCTACTGTTCAGGAGTACACCTTCTGGGATGTTGACAACTCTGTCTCAGCTGATGCTGCCGGTGTTCTCAGTGAGGCTCTTGCCGCTGATTCGGCAAGCAACGTCACTACCAGCAAAGTTCACGACAACCTTGTCCAGGGTGGTGCCGTCCGCATCGACATCCGCAAGAGTGCTAAGATCCTGGATGCTCCCTACGCTGTCACTTCTGCCGATGTGTCCTACATTGGAAACATCGCCCTCCTGAAGGACGTTGATGTTCTTGCATCGGTCAAGGACAACGCTAAGGTCATCATCAGCGCCCCTGGTGTTAAGGACGAGGACCTGGAGAAGAAGCTGCCCGCTACCTTCAGACAGGCTGTCGCCCAGCGTGGAATCTCTGTCTTCATTGTCGACCCTACTGCTCTTGAAGATGCTTCCCTCGAGGCCTTGATCCTGCAGGCTTCCTTCATTCGCGTCGCTCTGCCTGCCCAGGAGGGTGTCGCCACCAAGAAGCTGTCTGCCATCTCTGGCAACGGCGAGGCTCTCGAGAACGTAGTCAAGGACCTCGAGAAGGTGCTCCGCCAGATCGAGACCCCCGAAGCCTGGAAGGAGCCCGAGGGTGTCAGCGAGGCTCTTCAGCTCCCCAAGGACATCTCCGCCAACAGCTTTGTTCCATTTGACAAGGACGAGTCTGAGCCTCCCACCCTTCTCAAGGACTGGGAGACTGCTGCTCGTGGCCTGGCTTTCAAGGAGGCTTTCGGTACCCGCGATGCTCTCCGCCCCGACTTGGCCGCCAAGACCTTCACCGTCCACGTCCAGGAGAACCGCCGTCTCACCCCTGCCACCTATGACCGTAACATCTTCCACATTGAGTTCGATCTTGGTGACTCTGGTCTCAAGTACGACATTGGCGAGGCTCTTGGTATCCACGCTGAGAACGACCCCGTCGATGTTTCCAAGTTCATTGAGTTTTACGGCCTGAACCCGGATGCCGTCGTCGAGGTTCCCAGCCGCGAGGACCCCGCTGTCCTGGAGAACCGTACCGTCTATCAGGCTCTCGTCCAGAATGTCGACATCTTCGGTCGCCCTCCCAAGCGCTTCTACGAGGCTCTCGCCGAGTTTGCCTCGGACGACAAGGAGAAGCTCGACCTTCTCACTCTGGGTGGTCCCGACGGTGCCGTCGAGTTCAAGCGCCGTGCTGAGGTCGACACCATCACCTTCGCCGATATCCTGCTTGAGTACCCCTCGGCCCACCCCGATTTCCACGAGATCGTCCGCATCATCGGCCCTCTGAAGCGCCGCGAGTACTCCATCGCCTCGTGCCAGAAGGTGACCCCCAACTCCGTTGCTCTGATGATTGTCGCCGTCACCTGGACCGATCCCAACGGCCGCGACCGTTTCGGACAGGCTACCCGCTACCTCAGCAGCCTGAAGGTTGGCTCGCCCATCACCGTCAGCGTCAAGTCCAGTGTGATGAAGCTGCCCCCCCAAGTCGACCCAGCCCCTCATCATGGCCGGTCTGGGTACTGGTCTTGCCCCCTTCCGCGCCTTCGTCCAGCACCGCGCCCTCGAGAAGGCCCAGGGCAAGGAGATCGGTTCCGTCCTCCTGTACATGGGCTCTCGTCACCAGCGCGAGGAGTACTGCTACGGAGAGGAATGGGAGGCGTACCAGGCCGCCGGTGTCATCACTCTCCTTGGCGCCGCCTTCTCCCGTGACCAGCCCGAGAAGATCTATATTCAGGACCGCATGCGCCAGTCCCTGCCCGAGATCGTCCAGGCCTACATCCGCGAGGAAGGTGCTTTCTACCTTTGCGGTCCTACCTGGCCCGTTCCTGATGTCACTGCTGTTCTGGAGGAGGCTATTGCCACCGAGGCCAAGGCCAACGGCAAGAAGGTCGATACTCGCAAGGAGATTGAGAAGCTTAAGGATGAGGAGCGCTACGTCCTGGAGGTTTACTAGATGGATGTGGTGTGATATGATCTGATGATTGACGTGCATTTTCGTTTTTGTCGATTCCCCCAAGCTTTAGATTTTCTTGCCTAGCGCAATTACTGCCCATAGATTCAAAATGCATTGGCAAATTTCCATTCGAGTCAATTTTACATTGAATCCATTCTCTTTTCTATTGGGTTCTAACTTTTCAAAAGGTGCACTTGATAAACAGTGCCAGCTTCGTTGAATTTTGAGACGATTTCATTACGCTTGCAGCCGGGGATCCGTTGTGGCTGAGTGGCGCGCTCCTCATGTGTCGTGGAGTTGCCGATTAAGCTGAGAGTAGTACTATGCATGATGCGGCAGATTGTTCAGTCTTGACTAGGAGATTCCAGGCTGAAGCCGAACATGATGGGAAAGAGGAGGATACCCTTTTCTCTTCCAAAGCCCTCGACATACTCTCATCCCCTCAAAAGAAATTCGCCTACATGAGAAAAGGAGCCAGCTGGCGAAAGATGCTTCTCCGCCAGCCCCCCGTCTACGGAGGCGTTACCATCTTCAAAATGCACCATAATATGCGCGCCGACTCGTGTAGTAGTTATGAGGTTCGTTCTTTCTTCCTCCCTTTCCCAAAGAGAAACCTCAAAGAAAAGGACCTCTAACGAAAAGCAACAGGTCCAAGAGGAAACCCCCGAGGCCAATCAAGAAAATAAAGAATCAGATGACAATTATAATACCTTGAAAATGGGCCACTTCTTCACAGCCCTCATACACAATGAGGACATTTACTTCGGCGGCGGCGGCCACGCACGCATCTACTGGTCCGCCTATGTCCCACCCTACGATCCTGACCTCGATGGCTGGGCACGTGGCAGCTATCCACCGCAAAGCGGGTCGTACAGCAGAAAGGTAATAGAGAATTTTGCTAGAGAGATCGCGAGATCCGAGGTTGTCGTATTCTCGAGGTAGGTGACGCAATGCTGTGTTGATATGAACACGAGGCTGACTCAGGAGGAGAGTTTGCGCAAGGAAATTCTCGAGGCTGAAAGTGATGCTAGCGTATAGCTTCGCGGGACATGGTACTAAGGTTTATGAGCAGACACACCAGCAGAAGAGTCAACAGAGCTAGTTGCAAAAAGCGCAATCTGCGAGGTTTTAAGAAGGGATATTTTAAGAAGAAAGAATGTTCAGGCATGGTGGACAAGCACGAGGTGGGCTCGACGTCAGATATCTGGAGTTCAAGATTGCAATGAAGCGTCATCTTGCTCAATAGAAGAAAATGGCTTTCATGTTGCATTCAAAAAGCAAGGTTACCCCTGCGGTTTGTATAATTGGAATCGTTTAGTCTATGAATGAGATACATTATTTTATTGGCGTGTCGCATGTCGTTCAGGCCCTTGCCAATGGCCCATGTTTGGTCTTTCCGTAAGCACCGCTCATTTCCTTCCTCAACTCCAAAGCCTTACGATAAGGCGGAGCAGTCGGAGGCTGTACTGGCTGCAAGCTGACATGATCAGGAGGAAGGGCATATGATGCATCTGAATCCCAGGCAGACAGGTCGCCACAGGCAATGAATGAAGGAATCCATCGATTCTCCTCGGCAAATTTGTTGGACAGCTTTTGCCCAGGTGGCTGGTTTGATGTCTCGGATGGTTGCTGGAGATGGCGCACTTCCGTGGAGTGTGTTGACGAAGCATTGGGCCCATCGTTTGTCTCTGCTAGGACAGGCCGAGCCCTTGTATCTTGATCTAGATCGTCTTTTACTTCGAGGCCGACGTTGCCATCCTGCGAGACAGGCTTCGGGGTAGCGGCACCACCAAATAGAGGATTTTTCAATGCTGCCATTCCAGCGAGACCTTCATTGCTGACGGGTGGGATATAGCCTTCGCAGACGATGAATGCTTCCAAACTGCTGGCACGACTACTCCGAGGCTTGGAGACGCTGACTCGATCGAAAACAGTTCGCAATTGCGCATAAAGAAGATCGACATCACGGGCTCGGAAGATTTTAGCAACAAATTTGCCGCCAGGTCGAAGAACGCCCATGGCCAAATTGAGGGCTGCGTAGAGCAATTGGGACTGGATGTAGATGTCCAAATCGTGCAGACCAGTTACGTCGGGCGCACCGTCGGAGATAACCAGATCAACAGGATGAGGCTCTCTGATGGGTGCTGGAGGGTTTGATGGGGAGTCAGTGGAAGTAGAAGAAGATTCGTAAGCTTCAGGATCCAGAGCACGTAGGAGAAGAGGGATTGTGGAGGGATGGGTGATGTCAGCTTTGAGGGTGGTGATGCCTTCAAGCGGGGCCATCGGTTGCAAATCGATGGAGACAATCTTGACATTCTTGCGAGGTTTCAGTTCGGCATTTGGGTCGCTCTCTCCAAATTGAGGCTCCATGTCATTATCGCTTGGCTTGGTCGCATCGCCGCCCTCCTCCAAAGCCTGTCGGTCTCTTTGTTTCTTCTCGAGCCACGCCCGCCGGCCAAAGCTTTCGCCCTTGATCAGGACTCGACTCAGTACCTGACTCCAACTGCCTGGTGCAGCGCAAAGATCCACAACTCGTGTAACATTATCCGGGTTCTCGTGATCGAAGAGGTCGAATTGTTCGTCGATTTGAATGAGCTTGAACGCCGAGCGAGCGCGCCAATTCTGTTCCTTCGCCAGGCGATAGTAAGCATCGCGCTTATCCTTGGACGATTTGCCCATTTTGGAACCAAACAGAAGCCCTGTCTGTTTCTTTTTGTCTTTTTTTCCCAATGAAGTGGGATTTGCGATAGAATTGGCTGCGAAGGCGGGGAGCCGCCGCGATAAGATTTCCGGGCGGACTCTTTCTGCCGCTTTTTTTTCCTTCGCCGACGAGCTTTTCTTTCCTCTTCACCACGAACTCTCGAATTCCTCTCGAATTCCTCTCGAACAGGTCCTCACAGCCATTATGGGTGAAAAGCGAGGACGTGACACGAAAGGGCAGGCGCAGGAGTCCAAGAAGCGCAAGAAGGGAGGCAAAGCCGACCCTGCTTCCGACGATGGTTGGGATGGCCTCGCCGGTATTGAAGACCTCAACTGGAAGGAAGTAACTCTTCCCGATCGAATGGAAGATGCCGAAGGATTCTTTGGTCTAGAGGAAATTGACGGGGTTGATGTGATCAAAATTGAAGGTTCGGCAGGTGTGCAGTTCAAGGTGAGTAGCTCCAGTGACAGTTCTATCTTGCCTGCGCAATTCGCTGACTCTCATGATTTACTGGGAATAGGCCAAGTCGGGAAAACCCAGGAAGTCGATTTTGAAAGCACCGTCCTCCGACGATGACGGCGAGGAATGGTCCGGCTTCAGTGACGGGGAGTCCGAAAAGCCTGCTGCTCCAGCCGCTGATAAGCAGGAACCGAAGGACAAAAAAGCGAAGAACAAGAAGGACGCCACCAAGGGGGATAATAAGAAGGATTCTCAAGATTCCAACAAGAAGGATTCCAAGGAGCCAAACAAAAAGGAGAAGAAGAGCAAGGACAATAAAAAAGACGCCGAAAACAAGAAGGTTTCCCCCAAAGAACCTAATCTGAAGTCCAGTCTCTCCTTCGCAGCGCTTGAAGAGACAGAAGATGATGATGGCGTGGATGTATCAGAGTGGGAGAATCTTGGTCTGGCCCCCGAGATTCTTACCGGTCTCTCCAAGATGAAATTCGGTACACCCACTGCTGTGCAACAGTCTTGTATCCCGGCCATTCTCGACGGACATGATGTCGTTGGAAAGGCATCGACTGGTTCTGGAAAAACACTGGCCTTTGGTGTTCCGATTCTTGATCACTATCTTGGAAAGAGATCGAAGAAAGTGGAACGTGATGATAAAATCAGCTCTCCCCCCATAGCGCTCATTTTGTCACCTACACGTGAACTGGCACATCAATTGGCGAAGCATATCGGAGATCTGATCTCGAATTCCCCCGACACTGACGCGCGCATCGCTTTGTTAACTGGCGGTCTATCTATCCAAAAGCAGCAGCGCCAGCTTGCTAATGCCGACATTGTTATCGGTACACCTGGTCGTGTCTGGGAAATCCTCAGCAAGGGATCCGGATTGATTCGCAAGATGCAGAAGATTCAGTTCCTGGTTGTTGACGAAGCCGATCGCCTCCTCAGCGAGGGCCACTTCAAGGAAGTTGAAGAGATCCTCGTCGCTTTGGACAAGCCAGACCATGGGGCCTTGCCCGATATGGATGAGGAGGCTCAGGTCGAGGAGGAGCCTGCTTCACGACAGACTCTGGTCTTCTCGGCTACCTTCCATCGTGATTTGCAGCAGAAGCTTGCTGGAAAGAGCCGTTGGACTAGTGGTGATATGATGGATAACAATGAATCAATGGAGTATCTTCTCAAGAAGCTCAACTTCCGCGAAGAGAAGCCTAAGTTCATTGATCTCAATCCCACGAAACAGATGGCAGAACGTTTAAAGGAGGGAATCATCGAGTGCCCTGCAATGGAGAAGGATCTCTACCTTTACTCGCTCCTACTCTATCACCCCAAACACCGAACCCTTATTTTCACCAACTCTATCTCCGCCGTCCGACGCGTCACTCAGTTGCTACAGAACCTCCAACTTCCTGCTCTCGCTCTCCACTCTTCCATGATACAAAAGGCCCGACTGCGCTCTGTTGAACGCTTTTCTTCGCCAACGGCCGACCCCAGCTCTATTCTTGTCGCCACAGATGTCGCTGCTCGAGGTCTCGATATTAAGGGCATCGACTGCGTCGTCCATTACCACGCCCCACGAGCCGCCGATGCATACGTGCACCGATCCGGTCGTACCGCTCGTGCCGGTGCATCGGGCAAGAGTATTATCATTTGTTCGCCGGACGAAGTGGTTAGCGTGGCCCGCCTGGCTGCAAAGGTTCACCATAAAAGGACCGGCGAACTCAATGCGAAAAAGCTTCCACTGGAATCGCTCGATATCGATCGTCGTGTCGTCCAACGCGTCCGCCAACGCATAACTATTGCTCAGAAGATTACCGATGCTAACATCGCCAAAGAGAAGATCTCTTCCGAGGATAACTGGCTTCGCGCAGCTGCTGATGACCTTGGTGTTGAATACGACTCTGATGAATTTGACGAGTCGAAAGGAAAGGGTCGTGGTCGTGGAGGTGGCCGTCATCAGCGTGACAAGAAAAACAGCGAAACCACCAAGGGTGAACTGGCCGGGCTTCGTGCAGAGTTGAGAGAACAACTTTCGCAGAGGATTAATATCGGTGTGAGTGAGCGATACTTGACGGCTGGGCGGGTTGATATTGAGGCTCTCATCCGTGGCGAGGGCAACAGTTCGTTCCTGGGACACCTTGATCCTTTGAACTTCTAGATTAAGTTTTATTGTGAATACCACTTGTCATATAAAGTATTTGCTGTTCGAACGGGAGTTTTCATGCTGAGGATTTCAGCTACTGTTCACTTTCTTTTCTTTTCTTACTCATGGTATAAAATGTCTACCTTCCAATACAACTTTACTCAAGGAACCCCTTTTACGGGGCTCTCAGAAACCTGAATTTTATTTAGTAAACCTCAAAACTAGTTCCTTTCGTCCGGGTGTTTTTGTTATTTTGACTGAGTTTTATGCCGCCATAATATCGAGCTAGGTAGAGAGTCCAAGCTTGCTGATCAAACTATAATCCGCTGCTAGTTCTCTCCCGCCACGTGGGAATCTTAGAGGGTCCCATCTTATCTGTAATCGGCATGCCGAGATCGCCATCTCGGCAGGCATCCGAAGCGCCGCCGAAAGTCGGCCCTCTCAGCCCCACTGTTGGGTCCAACAGAAAAAAATTGAAGCAAAAAGAAAGACAGCTCCGATCATAATTGCCGATGATCTCATCTAGCGTGATTCTCCTTAAAAATCTCCGGCTAGCAGGTTGGCCGTTTGTCAAGATCACCATCCCCTCCTCAAAGTGGCATCACGCTATACTTCTCGACCTACACAAAACCGGAAGATCTTGATAACGGCAGTTGTTGGGCCGGGAATCCGCTTTACCGGCAGATAATCGTGCATTAGCTTTCGGCATTTGAACATTCGTCCCTCCTCGCATTCTACATCGAACATTTCTCAGGCTCTCGGATATCAAATCCATATACGACATCGGGTTTCACCAACATGTCTGGCCTCCAACAAGCAACCAGACGGCTTCTACGCCAGTCTATGACCAACAAATTCGGAGCACAATTCACACCATTCGGCTCAGTCGCACAACTTCACCAACAAGGGCCTTCACGCTCAGCCGTAGTCCACGAGCAAGCACTCCCGCAATCCCAAACACCATCTGTCGAAGCACCATCATTCCTCTCTCGAACCCAACAACAACAGCCCTCACCAAAAGAAAAGTCCCGCAACCTCGACAAGATAATCTCACAAATCCCCCCTCGTCCAAACCCTCCGCGCCTCCCACAAATCCTACAAAGAATCTCGCCCCCACCTCGCCATCCCACCCGCTATCAGACAGCACCATTTCGTCGGCGGCTCTCTAACCGGACAGGGCAAACTCGCCCTGGCACCGTACATGTGGACATCATCCCAAAAGAGCAAGAGCGAATCCACCAGCAACGGAAACAGCAAAACCAGCAGCGTTGTGTCAGTCTTCCACATCGGCCGTGATCTCTGCGGTCATCCGGGCTTCGTCCACGGCGGTCTTTTATCTGTACTTTTCGACGAGGTCTTTGCGCGATGTGTCTCCGCTGCATTTCCCAGTGGTCTCGGTATGACGGCTAATCTTAATGTGGATTTTCGGAAACCTGCGCTGCCGGATCGTTTGTATGTTTTGCAGGTGGAGACTACTAAGGTTGAGGGTCGAAAGGCTTGGGTGCAGGGTCGTATGACTTATCTTCCTGTGCATCTACCTGTTCCGTGTGATTCGGTGGAACCTATTGTTTCTGACTCGGCCCTCCTCAGAGAAGATGCTGAGGGGTCGGTTATGGTTGCCGAGGCGAAGGCGTTGTTCATTGAGCCCAAGTTTGCTGATGTGAGTATTATCTTTCCTTCTTGAGGGACTCCGGGGTCCTTTTTGAGACGCAGGAATGATCGTTGCTAATGATTTTTCTCTTGCTTAGTCCATGGTCTCGGTTTATCGCACATGAAAATAAATTCTGTGTAGGATGCTGGAGTTGAAACCTTGGAATATTATAGACTATATAGATATCTTAATTTTTAACGAACTTTCCACGAGTCGCTTATTTGCCTACGTTGCTTCCAAGGTTTGCAATATGTTCAGATTTGAACCCAACTTTGAGATCGCAAAAGCCTAAGAGTATTTCTAAGAAAATTTCTTACTGACAAAGGAAGCCTACTAACTACCTGAGTGGGCACTTTTGAACCTAGCTGTAAGATCCCTACGTTCACTGGCCTGGAAGGTCATACAAATACCAGCTTCAATGGAAGAAGCTGTTCTCAGGAAACATAGCGTTGTCTAAGACCTACTGGTAGATACTATAGTCAATCGACGAGTTGAAGGAGAAGAGGATGCGATCTACAGTCAAAATGTCGATAGAAAGGGTTACCATTACTATCTAAGATCACCATGAAAAAGAAGACTCCGCCGCAACGCCCCATATCCCAGACAACAAAGATAAAGAGAGAAAAGAAAAAAAAAAAAGCCCGGCCGAAAACTTGGGAATGGGGAGATGGGGTGCAAAGCAAGTCAGGTCATCGAGTCATTAAAAAGCGTTCCCTGTTTCTGGTTGTTCAGAAGACGGGTGTGAAATCGTTGGACTAGCCAGGTTGGTTGGGGTCGGTTATCCGGGGTAAAAATCAAAATTGGAGTGTTGCGCCGGATTCTGAGTTGTGTGCTGATTGTTTGATGACATTTTCTGTCTTTTTCTAGGACAGATGGAATGCTCCTTGTCCTTCTTTGATGGCGACGGATAGTCGTGCACCGAGGGCATCCAGGGTGCTGTAGTCGGGTAGCTTGAGGTAGTTCACACAGGTCATGACGCTAGGGAGGTAATCGTCCGGAGTATAGGGCGGTTCACTGGGGCGGCACACCACAGTGAAGATGGGGGTAAGACTTTTGAAACCTGGTAAATTGACATTAGATAAGGTTGAGAGAAAGCTGGCGCAGAAGTTGTGACTTACCGCCAATTGGAAGCTTCGGGCTTCCCGTAACAAACTGAAGGAAATCGCGACGCTGCTGCTTGTCTAGTTCACTCATTGTTTGAAGCAGATTGCGCACACTCTTGCTGTCCATGTTAAATCCATGGTCTGCTTTGATGGAGTCCATGAGAGTCTCAATGGACCAGTCTTCCTCGGCCTGGCCAAAGAGCATGACGAGTTCAGTAGGGGTGAAGGCTCGAAGGGAGGTGTAGGGGAAACACGAGTGAGAATCCAGATCGGAAGGCATCCACCTGGCGTCTGACGCCACTGCCCAGAGTCATGTCAATGACTCGCTCGATGTATTGATCAACATTGTCAATATCCAATGAAACATCACCGCCATTGGGAACAAGCTCAATTGACGGATAACCGGGCAGGGTGAAGTCCAAGCTTAAGTCATCGACGCGAACACCATCGACTTGGATGTTTTGAATGGCATCGGCCTTCTCTTGTTCCGATAAGGTCTTGTTCTTTCGGATGTTCTTCTTTGCCTTGACAAATTGCTTGAGCATGAACAAGGACTTAGCTAGATCTTCATCCACTGCTTTCACGGTTCCCAGGGATGGGGCAACAGAGGACAGAGTATCGGCAATACGGAAGAAAGCTGGGTTGAAAGATATATCAATGATTCGGGAGTCGAGCATGGAACGTGCAACGAATTTGCCGAGAATCTTGAATATGTTCAACTGCTTCTTGCCGGAGTCTTGAGATGCCTGCTCTTCACTCATTGGGCATGGGAATAGACCACGCTTGCCAAAGGCATATTCGGGAATAGCGGAGTGACCATCAGTTTCACGCCAAATCTTGAGCTTCTTCTTCGAGAACTCCTTGGAGACGGTTGAGTAGAACTCGAGTGTAGGTCCCAATCCAGTTCCAACCTCTTCAAAATACTCGACCTCAAGGACACTCGGGGAGGAGCCGTAGAGTTCCATGACCTTCATAGCTGAATCCAAAATACGTGCCCGGGAGATTCGAACCTTTTGACGTTGCAAGCGACCGAGGAATGGTTGGTTATCACGACGCATGTCTCGTCGACTATCTTCGGTGCTCTGGGAGTTGTGCCATCTCATCATGGCGCGAGAATATCCGAACGCAGTCGACTGAAGGAAGAGATGCCTGGTCTCGAACGGGAACAGGAAAGAGAACAGTCGAGCTAAGTCTTCGCTCCAGCTTGGAAGACAGCTACTAGCCACAATCAATGGCTCCTCGAGCTGTCGGTTCACCTTGGCAGTGAGCTTGGTGTTAATGAACTGAGCCAGTGGCTCGGGGGTGATGTTGACAGGATCCCTAGTCTCTGTCAAAATATCATCGATTGTTGAGTTCATTTCATGCAAGACCCGAAGGAATCGAAGAATAGAGGCGGTGGTAGCATCCTTATCCAGAGAAGCTGGAATTTCAAGGCTGTCGCCAGATGAAGATTCCTCCTGTCCAGCGGTGGCAAGTGTCGACGGCTCAGCTGGCGGAGGTCCTGGAACACGTTTGAACGTCACTGTGTGGATTGCAGTCCAAACATTCTTGGCGTGGGACTCCTCTATGTGCTCACGGTTGTGGTGGACAGCACGATATACGGTGGTGTCGCTAGGAACAACTTTTCCATCCACGAAGAACTCGAGGTGCCAGTCCTGTGGTATCGATGCCATGGCAGCGGCATATGATTGGAACGGGCGCCCGGCAGTTGACAAAGGCTGGTGGCGTGTATTGTTTGACGAGGCTGTACTTGGTAACGACGAGGAAGGCTTGGACGCCGGTGTAGACTGAGACGGTGTGCCGATCCGTGTGCCGTCTTCTTTGCGTGCGGTGACTTTGCCAGAAGATCCGACTTCCATGTTGACAGCGGTTGGGTCGTGGACATTGTCATCCTCAAGATCATCATCTAGGTCATCAACTATTGCATTGAGCTCCTCGTCTTCATCCCCATCGTCCACGTCCTCGTCCTCGTCGCTCAGTTGCCTCTCATCGGCACATTCTAGTGGTTCGTCGTCATGCTCGTCGTCTTCCTCTTGGAAATGCATGTGGCGGCCGTGATCGCCCGGAGTTGTTCGTTCCTGGTCTTCGTCGGCAGACTCGTTGATATTGGTTTGGCCTTCAGTGCGGGCCAGTGGACTACCAGAGTGCGGGGCAGTCAACTGATCCCGAAGACGCGCAGCTTGAGAAATCTGGGACAGGATAGTGTCACGGGCACGAGAGTGACGAGGGCGTTCCGATATGGCGATCTTTGGCTGGAGGAAGTCATCAAGGGACTTGAATGTAGCTATGGCATGAATAGAGACCATAATATTTCGGTAGTGGCGAGGAACGTCAGATCCCTCTTCTGCGACCAGCTTAAGTCGGAGCTGCTTGCCGAGCATGTATGTAGCATTGCTGCGGGTGTTCTCGAGCGAATTGTGACTGACGGTTAGAACTTCGAAATGCTCTGTTCGGCTGAGCAAATCCTGGAGCTTTCGAATCAAAACACTGAAAGGGGTTACGGCCGTGCTCTGGCTCTGGGCCTTTTCGGAAATTGTGGCCCCCATGAAAGCTTGCAAGAAGGCGGACCGCGCGATGCGGATGTTAGGAGCTATTCACAGTCAGTAAGTCAGTCACTTCAGCCATGAGTCGAGGACTAAAGCCTACCTTTGGAATCACCAAGAACCTCTAGGAAAACTTCGATGATGCCAGAATTCAGAAGCTCCGAGCTGGTAATACTTTCTAGTGCATCCCCGTCAAAGTAAGTCGCGAGACGTTTGAAAAGCGCAAGGCCATCATCGCCCTGGGTAGCATAGGATTCCCGGATTTGGCTTGCTAGAGATCGCAGTTCAGTCAGGATACGGAGAGCTTCGGTGCGAACTTTAGCGCCCTGGCCTTCTTCGTAAACCTTTAAGAACGCATTTGCGTCACGGATGACAAGATCATGAAGAGCATTTTCAATCTTAGCCAACGACTGCCGGCCAGAGACTGAGGAGTCTTCTGAATCCGAGTCTTCTTCGTTGTCATCTTCAGCATCGTCATCGTAATCATCGCCATCGTCTTCGGAGTCCTCATCTTTCTTGCTGCCGCTCCCACCGCCGTTGTCGGCATCCATGTCAACATCGGTGGAGTTCTCGGTTGCTTTTTTCTTGGCCTCTTCGGCCTTTTCGCCATCGGGAGAGAGAGGTGCCTCGGAAAGCTTCACTATTTCCGAGATAACACCTTCACGATGGAATTGATGCTGATAGACGTGTTCCAGTCGCTCAAACAACAGTTCTGAGCAGCGTAGAGCGAGAGAAACGAGGGAGGGGTGGTCTTTCTGGGAGAGAATCGATGCCAGGAATGAGGCATATGGGACGGTCCGCAAGGCATCCTCAATCAAAATGGGCTCCAAAATGTGTAGCATTTTAAGTTGCGCAATGAGAACCTTTTGGCGAACATGGAGGTTGACCGTGCTCGAGAAGGCATCGGTCAATGTCGGGAAGAGGATGGTGGCAAACCGCTTGAGCTCCGACTTGCAGTCATCCAGCAATGCACGTCGCTCCTCGGCCGACTCCTTGGATTTGGACGACTTCAGGCCGATTGACATATTGCTATCAAAGTAAGAACTGAGGATGCTGTCTGTCCGGGTGGCCTCGCGACTAGGAACGCCTGGCAGGAGTTCGCAAATGACATTGAGAGTTTCGAAGACTTGCTCGCGGGGCCGATGGATCAAGGCCTGCATAACCAAGACGCTATCCATCTTGACAGCCGTGTTGTCGGTGTCTTCGGGAGGCGAGACTCCTGTCAAGATCTGATATAGCGTATCCACAACATTCATTTTGAGCAACTCGATCGACAAGCGCGGACTAGCCTTCGCCGTGATTGCAAGGACTCGAAGAAATTGGGTATGGATGTGTGGGCCGATCAGGTTTGTGGTACCAGGGAGCAGAAGCCGGAGAATAGCCTTGAGCATTGCCGGCTCGATGAGCTCTTCTAGATTCTCGGACCGGTACTTGTAACTCTCGACAATACGGGAAACACATAGGCAGCCCTGCTCGACCACCTTGGGGTCATTGCTAGAAAGGACGTTCAGTAGAGTGGGCATTACGTCCCGCACGACGGGGAATGAATCAAGAGGCAGGTTGCGGCAGCAGTTGGCAGCAGTAGTAACAGCAGTTCGCTGTGTGCTTGTTGGGAAGAACTCCAGGTAGGTTAAGCATGCCGTCAAGCCACCTTCACGCACGATCGAGGCAGGGAAGTCCACTGATATCTTTGCGAGTGTCTATGGTTTTTCTGTTAGTGTGCTGTCTACCAGGCAGGGTTCGGGATCTAACTAACACTCAAAGCTTGCTCGGCAAGATCGATGAACTGGATATCCAGGAGCTTCTGGCACAGGATCGGCACGGCGCCACCATACACAACATTAGCCACAGAGCCCCGGAGGGCTTCCATCAGGTTGGCAAGACAACGGCAAGCAAGCAGCATTATTTCGGGGTTTTCCTCGCCGAACTGATTTGGTTGCATTAACGTAACCAGCTCCTTGACGTATGGATCAGGGGAGAATTGTCCTGATAGGTTGTCTTCGTTGGAGACGAGTAAAAGATCTGACAGCTCCTGTAAAGCGATTAATTGGAGCGAAGGAGAATCCTTTGCTCTCAGGTTACAGAGAATATCTCGTAGTCGCGAGGACATGCCAGACATCATTCCACTGAGGGCACGCAGTGTACTTTGTAGACCCATTGGTCCCCGACCTCCAAAAAGACTGCTACTGAACGGATCCAAATCTTCATCGTCGAAGGCCGAGTGATTTGTACCGTCATTGCTATCACGTTCTGGTGACTCGTCTCTTTCTTCCTTTTCCTCGTGTTCTTCCAGATCCTCCTCCGCATCCCGTGTTAGGACATCAGGATTTGTCTTTGTCTGACGTTTCTTCTGTTGGCGTCGTGGGGGCGGAGATTGTGTTGTCGCAATTCGATCTAATCGCCCGATCGGCATCTGTTAGCCTTGATCCTCTAGTGTCTCGGATATGTTTGCGTGAGAGAAACATCACTTACCATTGCGGCTGGATCTCCGCCGGGCGGGGGCGGAGATGTCGTGGACTTCGATTCCTCCGACGGTCGAGAAGATGGTCTATGGGGGAGCAATTTAATCAGTAACTTGATTGTGCAGGGGTTATCCAACGATCCAACCATCCAGAGCTACGCACCCTGGTTGTGACATGTTTGGACGGCTTCGGGCAACACGGCGAGTACCAGCAGCAGGGCCAGCAGATGTAGCTGTGCTGGGAGCTACAGTTCGTTGTCGTTTCGATCGACGGGGAGGGGACGGGGCCGTGGGTTGATTCGGGGTGTCCGAATGTCGGTCCCGGCGAATCGAGGCCTTGCGTTTGAGGGAAGCCGAACCAGCGGCGGAATTCGAAGCGACACCGATGTCAGCGGGCGGAGGAGGAGGAGGGTCTGTAGCAAGTCTCGCCGAGGAGCGAGTGGTTCTGCGTGACATGAGTAACTGTTTGTGGGTTTTGCTTTTTTGCTTCTTTTTTGATGTCAGGAGTACGCGGAGAAGAGGTCTCAGTTGCGTAACCTCCCAGATGACGGGAGTTTGGTAAGAGGGGAAGGAACGAGTAGTCAAAGGGTGAGCTTGACAATGTGAGGAGACCAGCACTCCCCCGCGTTCTTAGCACATAGAGCGGAGAAGCGATCTGAGAGCAGCGAACGGAGGAAGCAAGGAAGCATCCACCCAGCAAGCACTCTTCTCAGATTCACGTGTGGGCACCCGGAGGCTCGGGCAAGGGCAAGGATATGAAGCTTTCAAAGGCGAAGGAAACAAGTGGGTAGATACCTCAGGGCCGAAGAGGCGGCAGAAGCTCCTGCGGTGGAGACGGAATAATCCTCGAGGGGGTCCTGACGGTTGTTGGAGGGCCTTTGCCTGGCCATAAGTTACCGGGTCGGAGAGATTCGATTAGGCTTGGGGGAACACCGTTTCAGCCGCCATCCGTACACCGGGTCCAGAGCCGAGAGGTTGACCGGGGGAGGAAAGAGAGAGAGAAAGAGGTGAGTCAAGTAGTTAATTCGGGTAGGTTGGGTCAGAAAGGCGATGATGCGGCAAAGCTATAATCAAGAAGCAAGCGAAGTGAAAAGGAGAAATAAAATATGAATAGGATTGGAAGGCGGAAATGGATGGAAGAGAGTGGATGGGAGATGATGGAAGATGGTGGGGGGAAGGGAAGTTGTGACGAGTGGAATGGATTCGGTGGAGAGGGAGAGGGAGAGGCGGAGGTGCAACATTCGATGATGAGATAAGACTGCCTTAGCATTACCCCCGGTCGGATTGCCATGTCGCCCGTTGGGCATGAAGTAGGGTCGTCCCGGATAGTAGTATAACTAGTTGGTAATTGAATGACTAAGGGTTCCAAGGTTCCCTTGAGGCCTACCTTACGTATCCTACACTAGAATAGTGTTCTCGTTCTAGGTATGTGGCTATACTTCTACATCCTGAGGTGGCGATGCTAGTACTACACAGTCTCTCTCTATACTATACCTAGGTACTCTATAGTAGAGCAATAGAATCACCTAACTAGTTAACTTCTCATCGGGCACACAGTACTCCGTACTGCTGACTATACTTTGCTATAGCTGTAACTATCACCAAGTCTAGCTTATACTCATACAATATCCACTTAGTTACCCCGAGGCAATACCCGCCGCCATCGCAATCGCCGTCACCGGAACTCCCATCAAAGAGCCTCGATTGACTCACCGAACCCCCTTATTAATCACGAATATCTTCCTACAAATCTATCCCTTCAATATCCCACCGATCAAACATCCAAACATTCCAATTTCTCTCTAACCCTTCCCCTAATTCCTATTAACCAGTCGCAATCCGGCACATTCTCTTCCGCCTCCCCGTTTGCCCCCTCCGACTTTTCTCGTCCCCCACTTCCCCAAGCCCTCTCCTCTTCCCCTCTCCACCTTCTAAGAACCACTCTATCGCCCTCTCACCCTCTCGCCTTCCACTCTCGCCCTCGCCCTCGCCCTCGCCCTCACACGAGCGACCATGCCCACCGAAATTATCGGAGGTCAGAAGGATGACCTTCACTCTCCGACCCCCGTACCTGTTGTCCCGACCGACGATTATGTGTTTCCGGATTTCCGCCTAAAGCGGACGATGGACGATCCGGACAAGACGCCGCTGCTGCTCGTCGCCTGCGGCTCCTTCTCCCCAATCACTTTCCTGCACCTACGAATGTTCGAGATGGCCGCCGATTATGCCAAGGCCGGCAACGACTTCGAACTGGTCGGTGGCTACCTCTCCCCGGTCTCAGATGCTTACCGCAAGGCCGGTCTCGCGAGCGCGGATCATCGGTAAGACCCGGTTTCTCACGTGCCTTGCATACATAAGATACTAATCGGTGATTGTCCGCGACAGTGTGGCCATGTGCGAATTGGCTGTCGATGAAGGCTCGAATTGGTTGATGGTGGATACCTGGGAACCCATGCAGAAGGAGTACCAGCCGACCGCGCTCGTGCTGGACCACTTTGACCACGAAATCAACACTGTCCGCGGGGGAATCGATACTGGAAATGGCACCCGAAAGCCCGTCCGCATTGCCTTGCTCGCGGGCGCAGACCTGATCCACACCATGTCCACCCCAGGCGTCTGGAGCCAGAAGGATCTGGACCACATCCTGGGTAAATACGGCGTATGTGCTCTCCCCATGAATCTCGGAGTTCGTTCCGATACTTCGGTTGGCTAATCTATTTTCAGTCTTTTATCGTTGAGCGCAGTGGTACCGATATAGACGAGGCCCTTGCCAGTCTCCAACCCTGGAAGGATAACATCTACGTCATTCAGCAGCTCATCCAGAACGACGTGAGCAGCACCAAGATTCGCTTGTTTTTACGCCGTGAGATGAGTGTCCGTTACCTCATCCCTTCTCCTGTCATTCACTATATTGAGCAACACCGGCTCTACGAAGATGATGGCACCGCCAACGAGAAGGGCAAGGAGAGGCAGTAGACCTGCCGGCTAGCCAGCGGCGATCGCCCCTCAGCCGCTCAGCCTGATGAAAACGAGCGAAACATGAGTGTGATACGATACCCCCCTATTTTCGTCTTCCCCAAGGTCCTCTTGCCGGCAGTCGTGATGTTGCATCTAAATCGATGCTTCCGACGGGCTGATGAACCGCCAACCTTTGGCTGGGTCGACTCTGAAGCCTCTCGTATGGCCTAGTTGAGAACTGCTGGGTCATGGCGCAGTATGAGGACAAGACGATTAACGATTTCTTTATTTTTCACTTTATTGGTTGGAGTTATACGGCGCTTTCTTCCGGGCTGAATTTATTTGTTCAAGCCATCTATCTGTGACGCTGGTTTTGGATGCTGTGCTTGCCCCAGGCCTCGCCAGTAGTCTTACTGCTGAACAGAATGTACATAATAACGCTTGTTGTCTTTCCTGGTCACTCCCTTTGTACATATGAGGCTATAATAGACATTTGGTTTTAGACCGGTCTTGCTAGAGGTTGCCCAAATCAGGAAGTGGCAGGTGTCTCTTGGATCGTAAGGTACATACATGGCTGATGATGTACTATTGATATATTGATATATGATTGAATCTAACTGTCTTCCACCCAAGAGAAACAATGTGTAAATACTACTAGTAATAGTAGTAAACAAGATAGAATCTTCCAATGATTCATACCCCCACTTTCAAGTTTAAATGAACTTGAAGTATAGCACCGGGGTTAGGGTTGCGTCTACTAATCACCGGAATCGGCGATCTATTATGGACGGGAGCCCCGGGAGAGGTGCACACCATTGCAGCAGTCAATGACACCATCTCGGCAAGGACTTTCAAGTTACTCTCACACCTTCATGCCCGATGTATAATATTAATCAATTCTGACAAATTCGACGATCACGATCCCAGTGACACCTGGGCAGTGTTTTACTAACACTTTCCCCATGACCGCCGTTCAACGAATCAATGCACTGCCGAGGCGATCGCCCGATGCACCGGTTATCTTCCGTTATCGACTGATTTGATCTCGGCGACGGCCCTCCACATTTTCCCGGCTTCTTTCCCCTGGCGCCTTGTACAGGCCAGGCCTTCCTAGGGGGCCCAGTGGAATCACTTCCTCGCCTCCTTCATCATCGCGATGACCTACGAAGTCATTGACTCTTCACCCACGTCGACAATGGTCCACAAACCCGTCGACTCCCTCCCCTCATGGCCACTCACTCCTCCCGACCCTCCACCCCCCACCTCTTCCACCACGAACGATGTATCCTCCGTCGTCACGGCAATCCATGTGATGGCCACCGAACGGGCTGCGCTCGCACATCTTGAACGCCTCTACCAGACAGATGCGCGAGCGCAGCAGGGCCTCGCGCGTGCTGTGGACCTTATTGCACGCAGTGTGCGCGAAGCCGGTAAATTGGTGGTCTGCGGGGTCGGGAAGAGTGGGAAGATTGGACGGAAGATCGAGGCAACAATGAACAGTCTGGGTATATACAGTGCTTTTCTTCATCCGACGGAAGCATTGCATGGGGATCTGGGTTTAGTTCGTCCGGTAAGCAGTCACGTCACCTGCATCTACCTGCATCTACATATCTGCATTTGGCCTGCATAGACTATGGTCTATATCTTGATTTTTTTGCCGAGGGCCAATGGGCTCAGTATGAGTTTGAAACTGACACTCAACACTGCAGAACGATACGATTCTACTCATCTCATTTTCTGGTCGCTCGCCCGAACTTTTGTCATTGCTGCCGCATCTTCCCGCCACAGTTCCTGTCATCGCTTTGACCTCGCATACGGATTCGTCAGCGTGTCCGTTACTCTCTTTGCATAGCCCGTCCGGCATGGGCGTTCTTCTACCAGCTCCCATTCACGAAGATGAGGAGGCTTCTCTAGGAGTCAGCGCACCGACTTCTTCGACGACTGTAGCTCTGTGTCTCGGAGACGCTCTCGCTATTGCGGTTGCGCGCAAGTTACACACTGCACCCGGCAGAGGCCCTGCGGACGTCTTCCGCAGCTTCCATCCAGGTGGTGCTATTGGCGCCGCTGCTGCTGCTGCCGCAAGTGGCACACCACTAACTACGCCCTCGAGCTGCGTCTCCTCAACTACATTCGATTCACCATCTTCATCAATCTCATTACCATGGGAGGACCTTAATGGGAGCTCGTCTATCCCTCCTTTCACTCTTCAATCACCGCCTGAGCATCGCCGCATTCCTCTAGACAAACTGGTCCCACTTGATCAAATCCCTACAGTTAGAGCATCTACATCTGACTCACCTAGCGAGGTTCGGTTACTCGATATCCTCCTTACAGCCATTCAGCACCCAAATGCCAAATCATGGGTATTCATATCTCCATCTCACATTGTCCCGCCGCGGCGGATTCGTTCTCTGTTGTCACGGCATACAGACGTCGATATACGCGTCTCTGACGCTGTGACTAAGGACAACCAGCCTCTTGCCGTGCATAAAGACAACTGGCTTTGGGTGCCGGAGTGGACTCTACTTTCCGATGTCCGCAAGCTTGTTCTTGCGTCCCAGGAAGGACCAAACCCACTGTCGATCGTTGCGGTTTCGAAAGATCAATCATGGTCTGGCTGTGTAGGGGTAATGGAAGCCGAGGAGCTCTGCGATGGATGAAAACGAAGCTCGCAGGTACACTTGCTTCAAAAAGATATTCCAACTCTTCTTCTTGCCCATATTCTATTTTGGACTGTACAAACATCCGCATTTCTTGGTGCGGTTGACGATGTTACGCCTACTGTTGCCAACTTGGACAGCTATACATACTATATATATATTACGATTTGCATTTTACATTTAGTCGATGAACTATCAAACGAAGCTTCCTATAGGGCTATCTATTTGTTTCAACCTATTCATAATGTTCCACTATGCGAATATTAAATCTTTTATTGCTATTCAGTACAAAACACAATATACGAAAATTGTCTATAATACACAACTCCACCACCCTCGATAGGCTGAAGACCCCCACTCTTCCGATACAGCAAACCAAGCTGTAGAGATCCCATTCCCTTGAGGATATTTAATCTTTCCAAATCGGCCGCTCTCTTTATTTTTGAACAAGGACCTGAATTTTGCCCTCATTCCTGCAAGCATCCTTTCGACAAGATCCCCCTTGACGATAAAGCGATATCCACGTGTGAATACCAAGTAGCGGAATCCAATGTGAAGAGACTCTGGGATGAGAGGCGGCCCCTCCCCCACTATTCCGACACATCAAGTCTGGCTAGACTAATTTAAGCCTTGACAATTGGTTTGATACCCTTGTGAATAGCAGCAATACCACCAGTCAAGTTCTCATACCCTTGACCAGGGATCATAAACCCAGCCTTCTGGATCATACCACGGAACTCATCCTGGCTAGGGAAACGCTCGATACTCTCAACAAGATACTGATAGCTGTCCCGGTCACCCGCAATAACCTGTCCAATGAGGGGGATAGCACTGAAATTCCAACGCTTGTACACAGCATCGAAGAGCGGGTTATCCACCTTACTAAACTCCATACAAGCAAAGACACCACCGGGCTTGAGCACGCGGAAAGCCTCATTCAGTGCAGCCTGCTTATCGGTGAAGTTGCGGATGCCGAAAACGACCGTGTACAGGTCGACCGAGTCGGACGGGATGTGCGGCATGCTCTGGGCGTTGGCCTCGATGAAGTCCAATCGCGAGGTGTTGTAGTACGGGGTATCGATTGAGCGCTTGCGGCCCTCGGCCAGCATGTCGGCGTTGATGTCGCTGATTGTGACGCGGGTTTCGAGGTCGTGGTTGATGTTTGTGGCGTGGTCGAGCATGCGGAAGGCGATGTCGCCGGTCCCGCCGGCGATATCGAGGATATTCCAGCCCTTGGTCTTGGAGTCGGCGTCGCGGTTGGCGACGGGCGTGCCGGGGTTCAGCGAGCGGACGAAGTGGTCTTTCCAGATGCGGTGGATTCCCAGGGACATTAGGTCGTTCATTGTGTCGTATGATGAGGCGACGGAACTGAAGACAGCGCCGACTGAGTACGGGTGTTTTGTTAGTACAGTTCTGGGAATGAATTCCAATTGAATGATCTCTAGTGGCAGGATGAGACTCAAGCTTACCTCGGGACTCCTTCTCATGTTCAGGCACATTGGTGAAGCCGAAGTGTGTCATGCGCTCCTGTTCGGACTTGGGGTCTTGAACCTGACGGGTGCAGGAGAAGCAGCGGTAGGGAGTAGGGGGTTGGAAGGCACGGCGCTTAGCACTGTAGTGCAGCGCTCTCCAGGCGGACCGAGTCGACATGGCTGGAATGAAAAGAGGGTGGGAGTTGTCAGAAACCGAAAAAGTCCAAAGGTCCAACAATTGACAGAGTCCGAGGCCGATCGATGGAAGGAGCTGCTGCAACACTTTTCGGAGGGAAGGCGCGACCCACTTTTCTAGCCTGCGACTCCCGATCCCAACAGCCAATCAGAGCACTCCGTTTGCGAGGCATCCAGTGGACAAAACGGTTCACGTAAGACCGAGGCATCTACGGGTATGATTTATAGATCAAGTTTAGATCAACCGGATCTTACGGAAGTAAGCACCTGTAAAAAACATGTGTGCTATCTCCGATTAATAAAGTCAAAGGAAAATCACATAAATTGAGATGATTTCCTACCCAACTGTTCACGTTCATAGCCCGTCAATCAATCAACTTCTTCTTACAAAACCACCAAGTTCAACACAACAATAACGAAATGACTTCCAATGATCTCTCACGCTGCTGTACTATTGGCACCTTACACAGTGGCGAAGCTAGAGGGGAGATCAAAAACATCCAGAACAGTAAATTTCACCCTGATACTATTACAGCCGGCGAGAGCCTTGGGGTATACTAATCATCTGCACAGTCTCAACATACTTCGCCTATCCAGCCAATAAGTCTACCGAGAATGCAATCCTCATATTAACCGACGTGATCGGACACCGACTCATCAACGTCCAATTGATCGCAGATCAGTTCGCCGCAAAGGGCTATTTCGTGCTGATCCCTGACCTATTCAACGGCGACTCCGTACCGATCAATCGTCCCGAGGGCTTCAACATCATGGACTGGGTAAAAAGCCACCTCCCCCTACAGACAGAGCCAATCATCAACACCGTCCTAAAAGAGATGCGCGGTAACTTGGGGTGTAAGAGAATCGGTGGTGTTGGATATTGCTTTGGTGGGAAGTATGTTTGTCGCTATCTGAAGCATAGTCAATTGGATGCGGGCTTCATTGCACATCCTACTATGGTTGAAGCCAATGAGCTCAAGGGAATTGAAGGGCCGTTGAGCATTGCGGCTGCCGGTGAGTCCTTTTCACTTGTCTTGTCTTGTCTTGGTGTGCGTATGGCTAATCTAGATAAATGTCTGTAGCGCGGGACTTTGTTTTCACCACCGAGAAACGTCGCGAGAGCGAGGATATTTTGGATAGCATGGATGTGCCATATCAGATCAATTTGTTTTCTGATGTTGAGCATGGGTTTTCGGTTCGCTGCGACCTGTCAAAACCACGTCAGAAGGTTGCGAAGGAGCAGGCGTTCGGTCAAGCTGCTGCTTGGTTTGACGAGTATTTGAAGAACTAGTCGACTCATGGTATCTGAGAAGGGAATAAGGTCATTGTTCATAGGCTGGTGAATTATTCGAGTAGTTAGCTAGCCCTGTCGTACATGGGTGTCAACATGGTTTTAAGACACCAGAGATGGCAAACGACCTCATTCTTGCGGATAGTCTTCATGAAGCCAAGGGTCCTTCAGTAGCTCCTTCGCTGTGCTTCGCTCTTCTGGGTTCCACTTGATCATCCGTTTCACGAAGTCAATAAATCCCTTCTTCTCTTCCCCATTGAATTTGGAGAGAGTGCTTTCGAAGCTAAAGTCGCTAGGAATAAGGTCCTGATTTTGAAGTGTTCCTGGAATGCAGTGTTACTTGTGTATAAATGTGTTCGATTCGGATACCACTTTACCAGCTGCCGTTTAGAACATAGATGTCCTTTTGCCAGATTCAACGAAGTCTTCTGGGGCGGGACCTAAAAGTGATGTTATGTACGCAAGATGCGTTTCGTCATCATATTCTTCAACGATGCGGCCATCAACTGATTCAAAGAGAGTTCGTCCTTCTAGAAAATCCCATAGCTTCATTCGGTTGTCAGTGATTTGCGCTAGTAGAGGGAAGTGAGGATATGTACCATAACCCCCCAAGCTCCATATGTCAGCACTGTAAGTGAATCCTCTGTCCAGGATGACCTCGGGTGCACGATAAATCTCGACCTGGATACAACCCTCCTGCCGAACATCACCTCGAACTGCTAGGTCGAAGTCGGTAATTTCAATCAATCCGGTGATTTTTTTCAGCGGCCCGTAGTCTCTACGAGACACATAGATGATCCGTCCATCATCGCAATGCTTCTGCGGTAGTGGGTTTTCGAATTCATCCTGAGCAGCCTGGGCCGGGATATCAGGATCTTCCAGTCGTACCATGATGTTATCCGGCTTCAAATCTGTTCCATCTGAATGAGAACCATCTTTTGATCAATGAAATTGAAACCACTCACCAGTATGGACGAGATGACATTCCGCGTGGAGATAATCAAGCCCTTGGAGTATCTCTTGGAGGATTATTTTGAAAATCTCCGGAGGCATCGCACCACCTCGCCATCTTTTGCAATATCTCTCCAGTGTTTCACTTAAAGGCTCAAAAACGAGACATACATGATTTCCTGTGATTCCCTGGACTGAAAATGAGTCAAGTAATTGTCGAACAAAATACCAGCCCTCATGCCATCGATTCGCACTTGCGATAAGTCGCAGAGATTCCAGTTCAACACCGCCAGCATCTTTTCGTGTGTGCAGTCTGTTAGCGTTGATTTTAATAGCCACATATCGCTCCTTCAGCCAGCGCCATCTGAATTGTCAATATGTATCTCATAATTTGATGGGCACAGTACGAACTGGTGAAGGTCCCTTGCAAGCCACACATTTGATCTGCTTCCGTGACCAAGCTTGGTCGCAATTTGATATCGACCATTCAAAAGTTCGCCAATCCGAGCCGGATAAAAATAGGATGTTTTGTAGAAGGGAGAGTTCTCTTCTTCAACCAGCAAAGACGTGTCAATTCGGGGTGGAATGGCGGACGGGGGCACCCAGGGTGACTGGCAAAGCGCTCTGAAGGGACGCGTGATGATATTAGGAAAATATCGTGTCATCTTGTAACCTTGTTGCATAAAGCCAGCCAGATAGACAGGCTTGGGTTTGTGTGAAAATGAATGAGAAGAGTGGTATGGACTCCAAGTTGTATTTACCGCCTGCATCTATGGCCCGTTGCGGATCCCGTAGGCCCCGCAATTGAGACGCCAATGCTCATATCAGCCAATGATATCACTCTGACAGAGCCTCCCACCAGGAACGAGAATGCTGGTTCGTTTTTAGCTTTGATGCCCAGAGCCTGTCTGCGACCTATTCACTTTTAAATCGTACTCATACAAAACGCTTCATAGCAGCAACCGGCTCAGTAACTAGTAGTTACTAAGTTTCAAGCAAATGTTTTGCGCCAGGGTACTATCTCAATACAAATCTCATTGAAAAACTATCCATTCGGTTTTCAAATCTTCCCTGAAGTACCTAGCCTAGGTAACCGGGTACCTAACCAAGTACAATTACCGGTGGCTTCTAAGGTTCCATGATACTAGTTAAATGTCAAATCAGAATGGATTGACTACAAAGGCTCTTGCTTCGTGTATTCTGCTTAGGCTCTCATAACCTTGGCTGTATCGGCCCGAGGATCTCAGAGCTATTTGCACTCCTTAACGGCGCCTCTTCGTCCAGTATGAAACCAACTGACAATAAATTATATTGCTAACAGTTCCAATATATGAATACGAATACTAGCACGGATGTCACAGAGTCTAACTCCTCTATATTCAAAGCCATTTTTGTGACGCCCGTGCGGGTTTAAGTGTAGAGCATCAAAGTGGCCTACTCTATTTCCATAATGGTCAAGGAGACGATGAAAACGCCAAAATCGACAGATCTCAAGTCAAAGGGAGATCATGACCCATCAGTAAGAATTTGTGGTCTTCACGGCCAAGCAATCAATCTCACCCGACTTCGACGGGCGCTACATCCAGTCATGTGCCGGTTGTGGCAGGAGCATTGGCCCTGACAATGCCTTCGGACTCTTCCAGCCTTTCGAATTCAGGTACGTACCTGAGTTACATCATTTAGACCGATGTATGCTCCATTCACTTCGCATACTCGATTGTAACAACTTCCTTTATATGTCTAATATTCACACTGTATACCGCTCGAAAGAATCACTCAAATGCCAGCGGCAAGAACCCCTCAGATTGCGAATTATCCAAAGGCCATGGCCAGTCCGACAACAGTTCCGGTGGAAGCTGAAATTGTAACATCTGGTCTCCAATAGCCGGTGCTGACCCGACAGCATTGGGTGGCCCACTAGGAGCGTACGGCGCGGGTGGAACAGCGGGTTCCTGTTTGAAATTCATCAGGATGGCGCTGCCATTCGGAGGCGGAGGGGCAACTGGAAGGTTAACTAGGCGGGAATTGCGCATGTATCCGTCTATACGATCGACTTGTGATCTCAAACGTTCACTAGCACCTGCTGCGCGGTGAAGACCGGTTTCGAGGCGATGTAGAAGGTCGGCCATCTCAAGTCTGTGGTTATCAGTAGTGGTCCTTTGTGCGTATTCAAAAATGATATCCATACAGTAATGTGCGAACTCGTTGGTAAGATGCGTCGGATAGACTGCCTTCCATGACTGAGCCTAAAATGTAGCCGATTCCACCAAGATGATGAAGCTTTTGGTACGTCAGCATACTGAGAATTATGTCGTGATATGAAGGACTTACCAGAGGGGAGCTGATGGCTTTTAGATACTCCACGGGGACCTTGGAAAATACGCTGAGCAGTTCACCCGCCACGTCACATTTCCGGTCCACGCCAATTTCCTCTGCGGACAGCAAGACCATTCGGAGAAGCTGTAGCGTTGCTTGAATATTGGCGGATTGAAATCCAAAGAGATCTTTCCCAACATCGCCAGTGGTCGGCGGTGTTTCTCTGAATTGCAGGGGGAGCGCAGCGTACATGGAAAGTACTCGCTCCATAACAGTTGGCTCGGACATGTTCGCAGGACTAAACAGAGACCAAACTTCCTGGGTTCCATTGGCCGATGAAAAGCGGCGTCTTGTGCCATCGACAACGTGCTCAAGAATGCGATATAGGTCAGTTGTGAAATTCCAACCATGCAGCCAGGACACAGGCGGGCGCGAGCTGCCCGTTGGGTCTACGTGACCAGGTGCAGTTGGCATGGGTGATACGGGTGGCATGTATCCTTCATGGGTGATGAATTCATCGTTCATTTCGACGGGGTATCGGACAAGAGAATGGGCCTCGCGGTATCGAACGACACCTCCCCACACGATGCATGAGTATATGTCCAGGGTATAGATAGACCAAAACTATAGTCTTGTTAGCGAAGGAACGTTGTTATAAATCCCATGTACGTACCAGTCTTCGACGTTCTTCGGTCTCAATAGGACTGATGTCCTTGGGCCAGAGCTTCTCATCATGAAACCCCTCCATGCTGGTCAGTGTGTGATAAATGCCGGAATATTTCTGCATGTTCTTTATGTGGCCATTTTGAATGCTGGCAATTGCCAAGATCGCACATGCTCGCATATAGTTCATCCCCTTTGCAGCTGCAAGATCACGCGGCAGGGCGTCTTTAGCTGCCGCGTAGAATGCCTCGGAGGGTGGTTCGAGAAGTTCTTCTCTATGCCACCTGTTACTGTACAACGCGCCGTCACGGGCGCGGCCTGATACCAATGAACAGACTGCCATTGTCGATGCAAAGAGTCCCTGGTTTGTGAGATGCTCTTTGTTGTTGATGCTCGCGATAAATGATTGTTTGTGAAATAACGGGAAGCTGGAGCAAAGGGAGTGAATGTCAATGCATACATTCAGCACGAAGAAGGATCGGGGGAAGATCTCACATTGGATAGACAATTTCGAAATAGACTTGGACAAGATTTCGAATTTGTCTGTCACTCGCGATAGCAAATGCTTTCCATGAATTGCGAAGTGCTCCATCATCGTCATACCCCTCTGCCGTCGACCATCCCGAATTGAATGAAGACCATGGATCCCCGGTCAGGGAGGGGCGGTGGCCCGACTCGGGATAAGTTGAGCTCCTGGAGACCGAAGATCTTGAAGCACTATCAGGAAGTGTGACTCGGGCAATGGGAATACTCTCAGGCATAGGTGTGGTGACTGATGACTCTCGCGCATTCAGCCGGGTACCAGCCTTAACGCCACGGCGCTTAGCCGGGCGATCAAAAGTACAAGCGACATCAAAGTCAGCACAGTTCTGACATCGGCCTAGCTGGTCCTCGCCTCGGGTGCATTTAATGCTGCGCCGATTGCAGAAGTCGCCTAAAGGGGTGGTGGCTGTCAATTTCACATTCTCCCGTTTATCCGCGTAAAGCCAGGGAAGTGGAGAACAAGGCGTGGCGACGCGGGGGGGAAGGAATGCTTACAGGCCTTAGAGACGCGCTGGAGCTTTCGTGGTTTTTGCGACATTCAATATGATCGATCATGCCACACACGGGACACGCCGACACGGGACAAAGCACGGTTCTCAACAGCGAGGAGGCGTCTCGGCTGTAGATTTTGGGGCCAGGGAAAACGGGGTGAGGGTGCACTTGGTTAATTTCACTGCCTGAGGCGGGAATCTTGCCAAATGCGGCCCTAGCTGTCATGTGACCAGATTCGCCATCAGGAAATGAAATACACCTACGGGTATATAGTCTAAACATACTTCCAATATCTTTTCATCCTGTTCCATTTATTCGAGTGAAATTGCTGCTTATCAACGGGAGAAAGGGAGAACGGGAGCACGGAGCACTGCCAGTGCATGGGGAATCCGGGGGTGAACGCGGGTTCGGGTTCGTATTCGGGGTACTTGGCGTTTGGTCCTGAGGTTCGCGGGAAGAGTAGCCGTCCTATAGTTAGTTTACTTATGTCGTCCTTAGCTCCCTCGGCATGACCCAATTACAATCTTCCGATATAATCTCAAGAGGGAAACTCTTGAGAAAAAGAAGTAATCATAAACATTAATATTTCTCTATCACTGATGCTTTTAAGGCGTAGTGGCTATCTAAATGGTACTGGTACAGATCGTGATATAATAGTGTCGTGGAATGGATGCAACCATCAAATCCGGCATTGGTCTCATTAAGCAGTGAGTGCAGCCGAGCATTCTAGCTCGCCTTGACTAGCTGTTGATGCCCTGGGCAAATCATAGGTTTCGTTCTTAGTGACTCCATGCGACGCCAGGACATCACCATGCAGTTTATAAGCCTGTTCCATACTCCAATGGAAGGGACTGCTGGTTGAGAACAGAGCTTCAATGGACTCAAGCGAGCGGTTCCGAGTTTCCGGATAGACTGTAGAGAGAGAAATTAGTTCATGGCAAACTCCTGTTTCAACGTCAAGGCTGGACTCACAGAGGAACACAATGGGGATCCAAATCAAGTTTAACCCAGCAAGCAGGAAATAACTCCGGCTCTGAAAAAAAAAAGATTTATTAGTGGGTCGCCGTGTGATGAAAGTACCGATGTAACTTACAAAAAGGTGGCCAAACATAATGGGATTCACCAGAGTAGTCATCCCCACACCAATGGCCCAGCCAGTAATTCCAAATCCATTCCCCTGCGCTCGCAGGTCACTGGGGAAGATTTCAGTGGGGATCAAAAAAGCGACAGTGCCCCATGTAGCAGCATAACTATTGACGATCAGTTACCATGGAAATATGATATCCGTAGATCTCAGACATACCCTAGATTAAACAAGAAGAGCATTGTGACTGCGGCAGGTGCATATGCCTTGACATCCGCTGGATGGTGGTACGATGCTTCATATACCGCACCGGCCTGCAGATAGTTAGTACGGCGAACTTCATAGGGTTTTTGGGATTCGATCGTACAATCAGGTTGACTGCAAATAGCATAGCCGATCCACCCATCAGACACGCTCTGCGACCCAGGCGATCAACGATCTGAGCACTTATAATGGTGCCTAGTATTCCAACTGTATTAACACCTCCTGCGAGACCAGCAATCTGGATTTTCGTGTACTCGGCCTGTTCGAGGAGCACCGGAGCATACGCAGTAACAGCCTGAAGTCATAAAATCAGCACATGGCCTTTGGTTGGCTATACGAGGCGGCATATGCATACCGTGATACCTGTCCAAGACGCCATAATCTGAAGCCATATACATAGCCATGCTCGGCGGCCCAGATTTGTACCTTTATCTCCGCCCTTTCCACACAAAATCTTTGCAAATTGCAAAGGCGAGCTTGGCTTGCTGTACTTCGCCGTAGTTATAATTTCGAGGTATTCACGATCGATCTCCGCCGGCGTAGCCTTGTCTTTACGTAAAAGCGTCAACAGTTCATGCGCCTCGTCCGTTCTTCCGACTGAGGCTAAATATCGAGGGCTATCGGGCAGCATTTTGATGAACAGTGCAAGAAGGAGGGCGGGAAAACACTGAAAAGCGAGCAGGAAACGCCATCGAACGTCGGAGTATCCATGATTGATGAAGGAAAGGCCGAACGAGATCCAATATGCAACAGAAATTCCTAGATCTGGGCTTTGTTAGCCTGAGGCTCGCGGGGTATGGTGATGGAGTGGAAGCACAAACAGTTGGCAATGAAAACGTAGCCCAAGAATCCTCCTCGATTGTTCGCTGTCGAGGTTTCAGATACCAATACCGGGGTGATACCGGTCAAAGCTAGAGAGCCGCCCCCCCCCCACGAGTTAATCTTAGTCAAAGTTATACGAGGATGGGTCTCGCTAAAAGACACTAGCAGGGATACTTACCACCGGTGCCAATCCCTGTCACCACTCTGGCGCAGATCATAAAATTTGAGTTTGTGATGGCAGCTTGCAGGGCTCCGCCCACCAAGGCAAACAAAGACCCTGCCAGCAGTCCATTGATACGTCCAACGCGGTCTGCAAGCCATCCGCCAGCGAAGCAGCCAAAGATCGCGCCCAAATAGTAGACACTGACGATGCCCCCCCTGATGCGTTGTGTCGGTGACCTTTCCATCCGCGGTGCCGATACCGACCAACGTCACGTAGGTAGGGGAGGAATTGACGCCTCCCATGACGCCCTGATCATAGCCTTCGAAGAATATTGAGATGAGAGAGAATATGTGAATGGCAACACTCAGTTGCCGCGGTGTGAGCCGCTTCCAAAGCGTGGTGTATCCCATGACGCGCTCAGCATCAGAGGCCAACCTGCAGCTCGACGCGCCGAACAATCCTTCGTATGGGTCGATCTCAGTTCTAGATGTAAATTAAAGGCGCCAAGAGCATCTAGGGAAAGCCTAGCAGTGGTAGATCGTATGGAGCTTCACGGGAAGAACCACTCTTAAAGCGCGTAACCATTTAGCACCGGCAGGATTTGTTGCATTAGCCTCACCCGTAAATAAGCGTTTTACCGGTTGTCCGCCCCCATTTCAGGCGGTCTGGCTCTTTAAGCTCTTTAAGCGGTGGCAGTGTATTGGCAGACCATTGGAACATCTAAGATGCATGAACACCCTCTTGCAGCTGGATTTCTTTGGTCCTCGCCAAAATTCGGTCATGGGGCTGTGACTGTGGGATTGTCTATGGCAATTCCCGGTCACATAGGGGTCCTTTTTATACAGCCCAACAAGGGAATTTGGGGGTCATATTTTCAATTCCTTTGTTTCCCCAGTGACTTCACGATTCACGACCATATAGTTCAAAAAGTTCAAGTTTAACCATGGGCTCAACAAACCCCGCAGATGAGATCCCTGGCTCTGCGTTAGATTTGACTGTTCTCGGTCTCAATAGTGGCACGTCGATGGTGAGTGGGTTTTACCATCAAAGAAAGGTAGTGACAATTCAGCTCCAGGGCTAATAATATATATCATCCAAGGATGGCATTGATTGTGCACTTTGCCGATTTCGTCAAGAGACACCGCAGTCGCCCATGCATTTTGAGTTGCTGAAAGTAAGGATGATCCACTGAACTCACATAAAACCCCCCCTTTGGACCACACTCTAATTGAATCAATCATTCTCTAGTATGGCGAAATTCTATTGGAGCCAGTGATTAAGAAGCGAGTAATGAATATGATCCTGCACAACCATACTTCGCCCTCCGAACTCTCAGAAGTAAATGTGATTCTCGGCGAGACGTTCGCATCCGCCGTGCATCAATTCTGCAAAGAGTTTCAAGTCGAGATCAACTCGATCGACGTTCTAGGCTCCCATGGGCAAACGATTTGGCTTCTATCCATGCCACAGCCTGGTGAGACGCGCAGTGCTTTAACGATGGCAGAAGGCTCCTTTTTGGAATCTCGCACCAATATTATCTCTGTCACCGACTTTCGTGTCAATGATCAAGCAGCCGGTCGCCAAGGGGCACCTCTGATAGCTTTCTTCGATGCCCTTGTACTGCATCATCCGACCAAGTTACGTGCCTGCCAAAATATTGGCGGTATTGCAATCGTTTGCTTTATCCCACCTGATACCCATGGCGGTATTGATGCGTGCTATGATTTGACACGGGCCCTGGAAATATCTTTATCAATGCTGTCGTGCGACATTATACAGATGGCCAATGCGAATACGATAAGGACGGTGAGATGGGCGCCCGGGGATCTGTAGATCAACAGCCCGTGGACGAGTTCCTGAGACATCCCTACTTTGCTTTAGATCCCCCCAAAACTACTGGCCGCGAAGTTTTCCGCGATACGCTTGCACATGAATTGATCAAGAAGGCAGAGGTTAATGGCTTGAAACCCGACGATGTTGTTGCTACTATCACTCGCGTTACTTCACAAGCTATCGTCGATCATTATCGTCGCTATGCACCCGAGGGACTTGAGATCGCAGAGATATTCATGTGCGGTGGTGGGGCGTATAATCCAAACATTACGGCTTTCATCCAGAAAAACTATCCTAACACCAAGATCCTCATGCTTGATGATGCTGGGATCCCAGGCGGTGCGAAAGAGGCCATCACTTTTGCCTGGCAAGGCATGGAAGCAATTGTCGCTCGCTCGATCCCAGTTCCCACTCGCGTGGAAAATCGCCAAGATTATGTATTGGGAAAGATATCCCCAGGGAAAAACTACCGCAAGGTTCTACGTCATGGTATGCTGTTCGGTGCTGGTCGTGATCATTTGGCACCTGTCAAAGAATTGGTGAATTATGTCGATGGTCGGGTTTTCGATAATAAATGGTGATTAGGCACGAGGGAGAATATTGAAATCTCATCTATAAGCATCATGAATTTAAATAAAACATTCTTTTGGGGGTTCCAATTCTAATGCTTGGATTGCATGGTTTTTATACCAATGGCACCTCATTTAGTTCACTTCAAGTCGTACAGGAATGTACTGCCAGTGGGGAAGTGACGCCTTAGTGGATAAGCATCAAAACCTCTGCGACTGAGTAAATAGTGGCATGATAGCATACTGTCTAACTTTTAAGACACCATGCGAACACATTGACTTACTTTCCTATCGTAGTTAGCCTCTGCGGCTCTTGTCCGATGACACATGTGTAGTTGGCGGTAGCTCCATACCATAGCTCCACCCGGAACCACTGAGCGACAACAGAGCCGAAACTACTGATACATTCCTTCCGGTAGCTCGTGAGGAAATAAAATAAAGGGGATGGCGATGAGTTCACCTTTCGCACTGGTTACACAGGAATGGTGGATCGTCATAACCCGATCAGGAGGCGACAAAAGAAATCGAGACCCTCAGTCACCAGTCACTGCATTCACTTAATAAGACACCCGGGCGCTTGAAATGGAATCTGAAATTGAGAGAAAATTATCGTGTTTGAAACAATTAAACTAAATTCAAATGACTCATTTCATTCGACAGGGACTTTATAGATCCGATTGGTGTCAGGCGGGAAGGACCGGCGATCGTTCGGCACCGAGATTATGCCGGGAATGGCACCGAACTGTACTCGAAAAATAGCTCAACTCAACCTGGTTTCACGTCGATCTGATCTCTTTTCTAACCTATCATGTCTGATAATCGACGCCCCCCGAAGACCCAAGATATGTGAAGGCGTCGCGGCATATCTCGGTGATCGTTCGGCATGGAAGTATGATAGGCGTAGAAGTTTGCCTTGGTCACTTTATAAATACCGAGTTTCTTCCAAGTGTAAATAGTTTTACTCATATTATTAATCGTTCATCAGATTTCAAGATGGACAATTCAATACCTTCCCAATCCACCGACAGCCACTTGAGTCGGGATGAGACCCTCGAAAGCCTGCGCAGTGTGGGGATCACAGAGAACGCCCCTGCTCCCGACTACAGCTACCCAGAAACGAGACGAAAGAAGCACCCAGTATTTCCAGAAGAATATGTTGTCGAAACAAAAACCGGCCTTGTTCCGCAAAAGACTTTGGAACAGGTCCGATCCGGTCCATCATCAGCGACAGCTCGAGCGCCGGAGGACAATGAGAACGCCGATTTAGAAAAAGGGCCCAAAGATACACCCGAGTTCATCACCTTCACGATTAATGACCCGGAACACCCTTACAATTGGTCCCGCGCTTATCGATGGTACATCACACTGGTCGCATCCGGACTAGTGGTGTGTGTTGCATACGGCTCGTCATTTGTTACGGGTGGCTTAGGCTTGATCCAAGAGAAATATAACGTATCCCTTGAAGTCGCTATTCTGACATGCTCAATCATGGTCTGTGGATTCGCAGTTGGGCCGTTACTCTGGTCACCACTGTCAGAGATCATCGGACGAAGACCAGTGTACATCATCTCGCTAAGTCTTTACACGATCTTCAATATTCCATGTGCCTTGTCACCCAACATCGGTGGACTCCTAGTCTGTCGTTTCCTGTGTGGTGTATTTTCCAGTTCCGGCCTTTCCCTTGCCGGTGGGACTATCGCCGACATTTGGAGCATCGAGGAACGGGGTATGGCCATTGCCTATTTCGCAGCTGCTCCCTACTGTGGCCCCGTCATCGGACCGATCGTCACAGGCTGGATCAATGTTGGTACACATCGACTTGATTTATTCTTCTGGACAAATATGGCCTTTGCCGGTGTGACTTTGATCCTAGTGGGGTTTGTTCCAGAGACATACGCACCCATTATTCTCAAAAAGCGTGCTGCCAAAATGCGGAAAGAAACTGGCAACCAAAATATTATGACTGAACAAGAACAAAAAAAACTTTCGCTTGGTGATATTGCTCGAACAAATCTGATTCGCCCTATTACGATGATAATGACGGAGCCTGTTTTGGATTTGATGTGCATGTATATCATGCTCATCTACTCGATGCTATATGCCTTCTTCTTTGCATACCCCGTTATCTTCGGAAAACTCTATGGTTATAACGACGGACAGATTGGTCTGATGTTTATCCCCATTCTGATTGGTGCCGCTATATCTCTGCTGATTACCCCCACCATCGAGAAGCAATTCAAAAGAGTCTGCCAATCTCGGGCTCCTACCCCCGAAGACAGACTTATTGGGTCACTTATCGGAGCCCCCCTTCATCCCGATCGCATTCTTCTTGCTGGGAGCAACCTCTTACAAACATATAATCTGGGTTGGACCGGCTTCATCTGGTATTGCCTTCGGGTTCGGTATGGTTCTGTGCTACTATTCCGTGAACAACTATCTCATCGATGCATATCAGAAATATCCTGCCTCGGCTTTAGCAGCGAAGGTGTTTCTCAGATCTGGTGGTGGTGCCGCTTTCCCTTTGTTTATCACACAGATGTATGACCGCCTCGGATTGCAATGGGCATCATGGTTGCTAGCGTTCATTGGGCTAGCAATGGTTTGCATTCCTTTTATGTTCTACTTCTTCGGCATCAAGCTTCGTGCAAATCTTGGACGCAATTGAAAGAGAGAATTTTGGCGACCGGAGAGATTTCGATTAGGTCACGGTATTAGAGTCCTGAGAGACGATATTCATTTGAACATTTTGAACAAAAGTTGATTTTTTAGAATGACCTGGGTGCGTCTGTAGACAGAAGACAGTGTGTAAGGATTTCCTAAAATTTTAAGGGTAATAGGGTGGACAAGGCTCTAGGTAGAGATATGAATTGATGAACCCCATTATTTCGTCATTGACTGGGCGGCTGGCCTAATGGAAAGGCGTTGGTTTTCGGTTTCTCTATCAATTACCAAAGATTGTAGGTTCGATCCCTGCGTCGCTCGTTCTTTTTTTATTTTTTTTATTCTTTTGCCCCCTCTCCTCCCCAACCAATTTATTTATTTAGAGCGGTAGGAAATGCACATTCAAGACTTTTGGAAGTGAGATTATCGAACTACCAGTAAGATACTACTAGATCAATTACTAGTATACTTTCTACGAGACGTTCTTCTACTTGATATTGTTTCAAATAGGTACTACCCGAAAGACTTTTATGTTCTGGTCTATCCTCAAACTTGAAAGAAAAATAAAGCCGAAATGGGGAAATGGAATTTAAGTAAGGGCTTCTAGCGCAGAATGAGTCTACTGAGTAGTTGTTTGATCCCACAAGCTGCGGACTGTCACATCCTTGACCCACTTGCCACCAGTCTCATCCTTTTGTACATGGAACATGAGCTTCTTCTTCTCGCCCGGGAGAAGTGTGAAATTATTCTCATCGAAGTATCCCACGACACCTGAAGGGTAATCTAGCCAAGTGTAAAGAGAGACGCCGTTCTTTGCTTCAACAATGAAGGTATTGTCCTCTTCATCGAAAGATACACTAAGTTTCGGGTCGACAAGGGAGAGCTTGTTTGGGAAGACAGGCGTGAATTGATTGCGGTGGGTGAAGGTAGAGACTGCATCCCCGGCGTTGGGAAGAGAACCACGAGCGTTGATCGAAAGCACCAAGACGGCATCTGTCCTATCCGGGAGAGATAAATCCGACAGACCCGTGGCATAAATCTCAGTTGAATTGAGCCCACCAACAGTGAATTGCTTGGTTCTAGGAGTACCAGCGTTTCCAGGAATAGGCTTGCCAGAAAGATCCACCCAGGTCAGGTTGACCGTTCCACGAGCAGTTTCCCAAAGGTCGGATGTGACGTAAACAGAGAGGCCCTCGGTGGTGTAGTTCCAGAATGGAGAAACAATGATGGGCTGGTAGATGTCCTGGGCCATGTAGTGGAGTTTCTTCCAGCGTCCATCGTACTCGATACCTGCCCAAGTGGGAGCTTGCCAGATATCCTCCAACTGCCAGTACAACGAGCCCAGCTGACGTTCAGGCATGCCACTGCCACGACGGTAGAACTGGATTTGAGACTTGTACATGTCTGCCTGGAACATCTGCGTCGCGTCACACCATGCGCTGAAATTTGCAACGGGATCATGTTTATTTGGGATCGGATAGTAGCGTTCGACCGCGATGGTCATTTCACCCATACCCATCGAGGCATTATGGAAGTTGTCGGTCTCAGTGTCGCCGGGAGGATAGTGGTGGTTTCGGAGCACAACGGTACTGCTATTGAAATGAAGCTCATCATGATCCACTGCTTGCTTCCAAGTCTGTAAACTTGGCATGCTGTGATAACCAAATTCATTCGCGAAGCGACCGACAGGGTAAGATCCATAGTCGAACGCGACACTACTGTCGTAGTTGTAGTGGTCTGTATCGGAATAGTAGGATCCACTGGTAGTGTTGTCATACCGCTCGGCCATTGGAATTGAAGCAGAGAGGTTGACATAGAGGTAGCCATTGTTCGTGCTACTGGGCATGTAGGAAATTGACCGCGAATTCTCGTACACGAGAGGCAGAATCAGACGAACAAATAATGTCTCGTACTCCCCGACCCAGTGCGAATAGTGTTCTGGATCAGCTTCCTTAATAAGAGGCAATTCGAGACTTTCAATCTCGTTTCCGCCAGCCCACAGGGCCAAGGATGGATGGTGATTCACGCGTCGGACATTGTAGATGATTTCCTGTGCGACATTATCAAGGAACGGTTGATCGGTCGGGTACATCGCATCGCTGAATTGGAACTCGCTCCAAAGCAAGACACCACGCTCATCAGCAATATCGTAGATGAAGTCGGGGAGATATGCACCAGATGACCAAACACGAAGCATGTTTTGGTTTCCAGCCACAACGGCATTGAAGAGACGATCCATCTTCTCCTCCGTGACGCGGGGCCAGAAAGCATCAGGTGGGATGAAGTTCGAGCCCTTGGCGTAGAATTCCTGACCATTGACTTCGAAATGCCAATTTGCGCCCGGTGCAATGCCCTGGGCCAGTTGTTCTTCAGTTATGTTGAGTTGATTGAGGAAGATTGTGCGGAAGCCAGTGCGCTTCGTGACGCTGGCCAGTTTCTTGTCTTCCTTGTTCTCGATATTAATTGTTGCAGAGTACAGATTTTGCTTGCCTAGACCATTGGGCCACCAGAGCTTCGGTGCGTCGGCGTCGATGGTGATACTACCAGTGACACTTTGTCCGGAAGTGGACACATCCTCGAGTGAGCCAGATTTAAGCACCTCGCCTGACTCGATATCCTTGATCTCAATGGTCATGGAGGATTTATCTGGAAGAGTTCCCAAGAAATCAATGCTTGCATTCACGACCCAAGGCTGGCTTTGGTCCGGGGCCAAATGATTGATCTGGCCCTTGCGGAAGATATCCAGGTCTGTGTTTAGGGGGGTAAACACTTTCATTGTCGTCAAACTGCACAAGCCATGCTTTCTGCCACGGTCCGACTGGAGCGAAAGCTGGTCCCCAGTCCCAGCCGAAGTCCGATTGTTCCTTGCGCATGAACCAGCGATTCGGGTACTCGTAGATCTGTTGTGGGCCATAGGGCCATGCTAATGAAAAACCATTAGAGTTTGTTTCCGCTTCATTATGATTGGGGCCATACTTTGCGAATCGGGATCTTCAGCGATCTTATTGACGATACTGGGAGCGCTGCCGAAGTTTAGGGCCAAAGTCGGCTCCCCCTTGCACTTGCTGATGGCCTTGGAGATGTCAAAGGTATATTGTCGGAACTGATTGTCCGTTGTGCCGATAATCTGTCCACATATCTCGATGGTTGTGAATGTATCAAGCCCATTGAAAACAAGGTATGACGATTTGGAGTTTTTGGATCTGGACCGTGTTAGTCGCTTCATCATTGGATAAACGGGAGCCATCTGACTCACAGTCCCTGGATTGGATCGCTGGTATAAGTCCAGTTGTTGTCCACTATCCACCGGAGATTGAAGTCGTTGAGACCGTAGTATCTTTCTTCAAGTTAGTGAGAGATTTGTGGAGTGGGTAGTAAGTTGACACCAACGGATCATCTGGTATCCATATTAGCCTTCCAATTCTCTTTTCACTCCGATTAAATTGACAGTAGACTCACCAATCACGTTCGCAGCATAAAGATCCAGGTGAGCCTGGGAGGGCAGGTGGCCGGGAACAGAGATATTCAACGCCTTGCTGGACACAGTCCAGCCATCACCACTTAAGTCGACCACATTTTGTGACAGTACAGTCTGAGCTGTTGCGGGAAGCAAAGCCAGTGCAAACCTCTTCCATGAATGCATGGTAATACCGTATTGATGAGAATATTCGTGCCCAGGCGGGGTCAAACTCGCAATTATATCGACTTCGGGTTGAATCCCCGCGACTTACCCTGCGGGACAGATTGGCTACCACCCCGGAGGGATACCGGCATTCAAGTGGAGACAAAAGTGGTCTGATAGCTCGGCTGTTGTGATCAAACTGCGCTAAAGATGGACCGTGCCATGAATTTTGTCGACGGTAGTGTCTGAGATGAAGGTGATTAATATCGACAGACTGTGAGGCGGGACTTCCACGAGCGGGGGCGAAAGCAACGGTAGCAGTGTTGAGTAGTGGGCTGGGGCGATCCCCCGGGTAATGAAGCAACAAAGCTCCAATTTTGAGGCGCGGGTGGTGGAAAAACGCGACGATCTGCATTGCTTGACTGTGGAGTCTATGCTATCTGCGGAGTCGAGAGGGGTAACCGATGCCGGGGAGAAAGGGCGACGAGGCCGTGAATACCTTGAGGATATGAGGATATCTCATGTTCAATTTGCCGTGAGTTGTAGCCTGAGCTCAGTGGCATTTTGAAGAGTTGTAGATAATAATTGGATTGTATTGGGTAGCTCATATTGACGTTCAAGTTCTGGAATGAACAATGAACCCCTGGACCCCTGGATTCGGGAGCACTGGCCAGCCTACTTTTTGTGATCCGGTACAAAACTGTTCTAAGGCAGTCATCGTTTATATTGTTTGCCCAGGTGTATATATTACATGGAGTCAGCTCTATTGCTTCCTTATGAATAATCTGTGAGGTTATGACGCATATTCTGTACATCCTCTGGCGAAAACCCAAGCTTTGTGGTGAGAAATTCTTCGACGCCACCCTTGTAGGTGTTCTCGAACGACTTCAGGAAAGCCGCCATCGCCTGCGCCCGGACGCCACTGAGTTCAAGCATCCCGTTAGCCTCGGGGCTGAGATGTTCGGTGCCACCTTGTAAAGCTAGCGCCTCGGTCAGGTTCTCCCGGACGCTCTCCAGGGCGATGCGCGTGAGGATGTAGTCATTGATGATGTCGTCATGGGTGCGACCGGTTAAAAGCAAAATTAGAGCCGCTAGAACACCTGTACGGTCTTTGCCGGCTGTAATTTGCAAGTCAGAGTTAATGGATGATAAATCAACAGCCATGAAATCGTCTACTGCACCGACTCATTGCCGACACAGCCTCATGCAGCTCACCGGGGATAGAAACAAAGTTAGACACTCACCTGAGCAATGGAATATAAATGGGTCGTCGGGCTGATCTCGAATATGACTAAACACTTGGCTAAATGCCGGGGTAGCTGCATCGAGAATTCCGTTATACATCTTAACAAAGCCGGTCGCAGATGTGTCTTCTCCAGCAAAATCTCGAAGATTCAAGGAAGCTGGACGGGCTCCGTAAGGCATCCATATCGTATCGATACCTTCAATCACAGGGCTGGGAGCCCTTAGTCTCTCCCCTTCATTTCGAAGATCGAATATTGTGGTGATACCCAATTCTTTGGCTAAGATTGCTTTACCTTCCTCGGTAATGTCGGACAGGTTTCCCGAGCGATAGACATAGCCAGCGCGTAACTTTTCATCGTGGCTCAGGTCACGAAAATTCGAAACGCCGGGGACAGTGATGAACGGAGGAAGGGAGATAATCTTGGAAACCGTGGTTTCTGGAATTGGGGTCTTGATATCGGTCTTGAGCACCTCGCGTAGGTTGTCCGTATTAATCATGTTGATGTTGATGCAGCATCAAATACGCACTGGATAGGTTTAGATTAGAGAAAAACACTGAGTATTTTCACTTAAAATATTGAATCTGAAGAACAGGGTGGCTCAGATACCCACGTCCATAGCCATATTGGCACTGGGCTATGTCATCGTATTCATCGTACACTGGCACTTCCCTGGCAGGAAAGTCGTCGTCGGTGGGGTGGGTTCCACTCCTGCAAAAGGAACGGGGTACCTATGACGCCAGGTCACGTCGGGTAACGATGTCATCGCATCGAATCGCATGACAACTATCTGATATGTTTCCTAGATTTCCTCTGTGGTCTTGTCCTAACTAGTAGATTTATCTGATCATAGGAAATATCAAGGATGTCATTTGGTTTGCCCGAATATCTCCATCCTTGTGCCTATGGCACTTGATTTTCGCGCATGTATTTGCCACCACCGAAAAGAAAATACAAACTACTCCCTTGAAAAATGCGGAGCCATCTTTGGGGCGTCTGATCAGTATGACACGACCTAACGCGGGGGATGGATTTGAAATCGTCCTAAGTAAAACATCTCGATGTCTCATTGAAAGTTTTTATTACTGATTAACGAGGAATTTTTCTTTTAAAAAGACACAAATCCCCCGACTTTAAATACTACCTAACCGCCCTATGTCTAAGGGAATATTCTAGGTAGGTGGCTAGCTTCTGGATACTACATAATATTTTGATCCTCGAGTCCATTGAGAAAAAAGACAACATATTCACCAGGAAGAATTGGTTGCTGCAATCTAGACGGTCGATTGCAATGAATTTTAAAGTTAACCCAACCGTGTGGCATCTTGATCAGCTATGGCGTTTGACCAATAATATAAACCTGCGATTACCGCGATCTATGAATTGCTTGACTTTTCAAGTTCTCTGGGTCCGAGAGAATGGCCAATTTGGCGCTTACTTGCGATCATTGCTCTGTACAAGGAGGGGGGGGGACTTGGCAAAGCCCTTCCTCTGGATATAACTCGCTTCACCAAACCTTGGAAAGAACAGAAAAAATAGCTAGACAACAATACAATCATTTCTATATATACACTATCTTTGAATTTATCTGCCGACACAGATTTGTGTGTCACCAGCAGTTATCTTGCATGCATACCGCTCAGCGGTCAAAAGTGGGGTTAATAAATCTACTAATCAGCAGATGCTACTTTTGATTTGTATTCCTCAAAATTAGCGACCCCAATAGCCTCAAAGATTGTTAAAATATACGGATAGGTTTGCCTGAGATGCCCCGAGGGTCTTTGCGGGTTGTGAAACGGAAGGGAGGTGATCAGACACTTGAAGGGTCGCTCAAGGCCACTAAAGCACGGTCCTGTGATGCGTGCCGTCGATTGAAGACTCGATGTGAGATTAACCGCGGATCTGACAAGTGCCACAGGTGCAATATTCTCCGGTAAAGCAAACCCATTTTATGATCAAGTAATCTGCCCTAGCTGATATATTAAAGACTAGATTGCTCCTTCCATGGTGTTATTCACAAACCCAAGCCCCCAGCCCAAATGGAGAGCAGCTTGAATTCAGGAGAGAACTATTCTGACCTGCAATGTCGGTATGTATCTTCCCCTAGGATCTAATATTCAAACAATGAATTCAATTAACAGAGAAGGATTTCTGTTGTCGAAACATCCTTATCAGAGATCAAAGCATCGTTGTCGTCACAATGTGCGGAGAAGTCGCCAAGGTCGCATGCTAAGAGTGTTCATTTCTCAAAGAACTCACAAGAGCAAATAAGCCTTTTACCAGAACCAATCCCAATTTCAGTTGAGAGAACCACCCGCCATGCGCCAATGAGTCTCATACAAGAGATCAAGGAGAATATCTCTTCGCCCGAAGAGACTTCTCAGTTCCAATTTCCCTCGGAGGATGTTATCGCCAATGACATGGTATCCGAAGATGTGGCCCGGATGTTGCTTGAAGGGTAAGCGCCTTTTCTCCGTGAAACCCGATAGGATTGATTTCAATACAGTCATCCTGCAGATTTTCCAAGTTATCTAGCCGCTGGCTGTTCATGAGCATGGACCCAGTTGAACTGCGTACCAAATCGTCCTTGCTATTCGGAAGTTGCATCCTTGCTGGTATCCATATTACCCCATCCTTGTATGGATCTGAAACACACCAAAAGCTATACAGTCATATACAGGAAATATTGGCCAAGTCACAACTTGTTGCTGGAGCACCTCTTGATACAATACAAGCATTATTGATTTTCTCGATGTGGGATCTCAGGCCAACCCGGGACCACGATCATGGCAGTTCCTGGTTACTAAGTGGCGTAGCTGCCATGCAGGTTGTTATGACCACACGCTTTGAAAACATGTTCCAGACGGATGACTATCAGAAAATCGCTCGTTCAAAGGAGTTCTCGCGTACTTGGAATTTAGTTTGCCTTTGCCATCTACAGTTTGTTTCAGCCCTTTATTCAGTCTGAAGGTGACATTGAACTCTGAAGAGCTAATCCCCCATTAGGTTCTCGATTGGCTCTGGTCGACCGCCTGTGATATCAGATCAATATTTAGATCAGTGCTCCAATATTCTGAAGTTCCAATCTTATAATTCCCGCGATGAACTCGTTTTGGCTGGGATCGAGCTATATCGCGCGCTTTGGGAGTTGATAACTTCGCATGAGATCCAAACTGATAAACCTGTCTGGCCTGAAATTGAGAGGCTCCGGGAAAAGCACGAGCATATCTACAGTGAGTAGACTCACCTTGAAATATAGGCGTCGCTAATCGTTTATCCCCACAGATCTTGACTCCTCTGAGCCTCTTCGTTTTGCTTACTCCTGCGCTTCCCTGATTTTGGCGCGACGAACACTACGGCAGGTTAGCGACCTTCAAAATGAGGAGGAAGGTAGCCCCCAGCACCAAATCTGGGATAATTCCAAGATTGAATTCATTCAATTTGCAGTTCGTCACTCACACCAAATTCTAAGTCTGTTCCTATCCATGTCCGATCTTACAACTTATGTTCATCCCGCCTACGAGAATCTCCTCTGTTCCTTTGCCATGGCAACGCTAGTCGAGCTTGCAGATCATGTTTCAAATATATTTGAAACCACTACGCTGATGGAGCATGCCGTTTCACATATTCAGCGAGGTGGTAAGGCTGAGCCGGTGGGCCGTTGGTCCCTAGGTATCATGAAACAGTATATCACCGGAGGTAATGATGAAGATCCGATCTCACAAGAAGAGATAGGTATAGCTGATGAGCTTGTTGATCCAGCTGCAGATATTATGAGATCATGGGAGGAGGTTGACTGGGATTTTGAGCAGGACTTTCCATCGCTTCAAGAAATGTTCTTCGGTGCTGTGCCATGAGCTCCTGCGAATTCTTTTTTTTTTCGGTATTTAAGCCAAATTGATTATCATCACGCAAAAAAGATATGAAATTGAGATCAGTCGCGTGATCTGAGACTTATACCAGCATAGCAATCCTTCGGCTTCTTTGAAAATCCTTCATGCGATTCCATGAACTGCTGGTATAGTTCGAAATCATAACGATGGAAGAGAGTTCCAATAATCAACTGCAACTCCATAATAGCCACATTCTGCCCAACACAGGCTCTGGGCCCATAAGAAAATGGATTGAAGCCCATCTTTTGCCGTGCAGTCAAGTTGAGCCAGCGATCGGGTTTGAATTCTTCAACATCATCACCCCATATTTCCTGCATATGGTGAATCGTATAGGAAGGAACCGATAGGACAGTACCGGGTGGAAAGTAAAATTCACCAAACCGGACACCACCCCCATTGTCAGCGACAATACGTGGGAGACCGATAGCTGAAGTTGAGTGTAGTCGCATACCCTCGTCAATGCAGCGACGCAAGAACGGAAGCTCTCTCACTTGACTGTAAGACATGATTCCAGGGTTCGATCTAGCGGCGTCATCTAGTTCCTTTTGGAGACGAGGAACGATTGTTCCTGGGTCACATCGTTCCCCGTGTAGTATCCAGTAGAAGACAGCGCAGGCGGTATTCGATATAGTATCAGAGCCGGCGATCAGTTGAGTGAGAGCTTCTGCTATGAGCTCTGTTCGTCCCATCGGCTGACAATTCGCGTCTTTAGCTTGCAATAGACGTGACAAAATGTCATTGCGAGTATCAATCACTCCCTTCTCCGCCGCATCTAGTCGCGAACCGACCGCAGCGACCGCGATTCCAGTAAGATTTTCCACCGCCGCGACCCCCTTCGTGAAGAAAGGATCAGGTAGATACCTTGCGATTGGGCGTAACGTGGGAAGAAGGCCGAGAGTCGAAGAGACTTCCCCTCTTCTGTTCAAAACCTCGACTGCCGGGCAGTAAGAAATAGAACCATCGGGTACGAGTTGCACCTCAGTTTCGTCTTTGCCCTTTTCCACCATCCCAAATGGAGATCCAAATGCCAGATCACCAATAATATCGAAAGCAAGATAGCTGAACCAAGGCATTGCGTTATATTTTGAATAGCTATCAATGTTTTTGCCTTTCCCAACTCCAGAGAAGGCGATCTGGTCGAGCTGTTTTACCCATCGCTGTAAATTTGCTGCCATGTGTGGTTCAAACGCAGCAACTGATTTTGGGGAGAAGGCATGCGAGATAATTTTGCGCTTCCTTGTATGTTCTCCACGATCGCGAACGTTGAACATGCCAGGGGTCCGGGCCACAAATGCTTCATAGTAATGGCTAGATTTGTTCTCAGTATGAGAAACCATATAATTCACAGAAATTCATGGGTTCATACTCTTTCAAGAATCCATTTCCGTGCCCGTATACTATCTTCAAAGCCGTCTCGTCCGCAATCGAGACATGATTGAATCCGATACGAACGACTTTGCCATATTGGCGATGTGCCCAGTCTACTGCAGCATATTTCCGACCTCTACGGGCACTTAATCCAATCCATATATTACTGAAACTGGCACTGAAAGGTCCTGGAACTTTGTTTATATGCCGGTATGTCGTGAAGTAAGGAAGTATGTAGTAAAGAGTGAGGCTTATCGGGATTGCCACTGCCATGGCAAACGGCGAAAATAGCAGGGTCAATAGAGCCATTTTGGATTGATTTGTTTGTAATGCCAGAATGCTCAGTATACATGAACACTCATCGACGTGTTTCTTAGGCTACTATAGTCCTTTTTAAATGACTTCTTGCGGTCGGGCCTATGTCACATCTTATCTTCCTCCGACGGAGATGATAATCAACACCGTCGGAGCAGAATGCGGAGCAGCTTTTTTGTTATGCTCTAATCTAAAAACGATAGGCATCCGGGAAATACTATTCATCGTGACGCTTTACCAGATACTCCAGAAAGCTAAGAGTCTAGCTAAATAAGTAGATTAGTGAACAAAGAACAACCTTTGTCTTTGCATCGATGCTCTGCGGCCACTGCATACGGTGACAAATGATGTTCTCAGTCCCAGAGATTCAATATTTTACGATGGGGTTTTTAATGAATGTTTTCCCCATTTGTATATATATCTTTTTTTTTGCCGTCTTTTTATATTTTAAGAGTAGGGACTGTGTATACTGCTCGTACTAGTAGTACTCGGTAGTTGAAGAGTTGGGGCTCGCCTCGGTTGGAAGCGGGGCAAGTGACGCCAATTGCCGATGCCAACCGAACTCTCCTCCGCGTTTGCCCCGGACGTGGAGGTGACAGTGAACAGGTCCCTCACTTTCACTTTCACTGAGAGACTTGATCTCCGCCTCTTTCAAGTTCTTTCCTCTCTTCTTCCTTCATATCACTCACACAATGTCGTCCAGGATCTTTCTTCGACAATCATGGAAAACAGCCCGCTCCGCGAAGCGTGTTGTTCCATCCCTCTCATCCCCCGCACGACGATGGGGAAGCTCTATATCCCAGCGCCCAGGGTCAGACCGGTATGGAACTACCCGAGACTGCAATGGTGGAATTATTCAATTCATTCGAAGCTGACTCTTCTCTAGCGTTCTTTTTCCAGGGGCTGTTGATAGCAAGTTCACAACCGACATGTCCTTTCTCAAAGCCTCCGACCTCCCCGCTATCCCTACCTACCGAGTCATGGATTCCAATGGTGAATTAGTCGACAGCTCACGCAAGCAGCCGAATGTATCGAACGAGCAGGTACTCGAATGGTACAAGAATATGTTGTCAGGTGGGTAACGCCTTACCATGCGGTGGATGTGATCAAATTTGCTGATTCTCAACAGTGAGCGTTATGGACGTGGTGATGTTCGAAGCCCAGAGGCAAGGTCGACTGAGCTTCTACATGGTATGTATTAGAAAGTCGTTGGAGAAATTCGAAGACTATGCTAATATCGCCACAGGTTTCTGCCGGCGAAGAGGGAATTGCCGTTGGCTCTGCCGCAGCTCTGACTCCCGATGATGTGGTCTTCGCCCAGTATCGCGAGGCAGGTGTCTTCCAACAGCGCGGATTTACTATCAAGGATTTCATGGGACAGTTGTTCGCGAACGTGAATGATACTGGAAAAGGCCGAAACATGCCTGTTCACTATGGTCAAAACTATCCTCGCATGGTAAGTCACATCACCACCAAGTCCGCGATTATTTCCCTTGGTCGATAAAACTTACTCATAACGAACCAACTAGCATACCATCTCATCCCCTCTCGCCACCCAAATTCCCCAAGCTTCTGGTGCAGCTTATGCCCTCAAAATCCAAGATCAGCAGAACCCAGATCGCTCACCTCGTATTGTCACTTGCTACTTCGGTGAAGGTGCTGCCAGCGAGGGCGATTTCCACGCCGCTTTGAATATCGCCGCAACTCGCTCTTGTCCAGTCGTTTTCGTTTGCCGGAATAACGGGTTTGCCATCTCTACGCCCACATTGGAACAATACCGTGGCGACGGAATTGCCAGTCGAGGTGTTGGGTACGGCATCGACACCATCCGGGTCGATGGAAACGACATCTTCGCGGTCTACGAAGCGATGGAAGAGGCTCGCCGAAGAGCATTGAGCGATGGTGGTCGACCAGTTCTGATTGAGGCGATGAGCTATCGTGTCTCGCACCACAGCACCAGCGACGACAGCTTTGCATACCGCGCCCGTGTGGAGGTCGAGGACTGGAAGCGTCGCGACAACCCTATCATTCGACTGCGTAAGTGGCTTGAAAACAAGGGGCTTTGGAGCGAGGATCAAGACAAGGAGTTGCGAGACTCGCTTCGCAAAGATGTCCTGAAAGAGTTCGGCGAGGCTGAGCGCGAGAAAAAGCCCCCACTCCGTGAAGCCTTTGCGGATGTCTATGAGGAGATCACCGAGGAGGCCCGGGAACAGATGAAAGAGCTTAAGCGTATTCTGGAGACATACCCTGATGAATATGACCTGCGGCCATACAAGGATGGGGCCAAAGGGCTCGATTAGACTTAGACACCATACTACATAATGGAATGAACTGAAAAATATCTAGCGTGGTTTACTGAGTTCTCTCCCAGTTGGCTTCCAAGGTTCTCATACATGGAATCCATACCCGTAGTCATTATTAAGATGAATAGTACTACCTAGTAATAGTAGACATGAGCAGACTCTACAAGGGGCGGAAGAATTGAATTAAACTGATTGAAGTTTATATTCACATCCAATAACAAGGTTGAATGGGTCTTGAGCATACCATAAACTTGAATGCGTTAAAAAGGCGAGAAGGCCAAAGGCTAGTAAAAGATCCACAACTAGTCAAACGAAGCAGCAACCTTTGTCACTGTCTCAACAGACATATAATTGTCAGTGCTGGTCAAGTATGCAGCCCCGAGCCCCATGCTCTGCGCTTCTTGGACAACAGCCCGATAATCCGCCGTCTCAGGTGCACTGTACAGAATGATAGCATCCTTGACGTAGTGCTTGCTGGATGAAAACTGTTCCGCCGGGATGCACGTCTTCCACGTAGAGTATGAGTTCTCGAACTCGACAATCAAGTCTGCCGCCTTGAAATATTCATCCACAGAGCCTGCTTCCAATGTGGCACCGGGATTGAAGACAACTGTCGAGAGATCGCTAGATTTGGCTTTTGTCGATAGGGTCTGCATATAGGAGATCTTCTCAGCGTCGTTTGTTCTGGGCGCCTCGTCAAAGAAGATTCCCGAGACAGTAATGTTCTTTGCCTTGTACGAAGCCCATTTGCTATAGGTCGAGACTTCGCTTTCGATTTCTGAGATATCACGCTCGGCATATTCTGTGTGGACATATCCGATGACCTGGACATTGTCGTGGCTGTTTAATTTGGCGACGCCCGCGATGATGTTCTCATCAGGGTAGGCTATAGGTGGTTGTCAGAGCTTATAATTTCAGTCATAGAGATGGGCCGCTCTACCTGTATCGCCGGGACCACTGTTGGGGTTGACAATGACTTGAAATTGAACGTCCGGGTATGAAGAGATGGCATTGAATACGGGCGCCCAGCTAGAGTCATCCTCAGGCCAGACATATAGAGGAACCAGGATGCTCGTCGACGAGACGAGCGAAACAAATGCAAGGAATGCACTTAGTATAGTAGTAAGTGCGAGCATATTGGATGTGTTGAAATGAATGTATTTGAAAGGAGTGGAATAGATCGTGACCACCAGGGTACGATCTGACTTTGAAATTAAGCAAAAGAAAAAGGAACGACAAGAAGCAGGCCACAGGACTGATGAACCATCGCAAGAACAGGATGGACCGTTTGGTTTTATACCAGCTTGCAAAGTCTAGATCTAGTGAAGGATTCACAGACTCATTTCCCCATTCCTCTCAGCCACGTGTTTCAAGAAGGCGGACACACACTCAATCAGGTCAAAGAACGAGTCATGATCGCCCCCATTGCAAACCCAGTAAGCTAGGGGGGGCAGCCACGAGGATCGATCTTTATCCCTCATTTCCTGAATACAATCCTCTGAAGGAACGCCTCAAATCGCGTACAAGACTAGACCTGCAACAAATAATGCAGTCACAACCGCCCTTCATTCCGCCAAGCATCAATATCAATCAAATGCCCGATACCAGGGTGAGATTCTGAGGCTTACCGTGCAGTGTCAGACGCCTTGGCGGCGCATCTGCAGACGAGATCGCGGTGTTGAATACCAGGCCTTGCTAACTCGTCTCAATTTGCCGGTGAAAAATGACAGCTCCTACTACCCTAAGCGCTGGCGTCGGTAATATAATATCGATCCGCCGAACGCCACATGCAACGCTGGCCCCCATCCCTAATTTATTTTCCGGTTTCAGATCTAAATCCGCCCCAACGCTAGCCAAGAAGCTTGGCCCTTTTCTTTTGTACAGTCATAAGTCATAACATAACGGTGGAGAGTGTGCGAGTATGGAGGTCTTGGGCATGGCACGCTTACGGATACTCTTTTAAAATTTGCCGATTAACCCAGGACCTCGTCTAGCTAGCTCAGCTATTGGTAGGCTATTACTACTTGTAGATTTGCATAGTGCTAACTACTGCAGTACCTACTCGTAACTAAATCTGCGGTGTCACTTGGGGTGGCTTGCAGTAAATTCTTCCAAGAGGAACACGAATACAAAGAGGAACGGTTGAATTTAGAATTTTGCATTTCCTTGTGATATTCATACAGGCTAAGTAATAGTACATTAAAAAAATGAGGGATCTTTGATTGGCTGTTGTTGTCCAAATATTTTGTGCCCTAATGCCTAGGATCACGGGTTTGCTCATGCGTTGGCATCTCCGACTATAGAGAGAGCCTGGTGCTGAACCTTCTTGTTTCGCCGAAGTAGAGCCGAGAACTTCTTCTCCAAAGACTCCAGTTCCTTGCGGGTAGTTTCAAGGTCTTTCTGTGACTTGCCGGAAAGCTCCTTGAGCTCTTCGTTGGTCATGGCGGCAACATCGTCCAAGCTAGGGTTACTCCCAGGCATCGCGGCAGTGCCAAGCATCTGTTTAGCAGTGGCAGCAGCGAATGAACGAACGGCGGCAGTGGTGGTCTGGAGGAGTTCAGCGGAGTGGGCGACGGCCCAGTCATGGCTTCGAGAGCTATCGGCTTCCATTGCAGACATAACATTCGGTGGAATCACGGACTCAGTCGCATCCAGAGTGCTGGTTGGAGAAGTGGTACCCATGCGGGTTGAGTCGTCATCGATCCAGTAGATGTTGTACTTCTCGGGTGTTGCAAAGAGTGCCTCTAGTCCACCGTTGATGTTGCTGGAGTCATCGCCGATAACGAACGGATCAATAGCGCCGTTGCGACGCTTTTCCAAATCTAGGTACCGTTGTTCCTCTGCCAGTTCAAGATGACGCAGAACGCAACCGCGAGGTGTGATCAAGACACGATTCTTTAGCTCATCACAACCAGTTCGAACGGGCTGGCCACGTAACAGAGTCTTGCGGTGATCGTCCGTCAACTCGATAGGTTGCTTGAGGAAATCGTAATCACGCGAATTGCACTTCATGTCATATCGTTGGCTGAGATTTGCGGGGTTGAATAGCGAGCTTTTGTTGAGGTCGAGGTCACCAGATTTGTGCATCGTGGCAAGGAGCTCATGAAGAGGCTTTGTCCGTTCCGCAAAAATGTCTTTGATGGAACGTCCTGTCTCCTCGGCATCCTTAACCAGCTGCTCCACGGTGTTGCGAGAGCGCCAGGCCTCCACTGGGACAATCTTCTGTCGGATTGGCTCTTCTTTGAGGGGTGCTGCCTTTACCTCCGGAGGTGGTTGCTCTTTTTCCTTCACCTTCTTAGGAGGTTCGGGCTTAGGCTCGGGTTTCTTCGGAGAAGGGGCAGTCTTAGCTGGGCTGCCTACTTCGGTGGGCGTGTTGGCAGTCGAATCGGCCAATTCGGTGAGAGTAGGCGCCTTCTTGGTTTTGCGTTTCCGTCCCATGATGGGAGCTTGAACAGGCTCTTCGGCAGCAGCCGTTGTCTCGACTTTCTTAGCCTCGGCCTCCTTGGCCTTCTGGCGCCTTTCCTTTTTAGCTTGGCTCTTCGTCACCGAACGAACTGGAGCAGAACCAATCCGAGTAGGTGGAGGAGAGTTTGCGCGAGATGCTGTGGTCGAAACATCAAAGTCGGCCTCTGAGCCCATGTCGGCAGGTGTATCTGGGCGGCTGTTTGATGACAAGCTTTGTCGGCGAGAACGGGACTTGTCGGCCCCAATAGTCACAGATGGCGCTGTGCCAATGGGGAGAGGAGCTTCGGGCTTGGGAGTTTCTACAACGCGCAGAATTCTCGGTTGGCGGGGAGCCGGAGAATCAGAAGCACGAGAAGCTGCTGTCAGTGGAGTATTAGGTCGTGAGCCAACAACAGACGCCGATCCTGCCACGGAGGCAAAGGTCCCAGAGATAGCACGCTCGGATTTGGCTGGAGTTGTTTCTTGAGTCAAGGCCGTATTCAGGGCAATTGGACTGGGTTTTATTCCAGTAGAGGGACTTTGCTCGGTATTGACGACGGATCTCTTGTCCTCAGCGGCATCTGCCGAATCCAGCTTGTTGTTCATTCGAGCCTTTGTGCTGGGTTTGGCAACAGGGGATCCGAAAGAGATTTGAGAAGCGTCCCTTGTGCGGGCCGACATGGAGCTGGTGCGTTCGGTTGCCTCAGGGGTCATAGAGCGAGACTCGGGGACATTTTTCTGCGATGGACTTCCGGGCCGCGAAAATCCACTGCCCAGGCCTGGTGGAAGAATTGGAGCAGGAGAAGACGGTTTGGATAAACCTAACTTTTCTTGAAAGGCCGCCGATGAAGGGTGGGCATGAGGCAGAGGCAGTCCAGGTGGTAGTGTTGGGGTTCCAACCCGGCCAACAGAGTCGCTAGGAAGCTGACACTTCAGGAATCCGAAAGTATCAATGGGCTGGTTTTCTTTCACCGGTGTGCCCAGAGGAGGGAAATCCTCGTTCACTGCAGACCCCCTGTTAGTAAAGCTGTATCATCACAACAGGGCGGTGGTGCAAAGAGGAGGGTAGGTGAACGACGCCGCATGATATCAACGAAAAAAGGGTGGGAAAGGAAGGCAGCGACTAGGCAGAGCACAAAAATGCAGCGTGCACATCCGCGAGAACGACTAATTACACGACTTGCACCGACTGACGCGATGTAGTCAGGTACAGGATAAGGCATAGTCTATGGAGACAACGGCAGTGAGACAACTGGTTTCGAATAAGACCCTGTTCCGAGTTCGATAGCAGGGCAGGGAAGGTCTTAACGTACATTAATCAAGGAACAGCCACCGTCTTCAAGACGCTGCAGATAGCCGAATGAAGATTCGAATGCAGAATGAAAATTGGGGTACAGCAGCCGCCAGATAACATGAAAAGGGGCCCCAGGAGACATGCAAACATGTCCACAAATGAAAGAACGCCATAAGCCACCGAGAGACAAAAAGGCCGGGGATAAGACATGCATGAAAATAAATCGAGGCCCATCGCAATACGCCTAAGGCGCGCCGGCCAGCCGTACTGTTCCGGGGCAACCTGCCCGATTGCTGAAAGCAAAATGCAAACCCGGGACATCATGGGTTGGAAAAAGGAAAAAGAAATCTCGTCATCAAGGGTGGAGGAGGCCCATAAAGCACATGGCAAAAGAAAACATCATGAAAAGCACGGAGGATGCAAGAGATCATAAATATAAAAAGTGCAAAGGGGGCGGCGGAAGAGAAATTCACCAGCGGCTAAAACCACCTCCTCCATACATCATCGAAGGATTGTACCCACCTTGACCCTGGCTCCCGTACAACGCTTGCCCAGCAGTAGCATTGCCACCAACTTGCTGCATCCTTGCCTGTAAGATGCTCGGGTCCGCAAGATCTACTACACCACCTCCACCGGAGGAAGTGTTAGCGTGTCTGTGCTTCTTCCCCTTCTTCTTCTGTTTCTGTGGGCCACCGGATTCGGGCGCTACACCCGCCTGGGACCCATAGAAAGAGCTGAGAAGGCCATTGACGGGAGTCAGGGGAGGTGGGGTTTGGTGCTGTTGAAGAAAAGGGAACATGAACTCACGCTTTACGGCCTCCTGGCCTTGTACTCCTCCCATATTTGCGCCACTTCGACCACGCAGTAATTCACGCATTAATTCGGGGGTCGCATCTTGCTTTCCAATAGTACCTCCAAGTCCGAGGTTAGCATTTGCGGTAAAGCCGTGCCCCTGTGCAAACATGCCACCACCGCTGATAGGGGGGAGTTCCTGCTGTCTTCAAGCCAGGGGGGAGGGCCCTGAACGCCGCTTGCATAAAAGCCACCGGCAAGGGTATGTTGGGGGCTTGGTGCTGACAAAGGGTTTGGTGTCCCGGACTGCATCTGGCTCAACATCCGAGCGTTGCTGATGTTCTTCGTGCCAGTTTCGTTCAGGGCGAAGCGTGAAGATTGGCGGCCTTGAGCTTGCAATGCATTTAATTGAGCCATTTGTGTTTGCAAAAGTCCATGGCGTACTTGGTTTGCCTGGTCAACAGCAGCCGAATTCAAAGAATCAGACAATCCAGTCTGCTGGTTGCCAGCTGACTTCAAAAGCATCAATTGCTGCTGCTGGAGTGGAGTCAAACTGCGACCAGCCAAGTTGAGACCCTGAAATTGGTGGCTTGTCGCAGAAACAGGGGATCCGACGGTTGAGTTATCAGCAGTGCCTTGTTGAGAAGTGGGTGGCTGAATAGCACCATGCGATTCGCGGGTTTGTCGGGCTTGAGGGGCGGGGGAATTCTCGGGCTCGCCTCCTAATTGAAGGCTTCCGGCTTCGCGGCTGTCTTCTTCGGTCGCGACAGACTGGAGAAGCTCTTGCTCCCGATTAATCCGTTCCTGCTCGGCCTTTTCACGCATCGCGCGGCGCTTAACGCCGCCATAGGGGTCAATAAATGATGGATAGGATTGGATGATCTTCAGCTCATCAGCTGGAATATCGGCTGTTGAAAAGGAAAATCGGAAGTCGGGAGACATGAAGTCCTTGAGTACATTCTCCCAGGCGATTTCCGAAGGTGACTTCTCATCACGAGGTCTTGGTTGGGTGGCACTTGGCTGGGTGGCATTTGATTGGGTGGCACTTGGTTGGGTGGCACTTGGTTGGAGTTGGGTGGCGGGAGAACGTGCTTCGGGCGGAGATGCTCGTTGTGCGGCCTGAACAACTGGTGAAGGTTTCTCGGAGCGCCTAGCTTCATCGGAGGCCGTTGCAATGTTCACACTGGCAGGGCGAGGGCTTTGCGATGCCTGGCTACCAGTCAAACTCGCCCTCCTTGTCCGGATTGTTGCGTTCATATCCTTGTTCGCCCAGCTGGCAGACGAAGGAAGGGCAGGACCATCTGGAATGGATTGCCGCCCGGTGATCGAGTCGTCCTTGCTTGACTGCCGGCGCATTTGGTGGGCGATTGGCTGGCCGAGGCGAGAGTGAGTAACCTGAGGTGTTGGGTTCGGGCGCTGGCTAGACAACGTATTCATAGAAGAAAGGTCGGACCGAGTATAGCTTTCACTGTCCTCGCCGGTCTCGTGCAAGAAGGTGCAGTTGCGATTGTTGCATTGCTCGTTCCGGAGGAAAGATGAGCAATACTTCGTCGTTCCGTACTGCGCCCGCAAGACACGGTCCCCATTCGCAGAGCCATCAACGGCGTTGATACAAGTTGCGGCATCCAGTTTGCGTGTGAAGGTCACATAAACCCCAATACCCTGGTGGGGGTTACCACCGGGCTTCGCCTTGCTGACCACAATCTTCTCGATATCACCGTATTGTCCGAAATACTCCTTCCCGCGCAACGTTTGGAGGAGTTGGTTTTCGTCGCGAATTGTTGGATTCAACCCGATCACATAAACCAGGTTCTTTTGGACCACGCGAACGCCCGCCAAATTCTTCCGGCTGGAGGCTTCGATTTCACGTTTCTCTGCTTCCTTCTTCTTCGCGGCGGCCGCCTTGCGATGCTTCAATGCTAGATCTGCCTTGAATCTATAAGATGGGGATCGGGTCAGCGGTTTGATTGTGTGGGGAGGACTGTGGAGGAGCAGGGAATGACTAACTCTTCGGCGTCGGGTATCTTGTATTGAATCGTACTATCATCGTAGGCACGGCGGCAGTTCGGGCATCGACCCTCGTCATTTTGAGTTTTGATATTGTTGTAACAGAACTGGCAAATCTACAGGGGCGGTAAGTGTTAGTATCGCTGATGGGAGTGGCGCACAAAATGGAGGTCGATTTCGGGTCGGTTGGGCTGAACGTACTTGATATCCACAGGGGCATGGTTTGAAGTTCTTGTCCGAAAGGTCGAACTCTTCGATACAAAGGGGGCTAGCAAGCAGGTCAGTTTCCTAGATGCACGGTTATCCTGAAGAACCTATCATACCAAAACTCATCGTCATCGTCGATGACAGAGTCAATCTGTTGGCGACTCGACATGGTCACTGTGAAAGCTGGGGGAGCCGGGGGGAGGAGAGACAAAGGTGACAAGTGAAATTTAACGCCGGGACCCAATCTAAAAGGCGGGTTTAAAGTAAAAACAGGGAGGATAACACTACTCCAGGTCCGGAAAAATGGAAACGAGGAACGAGAAAGAGAAAAGGCGGAGGAGAAGAGGGCACGTTGGATGATGAGGGCGAGGGAGGGTAGAGATTTGGCGCGGCTTCATTTTGCTGGCCTGATTGCGTTTAGCGTTTCCCGCGGGTTATGTCAGCTACACGTGATCAGGCAGGTTCGACCAACCTCCGGCCTCACAATCCCAATTACGTTTGTCCCCTCCTGCCGCAGCCGTGTTGCTCCCTTCTCCCACAATGGCATCCGCACGCTCTCTGATGCGCCTGGGCTCTGGCCGCTCGGTGGCCTCGGCCTCCAGGTTCATGGCTAGCCGCGCTTTTTCTTCGACTTCTCTCCAGTACGCTGCTAAGGCCTCGACAGCACCGGGCCCGGAGCCCGAGAACATGCGCCAGGCGCAACGGCCTCGTACGTGAAACCCTTCGACTTTCAATGGTACCAATTGCAATTGAACTAATTGGATCTCGTTCTTCAGCCTCGGGACCTCTCCGTGCTCCCCGTGTCAACCCCACCGACAAGTACCAGGACAAGCAGGACAGTCTGCACACCTATGGACAGTACATCATGTCCTGTCTGCCCAAATACGTCCAGCAGTTCACCGTCTGGAAGGATGAGCTTACCGTTTATACCGCCCCGTCCGGCGTCCTCCCCCTCATGAGCTTTCTGAAGAACCACACCGCCGCTGAATTCACCCAGATTTCCGACATTACTGGTGTCGACTTCCCCACCCGTGATCAGCGTTTCGAGGTCGTGTACAACTTACTCAGTGTCCGTTTCAACTCCCGTATTCGTGTCAAGACATACTGTGACGAGGCTACCCCTGTCCCTAGTGTCACCGGTCTTTTCGAGGGTGCTCTGTGGTACGAGCGTGAGGTTTACGACATGTTTGGTGTTTTCTTTTCGGGTCACCCCGATCTACGCCGCATCATGACCGATTACGGTTTTGATGGTCACCCTCTGCGCAAGGACTTCCCCTTGACCGGTTACACCGAGGTGCGATATGATGAGGAGAAGAAGCGCGTCGTCGTTGAGCCTCTTGAGCTCACCCAGGCCTTCCGTAACTTCGAGAGCGGCTCTACTGCCTGGGAGCCTGTCGGACCCGGCGAGGCCCGCACGCCCGACTCCGTAAGTACCCTTCCTGCCGTCGATTTTGAAACAATTGCTAATCTACTGCGATACAGTTCAAGCTTGCCACCCCCAAGCCCGAGGAGAAGGTGGAAGAAAAGAAATAGAGAGATTCTGTATGCGTATTACCACTTTCTTTGCCATGTCTGTATGTACATATCGTTAATCGAAGGTGTTTCCACCCTCCGCATACTTTCCGCTGTAGGCTCCATACTAGTAGTATTAGTAGTAGGCAGAAGTTAGTCCCTAGACACCGTTTTATGCCGCTCCAAGAAAACAAACCTTGGAACTACTAGCGAAATTCAACAACAGAGATTTACTATTTGAACTATGTGACATTTCTATCGATTAAGTAGCTTTATCATTAATTGCAGCCGATCTGTTTCGAAATTTCGTGGTTGCTAGTTTAATTAGTAAATGATAACCAGTAAGTCGACTCGGAGGTCCTCAGACGCGAGGCGGAGAATCTTGGCAGATGCCCAGGGTGGTCCGCTCCAGAAAAAAAAATATCTCCGCATCTCCGACTTTTTTTTAAACAAGACCACCTCGAAAAGTCCCCCTCATTTTCGTCGCATTACTACGCCTTTGCAGGATATCCATCAGTGAATTCTCAAAACTCCACCGCTCTGCAGAAATCGAAAACATGCCGAAACGCAAGCTTGGTGACACCGACGGCCCCGCGCGGTCCAGCGACAAGGCGCACCGCAAGATGTCCATGAAGGCCGTTCGACTGGGTGTCAAATTTGAGCATGGAGTGCAGATGATAGTTAGAGGACTCAAGACTGCGCGCGGCTTCGAGAGACAAAAGCTCAGCCGGCGAGAAAAGACTGCGAGATCAGAGAACTCGGAGAATACACGCATGACTCTGCTTAAGCTGGCGGAGGAAATCGAAGCGCTGAAGGTATGGACGGAGTGCTCAGCTGTTTTTTTTATTGCTCGATTTGAAAATTTCCCCACATGCTAACTTATTGTCTGTTCCACTAGTCGCTTGATTATCAGAAGACCGCCGAGCGATACCTTTTCAAACAACTTTCTAAGACTAAGCGCATTGCGGAGCTGCCGACATTCAAGGAATTTGAAGAGTCTAAGAATATCTCTACCGAGGGACCCAAGAGTACTGCTGAGGCCAATATCCTGGCGCGACTGTTCAAATCAAATCCAGTCAAAAATTTGATGCCTAACATGCTCGCCGAGATTCGGAAGTTGCTCGGCGTGGATGAAGCTCCAGCTGGCAAGAGTGGCATGAAGGAAGCTCAAAAGGATAAGGCAAAGAAAGTTCAAGCCGACCCTGAATCCGACTCCAAAGATGAAGTGTCACTCAAGAAAACCGAGAAGAAGAAGCCTACCAAGGATGCTGAGCAGGACTCGCAGCTTGGTGACGATATTAGTGGTTCTGAAGGTGAAGGATTCGATAGCGATCAGCTGGAGAAATTCAATTCACGACTGGCACCAGGATCAGACGCCGAAGGTGAATCCGAATCAGAGGACGCTGATGAGAGTGGAGGCCTTGGTCCAGACGACATCTCCGACTCAGTCGAATCCCGCTCATCGTCTCCCGAATTCTCCGATGCGGGATCACCCCCGCCTAAGAAGGCCAAGGGAGCCAAAGCATCCGCTGCACCGGTAAAAGAAACGACATTCCTGCCATCTTTGATGATGGGCGGCTACTGGTCCGGCTCAGAAGAAGCAAGCGAAGACGAGGCGGCTGGCCCGCCGAAGCGCAAGAACCGCATGGGCCAACAGGCTCGTCGCGCTCTCTGGGAGAAGAAATACGGTGCCGGTGCAAACCACATGAAGAACGAGCAACAACAGGAGAAGAGCAATCGGGATAGTGGATGGGATACGAAGCGAGGAGCAACCGGTGGCGGCCGCGGAGGATATAGTGGGCGGCAGCAGAACAGGTACGATGATCGGTCAGGATCTCGCCCAAGATTTGGTGGACAGAGCAGCAAACCACCCAAGCCTAAGGAAGATGAGGGTCCCTTGCACCCCTCTTGGGAGGCCAAGAAGAAGCAAAAGGAACAAGCACCCGCTGTCTTCGCAGGAAAGAAAGTCACTTTCGATTAACGATCTCAATTTTGTATTTCAACTGCCATTTGAGCGAAAATACTACCATGCATATATGTCAACTTGGAAATCGTCATTCTCGTATTGAAGTGCTATACTAGTGTATAAAAACCAAATACTGCCGTGGTGGCAGAACGCCCCTAGTAAGAACCACCGCACCCCAAAAGGGCCTTGTCAACAAGAACAGCCCCGCGAAATGGTGTATCAACTAAGCAAAATAATAGAAATCGAGAGAAATGGTTCGATATGGAAGATAGAATCGCTGGCGAATAAAGGAGTCGCGCTCCAGGTAATTCTACTTCTCACTCATTCATGAACTGTAACCAATGCGAATCGGGATTGCCTGAAGGATTCTTGAGGTCAGTGCCGACAAGACCTGGAGTATTACCTTGATTATCCGGTTCAAAGCATGGAATGGCAGTGAACTCGCCCAACTCCTGCGGGAAGTTGGAAACGAAATGATCAAAGCCAAAGTGGGGCATTTGAGTAAGAGACGGGTGTGACAGGGAAAAGTTGTCCGACGCAGAGAGGCCACTGGTCGGCATGTTTCCTTCCAGCAAGTCTTGATCCATTCCACCAATTCCATGCTCGGAATCGGCAGTGCTAGGGGGTAGAGGGAGACTGGGCGATGTGATGGAAATGCCTGAACCGACGGCGCCGGCGACAGATGGCCCAGGGGTTGGGTGTGATCCTACGCCTTGCTGGACAGCAGAATCATATGCTTCTTGCTGTTTCCATGCCATGGTGGAAGGTGACACCGGACCGGTCTTCCAAAGCATCTCCCAATTCTTGAACCGATCGTAGGCGGATTCCATGCTGTTTCCGTTGCTCTGTGTCTGTTGAGATTCGCTCCACATCTCAAGACGACGGATAGCGCGTTCGAGAGCTTCGATGACGCTAACAGCTGAGCGTGCAGAGCCAACGCCCATCGACATAATCTTGATCAGAGAGATGCCCTGTTCGAGAGCTGCACCGAGACGTTCGGTCCGTTTTGCTAAGCCTTGGGCTAGAATCACTAGGAGTGCCGCACGACATGAGCTGAACTCAGTGAAAGAGGCACGAGCGAGCCCAGTTTCGTCTCGGAGAAGGCGACACAGGTCGATAATTTCCAGAGCCGCTTCGACGCAGTCTGTGACAAGGGTTGCTCGACTCTTGGATATTCCCGATGGGCCCTTGAAAGCGGTAGGTGTTTGAGAAAGAGCCCTTATATTACTGAAGAGGAACGGCCGGCCGATAAATATCCGAGTGAGACAGTAATCGAGTTTCAGGTGTACGTTGGAGCGGAAGAGGACTCCGCTGGGGTTGAGGTCGCGGCAGCTTGACTCTTCCGGTAGTGTGGACCACCATTCAATCAGATGTTTTCGGATATTCAGCAGCCTTTCAAGACAATCTTGCTGTTGCCCTTTGGGACACGTTCGGAGAAAGGTACTATGATCCAGTCAATAGGGTTACCTTTGATATGCACGGAGAAAGATGCCTTACATCTCATTTGACACTTGGCCAAGTTTTAATGTCAGTGTAATAAGGGCAATCATATTCGTATGGTTTGAAGGTTGCGAAGCTGGCATCAAGCTAGGGAAATCAATGGGGAATGGTGCATCGACATCGGCATCGGCTAATGATGCTGGTCTGCCATGCAGAATACTGATCCGCCTATAGTATGGTTAGTATTGAATGTCAGGACTTGGGACAAGTGGTATTTACTTCTCAATCGTGTATGATGTCCAGAACACGCGATTTCTGGTTTCAATCATGCGTGGCGAAAGGCCTTCTCCATGATATCTTCGGTGCATTCCATTTTGAATAGCAAGCTTGAGTGCCAGGCCAAAGTATGTATAGCACAGTCCTGATGTATCCAGAGGCAGGAGATATGTTCCGATCAGCAGGCAAGCTTGCACACTGCGCACAGATGCAGTCGCAATAATATCTGGCAAGAGTTTCGACGCAAACTGATAAAATGTCAAACCGACCTCATCCTCCGAGAAATGGTGATCTTGTGCAGCATCCGAGGGAATGCAGTTGACCGGCGTAGACGATTCCATATGCGCAAACTGAGTACCAACCGCCAGCACCATGAGAATGGCACAAACCGCACCGGCGTCATCGGAGGATAGGTCAGATGGATTGGTATAGCAAATATTTAGCTTTTCACAAAGCCAATCCTCTTCCACATAAAAGTTATTCGTCTGTGCATACTTGAAGAAGATCTGGACGAGAAAGTCGGCTACATAGCGCGGCGGCAGACAAGTAATCGATGCCGACACTAAAGGTGATGCGGACTGAAGTTGAGTGGCTCGCCATCGATCCTCAAACGGCTCGACTTCTGTGCTGGCCTGCGAGAGTAGGTTAGGATTGATGTACTGCAAGACAAACGGGGAGACATAGCAATCCTTACATCTGGAGCTGCAGTTTTCATCCAGCCGTCAATTTTCTTTCGGATTTTCTCCGAGAAGTTCAAATATGAGAACTCTCCAGAATATTCTGTTGCCACAATTTGGTAAGCCATGGGCAGCGATCATCACACGACGAGTTGCACTCACGAGTTGTATTATCCGGGAGCGCCTTAATTGTAAAGTCCTCTTCATCAATCGCAAGGTCTTCTAGCTCATTGGCATCGACCTTGGTGGAAAGTACATCGGACTCCGAATCACGGCGTTTGGCGTTCAGTTCGTCGGCCGCCTGTCGCAAAGACTGGATGTCGAAAGTGATATTGGGAACGTAGTGTGCAAGAAGGCGCTCCATACAGCGCACACGCTCTGCCTCCGCGATTTCATGCCGACTCACCGAGGCAGCTCGATCCAATAGTCTATGACCGGGAATTCGGTCCGTCAGTCACGAGGGCATTTATGCAAGGGTCGACACCGCCAGAACTTACGATACAGAGGTCGAACGGGTCTTCTCGGTCGGTTCTATATGTGTGAAATTGCATTGTCGACGATAACGCAGGCAGCGGCGACATGGCACACCACCTTCGCACTTCTCCTTCACTCTGCGACAACCATCACATCTGCGAAATGGAACAATTTAGCGGGGCGACTTTCTCTAGAGGGACTCCCTCCAACAAAATCCGGGGGATCTGCATACGCTCGGACAGCTCGTTTGCGATTTTCTTCGGCCACACGAGGGCGTTTCTGTTGGGCGGGTGTCGAGGTCGGGTCGTCCATTACAGGCACAGGCGGTGTCAACGTGGGCGAGGGCCGGGCATCGTCTGCGGAGAAGGCGGCGGGGAAGGGAAACGGCGCCCACGAGTTGGAAAGGGCGTAGAATGGGGGGGAAGGGTTGAGGTGATCGCAATGTGTAATGTAGGAAGAGCAAGAATTGGGGAAGTCGGAAGGTCGGGAAGAAGGAGAGAAGCGGACTTATAATTGGAGACGGGGACGGAGAGACGGGCAGGCGATCAAGCGCGCAGAGGAGAAACCACGGCTCGCCCGCCCCGCATCCTGGCAGACTCTTGCAATGGGATCCCTGCGCCCCGGTGGCCCAAAGTTATAGAAAATAAGATTAATACAAATTATATATGGGGTTCCTACTAGCATATTTTTAGGTCATTGATTCGACGTGATCGGAGATACATTCATTGAAATTTATCTCACAGTTCCAACCCAAAAGATATAGCAAGTAGTGTAGGCTAGGGTTCAAGTTCCCATCGGCGCCCAGTCCGAACGCCCGGCATAGACTATCCGGCCAGCACTGACAGTCTGATAAGCCAGTTTTCTTAGGCTCCCTTTATTATGTAGACTGGGACGATCACTGGATATGAGTATTCTAATCTCTCACCGAGGCTGACAATGATGCTTATCTACATCCACTATATTAGCTACTACATACTATTAATCTACAAAAATGGATATACTTCTAAAACCCCCCTGTGCTGAAAGAATCCAGAGAATAAGTCTGCACGTACTAGCATACATGTATTATATTGAAACACGTATGATCTACTTACCTATCATAACGTATAGTTAATATGCGGAGCAACTCTCATGGTTGCACTTCTAAAATCCATCAACCTGAGTCCCCAGCCCCAGCTCAGCCCCAACATCTAGTACCTTCTTCCCAATCACAAGGTCCATCAATCCCATTCCCACACATTTATAAATCACATTGGCACCAGTCGGAATCTTAATCCCCTCACCAGGCCCAATAGAAGCCAATAAATCGCCCATCTCCGTCAAGTGGTCCCCCTGAACCCCTGCCGTAATCAACTCCCCCCGATTCCTCCAGACAAGCCGACTTGGAATCAACATAGATCTTCCCACCCCCCGAAAGCAGGGTTTCGGTATCGATTTCATGCATGGGAGGCTTATAAGACCCAATGAGAGAAATAAACCGCTGCTTCGGCACAGACTGCAGAGCCGAGAACGAGAAATTCGGCTGCAGAGAAGGCGTGCAGGAGAAAATGACATCGGAAAACTGCAATTCCCGCAGCAACGTCTCGTCATAATGCGGCGTGTCCTCCTTTGAAATGGTGGTAATCTTGACGCCTGGATTCCGCACTCGCAGGTCCCCAAAGACGTCGCGCTCCATTTCATTTAGTCGGGCCCGGCTCCGATTCACAAAGACTACCCGCCGGATTTGTTCCGGGTACAAGAGTAATGCGAGACGGGCGTGCCATTCTGCCTGTCGACCGGAGCCGAAGACGAGGATATTTTCCTTTTTAATGTCGTGGCTGCGCACGAAGAGTGTCATTGATGCGAGCGCGGTGCGGAAGGCTGTGATCTCGGCCGCGGCGAGAAGGCCCTGTAAACGGCCGTCTGGGGAGAAGAGGTTAATCACGCCTTGGATGCCGCCGGGTGCGACGGTCACGCATTTGATGCCTGTAGTCTCTGTGTTGGAGACGGGCATGAAGATGCATGTGTTGTCGGCTTTTGTGGCGAAGACTGTTCGCAGGGGTTGGTGGATCAATTTGTCTTCGGCTGGAACTGTTGGTTTGGATTCAGCGGAGATGGCTACGAGGGCCTTGCACAGTTCTGCGATGAACTCGTGGCATTGGGATTGTGTCAGAGTGCGGAACAGCTTGGCCACGTCGGGCTCCGAGAGGATATGCATCTTAGATGATAAGGTAGGCTTCTTTGTTTGAGATGGGGTTTAGTATATATTCTCCAGGACTCGTGGCATTCAATTGATCGCGAAGGGGGAATTGTATTTGAAATAGGTGTGTATCAGTGCGGAGGAGGGGGATGGATATTGGCACCAGGCGACGACTGCTACTCCGGAGAGGGGCAACCGGCGGGGAGATCCACAACTTGTTCAACAAGTTCGAGCAGGCGGTTCCGGACTGGAGCATGCGGAGGGCAACAAGTTCCGCACACGCGATCATTATTGGCTGGGTTTAAATCTACTTGGATTTAAGATACTAATAGTACTATAGTCTTTGAATTTGAACATCGAATTTATTCATTATGAAACAGCAAACGTGACTCGTGAAACGCTAACGCCCTCTATAGATGCGTCCCAGTAGTGGGGGGTATGCGCAATGCAGGAAAAGTTCCCAGAAGTGCCCGAGTCGGGTCACAGGAAATGGGAGAGAAACATAAAAGTAAGAAACAGGGATTTTTCCCTTTAGTAAAGTGCAGCTCAGTTGCTACGGGCGAAAGCGTTGCGGCAGCGACGCTTCAGCTCGGCGAACATGGCCACCTGGGAATCCTTGGTGCGGCCAACAGCCTCAGTGTTCTCAATAGCACGGCGCTGCAGGAAGCCCATGCACTCCTGGACAGAGCCCCAGGTCAAAAGCTTGAAGACGTTGGGGGCAGCGACAGGCGAGGCACCGACACTGTTTTCGGCGTTTTCGAAACCCTCGAGCAGCTCACAGCTGACCTCGTCGGCCATTCCTTGGAGTTGGGCGTAGCTAAGATCAACATCATAGTTTTCACCACGAACAGCCTGCTCCATGCGGATAGCGTGGGCCTTGCGAACAGAGTCACGGTTGTGGGTGGCGATAATCACATCCAGGGAAGGGAGCTCGGTGGGAGTGTCCTTGGTGGGAGCCTGGAGCATGGAGTTGTACTTGCGGGTAAGAAGAGCCTCGACAACCTCATCGTAGCAACGATCAGTGTCCTCCTTCGTAGCCCAGATCAGGTGGCGGGGTTCGGTCTTCATGTAGGCACCGCGGACGAGCTTCACACCGAGGGTGTATCCCTCTTGGCGAGCAGTTTCAAGGTGGCGAGCGAGAGTAGCGGGAGTCGAGCGAAGGTATCCTTGGTAGGTGCCATAGAAGATGGCGCGGCCGGGGGTCTGGGAGTTGCAGTACTTCTGGTACTTCATGATCCAAGCCTCAATGCCGGGCTGCACAGCCTGCTCTTCGGCGTCCACAAGAAGGCGCACACCGCGGGAGATAGCCAAGTCGCAGACCTTTTGGATGGAGGCATCCATAAACTCAGTAGGGTCGGCTTCCTTCTGGAGGAGACTCAGAGCGTCAGTGCCCATGCCAGTGAACTTGAGGGCAACAAAATCGCCTTGCTGAGCCATATCGACAGTTCGCATAGTACCATCAAACCACATCTGGATCTCAGCCAGAGCGGCCTTCTCATCACGAGCAGCATCCTGGTTTTCTCCGACCAGAACCTCGCGAGCATAGCCGAGCAGGACACCGCGGCATCCCAAATTCTTGATGTTTCGGATAGATTCCTGGACCTCGACCTTGTTCTCACCAGCGTTGAACTGCTTGTAGATAGTGTGCTTGACAAGGAAGTTCAACAGTGGGTTCTTGGAGACATCCCAGAAAGCAGAGCGAGGGTGTGCCAGGTGAGAAAGTGTATAGATGCAAGGCCTCAAAAGGATAGGAGAAGAGGAGACGGAAAGGACTAGCAAAGAGCGCAAGACCGAGGAGAAGGGGAGCTTGGCGAGGGGAGCTGCCAGCGACTTGCGTGGTGGGGGTGGGGACTGGGTGAATTGTTGCAGGATGTTGCTAGCAGCGACGGAGGATCTGGTGTTGCTAGTACCGCTGACGAAGCGAGTGTTGGCACCAGTGGTGCCAACTCGCACCGCGCGTGCAGTCTTCATTGATGTGTGTGTGTGTGTGTGTAGTGTTTTGAAGATGGGTGGATTGTGAAGATAAGGATGGGAAGCAGTTATGAGAAGGAAGGAAGGAAGGAAGGAAGAAAACCCAAAGATCGGTTCCGCTGAAGAAGTATGAAGGTTCTGGTAGGTCGAAGAGAGTGAAAGAGTCAGGGCCGATACCTTTTTGCCAGGGCCTTAATAGTTTTAGTTGTGACAAGACCCGGTGGCAAGCGTCTGACACCGGTACGGTGAATGGGCCTGACTGCCGGCAACTACTTACTCTATTGGAGACTACAACCCCAGAAATTCTCGGTGAATGTGCTGTTATGGATCATGGGATTAGGTACGGGAAACCGGGTCGGTCAAGGACTCCGAAATTATTATTCATAGAATTCGTGAATGAAACCTATGCACATATCTTTCCTGGACTGATTTTTTCTGTTTATACTAGGATACCCCACAACCCGACCCCCGACCCCGACCTATCGGCACGTCCTGCCTTTAGCATGCATCAAAGCGTTCAAACGGATTCGCCAAGTGGTGGTCGGGGCAGGGATCCGACTCATGATAGCCATGAATTTCCTCTTTCAGGTCATGTCACGAGATATCCGGCAAGGGACTCCCCTGGAAAATCCTCGTTCGTGAGCATCTAAAAATGCTGCAGGATGACGAGAGCCGCTTGCCACGGGCCGGTTGGCTACTGGATTACGCTTAGTGCGATCTCAGTGGAAGCTGCATGGTCCACTTAGCCGCCAACCGGCCCGGTCAAGTCAGGTGATACGGTCAGGTGCCGTAGGCTGTGGGTGAATACTGACTAATAGCAGTCTATTCAAGATCATTTTTCAGATCCTCCTTCCAACTGGACATGTCCTGTAGTACACAGTTCTGCTGTATGGACTACGATGTAAATCTTTTGGCTGCTCAAGTCCACGCGAATCCTGGGGAAGGGCTTTCTTTAAAGAATGGTCAAAGCGTAGCTCTATGCCTATTCGAGCTTAGCTCGCGGATCTTTGTCATGCAGACTTTGAAATATTCAATGTGTCCAATAGGATGGGTTATTTTATTTGTAGATATTGTTATACTATATATGATCTGGTCTTTAACATACCGGAGGCACTCATTATGCTCCACACCTACTCGTAGCTACTCAGTATTCAATACTCAATACTCGATCCTCGTAGAATATTGTAAAGGTGGGACTGGCAACGGCGAGTCTGACCAATCACCGTCGACTCCGGCCCGGTGACTCCACCCGGATTCTTGCCGGCCACTGCTGATTTGCCTTCTTTCACGGTCAAGTTGTACGGAGAACGGCGTACGAGTACAATGACCTGTGGCCGCAATGCGAACACTGCACCGGCGGTAGCCGGTCATTTCATCATTGGTACCCCGCGTTCTACTTTTTTTCTCCTCTCGACTTTCTCTTAATCTCCATCTTCTGCTGGAAGCTAGCTTTGACACTCCCATCTCTAGTTTCAATTCTACACAATGCAGTCCATCCTGCGCGCGAGAGTGCCTTTGTCGCGGTGCCAACCGCTTGTCAACCGCATCCAGTCGCGTACCCTTGGTACCTATGCGACTTTCAAGATCCCCCAGATCAACAATGAGCCGAACGTGAGTAGCTTTATAAGGACGCGCTGGGCATAGCTAATTGGACCCCCTTAGAAACACTATGTCCCCGGTTCCCCGGATCGCAAGGGCCTGGAGGATGCCCTCGCTTCCTACAAACAGCAATCCCCACTGAACCTGCCTCTCATCGTCGCTGGCAAGGAGATCAAGACCTCCGAGACCTTCACCCAGAGCAACCCGGCCACCCATGCCCCGGTTGCTACTTACTCCAACGCCTCCAAGGCCGATGTTCAAGCTGCCATTGACGCCGCTCTCGCCGCACGCAAGTCGTGGGCTGATACCCCCTTCGCGGAGCGTGCCAGCATCTTCCTGAAAGCTGCCGATCTGATCTCGACCAAGTACCGTTACGACATCATGGCTCTGACCATGCACGGCCAAGGCAAGAACGCTTGGCAAGCGGAGATTGACTCGGCCGCAGAACTCATCGATTTCTTCCGCTTTGGAGTCAAGTACGCCGAGGAGGTCTATGCTCAGCAACCCGTTCACCACGCCCCCGGTGTCTGGAACCGCCTGGAGTACCGCCCTCTCGAGGGTTTCGTCTACGCCATCAGCCCCTTCAACTTCACTGCTATCGGTGGTAACCTGGCTGGTGCTCCCGCTCTGATGGGCAATGTCGTTTTGTGGAAGCCCTCTCCCGCTGCCATGGCCTCCAACTGGCTTGTTCACCAGATCCTTCTTGAGGCCGGTCTGCCCAAGGACGTCATCCAGTTCGTTCCTGGTGATGCCGAGGAGGTCACCAGCACCGTTCTCGATAACAAGGAATTTGCCGCCCTCCACTTCACTGGTAGCACTGATGTCTTCCGTTCGCTGTATGGCAAAATCTCCCAGGGTGTGGCGGATGGCAAATACCGCAGCTACCCCCGTATCGTGGGCGAGACCGGTGGTAAGAACTTCCACCTGGTCCACAAGTCCGCCGATGTGCGTAACGCCGTGGTCCAGACCGTCCGTGGTGCCTTTGAGTTCCAGGGCCAGAAGTGCAGTGCCACTTCCCGTGCCTATGTCGCTTCTTCCATTGCCGACGAGTTTGTCGAGGGCGTCGCTGCTGAGGTCAACAAGCTGAAGATTGGCGAGCCTACCGAGTTCTCCAACTTCTGTGGTCCCGTTATCCATGAGGGCTCCTTCAACAAGCTCGCCGGTGTTATCGATGAGGCCAAGAGCGACCCCGAGCTTGAGCTCCTTGCTGGTGGATCTTATGATTCTTCCAAGGGATGGTACATCCAGCCCACTGTCTATCGCACTGCCAACCCCGACCACCCTCTCCTTTCCCGCGAGCTTTTCGGACCCGTCATCGTCATCCACGCCTATAACGATGCTACCGAGGCCGACTTCCTCAAGATCTGCGACAAGATCGACAACACTAGCACCTACGGCCTGACCGGCTCTATCTTTGCCCAGGACCGCGAGGCCGTTCAGGTTGCCAACGACGCTCTGCGCAACGCTGCCGGCAACTTCTACATCAACTGCAAGAGCACTGGTGCCGTCGTCGGCCAACAGCCCTTCGGTGGTGCTCGTGCTAGCGGTACCAACGACAAGGCCGGCAGTGCCAACCTGCTCTCGCGCTTCGTCAGCCTGCGCTCCGTGAAGGAGGAGTTTGTCCCCACCTACACCGTTGAGTATCCCAGCAACGCCAACTAAGGCGGAGAGGCTATGATTCCATATTGCTTTTGTTAATCTTGTATGCCTCATGATATCACGGCGTCGACTTGCATTTTAAAATGGCGTTTCCTTATATCGAAGTCCAAAGTGGCTCCTTTGGTTGTTACTTGTCAAAAGATGTACATCTACAGAATATCCAACTGCGACTTGCAATTTGCAATTTCATCTCTACACTTGTAAACCGTAACGATTTTCGTTGAATCAGTAACATGCGTTTATTTTCGTCTAATTATCCGCGCAGTTCTTCAGGAGCTTCTGCATATTAACCATCGCCTTCTTCGCAAAGTCATCCAACTCATACTTCTTCCCTTTACCGTCCGGCCCTGCATCAAAAATCTCCATAGAAAACCAGCCCCGAAACCCCGTCTTTAGCACTGCTTTGGCCACATCCTCAATGGGCAAATATCCTCCATCATACGGCATAGGCCGATAGTCATGACTCCACCTTCCCCGCGCTCTTAAGCCCCCAATGACTTTGTCCTCTAGCGGTGGCGAAACCTTATAGGCGTCCGAGATCTGAAGCAGATATATCTTATCCGGTGGAATAGACGTCGCCAGCTCATCCATACTTGCATCGAACCGTTCGCGCAATTTCTCCCGAGAGACATTCTCAATCAAACCCGACGACGTGGTCGGGTCGCCGTACTCGCTTCCAGCAGTTTGGAAAGTATCGAGACAAAGGCCAATATTCGGACGGTCCACATCGCGCACGATCTCCCACGCGCTTTTCCAATCTGGTGCGTGAGTGGCCCAGCACCAATTTTCAAAGGCCATGCGGAAGTCTTCTTTCTCGAGCATTTGGGCTAGTTCGCGCAGGTCGGCGACGATGTCTGCGCGGTTGGTAGAGATCCTATTGGAATGTATATCTGTCGCTCCAACCTGGGTGAAGATGTATTCTGGTCAGCTTCAAGTTTGACATAATCCAGCTCCCAATTGCAAAGTGATAATTGGCAAGATATACCTGTAGCAAATCCGTTCCCACGGTTCTCATAATCTCAATCCATCCCTTTGCCCTGGAGAATGCATCTTCCCGCTCCGGCGAACCCTTCGGCCAGCCCTCGAAATTAGCAAAGGGCTGCAACATCATGATGCTTAACGAATTGGCGTCGCAGAGTTTGCGGATCTCGGAAGCTATGCAGAGGAGCTTGGTGTAGTCGTTCGGTTGAACTGGTTGGCCGAGTAGATGGGTTCCATGATCGATGATATCAGGGAATGAGAGTTCGATAGAATTGAAGCCTGCCTTGCTGATTGCTTCGAGTTTACGGGGAAGCGTATCACTTGGTCCGCAGCCAATCGAGCAGGATGCATAGGCCAAGGGAATCCCTTGTACCGATGAATATGTGACTGGGGCCATCTTTCTCGCACTGTGTTTGTAGAGCTTGTGTAGATTATTTATCGCGACCGTTGAATTGAAAAATGCATGAAAGGCGTTGATATTCAGATAGAAAAAGTCTTCATCGGTTTAGAGACTCGATCGAGGTTTCTTTCTGGATGTACTATGATGTAATCGTTTGATTGAGAATTGGCCTGTGTCGTCAGGGCAGCATCATGTGGAGTAAATCCTGCGGTATATCGCTAATTATAGTAATCAAACATCATAAAAGTTAGTATTGCCTCTCATTATTGGGGAATATGGCACTGGGGCGATAAACAACATAGAATCGCCCCGTGGCGGTTTTTACTGATTTCATATTGACATGACCCCGGACCTTTCGCCCGGTCGCCACCAGTCCCTAGTTCAAGAAGACAAAATTTGTTGTAGCTATATCTTGAATAATCTATTAAGTTACACTTTTATCTTTCTTTTTATCCTTTTTTTCCTAGATTTGAACACAAGTCAGTTTGGACTCAGCCGCCACCATGCCGTCCAAACCAGTTCAGCAGTTCAAGCATATTGGTGTTGTCGGGGCCGGAAGCATGGGCTCGATGATGACCTTCGCCTTCTGCGACCTTGGTCTTGATGTCTCAACCTGGGACGTGGACAGATCAAATGTCGATAAGGTTACCAACTGGGCAAAGAACTACAAGAACGCCAGAGGAAACATTCATGGATTCTACAACATCGATGATTTCACCAAGAGCCTCGAGGGCAAGGGTGAAAGAAAGCTATTCATTTTCTCCGTCACTCACGGAGACCCCGCAGATTCAGTCTTGGGCAAGATGAAACATACTCTCAAGAAAGGCGATATCATTCTCGACGGCGGTAACGAGAATTACCGCAAAACAGAGCGACGTCAGAAAGAATGCGAGAAAATGGGAGTCAGTTGGATCGGAATGGGTGTTTCTGGCGGTTACCAGTCTGCTCGACGGGGACCTAGTCTCTCGCCTAGTGGAGATCCCGAGGCACTGAAGATTGTCATGCCTCTGCTGGAACAATACGCTGCAAAGGATCCTAAGACGAACACGCCTTGTGTGACTCGCATTGGACCCGGAGGATCGGGTCACTTTGTCAAAATGGTTCACAATGGCATTGAAGGCGGCATGTTGTCTGCTCTTGCGGAAGCTTGGGCCTATATGACATTTGGACTGGAGATGAAGTATGAGGAGATCAGCGACGTCTTTGCTAGTTGGAATGAAACTGGCGAGCTGCGTCGGAATTTCTTGCTATCAATTGGCGCAGATATCCTCCGGACCAAGAGAACCCCACAAGGCGACCAAAATGGCGAGGGGGGCTAGCAACGACGATGGATATGTCCTGGACGATGTTCTTGATAAAGTTGTCCAAGATGACGACAACACGGAAGGAACTCCTCTCTGGTGTGTTATGGAGTCCGCTGCTCGTCACATCTCTTGCCCGACTCTGGGCGCTGCGCATTACATGCGTATTGCGAGTGGAAACCGTGCTGAGCGGGCTCGCGTCTCGAAGAAGCTACATATGCCTTCACCAAGACCAATTGAACACAAGCGTGATCGTAAGACAGTGCTTGAGCAGCTTCGACGCGCTGTATATTGCTCATTCCTGTCATCCTTTGTTCAGGGTCTTGAGTTGATCGCTCGCGCATCCGAGGACGAAGGTTGGAATATCAATATGGGCGATTGTCTCCAGATCTGGCGAGCAGGCTGTATCATTCAGTCTGAGTATATTGCAGATCTCTTGCAGCCAGCACTGACTAAGAATCCGATGACAAATATGAAGTTTGTCGATGAGGTGTCGCGTGAGCTGCATCGGAACTTCGACGACCTGAAGACCATTATCATTGAGGGTACTCAGTCTGATCAGTATATGCCGGCATTGTCAGCAACACTGGAATACCTCAAGTATGAGGGAGGACTTGAGCTACCTACCAAGTTTATGGAGGCTCAGATGGATTACTTCGGTGCCCATTGTTATAACAAGCCTGGAATCCCAGGAGAAGATCCTGGTCCAGTTAGGAAAGGCCCACACCACTACGAGTGGAAGGTTGCTTAGTGTGAAGGTATATATATTCAAGTTAGAATTATGAGTAACTATATTGAATTTGACAGTTTCCGTAAAATGTGAATTGACATGCTATCATTGAAACAAAAACAAGCAAGCAACTTGTAGGTAATTAAACACATTGCCAGGCATTCTCGTCGGTATAGTCTCCAGGACCCTTATAGACATTGTGACGGGGGTATTTGCAGTGCTTGCGGTGGTATTCAATCTTCGAGCCAGGGCCATTCGAGAACTTAGCCCCACGAACGTAATCAGGAGCAACACCCTCCTCAACCCATTTGACCATAGCCATGAGGACATTGTCCTTGGGATCACTGCCAGCATAGGTACCGGTGCCCTGGCCAATACCATACGCTCCATCACCACCACCACAGTGACCCATGCCACTGATTGTGAAGAAACGGTAGAATTCATCTAATTCGGAGGGTGCCATGTCCATTTCCTGCGCAACGCGAGAGTAATACCACTTGGAGTCGTCCGAGCTGATAAGCTGATCCTGCATACCATGATAATGAAGGACCTTGCCCCCGGCCTTTTGGAACGGCGAGATATCGGCGTTCCAAGTCTGGATATCATATGGGTTCTGAGCGAAGGCAGCAGCGGCATCTTTGACGGTCCAATTTGCGCCACTGTACGAAGGGTCGTTGTAGACAACGTATCGCCACCAGTCCTTGCTGTATTCGAAGGGTTCACCGTTGTACATGATGGGCTGGGCCAGAACCTCGGAGCCAGGCTGCATGCGTGGATAGATCAAAGTTCCATTAATCCCATAGACAGGTGATAAAATCTGTTGAACGGTGTTGACCTGCTCCGGGGAGAGACAGTTTGCTTTGCTTTTGGCGTTGGACTTGCAGATAAGCGTCTCCAAAATAGGGTGGCACATATCCGTGTCTTCGATGATGCCGTCCTTGGCTCCATCAATGGCATCGCATTGACGAATGATCTCTTTGTGGGCAATCTTCCATTCGGCAGCTGTAAGGTATGTCTTGGAAGAAGGGGGTCCCGTGATGGGATAAAAGTGTGCACTCCATGAAAGCAATCCAATGAAGTTTATGGCAGGAGCACCTGCGACAACCCCATCGAAGTCATCGGGGTACTTCTGCACTGACTTCCACCCCTGTCGACCACCTGTAGAGCATCCGAGGTAATAACTCTTATCGTAGCCATTATCGTAAAACTTCTTGGTGAGCTCCTTGCCGACCACAACTCCAGTGTGGATAGAGCGATAGGCAAAATCTTCAATGACCTCAGGGTGTTTGTAGAATGGTTCGCCTGAGGTTCCATTGTGTCCATTGTTGGCCCCAACCGTAGCAAAGCCTAGTTGGGCAGTATATGCCAGGTCGTAATATTGAATGCCTAGAAGTTGTTAACGCGATTGTCACAAAATAGCTTGTGTTGTTGCGGCTGCATTTTTTTTCACTCACATCCAGAAAGACCACCATTGCCAGTGCTCAAGAAGCGGCCCTTGTACTCTCGTGGAAACCAAGCTTCCAACGTTATTTCACTACTGTTGGAGGTAGAAACGGCCATTGCGACACGGCAAAGATCCACCGAGACAGACTGCGAGGATGCACCACAGCTGGGTGCATTATCTGGCAGAGACAGGTTGGTACCAGCCTGCACGTATTCGGCGAAGTTGACCTTGACATTGGGAAGATCGATCTTCTTTGCGAATTGGCTGCATTTGGACTGGAAAGCATCCTGACTGGCAAGGGCCAGCGAGCCCAGAGCGAAGGGGAGAATCGCGCTGAGTCGAGTCATGACGAATTACGCCAGAGAGCAATTAAACCGCTCTAGATATTGAGATTGGCGTAGATAGTAGTGTTCGGAGGAATAGACAGGTAAATCGACCATGATAGATGCGCTCGCGCGACATATATGTATCTGGCATGTTTCAGACTCTCATCACCCCCTTGACGACATTCGCGGGATCCATCGAAGCCGAGAGTCGGCATTGGCCGAAGGATCATCTCCCGGTCGTCTCAAGCGTCGATCTCAACCCAAATCAGCAAAACACCGAGGATGAGCCGGCGACGGTGGAGTTGAAACCAACACAAGACGAATGACAGGAGTCAGAGCAAATGGTGTGGACCGAGATGAGGAAGTGGCTTAATGCTTTTCCCAAGATCAAGTGGAACCTCCAGGTCAAGTGGCAGAAGGGGAAATGAGCTAGGCATGCCCCAATTTCCCCGATGGCTGCACTTGAGGAATCCGGGGACTCCACAAGTGCGGGGGCGGTGGTGCCTGGCTACGAAAGTCGGCATTTCACTATCCGCGGCTCATGGGAGCCTAGGCAAATCGGAGGATTAATAAGATTGCCAATGCATGAGCATGTATTAATAAGAGACGGAGTGTATTTCTCGTATGTAAACATCGCCGTGACGCCAAATACATCGAGCTCCGAGGCTTGACCGGCGTCACGTCTCAACCGTACAGATAATCTCTCGCGAAAAAGTAAAGATTTAAAATACAATATAGCATCTGGAAATAACGGGGTTCGAGAATTTAACGTATAGCTGTCCATTGTTGGCTTGGAGGACCTACGCCCTTTCTTATTGCCAGTGCAATCAATCCTCCGTTTTGATCCTTCCAGGCGACTTGTGTCGTCCGAAACAGGGAACATAATGGTATCGATAATCTTGATGCTAACTTGACATATTATTGACCCAACCATCGATAAAAGAATGTGTTTTCATTGTAATACTAGTAGTATGATATATCTCGTTCGATCCTTGAGTTTTCTCCGAGTACGTCAAGTATCGTACTACTAGTAAACGCATATTTGCCAAAGCATCCGGGAAGCCTCAGATCTGACTAATCATCGACATCTACTAGCAACCATAAATAGTAGCTAGGATGAGGAAAATGTTAGATAAAATGTTGGAAGATAAGGACAGGCAAGTTTCAGTATGCGAGACTTACAAGACCAAGTGATGTACTTTCCATAGCCCATAGCGACCCAGTTACCATTGGTGAGCTTGGCCCAACCACTAAGTGTATTCACTGTCAGTTTAATACTGCTACTAATAATGCGAGCTGATACATACGGGTCACCATTCTCGACGGTAGTGCCAATTCGGGTTAAGCATTTGATCGAGATCTTTGTTCCCTTGGCGTACTGACCAACGGCAGTACAAGAGCTTTTTGGGCAGGTCCGGTAGCGAAGCCCATCTACCAGAACCTTGCCGGATACAGCGCGCTTCTCTAGATTGCGGCTCTCCACGACAGGAGCATCGGGAAGGTTGGTCGGGGCCTCTTGAGTCAAAGCGAGGGCCGGAAGCAAAGCAGCAACAGCGAGGGCAGAGAACTTCATTTTGAATGAGTCTTGAATTATCCTGATATCTGGATTGAGTACTTGAAGATGATATAGATAAAATTAAGGGTAGACGGAGGCTTTTATAGTGCGACTTTCTAATATTTCCACCATTTGTCTTTACATCTTGCCTTGGCTCTTCGTGTTCATACGAGGCTTCAGCCATACCAAGATTCTGATATACGAAAAGGATCAGCGCTTGCTAGTCAATTGATCTCTGCCAAGATGTTTCAAGTCGTTGAATGCGACACCGAGGTAGCGTAATCGAGTAGCGGATAAGAATATCGTCACGTCGAATGATAATAAAATGCTCTCGAAGCTAGACACCTTTCTTACAATTTTCGTGGTACATCAGTCAAGACCCGAGGGGCATACTTTCAAAAGCAATTGGTTACTCCCTGAGATCCCTCGTTTAATTGCTTTGGGCAAGCTAGCATCGAGTGTTTCTGTCTTGGCGATGGACCCTCGTAAATAAGGTTATAAGCAAGGCGTTCGTATATTCCGGAGGATTGCTACCTAAACAATAAGCCACTGAGGTGAAACTGCACTTCTCCGGCCGGCTTGGCATTCGGTGGGATACCTTGATACAGTTAGGTGCTCCTAAATTAGAAATTGAGCCTCGTGTTCGTATTGATAATGGATTAGGGATTAAATTGACGGAAGCCTTAAAGAAAACATGATTAAAGTGAGCCACGACGTAATTTAGATATAGTAATATGAACTCAAATAGAAAGAGTATTAACTCAATTACGACCTATAATAGTGGACGGGGACTTTGGGCCTAAATTAGTAGACTGCGTTGTGGGAAATAGGGGTGGGGAACCCAGGGACCGAAATGCATGTATCCGTAGTGTATGCATATTAGCATGCGAAAGAGCTTTCAGAGATACGAATGATTGAGTTTCATGAAAACATCCAAGAAGAAATGACATTTCCTGCTAAGCTGAGAATTGTCGTCAGTCGAATTAATTGGCAGAGAAAGGTTTTTCTTGCTCGGCCCTGCTTAATCCCTCGGCAATCGGGTTTGTACATTTAGCATCGATAGTGACCCCGCACATTTTCTCCCCAGCAAGTATCCGTCACCCCAGGATCAAAATCAAAATACTGCGATGATTGAACGAATTGGCAACGATCCATCCAACTTTTGGACTTACGATGAGGAGACGGGGCTTGTCGATCTTTCGCGAGGGGCTGGGCTGGGCAAACGGCTCACAGTCGAGACCACAACCGGTCCTATTCGGTTAAACCCCGATACGAGCGTAATGATCATTGTCGACATGCAGAATTTCTTTTTGTCGCCTGCCGTTCGCCCTCGAGCTAAGCCTCAAGAGCCTACGCCCGCTGAAGGGGCTGCGGGGGCATTACTTGGCATTGGAATCCAAGCCGCGCGAAGCCGTGGCATTCGTATTGTCTGGCTCAATTGGGGCCTTACCGAGGAGGATTTGGTGACAATGCCGCCTGCAGTGATGCGCGCATTCGGGCCATATGGCTCGTCACGCAACGACATGAGCAAGGCTGTGCCATCCCAGCCGGGCATGATTAGAACCAAGAACCGTGAGCTGTACAAGGGCCTTGGGGCGGAAATTGGCCCTGTGAACCTTGGGAATGGATGCCAAGTGGAAGGCGGGAGAGTGCTGATGAGAGGATCATGGAATGCTGCCATTTATGGACCCCTGGAGGAGAAGTACCAGACGAACAGTTCTGACAACACTTCGCCAGTGACTTCGAAGCCCGACGTCCTCATTCACAAGAATCGCACATCTGGACTTTGCCTCTCCAACACAGACCTGGAAACATTTCTAGAGGATAATGGAATTACGACTCTGCTCTTTGCTGGCGTCAACACAGATCAGTGTGTTGGTGGAACATTGATGGATGCTTGTAGCAAGGGATACGACTGTGTTCTTCTCCGTGATGCATCCGCAACGGGTACTCCCTTCGGGGCGAGTGAGACATGGGAGTGGAATGTGACAAACTCCTGGGGATGGGTGACAACCTGCAAGGCTCTGGACGATGGGGTAACACTTTGAATGAGAACGGGTGCTGATCGGATGGGAGGAGGATGCACGGAAAGGAGGTTGGTGAACGCGAAGAGAAAAAAGGGAGACAACAAGGCGATACCGATGCCTGAGGCATCCTAAGCTTCAACAATCAGCCTCATTTGGAATACTAACGTCGTTTTGAATAAGGAAATAGTAATATTTACTAGGTCTTCTCACCAGGATTCTTGGTGACCTGCCAGTGCCATCCAGCCCGTCCCCTTCTCACAACCCACGTATTCGCATTCAATCTCTCCGTTTGATAAAACAGTTGTTTCCACCCAAAGTACGAGCTTGCCCGACTCCATGGCACTATTGGGGCTATATGCCCGCATGAAATGACTGCGCAATGCCGCATGTCCCTTATTGGTGCGCCCGATTTTCTCCATATGCTGCAGGTCTTTGAAGTAAAAGAGTTGAGCCTTTTCGTTGTAGTTGAGAGCTTTAGGCGTAGAATCTCTATAGACACCAGTTTCCGGTGCATAGCACATCCGGGAACCCAAAATCCCAGTCAGGACTAGCTGAAGAGAGATCTTTCATCCATTGCGTGACAGATGAATCGAAATTGTCGTTCCAGTATTCTTTTTCATCCGCGGTGATATTTGAATGGTCTTGACCCTCAACCACAAAACAGATATTGTCCGGAAATTTGGTCATCAAGATGCGCCCAGGTCGATCCCCGCCGAGAGAGTCTGGTATGGGTTTAAAGGCTTCGAGGTCCCGTTCGATCGGCGAGTCGAAATTATCATTTGAATGAGCAGCCATTCTATGCCGATAGCAGCCCCAGTATCCAATCTTATCCCCAACTGAAATTTCAGTTCCAAGGTGGCTTAGTCCAACAGGCTCGCTCTTGTTTGTTATATACTGTGTTCTGGATGAATCTGGAGACATAATCTCTCTCCACATACCAGCATCAACGGGCAGGTTGTCCCAGAAGTTTGAGACCTTTTCACTATCCCACCAAGCTAGGTATGAAGTGCGAGACTCCCAATAGCCGAGCCATATCAAGGGTTTCCCCTCTCTAGCTGCAGCACATCCATCATGGTTTTGAACAAATAGGTCGAGATGGGCAGTGTGAGAAGCAATCAGGTCATGGAACTCCCCTTTAAGGGTCCGCACTTCTCCGGGCTTTCCTCGCCGTCAGGCAACTGAAGCCCAAAAATTGAGTAGACAAAGGGTTCTTCTGAAGATAATTTCACCGCTAACATCGCGTGTAGTCAAAATTGGTGTTTGGTCAGAGGGATACAGGGAGGCTAATACGTGCAGTCTTGTTCTCCCCTGAGGTAGAAAAACATGAATGAGGAAAGATGTTAGACTCTATCAACATATGGTGTAGAAGTGGAGTTGGGATTCTGGATATCTAAGTTTACGGCGCTCCATATGCGCCGTATAGGTCTCAACTGGGCAGCCCGCAAGCATCGTGTAATCAACGAAACGATTTGCGAAAATTTTCATTCCGCACCTCACACACCTCATGACTAAAGACATTTCAATTTGCAGATAGCAGATTAACTATCATGAAAACGAACCCCGGGGTGAAATATCAAAGCATGCTGATTCGATACCAGGAGATTTCCTTGTTTTGCGATCGCTGCGGAGGTTATGCTTCCGCAAGTACCGACTTAGACCATTTGTACTCATTATGACGACCAGACATTGGGAACATTGACGAAATTGTTATCGCGGATTTAATTGGAAGATAGTACTAAGCTATCTGGAAGCCAAGATAAACCATAACAAAGTGCGGAATCTTCCGCATAATATCATATCAGCCCAGGTACCTGGTGGATTGGGTGAACTTCACCCGAAGCCAGCCTGAGCCTTGTCGGGCGGGGTAGAAGTGGACACATCGGCACGCATAAATATATGAGAGCCCTCTCTTTGCTGTCTCGATTAACACACTGTATCGTTCTCTGAATAGATCAAGCTTATATCACCTGTACCAAGCCATCATGCACAAAAGCAATGTCCGTGTTGCGGTCACCCAGTCCGAGCCTGCCTGGATAGATCTCGCTACCGGCGTGACAAAGACGTGTGACCTGATTGTGGAGGCTGCAAAGAACGATGCAAAGCTGATCTCATTTCCCGAATGCTGGATACCTGGCTACCCTTGCTGGATTTGGTGAGTGCTTGAGTAGGTGCTTGAGTAAGGGAGAATGAAATCAAGCGCATTTTTCTTCTGACATAACATCATTCTTCAAAGGTCGCGGCCGCTTGACGTTGAGCTAAATGTCGCCTATGTAAAAAACTCTCTCCGTCTGGGCTCTCCGGAGATGAAGCAAATCCAGGATTGTGCCAAGGCGAATGCAATTGCAGTATCTCTGGGATTCTCGGAGAATCACAATGTGTCTCTCTACATTGCCCAGGTGATGATTGACACTGATGGAGAAATCAAGTTCCACCGTCGAAAGATGAAGCCTACACACATGGAGCGTACCATCTTTGGCGATGCCTCGGGTGAATGCTTCTCCAGTGTTGCAGAGCTTACTTTTGCTCGAGTTGGTGCCTTGTCTTGCTGGGAACATATCCAGCCACTGCTAAAGTACCACACGCTTGCTCAGCAAGAGCATATTCATGTTGCAGCGTGGCCAAGTGTGTTCCCGCATACCGGAGGACAAGATCTGTGGTCCATGTCGGCAGAAGGTTGGTTGGTCTCTTCGGTGTGTGAAGTCGCTGCTGATGTCCATCACAGGTTGTCATAGTTTGTCACAGACATATGCCATAGAGTCTCAGAGTTTCGTCCTTCATTGCACCGCAGTTCTTGGGCAAGGCGGCATCGACCAAATGAGAACCACTGGTGGCGTGCTCATGTCTTCGCCTGGCGGAGGAAGCTCTGCTATATTCGGCCCTGATGGAAGAAGGCTTACCGAGCCAGTTGAGAGCACCACCGAGAAGATTATATATGCAGACCTGGCCATGGACCTAATTGTAGCCGCCAAATTGTTTGCGCATCCAACTGGTCACTACAGCCGCCCAGATCTCATGTCACTGAACGTCTGCACTCGGGCGAAGAAAATGATTCGCGAGGAAGAGAGTGAATCAACAGAAAGAGTTAGCCATAATCTCAGTGATGAAAAATGACTTCTATTTAGATAGCAAATTTTTCATACGCCAAAGCCCTCTTGAGTCAGGACAATCATAGTCGGCATGTATTTTCCAAGGAGCTTTGGCTTTGAGTCCGACATTGAAAGAGGTATACGAGTTCAAAGGAATGTCAAAGGACTCAAAGATTGGCCTTTCTTGGGTTCAGGGCGTAAAGAGAAGCGGCCCGATTTGGAAGCGATTGGTACGTGACCTTCGATCGCAAGTATAGAATTTAGTGATTTTGTAATTGCGCAGCAGACTAGAAAATTATCAAATTTAAGGAAGCTTTACAGATGAAGAATTACTTCATATTCGTCAAATGGTCTTTCTCGCCGTGACATGACTCAACCACCACCCCAGCTCCAGCCCCAGCCTCCCTTCTTGATCATACATAACAAGATGTCCCGCATCCTCAATTAATACCACATCGCGAGCATTGAGTTTTTCCTTCAGTCGTGCAGCTGTTTCCATCGGAATCCATCTGTCTTCTTTCCCCCATATGATTTGCACCGGCATTCTTTTCCCCACCTCGGGGTATATATGCTCTACCTCTTCCGTGTTACGGCTATTGGCCTGCACCATCTGCCTAATAAAGCCCTTTCTACCATCTGCATTCAAAAGCCATGGCCTCTTCAGCATCTCCATGGTGTCCTTTCCAATTTCTCTATATGCCGCATCCCGAATGTATGACTCGACCACACCCTCGAATACTGGACCTGTCAACGCATTGAAGACGACCTCATTTTCAGCGATCAGCTTGAATAGAGGCTGACCAAACGGACCTATTGCGACGACATTTATCAAGCATAGACTTGCATAATCACAGTGGTGAATTATATGTGCCCGGAGACACATCAGGCCTCCATGATCATGAGCAATAACATGAGGCTTTTGCTGCCAAGTGCGTGCCCAAAATTCAAAAAGCGCGGCAAACACTTCCGACTGTCGGGCTAGATCTGCATCAAGGCTCACTTTGGTGCTGATGGTATCCTTTGTGTCTGGTAGTGGACTTCCAAGAGGGCTATCACCGAACCCCGGATTGTCGAAGAGATAGACGTGAAAGTATTTGCAAAGGGTTTGGGCATACGTCGTCCAAACTCGAGATGACCAAGGTGTACCATGTACAAAGACAAGCGGGGGTGAATTGGGATCACCTAATGAGGTCCACTGAATCTCGTAAGTGTGGGTGGAACTAGAATGGTGGAAGGTTTGCGTGAGGTCAAGGGCGGACGGAGTTGAATTCATATTGTGTATCAGATATTATGAGTAAACTTTTGTGTGCAAGACTTGAAAATATGATTTCGTGTTCAGAGTATTGAAATAAAATCGCTCCTAAATATTAAATCCTTGGGAATGTAGGAAATGTACATTTGTAATGTCGTATGCCCACAAATCGTTTTCATTGGTCAATTACGAAGCAACAAATGCACAATGACACACACATCTTCCAACTAACTATTATCGGCATTAATCCACATTGATTCCATTGTACCCCATCATAACTAGTTAACCTCCATGGGGCCAGCATCTGGCCAAGCATCAATACCGTCCAATAGTACCAACCCCATTCCAGAAGACAAATGCGTCTCCATGTGACAATGCAAAAGGAATGCACCGGGGTTTTCAACATGATAGCGAATGGCGATCCAGGCTTCTCCGGCTGGAGACGTCACAAATGTATCACGGTAAATGGGCTTTTCAAGAAAGCTTTGTGGAGATTCTTTGGAAGCCTCTGCAAGGGAATTCCATGTAAACTTTCCTCGGTCGGCCCCCATCTGAAACGCTTTGTTGGAATGTTTGTGTATGGGATGAGGAGGCTGTAACTTTGTTGGCTCCGGAATCACGAGTTGAAATACAATATCCACCCAAGTGTCATTCTTAGTCTCGATTTTCAAAGCTGATTGCAGACCAGGTGCATTTGGGTCCAGTAAAGCGGGCTCCATTGCAGCGAGATTTGCAGGGAGAAATGTAGTCCCATCTAATGTCCACTCCCAGGACGAATTGAGACGTCCGAGCGAGAGAAGATGGAAATCATCGGCATCATCCGCTGGCAATATTGGTGGATATGGTGGAAGGTTGTTGGTATTGAGTGGGATCACAGAGGCCGTTGTGTTGATACCGCCATAGTCGATGTAAGGTACCGACTCATATGTGGTTTGTTCGCCACCCTCGTAGCCGAGAACTGCAAACCCGGAAATTATCTGGTTTCCATTACCAGCAACTCTCATTGTATAATTTGCGGGCTGTTTATCGAGTCTGACCATGGCTGAGTATCGTTCTCCGTTGTAAATCGGAACCTGATGAGCCAGTTGAGGTTCGATATAGTGGCCATCAACCTCGTATATGTACATCGGGTGCTCATCAATTGATACCGTGAGAGCTTTGAGGCTGGCGGCACTGATGAAGTTGAAGCTTGCCCATTTTTTGTCCGCATTTACCTGGATGGTAGAATTCGTGCCTTGGCTTGGGATGCATCCGGAGTTCAAATTCCCAGGAAGTTTTTCGGGATGATGATCCCAATCTCCTTGTAGAGTGGCCATGAAAGGATCGCATCTTTGTAATATAATTAGTAACATTCACCAAATTAATATTGATCACTTACCCTTTGTCAGTCAGAGGTTCGGTCACAACTGCCCGAATCTGTGGCGGCTGCAGGGCAGTAAGTTCTTCTGGGTCTTTGCAATAAACTGATCCTCCGCCATTGATAAGTACACTATCGGAGCAACTTAAAGAAATTTAAGTCAGCAGTCTCGTATGGATCATGAGAGAAGTAGAGCCTCACAAGATATCGTATCCGGTCTCCATTATAGCCTGCATGTATGCATCTGAAGTGAGATGGTCCCAGTCGGAGAGAATTACCAGGTTGGCATTTTGCTCTGCAAGCCTCATGGCTTCAACATCATCGGGATCATCAGATATCATGGCAAAGGGCGAATCGTTATCAGCCGGTGGCCTGGAGATAATGTTAGAATGGAGAAAAGGAGTTATAGTGAGATTTGGATCTGCCTCACAAAACTTGAATTGCACCATATAACCCATCCATAATTCGGTCTTTGTCGTGAGAATGGTACCAATAAGTTCCCTTCTGCGTAGCTGTCCACTGGTACGTGTATGTTTGACCGGGTTGTATAGCCCACTGCGATAATCCAGATACTCCATCGGCCCAGGGTGTTCCTTTCTGTCTGAACCTCAAATTAGCCAACTTTAGTCTTAAAGTATGACATATGATTTCTCACTCAATTCCATGGAAATGTAAAGATGTGTTGAACGGTAGATGATTGGTTACATCAATCTTCTGCGATTAGCAACATAACACAATTTGAGGTTTGGTTGGAACTCACAGTGACTACATCGCCCTGGTCCATGATCAACGACGGCCCGGGAAAAGCATCATTCACAAAAATCATGTCGCGCTCGACGCCATTGGGCGCACCCTTCTCCCATGTGAGATCCAAGGCAAAATTGACCTGGGCCGCTTGTGTCAAGGCCACAAGCTCTAGAATCGCGGGCAGTAACATTTTGGTAGGCGCCATGTCGTGCTAGGCAATATTCCTCTGAGCTTCTTTGATGCGATCGGCAAACTTTTTCAAAAAGTTGAAACGCGTGGCGGAGTCTCGAGATTTAATGTCGAGTTTGACCCCTACATACATGCCAAGTTGTGGACTGGCTTGCGCGTTAAGGTTCACATTCCTGTCGCTCCAAAGGGACCACAACAAAAACATGGCCAGGTGTCAAGACTTTCAGACCGAAACTCAAATGAGGAACAAAATATTGAGTTCAGTTATATGAGAATTGTATCTGATCAAGGCAAAACTAGACTTGTGCTGGTAATAGTACTAGGGGCCCTGGAGGCCGATGCCATACCTATTTACGTGGTTTTTAAAAGTGTACTGATATTACAGGACGACCTAGGTATGTTCAAGTTCTTGACATCCAAGTTATGATGTTCAGGGTCTATGCTTCCGCTGATGCTTGTGGTTGCTCAAATTCCTCGAATCAAATCAGCCGCCCGCTCAGCCACGGCATAGACAGTGGCCATGGGGTTGGCATGAGGCGTAAGAGGGAAAATGCTCGCATCAACAACGCGTAGATTTTGTGTACCATAAACCTTCAGATCTTGATCCACCACTCCCCCAGCAGAGCGAGGAAGCATCGCGAGAGTCCCACAGATATGATGGGTTGTCAATGCGTTTTCACGAATGCTGGCCTTTATTGACTCAATGTCATTAGGTACATCACCTAAGTCGAGGTATTGGCTAAGAGCCGGAGTATTAATCAAGTCGTACATATTCCGCACGTTTCGAGCTAAGAATTCGAGATCAAGCTCGTTGCTCAGGAAAGCTGCATCCGCAATAGGTGTCTCCGAGTCTTTAAACCGGTTGGTGCTCGCGTGCAAACTTCCCCGTGAAAATGGGTAACTGTTTATGACGCCCACAATGGCTAGTTCCGGAGAGGCGAGGGCGATGAAGGCACTGGCGGAGGCCTCGTTGGGATGCTGGATAATCGATCGTATTATTCTGTTGGGTCCATCCTCGGTTTCGGTATACGCAGCGAGAAGCTTATTTTGCTCATTTGAAGAGACTCTCATGAACCCCACCCCCCTTGAATCCAAGATTGGCCTCTTCGACTCCTGATTTGGCTTTGATAGGAACAGGTATGATTTTCATGAGGTGGTTTTGAAGATTCCGTCCCACGTTAGGCTGGTCGATCTTCACTGGAATGCCGAGGTTGCCCAACCACTTGCTGTCCCCTATACCGGAGTGCTCTAAGATCATGGGCGAACAAAAACCCCCGGCCGCCAGAATTACTTCTTCCTTTGCCTTTATAGTTATAATCTCCCCATTGTAATCGACGCGAACACCAGTCGCCAATATATCCGGAGATGAATAATCAAATAAGATCTCGTGCACTGTGGTCTCAGTGCAAATTCTCACATTCGGACGAGACGCGGCCACAGTGCCATACTGGCTGTCGGCACTACTGCGCTTGCCGGTTTTGGGATTGATGGTAGAGAACAATGGCCTGGTCCCAGTTGTTGTATTTTCGGCGAGAAGGTCGGCATTGTTGGTCTCGTATCCCTGGGACCTGAACGCATCGTCCCACGCTTGAGTAAGTCGCATTCCAACCTTATCCTCGACAATAGGGCAACTAATTTGGATTGGGCCAGCTGCTATATCGTGTTGCTGCTTATTGAAAGAGGGTAGTCCCTCCGGCGCGGTGACGGTATAGCATTTCTGGAGGTAAGGGCGTAGAGATTCCCATGTCCATTTATCATTTCCAAGCTTTGCCCAAGCATCGATACCCACTGGAGACGGAGGTACAAATGCTAGTCCGTTGATTGCCGATGAGCCCCCGAGTACTTTACCGGTCTGGTGATCTTGAATGCGATCGTTAAGGCCAGTCTGATATGTCAATATGTTTGATTCTCTTCTGGGTGTATGGGGATGGATTGCATACCTGAGGAATGAAACTGATTTTCCGATTCAATTCGGAGTCGGACAAACTATTCCAGGCATCGGGGTTTTGTATTCTTGGATCTTGCCTCCCATCGGGGCCGGCCTCTAAAACAGTGACATTGATATTCGGGTCCTCTGATAGTCGACAAGCAACGACTAATCCAGATGTTCCACCCCCGACCACAATATAGTCGGTTTCATGGGGTAAATTGGGAGAGGCCATCGTGGTGGAAGCGGTAACAGGGGATATCTAGAAATGAAGAAGAAAAGAAAACACAAAGGAGTCCCCGGCATAAGGTGACGATAAATTGATAGACGTAAGCGCGAAGCGTCAGACCACTTTCCCCGCTTCTCTTTATTTCGAAATGGGTACAATGGGGGGGCCTGAAATCATACTAATCACTAATTGCAAAGCTTGTCATATTGCGAAGAGTCATGATGGCCTAGGCAGATCAGAATCAAATGTATACTGTTGATCCTATTAGATAATACTTGATACAATACTATTGCGTGTCTAGAAAGGTATTTACAGTGATAAACTTCATATTTTAGTCGTCCAGAAGTTTTCTCCGCTTCAAATTGGTAGTTAGTCCGAGCGCACAGGCCAGTTATTTGTATCGCTGTATTAAGTTTAACAGTGCGACGTTGACCCACTATTACTTGCTGGTCCATCTATTCCAACGTTGTTTAGATATAACTAAAGCCACTGGCCAGGATGACTTGATTGACGAGGTACCAGGTCAGATTTTGGGTCAGGATGTTACAACTCGATTGGCCCTGAACTGACCATGGATGTAGTAGGATTCACCATGATGGATTTTCTAGGGACTGGCTTAGGATTTGAAGTATTCGGAGTAAAGTGAGGTTTCTTGTCACCTGTAGCTCTAGTACGATTACTAGCTAAACGGCTCAGATAAATAAAAAGCGAAATGTGTAACTTGAAATAAACATCCTGATGTTCCAAGGTTGCCAGTGGCATTTAACTATGGTTTATACTAGCACTAGCAGTACTACTCCATCTTGTGCAAAGCTTATCCCTCATGGGCATTGTACTAGTAAACAATGCATAGTGTCTACTGGGATTTGGTAGCATGGAGCCCTCCAAGGGGTTTTTAAATGTAATCTTCATGGTTCATTCTACTAGTATAGGTTTGTGTTGTGCCGAGCCAACGCGGCTCCGCAACTTCTCCGCAATCCGCGAGGCTTTTCTCCTTGAAATCTGCCCGCGGGTAGTTTCACCTCGCCTTGTCACTCTCACTCTCACTCTCACCCTCACTCCCCAACCCTGGAGGACAACAGTGCAAAAGCGAAGTCTCGGAAAATAAAAATTCCTAGATGACGGTTAAAGGGTCAAATGGGACTTTGCTCAGTCCATCGGAGCAGACTCCATTACTGCGCGAGGACCCCGCCAGCATTGGAGCGGGCGATCGTCAGGAACCGGTGGCCGACGAGCCCAGCACTCGCGAATTGATCGTGATTCTGGGCAGTATCTGGGTGGGAGTCTTCCTCGCAGCTCTTGGTAACTTGAAATACCCCACTTCTGACTCCCCTTGATATGCAAGAATATGCATGGACGGCTAACCATTCCACTCGGCAGATACGACGATCGTTGCGACGCTCTCGGGCCCCATTTCCTCCTCCTTCAACTCGTTCTCACTGCTCTCATGGCTAGCGACCTCCTATCTTATTTCAAACGCTGCTTGTCAACCTCTGAGCGGCCGTTTGACCGATATCTATTCGCGCCGCTGGGGGCTGGTCGTTTCCAATGTCTTCTTCGCTCTTGGAAACCTGATCTGTGGCCTGGCAAACGCACAATGGTCGATTATTCTTGGCCGTGTCGTCGCAGGTATGGGAGGCGGTGGCCTGCTGGTCATTTCAACCTTTGTCACCTCTGACTTGGTCCCTCTCCGCAAGCGAGGCGTCTGGCAGGGTATTGGGAACATTTGCTATGGCGCGGGAGGCGGATTGGGGGGGTGTCTTCGGGGGCTGGATCAATGATACACTGGGTTGGCGCTGGGCCTTTTTGCTTCAGGTCCCTTTCCTGGTTGTTTCGGGCATTTTGGTCGCGTGGAAAGTGAACATTCCCGTCAAGAATTCGGATAAATCTCGGATCAAACGTGTCGACTTCCTGGGCGCCATCACGCTTGTTCTGACGATGGTGACTCTACTTCTGGGGCTGAATACCGGAGGCAACCAATTGCCCTGGACGCACCCGTTGGTTCTCATGTCTTTCCCATTCTCCGCGATATTCCTCGGCCTTTTCATTTATATTGAGGCGCGAGTCGCGGCTGAGCCCATCATCCCCATTAGATTACTGCTCGACCGGACGGTCGCGTCGGCCTGTCTGACAAACTGGTTCACTACGATGGCAGTCTTTGGTTTACTCTTTTACCTGCCTCTCTACTTCCAGGTGCAAGGTATGTCAGCTACGGCGGCCGGGGTGCGCTTAATCCCCCAGGCGATCGGTACTTCCATTGGATCTCTTGCATGTGGCTTCATCATGCGTGCCAAGGGACGGTATATGATCCTGAATTATTTGGCCATGGCCCTATTGGTGGCTTCAGGTGGGCTGATCTGCACTTTGACATTGACCACGCCTGCATGGGTACCGTTTGTCTATTTCTTCATGATGGGGACGGCGTATGGCAGTATTCTGACCATCACTCTGGTGGCGCTGATCTCTGCCGTGGACCACGAGCACCATGCAGTGGTGACCTCCGCATCGTACGCTTTCCGCAGTACCGGAAGCACGATCGGCATCACGATTGCCTCGGCTGTGTTCCAGAACACGCTGAAGGCTGGGCTGTGGTCCCGCTTTGGAGGCCTCAAGCACGCAGCAGAGCGAATCGCCCGACTTCGCGACAGCCTAGATGAGATCCGTAAGCTTCCTGCCGATTGGATTCCGAGGGCCCTCGACATCTACATGATTTCTCTACGTAGTGTCTTTCTAGCTCTGCTTGGCCTGACGGTCTTGGGGGCATTGGCTAGCCTCGCGATGCGCGAGCACAAGCTGCATAATAACCTTTCTCGTCGTTGAGGGGGTCTTCAAGAGACTGGGGGAAAAAAGCATGAAATAAGTATAATTGTGTATACTGAGTGCATATAGATGTGAATCTCAATAAGAATCTAAATAAGAATCCAATCTGATAGTTCAATAGTGACCATCTTGACCGCCTGCCGGGACCGCTCCTGCGCCTGCGCCATGACTCGTACAACTCGCCGCCCGCCGCCCGCCTGTAGCCGCCCGATCTCGTGAAACCTGCATTTCTGTCTCTTCTGGTTGGCCAGGCCTTGCTGCACCTCCTCTGGATCTGCTCGATTTCTCCTCTCGACTTTGTCTGATTGTGCCCCAACCTGCTGCAGCTCAGCTCTCCCGTGGCGAGACCTGGCGACGCACTTCCCCTACAGCCAACACAGAATATCTACACCGCTCGGGGTCGAAAAAAAGTACACTGCATAGGTCACACCTGATTGAATCTAGTGGAGGGTTGGTGGATTCCTTAAGGGCTCGTTGTACCCACCGTTTCGATTGCCTGATCACCATTACCCCCGGGGCCGATTTGCAGTTGTCGGATAAGAACATAAGGCGCCAATTGACATCTGATCGACTCACGTTCTCGAGCTCTGCGCCTCTCTTTCTCTTTGATCTCGACCGCTTCTTCCTTTGAACCTACCGATATTTGCGATCCGTCATTCCCTCGCTCCCTCGTTCCTTCGACTTGACGATTTTGGTCTACGGCGATCGCTCTATACTGGCTCGGTTGCCGAACCCTACTCCGATCTTTCAACACCGACCCGACGGAACATTTTGAAATTACAGTGATAAGGGCAGTGACAGGACTAGCCTGAGCATCGGGCTCTCGGATAAATAGAGAAACGGTGCTATGGAGGCGGAGAGCGACAGCGATGGAACAGTGATAGGGAACAAAGAAGGATATCGAGTATGTCGTGAGGCAACGCCACCGCGTCAACGACGTCGGCGACTCCTCCTCTCAACCGACAGTGCCTTCGCCGATGCAGTCCTCCCGTCGCTTATTCAGAATTCCTACATTGAACTACGCTTGATCACCGACGAACCCTCAGCGCTGTTGACCGGAACCAACAAAATCCCTCATTACATGGACTCGGTGGATGGCCAGACCTTTGATAAGAAAACCGGGGCGCGGAAATGGCTCAAGGCGAAAACGGCTGAACTCTGCGAATGGGCGGACATGCTACTGGTTGCTCCCATTGACGCTGGCGCTCTGGGATCGATGCTAGCGGGGTTGACCAACACTTTGACCTTGGCGCTTCTGCGGGGGTGGGTGTCTTCAAAACCTGTCATTCTCATACCAGGCATGACAGTATCAGAATGGGATCACCCGTTAAGTACCCGCCAGCTGGAGGAGATCAAACGCTTCTGGTCGTGGATTCGCATCGTGCAGCCTGTGTTATGGAAGTCCAACGGACCCGAAGATTTGACACTACTTCCATGGCATGGATTGAATGATCTGCACGACATGCTCGAAACATGCTTAAGCTTGCCCCCGTGGGGCGCTTCCCTCAGTGGAGGGAATTCACTCACAGGAAATGGGACAGAGACGTCATCGTCATCGACATCGAACAAGACGTCCGATAGCAAGACTGCCTCCGCTCTCCGACACCTTCAAACACATTGGCCGAATCCAGAGGCAAAGGTACAATCTTTACCCCTCGAGATTTGGCTCATCATTTTTGAAGACCAATTACGTGATTGGGAAACGGCCAAGGCAGTTGGCATCCCAACAAATATCCCAGTCCCTCAAGAATGGCAAAGTCATTTGTTAAAAATGTCAACACCCGCTTCCCTCGAATACACTATCCTTCGCGGCTCGTTCGCGGCCATTACGAAGCGTATAGACGCTTTGCCGCGATGGAAGCCGGTATCCGATCTCGCTTGCCATCTCATCGTGAAATTCTCTCGAACCGACATCCTCTCTTATCTCACCGAAAAGCATCTCGATCTTCTCTGGACAACGTCTCGCCTAACCAACATCCCCTACCGAGCATCCGCAATTTACGGCAACCCGACTGTGTTGACGTGGTGGCGTGACGCTCCCGCTCTACCAAACAAGGAATACATGGCCGATGCGATGGACGGAGCTTCGCGCGCAGGATTTACTCACGTTTTGGACTGGTGGCTGGGTTCAGGACTTCCTTTGCGATATAGCGAACGGGCCCTCGAATCTGCCAGCGCTGAGGGCCAAGTTGCGGTTCTCGATTGGTGGAAAACAGCCTCAGCCCAATCTTCTCCATATAACCCTGTCCCTCTGAAAGTTGGCAAATCCGTCCTGCTAGCAGCACAGTCCGGACGAACCGAATCCTTAGCTTGGTGGGACGCCTCTGGGATCCCGTACAGCCACGCTGAGAACGTCGCCCGCATTGCTAGCACCCACGGCCATGTCCATGTTCTTGATTTCTGGTACCGATTAAAGGGGCCCAAAATGATATTTGACAACCAGGTCCTTGTCGGACCAACGAAGAATGGCCATGATCATGTTCTACAATGGTGGAAGGACTGCGGATTGCGGGTCGAGTTCAAGACTTGTGACATCGAGGAGGCTCTCGAGGACGCCGTATCTGGCACCGATGAGCGCGTTCGTCGCTGGTGGGAACGAAACGGCCTCAACTTAGGCCTCGGAACGCGAGAATGGATGAAGCCGAAGGTGCTTTGATTCTGCGTAACATCTATAATTTTCGGATTTGGGGTTTTCGGTGTTGGATCGGTTTGGGATGGAGTCTTGGACATGAGCATTTACACCTGTCGCGCCTATCGTTGCTGCTCACTACTTTTCTCTTTTGAGCGCCCTTCTTTACGAAACTATGACGATCATCTTGTAATAACCATATCAATTTCTTGTACATCAATGCCAATAAATGTGCTACAAAATGGAGCTCTAGCCATATAATATTCTAGGTAGTCTACGTGATAACCGGAGAATATTCTGCTACCAGATAGTATTGACCTGGGAGGGAATGCATCATTAAGAAACGAGTTGACCAGATATAGATTCATGCATAGATCCAACGCACGATGTACTATACTAACAGGTATTGAGTGCCTATTCTCAAAATGATTTCACCTTTTCCACCTTCATATGCTTAACTTCTGAACCCGTCAATAATTCTCGTATTTTCCCAAATTCTTTGAAACTTTCCGTCTTCGCGAAACTGAAGTGGTCCTCGACAGTATTCCACCCAGAGAACAGAATGAATTCCTCATCCTCGGCCACCTTATCAACCTTCCAACCCCGACCGCATGAGAACGGTTTCGTGTGCTTCTCTAGCGCGGGTGCACTTGTGGCGAGAACTCGATCGAACTCCGTCTTCCTGCTCTGCTCGACGAAACATCTAGTCAACGCGATAATAGGCGCGTTTAAGGGGATACTGGACCCGGATGGCTGATCAATATTAGCCTTGATTGGATTATCGTTTCTTCATTGATAAATCCTACATTCACGTTGTAGTGAAACATCCACTCCACCTCGACATCATTTTTCAGTTGTTCGAGGAACTTCTGGTTTGTCTCCGATGCAATCCACTCATTGTGTTTTGCGACCGATTCCCAGCCACCTAAAAGGTAAAGGAGACTTGGATCTTCGATTTGTCGCAAGAACGTAACTGGATAGCCAGAATATGCTGCTTGTGCGGCTTGAACTTCCGTTAATGCTTCGTTGGTTGTTGATGATGAATCGCTCTTGAGGCGGAGGAGAGCTAATTCAGTGACCGCCATATTGCGAAATTGAATGAAAGGCACAGTTGTCTGAAATTCTGGCAATGTCTTTTTTCCAGGGCGTTATGTATCGAATGCTTTTTAAATGCGACTCTCGGACTTAACGCCGCTCGCGAGTTTTTTGGGGCCGAGAGTTAATTCTCAGCGGACCCCGAACGATCACCCGGAGGGTCTCACTGGGACCATTTCCCTGAATTGGTAACCTTCATGGAAGTCTTGCATTTGAATCTCCCAAATGCTCGGTGTGCGCTACTGAATTCATGTTTACCCTCCGATTGATACTTTTCATCCTGTTTTCTACGCAAAGTTGAAAGTCGCTTTTCTCCCCTGGGGAACTTTCTCCCGATCTAGTTAGTCGATTCTGGTTTGCATGTGATATAAAGGTATTGGTTCCATATCAATAATTGCAGTTCATCCAGGTAACCATTCATCCACCCGTCTTGGTTGGTTTGTGCGCTGCAATATCGCGTGCGAGCCCCAACGTGGCAACAAGAACAGACAACGTTGAAAACATGATCTTTGTTCTCTAAAGAACAGGGCTTAACCCCGAGCAGACAATCAAAATATAACAAAAGAGACAGATACAGAAACAAAGACCCACTTCAATATAGAAAACGCTCCGTGAATTTCTCTTCTGGTAATGAAACGAAGAACTAAACGCTGGACCGGGAAAAAGGGAATACAATATGAGACATCACTACCAACTCAACTTTTTCTCTACCATTATCACCCGTTCTTATGCAGTCAGGATCAACCAATTTGAACAAAGTCAAAGAGGACACACTCCACTCACGATAGCAATGAGATATTGGAATATTCGAGTTGGGTACCCTAACTCATTGAACCGTTCACTTCGTGATTAAAAAATCCCTGATGTCAACCCATGGAATCAGCCTATCACTATTTAGGTATGATAAGTCGTTAGTTTAGGGTATGTCAGAGACTTTGGTCTTTCATTGTCTGATTGGCTTCGATATCAAAGAGATCCAAGAAAAGCTTGAGTGTTGAAAGGCACCGTTGCCCGTCTTTTGTTTTCCTCGTTTCTGCAAGCGGTTTTTTATGCCAAACTCGGAGCCCCGAAGATACTAGTACAGATTCAAGAAAATTCTCGAGATTTAATAGCGATTGATTTCTCTCCGGATTTATTATCGAATAATTGATACCAGACCGGCGAAACTTTCAGGATCGAAGTATTGAGTCTACCCTTGACTCTATTAAAGAAAATACATTCTCAAGATGGATGTACCTGCTGGGGCTGTGACAAACACCTTTATATGCCAGTCACATTGGAGCGCTCTGGAACTGGGCGGATATGGAGGGCACCAAGCACAGCGACAGGCTATCCTGCAGGAGCTTTTGAAGATACACTACAATATGGGAGAGCTTGACAAATTTTCTTTCAGGTTTAATATCAACAAAGAAAGATTGGAACTTTGGATTAGGAGTCTATGGTCTCGGCTATACCCTCATATTCCCAGGACCGTGAATCCCGAGCTGGCACGGAAGCGGCTGTGGGATCTCTACCTGGCCTATAAGCGTTCCTGGACCAGACTGGGGGTGAATATAGTACCAGCTGGCACACCTTATAGATCCCCAGCGGATGCCGAAGCTGACGAAGCTGCCGCCCAAGCCGCACCAGCCATTCAAGCTCAAGTTGAGGCTGGAGCTGCTCCAGGCCCCCCCCCTCACCTAGGCCTGCTTTTGTACCTTTACCTGTCGTAACTACTACAGCTCCGAGTCCTTTGATAAGACCTGGCTCCTTACCTGCGCCTGCATTTCTCTCGCCTGCCATTTCTTTCGCACCTGCACCCCCACGCCCAATTTCGCCTCTGGGTTTATTAAACACACCCATTGAACCACAACCCGCAACCTCACTACGAACATATCGCCAAGCACTCCAAGCATGGCCTAGAATTACACCCCGTCGGCCTCTTGCTTCTCCGAGAAAATCCAGTGAGCTTCGACAAGTATCGAGTCAATGGCCTCTTACTGCTCAATCCCAACTAAACGGGTTTCAAAGCCATCTATACAATGGTTATGCATACTTCACAGGTGGTGGTTGTCCGCTTACGCCAGAGAGATACGCATTTTTTGATACAGTAGAGAATATGTTAGTTGCAGAGTGGGAGAGATGGTTCAGTGATGTTGAGGATTACTTAAAAGAACAACACGAGCATGAGGAAGCATCGACATTCTGGAAAATAGCTCTGGAAAGTGGACAGGCCCATGATCGAGAATTTCGGGGTATGAATTTGGAACAGCATAATGACCAAAAGGTGACACTCGAGGGTGATCGAAGGACCTTTGAGCAATCAGAGGTAAAGCTAATTCGGATGTCGAACTTTTTGCTCCTGGAGGTTCGTAGGCAGATAACTGAACCACTGAGCGACGAGCAATGGCAGCATCAACGTGAATGGGAAGAATATGGATTTGATTTTGGCTCTAATACCACCCGCTATAATGCTATTATTCATACTATACATGCCCCATCTGGTCGGCCAGCTCCACCATTCCGTCTTGGTAAATTGGTCAGAGATGCAGAAGATCCCACGTCTTACAGTCATAACGGGATGTGGATCAATGGCATGCGTCTTCGAATCAATGGATTGAAAGACGGATTGACCACACAGGGCTGGCTTAAGCCAGGCCAAAGCATCTGGCTCAGTCCGAATCCTGTTACACAAGTAAATCTTTCTTTCTCATCAGGTGAATATCGGTTAGAAAACGACTTGGACCTTATGAACGCAGTGCAAACTGTTATGAGAGCCCGTTGGCCACAATTAGCAACGGCACGGCCCATCGAGGGCCGCCACATTATCGGAGACTGGGAGCCGGTGTTTACCCTCGTGATTCGTGATAACCCCCCTGAAGAGGAAATCAGGATAGAGGAATTTATGGCCGCGGCTTACCAAAGATCCAGGCGGGACTTGGAGGCAGCAGAACTTGCAGACAGTGTACAAGATTATTCGGCTAGACGGAATAACCTACTTTCTTCTGTCGGGGCACTTCTTTCGCCGAATCCGGGACATAGTACGTTTATTCAGGAAGCAACAGAACCCGGGCAACAGGAATTGGATTTCAGTGAATTTCTCAACGAACTTGCGGATGATAACGACGATGCGTCTCTTCTTGCGCTTACTGCGGGTCCTGTGCCGGGAATGGACCCCCCTACTGAGCATGCCATTACAGATCTGGCTCAGAACCTTGACCAGTCCGGAGCATCTGGGCTCCCTGAGCAATCATATGAGTACTAGGGGCGCAGAGGAAGGGAGTAACAGGGATCATCCACCTCGGAACGAAGGGAATAAGAAGCACTAGTCGTTGGTTTGAATCTTGTCATTTTTTGTTGCATGAGATTATTTGATTCCATTTTCTAAGTTCCATCAAAACAAATCATTTGCGAGTCTTTTTTCTTTTAGGGGGCTTTTATAAGCTCAGAATCAAAACTCACCCTTAGTAGATGCTACTAGTAGTATGAGAAACGGCCGAGATGCCTAGAAGATAATAAACTGTCAGTATTATATCGTCCTCTGAGTCTTGTAATATTTCGGTCAAAACCACCCCTTGGGGCATCCGATTTGACAACCGGTATCCCTTCAAGTTGTAGAATCTTATGAATAAGTGACCAACATGGTCGTATCATTGGGTATAGCGATGTTGGCTAAGAATGAATAGATACAGAACATCGAGCTATCAAAGGGACATCTATGGTCCAAAAGCTATATATCAAAATGCGTTTTATACCTCCTTCCTGTAAAGATGTTAGATCGGAATAGCAGACTGTGAAGAAGTAAAACTCACCAGGTATGACCAGCCTTCTCAACGCCAGGGGTCTTGATCGCATTGTGGTTTCCAAACGGGTTATCTTCGTCCTCCTCTTCAGACTCGCTTTCACTCTCACTCTCACTCTCAAGAACGTGTCGAGACGAAGAAGCCACAGGCCGTGGGGGTTTAGCGGGATTAACGCTCAAGCCATTAAAGCTTTCACCCATCTCGTCCTCAATCTCCGCTCTGGACCTCCAATTACCCGATAGAACATCATCATCACTATCACTGTCATAATCGTAACTCTTGTCCAAAACTTCGTAGGCCATCAATGCCTCCACGAGCTCCTCATTGGCGTGAATGAGACCGCCCAAGAACTCCTCGCTCTCGATATGCTGGATATAGCGTAGAATTTGGTGCCGGAGCTTCTTGCAGATCTCAAATCGGCTGATGCACTCGGCGTCCTCGCTAACACGGGTGGTTTCACGGTTAACCAGCTTGAGTGCATTCAGCAAATTTGTACTGGCCACCGAGGCCGAAGCGAGTGTCTGTAGAATCTCCGGGCGCTCTTTTTCCAAGTTGAAGTTCTTGCTAACCGACAACTTCTTGTCTTTCCTATCCTTCTTCGATTTCGACTTCTGCTTGGGGCTGCTCAGTGTCGTCGATGGTCCATTGCCCGCGGAGACAGATACTGTGTGACCCATTGGGGGCTCATTGTGGTTCGCCCCGTCACGAAGAACCTTGGCCTTGGCCTGTGTTGCTGGCTGTTTCCGTTTCGGAAGCTGCTTGTATAGGGCAGCGATCTTGGACATGCCTGCAGTGTCTTTATAAGTGACCGCCCATTGACCGAAGAGGACCTTGCATTTCTGCTTCACTAAGGGATCCGAGACCGAGTCTGTACCCGCGATTCGAAGACGTTCAAGGAGTGGCTCATCAGCAAACTCGCGGAGGAAGCGATCGCCGGCGTTCTGAATGAGAAAGTCGAGGATGGTCAGGGCTCGCAGTTGTCGGTGTAGGTTTCCGTATTTACTATCGAGTTCGAACATAAGTTAAGGAGGTCATCTATGTGTCGGCGAGCGCACCTACAGCTTCTTGCGCAGTGCCCGACTAGCTTCAGTCGGGCCACTCGCCTGGATGCGAACAACCTCGACTAGATCGACGATACCACTCCAGTCTTCCACCTCATATTGTTCGCTTGTCAAGACCTCTATTTGTACGGTCACGGCCGAGTAGGGTTTCTAGGGAAGAGCGCGAGGTCAGTGTGGAGTCACAAGACACCTTATCGCACGCCGAGGTCGGCTCACCGATGACTGAAACATGGCGAGCGCAGCTCAACGATACCCTCGAGGAGGGGTTTGATGGATGTAGAATCTGATATTTCCGAAAGAAGAGGTGTGTTTTTCGCTTTTGACTTTGGCTGCCTGGGCAGAATATCCCGCGTGCTCGTATCGAACCAAGAAAGACCGAAAGACCCCGCACTGCGCACAGGATCGGATTGAATGGGATGAATGGGAGTTGAATAGGTTGGGGGATCTGAACAAGAGGTAGCGCTAGTCTCAAGCGTGCTGGGGCCCTTTGAAGAGGTGGTATGTTTCAAAAGATGAAACTGGCCGGGGTGTTCGTGGTGTGATAAGGAGACAAGACGAGCAGACGGTGACGTCGGGGAAGATCCGCAGGGCGATCAACGGTGCAAAGAGGGGCACGGGGTGCAAAAAAGGGCAACGATCGATTCCCACAAATGCCGACCCGAATTATGGAAAAATGGTGAACTCGAAAGGGAGAATCTGAAGGTTCAAGTTAGGGAGGACGAGTAAGAGACCTTTGACAATGTTGACAATGGAAGTTCCCCAAAGTCCCCAAAAAGTCCCCCAAACCCCCCCGTGACAGTCGCGCCCCGATTAGGACTAGGGCGGGGTGTCTCAGTTTCCAGCGAGATCTAAAGTTACTTACTACATCGAGTCGTATCATTCATAGTTACGAGTATACACCTCCGGAGTATACATCTGAGTATTGAGTACTTGAGTTGAGTACTCTTGGTCTGCCGTAGAGCACTCGGTGAATCCACCAACAAGAGGGTTAGCCTCCACCGAATGAACCCCCCCGCGCATACGTGGACTGCTGCTGCTCTGCTCCACCGTCGTTTTGGCTCTCGCTCTCGCAGCCGTGGTCGTGCAGACCCGCTCCCCTCTTGCGCTTATCCCCTCCTTCTCTCTCTTCTCTTACTTCTCCTCCTTCTCCTCCTCCCCATCCCACCCCATCGCCATGTCTTACTCTCAAGAACGCTATATCGCCGAGCTCGCCGTCCAGCGGGCATCCATTCTCACCCAGAAGGTCTTCTTCGAGAAGGCCAAGGGTACCGTCTCCAAGGATGACAAGTCCCCCGTCACCATCGGCGACTTCGGCGCCCAGGCCCTGATCATCCAGGCCATTCGCAAGAACTTTCCCAACGACGAGATTGTTGCCGAGGAGGAGGCCAGCTCCTTGCGCGAGGACAAGGATCTGAGTGCCGAGATCTGGCGTCTGGTCAAGGACATCAAGCTGGATGATGAGGAGAGCAACAACCTACTCGGTGGCTCCCTGACCAGCGAGCAGAGCATGCTGGATATCATTGATGAGGGCAAGAGTGCCGGTGGTGGTCAGGGCCGTATCTGGGCTCTCGACCCCATTGACGGCACCAAGGGCTTCCTCCGTGGTGGTCAGTACGCTGTCTGCCTGGGTCTGATCGTTGACGGCGACGTCAAGGTCGGTGCCATTGGTACCCCCAACCTCCCCGTCGATGATGCCGCCACTATCGACGCCAACACCGGTGCCCAGCAAGGCCAGACCGCCGCCAATGGCGTCCTCTTCTCCGCCGTCCTGGGTGAGGGTGCCATCAGCCGCCCGCTGACCAGCGGTACCCTTGCCGCCAGCAAGCCCATCTCGATGCGCCCTGTCTCCGATATCGCTCAGGCTGTCTTCTGTGAGGGTGTCGAGGCTGCTCACTCCGCTCAGGGTGACAATGCCGCCGTTGCTGGTCTTCTCGGCATCACCGCCCCTAGCGTTCGTCTGGACTCGCAGGCCAAGTACTGCTCGATCGCCCGTGGTGCTGGTGACATCTACCTCCGTCTGCCCGTGAAGAAGGACTACCAGGAGAAGATCTGGGACCACGCTGCCGGTGACATTATCGTCCGTGAGGCTGGTGGCCAGGTTACTGACATCTACGGTTCCCGTTTGGACTTCAGCAAGGGCCGGACTCTCGCTGCCAACAAGGGTGTCGTTGCTGCTCCCAAGGCTCACCAGGCGCAGGTCATTGATGCCGTCAAGACTGTCCTGAAGCTGTAAGTGTCTTTCTAGCTTTATTTGTTACCATGTCTTTCCCCGGTTCCGTGGCTGAGCCATTGGGGACTTTTATTTTGTCTGGTTAGGGTCACGCTTGATGCGTCCAGAGTACATTTGTGATACCAATTGAAGGAAGAGATCAAAAACGAAGGCAGAGGAGGAAAAAGTACATATGTGATGGAGATAGAGTATAAGAATACAGGGAACCAAAATGCGATGTTCCAAAAATGAAAATGAAAAAGAACAAGCGCCCATAGACTATTTGATCTTCTTCGCCTTGAGCTTGATGGTCTCCCCGTTGACGAAGATACCCTTGCCCTTGTACGGCTCGGGTCGTCTCCACTCACGAATCTCAGCCGCAAACTGTGTCACCTTGCGCTTATCGACGCTCTCCAGAAGGATACGGGTAGGCTGGGGTGTGCTGGCCTGAACACCCTCGGGAATACCCAATTCAATGGGGTGGGAGAAGCCGACCTTCAGCGAAACGAACTGTTGTCCGGGGTAAGTCGCGGTGACGGTGGCGGCCTTGGGTTCGATGGTAGCCCTGTAACCGACACCGACAAGACTCAGGACACAAATGTGGCCTTCTGAGACACCGGTGATGTGGTTCTGAAGGAGTGCGCGGGTGGTGCCTGCAATTGGCCAATTGGCCATCATGTTAGACTCGGAAACCAACACGCTGCGAGAAATGGAAAACACCTACCCCACATAGCACGCTGGTGCGGGACTTCTCTATCCTCGATAGAGAGAGTGGCCTTCAAGGTCGCCTGGTCGTGGTTGACAGTCATGAAGGAGGGGATGTTGAGGATCATCTCGCCTGAATATCGCGTGGGTTAGCACTCCGGGGAGGGAAGTTGTTCATCTCTGGGACCCAAAACATACCCCTCGGTCCCTTGATCTGCGCGGCATGGGTGGGAACATCCTTTCCATGACCACGGTTCTGGCTCTTAGGCAGGTCAACAAGGGTGAATGACACCTCTGGGGGAACGGAGATGGCGGCGCCTCCGATTCGGGATTGCGCTGGGTTGGTGGTCGAGAAGCATTGCGCGCGCGACGGAGAGAAAGCGGGGGTAAGGAAGAGAGGTAATGAGCCGCGCTGGAATGGCTCTCGAAGAAGCTGCCGGGCGCAGCGTTGAGGTAGAAAAGACATGATATTTGGCGTGTTGGACAAAGCTCCGCTGCGGCGTCGATGATTTTGTCGGAGGATCCCAGCCCAATCGGGTTAGTCTGCACGTGATATGATACTGTTGCCTGAAGAGTCAGGCCAGTATATAACTATGACTAACTAGTTAACCACAGATGACATGTCAGTGGGACCCCCCCCTAGCCCTCAGTAGGACTACCAGCCTTATCTAGTTTACCTTACCTTTCAACTTTCTAGTACTTCTACCACGTATACAACGCGTGCAACACGTACTATTGTTTAGTACCCAAAATCTTGGTGATCAGGTAACTAGATAGCAATAACAACCTTCCCAGGAATGTATACTGTATCTAGGGATTGCTTATTTTTCAAAACGTTACGCTGTTGCTGGTAGTCCTAACGTAATTCCCGGTTGTGCCGTACACCCCATTGAAAATCGCGTCTTCCTACCAATACACTACCTTCAACCACCCATCATGCCACCAATTCGCTCTGAATCTTCGCAGAAATTAGCCCATCAGGAAGGCAAGATCCTGCTGGCCCTTGCTGATATTCAAAATGGCCGCGTCAAATCTATTCGCGCGGCAGCGAAGCTATACGAAATACCTCATACAACCTTAGCCGACCGCGCAAAAGGTGTTCTTGCACGCGTTGATTCTCGCCCATCTCGCCATAAATTGACCCAATTAGAAGAGGATTCGCTCACTGAATGGATACTCTCTATGGATTCACGTGGTACATCCCCTAGACCGGCTACTGTAGGAGAAATGGCTAATATTCTACTGGCTGCACGCGGTGACCACCCTCCGTCTACCGTTGGGAAGAATTAGCCATCGTCCTTTATTAAACGCCGTGATAAGCTTCGATCTCGCTTCTCTCGAAGATACGACTACCAAAGAGCCCTAAACGAAGATCCAAAATCAATTCAGCAGTGGTTTGCGACCGTACAAAGCGTTATTGACGAAAACGGTATACAATCAGAGGATATCTACAACTTTGATGAAACAGGCTTCGCAATGGGTCTTATATCTTCGCAGAAGGTAGTCACCCGCGCTGAATACTACAGTCGGAGATCTCTTCTACAACCAGAAAATCGTAAGTGGGTTACTGCGATCAAGACTATCTGTACAGATGGCTATTCACTACCGCTATGTATAATCTTCAAAGGCAAAGTAGCTATAGCAGGATAGTTTAACGATAACCTACCTAAAGAGTAGCGAATAGAAGTCTCTGATAATGGCTAGACTACCAATGAGATTAGCCTACGCTAGTTACAAAAGATCTTTATCCTATATACGAATTCACATATACGTAGGCGATTTCGACTACTGATTCTTAATGGCTATGGTAGCCATCTTATACCTCAATTCGACCAAATCTGTATGGAAAACAATATTATCCCACTTTGTATACCTGTACATTCATCTCATCTACTACAGCCACTAGAATATTTTGCACCATTAAAGAAGGCATACGGGCGTTTTGTGAGCGATCTTACCCGCCGAGGATATAACCATATCGACAAGCAAGATTTTCTAGTAGATTACCAGCACGTACGGCTAGAAGCGTTCCAATCAACCAATCCTACTATTAAAAACAGCTTTAAAGCTAGTGGTCTAGTACCATTAGATCCTGAGAAGGTTCTTTTAAAGCTGAATATCTCTCTACATACTCCGTCACCATAAGGCAGCCGACCAAACAGCAGATCTAGCCATTTTACACCAAAGACACCAAGGACAATCGTACAATTGCATAAGCAAACATCTTTGCTTAAGCAATTACTAAAGCAACGATCAAATAGCCCTCCTACGCCATCAAAGATCCTTCTAGATCAGATTATCAAGGGCCATATGATAGCGTTACATAACACTGCACTACTTACGGAGGATAACGTAAATCTGCGTATAGCCAATGAGAGGATAGCTAGAAAACGTAATCGGTCAACTAGGCAGATACCCTGCGAAGAGGGGTTAACTATTCAAGAAGCTATACAGCTAGTTGAGCAGCTAGACCAGCCAGTGGAAGGCAATAGGGTAGATTCACATACAGAGGTTGAATTGCCTAGTCAACCAATTAGGCCAGCACAGAGGGCACCACCTAGGTATAGTGGGTATTGGGAGATTGGCCATAAGATTAACCATTGTAAGAATCGTCATTCATAGTAAATTCAATGCGTTTTGGTGGAAATAATCAATTTTGAAATGTTCTACTGGGGGAAAGTGTACGGGACGACCGGGTGTACGGCGCAACCGGGAATTACGTTACTGAACGCGGGTGCTGACTAACAGTCCTACTGAGGGCTCGGGGGGGGGCCCACTGACATGTCATCTGTAGTTAACAAACCTTATTCAACTGTCTCATATCTTTTAATTTGAAGTGTTTAGCGAGAATAAATGTTATATGTAATATTATAAACCTACATAACCCATTACGACTCCTTAATTCATCACCAATACCTCCTCCGAGTCCTAGGTATATCATGATGCGTTGTACTAGTATCACGATGATCAAAGCTATATCATGCTAGGCATCAGCATGCGCCTCAATCTACTTAACAATTTTGACCAGATCAGACAATCCACGGATTTCTTTCTCTATTTTCCTCTTTAATTGATCTCTAGGGCTCTTCAAAGAAATCCCCACTGGAAGAAGCTAAGAGAAGGGGACTTGAAGTTGGAGGCACATGTTTCGATGTGGGAAGTGAACTCTCCCGGCCCGCAATCAGCAACCACCTCACCTTATCATCCTTCCATCCACCGTGATGGTCCTTGGAGTCTGATAGCTGGTCTAGAATTGGCTTTTAATCTCTCCAACACTCAATGACTCGATGATCCTGACACGATGAGCTGGCTCACTACTACTCGAACCTGGCTCCTGCTACTCATGATTGAGTTGGCATGGGCTTTTGCTGGTATTGATCGCATTGAGAAATCAGACAGTATGATGCCTGAAGAGATCGCTTCCATCTTCAATCAATCTGCTAATTACTTCAGGTAACCTCTCAGCCGAACCGATGAGCGCAGGCGACAACCGTGTGCTTCCTCACCTAGGATCCAAAGCTCAGCAGCACGATGCGATCTTCACCGAAGCAGTCCAGCTTCTCGATTCCATGAAATCCTCACCATCCTGCAATCGCGTGGCGGTAACCCGACTTGTCACATCGTGTCAATTCGCCGGGGGCAAAGATACAAGCGATTTGCAGACTTACGAATATGAGACCTTGGATCGCATTCGGTCCATGTACGCAGCCCGACTGGCAATATGCGAATTGAATGACGCCGGCGCCTCAGTTCCAGTTCCTTGCATTCCGGTGGCAGTTTCTCCACCCCACAAATCCAAATTTCGATTCTCGTTCACTACCAAGCCCCAGCCGCCTGATACTGGAATCGATCTCTTGCCCGATGACGTCCTGGGGAAGTGCCTGAAAGCCTTGGAGTCGCGACCTCAGTGGTGGACTTCATATAGCAACAACCGGCAGAATGCAATGGTTATATGCCAAGCGGCTCGAATTGAAGTGGAAAGAGAGGAACTGCTGGATCTTCATCGAGCCATTGTGAAGACCAGCTCGAAGCTACACGAGGGACTAGAAGCAGCGCTTCAAAACGCCGCTATGGAATCGTCTCGACACAATACCTTTCTAGAAGAGGTCAGGGGAATACAAGAGAGGCTCGCGGCCGACCTGGAGATTTCAGCGTCCGTTACTCAGAATGCACTCCATAGGCTACTTCAGGAGATTAGGTCTGGCTTGGACAGCATCGCTACTTCGGCTAGCTCGGTTATGAATAATCTTCGCGGAGAGGCGGGCACTCTGGCAAAGGTAGAATGGCCTACTTCTATTGTCCTAGAGATACTAAAACCAGGCAGGAACTTCGAGATACCTCAGCATCTGTCCGAAGCCTTCAAGACACTTTACATGAAGTGCAGGAAAACACAATTTCGCGGAGTCAGGAGGTGATTCGCATGCACGAGGAAGATGCTCTGGCTTACCGAGATGTGGCATCAGTATTGCACCATACGCTTGAATCAATCGTGGACACAGACATGGCACGCCTTTTTAAGCGAATGATGACATTCGATTCCTCGTTGGTATGTTTTTGAGAGAGCTGATGACTCCAGCTTAGGCTAATGCGTACTATTCTAGGAATGGCTCAATGGCCGGCTTGTCATGATTCTGGAACAGGAGAACAGAATGTCTCAGGTATTTATGTCTGACTTCGGGACTGGGTCTTGCTCTAACAATAATAGCGTCTACAAACCATGGAGACCTCCATGGAGCAGTCTTACAACAGGGCCCATGACCTACAACAAGCGCAACAGTCTCAGGCCAAATTGCTAGCCGCCCAGTTCAAGACACAAGATGAAATGCAATTCAAAGCACAGGTCTCTCAAGCTTTGTTGGACAAAGCTACTATATCAGCTGCCAACCTGCATTCAATGATCGATGATGCGACGATGAAATTCAAACGCACACCCGGGTTGCACTCTGGGGGTATTTCAGCATGGACAGTGTGCGCACTTCTTCTTATCCTTCTCGGTGCACAGAGCACCAGGATGGCAATCGGTCTTCTCTTTCTTATCTTTGGTAGGTCACTTCCAATCTCACTAACAGATGCGGCGTCGGCTAACGTTCGGGTCCAGGTCATATCATTGCGACCTTTTGCTTTCAGTTTTTCTAGTTATATTGTGGCTTCGATATTGCTATTTATGCCCACAGTAATTGGTCGTTACCCAAATATACTAGCAATATGATACCCTCTTATTTGGTTCGAGTACGCAATTTCATCTCCGTCTCCCCTTCCATCTCTATCTATGTATAGGAGCTTCCAAACAATGCAATCTCCACATTGCGATCGCTCTATCAAAGACCCCCAATCAAACTCGGGACAGCTGGCCGGTGGTCATTTAAGCGCCCGGACAGTGGACCCGACGCCAGATGACGGTGTTTCAACCCCTCCTTCAGATGAAGATGTGCAGCACCGCCACTGCAAGCTGTCAGGGCCAAGTCTCTTAGCGGGTCGGGCCCCAGATTTGGCCCGCATGAGCCAATGGTTAGCCCTCGCTGCACGGGTGACGTCTGGGTATCTCCCCAACGCCCCTGAATACCGAACCTTCAATAACCCCAATAAAGCTAAAGGAGAGAGGAGAGAGGGAAAAATAAATTACCTATCAAAATAGCAGACATTGCCGAGCGCCACGTCCATGTCACGTGTTCCGGAACCAGCAACGTGGGAAGGGAACGGAAGGAAGTGAGTTGCCGTCCTCCTCTTCTTCCCTCCTCCGATCTCCAAGAACTCCAAGCTACTAGTACGCTTCTACTACATTCCCACGCGGGTTATTCTACTCTTTACGTGACTATCATCATGCCTGGTGTTCGTAAGTGCACTCCATTACCGTTCAAATAATCGTCATCGCGACTCCCCCCCATAACGTCTATTTCCTCGAATGCTCTTTCTCTAACCCCACACTAGCTCCCGATGCCTTCGCCCAGGTGAAGAAGGGCCTCAAGAACATCTTCCGTCGCAAGAAGGAGAAGAAGACTGAACAGAGCTCGGATGCAAAGCCTACTGAGACTGCTGCCACTCCTGCTGCTGCCACCGAAGCAACCCCCGCTCAGCCTGCTGCTCCCACCGAGGGCACTGCCCCAGCTCCAACTCCAGCTCCAGATGCCGCCCTTGCTGCTACCCCGGCTGCCGCCCCTGAGGCTAAGCCTGAAGCTACTCCTGCTGCTCCCGCTGAAGCTGCGCCGGCTGAGACCAAGCCTGCGGCCGCTACTCCTGCCACTGGCACAGACAGCGCTGCCGGTAAGACCACAGTCCGCCTCTGCTAGTGACTTATCCTACACTGGCAATTCTATATTTCCATTGGCTGACTTGTAATCACTAGACCCTGCAACTGCCGCTCCTCAGGCCGAAGAACCTGCTGCTGCTGCTGCTGCGGTTCCCTCGCAGGATACTACCGAGACCGCCAAGCAAGGTGAGTGATGCTCCAATATTAGCATCCCCATTCCACGTCCTCCATACTAATCGATTACAGAGCCGGCCAAGTAAGCCAAATGGAATTCCAAATTGTTACGAGGAATTGTCGGATGGAACAGTGTGCTGAATGTGCCTCTGCGAAGTCTGTTTGTTTGTTTCTGCTTTCTCCTCTTGTTGGGCTATACACACCCGATAGCCATACAGAAGCATTGAGGTCTGTCAACGCTCATACCTGTTTAGTTAGTTACATAATACCCACTAATGTCGAGGTCTTGGTTACCTCTTAATTGCATTCTTTATTTTGAAAAATATCCAGACATGGTGGCAACAAGCGTAGTAATCGTAGGGTATCATTTTTTTTACTTCCGGCTAGGTAAATCGATCTATATAAACCTTGGAACAGACTACTCCTCGCCACTAGAAGATCCATCTCCATCAGCCATAGCAACATCTCCACCAACAGTTTCACCCGCTTTCGCAGCTTTCTCCTCACGGGCCTTTTGTCGCCGTTTGATCTTGCGTTCACGGTTCTTGCGGGTCCGCTTATCTGCCTCGTTCTCCTTCGCAACCTCAGCCGCCTTGACTTTCTTGCGAAGCTGAACACGACGCTTTTTGCCTGGCTTCTTTCTGGTCTTGGGTGACTTGGTCGGCGGAGCACCCTCGACCACGTATACGGGCACAGTTTTGTGTGCTGACGGCACTTTTGTTTGATGGCGCTTGAGACGGATCACTCGCCATGATAGATCACAACCTGGCTAAAAAATCATTTTAGTTTTTCTTCTTCATATTTCTGCCAGGTTGATGGGACCGATTTATCCTCCAGTGAAAGAAGCACTTACCCACGGTTGAGCCTTGGCCCATGATGTTATGTGGTCGCCGGTCACGGCTGTGTCCTCATACTGGCGTCGCTTCTCTGACAGCTGTGCCTCAACATCCGACTCATCTTTCAAACCATAGAGTGTGGGGTCGGTGAAATAGTATTGCCATCCGCGGAAGGCCTTGACGAATCTACCATCCTCTGGTCTCGCAGATATGGGGGTTGGAGACCGCAATCGAATGCGCAGTTTCTGTGTTCCTTCATTCCCAGCCTCTTTCTCTTTGGAAGAGCTCTTCTGCCTTGTAGATGATTCTTCTTCGGGTGCTTTCTCGGTCGTTTCTTTGGATTTGACGGGCGCACTGAACAGTCGGAATTCGAACTCTTGCTCGTCGTCCTCATTATCGACCGCGGGTTGTTGGTCCTCTTCCTCCTTTTGACTAGTATCCAGGCCAAGAATGCTGTCTAGGTTCAGCAACTTCCCGAGGCGGTCGTGTGCATCTTGGAGCTCGGCTTCGTCGGCGGGGATGGGGAGCGTGATGACGCTGGTGATTGAACCTCGTCACGGCGGACGCTGGAGGAGAAAGGTCAGTTCGTTGATCAATTGTACCTTGCCATTTATTTGAGAGCCGCCTACCGTTTTGCTGTGGGAAGGTCGAACATGGTGTGCTGTCCCGTCGAGAGCAACGTCGATGGGTGATATAATGAGACGAAAAAACTGCTGGACGGTGAGTGGCCCAGGGTGGTGATTGGATAATTTCCACGCTGCGGCCACGCACTTTGGTTATCAATGACATCGCACGGACGCCCAGCCTCACCTGATGGCCTGCGCCCGATCCGATACATCCAGCATTTTTTCCCCCTCTGCGCCATTTTCCTCGAGTCTCAGTTCACGCTTCTGCATCCCCCGCACTCCTTACCCTGCACGCCTTTAATCGCTCGACTTCTATACTCATCTCCACCGCAGCCCCTAGAGCGAGCGCGGTGGAACCGCCCACTGCATCGATAATTGGGGTTGTTTAATGCCTCGTGGACCACCGCACCGTGCGCCTCGTCCGATCTGACTTCGACCTCGACCGTTATAAATGGGTGTCTGCGCCTCTTGTCTTGGCGGTGCTCGCCAGGAGTCTCCAGAAGTGAGTACCGTTGTGAAGGCGTTCGGTGAAGGATTGGATTTTCAGGCACCATGTTCAATGCGCATTACCTCGGTCTAATGCGCGATACATGGAACGCCCTCAAGAAAGAAAATCGTTCTAACGTTCCCTATCTACAGCCGGAGTCTTCACGTCTATTAGACGATGACCCTTATCAAGCGGGTTATGGCTATGGGGCCCTCAATCACGCCCAACAAGCAAACCAGCCGGATCCGGAGTACGTGAGGCGGGAAAGGGAAGCACTGGATGCTATCTGTCAACGAACTTCAGAGTAAGCTGGCCTATTTGAAGGAACAGCCTATCCAATGGCTCGTCTTTGGGAATATTGAAGAACGTATGTCGCTAATACTTCCGGTCTCCAGCTCCGTCATCGATATCTGGTCGCTCCAGCCACAACCCCATCTCCAACCCCAAGCGACTCTTCACACCTCAGCCTCAGCGTCGCCTTCTCCTAACCCGGATGAATCGCATCTTACAGTTACCTCGGATCATGGTTCCCACACAAGTCGCCCAACATCCGAGGGCACCGTCCCCAAGCACTGGGGCGAAGTCGTCGTCAACCCCAAGCGATCCCGATCGGATATCAAAGCTGAGGCGAATGGGGCCCGAGATGTCTTCGGGGTCTTGAAGGTCAACTAAGTCGCAAATCAAGACTAGTACTATTTTTGTTGGAACAAATCCAACATTTTTGCCACGCCGACAATGATACACGCTTTAAAAAAGGCGTGGAATGAGCGGATAATAACCCGTGAGCCCCCTGAAGAAACGGGGCAAGGAAATACTCTGCACAAGACTTCCAAGGTCTACCACCCTTGTATGTTGTAACTCTGTTCGTTCAGGGTTTACTTTCTGTTTGATGTTGCATGGATCGCCGGTCGACTGTTTCGCACATACATATCCACTCACTTATTTCTCCTTGATCTGATAATACCCACAGTTCAGGATTTCCATCGTCAAATTTCTCGTGTTGTCCCTTTTCTTTCGTTTTTGAATCTTCCGTTTTCGTTGGGCATCGATAATTCTCTACTGCAAATTTTGATGGGGGTCTAGCAATTGGCAACCTTGTGTTATGATATTCGTTTACATCCATCCGATGGTTCTTCACTTTGTGATTATTCTTAGAGACTAGAGCAAATGAAACAATTAACAACCAAATCTCCACCTAGTAGTAGTAGAACAACGGCCTTTCCAGGATTTGGTACCCATTATCTTCGGTTGACCACTCTGCTAGATTTTACTAGTAGTAGAATGTTGGAGATCCGTCACTTCAAGTTCGGTGAATGGTCACGGTACTAGTATATATAATGTAGCTTTGGTAAACTGAAGTGAATGCCTGTACTATTAGTAATAGTATTTGAACAAAAGTACTCAAGACTTGAGTAAAATCCATCCGGCCCTATTACTACTGCGAGCGGTAGAATTCTGGTCTACTATACTGCGACTACAACTGCAAGTGTTTACTAGTAGTAGTAGTAGTACCGTCAAGGAGTGGCTCACTGTGCCAAGCCCTGGAGTTATGGGTGAAAATGCATCCGTTTCTGGTTCAAGTTTCGCAAGTGGCCATTTTTGGTCTCGATTTAGGTCCTCGTATTCCTGGTTATAATTTTCATTATAGGAACTTGAACTGCTCTTTGTCAAGCAAGAAGAGCTGCGACTTCGATATACGATTGAAGAAAACTTAGGTATTTATCAGGAGCCAGAGAAACGCGACGAGCCTCGTACTTGGGAGACTCGACAGCGCATTTAATATCCGCAGATCAGGAAATATTGACCGATATATTGCGTGACTACAGTTAGTTGGTCCATACCTAGGACTTGGTTGTATCTTATGGGGAGAGCATAGGAAGGGGGAAGGCTGCAGAGAATTCGGCATGGACGACATCAACATCCCGAGGTCAACACGCGACGCGTCAAAAGTGAAGTGAGCGCTATCAACATTTCCGTGCGGGTTGATACCACGATACTCCATTATCAGCTTAGTTTTGAGGAAGTATATTCATTTTTACAGAGCAGGTGTACAACTAAAGACTCTTCTCCAAACCTGAGCCATTGGCCCAAGGATTGATGAAAAGATATTTTGATCCAACAAGTGGAAAGTGCCAAAGAATGCGCCTGTCAATGACCCGAAGGCCGTTGAACAAACTGTTCCGCCGCGCTGTGCAATGCAGGGACCAATCTGTGGTGGGCCGCCTTCATGAGCGCAGCCACCCAAACAAGGTAAGTATGAAGAAGAAAGAAAAGAGGAGGAAGACCGCGGCCGGCGGGCTGCTTAAATACCCTCAGGTCACATGCCAAGTGCTTAGCGAGAGGCAGGGGCCTTGGTCATGTGATCTCCACCTCTGGCATAGGGTCACATGACCCTCCACTGGCACTGTGAGCTGTCATCCCGTACGAGTACCATTCTGGATTATGGGGGGGAAGGACAGATACGAGCTTGGATAGTGTCTGTGCCTTGCATCCTGAAATCTATAGATTCGGCCGATCAGATCCACGTGTGGCATGAAGGATTCTTGGGATGAGTGTTGAAATTTCAATAATTGGGCCTCCTTGTTTACCCGTCCCAAGTGGACTCTGTGCAAGCTCGTGTGGAGCCTCCCCTATTATTTTCCATGGATGGGTACCAACTCTGTTCAGTGGCCCTCGCGAGCAATCCATGGTCTGACTCCAACTCCGACACGTTTTTTTTTATAAAATTTTATTCCCCCCTCCCCCCCTTTTATAGTTTCCTGCGTGCCTTTGTGCATTTCGCCGATACATATGGGCCGCTCGTCGGACTGATATACCACTCGCAGAATAGTCTTCTCCATATCTTGTTCAATTGAATCCACCGCGGTCTCACGTAACGATGGTGCGCGCATCTTCATTAAAGTGTGCCATGGTTAAGAGGAGGCTCGATAACCGGTCTAGTAGACGCTAGAAGGGACGGAGGACCTCGGAGGAGAGCTTAGACGGGGAGAGGGTTTCGATCAGGAAGAGTATTGGGAGCCCCCCTAGAGCACACCGCAAGAACAAATTCTTTTCTGGTATCCGTGTTTTTTGCGCTTGGCAAGCGATTCCGTCGCATTGAGGACGGGATCTTCGCGCCAGGATACGATCCATCCGGTTCTCCATCCACGGATGGGTCCTACGGGATTACTCTACATCGGTGGTCCTGCGGACATCTCCGCTCTACAGATGTGGATGGAGTAGGGTAAACAAGTACGGAGTACATCTATACATACATGATGTATGTATGTACGCATATTCCGTAACAGGCCACCATTTGAAGCGCAATGACAATTGGATAAGCACCCTGGTGAGTCGCATGGTAGCTGCAGTACCAGAAAACCTGACAGCGAAACCGCCCGCCGAAGAGATCGACGGGGGCACTGGCCATTCATCGACCTCAGTCCCGGCGTCGGCAACTCGTGACTTGGAGACCGCGACAGCACGAAAGAGGCAGGATTGGCAAATCCGAAGTCTTGGCCGCAACGGGTACTAGAAAAGGGGCAGACCGACGAAGCAATTGGACGGCAGGGCACGAAGTGGATCGGTCGTGTGGGCTATCATTACTGGAAAAGTTTCGGTTGCAGTCTGGCTCTGGTAGGGCCGTCTCCTGATCGACCTGATAGTGTGTGAGTCAGATAACCCAAACTGCAGAATGTGGTTAAACAAACGAAAATCGATGGAACAGTTCTGCGACAAGAACTGAACCATGGGAAAGGCACGAAACAAAGGGAATAGCTGGGCGCTAGATGAAGCATAGGTCGTATAGGAGTAGGGCTGGCCAGCCACCGATGAGAGATGGCTTAAGACACGGGACCACCAAGTGGGGCGCAACCGTACTTTGAGCGTTAGCCCGAACATCTAGAAGAAAATGGTCCAGCAGCCGCCCTCAGAGGGAGAAAAAGGGGGCCGTTAATTAGGGGCAATTTCGGATTATTACTACTTGTTTACTTCTTACGGATAGTATTGACAGTGGGGTTTGATTTACAGTACGGTCGATGTAAACAATCATTACCGATTTGGAGGGTAAGGTACCTTAGGGTTGTGGACGAGATAAGACTCGGTCGAGTTGCATGGTGATCACAGTCGAGTAAAGGGATACAATGGACGGAGTACGAAGTACTTGTACAAGTACGTGAAATACTTACACCCCTCCTCGTATCACGTCAAAAAAGGAACTCTTGGTGCAGATGGTGTCAGGACAGTGCAAAAGGATAGGACCGTTAGAGAAGTGCATCATGGGATCCTGGGCGCGATATCGTGGGCGCCAATGCGAGCTGATCCATGATACGTCCCCGATAGGGCACGACATGGGGTGATGACGTGCACGAAAGAAGAAGGGGGGGTTGTGCAACTGGCGTTGGTTGGCCACGAGGGTTCGCACGCCACTGGGATAGCGGCTGGTCATGGGGTTGATGGATTAGACCTTTGTTGCAAAAAAGAGTCGACATCGTGACAAGAGGCAGAGATTTGAGTTGAACCGCCCAGTAGAATGCGGGCAGTCCAGTATCCCAGTTCCATCAAGGCTGGATCAGCGCTTTGAGAACGAATCCGAAAGGCGGGCGAGCTCATCCTGGGCTGATCAGCATGCAGAATGAGAAAGGCAACCCCGCTGGACCAGGGTTGGAACTGGCCCAGCACCTCGGACAAGATCCATCATTTTGCCTCTCCCTCCTGCTCCCCTCGTTGAAGATTCGAGGGGTATGATGCCTTGCGGGAAGGATGTACATAGCAGGTACATATCAGTTGACGGTATCGAAGTCTGTAACATGATGCTCGCAAGTATGTACGGGTATTAACGTCAGTCAACCCCCTGGAACTGTGCAACTTCAAATTAGGAGGAGCAGAGAACCAACGGGTGGTCCATACTTCAATCGCCCCGGTGATCCAGGCCGAAAGTATACTTGGGTACTTCTCGTAGGTACTCCGGTATCATGATGTGTGGAAAGGGCAAGTTACAGAAAAATTACAAGGTACAGATTACAGAGAACAATAACAATAACAACTAATCAATTTCAGGAAATTCCAGAAAATTAGGGGGAAGGAAATAGTAAAAATCAAAAAATCAAAAATCTCTAATTCTCATTCGAGGGCAACAAAGCCCGTTAATTTGCACGGGAGAGGACCCGACCTGCACGGGCAAATTAGGGGGAAAGAGTGTTCAATGCATGGCCGATCGCTGAAGCTCGGTGGTGTGATGCCGGGGCCCCCTACCCTATGAGTTTGTACTCTGTAGCGTTACTCGTACTGTACTGGGTTTGCGGTCCCTCCAATAGGGAGCAGGGATAAAGAGTATACTCTGGACTCCTGTGAATATACGGAGTAAGTCAACTCAAAAACAGTATACAGTATTTTATAAGTATACAAGTATACAAGTACCCAGGTACCCAACTCGTACAGTGTATCCCCTGTTACCTAACTAAGCGCCAGGGACCCACTGGTCTGGGCTCCCTGCAGCTCCTTTCCCCTTTGGTTGCTCCCCTCCCCCCCCCGTCGCTCTTTTTTTTTGCCCTTTCCTCCCTTTTTCTTCCTCTTCTTCTTCTTTTCCTTCTTCCAAAGCAGAATACCCCCCCCCTTTCCTACGTCGTTGTGATACCCGAGCTCTTTTGTAGCTCTTATTTCTTTGCTTTCAAGATACCCTGATACCCCAAACTCGCCGTTTCTTCGAAGCTCTGCTTCTTTAATCGATACCCCCAACCACTTCGGTTTAATACTTTTTTAATCATGTCTGACGTCCAGAAGCCTGTCGAGGAGACCCCCGCGGTCGTCCCCGCTGTTGAGACTCCCGCCGTTGAGGCTGCTGTCGAGACTCCTAAGGAGACCACCGAGGAGACTCCTGCTGCTGCTGCTGCTCCCGTTGAGGAGACTGCCGCCGCTGAGACCACCGAGGCTGCTGAGCCCGCTAAGGAGGAGGCCAAGGAGGAGATTAAGCCTGCTACTGAGGGTACCCTCGGCCACAAGGCCCCCGGTCTCGTCAAGTAAGCTCCCGAATTCTTTGTTTACTTTGCGACAACGCGCGCATCGAGCTTGCGACTGACTTTTTTTTTCTTTGCACAGGGGCTTCCGCTTCTCCAAGCGTTTCTTCTACTTCACCGAGGAGGCCACTGAGGCCAAGAACCTGGCCGTTTTCCAACAGAACGAGAAGGCCGCCGTCGCCAACCCCATTGTCGCCTGGGCCACCCAGACCGGCAAGGGTCTCCTGTTCTTCACCAAGCGCGCCGAGGACAAGGCCACCCCCGCCGGTATCTTCAGCCTCGCCGAGGTCACCGATATTACCAAGGAGAGCTCCAACGAGTTCATTTTCAAGGTTGCCGGCCAGAAGCACACCTTCCAGGCCTCCAGCGCCGCTGAGCGCGACAGCTGGGTCCTTGCTCTCGAGTCCAAGGCTACTGAGGCCAAGGCCGAGAAGGAGACCATCACCTCCAGCGAGGGCTTCAAGGCTGAGCTTGAGAAGCTGACCAAGCCCGCCGTCGTCGTCGCTGCCCCCAAGAAGCCCGTTGAGGAGAAGAAGGAGGAAGCCACCGAGGAGACCCTGGCTGAGGAGACCAAGCCCGCCGAGGAGAAGAAGGAAGAGAAGAAGGAGGAGAAGGCCGCCACCAAGAGCCGCTCCCAGTCTCGCAAGCGCTCCAGCATCTTCGGCTCCCTCCTGGGAAAGAAGGAGGAGGCCCCCGTTAAGGAGGAGGTCAAGGCCGAGGAGACCAAGGAGGAGACTGCTGAGGAGACCAAGGCCGCTGAGCCCGTCGCCGAGTCTGCTGTTGAGCCCACTGCTGAGGTCGTGGTCGTCGCTGAGCCTGCCGCTGCTGCCACTGAGACCACTGAGGCCGCCCCTGAGGTCCCTGCTAAGGACGAGGCCAAGCCCGAGGAGACCAAGCCCGCTGAGGAGAAGAAGGAGGAGAAGAAGGCCAAGCGCGCTTCCATCTTCGGCAGCCTGTTCAACAAGGTCTCTTCCCCTTCCCAGGAGAAGTCCGAGAAGGAGGCCACCGCCACCCCCGCTGAGGAGACCGCTGTTGCCAGCACTGCTCCCCAGCTAGAGAACCCTGTCGAGGAGGCCGCTGTCAAGCCCATTGAGCCCGAGACCGTGACTGCCCCCGCTGAGGCTGAGGCTGCTAAGGATGCCGCTGCTGCCCCCGAGACTCCCGTCGAGGCTGCCACCACTCCCAAGGACAAGCGCCGCACTTCTTTCTTCGGTGCCTTCGGTAAGAAGGAGAAGAAGACTGATACCTCCGACAACGAGGTCACCGATGGTGAGACCAAGGAGGCCAAGAAGGAGAAGTCCAACAAGCTCGGCGGCCTGTTCCGCAAGCCCAGCAAGGCTGTGAAGCTTGACAAGGAGACTCCCGCTGCCGAGGCCGAGACCAAGCCTGAGGAGACCAAGGAGGCCACCGAGGAGACCCCTGCTGCTGTTACTGAGGAGACTCCCGCTACCACCGAGGTTACCCAGGCCGTTGAGCCCGCCACTGAGGAGGCCAAGAATGTCAACGTTCCTGCCGCTACCCCCGTCCAGGCTGCTGCTTGAATTGCGTCCTCGCGACACATCGAGTTTGAGCGATGGTGGGACATGACCTCTTCATCGCCAGCTCATAATCGTCCCGATGGGCTCGGCCATGCCGCGTCCTGAAGGTGCAAATACGGCTTTATACCAATTGTCTTTACAGTTCTTTGTTCAGTACTTTTTTTTGTTCCTCGCCACTGTCATCCTTCCTATTGGCATTGTCTTACTGTCTTGTGAGCTTGTTGTCTGAAGGTTGTCAATGAGATACCCGCTGTCGCCGTTTTATTTTTCGTTCAATTTCCGTATACCAAAAAAGCCCCTCAATAATCCGCCTCGGCGCCTCGACGGATGCCGTTCATTCCTTTTTACGACCTGCGTCCCGCAATCGAATTTCGATTTACGACTTGTTGACGCGTTACGTGGTGCGTCGCCCGACTAGATTGATACCACTCTGCCTTTGTCTGGATCTGTGCGTTCTGATATTCGTGCTCGATACCCTATGGGGAGGAAAGGTTGCTGTGATTTTTGCGAGGGTTTCAGGATCTCCGGTTTATCGCTGGTGTCTTTATGCTATTCCTCCAAATTGCTTGCGCCTGGACTTGTTGTCTAGCGATGTTCCCGGCTTCCGGGGTTTATTTTACATACTTCGGGATGTGGGCACATATTGCGATAGGTAATAATTAATAGAATCTACTTTGCTTTCAAATACTGCTCTCTATTAATCTAGAAGTAAATCTCGTAGTTACTAGTAGCTTATCTGGTTGATCGGTGAACGATGGGTCAAGCTGCGTCGAGTGGATCTGAGCCGCTGCAAAGCATTATGCACGACACAGTCTCCATCAGGATGCGCTGGGTAATTAACTATGGGGTACTAGTCATGTATGTACATCATCCCATCAACGGCGCAGTCTCCACTTCCCGCTGGGCATCCTACGTAAGAAAAACAGTAACATGCATTCTAAGCCAGTCCCCCAATACCAATGTCGCCGGGTAAGACGGATCGCCAAGATAAAAAAGCATCCGCACATAGCCATCAGTATCACCCGCTCGGAGCCTATATCTAGACTTGCTGCGTTTTTGCGCAAGAAGCCTATCGCCTGGCTTATTTCCTGGACCTGCTATTTGACTTCGATGGCGGGGACGAGCGTATAGTTTAGATCGAGAGACGAAGTAGACATCGTGTATCTTCCCCATGTACTTCCTGGATGACTTTCCCTTCTCTTTACCATGAACAGGTCCCTCACACAAGATTTCGGGATATTTTACTATAGCCACAAATATTCATTGTAAACTAAGGTACGTAATTGAAAGAATTATGTCGTGTACTTGAATCCCTTATTCTCCCTATCCGTCAGATCCAACCAGTCTTGATCAGCAGCCATCCGACTCTCAATCGCCTCTGCGCGCTTCTTGTTGTCGGAATGACAGATTATCCCATAAGATGTAATAGCGAACATTGCAATAATATAGCAAACAATCATTGCCACAGTTCCACCGGTGTATTCAGGGGCTTGATCAGCACGGAAGGTTTGGGGTCCTATGATGTTTCCAGTGGCCCAAGCGATGTAGAACCATGCATATAGAACGATCCTATTTCTTGATCAGCAAATACTCACTTCCAGATGAGGAAACGGTCTTACTTCTTCGTATGACCAGCAATATTAGCCTGATAAACCGAAACTAGAGTGATATATGGGGCCCAATATGTGCTTGAAGAACTTGGTTAGCAAGATTAATATTTGAAGACTGGTCTTGACGTACTATAAAATACTGTAGATTATTAGTCGTCAGCAAAAAGGAATATACTATTAAACATCGACATCAGGTAAACTTACTATAGCCCAACTAGCTGACCTGGAAGGTTCGTTCGGGGCAGAGCATAGCATAGCACAGCGCCGAAAAGCGGGAGCAAAATGGAGACTGTCACAATAATTGTGCGATACCGTCTTGAGGTCACTGCTAAATATGATAAACCTATTCCAGACAAAGTACTCATGGCACCGGGAGGCATAGCAAGAAGCGAGGTCTGAAAAGAACCGAAACCGGGCACACACAATCAAAGGGAACCATATCTTTGAGCCAACTCTTCGGAGCATGATATTTGATACCGGTTCAAACAGTCCGTAGGTGAAGAAAAAGTACATAAGAGCAAGGTTGAATTGAGTACCATTTATACCAATGTTCTCCAAAAGACCGAATAGCTATGCTCAGAGATCAGTATTATTGATTTGGCTGGAAGAATAATCATCTTGCTTACCTTCGCATTTCCTGCATTGGATTTATCGAGCGAACACATGAAGTATAGAAAGCTCAGTGTCGGAAGTAGGCGTAGATCCACTGTGTTAAAGTACAATAAGCTTCAAGAATAAGATCCATCTTGATGAATGACTGGGGCATCAGTAGCTGCAAATTGTTTTTGACTGACTCTCAGCTACTGGACGTCATGTTTGTAGCTAGAAAGAACTCGATTACCACAGTGAGTTCCTTTCTCGTGATTTATGAACGGCCACTAATTTGTTGTAGATGATCCATGCCGAGAATGGCGATATGATCGAATGGTTGACAGGTAGTGTCGAAACCGTGCTGATTTGAATCAAGGCTAATTAAAGTCAAGACAAACTCGAGGAAAAGGGCATGGTTGGTAAGTTGTTTCTAACTCCAGTAAAGATGGCAGCCCCTTTTTACCATGCTTTGTTGCGCCCGCCAATTGTCGAGGGAGAAGCCACAAATCGAGCAATCGCTTTAGCTCAGCTGATTCAAAGCCCGATTCTCTTCGTTCATGTTGGATCAGTGGTGCGAACAGCGCTTTCCATTTGAAGTTCATTGCTAATTCCAGTAGCTTGGGGCAGCTAATGTCCGTCGGGCACAAACCATGGGATTACCGATTTATGCGTGCCCCCAATATTTCCATTTGACTTGGGATGATCTGGTAAGTGTATCTATATATACGAGAAATTTAAATACAGACTCTAACACCTAGGTATATGGTTAGAAACGCTTCCACTCTCCCACTTGCTTCGAGAACAGCAAAATGATCTGCTCGCCACCTCCGCCACTCAGTGTGTCCGACCATGAAGATCTCTTTGTGTGAGTTTCCCTAGTTCCATCTTTCCAAGAGGTCAGTGGAAATCTATTCTGACTGATATAGTGGTCTTGCAAATGGTACGTTCACGATCTACTCCTCAGACTACTGCCCTTTCCGCTATGATCATCCCCATGGGAAGCCATCCGGAGTGCTTGAGCATGAGCCTAGTATGGAAGGCGAACTTGAATATCAGCATAAAGGAAAGGAATTGCAAGACCTCTTGCGCCGCAAACAGGGTGCATTCCGTTTTATTCCCAACGGGATCCTTGGCGTGGAGACACGATTGCCTCTGCTATATACTGGAGCACTAGCAAAGGGTCGGATTTCACCGCAGAGATTTGTCGAGTTGACATCTACTAATCCTGCAAAATTGGTATGCACGGGGTCATAGGCTGTGTTTTAGCTTTAGTTGAATGTTGTTAACAAGGGGTAGTATGACATGTACCCAAGGAAAGGCGCGTTGATGCCTGGATCTGATGCCGACTTGGTGATTTTACGATTTCCTCCCTCGCTTACCCAGAACTGTAATATTGATATATGGCATTTTTAGTGGCACCCGGATGAGACTTTCAGACCGTTCCATCTCACCGACTCCATGCTCCATCACAATGTTGATTGTAAGTGGCTGATATATGGTAGATGATTCGCGAGGTCTAACACTACTACTTTATTCAGACACACCGTATGAAGGAACTGAATTCAGCAACTGGCCTCGATATAAGGACTTAGTATGTGTTCAAATTAAATTGGATTGGATTTTGATGGAACCTTGAGCATCTTTCCGAGATCACTCCGATTCTCTGTGGAAAGATCATTTGGGCGAACGGGGAAATCGTGGGGAAAGTACAGGATGGAAAGTATGTGAAGCGTGGTCCTAGCCTGTTGAGTCAAGGATCGCCTCGCGCCGATCGAGACCCACGGCGTGTGGCATCTTGGTTATATGAGTAATTTGAATTGATTCTTTTGTTGAGGTGACAGGATAAAAGAAAATTCAAAACAATGTAAGGAGGATTTTCGCGAATAGTTAATGGCGTTCTGAGGATAAGACATGCCGAGCTGGGTTTCATCGAAATCAAAAAGAAAGTATACTATTCGTTGCATTTCATTTCGACTTCATAGAGAATAAACATTACTAGTAGTATGCAGTTTCAAGCCCACATCCAACGACTGAGCGATGACGAACGCCCGGCCAAGTCGCGTCGGGTATCTACAACTTGAACCTTCCAAGGTTGGAAATAAATACAACTACTAGTAATACATTTATAAAAAGTATGTACTAGGTATGCAGTCGCGGTGACAGTGGCATAACAGACAAATACTAGTAGTAGTATCATCTACAATTCCACCTTGGTGTGTCTCATACTAGTACACCTCTTAATTCTGTTCAGACCGGGCCGGGGTTCTGTACATGAAACCCGGTCAGCCAGTCGCTGATTTTTGAATCTCGGGGGCGGACCGCCAAGGAAGCGCGGTTCGAATGCGAACCCCGTTTCACCCGGTGGATCTCCCAGGTACGTACGAGGTTAGCGGAAATGAACTAGGCATTTCGTAGGAAGGCTCAAGCGACAAGGCTAAATGATTAATTCATGGATGGTGGGGGACTCAGTGATCATCAATCTACGGATACTACGGAGAGTATTTAAGATAAATCACAGTGGTTGAACCGGGATCGAACTTCCGTCCTATCATCTGGTCGAGAATAGACGGTCAGGGATGGAAATGCAACCCTTGATGATTTCAGATGCAGATTGATTTTGGGACGATCTCTGTGGAGGGTTGCGACAAAGTCAATATTTTTTTCACGCCCTTCGGCAAGGCTAAGATCAAAGGAGACATAGAAGGGGCACACGGGCCACGGACATAGCCCGGGGCGGGGACAGGATTGGGAAAAGATCGGTGGAGCCTGTACTCCATCGAGAGTGGTCGAGTCGAGTCGGAGGAGAGGGTTTTTGTTCCGAGGGTCATCCGCCGGGTTTTTACCTTGAGGCTAAGGCATTTTGGATGGAGTATGGAAGACGTAGTTGAGTGAGATTGTCGGGCAACTGTTTTGGATTAATAATGCTGCGAACACGTGAACACGAAAACACGAGCCTGGGCGTGTCTGGCGTCAAGATGAAGATGAAGATGAAGATGAAGATGAAGATGAAGGAGAGATTCAGGCAGACGTCATGCAACGGAAAGATGATCCGCAGTAGAAGCAGATCTGGCGCTGTTTTGAGTCCAGGCCACCACCAGGATCCGTATCAGGGGCCTACGAGTAGGAATTTCTCAAACGTTGTGGATGAAGTGTGGATGCCTTGGGACATGCCAGGCAAAGGGCGTAGATTGGCCAATTGAAGGAGAGGGAGGTACTTGTCGGTACTTGAAATGGTGGGGAGGAGGAGAGGAGGTACGATATATAGTGTGTGTTTGTATGTACTGTCATGTACTGTCATGTACTGCAGTGTAGCCTCCTGCGGGTCCCAATGGGAGGGGCTACTCAAGTCTCGACTAATCACATTGCGGGGATCAAGTGTGACTCACACCCCGTGACTTGAACCTGGCCTCAGCCCCAACGCGTCCGATCGCTGATTGGTCAACCGGACACTCGGCGCACACAGCCAAATTGGTCTTCCGCTTAAGAAGTGCCTGAATCCCCCCCCCGTCGATGCCTGCTTTTCTTTCTTTTCTTCTCCATCATCCCTTATTCATCTATCTACAACTACATCCACATCCACACTCTGATATCGCCTTCAAATTTCCACCATTCTGCCTACACTGAAACATCATTTTGAATCCCCGATCCAAAATGGCCGCCTTCTAAGCGACTCGTCTCGACAGTCTCCGTCTTTCTCACTAGAGACAGACATCATTGATCCCACGGGAACTTCGTCTTTTTTCTCCCCTCAACAACCTTCTTCAGAGTCTCCTTTTCAGGACCCTCTGAACTTCAGCAGCCTCCCCGCTAGCTCAAGTTCTCCCAACCCCAACTCTTGCCCGATCGACTTTACGTCGTTCACCACGGATACCTTCCAGCAATCATGGCTTCCCACGCCCCCACCCCATCTGCCACAGGCCTCCAGTTCGAACAACAACAGCAACAACAACAACAAAAGTGCGTTAGAGGACTTCGTACTCTATCCCGCTCCGCAAGCTCCAGCCCCTCGTCCGCAGCCTCAACCCAGAGACTCGCGTGCGACCGTACCCTCGAGTACTGCCCCTAAGCCATCTGCCCTCCAGCCCTTTCTGGCGCAGAACAACCCTCGAAGACATTCCTTCAGCCTGCAGTTGCATCGTCATCTCCAGCAACAACAGTTCTCTGGTTCTCCCCCTCAGGACCCCAGAGTGACCAAGCTTGCCCGGTCTCCTTCCTACTGGTCTCACCCCAACTTGAAGCGCTCCCCGCACTACCAAGCGGCTTCCGTGCCTTCATACTCGCCTCACAGTCACCCTTCCGCTTCCACTTTCCACGCCGGAAACCCTGATCTTTCTACATTCGAGAAAAAGAAACAATACTTCTTGGCATCCCGCCGCAATATGTCCGCTCCGAATTTCACAGGTAATTCCCTCTCTGACTCTGATTCTCCCGAATGCATCGCTCATACCTCTCCTTCAGACCCCGACGCCGATCTCTTCGGCTTCCCCTCTACCGGCCTTCACACCGGCATGGGTTCTCCCCTCGACCTCGGCCAGCTCCCGCTGGGCCACGAGGCCGATGCCTTCTCTCCCGTCGCACCCACGGGCACTATCTCGCCCAAGGATCTGATGTTTGACGCTTCTGTGCCTCCTTCCGGCACTTTCACCGATCTGAGCACTCCTCCCTACGACTCGCCTGCTACCTTCAGCCAGAACCCTTCCCCGCTGTTCACTGATGTGGATTACATGGGCCAGGAGGATTGGGCCCCACTCTTCCACGATGCTTCCGCTGGAGGCAACGTGTTTGACGCCCAGTTCGATGTTGCTGCTGTTCTCGCTGAGACACAGCCGAAGCCCGAGCCTATGTCGCCTGCTCCCAAGCGCGTGACAACTGCGAAGGCCTCTCCTATTTCTGCGACTGGCCACACCACGCACTCCAGTGTTTCTGGCATCAGTCGCTCGCGCAAGGAGCTGTCGCCCGTCGATTTCGACCCGACCGACCCTATCGCCGCGAAGCGTGCTCGTAACACCGAAGCCGCCCGCAAGTCTCGTGCCAAGAAGATGGAACGTCAAGCTTCTGCCGAGCGCACCATCAGTGATCTACGCAAGCAGATCACCGACCGTGACGAGACAATTGTCAAGCTTCAGGCTCAGCTCCGTATCCAGGAGAAGTTCCAGTGAAACTCACGGACATTTTAAAAGCTCTCTGCCATTTCTTTCATCCGAACATGTGTTCTGTTTCGTGATATTGTATTGTGTTTTTTTTTCTTTTCATTTTCATTTCACATCCGGCAAAAACGGTTTGATGGGCGCGGGGGTTAATGGGTCAAGCCTATTTCCCCGACGTCTCCAAGAGATGCCAGAGCATTGCCTCTTTGGATCTCTCAAAAGTTCGACATGACCAGAGACGTCATTGTTATATTTGTTTCAATTCTTTTCTCCTAATATGTTTTTTCTTAATTGTTTCAGCCGGTTCTGATTGTCTCCCTCGCCACAGCGAGTGGATTGACTCGTGGCTCTTGCTATTATGTGATTAGTTAATTTGAAATTAGAGTCTTCTCTTTCACCTTGTCCTGAAGTAGTATGCAGTAGAGATCAGTAATACTTCGCTGTCTTGGTGGCACTCTCCCTCGGATTGATGCCATTGTGTGGTACAGAATGGATCGAATTCAGTTTCACCAGTTTGCTCTCGTAGAATCTTTTTCGAACCCTCCTCCAAAACACGCTATTCCAGTTAGACTTAGCTCAGTTTAAAATACCTGAATCGTATTGAAAGTCATTATCGCGTGGTAGAAGGCTCTATAAAATACTTGTAATACTCTTGCGAGAATACTCGCATCTCGCCGGGCCTGTGCGCGTTCGTTGACGACTCTGCTTGCCCTAAATCTCTTAGCAGCAATCTTCACTGTAGTGCTAAGATCAATCTTTTTCGAATAGTGCATACCAAGTCAATATACGACGGGAAAGATCACTTTGGGAAGAAATATAGAAAGCAGTAATTGCTATCCAAGCATGTAATGTGCAAGAATTTAGTCTATCTAGGCATTTATGCACCAGCCTAGCAACGACCTTTTTTGAGGTCCGCAGCTTTGAGATGACCCCCAAGCTCCTAGGAACTGTGGGATCGCAAGGTCATGTGTATTTCTTAATACCTAGCATACCCCCATACTTTTCAGCCAGAATCATTCCATCTGCTCACTAAGCAGAGGGGTGAGCAAGGGTGAGCAGATGGAGTCGCTTGTCGCCTCCTTCAGCAGTGTCCCACCGCTCCTTGCCAAAAAGTCCCCTCCATCAACGTGCAACGGAAGCTGCATCAGTCTCGGATTTGATGAAATCACGAAGGAACACCCATTTGCTCTTGTCCACCCAGCCTTTCTGCATAAACTCATTTGCAGTGCTGGGGAAAAAGTCGACAATATCCAGTAACGCTTCGTCATGGGAAAAAACAATAAATATGTCATCTCTGCCGTCCGCATCTTGAAGATAACTAACAGTCGTATTCGCATCATCTACGTTATAACTGACACCATTCCTCGCTGCTGAATAAAAAGGGGTTCTCATATCTCCCTTTGCACACACCGCCTTGAGTGCTGAGTCGTATGGAGACAAATCCGGGCTGAGAAGCAAAGCCTGTGAAGTGATGGCTGATGGGAGTGGCAGGCATTGGCTGGGCCGAAGTTGACCACCATGGAGACACCCATCCCTGCCATCAGGATAAAACTATCTGGTGCTGACTTCACTCGTGCGAGAGCGGCAATATGGCCGATAGAATGACCAGGAGCGTCGAGAAAGTAAAAGGACCCATCTCCGAAGTAGTCAATGGCATTAAAACGTCCGATTTTGAGGCTGTTCTCGGTGAAACTGAGTTCTTCCAACTCACGCCCTTCAAAATCGCTTTGTAAGACCATTGAATCCTTGTTTGGCGGATATGGTGGCAAGATATGTTCCTTGAACCCCGGACCGACGATCAACTTGACATTGGTGTCGAAGAGACTTGGATCACCGATGTGATCGATGTGCCAGTGGCTCCACACTATTGTATCAATAGTTGTTATCGGAACGCCACCATCTTGCAGGATTTCTCGAATATCTTTTCGGACAGACAGATGAGATTGACCTTCCTGAAGGATATTCCGAACGACCGGAGCAGAATTCCACCAGTCTTTGCGAAGACCCAGATCAAACAGTACGGTGCGTCCAAGCACGGGGTGCTTGATGAGGAAGGAATAGTTCGGTACCGTCAGGTAGTCATGGCCTGGGCGCCGTGGAACGAACACTTTATCGGTCTCGATAGAGACCTGACTTGTAGTGTCGATGATGGAAACAAGAACCGTGCGTTCAGAGCTGGGAATATGGAACGCAGCACTGGCCATGATAGTAGATATTTGATTTCCCAGTCAATCATTTTACCAGCGACTTTTTACTTGATCCGAATTTATATAAATTGAGCAGGGCAGAGGCGCTCGCATCATCGATGCCGCATTTGTACTAGCGCAACATCAATCCGCGATGCTACCGCGAGTAATTGCCCAATTGCACAGAATGAGTCATTCTGGGTCACTGCTATAGAACACACCCCACTGACATTGCGCAAGTGGAAATCTATCGCTCGTTCGCAGTGGTCACCCTAGAGAGCAAGTGGTTGGCAAAATGGGATTCGGATTCCTGCGACGTCTCCAAACGAGCAGCCATTCGTCTGTTTGACTTGTTTGCTGGATCAACGTTCTAGAAACCCTAGAGATCTTACGGGTCTAATACAGAAGTTATTTTTAAGCTGTTATTTACAACTGTAGCCAAGAAAGGAGTTCAGGGGCAGAAATAGGTATAGCATGTTCGGGACAGGGAACGAGAAAGAATCTCTGTGTGCAAGTGGTGAAACTAATTTCGATCCTCCCTGTACCGAATTCGTGAATAGGGGGGGTTGTGTAAAGTATTCTCTTTCCTAAGTAAGACATGAATGGGCCAGTTCTCCTTCAATCCTATACTTCTCGCTTTGTATACACCCCAGTGCTCACAGCATGATATCCTCTCTTACCCACCCTCGCGGTCAAGTCACTCCGCCATGACTCGCCACGCATCAACCTATCCACAGCCCCGGAAAACGTATACTTCGGATTCCACCCCAACTCAGCAACAGCCTTGCTAGAATCATAAACCCGATCAATCCTCCCGAGATGTTTCCATCCCTTCCCCTTAAACACCGAATCAACATCAGGAGAAACCTTACTCACCACCTCCGCAGGGCTCCGACTCAATGCGTCAAGCGTCTCGGTATCACGACTAAAAGGCGGCGGCGCACTAATGATATACTTCCCCCACCGAATCCCCCTCGCCTTCGCCATCGCGCAAACAGTCGCACCGACAATATCCTCAATATCAACTCTTCGATACGCCAGTTCCAACACCTTCAGATTCTCATCACTCATAGCCGCACGTCTATCCTCATCATCGTCTTCTTCGGGAAAAAACCGACTCGTACGAAGCACCAACACCGGCATCCCGCTCGTCCTTTGCATTAATGCGCACATATCCTCCGCCGCAACCTTCGTCACGCCGTAGATATTCTTCGGCACAGGCACGACCTCTTCGTCGATCCAGGCAGCTGGATTTCCAGGCTTGGGACTTAACGCCATACCGAAGGCGCTGGTCGTGCTGAAGAAGACGAAGCTCTCTATTGATTCGACAAATCGGGATGATTCCTCGAGCAGGATCAGCGTGCCGGTAATATTTGTTGTGATGAATTCTTCTCTGCTGTGACTGCCAATGTGTGGCTTGTGCAAGGTCGCGGCGTGTAGAACGTGCTTGATAGCATTTGAGTCGAAAACCGATGCGATGAATGCCCTATCACTAACGGAGCCGACAAGTGTCGTTGTTGGCGAGGGGAGGATGTCGATTCCTATGGGTTTGTAGCCTAGGGATGGTAGACTGAGCATTAAAGCTGTGCCGAGATGGCCAGATGAGCCGGTGACTAGGACGTCGAACGGCGACTCGGACGACATTTCGGCGTGTTCAGGTTTGTTGGAAGGTGTGATTCGAATATTTCCACCGTTGACCTTAGATAGTTCTAGTAGTATTAAGGAATACTGAAGATGTCTCCGCGAGTATAAGAACTTATAAGAACGCAAAAACCTTTCAGGATCTAGGAAGCTCATGTTATAGATGAGTCATTCGGCGGGACTTATCTCGGGAATCGGGTCGGGAGTATTATCCGATAATTAGGGCAAGTTCAAGTTGTAATAACATAACGTTAAGTGAACTTGGTGGGAACGTTGACCCGAATATAAAAAATAAATTTCTCCTCTTCAATGATGGCTTGGAACAAGTAATAAAGAACTGGTTATAGGCCGCAACAGACCATCTGAGGCACGCAAACGATTGGTACTACTGGTACTGACAATCACCGAGGGATTAAATGCTCACTATTAGAATGAGAAGGACATAGTATCTCATGATTTTAGGTATTTCTATGTCACTACTAGACAGCATATTCCCTCAATTTATGGTCAAACCAGCTCAGACTTGCCTTTTGCACCCTCATAAACCACCAACCCTTCCAACCCGGTTCTCTCTCCCATTTATTCCAACCCGTGAGAAAACGCGCAAACGCATAGTCAAACCCAGCCCGAGCTACACGCCGTCCTGGGACTGCTGTTACTCTGGGAGGATGAAGACAGGTGTACGTGCGGGCGAGGACTCACATAGGAAGAGAATGTGAACAAGAGAGGCTGGGCGAGGGATGGGGTCTCAGAAGTATCTGATTCCATGGTTTGTCATCATCGCTGGATTAAGTCTGTATTATAGACCGGGAAGCCTCAAGGACATGCGTGAATAGCAAAAGGGGAATCAAAGAAGGTAGAGGAGTGGGGTATCAAAGAGAAAGGAAGTAGAATGTATAGACGGGAAAGGAGATTCAACTCAACGCATCAGTCCCCTTTGTCCGACCTTTCTCCATTTTTGCAGTCCTCGCACCGAATTGAATAGCTCTCTTTTTTTCACGCGCAACTTGCTGTAAGCCTAATCGAAGCGCTACAAGACGAAGAGACATCTTCTCGGCATCAATACCAGCTGTAATTCCAGCTTGATCCTCGCCATTGCTGACAACAGGCTCTGGAAGACCGAATCCGCATTTTTCCCAGACTGACATGCGGAGCGTCCACGCAACGAAGTCTTCGTCTAGGAATGGAAACCGGGTTTCCCGGCCCCAGTGTGACAGAACTCGATCATCACGACCGAGATTGCGCTGTCCGAGTCTGCTGACGTCGAGATGAATCTCGGCGACCAGTCCTTCGAAACCGTTGCGGTTGAAAGAGACACCGTGACGACCATATCCCGCAAAGAGTTCGTCGGCACCGAGGCCAGAGAGGAGAACGCGTGCGGAGGTTGTGTAGATGTCTTCTGATGGTATACTAGGATCCGAGGACGAAGTATAGCATGTGCCTTGACCGCGCGACGCGAAGTACAGGGCGCATGCGATAGAGAGATCCATTTCGGTGTTGTGGGGTCTCATAAGACGCTTGACTTGGTCTCTGTGTGCGAGGGTTTCGGTATAGGGGATGTTGATGGCGATGAATCGCCAGGTGCGCCCTAGACAGGTCTTTTGGAGTTCGACAAAAGCCGAACGGCCAGTCATGCGATCGGGGCATGCTTCGTAAATCGAGAAGGGGCTTTGGGGGGATGACGACGAAGATTGGTGGTTTGAGTTAGCTGCTGCAGCGGCTACTCGTGGATTTTCGAAAGCGACATTAAGTAGGTCGATGGGTTCGTCGAGCGGAATAATGTCGTGAGAGAGCCTGGCAAGAAGAGTGCAGTCGAGTCCGCCAGAGAAGAGGACTGCGATTTTCGCACTGTCGCCCTTGACGTAGTTTGGAGGCTCAGGAACATTTTCAACTCGGAGAGCCAGTGATTGACGGAGTCTTGACTGAAGGTCTATGATAGCCTCGGTCTCCAAGGTTAATAACGGGGGCTGTGTCTCCGGAATAGACATGTTCATTGGTGGTATTGGGCTTTTCTGAGAATTTGTCAGCTGTCGTTTTATCCACGGTGAGATTTTGAGACCAACAAGGTGTCCCTCTGGGGGTGAGGATTCAGAACTCCAGGGCAGGGTCTCAATCCTATATCTTCCACTGAAAGCAGAAAGAGGATCTTGCTGTGCTTCAAGGTCGATCATATATACACCACTGGTGCCAACCTCTTCAAAGGATGTAGACGAAGATCCATCACACAGGCTGCAAATCTTCAGAGCTCCATCCTCATCTAAGCCTTGCAGGAGAGATCTCCGGCCCAGACAATCTCTGCTAAAGAAGACCCGTGAATTGATCGCATCGTAGAACACAAAAGCAAAGGGCCCAGTAATACTTGCAACAGCATCGGCCAGTCCACCAAGGGCCTTCTTACGATCGCAGCTCACGGCATTCAAAAACAATTCGAAGACCTGCTGCGTATCGTTGCCTTGGACCCGCTCGCCGGAAATATTCCATGCTTCCCCATTCCAGCAAAGTACTGACTCTGTGGCGGGGTCTACGAGTGGCTGGTTGTAAATATGGTCTCCTCGTAACGCGAGGACCGTCGATATGAATGTGAGGTGGTGAGACAGGGGCTGCGACAATCCATCTTGTGTCGGGATTCCCTTGTGCACCGTATGTTTTTGGCAGCTGTCGGGACCTCGCTTTTGGAGTAGAGTGTTAGTCTCCTTTGTCGGTGGCGTGTACTTTGTCGATATCGAAAAGAATATCCCACACATGATCGGGGGAATGCCTGCAATAGAGGCGAGAAGATGTGTTTGTCGTGGTGGACTTTTCCTTTTTGATGCCACCCGCGATTCTTAGTCATCTTTAGTTACTGTAAGTTTGTCTAGTACTTGTCGACGCAAGACAAGATACAACTAGCTTGAATAAAAGTAGAAAGTGAGTGATCGTGAGTGAATCTGAGAATAATAATAATATACCTCAAATGATTACTAAATATCACAATAAACAAGCTGTACTCTACTCTATATCTACTCCATCCAGCGTGAATGCCATGACGGAGCTGAACTGACCTCGGCCCAATGATGATCCGCTCATCAACAGTGAGCCTCAACTCCCCCCACACGCCCTCTCGAGATCGCCCTGAACCTGTTGTCGAGGTCTGCATGCCGAATATAGCATATGTCGACCACAGAGCTCTCCGCCTCCCCGCCTTTAGGGAAGGGGGACGATCAACACGCCCCGGAGGCGTCCCAGGCCTCTACCATGCCCCCAACCGACCTCCCCGAGACGCCGACACAGCTTGACCCCTCGAAGGAGAGCCCACAACAGAACGACGAGAACACAGAATCACCTGCGGACCATAGTCGCCCTCATAATATGGATGATTCAAAGGATGACTCGATAAAGGTTACAGACTCGCCCGACCTAGTCCCGCCTCAGCCGGACCCGCTGGCGGGACAAATGGAAGGGCTATCAGTGTCAGCGAAGAATGTGTCGGAGTCTGTGCCTGCGCCTGTATCCCAAGCAAATACTCCCCCTCCCCCTCCTCCTCCCGAAAAAGACGATGCCTACGTGAACTCCACGGCCCCCTTGGCGCTCACAGTACCGTCAGCGAACGACCCAACCTCTGCTCCAACCTCTGCTCCAACCTCTGAGAAAGAGCTCCCAGACGTGCCTGGAGATAGTGACCCAGAGTCGAAGAAAGCTAGGAAGACCGATGAGTCTCGGGATGATGATAATGGCTCACAGCCGGAGATCCAGAGCATCATGGGTCAATTTCAGGACCCCGCGCGAACTACTGATCAGCAGGAGATCATGTCTCCCCGACTAGAGATCGCCGAGCAATTTCGTGGTCACCAACATTACTATCCACCTCGCAAGTCAAGTCTAGAACCTGCACAGCCCACGTCGACTGGATCTACGGCTGCTTCACCACCGAGTCTTAAGCACCCCTCACCCGCATCTCAGCATCATCATACCCCCGGCGGCTACGATGAACCACCTGCAATGAGGCGACAGTCATCTTCTTCGACGGTCCCCCCTCCACCCGAGCCCGAACCCGATCAGAGGTTTGATTTTCATCGCTTCCTGGAGCAACTGCGTCACCGGACGGCCGATCCGGTGGCCAAGTTCCTGCGATCATTCCTCATGGAATTCGGAAAGAGACAGTGGATGGTTCATGAGCAAGTTAAAATCATCAGCGATTTTTTGGCTTTTATCACAAACAAAATGGCCATATGTGAGGTGTGGCGTGATGTGTCGGATAGCGAATTTGATAACGCCAAGGAGGGGATGGAGAAGCTCGTCATGAACCGCCTATACTCCCAAACTTTCGCACCGGCGATCCCAGCCCCACCCACCATTCCCAGAAGTGCTAGTCGCAGTCGACGAAGAGAGATCGAGAGAGCCCATGGTCCTTGGCGGCGTGGTCAACACCAGGAAGATATTGAGCGGGATGATATCTTGGCGCAGAAGATTCGCATATACAGTTGGGTTAGCGAAGAACACCTGGATATACCTGCTGTGAGCGGCAGCGGGCGTCGATTCTTGAACCTTGCTCAACAAGGTAAGTGATGCTTGGTTCCCCAACCTGATCCAAGGCGATCTCTAACCGAATCTTCAGAAATACTAAAAATTAATGGCTACCGAGCACCGCGGGATAAGGTCATCTGCATTTTGAATTGCTGCAAGGTTATTTTTGGTCTTTTGAAGAACTCTAAAAAGTCCGATACCTCGGCCGATTCCTTCGTTCCGCTCCTTATCTACGTGGTGTTGCATGCGAACCCCGACCACCTCGTCTCTAATATTCAATACATCCTGCGATTCCGCAATCAAGAAAAGCTCGGCGGCGAGGCCGGATATTATCTGTCATCCCTGGTAAGTACATACGGGATTTCTTCCCCCGCTCTGAATTATTCGGTGGCTAATATTCGTCGCAGTCCGGAGCCGTCCAGTTTATTGAAACGCTAGACCGCACAAGTCTCACCGTCAGTGACGAAGAATTTGAGCGCCATGTCGAAGCAGCAGTTCTGGCAATTGCAGAGAAGAACCGCGAGCATGAATCCATGCATGAAAAGCCATTGAACCAACCCACGACCCCGCGCGGCCCTCCCCAGTCTGGCCCTGTCCAGCCTGGGCCGAGCCGTAAAGATGCATCTCAATCCAGCGATGATGACACATCTGCACCGGTCGCTGGACTATTAAGAACCATCCAAAAACCTCTCTCCACCATCGGTCGCATGTTCTCCGATGAAATCGATGTCGGAGCCCCTCAAGATCGGCCTCTTCAACCAGCCGCTACCCCCCAACCAGCTCCCGCGCCGCCTCGTCTCACGCCGAATGTGTATCAACCCCCGCGCTCCAGTAGCGAAGGGAGACGCTCTGGCGACGAGCGTCCATTCCCACAAGAAGGCGCAAAGAAGAATCTGACGCGCGTCCTCGACGCCCAAGACGCAGCAGCTCGCCAAGCCAGTGCAGAAGATGCCGAGGCACGGCGCATCCAGCGCGCTGAACATAATAATGTCGTCGAGACGCTGTCGAACATGTTCCCCAACCTAGACCGCGATGTTATTGACGACGTGGTGAAGATAAAGGAGGGAAGGTGAGTTACTCTAATTTCCCCGACTTGTGTAATATCAATTAGTTACTAACCTTTCTGACAGAGTTGGCCTAGCTGTCGACGCATGTCTTGCTCTCAGCACAGAGTAGTATATAGAAAAGAGTTCCTTAACGAAGCCCCTTTGAATTCCTCAAAGTGGAGAGAACGAGTACGGGGATAATTTATGATTCTGATTGACATGACATATTGTAGCTCTTCCAAGGTCTTCTTTTCGTTCTTCTTCGTCTCCTCTTATTTCTTTCGGAAAATTTACCCTTTAATCCCACCCAGGTGTATGAATACCCTCCTCACTTTCCTAGGATGGACATGGCTTCCAAGGTTCTCTCTTAACCTCCGCGAACCCAGCTTTGCAACTTGAACCTTGGAACCCATTCTAGCCCTAACGTGACGATCATTTCCTCTCGAGGGCCACTACCTGCTTCATAACGAGGATTTACGGCTTTCTTTTGTGTACCTATAACTATAATTGTAATTACTGAGAATTCAGTATTGTTATTAAAAGCGTCATGTACCATGCTCTATGAATGATATGTAGCTAGTATGAAAATGTACAAGCAAAGAACAGTCGACTATGCAGAGCTTCCACCTAAAATGGGTTTTCACTCAAAAGTCCGCCCAGCCAAATGGTGAATGGGAAAGCTAGCAAAATGTGAAGTGAGCCAGAGAGTCAATTTTATGTTCAAAAATCTCAAGCAGCCATCGTTAACACGTATCTGGATGAACGAGCAGGTTAGTTTTTGTTTGAATGGAAATCCAAGGTACCAAGTAAGGGAACAAGAAATATGAGAAAGAAACTTACGAGGTGATACAATCCATCCTCTCAGTCGTCAGCTTCAAGCTAACAGTCAACAGTTCACGAGCAATGCGAGGTTCACTCTCCTGCAATGCCTTCCAGCGCTCATCACTCAACGACCAAGCGATACAATCATGTTCCGCCTTGACCGTCGCCGTACGGCGCGTATCACTGAAGAACGGCAATTCGCCGCAGGGCCGGCCCGCGACGACAAGTTCGAAGTACCGACCCTGCGGAAGCTCGTACTCGCAGCGCAACATGCCGGATTCAAGGAGGTAGAAGGCGCGCGGGATGTCGCCTTCGTGGTACAAGATTGCGCCGGTGGGGAAGGACTCACGGGAGAAGTAAGCGCAGGCGGGGAACCAGAAGTCTTCGTTTTGGGTTGAGAGGCCTTGGAAGGTTTGGAGGAGGAGGGGGAGGGGTTGGCGCATGGCGGACCAGGCTGGGGCCGCCATGAGGGTTGTTTCTTGTTCATGTTCGCGGATAGTGGTTGTTGCGACTCGTTGTAGGTATTGGCCTCGAGGGGAACCGACGATGTTGTCTGCGAGGCTGGGGCTGGCTCCGGAGAGTGATGGAATGGATACGGGAATGGGGACTTGGAGGTGGTTATCGTTGTTGGGATCTGGGGTGCCGGTGCGTGTGCTGAGGAGGGCTTCTTGGCGGTTGTAGAAGACTTTCAAGTAATCGTTCTCGCAGAATTCGAGGGCTGAGTTGAGATCTTCGAAGATCGGTACGCCTGAGTCGGACTCAAACAGACCTACATTCCGTAGGCTCTTGCCAACCTCGCCCTCGATATCGAGACCGGAGATGGCCGTCTGGACATTGCGTTTGCGTAGAACGCGATTGATGCGTGTGAAGGCCTCGGCGGCCGAGAAGTCCAGCCCATAGACCCGAGAGAAGTCTAGAATCAAGTTACGAATCGGTTGTTGCTCGAATGCTTCCTCTTCAATTAGTCCCCGCATGGTGTTCTCTACATTCACAATCGTGCCGAAGAAGAGATAACCGCCCAGTTTCATTATGAGCGTCTGTTGTCCAGCTTCATGCAAGAATTGTTGTTGAATCGGAGGGCGACGGACGGTCGAGCCGGCAATTTCTCCAGAGAAAGTTGCCCGAATGGCAGACTTGCGAGAGGTCTGTACCACAAAGTTGACGCAGGCCAGAATGATTCCAACCAAGATTCCCATTACGAAATCCACAGCCCCCATAGTGAGGACAATTATCACCACCTATACCAGTTAGCTGCCTGCAGCTCTAGTGTGAGGAGGTCTGAGAAACATACCGTCAAGTACTCAAGACGCGACAATTTCCCCCATGTGTCTACCAATGCCTCCTCGAGTAACTCAATACCCAAGAGGAAAATCAGAGCACCGACAACCATAACAGGAATGAACCCGATGATCACCGGGCCTACGACCATGATTCCTGCCGTGGCTGCAGCCAACATGAGTCCAGCCAAACGGGAGGATCCACCACTAGCAATGAACATCAAGCTGTTTGTGTACACAAGATAGTTCTGTTTGTGTTAGTTTGGTTGGCAGATCAAAGTTAAAAGTGGAGGTAACCTACTTGAATGCTCCCAGCAAATCCCGAGAGGGCATTGGTCACACCGTGTGCCATAAGCTCTCGGTCCACATTGAGATTGTCTTCCCTGTCGAGATGCCAAGAGCTGGCACATTGATAGGCACATGAAGAACTCCGAAGAAGGTCAGAGCAAACATTGCCGGGATCGTATCGGCAAAGGCAGTCCAGTTGACGGCGGAAAAGTCTTGTAAGAGGTCAGTCAACTCGAATCTGCAATTGGGAAAGGCACAGTATCGACTCACCATAAAGGGTATAGAAGTGGTACCACGGATTGTTCGATGATGGCGCATCAAAGACCCATCCCTTCTGATGCAGGGTGTCCATTGGGATACTCGCGCATAAAATAACGACATAAAACAAACCCGCAACCGCCATGAAATAAGTGCCAACAAGGAATGTTGATCGAATGAAACGCTTCAAGATGAGGAGGGCGAGCGCAAGAGACAGGGGTATCATCCAAAGTGGGAAAGTGTCGAGGTGAAAGAGCTTCTGTAAGGTGGTGAGGTTGTATTCGAGCGAGCCGGACAAGCGGGCGGAAACCTCGACTCCGGTTGCAAGGAGGAAATAACCGACACCACCAATGCAACCGATAAGGATATGACGAGGGAAGAATCCAATGAGCGAACCGAGCCCGCAAACGCCCATTAGGAAAAATACCAACCCAGTCAAGACGGAGCTGACCGAGAAAGCTAAAATTGTTGTCGCCAATACTGACTGAGGGTTGTCATTGCCAATCCGGGCAAGGATGGTAAACGCCATCTGATGAAAGAATGGCACAACCTCAATCATCTCGCTTCCGATTCCTCCCTTGAAGATCGAGCCTCCACATGAGAATACCACCTGTGAGATGATGGTACTGACATAGAACATGGAGATCCCATCTGCACCAAGATGAGCAAAGAGCGGCTCTCCAAGCGGGAATAGAATCATTCCGTAGGACAAGGCATCAAGAATGTTGAGCAGAAGGCCTAGCAGGACCGCAGGGATTAGACTGAGCGGGTGAACTACTCCTTCCTGCCAAATCGCACGTCTATCCCAGGACTTTGGATTGGATAGTATCCTGGTCCACTTGGCAACATTGGCCGTCCTATTAGCGAAGAACTTGGCTGGTCGTGGGGCTGTAAAGCCCTGGTTCTCAATATCTTCGACCGCTCCATAGCCATGAGGTGATCTGGATCGAGTTTTGGATAACAACGAGGTTCTTTCCGAGTCTCGCGGTTCGGGTTCGTCTAGAATGGTCGGCAATGGCGGAAATGGTGTCTCTTCAATCGGCTTGGCATGTTCCTCCATCAGATCCGAGTATGGATCACGCATCATATCGGTGAGAGCCGAAGATGAAGGAGAGGTATCTGCTGGACCAGCATCCGACTCAACAGCTGTTTCTCCTAGTGTGGGATAGGAACTGGCGATCGCATCCTGTGAGCCGCTGGGGCCCGGTGGATGGAGTCGATTTTGCTCCCGGAAGATATCTAGACCTGGAGGCAAGCTCGTTCGTCCCCGCGAGGGCTTTTTATTCAACGATAGACCGTAGGTGGCAAGCTCCGCAGTCTGTTCCCGGAGACTATCGGTGGCATAGTGAGCCGGGTCTGGAGGGATTTGAGTGGTCAGTAAATCGCTCGGGCGCATTGAGTGAAGACGGAAAAAGGATGCGGGGGGACGACGAAAGTAATTTTAAGCTCCCTTGACAGTGCAACATACCAGTAGGAGTATTGAAGGAACGGTGAACGAAGGAGCGACTTGGAGTGCGTAGACTGGAGCTGTTATAGCTTGAAGCCTCCATGCCGGCACCGGGGGAGCTGCCAAGATTTGCGTTGGCGTGCTCCACCAGTGAGGAAGACTGGACGGAGACGTCTGCTTCGCGATCGAAGCCCCAATTACGATGTGATAGGGCCGATGCTCGGGAGTCGCGACGACCTCGTGGCTGTAGCACTCCCATAGTCGTAGTTGCGCAACGGCCGGGACAGATGGGCCAAGATTGGCAGATTGTCGACCACAATCCCGCTAGCGCATGCAGCGGCGTTAGGAGGCAAAGGACGAATGACGAGTGACGCAACGGGGCGATCTGGGGTGGCTCAAGGCTCAACGGGCCATTGGATAAAATTTGAGAGGCAGCGCGTTGCGCTGCTGTGGGAAGTGCCGTCAATAAAAGAATCGTTTTGATCGACGATCACCGGATTATCAAGGCAATTAGCAAATGGGGTGGATTATCTAGCGCATTGACTAAGGTTCATGGGAAGTTTCCAAGGAAATTCTCGGTGATAAGAGCCAAGCGGTTTAGCCCGCGTTATCACCTTATCACGCACTAAACCACTTGCGGAGACGATGGGATCCATCTAGGTACCCTAGGGTACCCTAGGGGTATACTTCCAGCTAACTACAGTTAGTTTCGTACTTATCAGCCACGCTAACAAGGGCCAGCCTTAGCGACAGATTACCTACAGATTGGCAATTGCAACCAACTAGTACTATCTAGTACTCAGGTGTTGTGCTCGCTTCCTCTCAACCCATTGGTGTGAGAATTGCCGGCCCCTCATCCCATTCCGGATTGGATCCCTGGCCCCCTGCAGCCATTGATATCCACCCGATGCATCAAATTCAACGTCTTACACAAAAGCTTGACGAGATGTTTGCTTTTTATCTCATCATTCCATTTGTCTGCATGAATTATTCTACCCGAGTCATGAACAAATGACAAGGTACACTCCATAGTAAATAAGGGCCGAGATCGGTCTTCTCCGCAGTAGATTGCCTTGGCCAAGCCACCACTGATTCATGCTCGACATGCTCGACATGCTCGACATGCTCGACAAAAAAAAATCAAATCAAATCATAATGCATCACATTCAATATTTCAGCGCCATCCCATGGCGGGGTATCTCAAAGGTCCAAAGAACTCCTCCCGTCGTGCCACGCCATGCCACGCCCAGTTCCTCCAATCTAGGTCAATCGCTCGAGAAAGCCTTGCGCAATCAGCCTCTCAACATCTCCCTGGCGAACGTAGAGCTGACTATTCTTAGTCAAGTTGATCACCCTGTCATGAAGAATAAATCAGCCACTGGTTCACCGTAATACTGCCCACATATTCAACGTACCCGTATTCCGTCTGGATTTCCCCCGCATCCTTCAAGACGCGTACATCAATAAAAAGATCTCTTGGCGGTTCCAAGGTCCCCGTCAAATCGACATCCGTCCATTGTCCCTTATACGCCGCCAGCATATCGCCGTACTGACGAAAGTACTCTTCCTCCTCCGGACTGAGAGAGCTATGTCCGCCGACGCCCTGCATCTGGCCCCGGTCCTCGGAGGATTCACTCGGCTGCTGCTGTTCCAAGATATCCACTCCATTCCAGCAGAGCTCTTCCAATTTCTCCGTCCGCACACGGTGATACGCCAGGAGACAGCGTTTATTCCGGCGCATGCACAGATGGTCCACGAGCAGCGCACAAGCAACAGCCGGGTCCGCGGAGGGATTGAAGGCACCATCAAAGGGGTCGAGGAGACGGGCTACATCTCGGTCTAGGTCGCGCACTTCGCGAGTCACGGCGCGGACGATTTCGGTTTGGTAGGGCGGGAGATGAGCGAGGGCTTGGGTGCGCTTCGCATGTTGGACCTGGGTCACGTTAGTTTAGCTCCATGGGCTCTGGAAATTCCCTTTTCCTTGCGGGATTCCTCGCCACGTACCAATTTGTTGCCCAATTCGCCGTACATGGTGGCCACGCGATCAGGGTCGCAGAGATGAGGGACGCGCGCTCGTCGTGGATCCATCGCGCCCGGACGCCAAGTGGTCTTAGTAAGTGGGGTGGGGATCGACAGGAATGAGGTATATGAGACAGGTGGGATTCTGCAGGCAAGGAATGGACAGTAGAGAAATAAGGTGTTGTGAGAGAAAAAACGAGAACAATATGAATATGAATTCAGTAGAGATGATGGAATGAAGCATGAAGAGTGGGTGATGGAGAGGGAAGGTGCTAGTCTACGGCCAACTTGGTTATAGTGGGAGAAAGGTATCTCCAAAGGATAGACATACTACTAGTCACGGTACTACTACTAGTAGTACTCATTGATATTTTAGAAATTGAATGGTAGACTCATAACAACTTGAAGGGAATAAATTGACTATCGTAATTCTTGTTAATACTGCATGGACGCACGCATCTGATTATAACCAGCCTGTGTGATCGGCTCATACTTGGCCGGCTCATCAGTCCCCATACAAGATGGTATGCACGCGATCGTAGAATCAGGATCCGGCGCCAGGAAATACGGAATGGAAAAGCGTCTACGAGTCATGCGTTGTTCGCCTTCGAACCGATCCGATAGAGGCGGTAGAGTAACACGATGGCTAGTCGATCGTAGATGATCTAAACTCGTTAGTACGCAATGACAATGACCGAAAAGACAACACAGCCCACGAACCATTGCTCCATCTCTGCAGCAGGTCGCCAACGTTCATGACAATGGCATTTGTGATGGGCGTCGCGGGAACAAACTTGCCAGGACTCGTCACGTCCTCGACTTCCAGTCCGCCGCAGTCATCCTGGAAGAGTAGGGTGATCGAGCTCCAGTCTGTATGCGCAGGACAACGCGCTGCTCGTTCATTCTCTAATGCTTCGGCTGGAACTGGAGGATAGTTGAGCAGGCGTAGTTGGTTGTTATGCCCCGAGTGTTTCTCCAAAAGATAGTTCTCATCTTCCAGTCCCAGACCGATAGCGAGAGCGCGCAATATCTCGCCTCCAGCGACAAAGCATTCCCAATAAAACCGTGACATGAATTCACGGAAACCTGGGAGCACTTCGTCTGGAATCCACTGGTTGGGCTGCGACGAATTCTGGTCGCTGCCAATGTCATAGCTCTCCTGCTGGCAGTCAGCGGGAGGTTGCATGCAATGCCAGATCTTCTCGTATCTTGTTGAGCAAATCTTCTATTGCTATTCAATTCACCTTGACATCGGGTATCTCTCTCAACTGCTGGGCTCGTTCCTGGTCATTGGTCGTACTCATTGCCTGCGAGACTTTCTCCAGCCCGGGCCAGGAATAGCCTCTGTGAACAGCCCATCCCTCTGGATGAGGTGCCTTGAGCTTGTCCTCTTGAGGTAAATCAAAGAAAAGCCGAGACCATAAGAAGGCCTCGTCGACAAGGTGGTCTGGCACAGGGTGATTGACGATATACACGAACCCCACCTTCTTACAAGCAGCGACGATGTCCTGAGCGATTTGCAGACGACTTGACCCGCCAGAGGTCCACTTGGCAAAATCCACGACAGGGATCACCGAGTCAGAGGTCGAGGTCATCGTTGGTGGATACGAGTATTCAGGCTGCTTCGATAGGAGAGAAGAAAGACTGCGTTGCTGGTGCGGCGTGTAGAGAGGGAATTGTTGCCCATGCAGTCGGTGAGACAGACAACTCTCGTCTCACCAGCAAAACGGAATGCCTTAGGTAGAGATGGAGATGCCCAATGGGAGGGGATTTCGTGAGACAAGCCCGATCAGTTGATAACGAGTCAAGATTGCCATTGTTTTCCAGGATCAGTACTCCGTATGGAGTTACTAAAGAAATTGTGCCACATTAATATCGAATCTGCGATGGCTGGAAGGCTGGGCCTGGTTGGGCATCGTGCGACTGGTGGTGAGTGGTGAGTGGTGACTGGTTGCTGTGGCAGGATGGCGCCCGGTGGAGAAGGAGAATCGGCTGTACCTACATCATCCCCATCCATCCCAGACACCGACCTCTGTCATTTTTTTGGCTTGGTTTGCTTCTCGAAGACCTCACCTCTGGCTTTGTCGGTACGATACCCTAATTCCATGAGCTCATTGGATGAGCTTGTCTCTCTCTGCGCGCCGTTTCCTCATGCTAATCTTACTTGTTTAGGTAGTCTGTTGACATCCCCTCCACCGACACTCTCGATAAGCCCTCACTCTCACCTCACAGCTACCCTACCTTCCTCACCTCCCAACAATGCAATTTGGCACCGATTGAACCAAGCAGAAAGACATTCGAAGCATCGATCTCAAATCGCCCGGTCGCACCCCTCCAAATTTCCCTCTCAGATCACAAGAATGCGGGCGTCATGGTGGATCGGCATCTGGGCCACACTCATACCCACGGTCGTCTTATCGGTAGAAACAGAGCCCTTCTCGTCCCCGGAACAAGGGAAGTCCAACAAGAGAGCCCTCGAGGTACTCCGACTGCTGAGGCGAGATGACGATAATTGTCCCAGCGGCTACAACCCATGCTCGAGTCTGGGCAACTCAGATGCCTGCTGTAAGAGCGGGTCACGCTGCACAACAGACGCCGCGGACAACATCGCTTGCTGTCGAACGGGCGCAAGCTGCACGGGCAGTTTGACTGGAACATCTACCGGCACTGAGACAGGTAGTACTTTCATGTCCCCGCATGGTACTTCTGCCACTACGACAGCTACCGGCACGGCTGCCACGATAACCGATGGGACAATTGACGGGGCATACCCATTCGTCTACATACCTACGACCATCGGAAACGCAGAGAGCTGCTCTTCATACTACTCCCAGTGTCAGTCAGAATATACCCAGTGCACAGGAAACCTAATGGGTCGTTACGGAGTAACGGTTGGAGGAAATGGCGGAGGAGTAACTGTGGAGGCAATCACTGGAGCCGCACAAGCGACCTCGATTTGCTCCAGCCTGAGCTCAAAGGCCTGTCATGGTCTTCAGATACAAAACTGCGCGACGGCCGCGACGGAGACTGGGCGCGATACCAGTGGAAATGCAGCCAACCCACGTCGGGCATCCAGTTTGCACGACCTGGCGTTTGGCTTTGCTGTTGGAATTGCGGGAATGTTTATTTGATGTGATATGACTTTTGACGGATTACTGGATATGTTTACTAGACCCGTCCCTCTTTTGATGTACATTTTATCGCTGATTGATGACCCCCTCGAGTCTGGATACATAGTTGGAATTACTGTGAATGAACTCTATGAATATGTTTTCGAACAAGGCTCGTTTAAAACTTGACCGTTTTCTTGGCTCCCCGGGATGGATTCGGAGCATTTTGGGTGTTCGACTGTTTGGCTGCTATTGGTCGCTTTTCTCAAGGTATTCTAAGTTTGGATACTTGCTTTGGCATGACAGCTATGCTGGCTGCATGCAGGTGTTGCAAAGAGTGACATGGAACTGTGGACACCATTTGATTCGCATGGAGCTCAGCAGCCACTCGGCTCACGATTGATGTAGCTACTGGTACCTACGTAGGAAGGTAATTAATGTAGATTCTGCTTGGAACGCATGTATACAGTAGTATAAAAGCTGGTTAAAACTATAGCAAAAAAACCATCCTGACTACAAACATGTACTAGTAGAACCATAACAACGAAAGCACGGATGACACCCCGAAAACTAACCCTCATCATCTTTATTGCATACCATCAAGAACGAACTTGAGCAAGATAGATTAGTCTCCACCTCCTCATCCCCCACCATCACCACCACCGCCGCCGCCTCCGCCCCCACCATCGCCTCCTCCACTTCCGCCACCACCTCCACTGCAACCACCACCTGAATCACCACCGTAAGAACCTCCGCCAGAGTCACCACCACTATAGTATCCACCTCCACCGGCGGAGCCCCCAGAATAACCATTGTTTCGATATGACCGATTATATGAGGATGTCGGTGGCGAAATAGCTTTATATGCGGGTGTGGCTTTTGCGGTGCCAGTGGAACTTTGTTGTTTCACGCTTTCTTGAAAGCGTCGCCGATCTGCCTCCTCTTCTTCCTGAAGCTTGAGTCGCTTTTCACCTTCCTCCCTCATGCGTCGGTCTTCTTCAGCCCTGGCAGCGGCCTTCTTCTTCTTGGAGGAAAATCCGAAGCAGCCCATGTTGAGTCTGTATAGGATGTTAAGCCTTGAATATGGTATTGATCCCAGGTTTCACTTGTTCTAACTTTGAGTCAACGCTAGGTTGCAGCAAATATGATGTGTTGTACTTTCAGTGTGATGATCGAGTCTGTGATTTTGATACAGGAGTTGGAAACAGTAGTCTGGTACGAAGTATATATACTATATCTTCCTACTAGGCACCTGGGCACTCCTTGTCTTGGAGTTCATTATCTTGGACCCCAACCCGCTTGGAACCGAGGGACATAACTTGAATCCATGCCCAGGTGAATATTCCCCTTTTGCCCGGACGGGGCTATGTTGGACCCGTGACTGGTTCATTGTATACAATGGATCTAGGAACGATTTCCTTGGCGCTTATTTTTTGAATATGCCTGGGGCGGCACTCGTTTAGATTTCCTCCTTATCGTTAAGCCGACGGTGCCCGGGTGGATCCTCGTATGGACAAAGTGAGGCTCACGCGGGCTATGCTGTCATATTTGATCGTGACGAACCGCCTTCTATTTCCCAGTTGCTTTGATTGGTGAATAATGGAAATGTAGCCCACATGTTCATATCATCTATAGGTACCCACAGAGAATATCCCTAATAGTATCCTGCTTAGACCAACTTAGACACTTACCGATGCTGTTGTCGTTGCCTGTTGGATGTCAGGGCCAGTTCGGGCAATCAACTAGTGAACCTCGAGCTAACCGCTCGCTTTTCTTACTAACCGCCCTAGCAGTTAATTTTCTGTTGGAATATTGAATCGATGCTATTCCGTCCAGAGAAGATCCGTTGTTAATCGACTTATTTAAAGGCATTCGAGGACCGTGTAGATAATGGTTAGCTTAGACCAGGCTTAATCCCTAGATTACGGGTTTGACTTGATTTGATATGATCAATTGTTCGTGTATTCAAATTTATTATCCACTTCCACCTGGTTATTTTTTGGATATTACTCCGATACGTTGAACGGTAAGGGATATTTATTAGCTGCTCCTACTTACATTGCGTTGCTCGTGATAATCAAATACAAGTCAGACTTGCCGTCATAGTCTCCGGCTCGTATTAGTCCCTGGCGGAGTCTGCCTCTGGAGATTGAAGGCTGTGCACTAGCAAAGCATCATAAAACCAGCGGAGCCGGCTTAAAGCGCCACAATATAGTCTAAGTGCTACTAGTACCAGTACATGATGCAATGCGATCGATGATGCTATTGCTTACTAGGGGAGCTAGGCGTGGCGCCATCATATCCGTATCCCCATCGACAAGTAGTTACCTCTTGGTGGTACATAGTATCCCTGCGTAGCCAGAGTAGATCCACAATAAGACTCGAATGAAGACTGTCTATGAGAAGTGCCGGTTTCAGGTCATTCAAAGAACTTTCCAACCCTTTCGCGAGGAGAGATAGAGTGGTAGGGTAGATTTCGACTTGAGGTGCATGGATTTGACCCGCATGCTGGTAAGGACGCGCACCATGAGTCGTATTTCTTTTTTGAGTCAAGTCAAAGCGATGAGAGTGAATCAGACCGCTTGACCGCTTGACCGACGATCGGCATAATTAGGTCCAAGTGGGTTGTGCAGTGCACTAGTTATGAGTCAAAATGTTCTTAGTCTATCTCAACAGCTTGGGCAGCGAGGGAGGACGGTGAGTGAGACCAACAGTCAGAATTGTTCCGAGGAAGTCCCGCCGGCTAAAGGGGGATGGCCAATGCAGACAGAGATACGAGTACCCTACCCTATGTAGGGTACAACCCAATGCGATGCGGATGAGATGCGGGGCGGATTGGACTGGCTGGACTGGAGGTACTCCGTGCTCCGTACCTGTATGCAATGTTAATCGCTTCGCGGCCTGACAGGACCATCAACCAAGGAACAATGAGGGTTGGAAGCTTAAAAAAGTAAAAGTCAAAGACAATAACGGTTTCAATCTGAAACCCAGCCCCCTCTCAACCTGTTTAGTGGAGGGGCGGGTTGATGTAAAGTCGCAAAAAATCGGGTGGTTGGGTTGACGACGGGAGGCTGGGGATGTACTTGCAAGTCCACCACCACCACTTCCACTTCCACGTCCTTTCTCCCTCCCCCCCATTTCCTTTCCCTCTCTCTCTTCTGTCCTCGATTACCTTCCCTCACTCGCTTTGGGTTTATTCTTCGAAAATCCGCAACCTCTACGCTACTCCCAGGGAGTGACGATCTATCGACTCCCATAGATCGAGTATACAACACACCCAACACCCTCCACCCCAACATTACTTAGCCGAGCATTCCTTGTCAACAACGTGTGAATCCAGTTTCGATCGTCAAAAGAACATTCCCCGAAAATCGTCACTGGGCAGCCCTCCCAGTATTGCCGGGGTTTGACGCTCCTCGTTTACGATGCGGCCTTTCTTCTCCATTCCAGTGGTCCCGTCACTGGTCGTCTTACTCAACCTTACATCGATTGTCTTCGCAACCCCACTGTCACTAGAGAACGTCGAAGAAAGCGAACTTGAGAAGCGGTCATGCTCGAATCCCTGTGGCTTTTATTCTCAGCTTTGTTGCGCCACTGGCGAGACTTGCACCACAACAAGCGGAAATCAGGCAAAGTGCGTCTCGGGCTCCTCTGGTTCAGGCGGCGAATGGGAATACTATACAACAACATACATCGTGACCGAAACCGATCAATCTACCATCACATCAGTCTGGAGCAGCCGTGCCGCCGCCGCGACTACCTCATCAGGAACTTGCAGAATAGACCTGGGCGAGACTAAGTGCGGCAGCACTTGCTGCGACGCAGCCCAGGAGTGTTCAAATGGTGAGTGTATTGCAGAAAGCTCTTCGGCAGCAGTGGCTACTGGCACAGAAGCTACTGGAGAGGCCACGCCTGGCGTCCGAGGAACTAGCGTATCTACTGCGACGGAGACCTCAGAACCCACCACCACCGAAGCATTCACCGCGCCAGTGGGAACAAATGGCGCCGATTTGATCGGAGCCAAGGCAGCGGGAGATAAAGGAGGATTGAGTGGTGGAGCTATTGCGGGTATCGTCATCGGCACAATTGCAGGTATTGTTCTGCTGCTCCTTTTGTGCGGTTGCCTGTGCTTTAAGGGTGCTCTCGATGGCCTTCTTGCGGCTCTTGGTATTCGCAAGCGCCGCAGAAACGATACCACTGTCGTCGAAGAACGCTACTCTCATCACTCCGGCAGTCGACCTCGACCTCGACCTTCGGGTGGCAGGACCTGGTTTGGTACCCGACCCCCAGCAGCCTCCGATAGTGAGCTCAGCGAGAAGAAGAAGTCCAAATGGAGCGGCTGGGGTACGGTTGCTATTGTCCTTGGAGCGCTTGCTCTGTGTCTGGGACTGAAGAGACACAAGGACCAGGAGCATGATGATGATCGGTCCTCTTACACCTACCCAAGCTCCTATTATTACTCGGATACATACACATACTCTGGCAGTAAGTTCTCGAGCCTTGAGGATTGAAGAAGAGACAATACTAACATGCTTCTTTCACAGGCAGCGAAAGTTCTGACAGACGAACTCGACGGAGCCGACGATCTCGCGGGACCTCCCGTCGCTCATGATGCAGGCTAATCCTTTGGATTCCTGACGCTGGTCTCACGAAAGCAGCAACAGTCCTCGCGGCAATTCGATTGACCAGAATTTCTTACGCATTTCCTGGCGCTATTTCTAGTTAATGACTTATTTACGACTACGACATTTTTGATGGTTTGATGTATTCTTTTCTTAGGTTTATTTTGGGGGAATGAAGATATGTCTCTTTCAATGTTGATATGAGAGTTTGATGCCTCGATCTAATGGCTTTTTTTTGATGATTTCAAAGCATGGTGGTGTACATATGAAGATATGAGAGCCAGATACGAGCTAAAATATATGAAGAATGACTCAGATAATGAATGTGATTTCCCATAAATATATTATTCAACTTAGTACGGAGCCTTACCTCTAGAGGACTCCGAGTCAGAACTCGATGTCTTGCTCACGAGCATATACCGAGGTCATCGATCTTTTCACATCTCACATGTCCACCAATTTAAGAAATAGTTGAACAAGCCTACCGGTCTGTAGACTACACCAGTCAATTGAGAAGCCAATGGTTGCACGAAAGCAACAAGCCGTGATTGGGGCTGGCCTTGCAGGTACAATATGCCCTGGCCGCAAGGACGACCCTTCCTCGGGTCGGCTGCACGGAGGATGTTCTGGTCAAGAATCACCAGGATCGACTCCAGATGAGAAAATTCATTACTATTTGATTTAATTCCCCGAAGAACACGGGCATTGCGCACGAACGAAGGTCACGGTCAAGGCTAAGGCGGCCAGGGCACACAAAGGCACAAAGGCTTAGTGGACTCTGCCGGCTCGATCCTCCCCGCCTTCGGACCCGAACTTCTCTCTTCTCCCTTCAGGCAACTCTTCCCATTCTCACAAATCATCCATGAATCGCACCCCGATTCAAGCTTGGTGACCCTTTATTTCCCTCAATTCATTCTGCGACATCTGAAACCTCCGCCGTGCCACCCAGTACGCTTCACCAAACCCGACCGTGGGAGCATTACGAGACCCCGAATCGAGTCATCACCGCTCGCCATGCTACAAGCGCAGAGCCAACACGTTTTTTCCCACCAGCAGCAGTACCCGCAGGCTGACCCCTCATGGCTGCAGCATCAACAACAACATCAGCAGCAACAGCAGCAGCAACAACAGCAGCAGCAACAACAGCAACAGCAGCAGCAGCAACAGCATCAAGCGCAGCCACACCCCCAGCACCAACAGCATGCCTCCTTGGTCGCTCAGCAGCACGCCCACGTCCAGGCCGCGGCAGCCGCGGCGCAGCAACAACACTATGGCCGCCTAGCAATGGGTGGTAATGGAACCGCAAACCCCGCGCAGGGTGCTGGAGGTGCCTCTGGAATAGGCGGAGAGGGTTTGGCGAATGCGGTCTCCGTCATGGATGGTGGGATCAGCGAGGAGAACCGCAAGGTCTTCATCTGGGTCGCCGAGCTCCTTGACCCGGCTCGCAGAGAGGCTGCTCTAATGGAGCTGAGCAAGAAGCGTGAACAGGTTCCTGAGTTGGCCCTGGTGATTTGGCATTCCTTCGGTAAGAACCCCCCGTCGCATCGTGGGGGTGCCCGGCTTTGCCGACCGAGACTAACCATCGGCAACTTACAGGTGTCATGACTGCCCTGCTCCAGGAGATCATTTCCGTTTACCCCCTATTGAACCCCTCTCAGTTGACTGCTGCTGCATCAAATCGTGTCTGCAATGCGCTGGCGCTCTTGCAGTGTGTCGCATCTCACAACGAGACTCGGACGCTCTTCCTGAACGGTAACAACTGCCCCCAGAGCCTAATATTGCGACTTTCAAGCGCTAATTCACCTTCGCTATGTCTAGCCCATATCCCCCTATTCCTATACCCATTTCTCAACACGACCTCAAAATCGCGCCCGTTTGAATACCTGCGCCTCACCTCGCTGGGCGTTATCGGAGCGCTGGTCAAGAACGACTCGTCAGACGTGATCAACTTCCTCCTCACTACCGAAATTATCCCTCTCTGCCTTCGCATTATGGAGACTGGCTCGGAGCTGAGCAAGACCGTCGCAATTTTCATCGTTCAGAAGATACTCCTCGACGATATCGGTCTGGCATACATCTGCGCGACATACGAACGGTTCTACGCTGTGGGTACGGTCCTCAGTAACATGGTGACACAGTTGGTGGAGCAGCAAACGGTCCGACTTCTCAAGCATGTTGTGCGCTGTTTCCTTCGGTGAGTTCTATCCCTTGCCCTGCCAGCCTGCCCAATTCTCTAACGTCACGTATAGATTGAGCGACAACAGCCGAGCTCGTGAGGCATTGCGGCAATGTCTACCAGAGCCGCTCCGAGACGCCACATTTTCGTCTGTTCTGCGCGATGATGCAGCCACCAAGCGCTGCCTGGCCCAGCTTTTGATCAACTTGTCGGATAACGTTTCCGATGGAGCCCAGGCGGCCATGTAAAATACGAAAACGCATTTCTTTTCTTGCGGGATTACTCATTTTTCCACTTTATGATATGCATGGGCAGGTTTATGGCGAGTATCGGTCACAAAGGCGCAAAAGTTATCGGCAAGCATTTGATGGATTCGCACCCGGCCTTGGTCGTCATCATTCAACCACTGGTGTTGACGGCACCGAATTTATCATCTGTCTTCTCTTCATTCTATCTGGGTTTTATCGCAACATTTACATTGGAACAGTTTCCGGGACCTCGGTGATATTTCATGTCGATGGGAGGGGACTAATGTATTCCTATGTCCTATTTTTTCCAGCTGTGATTTTTTTCTTGCATCTTGTTTGCGAGAGACATGATTTTCAATTCTGCCTCCTCTCTTCGTTTTCCTGGGTTTCCGTGGCGCTCACCGTCGGTAGTGTGTGGGTTTCTGGTTGGCGCTGTCGTTTGCATTCTATCTTCGTCATCGACGACCTTCTATTGCTCTATGAGATAGACTCCTGAGCCAGATACCACGGTCCGGTCGTCAATGGTTTTATTTGTGCTTCTGCTTTCTGGGGTTCTTCTTTTTTCTTTTTCTTCATGTACATGTGTGCAAAAGTTTGTACTTTGCATGATGGGTTGGTTCGCTGTAACTACTAGGTGTTATAGTGCGTGCAATTATATTTCTATTGATCAAATCTGTGCCTACGAGACTTCCGCAGTGAACTGCATCGTTCCCCGATGAATAGACCCGTTTCTGGTTCTCACCTGGGCATAGTAAACGGTGACTCTGGATATCAATTCCACTCACCACTGGGGATCTACTCACGTGACCGTGACTGCCGTCACGACGCGCCGCCTCGATTTCCCGTCGCCTCCCACGCCAGGGAAAAAAAAGACGATATCGCGACCATCTCCACATTGACTATCGTTCTCGATCTCCATCCTTCAAATCGCAAATTTATACCCGCTGGGATCGTGTTCTGTCTACAAACTGCCCGCCCCTTTCCTGAATCCTCCTCTGATCACCCCCGGCCTTGACGGCCTCATCCCGCCGCAATGGTAACGCGAAAGCGCAGCCGCTCTGAGGCGGTCGCTACCACCGAGAAACAGCCTGTAGAGGAACTTGGGCTTCTCCAGCGCATTCGGAATAGCTGGGAGTTTGCTAGCCTCATGCAATACATCGCCATCTTTGGAGGCATCATGAAGATCGATAACGAGTTTGAAATCGAGGTATGTCCGATTAGTATCCTCAGAAGACCCGGAGATGTCGCGCATTATGTCGCTTTGATGGGGAAGATGGGGCTGTCTCACAAAAACCCTTGTGCAAAGTAATATGACCCTGACATCTCTTCTTCTGAATCACAGGACCTAGAGGACGAATGCCTGAAACCCGAACCTTCATACAAATTGCTTGAAATTGGATTGTGTCTTCTGAAGTGGATATCGTCGCATCGTGGACTCACGTATGTTGCATGGTACCACAATTAAAGTGGATGGTGGATGCTAACTCTACAATGCAGGTTCGACAACTTCGACGAGTATACTCGGCGTCAATACAATGCGAAGGCTTTGGACATGCCCAATCCCTTCGGACAAGATGACGTTCCCTTACGATTCCTCGATTTCGATGTTTTCCTGAAGCTGCGGGTTCTCCACCAGCTATCAGTGTGGACATTTTGGAACCAGGATCGTATCCGCGACAAGATGCCTGAGAAGAAGGAGAGTGAACAACTGCAGTGGGTGAGTGATTGACCGTTGATCAAAGAGATTTGCCTGCATGGAGAAAGGTGCTAATACCATCAAGCGCATCGAAGAATTTGGATGGGACCACGATGGCCGATCCTATTATGTCCTAGATGACAATCGCCTCTACCGTCGAACCGAACCTGCCATTCCTGCCCCTCAACGACCGAAGAAGAAACCGAAGAGCAGGTCCTCTCGCAAATCTCGTACTTCGAAACGCACGTCGACCGCTGCAGTGGAAGAAGGCTCCGACGAGGAGGGCCAAGGTCAGGATACCGACGGATCTACCTCCGAATATAAATGGGAATGTGTGGCTGTTACTCTCCCTGAGTACCAAGAGTTCATAGATACAATCCGCAAGAGCAAGGATGCCGATGAAAGACAGCTACGTGAACGTCTCGAGGAGCATGTCTTGCCAATCCTGGAGAAGGCAGAGGAGGCGCAGCAGCGCAAGCGACAGAAGCGTGAGAAGGAGCTTCACAACATGCAGCTTCTTGCAGGTGCCAAGCGATCCAGTCGTCTTGCTGCGAAGGAGGAGAAGGAACGATTCGACCGTGACGCTGTAGAGACCGCCCGAAAGCATGAAACTGCGCTTGCTGAAGCCCGCCGGGAACAGTCTCAAAAGCACCAATTGGAGGTTGAGCGACAGTCTCGTATGATGACTCGCGAGCAGCGCACTAAAGATCGTGAGCAGAAGCGGATTCTCCACCAAGAGGAGATGGATAAGCTCAAGATAGAAGAAGAGCGATTGGAGCGTGGCGAGGGTCGCATCTCTGCACGAAACCTCAAAGCTGAGCGCGACAAGATGCAGAAGAATTTGGCCGATCTAGTTCAAGAAGACGAGTGGGTCTTCGACTGCTCTGGCTGTGGAGTGTACGGGGAAAATCTGGTGAGTTGAAACCAAGGTTAGACAAAAGAAACGCGACAATCTAACATCTCGACTAGGATGATGGAAGCCATAGTGTCGCGTGCGAGAAATGCAATGTTTGGCAACACAGCAGTTGTCTTGGTATCTCTAAGGAGGATGCCGAGAAGGAAGATTTCCACTTTGTTTGCCGTGACTGCAAGCGCAGGGAGGAAGAAGCTAAGAAGCCCAAAATCGCCCCTTTGAAATTCAGACTCAGCGCATCGGCATCGCCGTCATCAGCTCCTCCCTCAGGAACAAAGCGCTCAGTAGAGGATGGCATTGTTCCCCCATCCCCTGTTAAGCAGACCCATGCCGCTCTATCCAGTGTTCAGAAGGGATTTTCAGCTGCCCAAGCTTCGACACAACCCCATCTTCCCCCGGTCCCTGCGCGAGCCCAGTACTATGTCCCTCCATCCCCGGAGCGCCGTCAATACCCTGCAAACCAATCATCTTTCCCATCTTCCAGTCCTTCTCGACCTTCTTTCTCCCCATCCAAAGGCATGGACGCCCCAGCATATCCCTCTATGAAACCGCTGCCTGGAGTTGCTCATAATGGTGTGTCTCTGCCACCCATGCAACCTGGGCCGCATCTTCCTTCATTTGGATCATTTCATTCTGCCCGTCCTTCGTCCTCCCACTCTGGCCACGGTGCCATCCAAAACCGACCATCTATGTCACCCACTCAAGGCAACCACGAAGTTGGTCCTTTAGCAGGATTCCCGCCTTCTCAGCAGCCGGCCAGTGGATCCGGTTCTTGGTCTCCTTTCCAGAACCAGAACCAGAGCTACACAACTCCCCGCCCCCAGTCTGGACATGGTGGTACATTTGCCATATCCAGCAACTATCCGTCATTTTCAGCTGCTGCAACTCCCAACGGCAACGGTAACGGCAACCACAACCATTCCTCGCCCCCTCACAGCTCACACGGCATCGGAATGTCTGGTATCAGCCCTACCAAGCAGTCTCCTCGTCCTCTCACCTCCGGCGCCATGGCAGGTGCCCCGATCCTTCCACCGTTCCACAGGTTAGACCCTAGCCCTAAACTTATGGGCCGCAGTTCGCCAGATGCCCCGATTCCACCACCTGTTAAGTGCATGACACCCGAGCAGGAGGAGCGCAGACAAAGGGAGAATGCCTCAATTAGGCACCACTATCCCTCTAATGGCCAGGCGCATCCAATGTCATCCCCATCTATCAACCGAATTCCTCCCTTGGGCCCTGCAGCAACCTCTCAATTGCCAGATCCAGTGCCATCTCCTAAACATGGGGATCAGGATTACCGGCAGTAACGGTGTGAAGGGATGCAAAAACGAAACGAAACGAATCTCGTCCCAAAAAGCGATGTATGCATAAATTCGGTCGAAAGCAGAGTAGTCTTGGGCCGGATTCTGTTCTGGTCGATTTCGACACTTCTAAGTGTCAATTTGCGGTTGAAAGAAGCGTCTGGCAGGAACCCCTGTAGCAATGCATGCTTTGACTAAAGTCCGTTTAACTTTTTGACACCGAAACCGTTGCGATTCTTATGGGCGAATAGCCATTATCCGGAGTCATTACCCCCGTGGAGCCGATCGATCGATCGATCATTTCGACTTCATGTTACTGGAGAATGGGACTATGGTCGTGTTCGCCATCATTTCGTTTGTCTTTAAACAATTGTGCGACTATTAAGAAGCTCGATCCATATCACGACGGCGATTCGAGACACGTCGCCGATGTCGAGATAGGAGACTCTTCCTTGACTTTTACATGTTATCGTTTGCAGGATACCTGGGATTTCTGGCCTGACCGGCGTTTGTTTCTTCTTCTATTTTCTACTTCCTTTTCTTCCTTTTTTTTTGGTTCAACAGATGCATTAAGATGGTTGGGAAATTGGGCGTTTTCAGATGGCCCCGGAGGCGGTATTTGACGGTCTGCGTAGCTGAGATCTAGGCATTTGTATTCTAATAGAAGTTTCCATTCCCGTGTGTTTTCTCATGCTCACCGTAAAATGACTATAGTAACTCTTGAGTAGGACTGTCGTTGATGTCTCCTGCCAAGGAGTACTACTAGTAGTATAGTATGGATTTCCTATTCGGGTTGAGTGACGAGTACGACTTACGTATTGCTGGTACCAGCGTGTAATGTCGATAGTACCTATGGCAATCCAGGCCGTTAGGGTGACAGGAAACGAAAAAAAAGCGCGAATACTAGTGGTTCAATGTCTCATCTCCGACGATCAAATCGAAGCGATATTGTTTTTTTATTCGCCACCGGCTCTCGGAATCAATCGCCGTCGAGCTAATCATGCACGACCATATGATATCACGCCCCTAAAAGCCTCACTTCCTATCACAGTGGATCCTCGGTGCAGCCGGCACGGCATATTTACTTCGT